TTACGCTCTTAGGCGACTAGATATCCAAAACAAACAATAGCTCAAATAGAATGAACGATGTATTGTCGTTTTATATGAGATAAAGTGGCTTGTCGGTAGCGGTCATCTAAAGAAATTCTAGCGTGAATTATGAAAAAATAATGGATGATTTTGTCATTCAACCGAAAAGCAGCCGGATGTTGTTGTTGTTAAAATGGCGATACTTGTTCTAATTTCATTTCTACTTTTCAATATAATGTGGGCTAATAGAGTTCTCTGCATATTGAATTACTGTACGTCATGAAAAAGTAATAAAGTTAATAATCGTTTTTTTGTATTACTGAACAATTCTGTACTGAGACAGGTAAATTTTATCGAAAAATTATATCAAAGCGTCGTCATTTCACATGAACCATCATGTCTCAACTTTAATTGAACTATAGTCGAGGAGAGGAGATGAAATTAATGCTTACCTTTATGTTCTAGCCGCTAATATTCTGGTCTAATTTTCTTAATTTTTCCGTCTCTTTTTTAATGTCTAAAAATAAGATCTTTGAGTACGTTCTCTTAGAACTCCGCTTTCAGAATATTATTTATGTTCTTTAAAAACCTCTGAATCATGAAACCTTACTGATGAACTTAATTTCTGTATTCAAGAAACAACCGGATTGTTCGTTACATATGCTGAATTCTACATCAACATGGAAAAACAGAATTCAAGTGCACCGGCAACCAATTACACAACCACATGTTGGATAGTGGAAGCAATCTTACTTTTTTTTATGAACATTCATTTACCATACGTTTGATTGAACATCTAGAAGTGCTCAAAATATTTGTAACTTAGTATTTTGAAGTATGCTCGGGTAGCAGGCGTTGGCAATTGCTCAATGAATTCTCTACAGGATTCTCATCAAAGGTGCAGCTTCAATAAGGATCAACGGTATCTTCTCGCTATGAACAGTCATTCTAATTCTGTTTAATGTATTCACAATGGGCTCAAAATCTTTGAAGGTTTGGATATGATACAAATGTTCCTTAGTCATCTTCAGCCTCTATCAAAGGTTTAAACGAAAAGATATCGATAAGATATAAAGATAAACTTGCAATTTTCGAATGTCGTCTGTATTGATTAGTATAAAGTGAAACAATATTCATAAAAAAAATCGGCAACAAATTAAATGATCAGTATTTTATACTGAATGATCAGTATTTTTTGCGAATGATTAGTTTGATTTGTTGATCAATAGAAGACTTATTTTTGATCAGTGTATTATTTCAGATGTGGGTGAAGATGTGGTTCAGATTGTCTCATAGTTTTCTGTCCACCATACTATCTCTGGAACCTTATATAGAATCACCGTCTATCGATTTGTTGGTAAGTAATTCCTAAGCTCTAGGGATTATTTCCGTAAATTGACAGAGATGTTTAGGATGCACTAACGATTGGTAAAAACCTGTTTAAATTGTTAAGATAAGAAGTATATATAACAGTTTTCAACACGAAATAATATACTGATCAACAAATCAAACTAATCCTTCGCAAAAAATACTGATCATTTAAATACAACCCGAAAAATCGTTAAGCTTCGCTCGCTGTTAATAGACTATGTATATGTCCTGGATTGGTACGATGTTCATTTGCTGAAATATTCCAATCTTCATTGTTCAATCCTACAATGAATAATAACTTTCAGAGTGTCAGACGATATACATGAATGAATAACGTACGTTGATTTACTGGTTGAATACGAAAACGTCTGGTTCGATCACTATTGCTTGAGATTTGGTAGTCTGCTCCTCCTGGCTGTTGATGGAAATCTTCCAAGATAACGGGATCAATAGGTGAGGTGGCTCGATTTGGGTGCACATCCGATGGAGCCGTTGGCGCCGGACTTATTCGAGATGATGTTTTATGCTTACCTATTTCAAATGATCCTCACTTGAATCATTGATAAGTAAACATCTATGTTACTTACCACACCATATAAAGATATAATCGAACAAAAGAGTCGAAATAATTATACATGCCGCAGCGACAATTGCTGACCAGTAACCTTAATGGAGAGAAAACATGCATGATTTCAATGAAAGACAAAATATCGAAAGATTTACTGTAGTCCAAAAATGTACTGATAAATTTGAGATTAAATACACAATGTAATGTGATTAGAGCCTGTGCAGCAAAGCATGCAGCTTGTAATAAAAGTAAAACAACGATAAATATGAATAAACAGCGTTGATAACGAGCTTCCACATGAAATGCTTGGATAGTAACAATAAATATTGATATCCATTGAATAATCAAAGTTGATAACTGTACGGCAATGATCAGAAGAGGAAATAAACGTGTATTCAAATCTAGAATTTATAATTCAAACTAAACTAAAGTTCATTTGTCGAACTTACTACGAAATATGAAAAGAATAATTGATGCGATAATGAAAATAAACGATAACATCCATGTTATAAATGGCCACCAAAATCCACTTCGATCTAAAATCAATGAACATCGAATAGCTCATCTTTAACATTGAAGTGCATTTACTTCGGTGATGGTTCAAAATATAAAGTGTTCCACTTGATAAAAGGAAAAAATGAATGAGATTGATTAAATAAGTTAACCATAGTAATGAACGTGTACATTTGCCGTACGGTGCATAAGGATTGACTGAATCCGAATCTGTGATATATCCAATAGAAACGAAATAATCGAACCAATACAATTTATAGTTTTCATTTGTTGAGTCTGTACAATTATCACCCATAAAAGAATCAAGTTTTACAACTTTTTGCTAAAGGAAAACGCGCAATAATGAATAGGAAGCGGAGAAACTCCAAATACTTAGGATTAGATATTTTGCCTTTCCGGTTATAATGAGTTCATTAAGGTTCATGACTGAAATATTTTATACGCAAAAGATTTCTAGGTATTGGAAATGTAACGTTAGTTACGAAGAAGAAACCAATTGCGTCTGTGCTGGGTTCTTTCCATCTCAATTATATTATAAAATGTTTTATTTGCCGATAAACAATAACAAATTAGATGCCTTGACTAAAATATTACCGAGAAACTCCGGTGAATTACAAAACACAATGCATCTATATTCATCTGAGAATTGATACAAATAATAGGAAATTGTAAACAATTAGTGAATGGCATTGAACTGCATGGATAGAAATAGTCAAAAATCTGAACTGAAGAAAAGCGTTCGACGCCTTAGAGCACTTCGTTGCACTTCAAGAAAAAGAACGGAGGAAGAGAAAGTTCTAGTCTTTATTAATAATAGCCATTGAAATAATGATAATATTTTCTTCATTCTATCGTTATTCAACGAGCATCATCTGTAAACTGAAAGAACGTTTTCTCTTGTCATTCAACGCATTTGTCCTTGGGATACCATCTAAATTCTACTTCATCGATTTGTACGTTTGAATTTTTTGATTTTATTATGAACGTAAGTGATGACATTTTTTCCATGAGAATAAAGATTGTACTTGAAGAAAGAGGTGACTGTACGTAATAGAAACAATTTTATGCGTTAATTGTTTGTATTACAAGCCACAAAGAAAGTAAAACTTTCGTCAGTTTTCATTCTTAGGGTTTCTGTAAGCAACATTTTTCGTCTATTTTTCTCTTCTCGGTCTATTACACGTTCTGCAATGAAACAACTAAATCATCATGATAAATCAGCAATAAAAGTGAAAAAGATTCTCTACATCGTCATACTCTAATTTGACATCATGTCATAGATATTGATGAAAACTTCGTTATGCGTTTTTTTGTTTTTCGACTTTCGCTCTTTCCCTCCTTTTATGATGTCTGTCTACAACAAATATATCGTTGGCTCGTTAATCAAAGTAGATGTGTTATGTATACGAGACTTTTTGTTTCTTTGCCGACCTCGATCGTACAAGTCAGAACGATCTGTGGGATATAATAGGATATGACGTATGTTCGCAAGCGAGATATTATCTTTTATGCCCGATGTGTAGACTGGCACGATCGGCATCATTATCAACATTATCCACTAGTAAAAATACGGATGATGTTAGTAGTTCGTGTTACATTCATTGATGGACGTTTTTCTTCGTCGATTCTTTCTTCTCCATTTTCCTTCATTCGTTTGAGTCTATCTCTCTCATCCGGTTTGTCCTGCAGGTAGAAATAGAAGAAGAAGAAAACGTCGGTTATGTCGAAACGAGAAGAAAGAGAACAAATCGTCTCCTAGTCTCCCATATGCATCATCAACAACAAACGCCTACCCTATAAAAAAAAACTAAAGAAAAATTTGACAAATGCAATGGCGAGAAAAAGATCCCCCATTTGTTGCCAACTTCATCTCTCTCTCTCTCTCTCTCTCTCTCTCTCTCTCTCTCTCTCTCTCTCTCTCTGTTTTCTTCTGCTATTACTCTTTTCTCTTGTACTACATGACGTCGAAGAGAGAGTATCATGATTATACAACACATACATATTGCTTGGCTATTATTGATTGAATTCATACTGATGGTTATGGTTATAGTGCCGTTTGCATACATTCCTCACGAATGTGCGTCAAAAAAATGCCGACAGAAAAATGAATAAATAAAAGAAAAAGAGAAAAGAATCGAAATCAAAACTTATAAAATAGCAAAATCTCGATCTGTCTTTTTGTTTCTCGACTATGTATGATACGTGTACTTCGTAGATTTATAAGTGTTAAACAAAATATAGGAGAAAAGGAACACCGAACTGGAATGACAAATGATTGACAACTTCGTTTTTTTTTGTTCTTTGACAATTGTATTTATATGTTAGTTTTCTAGCTGACATTACAGGTGTCCTATGAAATAAAAATATGCTTCATTCAAAAGCTATTTGATTCAATAGAGAATGAAAAAGTGAATATTTGATATACATCCACCTACATGATGAGTGATGATGAAAGGATAGTTCTAATATGGAAGTACTGTCAAGTTATTACATCATTACGTCAACCGTCTTTCTTTCACATTCTTTTATTTTTCAGCTTTGTTTTTTTCTTTTTTGTTGACGAATGTGACAGCGTCATTTTCACTAATTGAAAGCAGACTGACACCATGCAAGTCAACTGATGATACTAGTACAAGCAAGTTCTATGTGTAAATGTTGTTTTCTTTCGAATGCTTTCCTCAAAATTTGTTCTTCTAGTTTGTCGCTTATCGTTATTTTCTGCACAAATTATACACTTTGAAAAAATTCATCAGAAATTACAAAAATAAAGACCTTGACCCTAAGGAAGACGGAAAAAAAACATATGTAATGAGACACATAGTGTATGGCAGATAGGCACTTTGTGTTTTTATGTGTCAGAAAGACATAGATATTGACGTATTTTAGATTTCTTTTTTCTTTCTACCTTCTAATAACTGACTTTGTTTGTCTGTCTCATCGTCTTCTACTCACTTGTTGCTCCCCTTTCTCTTTCTGTCTTCTTTCATCGTGTTATTATTGTTGTTATTGTCGTCAGCGTTGCTATTACTACTATTCATTCGGTTATTTTTTTTCTCAACGTCTTAATACTTTAGTTCTAATAATAACATCGTCGACAAGTATTGTGTCTATCGACATTCCTTCTCCCCGCCTCTTTGACTTTATTTGAGAAACGAAGATATTTCATTTCCAATAAGTTAGATCTTCAATATTTTCACGAAGTTTCTCTCTCTCGTTTATGGATAAAATCGTTTGCATGAAATGAAGATAAATATTCAGATGGCAATAGACCTTGAAAAACTTTCGAGTAAGAAGAAAAACCACTTGATATTCGATGTTTGCTCACTGAGCAGCACGTGATAAACCATTGGAGAACAAGAAATGCGAAGTTTTTTAAGAGCAGAAGAGAATTATGACAAGGCATTAAATATACTAATCGTTTCTTTTCTTTTATCACTACCAGCTCAATTATTAGTAGAATACAGAGTTTCTTATTACTTTCGATGAGCATCTACGTTAAGACGTAAGAGAGATATTCGAACGTTGAGATATCGAGACTTGTGCAAGAGATAAAGGGTCAATCACCGAACTATAGGTCAATATTTTTTTCTCTCACTCAATCATATGTCATATTGAAACTGTGGCGATGACCTCTCCTTTCCATCTATTCTCACTCCATACAATACCTCAGCAAACAACAACAATGATGGTGACGACCTCATCCTCGTTCTTCTTTCGTTCTGTTTCTCTCACTGGCCGATGCCCTATCTTTCACCTAACCACTCATATAAGAGTTCAACAAAATAGAGATTAAATAAATCAGCGTGTCCGCTGCAAAAAGAACGATTGAAATGTTTAAAATATAGGTAAAAAAATATATCGAATTGATATTTTTTTTTCGATTATTATAGCAACGTCAAATAGCAAGGTAGTTCTTGCAAGTAAGAAACGGTTGTTATCGATGAAAAAATCAGTCAGATGACTTTCTGCCCGTTTCGCTGCTTTCTTTCTCTCTTCCTCTCTTCGTTTCACATTTGAATAGCAAGTAAATGCAAACGGAGGACAAGTACACATCGCCTACTGCTATACGACCATTATTATTCGATGTGCAACAAACATAGATGAAGAACAAGCACAAGAACAGGAATTTTTTCTTTCCTTTCCTTTCCTTTCCTTTCGTCGTTCGTTGATATAGGCTGACGGAGCAACGCGAGCTTTTGATAGTTTTGATCGGTTACATTTCTCTTTCTCTTTTCTTTGGCTGCTGTCTATCGAGAAAAGAACGAGACCATTGACAGTGACATATCGACGCCGAAAGAAAGAGAGAGGTACCTATCTACAATTCGCGAATCGTCGACGAGAAAGAAAGAAAGAAAGGAAAGGAGGAAACATCTAACATCACCATCAACACAAAAGAGAAAGACAGATAGACGTTTGACTGGTGCAAGTGATTCTTTCCCATTTTTTTCTTCCGTTCGCTTGCTTCTTTACTGCTATTGCTTGCAGTACGACGTTTTGACGTGTGTCTTTCCCTATTCCTCTTCTCCCCTCTCTGTCTCTGTCTCTCTCTCTCTCTGTAGTCTGTTGTACTTCGACCAGTTTCTCTCTTTCCGTTACACACAGACACGATTATTACCCTTTTGGACGATTTACTCGATTATTATAATAGTTTTTAAATAGAAAAACTGAGTAGATTGATAAACTTCGAAACAGCTGATCTAGTTTTTTCTAGATTTATTTTCTTTCGTCCAATTGTCTGAATGGATGAATGGCGCATACAACAGCAAACACATAGAATGATGCCAGGTGGCGTAGGTCCTGTTCTCAACTATCATTCTATACGTTCAAGATCATCTCCGTATCCTACAACACATCAAATGAGTGATTTAAAACAATCATATCAATATCCACCAAATCCACCTCCAACATCTTCAAATCCTTTATCACCTGTGCCAACGTCGGCAACTACACCAAATCCAACTTCAAGTACAACGCCAATATCGACTCAGAACGATTCAAGTGATACGATACCCGCATCATCTGACGAAGTTTCGACGGCGACTTCAAATTCTGTAAGTTTACAAATCAGCTGTTTTCATGAATCGTATTATCAACTGATATTTGTGTTTTGAAGGATGTTTATACACCTAACAATACCACTATGCCTTATACACCTGCTCAGATGGATCAAATCCAACAACAGCAACAACATCAACGAATGATGAATGCTAAATCATCAATCGGTCCGATGGTAGGTTACAATGCTGGTCAACAGCAAATGATGGCAGCACGATCTCGTTCAATGCCATATCCAATGCCACCGCCATCTCAATCACATCATCATCATCATCATCATGCACCGATGTATCCGCATTCGCATCCGGCAGGTCCCGTCTGTCAATGTGGACCGCATATGCATCCAGCGAGCGGCCACTATCCGATGCATCCATCGCAACATCCCATGTATTATCATCAACAGCAACAACAGCAACAACAGCAGCAGCAGCAGCACCAACAAGAAGCATGGTTTCGGTACCACCAGCAAGCTGTTTGGAGACAACAGCAGCAACATTTACAATCTCATTCGCAACCAATTCCTATTCAACAAAGTTATGATGCAATTTTAGCTGAGACAACATCTACAACAAAATTAAAGGCATCAAAAGCGAAATCGAAAAAGAAATCAACTAGTATACCAGCATATAACGAAGAGCCATTAATGAAATATCAACCAATACCACCTCCGCCGGTAAACTTATCATTACAGCAGCAGCAGCAGCAACAACAACAACAACACTACCATCAGCAACGCGTATACATGCCACCGCAATCTGCTACATACTATCCATCAGTTCACTCAGCACCTAATACTTATGTACCAGCTCAACAATTGCCACCACCACCTTCATCACAACAATCATCTTCATCTATTCCACAAGAACATCCATTGTACGCTCAAACATCTCCATCAACACTTTCTCATCATCAATCTCAAATCTTCACCAGTCCACTGAGTAATCCAAGTACACCGCATCAACTACATAGCAACGGCGAATTCAATGGTACTAGTGAGTTCGGTGTGCCATACCATCACGGTGCTCCAGGCTCAGTGAATTCATTAACGGATGCGCTATGCCCTGTTGGTGATACAACGGATCGACAAATGACACCTGGTCCACCGGTAAGTTACACAAGCATTTCAATTTTTAAAAACTCTTTCTACTTTTCATATATCTTTCCTCTAGAGTGTTGGCACACCTCGTGTTGCTGTACATCAATACTCATTTCCACATACACCATTGACTCCTCAAACAATCAATAATCAAAATATGAATCCTCACACACCAGTCATGATGCCACCAACGCCAAATCCTCTTTCGGCTCCGCCTACACCTCTGACACGTCCGCGATCATCAAGTGAACAAACACAATCAACAACAAATCAGTATCAACAATATGAACAAAACAAACCAATGACAAATGTTGATGATCTAGCTGCTTACCTGAAGGATCCAACAAATGTATATTTAACTGATGATGTATCATCGGTAAGTGAAAAAATGATTTTCAAAACTTCCGAAAATATTCGTTTCGTTCTCATTAGACATTTTTCGATGATATCGATGCTTTGGCTGATACTTATCTTGGGCAACAATCTAATGCAACTCAATCAACAAACATTGATCAGAATTCAGTCGATGACATTCTTTTAAATTTCCTTTGTTCGGATGATCTTACTAGCTGAAGTTTTCCTACGAAAAATTTCAAACTCCTGTACGTTTCTTTGTTTTTAAATTAGTTCTGAAACATATTGAAAATTTCTCTGTTTTTGGTCAATGTATATGTGCGATCGTTTATTTGCTTTCAAAATTTGTTTCGTTTCATAAACAAAAGATTTTTTTGTCTGTGTACGCTACTGCGTTGTTCATTGTACGAAATCATTTTGAAGAAGAGTTCTCTCTGTATAGTTCTCTCTCTTGAATCACTCGTTTTCTCTCTGTTCATCTGGTCTTTCTCTTTCTTGCTCTCTCTCTCTCTGTCTGCCTCTTGATTATTTATTGTGTATGTGCTAGAATTTTCTCTCAAATCATTCTAATACTAATTATTATATTATCTATACAAAGTTTTCTTTTTTGTTTTGTTCTTATTGTGAGTATGATGAATTCTTTTTTTTTCGTCTCTTCAAGTTTTTTTTCTGTTTCAGAAGAGAGAGAGAGAAGGAGAGACATCGAGCAGAGCTATTTTCGTATTTAATACAAATAATGATGAAAGATATGCAAAATGATTAGTTTCATTATGACTTCATATGTTGATGATCAGATTGATAATAGAAAAGTAGTAAAATAATGCACGAACAATATCTAGAAGTACATCATTAGTAGTTATTATATGAAAAACTACGTCTCAATTCTTTACATTTGTCCATTATGTTTTGTAATTATGAAACATTTATCTGTTCGTTGATCGAAACGATATGAAACATATACTTGGAAATTCTTCTTCTCATCGGATAGTTTACCAACAAATGTTTGGATAATGATTTTATAAAATGGAGACTTCTCCGCAAGTTCTTGGCAAAGAGTTTTTGATATGTTCTGTGATATTTGCATGCCTAAGGGAGAATTATAAACTTTACCGTCGAGTTCATCAAGAATGCATTTCGATGCAAGATTTTCTATTCGATTATCATCGATTCGATGTTGTTTTTGATAATTAAGAAATTTTTCAAAGTCTTTGTCGTCTAGTTTCCATACTTGAATATCTAATTCAGTTTCGATCGTGAACATGTTAAATAGATAATAAATACGAAATAAAATCTCAAAGCGCACAATTAATTTATCATTTTAATTAATTGTAGTGAGTAGAACAAGGCGAGGTGTTTTTTTATTTTTGCCATACGGTGAAGCGAAAGAAAAGAACGCTGTTGACTTAACACCATAGTATTTACCCTTTTTCTTTGTTCGAAATAAACGTCCCATCAAGTTTTGTTGATAAGTTGTTCTTCTAGCTTCTTTTTTTTTTCGTGTTTATTTCAAGGCTATGATAATCAATTCTTATCTAGGAAGTCTCTTATATATAAAGACATCTTTGTTTCATGAGCAATGAATAGAAATTCATTTTCGATTTCTTGTCATTTACATTTGAAACACACACGATGTTTGCTATTCTTGTTCTTTGCTTTGTTGCTTTGACCGCAGCACAACAACCAAAACCATGCACTACTCCACCGCAATGGGAAGCGAATATTTTTGATTACAATCAACAACAGAAATTCATGGTACGTGGACGATTAAGTTATGATGCTGTATATCGTCGTGAACGTATTATCGAAGAAGTTAATTTCGGTAGTCAGGGTGATGCTTTTGATGTCGTTGCTTTATTTGATTCCCAAACTGAATACATCTATGACTTCAAAGCTCGCAACTGCACACGCCGTCGAATTGAACGACCATGGCGTGATTTTGGCATTCCACAAGATGCCCGTTCATTCGGCGAAAGTTATATTGGTTCATCAGCTGCGCCAGGTTTAGGTTTATTAGTTACACTTTGGTAAGTCTTTCTTCTTTCTATTATTTCTCTGTATAATTCAATTCTATTGATCAGGGGTGGAAATCACACAACACCATCGAATGACACTGTTCGCACCTTCGGAACATGGACATATCAAGCATGTCTTCCTGTTCGATTCATCAGTCATAGTCAACGATTTGGTCGCACAGAAACATCATTTTTTGATATTACTGCTGGTATTAGTGATCCAAATGTGTTCATTCCACGACGTGAATGTCTTACAGAAAAAGAATATGCTATGCGAGACATCCTTTTTGGTAAACCATCGAAACAAATTCAACAACAATAGACAAGTGTTTTTTTTCTTCTTTTCAATCATTTCTTTCTTTTGATGTAAACGTATTTTTTACCCAATAAAAGAAAAGATAAAATATATTCGACATCTTTCATCTTGCTTGAGAAACTCGTTTTTTCATACTTCATTGGATAGCATATGACACGCTTGATATTCGGAACTCTGTCTTGCTGTTCATATTCTGTATGTACATAGATCATCACGTAAAACTTTAAGAAACGTTTTGGTTAATTATTGACAGAAGATAATCACAGTAAATAAATGATTATCCAATGTTTTATTTATTCGTACTTCAATAACCTTTCGTAACGTATTTTGATGCCGGTTAGATAACATGTATTTATATAACAGATTTGTTCTATTTTCGCATTCAGCTCAAGGTGAGAAAATGCTGTACTGAAGTTGCGTTTCTTGGATTGATAAAAAAGAACACAAGTGTCCTATACTTGGAAAGCATTGTCGCTCGATATTCGCTTATCTGTGTAGAGGTTATTGCGGTTCTTCGTTTTCCAGATCGAGAAGACGAAGCGCGCAAAAAATTGAGTGCACTATTATGTTTATGATCTGTTTAACAAATATCTTTTGAATGCATAATCTATCGATTTTGATGTTGCTTCAAACATTTAATTACTAGGAAAATCAGATTAGCAGGCACTTCTTGCGTTAATTTAATATCAAATGATAAGTGATGAATTCGTATTTAAGTTTTGAATGATGATTCTCACTTGTCCGGAAAGTACGCGCAACTCATATGTTACGAAACGACCGGACGATAAATGTTGTATCTCGAGTATTAATATTTTACAACAGATGAGTTGCACGAACTTTCCGGACAAGAGAATATCACCAAATCTTGTTTCTTTTCTCACAAAAAAAGATAATTATGAAACACAATATTATTTTATTTATTCCTTGTTTAGCCGGTGTTGCTTTATTATCTCCGACTATTCTGCATATGATAACAACAAGCTGCACTGATATTTTACAGTCTCTCTCTCTCCTCTCGCTAAGTCAAGGTAAGTGACAACAATGTTGACCAAACTTCTCTCTTAACGGTATATATAAAGAGAGATATTTTTTCAAAATATGCATCACAATTTTTTTTTCTCTCTATTAACAAGACAAAATGTTTGCTGCTCTTCTTCTGTGTTTGGTCGGCATTGCTGTAGCTCAAAGACCACAACCGTGCACGACACCACCACAATGGGAAGGTCGCGTCTTCGACATCAATGAACAACAAAAATTTTCTTTGGAAGGAAAACTAAGCTACGATGCAGTGTATCATCGCGAACGAATCGTTGACGAAATCGATGAAGGCTCAACAGCAGATTACTATGATGTGCTCTCTCTTTTCGATAGCCGAGTTGAATTTGTTTACAACTTCAAAGCCCGCAATTGCACACGACGTGAAATCCAACGACCATGGCGTGACTTCGGTATTCGCCCAACAGATCGATCGTACGGTGAAGCTTACATCGGCTCATCCGTTTTTCCAAGCACGGGTGTCTTAGTTACAATTTGGTAAGTCATATCATTACTCGACTCAGCAAATGTAATTTTGTTCTTCTCGTTAACCAGGGCTGGCAACTTCACATTACCATCCAATGACACAATTGATTATGTTTCCACATGGACATATACAGGATGTCTTCCAGTGTCTCGCACAACCTACAGTGACAAATTTGGTAGCTCACATTTATCGTTTTATGATATTACAGTTGGCATTAGCGATCCAAATGTGTTCATTCCACGACGTGAATGTGTCTCAGCCGAAGAATGGGAAAACCGATATGCTCTTTTCGACGTACCTCATAAGAAAATTCACTAACTTTGCATTTTCCCTATTTCATATATGATAAGTTTCTTTTTCTTCCATTTCCAAAATAAAGCAATTCTGTAATAGCATTCAATATGTGAACAGAATCTTTCCAATGTTTTAGAATAGGGCAAAAAGGATACATAGCGATCTGCAGCTCATTTCTAACTTGTTCATCAGTTTACCGAATGCGGAAGTGTATAAGAGTAAAAATTGATCTGACTCTTCTTCTTCGAGCTGTGACGACTGTGTTAATCGATTAATAAAATACTTTCTGTATACTTACTTAGTTAATTAATCAATTAAATAATCCATACTGTCGTGAATTACGATCGATGACACAGCAGTTCTTATCTCATTAGCCTAGCATCGTTTATTTGGAGTCTTCTTGAAGCGTAGTATTCTGTCGTGAGCTGTGACTGGCTAGCAATGAACGATCATTATAGAGCGCGATACGTATAATATTGAAGATAGTCATAGTCACCGCTGTTTTTCACATTTCTTTGTTGACATAAACATATTTCGATCAACACGAAGAAATGTTACTTAAACAGGCGATATATCTTTCTTTGATACTAAACCAACGAATATACCATTTATTGTTCAGTAACCAGCTTAGTATCATCTTGAAGATCGCTACATCAACTACGAAAAATAGAAACATGTAAATATTCGTCATGTTATTATCTAGATGGTATAACCACTTTCTGTGTCATTTTCTTTACTTTTGCTATCTACGCGCCCGTAGAATCAACACTGATAATCGTCATTCTTTTTGGCACAGGTCTGAGTATATAAAGAGTTGCCAGTGGTTCCAAATTTCATTCGAAATCTTCACAATTCTTATATTACCAGTCTAACGATACCATTCCAATGTTCATCATTGCTCTTCTCTGTTTGGTTGGCATAGCAGTAGCACAACAACCACATCCATGTACATCGCCACCACAATGGGAAGGTCGTATATTTTCTAGCAATGAGAAACAACATGACACCATGAGAGGAAAGATCAGCTATGACGCTACATATCGCCGTGTTCGAATCATTGAAGACTTTGAAGTCGGTGACGACGAATATGCTTTCGATATACTGTCCCTCTTCGATTCTGGACTTGAATTTGTTTACGATCTGAAAGCACACAACTGCACACGCCGTCCAATAACTGAACAATGGCGTGATTTTGGCATTCCACAAAATGCTCGTTCATATGGTGAAGCTTACATCGGTTCATCATCATTCCCAGACGCTGGCGTTCTTATTACTATTTGGTCAGTAAAATCTGTTTTAAGTTGACAAATATTCATCTAATATCTGTTTAGGGGTGGCAATTTCACTATTCCATCCGTAAACGTAACTCTTTCGTATGTTTCTACATGGACATACAAAGGATGTCTTCCAGTTTCTCGTACTGTCTACAGTGACACATATGGGAACGACGTTCTGTCAATTTACGATGTGACTGTTGGCATCAGCGACCCGAATGTGTTTATTCCACGAAGAGAATGTCTCACGGCCGAAGAATACACTATGCGACAAGCTTTGTTTGGTACACCAAACAAAAAGAACTAAATAATTTTTAGTCTTTGTTTTATTGTCTTCAATTTTCTTATTCCTAAGATACAATATCGGTTATGATGTGTGGCACGCACATCGTTTAATTCAGAACAAAATTAGATGTGTATTCGTTAAGCAGCTAAGGATTCCAATGCGATTTCGTCATACATTTTAATTTCATCAAGATTTTGAATCATGTTCTTCTTGCTCACTTGTTATAGTTTATAGATAACTATTCCACTATCATAGGATAAGTACAAAAGACCATCTTCGCGCTCTAATTGACCCTCGATTGCGGCTGTTGCATTAGAATTATCACCTGAGATTGATGGTTTAGCAGTTGTCATCATCATAAAAATATTACAATGAAAAACAATATATGCCATTTAACATCGCATACAATCTGTCTGTGATGTGGAAATTCGTTTTCATCATTCACCAACTGAACTACAGCAAAATCTAGGCGTTCCAGAGAATGTATGTTCATATACTCGAGCTGAAATTGGTACCTCAGCTCTGTTAGCTACTGTTTCTTCTATCAGTTTCCTTTAAGACAATTTCTTATTTGTAACGATACAATAAATAGTTTGCCATGAACTTCTTTCACTTCGAGATGCACACACTTAGCACCATCTATAAATCTTTTTTTTGGATTGGCAATCATCTCTTTTCGAATCTTAAACGCACATTATTTATAAAAAAAAACTTTTTTCTTCTCTTTCGTTATGTATTATGGATTCTAAATTTCCACAGACACACACCGTAAGGCTTAGTAATTTTAACTTATTTTCTCTTAGAATTTCTTATTTTTAGGCCCAAACAACATTGAACAATCACGTTACTGATCTTGTTATAAGTAATTTTAATAACAAACTTTTTATATCTGTAACACAGTTTGGAAAAATCGGCAGTTTAGTAAGTTTTACTATAGTTATTGTCATCAGTGTTATGATTGATTAACAGGTTCTTGTCCGTCGTGACGTTAATCTAAACGAAGATTCATCTCCGGTGTATTCAGTGAAATCTCTTCTAGGAAAAGATCAAGCTGAATATCATATTCTTGCTCGTCATCTTTACGAACGTTTACAATTGAAGAAACAGCTTCTCTTTGGCTTTGCATTACATTCATTCGCTAAAAAAGATCTCGAAACCATCGAAGACTTCATTTGTTCAAATATTCAACAAATTAATCTATGATTAACAAACGATTCGTCAAAAACTTCCTTCCATACATTGCATTAATGGGTGTTATCTATGTGACATTACGTAGTGCAACGTGGGTACGTTATGAACGTCGACGACAACATGTTAAGACATATTCACGCGATGAAATCAAAGCGAAAGGTCTTGATTATAGTGAGCCAACATCATTGGAAGAAGAATATGAAGAAATGGTTAAAAATCAAAATTTAAGCACATGGAAACAACAACGAATTCAACGACCATGGGCAGAAGATCCAGATCGATGATCATCATTATTCTTGTTTTTAATATTTTTTTCTATGAAAATAATCTTTTTCACGAGAATAAAACTCCTAAATCAAGATCATACATCGAAAATCCGTCGATATGAAAGATAAATATGCAAATGTCTGGAGCAGTTATGCACTACGAGTGGAGTAGCGTTGATAAAGAACGGTAAAATAGGAGGCGAGCGTTATTGTAACCAACACTGTAATGGTAAAACTACTAATGTGAAGCAATGTTGTTTGTCAACGTTGTAACTATGTGTGTTTCGATTGCCGATAGGAGGCAAAGAAAATAATGTTAACTCGACACTCAGATGAAGTATAATAAAGAAAAACATATTGACTTTTTCCCTACAGAAACGATTTGTTCTAATAAAAAAGATGTGAAAACTTTCATTCGTTCGCTTTATTACATTTTAGTTCATTTATCTGTATAAAATGGCTGCTGCTGATGTTGCTAAACCTTCCCCATTGGCATTCGCTAGCCAGACAGCTAGGTATGATCTAATCGTGTATTGATTGACTTTTGTAAATTATGAAAATCTAGATTTCAAACCACTGGTATGCATCCAGAATTACTGACTACTATGCAACTTCAGAGTTCACCTTATGTTGGACCAGGTTCTTATGACTTAACGCAATATGGCGATTTCAGCGCAAAGACTCTAGAAAATCGTATGAAAGGTCCTAATTGGCAGCATGCATTGTATACAGAACAAATGGCGAAGATTCCTCATTCATCTTTCAAAGAAACGTATGAAAAACGAAAAGAAACTGAAAGACGGATTGGTCCTGGTACTTATCCAGTTAACGACTTTTTAACGGAAGCTGATCGTCGACCACATTGCGCACGCGGTGCACTCGATCAATTAACTCCTCGATTTCCAAAAGAAAATTTGGTTTGTAACAACATAATCCAAACATTAATACTTATTACTCTTGTGTCTTTTTCTTTTCTCGAACTAGAATCGAGCGCCGCCGCCCGGTGCATATGGTATACCTGATGAGAAGCTCCAAGAAAAACGCTGGAAACAAGGAAGTAATGTTCCTTCATTCGATTGGAGTAGTGGAACAAGAACATTACCACTTGAGGTATGACAGAAATGGAAACTCACAAAAATGATTTCTTTCGTACGGATTCCTAGGGTTCAAAAATTGGTCCAGGAACGTATAATATTAAGAGTTCAATCAATGAACTACTTGAAAAACGTGTCAGTGAAAAAGGGCCCTATCAACTATTTACGACGAGTCGGTCAGCACCAATATCAACTGGACATCATGCAGTTCTTGACCGATGGGATCTATCACCGGACTTTCCATCGAAAAACTTTCCTGAATCTATCTCGTCAACTTATTTATTGACCAAAACAAAACATGGTACATTTAGTAAACTAAGCAGATTTCAAAAGAAGCCAACAGATCGAATATCCATCGATCATCCAGGTACCTACTCGGAAAGTAATCAGTTCGTTTCGTTCTATTCTACTTTTGAAAACAGGTCTCGAACCCAAAAATGTCGATTTTCCTGGTCCAGGTGCCTATGCAACCACACGAACGTGGGAACAAGAGGATTTTCATAAGAAAAAAGTACCATTTAACACGTCATCATCAAGAAATGATAAACGCTCATTCACTAACATCGGCGGCAATCAAGTATATGAATTCATATGTTTTCCTATTCATATAGTCCCTACTTATTATTATTGCTTTTTATCTAGACCATAGGTGTCGGTCGATACAATCTTGTCTCACCTGTTCGAGACGAAACAGTAGCTGATAGACGTAAACGATCAAGACGACGAAATGTTGCCTTCTCTTCCACGACGTCACGCTTCACTTCAGCCGATAGAGAATCATTGCTAACGTAGGCTATTCTCTTCATAAATAAAATTCAGATATATATATGTTTATCTATTACTGTAGTGAGCGGCTAAAGCCGCGAAACCTTCGATCCGAACAACGAACACAATTATATACGAAAGGTCATATAACAGCGTAAATTCTTATGCAATTTTCCAAACAAATATTATCTCTTACCAGTGTGTGCTTCCTTATAAATACTTTTTCAAGCATTTTTGTAGTATGGAAACTTTCAATCGCATATTAATATGTTTTCTTTTTGAAATAAAATTTATTATCACCCAATTATGCAAAGTATACCTTACATACCAACATTATGGTATCATCATAGGGCTTTATTTCCAAGCATTCGCCTAACAGGTGCGGCAAACGCTCTTCGCAATACTTTAGTGTAATTTTCATCAGAGTCATTATGATTATTAGTTTAACGAGATGCAGCAACCCAAACTTAAACGGATGAAGGATATAATAAGACAAATCCCTTGAATGTCACAAAATCATAGCATGATTCTCAATGATACTGTTTCTATTCTATACTAAAAAAAACAATTTAATACAACAATTTTAGTGTGATAGTTTTAAATATTGATATTACAGTTTTTCTATCACGATCCAATAACAAAATCGTCTATACCAGTTGATTTGAACAGCTGTGATAATGTTTGGTATCGAAATCAAAATCAACCGCAAATACCATTCCTTAATATTCATCTGATGTTATAGATTCAGATAAACATGAAACGAGGTTACTTATAATAAGATTTTGCACTTTCGCTTCATACTTTGCCGTTCTGTTCTACGAGTTTTTTCAAGCGAGTTCAGGGATAATTCTATAGAAAGAAAAAACACATAGTCGGAGGCTTTTCATAACACATAATTGGCATAATAGTCTTGGATAATGTCTCTGATTAAAATTTTTTAAAATAACCATCCATTCTCGGCGGATTATTTCATATATTTGATTTCACTTCCACGACTTTCTTTGATCCGAACGATTCACATATCCTCCATTGACAGTTTCTAGTCTTCTCAGCTTGCAGCATGTCTCGAAGTACGTCAACTTACTTACGACAACTTTGTACTCGCTTCAACGTTCTTCGCTGTAATATTGGAGCAAGGGCCGTAACTTTTCCTGCCGTTCTTCGTCCGTTGAGAACGAGAACACGGCTTACGCGTCATTTTTTGCTTCGTCATCATGTTATTCGAGAGTAAAGTATAAATAAACGAGCAAAAATCTATGTAAAAAATCGATTGCTACGCATACAATCATTTCACCTGTATCATGGATTATATCCTACACTAATGATCGACGAGAATGGGTAAAAACAAGCGATCAACTTCAAGACTTTTGTCAAAATTAGCTAGCTTTCATGCGAAATATGTAATGCGGAAAGTCGTTGATAATAATTCACATGTCATGATACGATCTCGTGTAGATATTGATCTAATAATGTCGTTTCTTTTGCTATTTTTTTCCCTTTCGGCTTGAAAGTCTATCGTATAGCAGTATCAAATCATACTTTTTTCTCAAAGACACCTATATATATACATTTAACTTGTATATTTTGTTTTAGATTGATACAAATCTGACAAAATGGGCACTTGGATTGGACATATTGCACCTGGTATGATTGAATAAATGTTTTGTTTTTGATTTCGACATTTTCTTTAGGTGTATTTTTCGCGTTATTCGCTATATGGTGGCATGTGAACAACTGTGTAAATTATTTCAAATCACTCAGGAATGAAAGCGATAGGAAGACAAAATCTTCGAATACTTTTCGAGGTTCAACAACATATTATTGTCAGTGTTTACCAAGTAAGACGCTTCGCGGAGCGCCGATTGAGAGTATTCTCAAAATTTTAATAACATCAATTCATTTTTCCATCGAATTAATAACCGGTTATGATACAAATCCAACACCTCATATTGGCGATGAAAATGCTCATCACACTGCGATGCTTTTTGGCTTCTTTCTTGGTGCATGGATTGAAATTCTCGTTCATTTCAAAGTTCCATTTCCCAAAGGCACCACACAAGTCATGGGTTTCTTGGCTTTTACGATCGAAGGCTTAATGATGGTTTTTCATTTACATGCTCGAAATATGGTAGATGCTCATATACATCAACTACTTGGTATAACAATTGTCTGTTCGATGATCGGTGCGTTAGGTGAATGTTATAATCCAAATAGTTTCTGGTTAATCGTTTCCAGAAGCTATTTTACGTTAATTCAGGCTACATGGCTTATCCAAGCAGCTTATGTCCTCTGGCCAAAAACAACGAACCCCTTGTTTCTCTGGGATCCGGAGTCACATCGATCAGTATCATTGCTAACTATGTCCTTTGCTTATCATTTATCAGGAGATGCATTTATACTGATTATGATATATCTTTTTGTTTATAAGTTCTTCTCGGCAAATGTAAGAATCAATAATGATGATCAAGGCGACAATGAAGAGTTGGCAGCAGGCTACAAATTGATATTGAATCTGAATGAAGAAGACAGTTGTATTCAATGAATCGTTTTTTTTTTATTCAAGAAACTATGAAATCTAATGCGTTAGATATGTGTATTCTAGTGATATTGTGTTGTAAGCAAATGTATTTCACGTAAAAATTGTTGTTCTAGTTAATTCAAAGATTTTGCTCATTACAATAATCCTTGTTGAAAAAAGTGAGTTCGACGAGTGTTAGTTGATTAATAGTCTTTTTTCACAAGTACCAATGATGAGTTGCTGATTAACGGGTTGTAATTTTCATCCTCTCTGTCTCTACATCCCATTCGACAAGTCATACTTGTTGGAATATAATTCAAAACATGCTGCCTACTGGAAATTAATACTTAATTAACGGTGACTTAAAGTCGTAATGGCGTCTATCAGTGTCATGTGATTGATGACGCATCGATATTGCGTAGTATTTTTTATCTTTTCCAATGGTAAATTTGAGATTCACCGATGGAGAGGTTATAATGAGACGCATCTGATAGTGTTTCATAATGGCTTGACGACGACTTGTCGAGCAGTATATTTTAATTGTGGATTTGATGAAGAGTTCATTGAGTTGATCGATACCGAACATACTGTCTACTCTTCGAGGTAGTTGTAAAATATTTGTTGTGCAACAAAATTGTGGAAAATGCGATATTCATAACATACGATTTTTCAAAGGACATGAGATAAGTCTCGCATTATATATAACCTATGGATCGCGTGACATAGTGGAAATCTTAGGTGTTTTCATACGATCTGGATCTTTATTTATAAGACAGCAGAGAAAGTACTTTTTCTCCTATATAAATGCATACGATGTCGAACTTATTCATTATACATCATCATCATAGAACTCGAGATTAAATTAATGGAGTATTCTTGTCGTAGCTTCTATAAATATTTCTATTCATAATCTACAAAATAAGAGATCAGACTAATGATTAAAAAAGCGTTTCCTTTGATAAAACAATGAAACAAATTTTACAAATACACAAGCTCACAATAAAACAGCACATACGTCAAAGTTTTTTTTCGATTTATATCGTCATTTTACTTAGTATTTGATTTCAATTTTAGATATGAAAACGCTGTCAGACACTTACAAAATCAATACGAGAAATGTTGTATAATGCATAAATGAAACGAAAATCTTTCATGTAACGCGTCTGTTACTCAAGAGTAGCTCTACAAACTAAAGAAAAATAACAGGTACATATTCCTTTCTCTATGTTGACTCATAATTACTGCAATTCGGATTTAATCACCCGTATATTCATCGTTCATTGATCCTTTTGCTCTGAAGAAGACAACGTTCCAAATGAGAGTCTTTGTTATAGTTACAATGATTTTGCGCATTACACGAATACTAATTGAAAATGATTCTCATCTTTGTTTATCTCTTTACAACAATCCTTGTTGTAAAAAGTGAGTTCAACTTCTTTAAACTGATTAATAATCTCTGTTCGCAGGTATCGATGATGAATTGCTGCTTAATGGATCGCAATTTCCACCTTCTCTCTACATTCCATTAGACAAGTCGTATTTGTTAGAGTGCAATTCGAAATATGCTGTTCATTGGAAAGTATACTTGATCAATGGTAAAATCGAAATAATTAATGATAAACTAATACGTCTGAATGAACTCGATAAGAATCGTGATGGTTTCTATCAGTGTTATGTGACCGATGATGCATCGATGTTTCGTAATATTTTTATCTTTTCTAATGGTAATTCTGAGATTCATCGATGGATGATTGAATGTTCTGAATCTCTTAATGATAGGTGCACAGTCGATTGCCCGTAATTGGACGCAACTGACAGTATTTCATGACGACTTGTTAACAGTTTGTCGACCAGTATATTTCAACTATGGATTTAATGAAGAGCTCATTGAATTGATTGATACTGAACAAACCATTCGATATAATCGAAGTGCTATATTAGTAAAACATATTCGTAGTACGACGCATTTATTCTGTAAATTGTATCTTGATACAACATGCGTCGGAGTACGAGTACAGATATTAATTAAGAAAAGTAGTTTAGCAACATGTCATAAATGGCAATTTCTGCAAAGATTCATTGTAGATTTCAACCATTCAGTATTGTTAGATAACGATCTGAAAAAGAATGAGTATCTGGATATGGAGGGTGATGAACGCGATGTCTATCAAATTGCTTTCCAAGGTAATTGGAAAGTATCGATCTTTTGTCTAGTTAGAACAATCTGAGCTTCTAGGTGATTCGGTTTATTTTCATTGTCCAACGAATGTAACATCATCGGTTCAATGGTCTTATCTTTCATACAATTATTATCTAATGAAAACTCTTCCAACAATTTATGAGAAAGACATGAAAATCAGATCGGTTGATATTAGCGATTCGGGAATGTATATCTGTCGAACAGAAAAGATGATTTACAAGAGAATTATTTTGACCATTATTCGTACGTTTACATGTGATTTCTAGAGAGAGAAAAATGTTATTGTCGTTTAGATCCTCCAAAATCACCTGATGGAATCTATGATCATATTCTCACTGTAGATTTCAACTCCAAATATTTAGTCTGTTGCCATTTAGACGGTGTACCTTATCCAACCTACGCATGGTCAATGAATATTCCATTGGAAAGCACAGCGTTCATTTGGTGTTCGAAGCGATGCTGTTGGTTACATGTCATATATGACAATTATAATAATGTTACATGTACAGCAAGAAACCAACTGGGAATAGCAAAATATACTCTTAATTTGGTTGTTCAAAATAGTGAGTAACGAACTTAATGTTTTATGTCTGATTTGTTCGCTGGAATAGATGCTGATCTGAAAAGCACGATTGTTTATGATAGACTACGAATTTATGATTATTTGTATACAATTCATCATCTGACTGTGATTCGCAAAACAGAAGAGAATTCTAATAGTGGAGCAATTGTGACCATTGCAAATATGGAGTAAGTTTTAGAAGGTTAAATTGTTCGAACCTAAAATCAAATATTTGATAGAACGACTTCAGTGGATTCGAAAGTAAATGTTGGCACGATGAAGTTGTGAACATATTATTAATTTTACAGAACAACAAATGAAACGATTGTGAATGTCAGCGTGATTATCAAATGAAAAAGAAATCGTATCGGGTTTCTTCTTTATTGACATTACAATTTATTAATGAGAACATATATACTTATAGACATGAACGAGTGAAATATGAGAAAAGAAATGAACTGTCTTCGCTTCAATCCCAAACAGTTTTGTGTTGTACTTGCTCTGAATTGAGTGACGATGCTCTGGTAAATTCAGTGTTAATTATGTTCTTGCTAAATACATAAGAAAGTGCCAGAGAATTCTGTTTTATGAATCGTGCGTGGGTTGTTGCGACGCGATGTTTACTGTTCGATACGATTTGTTCGGATGTTGAACGTGCCATAGGTAAAGAAGATGTCGAGAGAAAATCAAACGAGATTTGACCGCTCTCCGTTGTATTTGGTGCGTCACTTGCTGGATAATCTAGCGATGACTGCGAGAGATCATTGATGCGGGCTGAAATGAGATGTTCGCGATTGTTTGCTTGAAATGGATTCGATATGTGAGAACTTCGAGGAGTGATTACAGGTGGTAGTTTAGGTAAACAAGGTTCTTTATTGGGATGAGAATATGAACTTTTATCAATTATTGATTCGTTTGATTGATGTAATTTGGTCTTTCGAGGAGAAATTATTGGAGGTAGATTGTGTTGAATAGTTTCTTGCTGTACAGGCTCTGTTCGTTCGCTGGGTTCATTAGAAGTAGCTGATGGAACTATTTGATCAAGCGAAGATGTTTGTTTTTTCATTGTGTTCAATGTTTGGACTGGTTTTTCTCTTTCAAGAACTGCTTCCATTGAGTGACTTTTAATGGCTTGTTCTAGTGCAGGCGTAGGGCGAACTTTTTTCTCAATTATTTCAGGATTTCGTTTCTTATTCACATCATCCGTCTGCAATGTCTCCTGCCTTTTTACCATTGCTGATGATCTTAATGTTACTGAGTGATTTGTTTGCTTGCTTGGCGTTCGTTCAGGTGACCGTGATATTGTTGAGTTATTCTTTATTATAGCAATATCTAAACTTTCAGAACTTTTGCCTAAACCATTTTCAATGCGTATTTGGCGTCGTCGATTTAATCGATCTGCTAAATTAGCGTTCTGACTGCTGTTTGTATGCATTCACGTATCTGAAAGTAAAACCAACTCTCTTTGTTGTTATTGCCTTTTGAAAAGAATGTAAAGAAGAAGAACTTATTGGTAAACTTGAAACTAAACGAACTGACATAATAATAAAAAGATTACATAAATAAAGAGCTGATGCGTGAATCCGTTCAATAATGTGAATACTGATGAAGCTTAGAATATAAAACGAATGAACATCATTGTGAATGAGTGAGCACATAAAAGTTACTTTCTTTTTCTCCACTTCAACATAGAAGTACAAAACCTTTCATTCCTCTCCTTTTGTCTTTCAATGATAATTGAACTCGAAAATGATTCGAGGGTGACAGGATCTTTTGTAATATCAGGAAAACTTGAGATAAAAGCTCATAAATGTTTTTCAAAATTGAAAAACTGAAAAGTATCGAGAAAAGAGCGAACGTAAGTTAAACATATTTCACGTGTCATTGACAATGCATCCCAAGAAGAAGTACATCATTATTAAAGAGAATATAAAAAAAGAAACTGAATCTCTCGTACTTTACTGACATTTCTTACGAAAAACTTCAATGTTCGTTCAGTCGAACTAATCTTATATTCGAATTATATTTAACAGCAATGCAGACTAATGAAATCAATGAAAATACAAAAGCACTTGTTCATTCAAGGTAACATCAATTCCATCAGTGAATCAATCAATATAACATGTCCTTGAATTGACGAATGATCACATATATACATATGCATACCTTCATCAGCTAAGCATGCAAGAAGAATGCAAGTCTATTAAACACGCACTATACTGTTTATTCTATGATAAACGTTAGAATTTCTCTTTCGATTCTTTCTTTTTTTTTCTTGTCATGATTATATAATTCCTAAGTCGTGCATATGTAAATATGACTTTCATCTCGATCAACATCATTTTTTCTTCTTCTCTTCTTCTTATTCAGATATTGACATTAATCGATGTCTCATTATTTCACATGTCATTAGTATCTGTATTCATCCCCTTGATTATTTTCTCCATGTCAATTATTTGCCTTTCAAATCATCGTCGACAACATTTACAAATCTACTGGAATTCTTCAAATCGATTCTTCCATTCTTCAGGATACTTGCCTGTATACCTCGGCGATCTCCTTGATTTTGTTTGTCCTTATTATGAGAATGAAAATTTCGATCAGCCTATTGAATACAATACACTTTATCTCGTGAATGAAAACGATTACTATCATTGTAATACTACCAATCATCATCCATTAATCAAATGTAATAAACCATTCGATACCCAACGATTGATTTACACATTATCTGTATCGAATTATTTACCCTATCCGAATCTTCCGGAATTCGAAGATGAACATTATTATTATTTTATCTCGACATCATCGGGAGAACTCGACGGTCTCGATCAACGTTCGAATGGACTGTGTTATACGAAAAATATGAAATTAACTTTGCACGTGCAAAAGTATGTCCGACATGGATATGATCAACGAAGAAAGGCATCGAAATTGATCATTGCTAAACGAACGAATTTCACGCATCTCGACTCGACAAAACGTCCGTTTTCTCATGCTAGTCGAAATTCTCCTTTCGTTTATCTCTTCTTTCTATTTTGTTTATTGACGAAATCGAAAATTTAATTAACCGCCTGCTTTTTCTATTCATGTACGTTTCGTAATTTTCACTTGAAGAGCTAGGTAATCTGATCGGTTGAAATATTTTTCTGTAGACAACTGTTGAAAAGAACGGCAAAAGAAGAAACAAATGTCTGTTGAGATTTGATCTTTGTTTTGATTCATCACTTCATTCATAAACATTCTCATCATGAATCTTCCATCATTGATTCTCGTCATCAGTTTATTATTTCCTTTAATTACTTCAAATTCCATATTCTATCATACAGAAACGCGTTCAACACGTTTGATTAACCGAACATTACTAGGTCCAACAACTGAATGTAGCATCCGTCTCGGTGGCAAACAATTTACATTGAAGTTTTATCGAATGATTACCTGTCGTTATGTCGATAATCTTGCAACAATTTATCCATATTTACTCAAATATTCCAATGACATCACTGCTCTGGAAATAACTGATTCATATATAAAAAATTTCAATTTAAAATTGCATTTAAAAGTCTTTCGTAAACTGGAATTTTTAATTTTCCATCGTACAACACTCCAGACGAAAACATTGTGTCCGTTGAATAGTTTAGCTAATCATCTACTGTATCTTCATTTAACACATTTTTCTCCAAGTTTGGACACGTTTTTCAACAGTTCATCTTGCACGATTATGAAGCGTCTTCACGTTCTCATCCTTGATCATACTGATCTAGGCAACGAAAATATACTTCACAGTAAATTTCCTAATCTACATATCTTACGTTTGAATTACTCGTCATTTCATCAGCCATTGAATTATTCTTACATGCGTTCATTTTCTTATCTACAAGACTTTTTCTTAAAAGTCAATGATGATTGTCATCGGTGTGAATACGAATGGTTAAAATATGCAACACGTGATGACAAATACATTCTTTTTCATGTTAGTTCCAATTCTGGTTGTATGGATTGGAACCGAGGAGGAAAATTCATTCCTTGGCAACACGCTCCACTCTGTGGTTCATGCTCATTACCATTAGTTATTGATCGAATGCGAACGAAGCAAATATGTCAAATGGAGGATGGCATTACCGAACATTATTGTAAAGCATTCTACGGACGAGAAAGTATTTTTCAACCTTGGACAAATCGATTTCCAAGCTCGACAAATCAATTCATAGAATATCCATCGACGAAACGAACGAATCAACAATTTATGAAGTCCAAATATACAACAATTAGTACTCGTTTAAAGAGAGAACTTAATAGTACAGTAAGTGAAATATTTCCTAATAAAACAATTCAATTTTGAACTATTTTTCATTTAGATTCCCATGACGCCTCGACCTATGCTGACGAGCAATGTTTCCATTCCCGTTTCACCCCCACCAGTGACAAATCGAACAACGTTTCAAACTTCTACAATGTCCCATTGGCAGTCTCGACATGTCGTTACTCGAGCTCCAATTGATCTATTCAATCGATCCCATTGCAATCCAATTCAAAATAATACTCATCGTCCAAAAATTCGCTCTAATTTGCCATCGCTAATCGAGCAACTATACAATATTTCCCAACAATATTCATTCAACTGTTCGAATCTTCAATGTCATATCCTTCAAGCTGATTACCTCGGTCCTCTGTGTTTAAAAACAGGTTTTACTTATGCAAATATATGCGAAATCTTATTCGAATTATGCACTAAACAACTCGATATAGAAGATGTCGAAATCGACTATTTTGGTTCATGTGTACACAACTGTTCGTTAGTATCACGTTGTTTTTCGGATAATGAAATTTGTGTTATGACTCCCAAACCACACTGCATACCACGTCAACGAAATTGTACCGGTTTTTCACCTGTTTGTGATACTTATGGTAAAACATTTGTTAATCAATGTCATCTATCGAATTCGATAGTATTGAATCAACCACGACAGTTGGCGTATCGTGGACCTTGCCGATTGAATCGTCGCTGTCAAAGGAGACTGTGTCAAGCGAATCAAACGTGCGTTCAAACACAAGATAAATATCATTATCCTGTTTGTATTAATTGTCAACTTGATGCAACAATGAAGACGTGTCCATTTGAGTTGTTCTGTGGTGATAATAAACGACAATATATCAATCGATGCCAATTACATTACGAACGTTGTCAAACGAGAACATTTATTCAAATTGAATACTTTGGATTATGCCATACAAACACAAATCATGATGACAATGATGATGTTACTCATTAATCGAAAGAAAACCTAGACGATTTTACTTTTTATGTTAACACCTCTTTTTTACAATTGATGACACTGTTGACAGCTAGTTGTATGATTAGTTAATACATATGAATGATAGTCTGTATTTAAATATAATTGAAAAAAAACGACTTATTATTTTTTTTCATTCTTCTTCTCGTTCTATGGTAGAACTACTTATACTATTCAAATAGTCAGTGAATAGAAGTAATCAAAGAATCGATTACGGACTGATGTATAAAATTGATTTATTCAGGTAGGACAAATAATAATCAACTACAACTTAGTAAAAACTCCTATTTAGAAATAATGATTAACTTCATTTTGTCGATCTTTTTGTATCAAATCCGAAATCTAAAATAGTTTAAATAAGTAAGACAAGCCTAATTCATCTCGCACAGAATTTGCTGTCTATCGGGCCGACCGTGACATTGAAAATGATTGTTAGTAATTGTCAGAAATAAGGCTTCCTCCGAAAACTGATATCTTTCTGTATCAGAGGCCGATTTTATGTTTATCGAACTCAAGGCGACGATGAAAAAAATTCTGTGCTCGATTTGTTGAGAGTGTGGACGAGAAAATCTGGCAGCTGAATCAATAAATACTCGATTTGCTACGAATATTCAAAAGTATTACCCATCTGTGAATATCAGAGTATACCATACGAGTTCGTTTTTTTCTCTTTCGATCGAATTCGTGATATTTAGTTGGGACTTTTTTTAAATATTTACAATATTTGACGAGCTTACTCGAGGTAGATCAGCCTGTTCGATAGTATTCAGTTGTGAATTACGCGCATTTATTCTTGTTGCTTACTATGATTTAGTAGAACAGGGCGAGAGTGATCGAAATAAGTATGATTATTGTGATTTTTATTCATGTGCTTTGAGTACACATTTAATTAATGTTTCTCCATGATGTAAAATTTACTATGAGAATATATGTTTACTGGCATTTTGTATCAATGTTCGATTTATTATGGCAAATTGCCCTTTAGTTATTATGATATCGTCATAGTTTACACATAGGAGCAAAATGATAATGAATAAGTATAGTCTCGAAGTTAGGTTTTTCACGATAATTATAAGGAGAAATGAATTGAAGCGTAGCGATCATTGGTCAGAGGCAATCTGTCAATTGTCATCAGTTAATTTTACAATAGAGTTGTTCGGTTTATAATGATTATGTACATTACGCATTGAAATTGATGAGTTATACATTTATTTACGCAGAGAGAAAAAAATAGGCATGTGCACCATCGGAACAAAAATAGATCGAGAGAAATTAATATGCATTCGCGTTAAGTATAGTAGAGTTTTAATATATGCAGTGAGCATAAACATAGGCATAGAACTTGTTTGATGAGCACGATAATTTAAGAGAACTGTTTTTTTGGTCGTCTATACTGTGCTGATCAATTTTTTTCTGATTAATTATGCTCGTTTTCTTCGTGTATAGCCAGTCGAAAGTTCTGGTGTTATTCCCATCCATCATATATAGACATGACATCTGCCAACACGAGTCTTTTTTTTCTATGGACGTAAATTACATATCCTCAACGGATCAAAACTTCAGTCGGACGCATTCAGAAGCGCACGTTTTCACCGTATCAACGTACGCTCTTTGAAGAAAAACGTTTCTCACGGTCGTTAAAATGAGCGACATTTAACACGCTTTCTCGTGCTTATTTGTCTGAGCAATATATTTGAGCAGTTTATCTTTGATACACAGGATGTATTTATGTACTCAGTATAGATTTTAACGCGCACGTCTTTTTCTCTTCGTTAGTTTTCCTCGTGTGAGCATATTTTCCTTTCTTGACTCGCGTTCGTAGCTTTATAATAAAAATCCATATGACTAGATTTACATCTAGTCGTTTGAAATTGACAACACAACGTTATCAAATGGAATTGATTAGCTACTTACATGGCATTTCCATAAAGTTTTATTGGATTATGACGTACAAGTTTGCAGAATTATCGTATATGCCAGTTATGAGTATTGAAAAAGATTTGTTCGCCAGGTATTATAAAATTTTTATTCAGTATATTATACAAAGGAAAAATTCGAGTAAAAGATAATGGAATATCTATTCCTATCGATCGGCGCTTTCGGATCCATTTTCATGTCGTGATAATTGACTTTTCTTTACAGCTCGTCTATTAAAAAAAAAAGTTGAAAGATACTGGATCTGAGAAGAAGTCAAAAGTCTGTAAGTTTTCTTTTATGTAGGAGATTTTTTCACGAGATTGGATAGAAAATGAGGTCTTTTCTTCTTAGCTATTCTAAGATAAAAATAGCCTTGAGGAACAAATGAAAAAAAAACCAGCCTCTAAGATCAGAAGACTTTGCTATTAGGAGCAAAAGTTTAAAAATAGGAGATTTCTGAGCGCATCAGAAGATTTAGTAGCCCTATATTTTAGCGTGAGATTCTTTTACTGTTCTTTCTCTCACTTTGTGACAGCCGGCTGAAGAGTTACATTCTTCATAGGAAGAAATAAGAGATCTTTTTTTAAATTCACACAAAGTCGACCACTTTCATAGCAACATATAAGTTTCATTAGAAATTTAATACATTTAAGTCTGATTTCACTACCATCGTACAGTACATGTAATGTTTGATCTAGAAACAAAGCAAAAGATCGTGGCAATTACTCAATGTAACAGACATTTGTATATACGCACTTTATCTGTTCTATAAGGTCGAATATCCTATCATTGGCACATGCGTGTTTTTTGCTTGTAGAACGCTTTGTTTCTCTGTGACCTTATTGTTCGTTCGACATTAGTGAAGACGTAATGAAGCGAACAGAAGGCAAGAAGTAACAGACGACAATTGTCAAGATACTTACTTGGAACAGAAAGATTCTGTATCGACAAATTCACATACAATTTAATGTATCGCACTTATCATAAATTGTACATTCGTTTTCGATGGTGTCGACAATCAGTTCGTTTATTACGAATATCTATTCTATGGCTAATCTGTACATTGATTTGTATTATCCTTGCACCTAGTCTATTTTCGTCGCAATACAATCGAATATCTATTAATGATAATGTCCAATGGGATGGCATCAGTGAAATTCTACATCTCAAAGATCAGGTAAGGCGCGACAATGATTCAATGTAAAATCTCGATTACGTTGTTCTCTCTTTAGATTCTTCGAAATGATGCAGAGTTCAGTACGATCAAAGTTGTGCAGCATAGGAGTTCTGAGAGCGCAACGACTTCTACCATTTTGATTGTTCTATATACGACAATATTTCGTGATAAAAAATTTTGCGCGTTTTCGATCGACCAAATCTTTGGCAAATCTTGTCCGTCAAAAAATCGTTGCCGGTGGTCATGTGATGATACGAAATATCGCGAAGCTGATGCGTTGATTTTCCATGCATATGATATTCCATTATCCCGAACATCCATGCCAACTCGTTCGGAAACTAAACCAAATTCCGTTTGGATTCTCTGGTCAGACGAACCGCCAACAATTATCGATTATTCGCGCTTAAAATCGTATCAATTCAATTGGACAATTAGCTATAAATTAAATAGTGAAATATCCATTGGTTCATACGGTTTATTTACTAAACGAAATCAACCGCTATCAGATCACGAATATCATCGATGGATTCAAGATGGATATTCCAGTCGGTCGAAAGGTGCTCTCTGGTTCGTATCGAACTGCTACGCCAAAAAGCGTCTAGAATTATTTTATCATCTAAAACAAGTCTCAAACATCATCATCGAAGGCTATGGTCGATGTGTTGATTACTATCCTTTACATCTATGTACTTCATACACACAATGTGAATACAATTACATGTCAGACTTCAAATTTTACTTAAGTTTCGAATCGAATACATGTCGTGACTATATCACAGAGAAGTTTTACAAAGCATTTTATTATGGTTTAATACCGATTGTTTATGGACCAGAGAAAACGGATTATGCTCGTCTCGCACCAAAGAATTCTTTTCTTTATATCGATGATTTCGATAAGGATATGACGAAACTCGCGCATCATATAGAAAGCATTCATTCAAATTTAACTTTATTTTCCATGTATCATGAATGGCGAAAACAGTACGAGATTATCATCGATGGCAAAGCATTAGAACGTATACGAATGTGCGAGTTATGTCAAAGACTAAGTAATCTACGGATAGGTGATATGACTTACTATAGAGATATCGAGAAATTCTATAAAGAAGGATGTTGATGTTTGTTTTGATTATATCACTCCATAAGACAGCTATTTATCACACCGATGAAACTATTTTAATAATGTGATCGCAATACTTTTGTTGACTATGCTTGTCAAATAAATTCGACTCTTTTTTTTAAATTTATTTCTATACAAGTTTTAGAAAATCTAACTAATAAATCAATTTAACTGTTCGTTGATGATACAAGATCAGTTTCAATCATATCATTCAGGCGATGTTCATCAAGTGTAATTAAGCCATCGTAAGTAGATTTCGTCGCATTCGGTGCAGTTTCTAAGAGTCGAGAATTGTCTTTGTCGGTATCACTCGAAGTTTGGTATGTTTGACGAAAGAATATTCTTCGTGCAGATGATGACGACGACGAAACATGATATTGATCATTTTGTGAAGGAATTGAATAACGACCGACGCCGACAGTTTCGGGCCAATACAGTTGTTTCATTTGAACTTTGTTGAGTAAACATAAACTAACTGCGCGAGCAACGTGCTTTGACTTTGTTAAACTAGAATTGAGATCGCAAATCAAGACTGTTCAGAAGATATCAACAAATCTTACGGATAGTTTTGGATCGATTCTATACTACTATGCTCATGATCATCATCCTCTTCTGTGTCTTCATCTTCTCTATCCGATATGATCAAACGATCGAGTTCGACTGTTTCCGAATCTAAATATTGCAAATTGTAACATATTTCCTCCTTAATCATTGTTGAATTTCTTACCGGAGAGTGTGTCCTTTCTTATCTGTGGATTATTTAGTTCTTCGCATAAACGAGCGATTGTTTGTTCTTGCTAAAAACAAAACAAAAACTCATTTTATTATGTGAATTCTGTCGAATACCATGGCCAAAACTAATTTTAAATCGTGGTTATCTGCCAAAGCGGCGTTCAATTGTTGTTTCGTAACGACAGCTGAACGCTTGGCTCTGTCATGAAAACGACTTGTTACTCTTGGTTGTCTTTTTCTTGAATGTGGATCACGATAGACTTCGACAATCTAAATTCAGTCCATACATACGTCTATTCCCTGGATTTTATCTGAGTAGTTCTTACTTTAGGAACAAATACTAAACAAACTGTAGCCGTGGTACATGTGCCAATAAAAAACGCTCGAAGAAAATATGAAAATTGAATTTGTTCAGAAGGAATAAAAGCAACCAGTGATCCAAGTGTGCAACAGATGAATACAATGTAAACACTTAAACCAATGTAACGTGAGTCATTTAATCCCGAGATGGTCACATGTCGAGTTTTCCATGCAAGAAATGATCCATAAAACTAATATCAATTTGATCATGCATGAATAGAATGTGAACAAAGAACTTTTCTTACCATTAACAAACCTTTGTAGATGATCAAAATAACAAACCATAAACTCATGTTTTTGCTTCGACATGCTTCGCGATAGGGAATAATATCGATATCAGGATTACTCTTTGAAGAACAAAGAAGAACAAAGTGATTCGAATGAACTCAGTAGAATCTCAAACTTTTGAACGAATTGGTAAATTATAAATCAATTGTTGATGAATTGGATCAAATACTTGCCAAGAAATTAGAAATGTCAAGTCGGTTAAGAGAAGAATACCAACCAATGCAAGTAATCGCGAATCATGAATACCCTAAAACGTTGATCGTTTTCGTTTTGTCTCTCAATTCTTGTTTTACCTTTTTCGTTATATTAATATTCGTAAATATTGAATGTACTCGCCAAGTCTTACTAAACATTGAACCAAAAGCTAAGGTAAAACTAATGCATAGTATCCAAACACGAATCTAAACCGCCGAAAGTTTCATTTTACTCTCTACGACAATCTTTCGAGTTTAATTTACCGGACAAACGATATTCATAATCATTTTCGTGTATGATTTCCTTGCAAACAAAGATGAATTGATACCCATTAGGATAACACTTGCATAAGCTAACATACAGCCACATAGAATTAAGTTATTCAACAATGGACTTGACATTCGGATATATCTGAATAGAGAGAAAAAAAACATACTAAAAAACGTTTTCCTTTTCGATTTTCTACCGATGTGATCGAAATTGAATATTAAAAGTCAGAAAAGCACATGAGATGAACAATCCAATGCCACTGCAGATTGATATAGATATAAATACTGATAAATACACATGTTGAAATTCGATTGTTTGATTGGTTCGATCCCGCGGTGGACCATTACCTATAGAAATCGATAAAGCAACTTTCGAGCAATTTAAAATAACAAACCATGCCACAGAATTGGATTGAGTTTATATAAAGTCGGTGGATCATCTTTCGAATCTGAATTTTTAGCAAGAAAAACTTTCACAACTGTTATATTACAATCGTTTTCTTCTTCATAACATGGAATTGAACATGTACCATCGCTCATCTGTCGACATGCTGAAAATCCATCACAAAAATCTTCGTATCATTCAATCTACTCTCACTTACCAACGAATTGTTCGACAAGTATCTCACCAATTCGTTCACCATTTGCATATCTCACTCTTCCCTAGAATTCAATCACAAACAACTCGTTTTCTTCTCACAATTCTACATACAGTAGCACCAATGAAATCGATATCTTGAAAATGTTCTCGAAAGAGTTCAGTACTCGATAGATTATTGACTGATTGAGAATAATACAAATATCCCAGACTCCATATGGTATCATAAGCGTAACCATCGAAATATCCTTGCTCGATATTCGAAAAGTTTTTTAAATATTCCAAAACATCATTCGATCGATTCTAAAAAACACAACATTCACTCACACACATTGATTTTCCAACGTAAAACTTCTTCATACTTGAGCATCATCGACTGATAAACGTGGTACACGCGTTTGCAAAGTTCCATTTATTGCACGAATCAGTTCTTGTTGAGAACAATCACTTGATTCGTACCACCATGCCGATGACGATGGATATCCAAGTATAATCCATTGATAACGAGATCCATAGACATGTTCCCGAGCTGCCTGTTGATCATTTTTCATCGTTCAGATAGAATCTTCATGAAAATTCGTTAACTTACATGACAAAACATATTAATAGCAATGGTTTGATTGAAATTAGCAATGATTATTCGAACATCACGTTCCTTTGCACAAAGAAATCAATACGAATAGCATTTTGTTATAAACTTGACATAATTACTTTGAAATCTCTCAACAATGACTGAATATATCTTGCATTATCATCGTGCCATTCTGGCCCATGCCGATAAGCCAAACCACGTGTTAAATTCACTTCAAATTGTCGTACATCCATCACAGTTAAGTTCGAAAAATCATTGGCTACCTGGAAGATATTTAACAGTGTTCATTCAATCTCGACTAATCTGTTTGAATTAAACGGAATTCTACTCTGAACGTCACTAGAAGACATGTTCCTACCTAGTAGAATGAGAAATTAATGGAATTTCCTTTTTCGTTTTTGATTACGTACGCAAAGGCACAAATTTTAGCACGACACGACTACACAGCAAATCCTCAGTCGAATCCGGACTGTCGTGGAAATTGCACTTTGATCTGAGAGAATGCTAAGAAGAATATGCTTATCGATCAGATGCATAATCAATTTCGAAGTGTATACACAGAGGAATATGCGAAAGCACTAATAAGTCAAATCACAAACTGAAAAGCATCGATGAACTATGTTAATCAAACTAATCTTTCTCTTATTCTTTTTAAGTGTGCCAGAGTGTCTCTGTGTTCTTGAACACCGACATCTAATGAAACGAGTTTCTTATACGAACCAGAGTATATCTTGACCCGTGCTGATAAATTAACCCAAATCGTGTCCAATTAAAATATTGTAAAAGTTCCTTACGAACTAAATTATGTGCATGATCTGATGGTACAACATGATAAAAATACGGATAACGATCTTTAGCTAACAACGAAAGATCATTATCAGTGAACGAAATCTAAACAAAACCATAGATATGCATTCGATGAGAAATATTTGAGAATTTTTACAATAGGCAAATGAAAATAAGTTGCTGTTTCGGAAATGTAACTGAGAACATGTTGACAAGTATCAGTAAACAAGACATTCAATGATGAAGACTGGTGAAGCATGTCAAAAAATGTTTTTATGCCAGTCCCCACATCACACTAAGAGAAGAGAAGAGAAGAGATGTCTTATTCGACGATGAGTAATTAAAATTCTTTACTGTAATCATGCTCTCTGTTCCATTCAGATACAACTCGCGGTTGATTTGAGATAACAATTGCGAATTGACTTGTTCAAGGGCGAAATGTACCGATGGATAATGCGAATGTGTAAATAAACTTCGCAGAACGATACGTTGTCGATTGACATTTCCTGGAAAGGAACATTCATCAACATGTACATAAGACAGGAAAATAACCAGAAGAAATAATCGAAATGATTTGGTTCCCATTCATTTCAATTCAACTCATCTATCTACACGAGAAAAGTAAATCAATATATGGATCGAAATATTTTGCTTACTCATACACGAGAGAGAGAGAGAGAGAGAGATCAAACAGAATGAATATAGAATGATATTTATAGAACATCGGATGGTTCTCTTCTTGCATTCATCTTTTCTTACATCAACTTGTTTTCATTCGCCCCAACATTATCTAATCGGCAGATTTGTTCTACATTTTGCCAATCTTTCGGTATTTTCCTATTCACTGAAAAACATTTCGCTTTGTCCTTTTCCCTACCATACAATCAATCAATTATGAACCTGAACAATACGAATGAAAGCACTTGAATCAAAGCGGGATGATACCATAAGTGCATCGAATCAGAAGTATTTGAATACTTCTCGCTGATGAAAACAAATGATAAAAATAGAATACGAACTATTTTAGTGATTGTTGATGGCATTATCGTCGATCTCCGTACACTTAGATTTTGCGCTTTCTTTCAAGAATCGCTGTCGGTAGTCGGAAGAAATGAGAATAGAATATAAAATATTTTAATAAAGAAAAATGTCTAGGAGTTGATGAGTCGAAGAAAACGCCATGGGTTGGCAGAAGACAATGCATTATTCGCGTTGACTAATCGCATCTTTATGAAGTGAGCTTCTCGTCATTACTCTTCAGCTAGGCAAATTTGTAGAAACATGAGTTGACAGTCGGTTTCCTGTCGGAGTTAATAAATATATATAGCTACTTCCATTGTCTTACTCGTTTTATTTGACGTTGTAACATGTTTAAAAGCTAAAAATAAGGTTTTAAACCATAGGTTAATTGACATCTTTTTTTTTTCTTCTCAACTAATCCTCATAAAAAAGACCAAAGATTTCTCATTAAGGGTATAGAAGAGAAGGAAAACTGATTGATTACTTGTTCAAACATGTGGCATAAATCGATGAGATTATATGACGGATAAACCACCAAAGATAGATGGTAAATTCAACTAACTCAATACAACTCTAGATTAGATCTTTGTCGTCTCTCTTGACAGTCTCGGAATGTGTTTACGACGCAAGTGAATCCATTTGTGAAAGAAAGATAGAAACTGTGATTATTACTCGTGGACGGAGGGGAAAATCGTTTGATGAAATCTATAAAAGAATGACAAATAAACTATGCTAAGTGTCTCTCAGTTTTCTTTTTTGATAGAAAAAATGTTTTCCAAATGTAAATAATTCTAATCATAGACGCGAATAAAAACAACATTTGACGAACAATTTCTCGCGAGAGAGAACTCTCGAATATGAACATTTCTAATAGCACTACGAATAGCAACAGGGACATGAGTAGAGAACAAATTCAATTAGCAAATTTGGACGATGTTAATACGAAATAGAACTGGGTTTATCGATAATATAATCAAAATACACAATGAAATGTTATGATTAGATAGTTAATCAAGCCGATAGTTGCACGAAAAATGTTGATGTCCTCGTTAGGAAGATTCCAAACTGATGAAAACACAGTAAGATGGAAGAAAAAAACAACAAGTTTCTGACGAGATATGTGCGATTTACTTGGCAACTAGACGTAATTAGTTTTTCTCTATGGAGATTTGTTTGAAAGTAGATTTAGTCTGGAATTGTCTCGAAAGATTTGCATTTTTTTTTGACTGAGATTTAAAATATCTGGAATGACGTTCTATTAATGTTCCTGCAATACTTGCACAGTTCATTCGATCCTTCTAATTATATCGACAAAACTAAAGACTGATAATTATTTTTAGAGGAAATCCGATAGGACTGGAAAATCTTCTTCTCTGCACGTTTAATTGTCAATATCATATGCAGTTCTCATCGATGTACTGGTCTCAAATGATCAGGCCGTGCTATTAGGAGATTAACACAAGTCGTATTATTGACGGAAATTTATTAAAAACCTTTTGAGAACATATATGCAAAGCGAGTGTGTGTGTGTGTGCACTTGTTTGAACAGATGTCGCTTATTTCAATTGATCAGAGTATGACAATGATGGTACGCGATGAGTCATTTGAAAGAGAAAAATTTTGTCTGTCGTCGTTTTTCTTTTCATTCATTGAGTTCGCTTGTTTGAAAGTCCATACATTATCATTTGGAAACGAAACTTCGCGAGAGTTATTCAAAATTTTCGTTGTTTTGTAGTTCCGCTTCATTGACCGAAGAACGAATCTTACAGATGGATGAAAGTACTCTTCGTTCAAGGCAAAAGAAATCAAGTGAAACTAGCGATCAAGATAAAGACCCAATGCTCATTAAAAAACGCAAACAAACGTCGGAAAATTATGAGTTTGGTGATGTTCAAAAGATTCCTAACAACATACGAGATATCATGGAAAAGAACTTTTCTCGTATATTCGCGTGGGAGTTATATTTTGGTGCGACTTTTGTTTGTATCTTTTAATTGAAATTTACGAATTTATTCTAGGATATATTTTTTGGACGATTTTCTTCGGTATTGGCCCAATGGTGATGTTCTTTCCCATGGTCAAATTGGCTATTGACGGTTATGAAATCTTGATTCTTTGCTTAGCAAGTCCGATCATACTTAGTTCTTCAATTATTAGAAATATTGCTGAGGTACCAATTTCGTAGGATCAGGTTTTCGTTTGTAAATCGTGTTTATAGAGCACTGTGGGCAAATTAATAACTCGGATCATTATCATCATTAGTTTACTATCGTTTCAATTTGAAAATCCTGTTCTACGATTGTTCATACTTTCAATAGGAACTGGCGCTGCTATGATTGATCTTTGTACGAGTCTCAGTGCACGATATCATTCATACCGGTAGATTTTGTGATGAAAAAGTAGGAAGAATGGAAAAGTTTATGTTGTATTTAGATCAATCATTGTTTGGACATTGACGATCAGTTTGTTCTACTTTCTCAGTCTTCGCGTTTGTTTTAAAAGTATAATGCCAGCTTGGTCAGGTGTTCTTGCCAACGTAGTACATGTCATAATTGGATTTCTTGTCATTGTTGATCAATTTATGCGGGGTAAACTTTCGATTTTCTACACCTAAAAACTTTTATGTCGCTTTCTAGACAATACCATGTGGCAACTACTTCCATCGATCTCGCTTACTGCAACTCCACACACATCTTCACTTGGTAGGATATGAAAGCTTTTTCTGTGGTTCGCTCGTACTGATGTTCATCGCAGGTTTCAATCCATTACGATCAGCACCACACGAAAGTGTTTTACAACCACATTGGTTATTACTTTCGATTGGATTTGGTAGTCTATTATTTAATCTGCATTGGGTATTTGGTGATCTATCAGTTGTGAGTCGATGGGCTTCGAATGGCTTTCCAGATCAAGCACCGGAACCGATCCCATACGGGTAAATTACGCGAATCTGGAGTAAAATTGTAACTGAAGAGATTTGTCATTTATAGACTTCTCGTTTGGATTGGTTTATTTGGTGGTGTATTAACCATCAATCGTCTCAGCATCGTTACAAATCGATGGTGGGCATCAATCGGATTTGTTGGTTATGGTTTATTATATTTCAATCGTGGAAATGTTGCATTTGCTGGTACAACGAAGCTTTCATACTCGAACTTTGATTTCATTCTTTACATAGGTGGTGTTGCACTAAGTTTATTCATTGGATCTGTCATTCCATTGATATTCGACAAAGTTGCTCGTGGCCTTTCGTCGCGTATCGTTGTCATCGGTGCTTTTGTCTACATTCTTCATGTTTTGTATGCTGTTTGGACAAGTGCTTATAATTTCGTTCCGTTTGGTGGAACATTATTACGAGAAACATCTCACGTTTTGGTATTCTTCAACTTTCTCGGCATTTATTTTGGCGTTTACACTGCTAGTAAGTTCATTTCTGCAATTTACTTTCAATTAGACGTGAACATTTTCTTCTCTCAGAGCCTAACTTAGGAACATATATACGTGGGTACATTTCGTCGATTAGTTTACCAAATCGTCGGATTTGGTCACGTAAGAGAATTTAAAATTGCTTGGTAACAATAAGCATAGTCATTGTTGGAAATTTAGTCTTTGGTATTGCCTTTATTATTGCGTGTGCTGGTACTTTTTCACGTTTTCTTAATTTACCATCGAAATCATTACGTCTATCAGAAGATGTTCGTTTCTTTCTTTTTCACATTATTGATCTATGATCTCATTCCTGTTCTTCTTAAAATAGCCAACTCATATCTCTGCTGCTATTTGGACAGTGCACTTCGGCTATGACAATGACGCACGACCAAGTCTGGATCGTGCTGCAGCTGTTCTTGCTGATACAAGTAGATAAGCGAGTTGTGATTTTTTATGTTTTTCGACAATGCGTTGATTTAGATGCGGATGTTATCGGTCTGTTGGAAACAGATTCAGCAAAACCATTCTTTGGAAATAATGATTTGACATCGTATCTTGGAGAAAAATTGCATATGTTTACGGACTTCGGTCCATCAACAAAAGATCATACTTGGGGGTAAGGACAATTCACATTCAAGTTCGAAATCTTCACATAGGCATTTAGTTGTATTATTCTTTCTAAATATCCAATTGTTCGATCGGTGCATTACTTATTACCATCACCCGAAGGTAAGAGTTTCTGCGGAGATCAAACTGGTCACGTATCTCCGATAAATTCAGGTGAACTTGCGCCGGCTATACTTGCAACAGTTCAAACAGCAAGCAAATTAGTCGATGTACTCGTCGTTCACATGGGCAATGATCGAGATGATTTAGATCGAAAACTACAAGCTGAAAAACTACGAGAGATTATGGCAAATAGGTGAAATTATTCTTCGTTAAATTATTCACATGTGCTAAGAATTCTGTTCTATTCATAGTACTAATCCATTGATTTTCCTCGGCTATGTCACATCGCAACCATTCAGTCGAGATTATCAGGTGTTAACTTCAGCTGCAAAGGACATCGATGCCACTGACCGCGATCGGTGGTGTGAATATATTCTATACAAAAACTTCATTCGGTAAATCTGAATTTCATCCAGGTTTATCAATAACAAAATAAAACAATTGTATTTTAGTGCGGGTTATGCACGAATCACACATGCTGGTCTGACTGACACAGAAATTCAGATGGCTAAATTCAAGTTCCCGACTAATGCAGATTTCAATGATCATCCAGTTTTAGTGACTGATCCATCCGCTGTCACTGACCAATCAGTTCTTTTCAATTCAAAGTAAGCAGTGCAGTCTAGAGACACGTATAATTAGTTTGTGTTTTCGAGTAGATTCGGCTCATTCTATCGAGGCCATGGACGCTTCAATACTCATCGCTTTCACATGGATACACCTGTATGTGTTTTTTTTCTTCTATTGTCATTATTGTACATAGTTTCACATTTTTAGAAATATTTTCTTCCCAACGGACCTAAAACCAAATAATCATTTGATCAAAACGACTGTGATGACATACTGAAGATATCTATTCTGGCTTTCTTCAATCAAAACTCTATTTCTCTATTTGTGAAAGATATACGTGCAACACACCTTTTTCTATACTTGCTGTTTCGTCTATATTTCGACTAAAAATATAATCTTTCTGAAGCAACAAACAGATTTTGGTTTTTTTTCCTGCAGTTTACAACATCTATGACATTGCCTAATCAATATTTGCTACTTGATACAATTAACAATCTAGTTTTTCATATTCGAATAAACTGATAACCTTCACACAAACGATATTTATTATTTGTTCATGATAAATAAGCCTTCGTTTAAGACGAACGAGGGAGTAATAACTTGCAAATAACTGGATCATTCATACATCTAATACAGAGAAGAAAGCAATGCTGATATTGTTTTTAGGAATCGAATTATCATACCCAGTCACAAATTCTTCTTTGCTTAATTTTTTGTCACCACTCATATCTAATTTAGCAATGATTTCTTTTGCACGTTTCTTCGGATCCCAATCGCCTTTTTGTTCTGTAATACCAGCACGATCGTACTAAAACGACATTAAACAGCTGAGCCAAATGAGGGAAGATCGCGGCAATAATCTTTACCATGGCGGATATCAAATTCGTCAGTTCTTTCTTGTCGATTTTTCCATCTTCCGAATCATCCCATCTAGATAAACAAGTATTTAATCGAATTAAACATCAATCACTTATATTTACAAATCAAACACAAATTCAAGTCTCTTTTCTAAACTTCCCAATTGATTGCGAATAGCAATCAACGCCAAAAGTTCGTTAAAATCAATCGTACCATCCTCATTTACATCAATTCGATCAAATAAATCTCTAAAGATTGTTCATCGAATGATGTTACTAACAAAAAGTTTTCATCTTACTCAACATTCCCTTGTTCTTGAGGATGCACCTTCGCATAATAATCGATGAATGATTTCTTGTCCAATTGACCAGATGGATACTCACGGAGAAAGTCCTGAAAATTAGATGTTCACACCGGACTGATCTACAAAACATTGACTCACTGCATGCCATCGTTGAATTTCTGTTTTACAAACAAAAAGTTCTTATTAACAACTCTCACACTAAAAAAAACCAACGTTACCTTCTTCGTTAAGTTTAGCATTTGCAGATAATAAATCACATTCTAAAGGAGGCGACCGATAATATATTTTAAAATGCGCTTTTTTTAGGGTCGTACCGCGTGGTGTTAACTCACAGCCAGTTCGATTTTTTCTTGGCATTGTTTCGATTGTACTTGTCGATATTCTCGTACGAAACAGAACCTGAAATAAATCGAAAATGACAGTGCTTTTTTGTATGAATTGAGGAACGAACAAGAGTAAAATAAAATAAAATCAACTAATCCAGCTGATATATATATATATAGGCTGTAGGTATTAATCATTCAAAGCTTCAGTATGTCTTCCGCGTCATCCAAACTTGTGTTTCAAACTGACAGGAAGAAAAATGTCTGCACTGCATTGTTAAGAACAATTTTTCTTTGCGAAGTTTGTTGGTATCTCCAAGACAATTTCCTACGATGACGTCATTGACAATCTCGTTTACTTTTCTCAATATAAATAATATATAAATTGATGTTCTCGTGAGTTTTTCAAAAAGCGGAACCTAGGCTCGGAAAAGTGTAAAGATTTTTTCCTGAAACACTCCGTATATTGTGTTCCTGATGAATCAGCATGTGCTAAAGAAAAGAGCAGAATGAAATATTCGTTCTTGAAAGTTTGATATATTTGTATACAAAAAGAAGAAGCATACACATGCAAGAGAAAAAGAGAAGCTTGAAAGAAATCCAATTCACGTCATTAGAACTAGCAAAATGTTTAATGCAACGAATAATCTAATGTTCACTGTTGATTGACGGAAAAAGAACAACAACAGAATAAATAGTCACTGATAAACATGCTGAACAAGGATAATATGTAGAAAGAGAAGGAGAAAGTGTTCATTTCGATTTTTTCTTCACGTAAAGATTGCTATTCGATGAGCGAAGTGCAGGAAGATTGGCTAAGGAGAAAGTTTCCTGAACTTCAACTTTGGCGAGAATTTTTTCCATACGTTCGAGGTAAATTTTCACAATTCGTTTCATTGAATTCAAACGTTCAGAGACAAGTTTGAAATCATTTCTCATGCGTAGATGATCACCAGAGAGAAGATGCAATGAACGTTCACTAACGTGTACCAAACGTTCATTGAGTAAGTTCAAATCATCTTGTATACGAAGGAAACGATGAAGTTTTGTACGATTTGTATTCGTGTGTAAATCTGTTTCGTCAACTGGTTCTAAAGATTTATTCAATGATTCGAGACGATCTAATTGACAGCTGATGTCTTTTATTTCTTGCTTGACGTCCTCAGCTTGAACGAGAGTTGTCTAGTAGAAGAGAAAAGAGCGGTTGTTTCGAGTTCAAGATAGGTTTTACTTTGATTTCTCGATGTTCGCGATTGGATTTGACGAATAGGAAATTGAAACTGTCCTGTATGGATTGAAGGCGGTGTTCGATAAGTAACCATTCACTTGTATCATCGTTGAATTGATTCGCTGCGTTTCTCACAGCTTGTAGTAGCGATTGTAAATCATCTAGAAGCATTTCGAAATGAAATTCAACTGCAAGTCAATGTTATAGAATTCGATAAACGAACCTAATCGCTGGACTTGAGTACGATGAATATCTGCTCTGGAGTAAACTGTTTGCGGTACTGATAAAATAGAGAAAATGTGATAGAAGAACGAAACCGAATCGATTTACCAGCATGGTTCAAAGATGTAAATTCTTGGATAGCTAATTCAAGATCTTCGAGTTGACGTTTGAAACCTTTCCATTGTTTACGATTTTCTTTTAAAAGTCCGTCTTTTTCACGTGCCAATATTTGCAAACGGTTCCATTTCTCCATGATATCTATGAAATTACCGTCAATGGAATCAAAATCTCAATATTCAACTTTACCGATCACGACGGGATCATTGTTGAGGTCATCAACCAACAAGGGACTTAATTCAGTTTGAATGAGTTTGATGATGTCACGTAATGCTTCAATCTTTCGTCGTGTCGTTGTCAATATTCGAGTCTATGAGCAAATAGATGTGTTTCTTTCTCTCGTCTTTCGAAATCGCTGTTCTTACATAGGTGAAATCATGAGAAACATTTTCAAGATGAATACCACGTGCAATTTCCGAACGAATCGTATCCTCTTTAGCAAGAAAATCTCCGTTTATCTGTAAAAGAATATCTTCGAAATCGGAGAATAGTTGTTGAGCACGTTGATATTGATCTCCCCATTCGATCTGATGATATGAACGCAAAAATCGATCTCGTGAGCGAAGGTAACGTTGTGGGGATCGAGTTCCTATGAAAATATTCACACACTCCCCGAAATTCAATTCGAATTCTACGTCGACTTACTTGGCGATGACGGAGATGCGACACGTTTTGATCCAACATGAGTTGGAACAATGATATCCAAAGAATCCTTTCAACAAAGATAGAATAGTAGAATTTTCTTAGGCTCAAGACTTACATCAGCAGGTTTCATCAGTTTCTTTTTAAGTTTATTGATACGTTTTCTTAAGTCATCTAATTGTTGACAAAATTTCGTTAATTCATTCATATTAACTGTTAAACCCTTCGCATCAGCCGTTTTACTCAACAAATAATTGGCACATGTTCGAACATGTTCAATTTTGCTTTGTTTTTCTCGAATCTCATTCTCCATTTCCTACGATCAAAAAAACAAGTCGAAACAAGTTCTCTTTTTCTTCTTCTTCTCAAACTTACATCTAATTGTCTAATCTTTTCGTTCGATGGTGCTTCAGATAAATGCTCGAGATTTGTTAAAACAACATCAAGATCAGTTAACCATAATGTCAGTGTGTCTTGTGTTAATTGAAAATCACCATGCACACTTAACATGTATTTAAGCTAAAGAGAAGGATGGGTGTGGAAAGTAGATAAATGTTTAGTTTAGTTTACATTTTTTGTCATTTCGTTGACAGTGTTGATTAGTGATTCCCAACGTTTATCGAGTTCTTTGAGTTTTGCTCGGATCTCTCCTGATGTGTCAGTGGATGAATTTTCTCGTACGATTTCTGCATAGTTGGTTTTGAGTTGTTGAAGATCTTTTTCATCATCTTCCAAAGTTCGTTTGAAATTCTAAGAAAATATCGAAGATATTCACGGAAATTTCGAAATAATGTCATCAACCTCTAAAGTTTTATATTCAGTTCGCATTCCTTGTAGATCTTGTGCACTTGTTCGCCGAAGGTCGACAAGGAACTTCTCATGATCGATTATCATTTTCACAACACGTTTAACTCCATCGTCAATATCTCGCCATGACAGATCGACGTTCTCCAATCTATTGAATTGATGTAAAAATAAAAATCAGCTGAACTAACTAACGTATGTTCTTACTCAAGTTTTCGTTTTTTCAGCAAATCTTTCAAAGCTTTCCAACGCTGTTCAATGGATTCGAGTGTACGGGGAATCGACTCGACATTTCTTGGGCGACATTCACTTTCATTCAATAAAGTCTGTCCGAGAGCAAGGACGTTAGTCAGAAGAGAACCACGATTCTCAATCTCGGCTTCGATTGTCTACAAAAGAAGCAAATTTAACTGTTTTTAATGAAATCAAGTCGAACATACGGTGACGGTTTGTTGGTAATTTTGTAATTCATTTCTTTTGCAAGTCGCAGCTGAGAATGGCTTCTGTAGATGTGCTTCCGTAGTATCCATCCACGTACGTAAATTCTCTAAGTGATGTTCGAAATCATGAAAAATTTTCAACGTCCCTTCCGTCTTCTTGATTCTATATAAAATGAATCGATTTACCAACGTGTGACGAAGAAAATCAAAGGCAAACCTTCTGCCCAGTTGTTCTTCGGTTTTTTTCAGCATATGTTCTAATTGCTCGATTTGTTGTTTCATTGTCTGTACTCGTGTTTGATCCGTCGAGTAAGCTTGTAGAACACGCGCTGCTGCAATTAAATCATTGACATGTCGTCGTTTATCGCCGATCAGATTTCGAATTTCGTTTGTCAAAATATCCAGACTAGCTTCAAGTGTTAAACCATCGATACGATAGTTCATTTCATGATTGAGGAAATTATCAAACCATTCATGAACTCGTTTATATTTCTGTTCAAAATCATGAAATTCCGACCGTTTCTTCGTAGCACCATCGATCAGCATCGTTAGAATACGTTCAGTATCACTCCATTGAATGTCCAACAGACTAAAATCAATCGAAATTCTCAACATCCTATCTTTCTTTTTCCTATTACTTCAATTTTTGCATCAACTGACGAGTATCATCAGGATGTAATTGTGGAGACAACTAAGAAGAGAATGTCAAGCGAGATTTGCCTTGAAGAATGCAAATTACTTCGGTGATTGTCTGTCGTGCACGTTGTAATTCATATCGATTTTGAGTGAGTTCATGATCTTTATTCTAAATTTCAATTGTTGATTATCAATCATTCGAAAGGCTTCATTTACTTGACATTGCAGAATGAATTGCTCGAGTTCATCCGTTGGAAGTTGCTGTTCTTGAAGAGCTCGAATAGATTTGATCCAAACAGTCAGATTGTCCAATGTTCGATCGACTTCATTGTAACGAAGAAGTAACTATTCGAGAAAAAAAGTAGACAAATGTTAATAATGTGTCAAATTATCAGACAGATTCGAATTCATCTGGTTTTCTATGGGGAAATATGTGTCAATATTCTATCTGATACAGAAATCCTAGGATAAGCAACAAAGCCAAACTAAAAAAAGACTAAGCTAGAAATCCAAGCATCATGCATTTTTTCAAAGAACAAAGAGCAAATCAATAAACATGCACAAACGTTGGTATCTATAAACAAAGAAATCTTATATATGAGCTAAAATAAATGATAGAACGGCATTATGTTTTGTTGTTTCTAATCTCAGCTAATCATGCGATCATTGATTCTACTACGGATTACCTTCTCCTGTGGCGGATATTTTCGATGCTAGAATGAAAGAATCGATTTGTTTGTTCGATTGAGATTATGTGAAACAAAGGTGAACGTAAAGAAAAGAAACAAGATATGTCTTACTGCTAATAATGTATCTGATCGTTGTTGAATATTTGCCGTCATTTCCTTAGCGCATTTTTGTAAATCATTCCATTCTGTTTCTAAGACAAGTTGAGTTTTCGCATCCGAATGGCTGATTAGTTTTCGATTGATATCATAGATTTTGTTCAATAAATCTTTCAATTCTTCGTTTTGAAGTTCACTTGAGTATACTCCTTGTTTGATCTGTTCGATAAAATGAACGTTTGGTGTTTGTAGTTGTTCTTGTTCACGTTCGTATTTAGCTTTCAATAAACGATAATAATGATCCAACGAATTTTGATAAGATATCCACAATTTGATCACATTTTTCACTTCCTGATGTTTGGCCAATGCACTTTTTGTTATCGTTTGCCAACGTTGTTCAAGTTTAGTAAATGTATGTTGATCAACAATCAAGTTTTCTTCAATTAGTTTCTTGCCTTCGCTGATCAATTGAAGTAATTCTTGCTGACGTTGATTGAAATCGTTGATTTTGTTCGATAAGTTCATATCGATTTCGATTAAACCTTGATAATTTGTACGCATATTTTGTTCGATGATCGAGAGATTTTGTTCCATCGCTTGGACATATTCATTCCATTTCTGGCAGCGTTTATCGAAATTAAGCTTATTGTATTGATTACTTTCGAGTTGTTTTATTCGATTTTTAATTGATTCGATCGAACGAGAATACTCGTTAGTCACTTCGTGGAATTGTTTAGCTCGTTTGAAATACGGAATGAACTCATTTGAGTTTAATCGTTCGATTAAATGACGCTTGGATTGTAGCAGATGGAGAATTTCGTGAAGTTGTTTTAAATTGTTAGTTTCATTTTCCTCATTGATTTGTTGCGAATTTAGTGTTGTTTGACTTTGACTGATCGCTTGCGTTAATTCATTGATATATTCGACGTAGACTTTTTCACGTTGTTTTAGTTCATTGCAATCCAAGAGAAGTTTGTCCTTAAATGAGCATAGTTCGGTATATTGATGCTTGATAACAGAATATTGAGTATCGATTTTCTTCGCAGCGATCGGAGGTAGTTGAGTGGATAAATTCTGAGAACGCTGATGTAATTTTGTGATTTCCGTATCCAATTGTTGTAAGCGTTGTTGAAAATCCTAAAATTTCATTGAATTTAATCGAAATCTCTTCTGAAACATCTCACTTTGATTTTGTCTACAAGTGTTTGTATATCGAACGTGAGTTTTTCTCGTTGAATGGTGTACCATCTATCTTCCAGTTCACTCAATCGATCGAGTAAGTTCACATATGAAGTATTGAATTGTCTCCAATCATCAACAATTTCTCGTGATGGTCTGATAATTCCTTGCAAACGTTGTTCTACTGTAGTCCATTGTTGTTGAATACGTTGCGTGATTGTATTGATTTTCAATGACGTTTCCTCATCACAGTGGCTCGACAATTGATGGCTTTGTGAGATGATTTGCTCGAGTTCGTATCGACGCATTTCCATGATTTTCAAATGTTCCTACATGAAAACTTCTGGAGAAGATTTTGAGGAAAATCTTCGCTTATACCTGTGCTTTTCTTGTACACATTTCATACGTTTCCACGTTCACAGCATTGGCTTCGACACGATCGATTTCCGTTTCAGCTTCGCGTAAGATTTTTTCCATTTGAAGCAAAACTCGATTATATTCTTGCCATTCCGATAGGATAGTTTTTGATTTCACTTTCAATTGCTCAATCGCTGGTGATAAATGATCGAGCATGTGACGTAGATTTTGGATCATACCATCTTGATCAGAGATATGAAATGTTGCCGATGAAGATGACATTCGATGTGAATAAGATTTTAATGAAATTAAGATCTGTTGTTTGGATGTTAGTTGATATTCGAGTTCCTAATCCAATCGAAAGTTTATTTGAGAAAATCGAAAGAAAAATGGAAGGAATTACATTGCATCTTCGGAGATTATCTTTAACACCAGCTTCCAGGTGACGGGAACGCATAAATTCAATGTCAGATGTTTGCTCATGAAGCCAATCAGATAAAGTACGAATTGATTGGTCAAATTCATAGAATTGATCGTTCAATTGTTCCAAAGTCTAGAATGAAACGAACGTTTCTAACAGATATCAAAATCTTTGAATTCTTACATCAATACGAGATGAAATTAATGATTTTATTCTAATCCAATCAATATTCATTTGTTTTATCGTTTCCATATGATCTATGTCTGCTTCTTGCTGAAACGATTCATTCAAATAATCAACAATTTTCTGATGGTTGAGGACATCCACACGCATATCCTAAAATATAAATTCGAATGATAAATTTCAAAACACAATCAATTTACTCGATAACGCTTAAGTAGTTTTTGTGCAATTTCTTTATTATTCACAGGTACACCATGATCTTCATCTAACGAACGTTTGATCATTTCCATAAACGCCAGAATTTCTTTACAAGCTTGTCGCGATGGCAAACTGTTTAGGATATTTTCATGAAGAATATTCTCATTTCGTACAACATTCGTCTGAAGAAAAAAACAAAAATCGATCATGCATTGATCGGTCTGTTCAGTTTACCTTCATTGTTGCCCATTTCTGATGAAAGTTTTCTAAGATTTGTTCGATTGATTGTAGATCGTACAGATGGTATGTTTTCAAGCGTTTGACGAGAGAATTTGTGTTGGAATAGACATCCGCGATGTTTTCAAGACGTTTTTCCACATCCTAAAGATGAAATGATTGAGTTAGTTAAAAAAGAGAATCATTGCTTTTCACCGTCATTTTGTCGAGTTGAGCTTTCATTTCAGTTGCATTTCCATCGAGCTTCGCTTGAGAATCAATCGAACATTGATTGAGTGTTTCTTCGAGATTCTCCAAGTTGTGTTTGATATCGTTTTCAATCATTATCGCACTCTTGTGACTAAACCAACAAGATTGAAATGCAAGTTTCGTGAGTAATACGATATTTACCTGTCGAAGTTTTCTCGAATCTCAGTAGACATTTTCGTAAAAACGTCTTTTAAATGAACAATGTCATTTTGTAAGGAAGTGACATTCAATTCTTTGCAAAGAGTTTCGATTTCATCGCTTAAATGTAATAATTCTGATTCAGTGGTAACCAAACGTTGTTTTAAACCCTAAATAACGCAAAACGTATGAACAATTCGTATCGAAATGCAAATTCTTCGAACTTTATAGAGTGTAAAAGCAGTTTGTATTTGTTCAAAAGTCCATAATCGTTGTGTGGATTTCAACTGGTTTTGAATTTCATTAGTTTGATGTCTCACATCTTCTAATCTCATTTCATATTCTTTCCACATGCGCAATAAATGTTCCGAGTGTATTATTTGTTGAATAATTTTATCTTGTAACTCATTCGAACGTTTTTCCAAATCATAATGTTGTTTTGAATAACGTGTACGTGTACTTTGATCTAACTGATCATATAATTGATTTATATGGCGACGTTTTTCATCAATTCGTTCATTTTGAGTCTTATGTTCGGTTAGTTGACGAGCATACTGTTCACTTGACGATGCAGTTTGAATGGAACGATTCAAACGCTCCATGGTGGAATTGCACGTGTCTTCGTATAATTTACATTCGTTGAGATAGATATCGCGACAACGTTCGGCTTGAACTAACGATTGACGACGTTGTTCAAACTAAAATAGGTGAGAGGTGTTTCGAATGATTGAATGATCAAGATCGAGATTTTCAAACTTGATCTTTCAGGAAAGTTATCATCGATTGTAAGAGATGAATTTCCGATGGTAGTGGCATGGAATTACCATCTTCGATACACATCGTCTGTCCGTACTGTTTTAATTGAGATAAATCTTCTTGATATTGATCCAATTCTCGATCTTGATTCTACAAAAGATAAACGAAATGAAACTTTCTATTGTTGCAATTCAATTCCTTACTCGTATGAAATGCAATTGCTCTTCGATTGAATCTTTTCCATTGACTTTTCGTTGCTTAAATGCATTCAACTTCTCTTCTAAAAGGTTGATTTCATCCATGAACAAATGCCATTCACGTTCACGTTGACGTTTACGTCGTTCGCGTTCCTCGTTTTCATGTTCGAACTTGAGCATTTGTTCATCAAGAGATTTCAATGCATCTTCGATCGACTAAAACAGCAGAAAGTTCACTCAAAGTTTACACAACTGCGAATCCTCACTCGTTCCGGTGCAGGTTGATCATGCTGTACAAGTGAACTAAGATCATTCAATGATTGCTGGTAACTGCGTTGTTTACGTTGTTGTTCTTCTACGTCCTATAAGAGATACGTGATATACATGCGATACTATGCGTGTGTCGGCTCTTACGTTGATTGTTTTCTTGATAAAAGATGACCGAGTATCAAGTTCTGTGATGGATTCGGTAAAACGTTCTTTCATATGTTCAACTTCCTGTCGTAATCGTTGCAGTGAATCATTCGGTAGATTCGAACTGAATAGAAAAATCTCAGAAATCGATGTATGTGCAAATTAATCGTTTACCTATGGAGATTTTGTAGTAAAACATCGATGTCGTTTAATTTAATATCAATCTGTTGACGATTGCTCATTAAACGTTTATGTTCTCGTTGAAGAGAATCTGCATCACGTTTATCACTGAGTGGTTCGTAGCGATGTGTATCTTTGAGCCATTCGAATAAAATCTCGATCTGAATGCGATACTGCTTTTGTTGATGATTCTGATTTTCGTATTCCTTTGAAAAGACAATATTCGAGTTAAGTATGAAATTACCCATGGAAATTTACTTCTTGTTTTCGAGTTATAGTTTCCTTTAATCGTTCAATATCTGCAATCAATTGTTGAACAGCAGGAGTGATCTCTTGTGCAATTTGTGGATAATCATGTGTCAATGTACTGAGGACTTGTTTTCGTTTATCCAATTCTAGTTGAATATCATGATATCGTTGTAGTTTTTCATTGATGGTCAATGTTTGTTCGGTAAGTGTTTGATAAGTTCGTTGGATATTGTCAAACCATTGTTCATAAAAGAGAAATTGATTATTAAATTCACTTAATTGTAAGTGAATTTTCTGACTGAGGTCGAGGCGTTGTTCGAGGTTTTCACGTGTTCGTGTTAAATCAGCCAGGAGTCGATCGATTTCATTCAACTAAAATAAAATACGATTAGAACGATTGCCGATGGTAAATATCAAGTTATCAATACTTTTTGCGTTGCTTCAGGTGTTTTGTTTGTTTGAACTACTCGATTCAAACGATTTCTCAGTCTTTGTATTTGTTCAAACAATGTTTGATATTCGAAAAACACATTCTTCCCTTTCGGTATCAATTGCTCGAAGATTTCGACATTTCGAGCTTGAATCAATTGTTGAATGAGATCTTGAGCTTGTTTCATCCATCGTTCGCAAGTGGTACTATTGTTGTGAAACAATTCGGAAAGATTTTTCACTTCTTCCATCGTCTCTTCTTCATTGAGAATATCTTGTTCGAGTTCTGTCCATCGATGTGTGATTTCATTCAGACGACGTCGAATACATTCGCGCTCATTCGAGTCTGTCAGTTGTGAGGATAGGTTGGAAGAAAGTAATTGCAAACGATCGATTAATGAACGATGAATTTGCATTTCGTTCGCGAGATCCTGAAGTAAAAATGGCAAATAAGGGGATTTTTATATGTTTGGAATTTACTTTGAAGAGGTTCAGATTCTGTTGGAGATCGTTTTCATGTTTTCGCTTCGATTTATTTTCCATCGTTTGAATGATTCTAGTGATGTCTTCAACTATTGTGTCGTATTCTTCACGAGTTACATTATAGGTTTCCAGTTCTGCATGTTTTTCGTCAAGACGAGTTCGTGTTTCAGTCATATCTTCAAAAACACGTGCAATCAGCTTGTCTATATCATCGGAGATATTGCCGTAATTATGACGGTAATCATCTAATGTTTGTTCGAATAATTGAAAATTGGCGGTGAGATCATTGGAAATGTCCTAGAGAAAGTGAATGTAGGAAAAGACTTTCAGATTTATTGAAACGAACTTGAAGTTTGTCATCAGCTTCGTGGTTGACTGTTGGATGTAATTCTATCAATTGAACCTTTGTGTGTTGAATGATCGATAAAACTGAACGAGCATGTTGACGGAGTTTATCTTCTTGTTGAATCTGCACATCGAGATTCTGAATTGCTGTTGAAGTTTCATTTTTTAAACTAAAACCAAAAGACAAGTTCGGATGAAATCTCTCTACAATCACCATACCCTTGAAGATCGTTCAGAATATCCTGATGTTTCTTTTCCACTGCACGAATAATTTGCTGGTCACATCTTCTCTCACCTAAAGTTGATATTAATTCCGTGACTTCGGACAGATGACTTGTTTCCAAATCAATATCTCTGATAAAACTCTACAACAACAAACTTATCAAATTCATTTGATCTAAGGACGAATTACCTTGATTTCAACTGATCGTCTCGATAGATCAATACTAGCATATGCACTGTCAGTGCTTTGATTTAATTCCAGTCGTTTTCTATGAATAAAACTTTTGATACCATTCAGCAGTTTCTCGATACGTTCACGAATAGCTTCATTTTCCTAGAAAGAAAAGATCATTTTGCCTTTCGGAAAATGTTTCTCGCCGTACTTCATAGGATTTCTTTGCGCGATCGAGACTATCGCGAACGCTTTCAACTGAACTGGCCATGTCCTTCAATTCTCGATCGATATCCGTCGAACTTGAGATATCTAATGATTTCTTCAAATCTCTGCCAAGATATTGCAATGCTGAAAACGTCGAATCGATTTCCGACACGAGTGTGTCTGCATTCTAAGAAAAAGACCAAGAATTCCTAAAATGACAAATTAACTTGTTCTTCTCACATCTGGTGCTTTTTCGATCATATGTAAAAGTAGACCAGTATTCGATTGTAGATGAGCGATGCTTGAATTGAATCGGTTTGATTTCTGCCGAATATCATCTAATTCTTTACGCCGTTGTCGAATACGAGTTTCTACCAAGCAAAAAGATACTCCAATTCATTCCATCCTGTCCACAAAAAAGTGTTCAGCTCACCAAGATCTTCCACAGTCTGATGAAAATTTCTCAATTGATTATCGCATAAATCTTTCGCACTATTTCTCAAATATGATCGAAACATATCCAGTAATCGATGGGCTTCGACTAATCGAGTCATCTGTTCGTTGCACAGTTGTTCCAGTGTCTAAATGTTTCAGTTTTACAAATAAGTCTCAATTCTAACAAAAAAAAAGTGAAGTACATTCAGTTCTCGTTCATGTTCGTCCAATCGGTTCCGATCGTATCCATCGAAAAACGGTGCGAGTTTAAAATCCGCGTTACTAAAAGGAAGAGGAATACGCATCGATCGTGTACGAAATCTCACTTACCAAATGACAGTTTTTACATCGGTAGTCAGTTTAATGTAGTGATTCATATGTTGTTCAGTTTCGTTTAGAATCTCTCGACGTTTATTAACATGGCTCTATCATAAAACAAAGTGATCGATGAGAAAACATTTTGACCGTATGTACTTTGAATTGGTGTTTCAGTTCTTCGAGAGTGTTTAATCTTCCACGAATTTCTTTCTCTCCCGAATTCATTAGATTCGATCCGTCGTGATACGATTCATTAAGTTGTGTTAAACGTTGATCAATCGAAGCATCAAGTTGCTAAATTTTGAAAAAGTAAAATTGATTCTTTTTCATTCAAATTCAATCTCAACTAACTGAAATCGAAGTTTGCATTTCGTGAACGTTATTCAACGATAAATTCAGGTCGATTGGTTGAGACAATTCCTGAATGAGTCGTTTGAGCCAATCATTGATAGAGATAACTTCTTCATTGAATTTATTTTGTGTTTTAACCATCTGTTCATGTTCATCACGTGCTTGTTGGTAAGATTTTTGCAATGATTGAAACTGTTCTTGATGTTGATGAATTACCTGTTGAAATTGTTCATATTGAGAACGTGGTAGATCATTTTTCAGACGTTCTGCTAATTGACTTAATTTATTCAGTTCGTGTTCGCCTTGTTGTAAACGATCGAATACATTCTGAAATAATTCAACGTGGAAATCAATCGTTTGGAAAAGAAAGTATACAACGCACTTGATACGAGATATGTTTATCTCGATGTTGTTGAGCGGATTTCAATTGTTCAGATGATATCTGTAGATATGTTTCAAGTTCATTCTGTGTATGATGAAAATCCTTTTCTGTTTGTAAAGCTTTCTCAACTCGTTCGATTTCAGTATGAATTTGCTCATCCAGATTTCTGATATTTGTATTCAATTCACCACTGGTACGAGAATGAATACGATGTCCTTTGCTAGTTAATAAACGTTGGATACGAGTTGCTTCTTTTAGACGGTTGGCGATCTCATCAAGACGTTTTAGTAATTGTTTGAATTGTTCTAAACGTCTGTCATTGGATGGGAGTTCCGCGTGATGAGTAGTTTCTGTTGGAGATGATTGTTGTTTAAGTTGGAGAAAATCGGTTCGTAGTTGATCGTAGAAGTTTTGAATTTGTTCGATTTGAGTATCGAATTCACTGCGTTCCTCTGAGAAACGGAAAGAAAAGTTTCATGAAAGTGAAGAAAATCTATTGACATACGATTGGCTTCATCGAGAAGATTGAGGCGTTCGGTTAAATGATCGAATAAACGATTGTATTTATCTTTTAGAACAGTATATTTCTCGTCTAACGTCATCCGATCCGTTTCATTCAATGTTGAAGATACAACCGTATAAACACGCGTTAAATCATCGAATTCATTCGTACGATCTCGCGCAGATTGTAACAACAACTGAAATGTGAATGCAAGATATGCTCTCCAACTAGTCGTCTTTACTTACCTGTATGTTTCGATATTTATCTTTGAGACCCATCGTTGTCTGTTGAAGATCATTCGTCAGATGATCTTTTGCTTGTTGTTCGGTAGTTTTAATCCAGTCATTGAATTGATTCATCATTCGTTCAAGTTCTCGTCTTTGTTCATTCGCACCGTTCAATTGTCGCTGACGTTGGTGAATAGATTCTTCTAAAGTGTTCAATTTACGTTGTAAATCTGTCAGAAGAAGAGCGAGAGAGAAATTATTTTAATGTTTAAATAAACTTCTCGATTACGACATACCGTCCATTTGAAGATTAACATCTGTTTGACCTTCGTGTAAATAGCCTTGTTTAACGTCTTCACTTAGTTTAACAACGTTTTCGAATGTAATTCGTTGGAATTTCAATTCATTTAGAGTATCCTAGAAGAAATTGGAAATCATAATCAAATGAACGAAGTGTCTTCGTTTTTATTACATTGAACTTCTTTTGTAGACGTTCGATTTCACTTGTTTTCAATGGAATCATCTGATCGGGTGCGATTGAACGTTGTTTATCTTCGTGCCAGAAGTTTAAACGTTGACAAGCTTGGTCTAATTCTTGTCGTTGATGTTTCAATGTATTCAAACGGTCTTTTCGCGTCACAAATTGATGTTGTAATTGTTCGAGTTCCGTCTGCAAGACAATGTCTCGTTCGAATTTCAACAAAATGTGAAAATTTACTTCGATCTTATTGATAACATTTTCGACTTCTTCTCGCTGTTGATTATTCAAATCAGGTGCTAATAATTTGTATTTACCGCGTATGGCGATCAAATTCGTCTCTTCACTCTGAATCTCTCGATTCAAGTTCTAAACGTAAGTGTCAACATTCGACAGAAATCAAAAGCTTTTCTCTCCGAAAGATATTAGTTTATCGCTTATTCATGTTCTATGCCCATAGATAATATGTGTGTGTATGTGCAACAGGTACAACTAGCGTGTAATTCATTCGACAACAAGCACGAGAAAACAGTTCTACATACGATTAGTTGAGATAAGAAAACCCACTTTTCTACATTACCGTCTAAAATACGAAGCACAGCGAGCAGTAGAATAAGCAATGGAACAAACACACAGGTTATTAGATTTTTTTCATATTCTAGTTCAATGAAAACCAACGCCAATCAGAATTTGTGCGTTTTGGTTTTCAAAATACATAATCATCATAAAATTACGGGCATTGAATGAATCAGCATTTTATATTTGGACATGATTATTCAATTTTCTCCTTCGAAAATCAGAAGACTTACGTCGAGACTTCGTATATCGTCGATCGTTATCTCCATCAGACGCGTTCCTAATGTTTGTTTGAATGTATCAATGTTGATTTTGAATCCTTGAAGATTTTCCTCGAAATGCTTGTATTTTGTTTGGTTTTCAATTGTAATCTGCTGGATGTCAAGTAAACGTTGCTTCACATCGGCGATTTGATGTTCAACGGATCTGAAAACAGGTAGACGGTAAAGATTGATATAATGGAGAGGAAACGGAATCTCACCGAATGTGATTGGTATACTCATTTCGATCGCTGTCATTTAGATTCGATTGAAGTTCATTCAACGCATCGGAACAGAGTTTCAGCTGTGTTTCTTCATGATTTAATGTTTCCGATAAATTCTTAAACAAACAGATTTGATAGCAATCGAGATTCTTCCGCACGCCTTACTTGAAATTCGTCAGGATTCTCGTTCGATAATCGATAATGCTCAAGATTTGTTCGAATCGACTTAACATTCTGATTGATGATTGAAACAGTTCGATCAACAGTTTGCGCAGATGTTTGTATTTGCTCGCGATCGCTTATCAAATGAGTTATATTCTCCCGAGTGTTTTCAAAATGTGTGAGTAGTTGCAGATAATTCTGTTCGAATGATGAATCATTCGCTCGCATTAAATTAATTTGTTGAATTTCGGAGAATTTAACTTGGACCTCATTGAACATATCTTTTAATCGGTTCAGAGTTTGATCGTATTGGATGGAGATTGGCTCGACAGACATAGAACTCAAATGTTTCATGAGATCGAGAAGCCACGTTAACGAAGATTCAAGCAAGTCATTTAGAGTTTGTTTTTCTAGGAGAATTGGACGGAGAGTATCGCGATGTTGTTGGTTCTTTACACGATCGGAAAATGTGAAGAGGAAAAGGAGAAGGAAAGTGTCTTACTCGGCTGTATACAGTTTGTAAATGTTCTTGAATGTCATTGATAGCAGATACTTGTCGATGATCAACTTGTGATACGAGAGAATTGAGTTGTTGACGAACCGTTTCGAGATGGCCACTCATTTCCTGAAGAGACAATAAGAAAAAAAACTCGTATTTCACAATGATTTACTTCGTATGTTTGATCCAAGGTTTGTAAATCATCTAATTCGGCTGTTTGATTTACAGCTTGTTCTAGATTGATTACTTGTCTTTGGAGATTTTCGATCATTTTCTCTTGTTCCTGTCGCATCTCCACAGCAGCTGAATAGATTTTCTACAAAGAAGAAGGAAAAGTAAATGAGGAAATCTACGAAAGTGGACGAGTGGATATACGTCGATTTCGATCATGGCAGCTTCGAATGTCTGACGATTTTGTTCGTTTGATGCAAGTGCTGCTCGAATCGATTGACAGACTTGAATATATTGTGAGTAATCTTCAAGTAAACGATCACCCATTGATGATGTTCTATGAAAAGATGTTGAAATCAGTTCTGCTGATTGTTTAGTTTGCTAGAAAGATAGAGTACAGCTTTCTTTCATTACAGACACGATGAATATTACTTGATAATCTTCATTGGAAAGTGACGGATCAGGGCGTTGAGAAAGAGAACGAGCATTATTATCTGTTTGTATCATTTCATTTATAAATTGAGTGTAAAGAGATTGTAGTGATTCTCGTTGGTTGATTTCGTTCTGTAAGAAGCGTTCGAATCAATGTAATGCGACAATTTTAATGGATGAACAACTTACGGAAATATTGGTTTTCAACTGATTACTTTCATTTGTTAATCGTTCGATTTGCACATCATTCATCTGTGTTTCTTTCTTCATTTCTCTCAATGTTTCAACCATCGGATCTGTTTTGGTCTCTACATCTTTACGTAATGTTTTCAAAAGTTGAATCTGTTGATTTAGATGATCCAATAAAATGTTCTGATTATTCTCGAGTAATTGTTCGAATAGTCCTCGTTGCTCTCGTATTTGATATTCAATCTCTTGACAATTATCCTGAAACTTATTCACATCCATTTGTATTCGTCGCAATGTGCTTATTGTTTCGATGTAAGTCGAATCGCACGTTTTCAATTGTTCCTGATAACTTTCGAGTAACATCGATACCATTCGACTGTCTTCGTCTGTATTGATCGCTTGTAGTTCATTTTGAATCATTTCGATTGATTTTAGAAGTGTGTAACCATCACACATGGTCTCGTATTCGTTCTGGATTTCAGTTAGTTGGCGTTCGAGAGTACGAGAATCGTTTTCGTCGATTGATTGAAAAAGATTTGAGAAAGAATTTTGTTTCGATTCGATCCAATTTGTTAATTGAGTAAGAAGAACATCACGTTCTTCTTTTTTCGCATGAAATTTATTCAAATAACCGGATGTTTCCTAAAATAATCACACCATATTTATCCACGAATAAACAACAAGAGAATCTCTACTTGAACGAGTCGGAAAACACGTTGCATACGAAATTGAATATCTTTCATTTGAGTCTGATGCGATGGTAGAAAATACTCTTGTTCAACCCTTTGACATTGATTATTTAAATCATCAAATATCGATTCTATCTGTGCCAACATCGTCTGTACTTCCTAGAAAATCAATGAACTTCCATTTAAAGGTTTTTTTTTATGAAGAGCTGTACTTTTAATTTCTCTTCTAATTGATCTTCTTTCATCATGATTGTATTTGTTAACTGATTTTCACAATGATCCAACTTTTCGATGACTTGATTCAATTTACCTTGTAGAATTATATCTTCAGACAGACCCTGACGAAGATGTTCGATTTGCTGTTGATTAGCTGATTGAAGACTCTGAATTTGTTCGCGAAATTGATTCAATTGCTGAGTGTACTGACGAAGTAAACCATGATCGGAGAATTGTTCAATGGTTGATTCAAGTTCGCTTTGGAAATGCTGAAGAGTTTGACAGAAATTTCGTGATAAATTTTCAAAGATTTCCAATGATTCATCAGTTAAAATGGAAGAGAATGTTGGTTGACGAGTAACTTCGTTTTGTAGAGTTTCAATTAATCGATCGACCTTCAGTTGTATTGATGTGGTTTCCGTTTCTTTGTCGAGAATTGACTCGATTTCGTCTTGTAATGTTCTTACATCTTCACGTAGTTGTTCCAGACGTTCTTGAAGGAATTTCGATGACGATGTTGGGTGATGTTCGACAAGATCAAGTTGTTCTTGAATTTGAAGCCGATAGATGTTTAACTGAACGAGTTGTTCAGTGGGAGAACGATGTTCAAGTTCAGGCGAAACCATTCGGGAACGATGATCGGCATACATAGAAATGTTTATGATACATTCGTCAACTTGTTCTTTTAATTCGCTATAGCTTAGTGAAAATTGAGTGAGAGTTTTATAGTCGTTGATCCAACGATTGATATAATTGAATTCTTCATTCGAAGTGCTTTGTAAGATTTGAAGTTTCGAGTTTAGGAGTTCAGCAGGATGATCTGCGGGAAGTTGGGCGATGGTTTTGGAAGATTTTATCAAATCATTTTGAATCTGCTCGATTTGTTGAAGTAATTGAGAGAGATTATCAAAGATCGATTCGTCGTCTAATTGACGTTGGTAAGTAATGAGATGCAAGTTTTTCTCATGAATATCGAGATCTTCTTCAATGGATTTCACCAAAAGTTTCAGTCGTTCGGATTTGAGGTTACTAGCTGTTATCTGCTCGATTTGTTGAGTGACTTCATCGAGTTTATGACGAGAATTGTTTTGCAATTGAAATAAATCATGTTCAATGTTTGTATCCAAGAAAAACAAAGTATCTGTTGATGTCGAAGCTCCGAAACGCGTCGCTTTTGCTCGTAAAAGTTCGTCAAGATGATCCTGAAGGTTAATTAATTCATTCTGCATATCCTAAATACACCGAGACATGTAATGGAAAGTCGAAAGTTTTAAAATACTTTTAGTTCATCCAATTCTACTTGGTCTCTTTGGTACTTTTCAGTTGAATGTTGAAATGACAAACAAACTGCATCAAATCGATGTTTAAATTCATTCCAAAGCTGCTGTTTCTCCAGGCATGTTGAATGAATTGTTGATAGTTGGTTCTCTAGTGATTGTAATGCATCGAAAAGAAATTGATTCTCGTCTAAGAGCTTTTGTAGTCCATCGGGTGCGGTACATTTTTTAATATGATCAAGCATCGACTGTAATTCATCATAGCGAACTTTTAATTGTTGAACTTGAGAAACTTTCGACTAAACAAAGAGAAACATTACGTCAAAAACACAAATAACTTTCGAAAAACGTCTCCGTTCAGTTAATTAGACGATTCTGCGTTTCATATGTTGACAAAGAACCCGCTGAAATGTGTCATCCCTCTTCTAGAGCTTCATGTCAAGTTATTCAGGGGGGAGGGTGGGTAGGTGTGATTAGTAAAAGTCTTACTTCAATGAATTCTTTTGTTTCTTCAACCATTGAAATAGGTTTCTTCTCCAAATTGCATAATTCCGTTGTGACATCGGTTATGAACGATCGTAACGTTCGTGCACTTTCGCCGTAGTTGAAATGCTCATTAAAGTGTAGATTGGTATTTTGAACTTGTTCCTATTCATAGAAACAGATCAGAGATTCGTTGTGTTCTTTGGGAAAAGATTTACTTTGAATTCATTGAGCATTTGTTCATGTTGAAGTTTGATTTCATTTAGACTACGCAAGTTGTCCGATGAGGTCTCTAATGTATTTTCAGCATCACGATTTAATTCTGTGATTGTGGAATCCATCAACTCCAAATCGTTGAAAACCGTCTGAGCAAACAAACAAGAACAGTTTTTCGAATTTATTTGAAGAGAAAATCTTACCACAGCTGATTCTGCGCGAATACGCTTATCGGAAACTGTGCTTGGTACTTCGGTTTTCAGTCGATGAAGATCATTTTCATAGAGAACTAATTTTCGTTTGATTTGTCGAATATTATCATCAAGTTTTTCGTTAATTGACAGCGATACATTGACATGTTCCTAGGAAGAACAATAGATCGTTGTTATTCTTTCGAGAAACTAATCCTAACATACGCGTAAATGTTGAACCTTTTGTTCGAAATTCAAATGCAGTTCTTTCAAATGATTATACCGCTCTTGAAAGTACTCCGTTGCTTTTGCATCTGAGATTAAGAGAAGATTATGGTCGGATAATTTCTGTAAATCGATCAGAATCGCACGTTGATTTGTGTAATACTCCTAAAAACGAATGTTCCAGAAGAATCGATCCATCAAATGATTTCACTTACATTGAGATATTGCCGACTTTGATAGGTGAAGTCGTCGCCTGTCAGATTCAAACATCTATCAACATCGGTCACAGCGATTGTAAGCTGTTTTTCAAGATTATTGTGCTCGTTCAAACACATTCGGAATCGGTCAGCTAATCCTTCCAATTTCTGAATTGTTAACTTTGAAAACAATCAAATGCATCATTCATTCATTCTACTCTACGAAATACTTACATCGTATTGCTCTTTGATTTTGATTTTGAATTCAATCAACTGTTCGATTATATGTCGTATTTGAGTTTCTGTTGTTAAAATTGTGTGTAAATCTCTAGCAGAGGAGAGATTTTTTTCGATTATTAATGTTAGCGATGTATAAATTGATGTGTATTCAGTCTAATACCAAACAATAGATTTCGAAAACTCAGATCAAATGGAATTACTTTCAGTTGGGTAAGTTTTTCATTTGATGATCGTGTGGAATCGTTTTGAATATCAGTTAATACCACCAGAAATTCAATGCATTTCTTCAGATTGATTTCACAATCATGAATAAGTTCCGTTGCTTGTTGACAAATTCCTTCTAGAAAATAAACAAATCGTTCGCGGAGATGAAACATCAGATCGATCTATTTTACGCATTTTATCGAGTTTGCTAGTGATTCGTTCGCAAAGATTTTGCCATCGGGATTGGTATTGTTCAAGAGTACGAAATGTGTTGTATGAACTTGACTGATCTAAACCTTCGATGTGTTGTTTGGCTTGTTGGAAAAGCTTTTCCATCTGTTCTTGTTTGTTCAAGTGTGATGTTAAGTGTTCAGTTAAGTCTTGTAATTGTTGTAGGGAGTGATAGTTTATTGATTGTTCGAAATCTTTCGTTAGTTTCGTAATGATGCGTTCCAGTTGTTGTTGAATCTCAAGCCATTGTTTCAAAGAATTGTATTCGGATCGGGATTGGCTTTCGAGGGTCTGTAAGAGATTCGTTTAAATAGTAGAAGATGTTAAAGATATTATTTTACTTTCGCGTCGTGAAGCAGTTGTTCTTGTTTGGCTTGGATCTGTTGCAGTTCGTTGGAAAAGTCGATGATGTTTGGCTGTAAATCATCGATCATACGGGAAAAGTCTGTTAGGTGAGCTTCGGTTTCGTTTAAAGTTTCCACAATGGCCTGAAAAATTGAAAATGAATAGAATTTAGAACGAGTTTTTTGTAAATACTTGGGAGAGTATCAATCGTTCGTGTTTTTCCTCGATGTTGATTGTTGAAATCAAATTATTGATATCTCTCAATTTTCGCTCGATGTTCGAATGAGATTCAGAAATGTTCACTTTGCTCTTCTTCAATTCGTTGATGTGTTGAAAGATATGATCCAATTGATGTTCCGTGATATTCGCTTGTTGAAAGAGATCAGTTTGTCGTTGGATCATTGTTTCATAGATTCGTCTAATCAAAATAAGAAAAGCAAGTTTTCGAAGACAAATCCTCTCTACTCACCGAAAGGCATCCGGATGCATTGCTGAATCTACCAGAGTTTCTGTCAGTTCATGCAACAGATTAGCTTGCCGTTGAATAGTTGCTTGATTGTGAAGTAAACCTTGTAAACTATTCAATGTATTTTGAACAACTTCAATCGATATTGTTTGATTATCCTCTTTCCATTCATCGATAGTGACAATAATTTGCTGGAGAAGTACTTGAAAATGATCGATCGATTGATTATAGGTATTCACTTGTTGAGCGTAAGAAGAATATTTGGTTTGATTATCTGCGACTTGACATAGAAGATCTTTCAATTGAATCTTCAATCGTTGTACAAATATTTGCAATTGTTGTAGATCTTCAAGTGGATTCGTTTCTTGAGTTCGTTGAGACAAGTCACTGACGAAACGATAGAGGTTGTTGTAATCAGTTTCAAGTGAATCCAACTCATTTTTCATATTCTATCAGCAAAAAATATCATTCATGCACCTTTCGATCGAACTTATCTTACTCGTAAAGTCTCCAATGACGTTTGCCCATCGTCTTCTACTCGTGTGTTAACAAGCTTCATTCTGGATTCGAATTCATCAAGTCGACTGAACATTCGGGTATTCTCTTCGACATACGATGTCCAGTCAGTAATACAATTTCGTAATTGATTCTCCACCTAAATTATCGTTGAAAAAGAAATAGAAGTCTATTCGACCAGGTTGTCTATACTTTGGTAAGAGCAGAATTGATATGTTGTGATTTCGTTTGAATACGTTCCCATTCACGGCGCACAGATAATTGACCATTTGGCCCAACGATGGTCAACATCTCGTTGGTCATCTCTTCGATATTTTCCAATGTATTGGCTAATTCTTCATAATTTGTTTTAACTTCCTTCAAGGTAACAGACGTTTTTCTTTGTAATATGTGATGTTGATGAAGACTTACGATTAGTTTACTCAATTTATCTTCAAGGATTTGTTTATCACCATAGGTATCGGAGATGGGTGATAGTTGATTTTGAATAGTCTGAAGACATTGTTGAAGTGTTGAGCAGTCGTTGGAAAACTTTTGTAGCATTTGATACCGACGTTCACTTTCGTCGATATACATCTAAGAAAAGTTTGAAATCGAAGGCAATCGAGGGTTTTCGATTTACCGAAAGATCTTCACTCAGATGAGTGAATAGCTCGAGAAGATGTTTGGCATTGGTGACTAATTGTAAATCATTCAAGTCATTCGCTTCAGTAGCGATAATTTGTAAGCGGTTTTGTTTGGGTTCGATATCTTGGATGATTAACTAAAGAGAAAAATGATACAATCGAGAAGAAAATGACAAGAATTTCTCGCTACTCGTCTTCGTTGAACTTCATCTTTGTATTCATATTGATCATCTTTGATGCATTGTTCTTTATCAGGTAATTTTGTTGTTGTTAATTGATATTCATGTTCGAGATCATTCAATTGTTTATTCAGGGTCAACAGACGTTGTTGTTTGGATTCGATAGTTTGTTTTGATGAACGTAAAATTTGTTCCAGACGATTGAATTCTTCTTTCGTGTGTTGTAACATCGTCTTCATCGATTGATTCTCCACCGTTGAATCCATTTGGAATACTGCTGTCGAACGACGTGTACGCAATTGTATATCAATTGTATTATAAGATGATGTCATAAAATCGACTCGATCACGCAATGAATCGCATTCGGATAGAAGTGCACTTAATTCCGCGACACCGCTATCACCTTCTAAACTGCTTTGATACTTTTCGTGCAGGCTTTCGAGAGACTTGCGAACATCGTGGTATGTTTCATCGAACGTCGTTTGTTTTGTTATGATTTCATCACATGAACGAAGAAGATGCTGGAAAAGGCAAAGATAAAAGAATTTTCTTTTTTTTTTTCGATTAGTCCATGTGCAAGGTCGTTTTTTTAATTTAAATTTATGCGTGTGCATAAACCAAAGAGAACTGTCTTGATTCGATTATTTCGGCGAAGGAGACCTCGCAAGTATGTCTTGATAGTGATGAGTATGATTAAAATAATCGATAGGAAACCTCGTCGAAAGAAAAACTCCCATGCGAAGTGTGTATGTGTTTATAATGAATGAAATCGTGAATATTTACTTGTAAATCTTTCAGAAGTTCGTCACATTTTCGTTTTCTTTCGCTAATGCTCATGGAGAGTTCACCATCGTCTATTTGATTTTCAATGAGATGATCGGTGATCTGTGATAGTTGTTGCTGACATTCGAAACATTGGTTTTGTAGTTTCTAAGTCAAACAAATCGGTTTCATAGAGCAAATTTCACTTGTTGACTTACCGTTAGCTCTTCTTTCTGACTAACTTTTTCTTCGATGGAATATTTCAATACAAATCCATCGATGTTCTCTTCAATTGTTAGCAAATTCTGTTGGGCATTCTCAATTGAACGTCTTTCTTCATCAATCAGATCTTTCAACCGGCAACATGCCGTTTCGGTTTCAGCCAGATTTGTTAAATATTCTTCTCCGTTAGTCTATGTAAATTCCTAAATTTTTTTTCTCGAAAACTTCTTCGTTTAACTTACCATAAGTCGATGGATTCTATCGTTCATGATCTCTATTAAATCTCTCGGAAGACATTCATTGTATATTTCATTTTTCAGATCTTTGCATTTCTCAATTAAATCATTGAGACGTGTTCGATAGTCCTTGAAAGTCGAAGCCGTATTTTTAGTTGTTTATCGTTTTTCACAACACTTACCTCCAACGCGCCTATTGCTCGTTTGATATAAACCTCATTTTTCGACGGTTCATTTCGGAATGTTCGCAAGCGTACCGAACAAGTCTCAGTTAGATTCTGCAACGTTTGTTGATAGGAAAGAATTTCATTGGAATATTTTTCATTTCGATTCAACTCGAAGATCTTTTGCTAAAACAGAATCGAAATTTAATCAGACGAGTTGAGTTTCGCGTGTTTTACTTCAGCTGTAAGTTTCAATTGTTGATGAAAAGATGATAGATGTTGGGCGCGTTCGAGAATTGCTGAATCTGTTGATGATGATGGAGATAGTAAATGTAAGTGAAATTTTTCGACATTTGTTAAGATAGTCGCCATTTGTTGCAAGCGTTCCCGAGTGAAATTATCATGGGAAAATTGTTGATCGAAACTTTGTAACTGTTGTTGGATGGTATTCAACGTTTGTTCGATTGTGGCTTGTTCATTGAGAACTAAGCGTTGTTCTTCATTTGCTTGCGCTAGTTTATCCTACAAAGAAGAAAAGCTTATCGAAAGGAAAGTGAAAAGAACGGATATGTACCTCGAATGATTGGATGTCAGTTGAAAACATTTTCCATTTCGTTTGGAGTTGTTTGAATCTCAATTTGAGCTGTTCGGTACCTTCAATTGATGTTTCCGCGAGAACTTGCTCGTGTGTGTAAGTGACTCGACGGATTTCTTCTTCGAAATGATCACGTCCAGTTTTGAAATTCTATGACAAATCGATTCAATTCATTGACAAACTATGTGACTATTTACTTTCAGTTGTGAGAGAAGATCAGAATGATTTTCCTGCTGTCGAATAGTTTCAAAATTTGTTTGAAGGAATGATAAAGTTTCGAAGAGATTGGATATATGAAGATCATATTCGGAGTGGTGCTGACTCGCTCGATTTAAGATTTCATAACGATGCTTGAAGAACGAAGATGAAGTTTATCGAGTGAAAATATGCAGTTTTGAATAATTACTTGAATTTGTTGTTTTATTGTCGAAAATGTTCGATCGAGGTCATCGAGATTCGCTTGTAATGGAACATCATCAATCGTTTGGAATAACTCATCGGAACGTTGTTTCATTTGTTGACGAGCTGCTTCTTGAAGATTAAATTCATCTAACTTATCCTAGAAATAACACGAAATCAATTTTTGGTGAAATCATGCGCGTAGATCGCACGAGTCTGACCAGAATTCGTTGTGCTGCTTCCTTCTTTTCTTCTGCGGTGCTCAAATTAACGACCAGGTATTTATTCAATTGTTGATCAGTTAATTTCAACCAATCATTCATTTGTTTCACATCGTCGATTAATTGATCACATTCCGATTTCAGTGTTGATATGAATTTGATAGCCTTCTGAGCTTTTTCTTGTAAATTAGACAAATTCTCTTTCAAATGTTTCAAGCGATTGTCGATGGATTCACGGAAAGAGCAGTGCAGGTCACTTTCATGAAGTTTACGCCGAGCATTACCCATCTGTTCGTTCAATTCCTCGATTGCTTGTACTAGTTGCTGAAAGAAAATGAAGTCGAAACTCAATTAAAGGAAGAACTCGTGTTACTTGATGTTTATCAAATTTGATATCCAATTCTCTTCGGCTATCTCGATGAATACTTTCAATCGTTTCATAGCTTGCCGCTAAATAATTTGAGCGTCGTTCGAAATCTGTGACTAATGTTTCGAACTCCTGTTGTTTCGTGTAAAATAACTCATATCGATAGACTAACGCCTACAAAGAATTCATTGGAATGATTTGCGAGAAGTAGATACAACCATATGATTTACTTCGAGATCTTTCCGCGTTGATTGAAATCGATTGGTCATTGATTCGAACGTACGCATTAATTCCGTTGTACAATGGCTTAGGAATGGATCAATTGTACGTAAACGTTTAGATTTCATATCGAATTGATGCAATTGATCCTACGAGAATCATGAAGAAGATGAGTAAAAATGGTAGAGAAGAGAAAATACATGAATGACTTCAATGGCTATGGATGAAAGTATATCATTCTCATTGGATTCTAATTGTATTGAATCGAGAAAATGATTAATTTCGTTGCTACATGTTTGAACAAGTTCACACGCTTGAGAACGTGTTCTTAGATCTTGTTGAATCGTCGAAAATAGTTCATTCAATTCATTGAGCTCAACTTTCAGCGATCTAAATTATTAACATTAAGAAAAAGTCTCTATTCTTTCCAAGTGGATTACCTTAATTGCGCTCGGTATGATTCTTTTCTATTCGAATAGATAAATCCAGTAGTTGCTAATGTCTCTAATTGTTTCATATGTTGTTCACATTCATTTTGATATTGCTGAGTTTTCTAAACGCACTCAATATTAATTTCATTCGTTCTTTCACATGCAACTCACTTGAATCATATCGAAGTGTATGAGAACAGTTTGTTCTTGTCGAATATTCGCCAATTGTCTTCGATACTGTTCAAAAGACTGTTGTACACTCGTCAATAAACTATTCCATTGTTGACTGAAATTCATTGATTGTTGGGCGCGTTCAAGTTGACTTTCACACTGACGAAGTAGAACAATAATTCTTCAAAGTATCAAAACAATCTACAGAAACTCTTTCCGAAAACCTTACGTATTACCTTTGTCGTAAAATCGCTGTATTATGTGCTTGTCTTGACCAATCATAATCTGTAAGTGTTACTTCCAACTCTTCTAATTTCTTTAATTGTTTATCTTTATCAGCAATATTTTCACTCAATTGAAGCAAATATTCGATTGTATATTGTTCGTTTTCATTTTTTCGAGTCAAATATTCACTCAATTGACTTTCAGTTTGATTCAACCAAGTGACGAAGGATTGATTATGTTTATCATATTGATTCCAGATGTCACAGAGATGCTTTAGTTCTAAAATAGCTCGTTCGATTGTTTGTTTGCCTGTTTCGATAACCAAATGCATCTGCTCGAAATTTTGCTGATAGTGCAGTTGGATCATTGGAAGTAAATTGATTTCAATTACGGATTGATATTGATCATAACTTTGCTGAAAATCGTTTTCCAGAAGTTCTAATTCGTTTTTGTATTCCTAAACGAAGATAGATGAGAAGATGTTTTTCTGGTGGACGTGATTGTAAACAAACTTCGATTTTGTGTAGACGACTTTGGAGTGTATCGAAATCACAATCAGTTTTTGTACATAACGACAAACGATCCATGAGAAATTTGAGTTTTTCCATGGTTATTTGTTTAGTATCTTCGATTGAGATCTGTATTTGAAGAAATTCTTCTAAGAAATTCGTTCGTTGTTGGAGTTCTTTTTCGAATTCATGAAGTCGTTCGTCGACTAGATCTAATCGATCGTTTTCAACTATTTTACTCCTTAATTTCTGTAATAACGTTTGTTTGACATTAATATCATTGAAGATACTTTTCAGTTGATATAAACGTTTGCGATTTTCATCGCGTAAACTCAAGTTATTCGTCAACTCATTGAGTTTATATCGATGTTCTGTAGTCCACTCATGTATTTCATTTAATGTTTCATCAAACTCCATTCGATCCATTTTCACATGATGCAAGATTTGTTTTAGATCCTGTTGTTGATTGTTATAATTCATCCAACGTGTTTGTTGTTTGGTTACAAGAGTTTTCAATTGAATACGTCCTTCGATGGATGTAGTTTTTAACACTTGTTCGAAACAATCATCTAGACTCGAAAGTAGACTTTCGCCATCGAGATTTTCATTGATCAAATCCTACGAGAAGAACATTTTATGAATTGAGGTGATAATTCAAGTATGTCGTTGTAAAATGTTTACAACTAAGTGAGATTGAGAGTGATTCTTTACGATACCTCAACACTTTTATAATGCTCATTGATCGCATAATCGGATTGCATTTCTGTGGCCGACGTGTGCTCCGCTAATTGGTTTTCCGCATCTGTTATCCATTGATCAAATTGATGTAATACTGTTTCGAATCTCTCGTGATATTCAACTGCTTCAGATGCTTGGAACAATGCATTCTAAATGCCCGTGATCAGCTTGATGAAGTATTGAAGTTCAACTTACTTGCGCATTGGAAAGTAGTTGTTGTCGTTTGTCCAAATATTGATTGTAGTTTTGAATCAATGAAATGATCGATACTTTACTTTCTAGTTGTTTGAATTCTTGTTTTAGATCGATATGTGTGTGGAGATTTTGAATTAAAATCTTGGAAAAACGAATCTCGACATGTTTCTGTTTGAGAATATAGTGTTTTTACTTTGATTTGCTCGAGTTTGTCAGTTTTTAAACTTAAGCTTGATTGATTCGCAATCATTAACTGAAATGCATTCTCTTGGTCGCGTAGAGATTGTTGCATTTCATTGATTTGCACGTGATATTTTTCTATATCTCCTTCGACTTGACTAATTTGTTGCTTTTGATCGTCGAAGTCACTTAGAAATTCAGTCCATTCATCATCAATTGCTTGACATTCGTCATCGATTTCGCTACTATGATACTCATTATTTAAGAAATTTCGCGTCAATTTGATTTCTTCGATGGTTTGATAAACATAAACGCGAGCATTCGTTAACGATTGCGCAATTTCCTGAAAGTAAATCGTACGAGATTCGATGATTTAGTTAAGAATATCGAACTTACATTGATCAATCGTTGTTTAACATCGATCGTTAGACGAGAATCATCGCGCACTCGAGTTAACTTCACTCGTAGGTTTTCAATAAATTGCCTATAACTTTCAATTGAATTATTCGTTTCGCATTCAATGCGCTCGTCGATACGTTCCAGCAAACGACTGAAATCTTGTGTTAATATTCGATAACGATTGCTGATATTCATTAATTCGGTACTTAGTTGGGTACTTTCATCTCGTAGATGATGATTTGTGTATTCTTCGATAGTTTGACTCAGTGGCAGAAGTTTAGCGGTGTGAAATGTCGCAAGTTCGCTTTGAATTTGTTTGATTTGTTGATGAAGTTTAACGAAGTTATCCATGGAGTCTATTTCATTAAAAATCATTTCACAAGTTTCGAATTCTTCGATTAGTTTGAGTAAAAATGGATTGTGCAATTCGATATCGCGTAACAGCTTCGTACATTCATCTTGAATATGACGTTCCTTTTCCATAAATTCATTGATCTGCTCATCAAAGGTTCGAACACGTTGAGAAACATGTTCACGATATTGATCTAATTCACTAAATCTGAATTCATTGCAATTCTCCTTCATATCGATTAACTGTTCGTCGAATTGCGTCAGTAGATCTGTTAGCGTCGGTCGTTGGATCTAAACGAACAGCATTGAAACTACAATATTCGAGAATATACTTTCATCTTACCTGAACGATGGCAAGAAAACGATCTTGGTCGATATTATCCGTCAGTCTCGATGCAAGTTCATCCAATGCATGAATTTTGATGTTAATTTCAGTTTGCAATTGGTCCACGACTTGTAAATGGTTGCAAGTAGTTTCTGTACGTTCGATATGTTCACGTAAATTCACCTGAAAAGCTTAACTTGCAGGAGAAGAAAAGAATAACTGAAATTTACTTCGAATGTATCTTGAATTTGGGTTGAAAGTTCGGCTAGATTGAAATATTCAGACCAATCCATTTCGTACCATGTTATTAATATACTAATGAATTCATCCCGACGTTTCTGACATATCATCATATCATGTTCCGCACTTTTATGTTGATCTAGCTCAATTTGCTTGAAAAATAACGACAAACTAATGATGAAACCTGTTTTGAAGTCTGAAACCTACTTTCAATGTATTCAAATGACTTTTGGCTTCGTGTAATGTTTGAGAATTAGCAATAGTTTCATTCAAAACCATTTCGACATGCTCGATGATCTTATCCATTCGTTTCTTCAGTACCTCAATTTCATTGTACAGCGTATGTGCACGTTGGAGAACATAGAGTCGTTCATTGGTTTCCACATTCAATTTTTCCCATTCAATCTGCGTCTTTTGAATCAGATCCTCTTGTTCAACAGTCAAATTCACAGACTTTTGTATCAATTGTTTGAACAACGGATCAAGTTCATGTTCGATTTCATCCTGTAAACGCTGGAAAGCAAAAGCTCACAAAGAAACAAAGCTAGCAGTGAGCGTGCAGGCGAGCACAAAAATGATTCGAGTACAAGCATGCAAGATAACATCTAATGCTAAGCATGTGAAGCAAGACATAAATATGTGCTGAGATTGATTTCATAGCTAGGTGCTCATGCGGATATCTAGGCGTGTAGATAGGAGATTGAAAGAAAAACATGCAAAGGGCATAGAACGATTGGAGAATGAATAACAATTTCCTTTGTTTTAAGAGTTAAACTAGATTCTTTGATTCTAAATCTCGAATATTCTCATGCAAGATGTTCGACTTGGAGAAATTTCGAGAGGAAACTGAAAAGTGGACGTACTTTGATGACATTCATAAGATCTTCGATATCACGAATGGAATAACCAGCGAGACGAGCTGCACGGAGATTATCTGTTAATGTATTGATACGTTGAAGTAGATCTGCATGTGCAGTGGTGAAATCTTCGACTAATTGATTGATTTCTTGTGTTTGGATACGTCGTTGTGCAAGCTATGATAAACGAACATTGGCTTTATCGACTTTCTCGGAAAAGGAAAATCCATTTGGTCGATTTGCTCATTTCACTTACGCGTCGGCGTGATCGATCAAACATCTTCTTCTTTCCACTCGACATTTCACCTTTCAACTAACGTTTCGTTTACTTTCGAAATCTATCGCCTTGAAACCTTTATTTATATATACTAAACCAACACAAATCACCCTCTCATATTGTATATTTTGTATGTAAAAAAATTTTTGTTAACATACAGTATCTGCCGCTCTTACGGCTTCTCTCTCACTCATTTCGCCTAGGTATCCTTCAATAAAATACACATTATCAGTCGACTTTTGCAAAGCTTCTCAATTGTATCAAAGTAAATAACGTTCATTTCAACAAATTTTACCTTATTTTCAATCATATCAACAAGGTTTTGGATACTTCGACTCTCGACTGTGAAGAAGATCGTTCGATTGGTATTCGAGTCGATGATTGTACTACTACTCTCTTCCATCAAACGATCGAGCACACTGCTTTCTGATTGAATTGCACGTAACTCATTTGTATGCTTTCCAATTTGAGTTTTTATTGCATCGATCTCCGGCAGTTTCAGCTGAAGTTTTTGTTGTAAATTCTCATCGATTTCTTGAAATTTCATTCGAACTTCATTCAATCGTTTCAAATGTTCGTCAAAACGTGCCAATAAATCAAGACGTTTTTGTAAAATAAGTCCATAACTGATAAGAAAAGAAAATTTCCTTTCAACACACAGTTTCTTCTCTCAAAATTCTAACTCACGATGTTAATCGTTGCCGATGCGCTTCGTACGTCGTTTGCACCGTTTGCAATTCAGTTTTAGGCAAGCCCGCTACTTCAAGTTCAGCTAGTTCATGTCCAACCGAAGATAACAGTGGTTGAATGGATTTGAGTTCGCCTTGAATACGCTGTAAATCTTGAAAGCTTTGATTCCATGTCGACGTTTGAATCTGCGCATGATTATCAATCTGATTGGTGATTTCGCGTATCTTTTCCTCGAATGTTTGAAAGCGATCATGAAACGATTTACGACATTCGTATAAACGTTCGGTTTCATGCAGCTAAAAAAGTCAAAATTACAACACATTTGTAGTTTCGTTGATTCTTATATTTTTCTCAACATTAAGACGAGACCCACTTGAATTCGAATCGACCACATTGGTTAGAATTATACTTTCTTTCGAATGACTGTTGTTCGATTTCAGTGAATGAGAAGAAAGAAGATATCTCTGATTCTTTTTCGTATTATGTCATCTTTTAAGGCACGATTGTCTTTGATTTCAGTTCTATTCAAACTTACTTTATCAGTAATCATTCGCTGAAGTTGCTTCCATCGTGTGTCAATCGCTATTTGTTCTTCATTAACTGCTTGTTGACCTTCCGATGAACAGTATTGTCTTACATCATTCATTTGCGTATATAAACGATCGTAATTTGTCGTACGTTGACGGAGATTTTCTTCAAGCAGCTGTACAAAGAAAATACGAAAGTTATTTGAAAGATTTCTGTCTTCGTAGTTTACTCGAAGGTCGTTCATGAACGTATGGATTCGGTTGAGATCAAGAACCTCATTGATGTCAACGGGCACAGTTTGCTGAATTCGATGTTCAAAGTCGGAGAGAACTTGATTACGAAAGGCGTTCAATTCGGATTCGTACAATATCCATGAACGATATTGAGATTCATATTTCGATGTCAAATCACTGGACTTGCGATTGAGTTCTATCCAGCGTGAAGACAGAGATTTAATGGTAGATTTTAGTTCAGGAACATTCGGTTCTTCTTCCAGTAAATTATCATATATGACTGACATTCGCCTACGTTCGTCGAGAAATTCCTATTCAAAGACGAATCCACTGTTTTCTCTGCGGTAAGTACAAAGAAATGCTTTACTTTATGCTTATTTAAACATTGCTTAGCTTCATCTATACTTGCTGAACCAGTTTGATCGAAACATTTCTTCAAATAACTTTCTCCTTGTTCAATCCATGGTTGTAGTTGATCGACATAGCGTTGAGATGTCTTCAGAAATGTCCGACATTCGGACAATTGAACTTCTTCGCGATTGATTTTACTCGATGTGGTGTCCGCATATGTACGTAGTTGACCGAGACGGTTCAGAACGTTTTGGAAATCTTTCGGTCGAGATCGAAGCGATTGAATATGAGATCCATCCGAATACAAAATCGATAAACTATGCAAATTCGCAGCAAGATCAGGTCGAATACGCTGAAAAACTTCGAAAATTATTCAAACCAGTCTCGCTAACCATTCTTTACCTCTAATAGTCGTTGTTTCTCTTCCAACGATCGATTACCAGCCATTTGAGATTCGAATAGCAGATCGATTTCTTTGAAAGCTCGTTCTAAACGCTCAAGTTCATCGTTGAATCTCGTCCATGTGTCTTGATCATTGATTAAATCTTGTGAAACATCTTCCATGAATCTCAATTTCTCATTCAAATCATCCTGCATGTGATCATAATCATGTGTTAAGTTTTGCACATTTTCGTAAGGTAAGAAATTATCCGTTGTAATTATTTGCAGAATTTGTCGCATTTCTTCCAGAGAAGATCTCAGATCCGCATAGGAATTTTGAAATTGCTAAAAAAGGGAATCAATGAATAGGAAAAGATGCAAGCCCACCTCGTCTTACTTTCGAAGTTTCAATTTCCTGAGAAAATAGTTGAATTGAGTTGCGCTTATTATTCCATTGTAAAAATTCACTGTTTATTCGTTCAATCTGCTGTTGATAACGACGTTTGTAACCATCGAACCGTTCCCAGAGATCTAACGAGCGCTAGACAAAAAAAAGCACATGCATCAATACTTATAACCAATTTCTCTTTGTTTAACTCACTTTCAGTTTATCTAATAAATCTTGTGCGGATTGGATTTTCTCTTTGTAAATTTTTTGTATGATCTGTACATCATGTTGAACGTATTTCGGTACCATTGGTTGTCGAATTAATTCGTTTCCACGTTGTACGAGTTCATCAATCTCGTCGACGAAACTTTCGATATTCTTACAAGTCAGTGTTTGATGCTGAAATGCCGTTCGTACATCCGATGCATTATGAAACACGGGTGAAATGTTCACAATCTGTGCTAGTTGTGTCTGGATTTGTAAGATATTTTCATGGATAAACTTCGATGGAATGATAATCGAACAGTATTTCGATGTTTCGTCAATGGAAATACACAATTGCTTGTAGCGAGATAGAAGTGCATCTAAACGTTGACGGTAACGAACGGGTTCGTCAGTCGCTTGTTCTTCAATGAGCTCGTCGAGTAAAGACGGTAGGGTTTTCATGTAGGTGGAGATGATACTCATCTGTTCAGCATCGTTCTTAAAAGAAAATTTCGCTTATTTTGACGATTTACAACGTGTGTTTGTCAATGAATACCTTGAATTTATTTACGATGGATTTATATTGTTCGAAAGGTATATCGACGTTTTGCGTATCGATCATCGATCGTTCAATGGTTGTCATCCATGTTTCGACGTGATGAAATCTAAACGGAATGTTTCATTTCAGAAAAAAACTTTGCTTTTCATCTTACTTCTCTTCGAATTCTTGCCATTTCCTCGGTATTGTCTGAAGTTTTCGTTTCACATTATCAATCTTCGCTTGCATATGCATCCAATAGTTCTTTAATTTGATCGTTCGTTGATTAATCTGTTCATTCTCATGCGTAACTAATGTCTGATTCTGTTCAGTTGTACGAATATCATTCGCGAATGTATGTAAATCTCTCATATGAATTTCCATTGTCGGATGGAAGTTATTCAATTGAAAATGTTCATTATGTCGTCGGAGAATCTCGCTGATGTCTTGTTGATGTTCCAATTGTTTTAATTCATGATTCAGCTCGTTTTCTGCGTGTTCTAATTCCTTCACAATGATGCTTTCCATTCGTTCGAATTTCAATCGTAGTAAACGAATCGGTGCATAGCAAACGATGGTCTTCCATTTCAATTCTAGAGTATCGATTAGATATTGAATTTCCTTTTGTTCAGTTTGATCTCGAATGTGTAGCAATTCCCGGCCGGATTGAGTGAAACCATGCAGAATTTTGTCGTCGATGATTTGAAAGAAATCTTTATGTTTGCGAATCAAATAATCGAAATTGTCTTGCTTTTCGTTGACAATCGCTTGTGCTTGATCGATCCAATCTTGTAAATGCTTCAAACGTTGATGGAAATTCTTCCATAATAGCGAATGTTGACTGAATTCGCTTTCCCAATACGAAGCTTGTTGGTTGATTTGCTAGAAAACAAGATAACAGACTTCAGACATGTTTAGAATCAATGAAGTTTACTTGAAATGTTTCAGATAAGTAGCGATACTGTTCATCGATTGAAGAGAAATCCAACGAAGGATAACTTTCATTGAATTTCTTCATTGTAATGATCAATTTCGCTTTGTTTTCAATTAACGATTGATAGTATCCAATCTCCGCGAAGAAATTCTAATAAACAATCAAGTTGATTCAAAAATAGCATAGAAATCGAATAGACACTCCTTACACGATGTTGATCGAGGAACTCTTCCACTCGTTTGACTGGAACTTGAATCGAATATCGGTTCATCAGTTGTTTCGCATCGTTAAACCATTGACAACATTTCGGTAGTCCATCTTCGAACTTATGCAAATAACCCAGCATAGTTTTGTTTCGTTTCAGTATCAATGGTAATTTGTCTTGCATTTGCTGTAATTTGTCATAACATGTTTGTAAATGTCCATTAGTACCATCGTGTCCGAGCGATTGACTCAATTGAACTAAACTTTGAATGTTTTCATTGAACGCGTCGATACCCGATTGAACTTTCTATGAAGAGAGAAAGATATTCGATTGAGAGCGAGAGCTTCTCTGCTTACATAGAGACGATTTTCCTGTTCTTTTAACGCTTTTATTGTACACTCAGGATGATGTTGTAATTCCCTGTCAATTGTTTCTAATGCGTCTAAGATACTCGCACGAGTTGCTAAGAATTCTTCTCGTTTCTTCTGCATCGTCTGATCACGTTCTAGTTCTTCAACTAAATCACAAATATCCTTCCAACGTCGGTTGATGAACAACAATTTATTGCGTAGATTCGCGGCAATCTCATTATCACACACGGACATAAGATATTCGATAGCTTTATGTAGCTGTTCATGAGTTTGACTCCATCGATTGAAATTTGCAAAATAAGTCTAATGAAAAAAACATATAAGTTGATTAGTAAATTGGTTGAAATGACTTAAAGCGGTGGATAAATTGATTTCGAGTGTGTCTGTCCTTGATTAGTGATTGTGCCTTGAAATCTTTTTCTATTTTTAGTATAAAACAACGAACTCTGATGAGAAGAGAAACAAATTTCACATTAATCGACATTATTTCTCTTCCGACAGGAACCTTGCATGAAAATATTTCGTTTTTTCACGGTCATTGTTCAAACTAAAGAACACTTCGAGTCTTCCCGTTCGAAATTTATTGACAGCGATTCAAGGTGAAAGATTTTTTCGTTCAAGTTCAAAGAGAAGATCCCCACTTACAAGTTTCTCGTCCGACGAACGTTGAAGAATTTGTTCACCTTCGTTTAACCATACTTTTAATTGTTCATACGAATTCTGATAGACTTTCCAATTGTCTAAGGTTTCTTGTAATAAATGTTCTTTCGTTTTCAAATCTACCACTGCGCTTTTCAGCGTCTTCCGAATGTTATCAGAATAAGCATGAAATTCCTTCGCTGTTCGATCGTCTGTTTGATATGCATAGATGAAAAGTTCGATATTGATTGTGTGTACAGATCACTTCCTTACCTTTCTTGGTCAACTGACTGTAGCATTGTGCTTTATGAGTTAACTCTCCAACGAGATTTTCGATTATTGTTATGAGTTTTTCATCAAAAATCTTCCGCTAAGCGAAAAAAAAACAACAGATCTTTGTTTTCTTTTTTTGCAACGAAACCCTTCATACTTTATATTCATTGGATAATTGCTCTGTTTGGTTAAAATCACCCTGTTTTTTATTTAAATATTTCATTAGATGCTCTAATTGAATGAAATAAATTTGAATCTTCCAATGCGTTTGTTCGAAATCTAAATAACGACCGCGTTCTTCACTGCTATTCATAATTATATTAAGACGTTCATCGAGATTTGTTAGATGTTCAACAGCAACTTGTTTGTTGACAATCGATGGATCACGTTTTAAACGATGAAATTTTGCTGCAGTCGCATCTTTATCCGCAAAAACCGACTAGAAAGAAATTCGAATGACTTTTTTTGAATGCGAGGCTTTCGTCTTACGATATGCTCTTGATGAAATTGAGTGAAGCGTTGGAGATTCTCTTCGGGTGTTAATTCCGATGGGTTAATGTTGATGCCATGTGCTAGAACTTCCTCTGCTCGATTGATCCATTCTGCTATATGTCGAAGATCACCTGGCAGGTTGGCATCTAACTTCTTTCTCCATCGACTCATTCTAGAGTGAAAATGCGTGTCTTTGTAACGCGCGGCTTTATTATACGTTTACCTGTCAGCGACGTCGTCGAATAAATATTTTAATTCTTTCAATTTTTCACCGGGAAAATGTGGAGATTTGGATTCTTTGCGTTCGAAGGCCTTGCATTGCTTTTGCTTTTCATCAAATTCTTTCACTTCTTTAACATACTCCTATAAAAACCGATGAAGAAGGATTTTTTTTCGAGGTGTTTATATATGGTAGTTTGTTTGTTATGCGGTAGCACTTTTTTCATCTATTACTTCTTCGTATATACATTCATTATCGTTCTTATACCTTCTCTTTATGAACAACGAAGACAAACATACATAAGGGAGCGAGAGAGAGAGCAACGAAGAGAACGAATAGTTACTTTATATTCCGTTCGAATGTCTGTGATAGGTACTTGAATAACTTGCGACAAACGTTGTCGAGTGCCTGCTAACCAGCGAAGAAGTTCACCATGTTCTTTGTTTATTGATCCGAAAGGCTAACAGAGAGAGAGAGAGAGAGGTCGAAGGTTTGTTTAAAATCTAGCGAAGCAATCGATACTTACCAAGTCAGGGAATCGACGAGAAAATTGAGCAATATAGGTCATAATCGATTTTTCGTCTGGTTTAGTTACATCAACATCTGTGCAGAAAAGACAAAAGAATATCAACGTGTTGTTTATTTTAAAATATTAAATATGAGTTCGGCTTTTATTCATCGTTTCACCTTTCTTTTGTGAACATATTCACTAAGATCACTCACAAATGCACCCGTACCACTCTTTCGTAATATGACTTCCATTATTTTAATAGTATAAAGATCAAACAAAAGACAAACCTTCGGCATCAATCAACCGTGGCACACCTAAATGTTGCTCGGCAACATCAAATGCATTTTCTAATCGTTCACGGACATCCATTCGTTTGACACGATGAACATCAATTAAATCCGGTCGTATAGCATGGATTAACACATTGAATGCAAGACCATCACGCCAACTCGTTGTAAAATCTCGTATATCTAACCCATCGATTTTTCTAAATCGAAGGAATTTTTTCTTTGTGAAACAAAATGAATAAACGAGACAACTCACCGTAACAGTTCGGATGAGGATGAAAAACTAAATGTAAGATAGAATGATGTCAGATGAAAATAGAAGATAACATACTCGGAAATCTTCTTTCGAACCCATTCGAGGAGATTATCTTTCGCTTTGTTACGAGCATCTTTCGAATCGTCGTCAATCACATACGTTTCTTGGATCTTGAAATGTAAACATGTAATATCAAGAAAATAAAACAAATTATTTCTATTTAATTGAACTCAATCAGATGTTTTGCACATTTCAAATGACAATAAATATTTTCAATAGGTATTTATAACGAAAGCAGATAATTGAAAATGAATTTAGTTCAACGGAAGTTAAATCACTTTCATAATGGTCTTATTTGACGATGGACATTTTGATTTTTCATCAAGAAACTAAGATTTTTTGACAGAACAAACATCTTCGCTAGTTCCGAAGAGTGTCCTATACTTCAATTCCTATGGAATATGTGTGACAGTTATAATTTCCGGTCAGCCGTCCAACTCTTCTCTTCATATTAACTGAATTTAACGATAAGATGGCAATATTGTGCTTTTTTGTAAACGTTTGAAAGAAGGTGAGAACTATTCATAGCGATTTTCTATTCTTTACCTGAAAATAGAGAATCAACGTCCAAATTAATCCTAAGACGATCGTTGGATTTCCATCAACAATATCAAGCGGTCGGATGTTGACTAATTTGATCTTTTATAAAGACACATTGTGTTTGTTTCGCTAAATCTTTCTAATCTTTCAACAATTACCTTTCGAAGTTCGAGAAATTGCAATGCATTACTGACATTACTCATAAAATGCGCTCGTTTCCTTCCTCGCTCCATGGGCTAGAATGAGAAAAAAATGACGCTGATTAACAGAAATCCTTTTCAAATTAGCTCATGTACTAATGTCTGTCCAGAAAGAGCTTCTAGAAGAGCAATAAGTTTCGTTCCATCTTTAATATCTTCATAAAGATCTTTTATAAAGTAGGGCGGTTCATGTAATGATAAGTAAATATTAATCCATTTGGTAAATGTCTTCTTTTGTACACGTTCTTGTTCATCTAATGAAACAAAAACACGAGATTGCATAAGATCATCGTCCTGTGAAAGGCTCGGTTACTTTGAAGTGAATGTATACTGGTTTCTAAGCCGTGTCCATTGGGAAGCGATCGGGAGGTGAGCATAGCGAGATCCGGAACAAAATTTGTGAGTCGAGATGATGTTGGTGAAAATGCTGATCGAGTTGGACTGGTCATGTTCGAATTCGAATTCAAAAATGAAGACTTCTTAAGAAGAAAAGAGAAAAGTAGTACATTCACTTGGCGAATGAGAACAATAGAAGATGAAGAGAAATAAGGAACTGTTATTGAAGAGCAATACAAAAGAAGAATAAACCATGTACGGTCATTTGTTGCATACAATCGTGTTGTGCATCAGTGAAAACATCTCAAAAAATGAACAGTCCTATCACGATTTAAATTCTTCCGTTTTCTTTCTCTTATTCTTTCTTTTCTTATTACAACTAATTGAAAAAAATCTTCAGACTGACTCTCGAAGTTGTATGCGTAGGAATAGTCTACGATCAAATAAAAACATATATAGTATTTGGCTTCTTTCATAAGACAAGGTGAAATTTATATTCAATGTAGACGAATAGCGGTAAAATCTATTGAACTTTCTGCTTCCCTTCCCTTCCTCCTTCTCTTTTAGCCGTCGTGCACAATTCACAATCAGCTTTATTTTCAATGTCACGCAAATTCTCTGACTCAATCTCTTCGTCATCGGTTCCTCGAAACACAACACGCACTTTTCTCTCGATGATTTATCTCTGATTGAAATCTAACAAGCCGCAGAGTTATAATTTATCGTCTTTTCTCCCTCTCTCTCTCTCTCTTGATTATATCTACTTGCCGCTATTAAATTCAGCTGCAAGCGAAAAATACGTTTCTATTACATTCCAACGACAAAGACAAAAGGTAAAACACTTGACAATTCAAGTGTATGCATATAGTTTTTAATGTTGTATCTCTCCATTCTCTCTTTCTCTTTGTTGTTCACCATCGAAGAAAAAAGAATTCGGGTTTTAAATCTTTACACACATATAAAATATGTATTATTCATCAATAAAAAAAATTGATTCCTAATTCGTACACAGTCAAGAGAGAATCTTTTCGATGTGAACACTAATTTGATCATTCTCATACTAATAAATTACATTGTGCAACTACGATTGAAGGTAGACTGATTATCGACAGTCGTAAAACATTCAGTCTTAACTTCGGACAGTGTCATATAGTTTTACCAACTGAACGTCTGATGAGAGAAAAGCAAAAATGTCGTATGAATATTAACTTCGAGATCATTTTACGATTGTAATTCATCCAAACATCATCAACTGATTTGTATTTATTTTGTAAGATATCTCGTTCGGGAGGAATAAGATTTCATGCGGCTGAAAACATTGATTTTAATCGTGAGATTGCCCGGGTAACACACGTTTTCTTATCAGAACTGATATTTTATTTGTATCAACGATGTTCTAAAACAAAACCGGCTACGGATTTGTTGGATTTCAAAACAGAGAAGAAAGAAAAACAAAACAACCAGTAACAGAAAAAAAAAGAAGACGTTTAAAACAATGTTTCAATCACTGTTTTAACTATTGAAGTAGTCTTGTAATGATTCACCTAAAGTCGATTCCATATCGACAATGACACGATGACATGTTTTTTCGACTTCATCATTTGCATCTGTGAAGAAAACAAAAGCAACTCAAGATGTTTTCATGACAAATCAAATCTTGTACACATACCTTCCATTAGTTCAGCCATGAATGGAATAGCTTCGGGTAGAAGACCTTGGTAATTCATTCCTAACTTGCGCGAAAGTTCTTGCAGAACATTTAACGTTGCGAGACGAACTTTCGAGACATCGGATCGTGTCTTCATTAGAATTTGATAATGTATTTGACGCCAGAGAGCTTCTTCTTTGGTTGCAGCTGTTAAATTAACAATACATGGTGACACATATTGTTGAATCCATTGAGAATAATTCTCATTCGATGTAAAATTGTTCAACTAGAATATGATTACAAATGTTTTCGATTTTTTCGAGGAAAATGCATACTTGATCGACAACTGGCATGAGCAGAATTTGAAAACGATCATCGGTAATGAATCCCACGCTGTCGAATAAGCATAAGTTCGATATTGTACTCAAGATTCCGTTAATTAATTCCAATTGGCTTTCTTCGGCATATTTCTTTCGAAAAGTTATTTTGAATTCATCCGAGCTTTCGCCCGCTGTCTTCGACGAATTCAGTTGATTGAGAACATTTGCCGAATGTTGTATAATATGACCAGCAAATAGTGTAAACAATCCTTTCAATTTCTTCGACAATCTGAAACATTCGTTAGTAGAAGCAAACGAATTCATTATTCTTCGAAGGACTTACATGAATGTCAAGCGATAGAATGTCAAAGTGTATTCTGGTGGAGGTTCATTGTAAACAGCCCATTCATAGATGGTATAGAACAATGGTCTGAATGTTTCCTCCGACAAGCGCATGACTAATTCAGCAAAACAATCGAATATATGATCTTCGTAGATATTCATTTGATTCGGAGCCATTTTCTTCGTGTGTAATGTTCGTAAGGTGAATAACTTGAGAAATAGTTGTTTTAATAATGTATAGTTGTTGCTTAGCTCATCTAGTGTGGCAATCGAAAGAGATTGCTTTAGTAACGCCATTAGAGGTTCGAGATCATTTAATTGAAATTCGTTTTTGTCAATCACGTCGAACAAGATTGGAAAGAGAAGACGATGCGGAACATGAAGAGCCAAATGAGACCACATTGTTCGTAGACGTGTATCGTTTTGGGAGGATGCATGTGTTAACAAAGTGCATGTCTTCAACAAACAAATATAAACATTGAGTAGAAGAGTTCAGTGCAACCAGTACAAGTATTCTTACGCGCTTAATAATTGATGGCAGATACGGTGTGAGATAATTGCACAAAGTTCGAACTAATTTCGACAAACATGCAGTGACGCTTGTGAGTAGCAATTCATTTCTAAAAATAAAGCAAAACAAGCGATGTTATCTGCGTGACGACAGAATGAATGTATTCAACATGTTTATCATGTAGAAAAGGGAAATGAAGGTCATTTTGAGCATAGCACTTTGTTTTTCAAAGTGTATGACTTTCGGTTTTCATTCATTCTATCTGGGCCAAACTGAATTTTAAAAATCTAGAGCAATAGTGAATTATTTTACATACTTGAAAATGCTATCTGATTCGTAGGTTTGCAAGACATGAGGCATAAAAGATGGTAATTCCGCCACTGAATAAACTTTCAATGTAGCACATAATTCCGCTAAGCACAGATAGATGCTGGCACTTAAGTTTGAATGTTGACCACTATCAATCAGACGTAGATGTTGGCAGATAAACGTTAGCGACTGAAACATAAAGAGAAAAATCAGTTGGGCTCCTAGCATTTACATTGACATTTACATTTAGCGGGGTATGAAGAGCATAAAATAATCCTGCTTAACTATGCCATTTTCCTTATCATGAGTGAAACTGACGTAATTTTCGAAATAGAGAGAACAGATTTATCTAAGTACTAAATTCATAGGCGAAAAGATGTTTTTGCGTCAGATGAGATTTTATCAGTTAAGTTTTGACAACGAGTTTGGGCGCTTAAACACGGACGGGCTCATGTCCCGCCGAGATCATACCTAGCTCTCCCTAAACACAGAAAAACGCGCGCAGACGACGCTTTCTCTCAAATCTACTCTCTCGTTACGCGCCCCGATGTGTTATTCACCGAAAATATACAAACTTTCGAAAAACAGTCACCAGTCCGTAGAAAAGATGAAGCATCAAGAGGGGAGCATCGTTTGCTCCCCCTGAACTGTAAAAAGACTCATTTTTGCACCTAATAGTCATAATTAAAGTGTATATATTTAGAATAACATGACGTTTGATTCGGGGGTGCCTTTCTGTTCGTATATATGTATCCGTTTCAGATAACGAAACCCGTTTATTTTACTAAAACATAACTCATAACAATGACACAGGAAGATACAACATCTTTACATGCGCATCGTTCGAAACGTCGAATTTTACACACAAAAACCTTTCGTTTGGTAGCGATGCTTTCGTTAACATTCGGTTATTTCATTGTTGAACTCGTAGTTGGTAATATCACAAATTCGGTTGCCTTAGTAGCTGACGCGTTTCATATGTTATCGGATGTTATTTCGTTAGTGATCGCTATTGTAGCTGTTCGGATCTCTCGACGTCAGACTGCTATCAACACTTATGGATGGGTACGTGCGGAAGTCGTCGGCGCAAATGTTAATACCGTTTTTCTCTTGGCTCTCTGCTTAACAATCGTCTTCGACGCTATCAAGCGTTTCATCCAACCAGAACCTATCGAAAATGTAACTCTGCTGTTAATAGTTGGCTCAGTTGGATTGGGAATCAATATTATCGGACTTTTCTTATTCCAAGGATTTCATGGACATTCACATGGCGGCGGTTCTCATGGTCATTCTCACGGAGGTAAAAAAGCTCACGGGCATTCACACGGTGGTAAAGCCCATGAGCATTCGCATCATCATAGCGAAGCCAATGGTCATGACAATATTGCCATGGATAATGTTGATACGCCTAGTCTAACGACGAATGCGTTTGACAGACATAGCAAAAGAGCGCTAAAAGAAGTAAGACGATTGTAACTATGACAGAGGAATACATTTTGATTGAATTTTATTAGACTATCGCGGAATGTGCCCATCAAACTGATGAACAAGCGGACACAGTGATTGAAATGGAAGATAAAACTTCGGAAAAGCCAAAAAAGAAGGCATCAATGAACATGCACGGAGTATTCCTTCATGTACTAGCTGATGCTCTTGGTTCAATTGTTGTAATCATCAGTGCCTTAATGATCAAATTCATTCCACACGATCCAGAAAACACGAAACATTGGACGGTGTATATCGATCCAACTCTATCTGTTATTATTGTAATCATCATCTCAGTGTCAGCATTGCCACTCTTTCGTGATACTTCTTACATTCTTCTACAAACCATTCCGAATCATCTCGAAATCAGCGAAATTAAATCTCAATTACTAACTACCATTCCTGAAGTATACGGTATTCACGAACTGCATATTTGGCGCTTAACTAACGAAAAAGTAATTGCTACTGCACATCTAAGTCGACCGAATCTGTCGAATTACATGTCAGTTGCTGATAAAGTCAAACAATTCTTTCATTCCATCGGTATTCATTCAGTTACGATTCAATACGAATGTGAGGATGAGATGAAAATCGATCGGAAACAGAACGAATCAGATCAATCGAAGAAGATTGCCGGTGATTGTTTACTTCGTTGTGCAGATGCCGAGTGCGATACTCAAACTTGTTGTACGAAAACATCAGATCGAACCAATACTCTCTTGAATGATAAAGATCCGATAGAAATCTTTTCAATTACTCAACCGAATCAATCAAATCATTGAATAAATGAACTGTACAGTTGAAGTAAACACTTACCGATGAGAAATCTGTCGGATGCTTTTCTGCTAACCGTTTTGCTAATAATTTTATTGTAAATAAAGCTGTCTGTGCGGTTTGTTCTTGTTCATGTGTGGAATATTTACTAACGATCGTCAATATATTATCAATGTATGGTAAAAATAAGACAATCTAAAGATATTTTTGCAATTAAGATCAATAATTTCTTTTCTCTAGAAGTACTCACTTCACTCTCCGGAGTAAACTCATCTTTCAATCGTGTATTCAGAATATCCAATGTTTTTCTTTGTAATTTATCGTTTGTTTGTTGTTGTTGAAGCAAGTTTGAAATGATATTAACAAACATCGAGCCGTGTAATAACGCGATACTTTTGTTTAAGCAGTCGAAGATCTTGTTCAAGATCGATTTATTGTACCGACTGATGTCAATATCATCTTCGGAGAGTTTATTTGCCCACAATAAACAATGAAGAATGGTCTGGATCAATTCATTCAAATAATTCATTTCGTTTTCTTGATGTAAACCTTTCTTGATCTAATAATCGTCGAATTCAATGATTCAGGACTGAATTACAAACTGAAACTTACCATTTTCATGAAGAAATCTGCGGAGAGAATGTTGTTAACGAATGTTAACAATTGATATTTAAGAACATGAATATGTTTGGTTGTGTATAAACGTAAATCAATTAAATGAGAATATGTTGGTGGTGTTGATTGATTCTCTACGAATGAAATAATCTTTCATGAATAGAAATCCACGGGGGAAATGAGATGAGTTACTTAGAACTCGATCGGGCAGATTTAACACAGTTGCGAGAATACGTGTGAGACTGATAAGAATCGTTGCCGATGAAAATTGATTGAAACCATTCAACATTTGTTCACTACCATCGATTAAAGATTTCTATATTGAAAGATGAATTCAATAATGAAGTATTTTGCAAGAAGAACATTTACCTTTAATGTTTCTTCATTCTTGCGATTGATCGGTGAGAGAAGAATTCCATCGAACAATTGAATCGGTGCAAACCAAAGACATTCGTCTTGACCAATCGATTCCATCAACATACGGAAGATATCTTGACGACGATGAGCAGGCAAATGTGCCAATGATGTGACGAACACATGTGTAATCTTCGCGAGAATCGGTCGACGTTGTTCAACAGTTTTTTCCTTCAATAATCAATCACAATCTTTTCTTTCATTCATAAATTAAATTCGATTTACCTTATACAACGATGGTATGACCGTTTTGATTGTTTTCTCCATAACTTGATAACTGTATAGATCATCCTTACGTACAAGACGATCACCAACAAAAGCAAACATTGCCATTATCATACTGATCAATTTCTCCTGCAATTATCATAATAACAAATCTTACGAATAGTTTTTTCCTCAGTTTGACTACTTACTGGAAATAGTTGCGCGCCTTTGGATAGAAGCATGAGACATTGCTGTGTGGTATGTAAATCATTAGTACGTTTCATGCATTCCATAACAATTTCACTATTGAATATGTCCGGGTTGCATTCATCTAGAGAAACACGTTAAGAGAGATTCTTTTTCAGCGTTTTGAAACTTACCTGCTTTTAATTGCGTATAAAGGTTGAGTAGCGCTGTAGTACACAATTGATGAATGTATGTCTTTTGCTCGAAGTCAGTTGTTTGATTTAACGATTTTTCCAGAATGAGAAAGAGTGGACGAATCAAGTCTTGCCGTTGCTCAATGATTAATTGATCATCATGTAGAAGTTCTAATGAAGGTAACAAACTCTTCCAGTTGATCGTTGCACTGATTGTATTTGATGATTCGGTTGGTTTGGAAACAATCAACTTTTTATTTGATAAACGGTTTTGTTGGGTATTGGAAGCATTCTGTTGAACATCGGGCTCGAGAATCGACTTCCAGTACGTTAAGAAATGTTTCGCATTGAAAGTGAACTGAAATGAAGAGACATACATCACGATTGATTGACGAATCCTTGATAAGTGTCGATGAACTGACCTTTGAAAGTGTGGATTTGATGACACTTGTTAATTGTGCGGATTTCGAGCGTTGCCATAAGGAGAAGCATTCATTTATCAATTGCATCTGTTTGTCGAATTCAGATGTCAACGATACAAACATCTCCGGTGTGAACTGAATCAAAATTTCGAGAAGAAATTCAAAGAAACTTGTTTCTTACTTGTTTCAATGTTAAGATCATCGTATCGATGGTTGCAATGGCTTTCGATTTCTTAACTGACCGAGCCAAGATTTGTAGAATGAATTCGAAACAAAGTGATTGGTCTTGTATGAGAGTTTCATAATCAATATGACGAATAATACTTTCCAGAAAGACTTTATTCTCCGGAACGATCAAGTATTGTTCCGATTGTTGAAGCAGATTTTGTAAATCATCGCGATATTCATTGAATATCGACCAATGTTTGCATTGTTTCAACAATTCCAGTAGGTAGATATGGAATTGTTGTTGCAACTTTTTATTTAATCCTTCGTTCTTATCAATCGTTTGTTTGAGCAACTGGATGAGTGATGATTGATCGGAATTTAATTTGCGTTTTTTCTTCTCGGTTAGTTTTATCGATTGGACTAACTGTGAGATTAGATGGCAAATGTATTCCGAATCAGTGATGATTTCGTTTTCATGATGTTTGATTGTTTGGATGAATAAATCGAAATCATTCGTCGTATATTTGATTTTGCTTTGAAAAAGCTTCAGGACTGTCGAACGAATCGTTCGAACAGATGAATGGAGAAGAAAACCGAAGATTAGAACGGAAAGATTGTTGTATTCCGCTGTTGGACATTGTTTCAGAAGGTATTTTAAGATAATTTCTTGTTCACGAGATTTCTCTGTGAAATTAAGATAATGCTCAGCAAGGAAAACAACTAGTTGATTAGCGGATGAAAATTGTTCATTGAAAAGAAGAGAGAGAAAAGAGATTTTCTCTTCTGAACATAACCATTGTATACATTCAGATAGAAAGTCATTCCAAAATGCCGATTGACTGGCATCTACAAGGAAACGAATGCAAACAGAAAGAAAAACAGGCTGGTTTACTTTTTGGCAAAGCTTGAATGAACAATTTCCAGAGTGTTGAGTAACTTGATGAAATAAACGGATGTTTTTTTACTACATGAGTCTCAAGAAGAGTTTGGTAATCCATCGTGTTTGTTTTTTCATCATCTGGCAGTGTAATCTTCAGAAGATAAGCAAATTCTAGGGTTGGGAATGTGGATAATCGAATGACTTACTTCTTTCGCTAATTTTTTCAACAATTTGAAAATCATAACAGTTGCTAATTCAATGTACTCATTAACATCTTGTTGTTTTATTGTTTCGACTCCAAGTAGAGTGTAAATGATCGCAAATTTGATCCAATTCGGTCGATTGTGTTCAACAAGACGTAAGACTTCATCATGTTCCTGTAATAATGGTAATAAAACATCCTTTCGTTCACTGGTATTCGTCAATGATTGAATAAACGTTTCAATCGTTGATGATAACGTTTCCATTGTTGCCGATTTAAATACTTTCTTCGTTAGTTTAAGTAACGGTGAGAGAGAATGTTTGTGTTGCTTGTAACTATCCAAGAGATTATTTAGAAGATTCAATTCCGACGGTGTTGTTGGAAATAGTAAATGAAGATATTTATTTTCACTTGTTGAATCAATAGATAACAAACGGACGATCGATTGTTGAACTGCTGACCATTCGTCGGTTTCTCGCTGAAGAATCTTCTGTAAAATATCGTTAATTTGCTGATTGTTTGTGAGATTGAGTTCTTCGAGAAGACAGATCGCTTCCTGAACAACTTTTGCTTCATTATCAGCCAATCGAGATAATAACACATCAATGAGAAATTCATTTTCAATATTTTGCTTCGACTTGACTCCTTCGCGAATACGTTGCAATGCTTCGATACGTAGTTGAGCTTGTGGGTGGTTGAGACAAATGGCGAGTGAGGCATGGTCAGACAACGGTTGGTGTTTGAATCCAGTCGCTGTCATCGATGCGAATTCTCTAATACGTTTTCGTTCTTCACTCGCGGAACAATTCTCTGTTTGTTGACGAATGTTGTCGTCGAAGTCGATGGGATATTTGCGTTCGATAATCGAAGCTAAGGACACTAAATAGGTATTATTTTTACCAGTGAAGTGTTTGATAAAGCAATTGATGATGAATTTCAGGATTTGAGAATTGAATTTCAGTGTGTTTAATGTTTTTTCAATCAATGTCGAGAATTGTTGTTCGTGGTCGGTTTCCATTTGATTGGCATCTTTGATGACATGATTGAGCAGTTGCTCGAACCATCCGCAAAGGAAATTATCGATGCGAACTTCGCTGGATAGTTGAAAGATTTCGTCAATGATGTTTGGCATGTTGCACAACTTAAGAAAACATCTGTGAAAAGAGAAAAGACGAGTTGGTGATTGATCATAAAGTTTAAATATACCGATCGGGTAAAGAAAGATGATGTTGGTTATTGAGAAAAACCGAAATGATCAGAAGATTTTCTTTGACGATATCATCAGACAAACCCTATGAAGGAAATAAACGAAGAAATGAATTCGATTGAGATTAGTTGAATATACTTTGGAAACAATGTTTAATATTTCGTCTTGAATATTTGTTTGAAATGTGAATATATTCGATAGATGTGAAAGGATTAAATAAGTTGCTCGTTTATAATCGACAGATTTCGATTTTAAACCTTTTAATAAGTACGGCATGAGATGAGCGATGAAATTCTCTTCGTTTAAATTCGTTTTATTCTTCTTCTTCTTTTTCTTCTTGTGCGATAATGAATGTAAAATAGTCGAACACAAAGTTTTCAAATAGAAATTGATTATCACACGCAATGACGAATGATTCGAACCGAATTCCTAAATTTAAATTCGATGAAACAGTAAATATGTTTCAGTAATTCATTACTTTCACCGCCATAGCAGCTGATTCACAGATGAAATTCAGAAACCCTAAATCAGTTGCACACCGATTAGCCATAACAAGACCGGGAATCGTTGTACCAGCATCCTAAACCGACTTTCATTCACATCTCTGTTCATTGGGATAAAATTTTTTACTTGAGCTGATTTCAGCCATGCCCAATTACTATTTTTCTCATTCAGACGAAACATTTGAATAGCCCGTGCGAAATAATTGTGCTCATGATACGGTAATATGCATCGCATGAGATCATCAACATTGTAAAAATGAATGAAGAATCTTGAAAAGAAAATTTCATTTTCTGCTTTGAGGGAAATACAACATATCTTACCGATGTATTAACCATTCGAGTGCTTTATGTGCTGGACTGAGTAGAAAATATGGTGAAAGACGAATAAGAAATCGTCGAATAGTCAAGTTCAACGATTCATTGACTTCTTTTGTTTGTATACTACGTTCGAATGTCAGACTTGTATCACTAAATAGTACTCGTTCGAATTCTTCAAAACCGGAGTCAAGTAAACATAGTTCTTCGAAGCCATTCGTACCTGAAAAATGAGTTTATATGAAAAAAAGACGGATCATATCGTTCCGATCGGCTTACCAAGACAATAAATTGTTTCGCGATCAAGTGTCGAAGCAACTTTCGGATCATAGAGAAACGATGCACGTTTACGATTTTCACTATCAGTCAATTGCCATTGCGTATGAGCATCAGCAAGTTTATTCAATTGTAACTTCAATGAAGTCATTTTGAAATCTAACCAGACGCAAAACTGATTGCAAATAGGTTCGTGAGGGCAAATACATTGAAATAAATCAATCCCATTCGCGGAGAATGATTTCGAATAAACTTTCATACATTGCGCCTCCTAGTCCAGCTATTCACTCCAACATCCAACGCCATCTATTCGAGAACTTTGATTAATAATTTCTATACGGAAAAATATTTTTATTTCTGTAAGACTTGTCAAGCCCACGACTTCATTTGCAGAGTAAATCTGATTTTGAAAAGTAGACATAAACAGATTTGTTTTTAATAAAATAATCCGACGTTTTCATTCACACAAAGTTAGAAATGGTACAAAAGATTTGCATTAGAAGTCATTTGTTGTAGGATTGACATATTTTTATGTCTGAATGCACAGCAAATATATCCCCGTATACCTCAGTTTCTTTTTATAATTTCATTTTCCGAGACACAAACTAGAACTGCGATCCTTAATGTTTTTCCAGTGTTTCAGTGTAATCAAACGTAATCATCGATGATCTATTTGTGCCTGATGAGTTCCAGGTAAATTGCTGAGTCTTTCTCTCAGCCTGAAACTTTGTTGGTGTTAATTGAGAAACTTTCTTTCATACACTCACTCATCCTTATATATTCGCCTTTTAATTCCAAGTGAAAGTGGTTTCTAACAAATTCTTGAACAAAAGCCTGGACTTAGACATAATCGGATGAATGCGGGTCTCTGCAAAGGAGAGAAGCATATATTTACTAAATATATGCTTATAATCTTCATCATACGAAGACCGAAAGAAGAAACATCAAATCAATTCATTACTACGTTTCTCAGTAATCGACTAGAGAAAAAGGGGATCAAAAGTAATGAAGTAAATAAAAGAGAAACAGCTAATAACATGTATTTTCTTCTTATACATGTATCAAGGACAAAAACTAACTGACAAAACAGCAAGTAACCCTATCTGTGCGATAGTAAACATATAATTCATAATTCAGTAGGTAGTTCGAAACTGAATATGATGAGTAGACATTTATGAATGAATACGAGGGGAAATGCGAGCCGGAAACGATAGAAAATAGTCGTGGTTATCAATAGAAACACAAGAAAACAACTAGTAGAGACCATTCGTACATATGTTAACATCGATCTCTAATCGAACTAACAAAGTCTCACAGCGACAATGTTATTTATCTGAAGTTATCGATTACGAGATGAGTTCTTTCCCTATTAGTTCTCGATCAATAAATAACAGCAGAATATTATGAAGATCTTCGTGTGTGTTGATCTAATTTGAAAATAGTTTTCATTTAATTTCTTGCACTATAAGTTTTCTTCATGCTTCGGAAAAAAGTGCAAGTAACTGTTCCTGATTTCTCGTTTTTCACAGAGAAACAAATCTCTCATGTGCAGCTACGTTATAATTATAATAATTAATTCAAGATATAATGATCTCTGTTGTTTTTTTTCTCGTCGCTTCTTCTTTTTCTTTTTTCTACCTTTGAGACAAACAAGAGAAGGAGAAAAGAATGCCGGAGAGGTGATAAATTTTCGCAAACGTCCTCCACACGATATATATATGAGCACTTATTTATTCATTTACCGAATGCAATAATCATTTATTATAAAGTTACGGTAAGTTTTGATTGTTCTGCATATATATATATATTTAGTTAACGTTCAAGCATACGTCCTCACGTATTTATTGCCATATGCAGATGTTTGGGAGAAAAAATCTAGCATAAAACTTTTTCTTCGTCTTTGTCCTAGTTTTTTTAAAAGCCGATGTAAGAACACATGCTCATATAAGCGTATATGGTAAGACGAGCATTTACAGTGTATCATTAAAAGAAAGACTTTTATTATCATTTCATTCCTCTTTTATATCTTACGCATTGTTACTAAATTCTAGTAGGAGAGGAGAGAAAAAGCGGTAAGAAGGGCTTTGCATTCTGGTGACATGTCATTTGATAGATAGTGAATTCTGACAAGTAATCTATCTAGTTGGCAAAATCATATTTTTCTTCTTTGGAAATAAAGTTCTAGAAACAGACATGATTGAACGTATCATTGGCTTTGCTGCGTTGACAATTGTGACGATTCTTGGTAATGTGATTATTATAATTGCTATTTGTGTTGAACCTCGATTAAAAAGTGTATGTGTTTTTTGAATAATTCACTGTGAATAACTTTCGATTTTAGGTGAGCAATTATCTCATAATTAATTTAGCTGTTGCTGATTTCTTTGTTGGCACAACCGTTATTCCATTTATATCTCTATGGGAAGTCTACGGTGAATGGCAATTTGGCGTACGGTTGTGTAACATTTGGTTATGCTGTACTTTATTATTTTGCACCGTATCGTTTTTAACAATGTCTGCAATTGCATTGGATCGATATTTGTATTTGATTGAATCTAAAATGGACAGGAAAAGGCGGACGGTACGACGAGCTTTCTCATTAATTATATTAACTTGGTTAATACCAGCTATGGTATGGCTGCCAGGTATGTAGAGGTTGAATTGTTGATGGCGAAGAATGACGATTTTGTGTTGCTAATTGCAGGTGTATTTGCACATAGTTATCTCGCTGAATATTCGCCTATTGTTCTACCGGAAAATGGTTGTTATTTACAAGCTCGTGCTGTTTATGTTTTAATTGCAACGACTCTACTTTTCTTCTTGCCGATGATTGGAATGATTGTTCTATACATAAAAATCTTCCGTGTACTACACGGTCAGATGAGTAAATTATTAATTTGGTTAACTGAGGTCAAACGGAATAGTGGTGATCGTACGTCTCAAACCACTGTTTTCGATCCATTGACAGGGATGTGCAACGAAGGAACAGGCGTTGGACGAGGACCTGTATCGACGGCGAGCACCACATCCAATTTTCATCAGCAAAACACACGCTGTTCCGCACATGGCAGTATGAATGCTAACAATTACATTCATCACCACGCACGTATAGCAAACAATTACGCAATGAATCGAGCATTGAAAAATCTTCCTCACATCGAAACAAGTAAATACCGTTTAACATCCACATCGACTCTCCCACCATCATCTCCTTCGCCAATGCAACCAACGCCACAACCACAACTAGAACCCTTACCTTCTACTCCTACTGTACCGTTGAATACAAAACATAAATTTCGTCGTGCCGTTCACGCGATCGTCTGGCTCGGACGTACACGAGATATCGCCGGAACACACAAAGGTTCGTTTAAAGAATATCGTGAAAGTTCTCAAGCACGTACAAATAAGAAGTTATTTTACACGTCAACATGGTCATCGTCGGCAGCATCAAACAATAACACGTTACGACTTTCACGTAATTCAACATATAGACGTGCAATATCGACAACAGATTCTCTGTTACAAAGGCAGATAAGTCTTGCACGACGACAACAACAACAAAAAGTGCGTTTAGCAAAGCAACGCCGCGTCGCACGTACACTTGGAGTGCTTATTTTTGTTTTTCTCGTGTCTTGGTTACCCTTCACTATTCTCTGGCCCGTTCAACGATTCTTTGGTATTCAGTACGTATCAAATAGTTTATTAAGGAAAACACTTTGGCTGACATATGCAAACACATTTATTAATCCATTTCTTTATTTTTTTTCGAATAACGATTTTCGTTATGCATTACGACGAATTCTAAAATGTTGCTTACGACAAAACGGCAGTAGTACAAATATACAAGGCAAATAGACAAAAACGATTAGGCGGTTTTTTTTCGAGCATATAGTTTTTCTTGATTATCTGTTAAATTTAATGTTTCATGAACAAAATGTTTTCTTCCTTCAGTAAAATCAGCTACGACATCACCATGGCCTTCAACAATCCACTTTGTTGTCAATAAACCTTCAATACCTACAGGACCACGTGCATGTATACGTCCCGTGCTGATTCCAACTTCAGCACCTAGTCAAAAGGAAATCATTCATTTCAGCTAGCGAGGAGAGATGATGAGCTTACCTAAGCCGAATCGATAGCCGTCGGAGAAACGTGTACTGACATTATGAAACACGCAGGCGCTATCTACGTTATTAAGGAAACTACTAGCAGTATTCTCTAGAAGAAAGTAAGAAAAGGACATGTCGGAGATTTTTTTAATAAAAATTTCAATATGACATACGATTTTCTGTAACAATGGAATCAGTATGGTTTGAACTAAATTTATTAATATGATCGATTGCGTCTTTTACGTCATCAACGACTTCGATTGAACATTGCAAGTCACCGTATTCAACACAGAGAGATGTTGCTGATGGTGGCGGAAATGGAATCATCGTTGCCAAACGTGGACCTGAGTATACTTTGACCTAAATGGCAATTTTGTACAAGTAACATTATCAGCGGGAAGTATTTGAGTCATGTTATTATTGAAGTAGTGTTTTTCTCATGTTGAATTATCGTCAAAAATCCAATATGCAGTTGTTTTTCTTTCCCTTATCAAAATCTGATGAGAACAACAAAATCTGTTCTTATTTTTGTTGTGTTGTATCCCAAAAATAGAGTACTCTTATCTTAGCCGCATTGATTTCTGAATCAATCTGCGAAAGACAAACAAAAAGGGACTTATCCATACCTTTTCAAGCCGTAATAAGTCAATCAATGATTCAAAAAATGGCGTTCGAACAAGGTCCTTGTGAATAAGTAAAGTTTCCATTGCATTACATGCGCTTGGATAATCACATTTAGAATCTCGAACTAATTAAATAGATGAAAAAGAAAATGAAGAAAGTAATCCTTTTTGCTTTCGTCATACTGATGCGTAAAGCCATATCTAAATCTGCATCTGTATCGACGTAGACATGACAAATGCCTTCTGCATGACCTAAGACAGGTATTTGTAAACTTTGTTTTTGTACAGAACGGACAAGATCATTTGAACCACGTGGAATCACTAAATCGATGTATTTTCCTAATTGAAGAAGGTCTGATACTTGTTCACGGGTGCTGATCTGCAAGAATAAATGACTTAAAGATCGAGTAAGCAGATAGATATTTACTAAAGAAATCGTTTCACGAGGAACATAAGATTCGAGTGCGTCTTGCATCAATTTTGTTAGAATTTCATTGGAATATTTTGCTTCGGAACCGCCTTTCAACAGAAGGCCATTACCAGAACATATCGAGAGAGCCGCTATTTGCGGTAAACTATCGGGTCGGGATTCGAATATGACCAAAAGAACCCCAATGGGTGTTGTAATTTGTTTCAACATTAAACCGTCTGCAAGACGTGTGCGTCGAACTGTTTGTCCTAGATTGCATGCAAAGGAAATGAATCTACAGCGGAATGAAAAGCTGAAGTGATGAACAAACCAAGTACGTCCGCTTTTTCCGCAATCTGTTGAAGACCGACAGATAGGGTTTGTAATTTCTTCTCTGATAAGCCGAGACGAGAGACTAATGATGATTTGAGACCTAGATGAGAAAGTTCTTTTTTCGAGATTATCGTAAGTTCAATCTATCAAACCAGTTTTTTTCGCCTGTTCCAAATCAAACTTATTCGCTTGAAGAATATCGTTTGAATAATCAAGTAAATTCGATGCCATTTTATTGATAATCGATCGACGTTCGTCGCTCGACAGCTTTTGTAATTGCCGACTACCATCGCGTGCTATAACAAACATCTTATTCCATTTATTCGACTAGAAACGTCGGACACCTACCTTTTACTGCTTGTACTTCAGCTGGTACACCTTGATTCGGAACTTTTGTAAAGAATGTTCCGATTTGTTTTCCATCCATAATATTCAACATTCCTTTGTCGAGTTGACCATTGCTAATAACAACACCAACGTTATGCTCCAATGCCCATGATGCGCATTTGACCTAAAGCACAAGCTGATTTTCAGCAAGAAGAAATGAGAAATTCAAATATACCTTCGATTCCATTCCACCTGTGCCCACTTTAGACCCAGCACCAAATGCAATCATTTGTGCATCTTGCTTTGGACAAAAGGTATGCAATAATCTCGAACCTTCCTGATCCGGTGGCCCTGTATACAAACCGTTCACATCACTCATAATCAATAACAAGTCTGCTGATATTAACACAGCTAATCGTGCGGCTAATGAATCATTATCATTGATGACTATACCATCTTTAGCTGCTGTCACTTCGGCATCTGTGTCTAATATTGCTGCAACAGCATCATTGGTATTAAGAATAGGAATAATATTTAAATTGAGTAACTCATCCAACGTAGCTTGCAAATTCTTTCGGCTATGCGAATTGTAAAAATCGCTCTTAGTTACTAGGACTTGTGCCACGCCGATATTATATTGTTGAAACATGCGTTCATAAAATGACATGAGACCTTTTTGTCCAAACGCCGCACACGCTTGTCTTTGTATAGCTACTCGACTGTTTTGCAGCATATCTTTTGGTGAAAGAGATTTTCTCATGGTCATTGTCATCATTGCTTCTTGACGTAGAACTTGCCGACCGAACGCCACTGCTCCACTGGTGACTAATAACATTTGTCGACCTTCATTTTGCAATTGCGAAACCTGTTCAACTGTTGATGCTAGACGACCAATTGCCAGACCATCTTCGTTTTCACGTGTAATCAAAGCAGTACCCAGTTTAACAATAATACGACGCGCATCTTTGATTTCACTGCGTGTCGTAATAACCGGTTTCTTTGGATTGATTGTTCCATTCTTACTGAATACTACAAGAGATCAAATAGATAAAGATGACGATGGGTTTAGACGTGTATATTCACATGATGAAACTGTGCTTTGAGTACGTTTCAGTGACAAATTCAACGGGCTGATTCTATTCCACGAGGAATGACCATAACGAAACAAGACTGACATTCTTCACCTGCGTACGTATATCTGAATGTAATCTCACCTGTGCACTTTTACACTGACTTTTATTTGTTAAAATTCACTTGTCTTATCACCGATATGATGAACACCACAAATTCGCACGAGATAATGCGTGTTGGATGATGCAAGCATCGCCTAGATATATTTGACATGCAGTGACAGCGTGGACACTTGCACGATGCTCTGTACTCGATAAAAAGCATATCATGCAGGATCAGAAAGCAAAGTTTCACCTGTTATCATTGAGTACATGTGGAGAGTACGTTCTTTTTACTTCTATCTCCAGTATGTTATCTTAAAAGAAGCAGTTATTCTTTCCGTATTGCAATGCACATACTTGTGGTAAAGTTTAGCTTGAGATATTGAACTAGTTATTTCAGTAAATGTAAATTTTGTGAATTATTTATGAAACTCTTATGCCGTTTCGGGTTTATGAGACATCAGACGGATAATTTTATTTCGAAAAAAAAGTACGAGTCTGTGTGGGTCATTGCGAACTATGTCTACACATTCTTTTTTCATCGCATATGGAATGATAAGATAAGTCAAATTCGTATCTTTCACACGAATGTTGATTATTGAAACGAATAAATCAAATTTCACCTTTGAATATTTTCTGAAGACTAAAATATGAGGTTCTACGAATATCAATATCACCGATCCATTGGAATGTGCGATATAGAAGAGTCTAATCAGAAGCAATTGTTTGTTTATTTGCAAATAGACTCGTTCTTTGATATAGATGATTGCGCTCAACTTTCAATGATAAGAATTCTTTTTGTTCGCATTCTTGTTGGACAATAACATCTGTGAGTTCGGCTGTTAATTACAAATTAAATCTCGCAGCAAATGTATGCCATACGATTATTATCATTATTTAAAAATTAGCTCGATAGGCATGGAACTGCATGAACGAGTGTATTGGCACATATGCAAAATAATTACTATTATCTGTCATGCAGTTTCCTTTTATTAATGACAAGCAGAAAAGAGGATTATACAAAGCTTATCTTTCATTTTGAAAAGAATACATCACCAATGCGTCGGTAGATTTCATAGAAAAAGAAAAGATATCTTTTCTATTGGACATGATTCGCTCTACAATTCTTTAGTTTGGATGTCATTTCTTCAGCACATTCTTCTTTGCCATTTGACCGTTGCTAAGCCACGCATGAACATTTCCTCATCATATTATCTAGTTCAACAGCATTGCCTCGATGATAGTGTATGTGAAACTGAGCGAAAGAAGGGTCGAGATCGCATCCATATATCGGAAATCTTGGCTTTTGTAATCAGGTTCGTGTACAAGGTCACTAGAGTCGAAGTGACGAATAAGAAGACAGTGTAGATAAAAATTAGATCACATTCATTCATATTTCAAAAAATATCGAAAGGAGAACTATCAATACTAAAACTTTCTGCTGCTAAGAGAATCTTATAAGACTAGTATTGATGTCTGTTTCTCGTTGGATATGCTGGTATTGATCCATTATTGATGAGTATTTATTCCTGTTTTATCATCATTCCAACAAAAGGTTTGTTGATTCTAAACGATTTCTATATACATAACAGCTGATTAACTAACATCATTTGTTTGAAAATTATCTGTGATTGTATAATAATCATCTTTCTGACATTTAGTAATTACCCTTGACATTATTCCAATGATTATCTTTATCTTCCATATTCATCTCTAAATCAGCGTGTTTCTCGTTAGTTTTATCTGATTCTACTTTTCTGACAGAGACGTAGAATCTATTCCGACTCTTGCTGGATATTTACACAGCCGTCAATTACTATCAAATGGTAATATGATTAGGAGAAGGAAAAGTCTGTTTGAATTTCCTTTTTCCTAAACGGAAAGCTTTTAAATAATTCAAATACATACAGACATTTCAAATCGATATGTACAATCATGACTCGGACGAGACGAAACAAAACAATCCACATTTGAATAAATTGACATTTCTTCTCGTTTTTTTTTTATTGACGGTTATGGGCTAAGGGAAAGCACATATCATCTAGTGAGTAAACATATAAGAAAACAAAACAAAACAGACACGTGATGACCAAAGGCCACGGGAAGGTCTCCAGGCTGTGTTAAGTAGCATATAGAGTGACATATTCAAAGAAAAACTGTCGTGAAATAAAATAAAATAATCTTCATGTCGTGAACGAAATCACCTTTCATCTTCTTACACAACCTGTCATTTCTGCGGCATCTGGATATGACTGGCACCAGAGGAAGTTGCATATATGTATATAGGTATAATGATGTAAAGCTTCCTGAGAGCCTGATCGCGATTGACAAATATATATATAGCGTACGAGTATCACAGATCGAGCAACTTTGCCTTATTTTACACATCAGTATCTTTCGCTGATTTGTTCGAGTCGGAAATAGTTTCTGGTTTATCATTAGTTGATAGTTGTTGAGTTAGTCGACGCGCAAATGGTGGTAAAGGAGGTGGTGGAATGCGAGATGGTCGTTGTCGATGATTCAGGTTTGATGTATTACCATTCTGATAGGTAACGTTTGTTCCGAAGATACTCGTATCGATATTATTTTCAGTGGAATTCGGATGTTGATTATGCGTAGTCGGATAGAGATGATTGGTGGTTTTGAATCGGATCCATAGTTGATTAATAATTTCTGTTACAACGAGATCACTGCTATTAGCAGATAATAAACGTGTGACAAAAACGCCATCGTCTTTTAAGTAGTGTAGGACGAAATTGCGTGCTAATTGTCGTTCTTCTTGAGGATGAAACGATGACATGATTCCAAGGTGTCGTCGAATAAAACGGACCTTTTCATCTAGGAATAAAGACGCAGAACAGTGAACAAAAGATTTCTTAATTATCATTAGTTCTCTCGGTATAATCAATGCAAATATCTTATCAGGAAAAGCGGATGTCGTCTTGATGCCTAAATGTTTATTTATTCCCAATAGGAGCAACGAATTTGCATTTATTGTTTTTTCATGAGACAATCTCAAGAGATTTGAGTCTTGAGGAACTTACTTGGAATCGTACAGTGATATAACCAAAGGAGAAAATCATAGACCGTTGCTAAAAAGGATGAATTTTAATTGAAATCAATCGAAAGAAGAAATCTTACCAGCACTGATTGATATAAGCCAAAACCATTGAATAATAAAAATGACTTCATTAAATAGATTTATTCTCAAAACACATTGAACGGTATAAAAGTGATTGATGCCAATCTCTCGAATTTTGAAATCACTGCAAAGAAGAAGAAGAAGACCAACACGATACTTTCGAGAAGTGAGAAATTGAAATGTAGGTTTACCAATAGGTCACTTTGGGAAAATGTCGATTTTCTGTCCAGCGTTGATTTTTTAATAATTTCTCAATGACTTCGAATCCGAATAAATAATAATCATTTCCTAGGAAAGCATTTAATAAAAATAATTGTGCTAAGGCATTAACAAGCCACATTAGTTTGACAAGAAAATACACGATAACAAGATAATTGCCGTAATGACGATTTGAACAGAAGAAACACATACGAAACATTCGACGAAGACACGAAAAGCGCTTTTCGATATGTCGCCGAGTCAGTTGGGCACGTGCTGATATATAACGTTCAATATTAACAATCAAATAACTCATAATTCGATCTCGTGATTCATACTGTTCAACTTGTTCGTATTTCTAAACATTCATTTCATCGTTTTCGCAAGATATTTCAATTGAATAATCAATACGTACTATTGCAGCATCGACAAGATTGACTAGATCAAGGCCTGCTCGAAAATTAAGCGTGCGCCATACAATGCGAGGAAAGTAGAATAGAAATGCTTGAAATAATAAGATAAATGGCACCCACTGATAGTAGAGCTAAGAAACAGAGAACGAGTGCATTACAGGTAATCAATTATTCATTTACGATATCTTTGTTTCGTCGACCTGGTTCATCATCAGGTAATTCTTGATCGATTGGAATATCTAATAAGAGCATATGAATACAAACAAATACTTCGAGTTCAACGACTTACAGTAGGTGTTCGCAATCCAACAATAACTATCTGTATAAGCCTCATATGAAGGTTTGAATTGAGCTGGTACCTAATTAAACGATCACACGTTGTGTACGTTATGTTATTGCAAAAGATAATATTTACCCAACAGTCGATTGGATCACCTAATAAAAGAATTAATAAAGATAACAGGAATGAACGATTGTTTATATAAACATCGATAAATGACTTACCCGCGTACTGTTTTGTGGTAACAAGAATAGCAAAAACAACACAGAGAGTGGTGGTATATCGATGACTAAGTCGATCAATGTAGGAATCATCATCGCGAAATTGTCTTACATGTGAAACCGAAAGACCGGCGAGTTGTCTGACTAATTCCATCTAGTTTGTTCTTCTTTTGATTGCCGTTGATGATGTTCATCGGGCATAGTCTATCTATTTAGATCTACAAAAGAAAAACAAGATTATCTCAAGAGACGCTAAGTTTATCTTTTATCTCTCTTCAATCAACATCTAGTTATCGATATGTCATCAACTTACCTCGCTTTTTCTCCTCATACAATGTCATTCAATTAGGTTTATCATATAATATTTATAGAAAAATTTTCTTCTCTTATTTTATTAATAGATGTGCGATTCGAACTTGAATAACAGTATTAAATCTATCTTTTCATTTCCTTCTCTTTCGCTCTCCCTTTTTTATTAGCACATTGTATTATCGAGAAATAATTGCAGGAATGAGCTTCGTGTTTCTGTTCCTATTACATTACAACCATCATCATGATCATTATTATTACTTAAGAGGGAGTAAGACTCGGCCAAGTTGTTGGAGACGAACGAAGCGAAGAAAATAATAACATCGAACTACACGCAATTCTCTTAACACTCGATGATTATATAAAGAAAAATAGCGCAAACATGAAAAAAGATGTGTCTTGCACAGTCGCGATCGAATCACAAACACATTCGCAGACTTTTTCACTGATTAGACGCTATATACGCACGTATGCACATTATTTATCTTACACGCTTTCTCTCCATACTAACCCGACGAAGAAAATCTTCACTAAATAATCTATGCGATTACTAAAAAGGATCCCTCAATATCTGTGTCATTCGTGTGCAAGCTAAAAGAAACAATAATCTTATTCTTATATCAATATATGTATATATATATATATAGTTTTAGATAGTGACAGACATGCAATAATATCGTAACAGGAGACTATCTAACTAATTTCATTATTCCACGCGACAAGACATAAATATACACTTCGATAGACGACAACGACTACTTGCAGTTTATGGAGATGATGATGAAAAGAATGATGATTTTGTTTTCTTATCATTACACACTGGGGAGTTTGTGCATCGATGCTTATATGGATCGAAAACTAGTCGACCAACGTAGAGTTCAAGTCGCTCAGCTTATAGACTAGGCAATAGAAAAACGACTCCTTCTCTGTAAGCACTTCGCTGCTCTCCGCTCTCTTTCAATTACTATGGAGAGACACTCACGCAATCGTGCCTGTCGATCTGCGCGTGCGTTCGAGGTCATATCGAGAACTGAACTGCTGAAATAAACTATCAGTACATATGTATAAGAGCGTATGTAATCTTGACGTTATAGATATGTCTTACAGAGAAAATACATCTCTTTCGAATGACCCATTTGTTTCTCATCACAGTTTTCTCTTGATGATTGTCTTCCTGTCAGTCAAACAATTTCAAAATGATTACATACCTACATTTGATTATAATACGATTTGCTAATTCACATGTCTTTTAACGGTTAATATATGCTACTCTCCAGAGATTTCTATCAATGTACACGTAAGAAAAGATTCATCATGACTTCTGATCGAAATCGTACAATGGATCGCATGCAATGAAATATGTTCTCTTTCCTCTATGTCTCTTCTCCTTTTTTTTATCTTTTTTTACGCTGCTATGATCCATTGAGAAAAGGAAACGTGAGAAGAAGGAAAAACGAGAGAAAATTCGAATGGCGACTAGTTTTGCAATGGCTTTTTCTAAAGACAACTCTCTCGCTATTGGGCTAGTTAGGAACAGGCCAGATATAAGCATAAGCATGTATGTACAACAGAAAGGAGAACAACATATCAACAACGATCTATCCAAAATGCCATAATACCAACCGCAAAGAATGTCTGGTACCAATTCTTCCTTCTGCTTCGTTTTCTCCGTCTTTTCTTCTACTCTCCTCCTTCTACTCCTACTTGTTCTTCCTCTCGCCGCTCTCAAGCGGTCACTCATTCACACATACACACATAAGCTAGTACGCAGGAAGTTATCTTTTGTCGAGGACCACTTGTGTGTTAGCTATAGTAAGAAACGACAGCCGTGTTCATTAAGCTGAACTAACGAAGGAAGAAGAAAAGGAGAAAGAAAAAAGAATGAGCAACATTTCCCATTCTTGGAACGCTGCCGTCAGTTTCTCGTTCGCTCGCTTTCCTTCTCGTCTCGCTCCCGAATGCCCTGATGTCATGTACAAAGAGTGCTCTTACTCGCACTGTCGCGCACAGCATTATGGATATGAAGATAGTGGCCTAGTTTAGCGTCTAAATCACATTGATATAAAAAAAAGAGTAAGAAGCGAGAGTAGAGAAAAGAAAAAAATCCGTTTTCTTTTTTTTTTCAACAAAAGACCAGAGTTGACTTTTCATTTTTCTGAAAAGAAGAGGAGGAGGAAGAAGAAGATGAGAATTAAGAGGAAGTATCAGATGGTGCATTCAGTGAGATAGAAACCAAATTAAAAAAACCTCGAACAATCACGATCAAATTGAAGAGTAGACAATGCCGTCAATAATCGATTATTTACAAGAAAGAGTTGATTTTGTGCCTGAGTCAACACATCTAAACACTATTCCTGGGAGAGTTTTTACTTCAATGGCAATAGGAACTTGAATAAATATAGTATTTCTAAACTATATATATATCATTAATACAATAACCAATCAAATAGTTGCTTATTTTCAATTGACGATGTCATAAAAAATTTATAATAGGATTTGTCAAGACGAGTTTTCTTCGCCAGGGAAGACAAATTACATGCCATTTATCTTGCTAGTAACACGTACGTAATGCTTGAAACAACAACAATCTAATGTTTACGTGTGTTCTATCGTCAATTCGTTTTTCTTTCGCCGACTATGTCTTAAATCAACAAGACTTTTTTCATTAGAAAAACATGTCTAGTGATCGATGATACATACGCGAACGCATTGCTCAATCATATGCTATGATAGAATGATGTTTTTAGATCGTATTTATTACAACTGTCAATGTGAAGGCTAGAGGGATTTTTCTTCTCAATTACAATTAGAAATGATTGTTTAAAATTACCCGAAGAGAATTTGATTATCTCGCTGAGACATCCAGAAATGTACTCCCGACACGCATTGATATTAACGATGAAACGAACTGCTTTCTTATTCCTCTCTTTCCAGACCATGACCAGACTTCATTTAGATGTAATTACACATGATATCATACGGAGATTATCGACCTTAAAAGTAATAATTTATTTGGATAATTCAAGGAAAAAAGAGAGACACACATATATGCATAGTTTTATGTCTGTTTTCGAAATGGAAAATTCTTACAACAACACGAAATCAGTGGTGTAATGTATTGGAAAACAATCGCAAGCATTGCGTACTGGTAGAGACCAGCTTGACAATACATCGACTGAGTGTTGTATGGATTGTAATCTACTTGATTGAAATTTTTAAATACCCATATGGTTCCGAGAATGAGCCAGATAAAACGAAATAATTGAATAATTATAATCGCGATGGAAGCAAAAATAACAAAGAAAAATCCCGTTAGATCTTTGTCTTTTCCTCTTAAATGACATGTACAAGCGACAGTTGATAGAACAATACTTAAAAGATTGAATACACTTGACACGACCAAATAAGTTGGAATCATAGGTTCGAGTGGACATCCATGAATATTCGCACTTCCAACAACTAATGTCATCATCGTAAATAAGAAATCGAGTGAAATACAAATAGTGAAACATGGAACATATGCGGCATGAATTCCAGCAAGACGACGCAGAATTTCGCTATAATCCGTTGTTTGTGTACGGACAGGTTCTATTGGTGATTGTATCTCCATCGTTGGAGAATTATCGATATCGACTGATACTGAATTGATATCTATGGGTTGTGCCATACTTCGTCGCGAAATGTTTACAGCTATGATTCAACTCCGAGTGAAATAAATGTGCGCAGATGAAGAAAAAGCAGACATGAGATTGTATTTTATTTAAATAAAAAAAAACACTCTTCGGAAGGTTTGATTTCGAAGAGAATTAGAAAAAAGGCGTCACGCTTTTCTTTTCGTTTTAATATTGTAGCCATGGATGCGAAAGAAGTGAATGACCATCGATTGGGTATTGACTTTTCGCGAGGTGGTAAAAGTCTCGTCCAGGTTTCGATGCCTCACAATCGAGGCAACGATCAAACGTGAATGTTATAACTAATGCGGCTCTGTAGTCGAGCAACTCGAACCGATCAACAAGTGCAGCAATACCGAAATCGATTAGTTGGATACCGCGTTCATGAGAGTACAAAATATTTCCCCAGTGAGCATCGCTTAAAGCAAAGAAAACCAAAAATCTTTTAGAAAGAGAATGTTTTTCTCTCATGTTAATACAAACAGATGCATTATGTGACAAGCAGCAATCTGTTGCAAGGCTTCGAGTTGTTGTCGGACTATGTAAGAAAATTCATTTGAAGATAAACAGAAAATATTAGGTCGTACTGAGTGGTTTAGCAAGACGTTCCAGGATATTTTCACCATATTTCAATGGAGATACACCTGATAATTCTTCGAAGATTAAGTACCACTGGTGTTCGTCTTTTCCAAATGTATTTGCTACACTTGCTGCCGCCGACATCTACTCGACAACAAACAAAAACATATCGAAGATTATTGAGAACGTCAACATACTAAACCTCTTGTCAGTGCAACTTTCTCTGCAATGTAATATTCAAAAGGAACTAAAGAAATGAAACTAGGAGATAAATTCGTGTCCTGTTGTCGACCATTACCTAGACCAGGTTCAGCTGAGCAAGCAGCTTTTTCAATCAAACCATGTTGTGGTTTATGCTGGCATGGATCCGATGATTCTTGTAATGATTTTATGTCGTTTTCATGTACACATTGGGTAATGTCATTTGCGTATCCTTCTTCAGCGGGAGAATGTTTGCTTATTTTAAGAACAAAATTGTCACCATTTAATTCAATACCAAAGACGTCAGCAGAATTTCCCGATATGAATGTCTTCTTCCATTTCATAGTGCTCAATGCTTTATTATTATGTTTTTTGCCATATTCAACAGCTTGAATAAATTCTTTTGGAATACGACTACCCGTTATTGACATGGCACCAAAAGGAGCAGTTCTGGGAGCTGGCGGTGGTCTTGCTATTTTGATATAACGACGATCTTCTGGTGGCCACTATTGTTAGGAAGAAGAAGAAAAACCGTACTCAGGAGCCAATTGTGACTAATACTACTCACTAGACTTTTATCGATATTAAAACTGCCAACGGGCGAGCTGTAAAGCTCATCTAAAGAACCAATTTGTCCTGGACCATATGATCCACTTCGTGGTGGTGATATGAAATCGTCCATAGAAGCCGCTGCATAATCCGGTGTGTCAGGCACCACTATCACGTCGTATTTTCGCGGATGATCAGGCGACTAAATATTTATCAAGTGATCTGATTAGTGTGCACATGCGCATGTGCCAATTTACCATTGGTATAATTTGGTTCGGATCATTATACGGCAGTCCCCAATTATGTCGTGCGTATAACTTTAAAGGTTTACTATCAAAGTCGAGCGTCGGTGTGCCGCCTGCAATGTTCGCTCCGATGGGAGATTCGAGACCAACGAGAGTTCCGACATTTTCTTCGACGATGCTTTCATCGAAGAAAAAGCGACTACGACCACCTTTACTACTAAATGATTCTTCGAGTGACGGCGAATCTGAACTTATCTGAAATATAAACAAGTCTTCTCAATTCGTCTATAGTAAAAGAATAAAGCATTTCAATACTCCTGACGTTGCAGACATACGACCACGATCAAAACTTATATCCGCATCACTTTCAGTATCACTAAATCGAAATTGACCTGGTCGTTGCTGATTGAATGAATATCCCGACGCTCCACTGCTTATTCCACTACTACTAGTACCACGACTTTCATCTTCGTCATCACTAAATGAACTACGCGTTCGTGTTGAATAAGGCGTATGTATCAGTCCACTCGTTCGCGATGGTGATGCAGGTGTATTAGCGAGTCTGCGTGGACTCATTTGATCTTCATCATCACTGTCAAAATTTAATGAACGAGCACTTGTGTCTACCGCTCGATTTGTTTCTTGCCGTGAGCCTTGTGGAGGTGTACTGGCATAGCAGTAAGAAAGAATACATATGAGTAGTAAATAAAAATGCATGAAAATGGACATGAAATAATTTAACGAAACGAAAAACAATGAAGAATAAACGATGCGCCAATTCACATCGTTTCATTTAGCAATGATACAGAAATATTAATCGAGTAAAATGATTTAAGTCATATCCGATGTTTGTTTATATACATCGCCTATATTATCTTTGGTATAATGAGTTTCTATTAAGCATATCAAATAGATATATGTATTCAAGACAGGCAATCGATGCCTTTTCGTTGTTTAGACTAACTAACGTATAATTGAAGTCCTAGGTGAATCACCGTTTCTATTTCAGTCACATTTACAGATTGATAGTCTCTCTTCAATAAAGAGCATCGATCAGACGAGTGTAGTAGTACTCAACTGACACTTGACTTGCGGCTTTTTGTTTATGAAAAAGAAAGAAACTAGCTAAAAGAAAATGACTTACTCAAAAAGTTGAGAAGTACAATGACGATCAATTTTTTCTACTATCCCCGAGGAAATACATAGGATCCGACGAGAGTATGAAGGTCATGTATATGTAAAACTACCTATTCATTTCTAAGAACGATACATCGAAAAAATTCACAAATCTTATTATCAAGCGACCTCTTTTGACAAAATTCGATTCGTTCACGGTCCATGTTCTTGCATCGCCATGTTGTAAGTAAATAATGCTAACATAAATAAAGTAATATCTTCCATCAACATATACTCCATCAAGTGTTAATATTTTTAATCAGTATTTTGTCGTCAAATTAAATCTTATCTCACATGCGTATGTATGGCCACAATATCGTCTCCAAACGTTGATTCAACTTCCAATCTTCCTGCTAATAAAACTACATCTGTTAATCATTTAAATCGAAGTATTGAACGTGCACTTGATGAAGCGACGTATACGGGTGAATTGAACTTGAGTTCTCGAACTTTACGAGAATTTCCTGATTCAAAATGTGATCTGTCAGATACAATCATTGCTGGTCAGTAGAAATCAACGAAAAAATGAATTGATTTTCTGTTTTTTGCTTTCGTAGATCTTTCTCGCAATCGTTTTATCGAATTTCCACGTTTTTTATGCTCATTTTCTTCTCTTGAACGTCTTAATCTCTATCACAATGCGATCAAATCAATTCCTGAGCAGATTGTTGCAAATCATATGCTGAAAGTTCTCGATCTAAGGTGAACATTTTTCTCGTTAATCAAAGACAATTCCTCTTTTATTCCTTTGATCTCCTTTCAGTCGAAATCAACTCGCATATATTCCACAAGCTCTATGTAAATTACCCAATCTCGAAGTTTTAATTATCCATAACAATAAACTCGTCTCTTTGCCCGAAGAAATCGGTCAATTAGATCGATTAATTGAATTAGTAAGTCATTCATCTTTTCAATTTGAACATATATTTTCAAAACAAAACAAAAACGATAGGATGTCAGTTCCAATGATCTTACACAATTGCCATATCAGATAGGATTGCTCTCAAGTCTTCGCACATTGAATGTTCGTCGAAATATGATCACTGAATTGCCAACAGGTAAATAAATTCATTCGATTTTCTTCGTAGAAATCTCTCGTATTTCGTTCAGTTGAATTTGATTAATCATGACAGGTATTATTTTGTAATTCTAATTGCTTTCTATCTCTTCTGGTTAAAGAACAGAAAACTAAATTCTCATGCATGTTAAATCATCAGAAACGAAAGCTTCATAGGCTCAACTTTGAACTTCTCCTCCCGATGATCTTGTTTAACACCGAATGATCCTTTCTCTTTAGAATTATGTGCTTTGAAATTAATCAATTTTGATTGTTCATTTAACCGAATTGCTCGTTTACCATTGAATCTCAGAGAGATGAATACTTTGATTGATTTTAATGTTGAACATAATCCATTAGAAACTCCGCCTGCCGCAGTAAGCTGATTGATATCGAGTGCGATGGCCTTGCAATAAAACATTCATTTTCTCTAGATTTGTACTCTTGGTCTGCTTCACATTATGCGATTTCTTCTCATCGAAGCTATGAAGGAAGAAAAACGACGCGGATTGTTGACCGAATACGAAATCAATGAAAAATATAAAAATTCATTTTCATATCAAACATCAAGGTAATTTGTCTGGCATCTACTCACCATTCATTGTTATACTTTGTATCGGAAATAATCGTATCCTGAAGGACTATCATCAATATGAGAGAGTACAATTTCCATTATGACAAAGTCTAATGTTTGCTTGATTGGTTCCTGTCCGAGAACGAATGAATAGAATATTGAGACTAACCAACATGACGAGAATAGCATAACCGATTGATACTTATATGTGTTTCTCGTTTTCAGACAATTTCAATATGGTAAAAAAGCACGTAAAACAGTGGTACCGTCTGATTCGGGTTATTTAACCACTGAGGGAAGTGAAAAAACAATTGGTGACGTAAGAGAATCGATTTTTTGATTATGATTATCGAATTCCCATCTGGATGTATTCTGTTAGGATGATTCGGAATTAAGTATGCCTAGTGAACATCCACTTCGCGGTGAACCAACGTTGATGATTACATTAGCCGATGAATTTTCTAAAGTAAATAGATGAAATGTACGCATAAAAGGTTCGAATGGGAAAATTTCAGGAATTAGCCAGACAAAAAGCGGAATATGAAAAGAAGAAATGTCAAGCACAACAGTTAAAACGTCATTTATTGCAACAACTAGGTGAAACCGAAAGTCAAGTATGTGTTTTCATCTAAATATCATATTTATTGATATTGTGTTCATAACAACAATAGAGAGCCAAAGCACGTGAAGTTGCTCGCCGATTGCATGATGAAAAATTAGCAAAAATGGAGAAACAACGCGAAGATGCTCGACGTAAAATGGAGAACAGGTATGATTTAGCATACATTTATGATTCATTCTTTGAATTATTGATCTCATGTTCTAGTAAAAACACTCATCTATTCAACTTTCCAACGAAAGATAATCATCAAAATTCACGTCCATGGAATACGTCCACGAAATCCACATTAACTCGTCATTTATCCAGTGTTGAATCTTCCAAGCCAAATAAAATTCTTACTGAAACGATAATCAATTCCGTAACTGATCAGAACAATCACGATAATCCATATCAACGATCAATTTCCATTGAAAATGCATCTCTTGATGAATATCACAAACGAACAAATCGAGCTGTTAGTGTCGAACCAAACTTTGTCTCCGGTGGAAATGACATGAAGTATAATTTTCAACAAAAGACATTACCAAGCCGGTCAATCATCCAATACGATATTAATACCAAGATGAATAAACAATTTACTGTCAGTTCAGAAACAATTGATCAATCGACGTAAGAACAAACATGAAATTAAACTAAAGCCACCTTCTGTATCATTTAGTTCATCGTCGCAGAGTTTGAAAAACGGTTATAATCGAGGGGTGAGAACCGATCGAATAAATTCCTCATTCAGTATTATGTTCTGCGTAGGATGTCTCTGATGGTTCTTTATCGCCTCAGCAAAATCGAATCGCAAAACTTCGCTACTTTGACGATCGCGAAACAAATGTAAGTAGACTATTCTGACCGATGATAAGATTACATTCAATCATTTGTTAAGCCTATGGTTGGAACTACACCTGGATTTCATATGCATCCGAGAGGTAAATCAAAGAAAAAGTAGATAAAAAAAGATTCATCATCTATTTTAGTATCAACAGTCAAAAACGGTCAACATCAACAATCGCCGTTAGAGAGTCCGGGAAGTAATCCCGCGTTTACCATTCGTCGGCATCTTCTTCAAGCTAAGGAAGATAATCTGCAAATTGATCAAATGAAAAGAGTAAACGAAAGTGAATCACGATTTGCTCATGCATTTTATTTCTTAGGCCATAGAAGAACGTGTTAAAATGGCATTACCAGAAGATATTGCCTATGCGTTGAGCGACGGTGTAGTTCTTTGCCATTTTATCAATCAAATTCGACCGCGTGCTGTTCAAAGTATTCACGTGCCTTCTCAAGCAGTGGTAAGCAAACAGCGATTCATTGTTGACTATTGTATAACTATGATTATTGATTAGCCGAAGTTATCCTTAGCGAAATGTCGTCGTAATGTCGAGAATTTTGTCGAAGCAAGTCGACGTATTGGTGTACCGGAGGTAAGTGATCGGCTTTTCGTTCAGTATAAGTTTCTTTTGAGGTCGAGAAAGTCAACGCGTCTCTTGATATGATCATAAATTAATTTCTTGCGATATAAAACAGATGAACGTCTTGGTGCATTGATATTGTTAAAGGGTAATCGTTCTTGAAGGAAAAGTCATGTTTGCTTTAATTTAACGTCAATCATCTCTTGCACATATGAATTCACTGGATATACTTTGTTCTTCAACATGTCACAAAGATTCGATTGAAAAGGAAATAATTCTCGTTTTTATAGATCGAACTATGCAGTGCTCAGGATATAATTGAAGAAAAGAATACGGTACGTCTTGCTCGACACATACAATTATTAATTTCACCTGAATCTTTTGAACAAACCAATGTTTAAACGACATATGTCTTTTGTTTCATGACATTTAATGTCATTCAACGTGTTCTTCGTCTTTTCGTTGCCCTTTTTTTCGACAGCTATATCTATCTATTCTTATCAAGCAATATTCAGTGTGTCATTGTGTGGAAATCTCAGTTTTATTCTCTTGATTATCTTTGTTTCTTTGCTCTGTATATCAATCTGACTATTTCTCTTCTCTCTTTTTTTGTTTCGATATCAATAAAAATAAAGGATAAATTTCTTTGAATCCAAATGAACACGAATGAAAAGCAAACTGATTGTTTTTTTCTTCTACTTTCAGAACTTGTAGATTCATCTTAAACGAATCGCTGTTCAAACAAAAGAATCGAGCCGTTTCTCATACAAACCGAATGATCTAATGGAATTTAACGGAACACTATGAACCACTTATATTCATAGCACTTAGTACAATAAAGATGAGGATGAGAAATAAGATTTTCAAAATCGTAGGTCCTGTCGATGCTCAACACAAATTGTTCTTATAATTTATTATTCATCTATGCAGAAAAAAGTTTAATTATCATCACAACATTAGAAAATATCAAGCATAAACAATAATAATAATTGATTTAATGTAGAATTTGCACACAACCACATAAATGCAACGACCTTGTACAGCCTGGTTCACTTGAATGAATAATAAAACAAGCACTCGCCTTCGCTAATGATTAATAGTAACTCAAATAATAGTTGAAATTAACTTCTGATTTCGTGTCTCGGCCATTCGATTTTTCAACTAGAGACAGAGAGAGAGAGAGAAACTCAGTTAGTGTATTTAATAGTTGTCACATTTACTCTTTTTCAGATGCCAAAGGTAACGAAACGAAAAGCAAGAAAGGCTGAGTCAACTGACGAAGAAACCGCTGACCAACCAGTCATTACAGTTGTTGATAAGACACCGAAAAAGGCCGTGAAACGAAAGGCATCCAGTTCAGTAGATAAAGTAAAGCGACTTGTATGTAAAAGCATCTTTTCCGATCGTCAACTGCGACTTTAGAACGCGAAAAAGGTCTCATGTACCAATGAAGTATCGACACTTGAAGAAGCTACCCAAGAACTTGAAGATGAGGAAGTTCAATTGCCAAAGACTATGACATTAAAAGCTTCTAGTCGTCTGTCGCCTAAAGGTGAAAAGGCCACGTTGAAATTAGTGTCATGGAATATAAACGGTATTCGCGGTTGGTTGGCAAATGGTGGATTGAAATATATTGAACAAGAGAATCCCGATGTAATCGGTTTCCAAGTGAATATACAAGGTGTTTTAGTGTGTGAAATAAAGCGATCATCTCTTTCAAGGAATTGAAATGTGATAAAGAAAAAATCCCGAACGATGCAACACCAACGGGTTACAAATCCTATTGGCTCTCTGGTGATACAGGTATGATCGATAATTAACGATAGAATCGAGTGGGGATTTTATTTGTGTCTAGCGGGTTATTCCGGTGTTGGTCTTCTGACTAAAATCGACCCAATTGATGTGAAATTTGGTATTGGAAATGCTGAACACGATACTGAAGGACGTGTCATTACTGCTGAATATGATAAATTCTATTTTGTCGTTTCGTATATACCAAATAGCGGTCGTAAATTAGTCCGTCTTGGATATCGTCAACAGTTTAATGAAGCATTTCGAAGTTATTTGACTGAACTTGATGAGAAGAAACCGGTGATCTGGTAAATCTTTCATCAATAGGCCTTCCGTTTCTGTTTTGAATGTTTCGGGTGTTTCTCTTTTCTTTGTAAAGGTGTGGTGACCTAAATGTATCACATCAGAGCATCGATTTAGCAAACGCCAAATCGAATACAAAAACAGCTGGATATACTCAAGAAGAGCGTGATGATTTTGCAAAGATTCTCGCCGGAGGTTTCCTTGATTCATGTAAGAAAATATTCTCTTTCAAGATCACCGAATGCAAACTTGTGATCTATTTACGAGCCAATATATCTAAATATTCATATGAAACACTGCATGATCTCTTGTGATAGACTGTAGTGAAGGTGATTAGAATCTCTAGCTCATGAAATAAGTAGTTTATCGATAATTGATTTCATGTTGACTTCAGGCGTATTTTGCATTCTATTTTTATCCGTTTAGTTAATGAAGAAGAAAACTTGATTGTTAAACAATTTTGTTCTTCGGATTATCTTTTAGTTCGCCATCTTTATCCTGAAGAACGCGATGCGTACACATTCTGGTCGTACTTTCGAAATGCTCGTGCACGAAATATTGGCTGGCGATTAGATTATTTTATCATTTCTTCTCGATTACAAGAGAACCTCTGTGATGTGATACATCAAACGGGTGTTTATGGCTCAGATCATTGTCCCATTGTTCTGTTATTGTCATTTGTTTGATAAACAGCATTTTTCGCTTAATGTTTTGTTTTGTCTGCGACTAAAATTTGAAAAAAAACAACAACCGAATGTTTGTTTTCTCTCTTTTTTTTGTAACAATAAAAATAATCATGATACAAACGACAAAAATTTTATCAATCATTAAAACACGGTAAAATATTATTGTTGTTCACATTGCATGCTCTTCTTGACATCCGGCAACATTTCAGAGAGAATAATCATGAAAAAAACGAAGAAGGAGAGAAAGAGAGAAGAGAAAAAAGAGAAGGTATTGTTACACACAAATTGGTTCATTCAATTATTGAAAAGCACGAGCAGTTATAATGACAGACAGTAACAGTCTAATGCTCGTTCATTTTCTTTTTTTCCGCTATTTTTCTCCCTTTATTCTCTATAGACTTATATTAAAAAGTAGAGTCGAGCAACAGCCCGAGAAGAGATACTCTTTCTTTTCGCACTTGTGAAAATCATAATTACAACTTGTCGACATAATCAAGCACATCACACCATCGAACTTTAATATAAAATCTGATTAGAATATATTGAAGATTCTTGATAAATACTCGTATACCATTCCGCCATCGTTTCCTCAAGAGGCTGTTTTAAACAAGTGAGATAATCTTGAGGGTGTATATATATTGTTACTTAGTCTCTTCTCTTTCTCTATTACTTTTCCTACTCTTCATTTCCCTTTCTCTCATCTGTTGCGTTCGTCTTCTCTCGATCGACGTTAGGCGCATTAGATTCTCGAAGCATCATCATTGCCGTTAAATAAACCACCGGCTCAGTGAATGCATTGAGAAAAGAGAGAATAAAAGAAAAGAAAAACAGATTTTATCATTAAATAGATCACTATGCATTTCTTCATTGCTATTAACCCTCGAGAAGAGAAAAATATTCTTTGCCGTTTTCTTTCTCTCTTCCAGGTTTGATTTGTTCGAATTGTCTACTTGGAAAACGTTGATCAAAACGTACCAGAATCTATTTTGATATTTTATCTAAGTAAGTAGAAAGCCTAAAAATAGTGTGTCATAAGTCGCGTTTTTTGTCCTTGCTTCGAATTTAATGTTTTGTATTTATTATTCTTTGCTTCGACTGTTCGCCATCTGGGAAATCTAAACGCTCAATCATTTTAGAATAACTTTATTTCAAAACATTAGAGCTTGTGTCGAATCTCAAAAAGAAATAACTAGTACTTGTTTCTCGTGTTCGATTGCACTGATCGAAGCGTGCTTTCTAAGCTTATGCGTTTCTATTTTTTCCCCATAATGAATAACAACATCGAAATTCTTCGAGAGTTCTACAAGTATTTCCAAATCCTCTAATTATAATACGATAAATGAGCTTCTGATGAATACCGTATGCCGCGTGCATTTGTTGATTAGGTTTTTGACGTCAGTAACAAAGATATGCTCATTTTTTTTTCTTCTTTTGTCTTACACATATCCATGATTAAATTCTATTTGTCTTCATCAATCGACTTTCGTGAACTTGTTTGCTAGTCAGACGGCAACCTTTGTTTTCTATTTTGAAAATAGCATAGATTGTCTGCTAAAGTTTCCTTCCATGAGGCAAGTTCGAAGATAATAACATTGTTTCTATCGTATGTAAACGAGAAAAAGTAGAAATACATATGGGCCATGGATGCAGCAACAATTAGAAGATTTGATATTCACATTAGTTGTAATTTGTGCGAAGAAAATAACATCAAGTCGAGAAATCATATATCAACTGCAATGTGTTTGATGTCATATGCTCTGTAAGAATCAGTTTGCAGTTAAACAGATTACAAATCTGACAAGTCGAGACGAGAAAAAGGTTTCGAGTTGCTTTCATAGATAGTTTCTTTACCGACTGATTGACATCGGATGCATTCATGTTTACACATTGATCTCGATTGAAGCCGCGCTGTATCTTTAGAGGATCTGTGATACAAAAAAAAACATTCATTTGAATAAGAATATTCAGAATCTCAATTAAAAACGTTGTTTGGGAGAGAACGATGTGACAAATGACGTTGAATAAGGATGTTAATCTCATCAAGAAAACCGGAAAAATGAAAGATTAACTGTCCTTCATTATCGACTCGACGTTAGCCGAGAGAGTATATGTGTGTATATATATGCAAATCTCTAACGAGTGTTAATTCAAGATGAATACATGCTGATGCATTGAGTGATGATTAATGAAACTGAAATTCTATACGTTTGCGTCTAGTAATGCTGATGGAACAAAGAAGTAGAGTAGAAAGCACGAACTTCTTTTTTTAGACTTTCTAATTAGTAATTCATTATGATATGGGATTTGATGTTTTTTTTCTCTCGATGCTTAATGAATACATTCGGTTCTTTCTAGGGGCACATGCTTTCAACTGTTGTTGATGGGATGTAAGAATTCGAAGCATGAATTATCCAAAGGAGACCTTGAATTTTTAAAAACCCATACATCATACTCCGAAAAGAAAATCAAAACTTGGTACCGAGGTTTCATGGTATGATTAGATTTGCTAGATTGCAATTGGTGTTCAATTGCCTTTTTCTTTCCTATTATTATATTCTAGCGAGATTGTCCCAACGGTGAATTGACACGCGATTCATTTATTCAAATATACAGGCAATTTTTTCCCAAAGGTCGTGCGGAAAACTTCTGCGAACATGTCTTTCGTGCTTTTGACACTGGTGAGGGAAACTTCAGGGGAAGGGAAGATGATTGATGTTATCGCGAATCGAATCATTTAGATAATAGCGGAAAAATTGACTTTAAAGAGTTTCTGCAAGCAATTAACATCACGTCCCAAGGTACACCTGATAAAAAATTAGATATGGCATTTCGGATGTATGATTGTAATGGTGATGGCTCGATTGATCAAACGGAAATGAGACGTATCATAGGCGTAAGTGTTTGCGAGCGAGTTCGTGGTTCAGTTTCAATTGATTGTTTTGCAAAGGCTATTTACGAGCTAATTGGTGATGAAATCGATAAACGAGAACGGCAAATTGAAGCGGAAGAGCGTGCGATGAATATATTTACGATGATGGATAAAAACTCGGATGGGATATTGAGTCGAGAAGAGTTCGTCGATGGATGTTTGAATGACGAACAACTTTATCAATTATTAACACAATCGAGTCGATTGGGTGACGGTCGAGGATCGCAGTCGTCACTCGAAGATTAGTGTATTCTTTTTTTCAGTGTCTCCTTTTGTCTTTTTCTATCCAGATGAACATTATATTAATGACAATCATTCATTCTACGAATAAATTACCATTTTTTTTCTTTTGCCTCTTGTGTTGTGTATTTGTATCTTTATGACATACATTCCTTTACTCTTAATTAAATAATACTAATATCAACAATTATACTCGTCTACACCGTTGTATCAAATTTTATTGAAGACATTTGCTCAGTCTTGAAAGCATTTTGTAATTCGAACAAAAAAGAAAAATGAAGTTGTGTTGAGTGATTAAATGCTGTTTTCCTAGTACTTATTAAGTGCACTTTACTCTCTCGAATTATCGATTAAATGTCTTGCTCGATGAACATGAAAACTTAATTAGTACTATGGAGACTATTTGATGATGTGATATGTATAGTGATTAATTCTTCTGGGAGAGTCTCTATCTCGGACACTTAACACGATCAAGTGTTGGCAAAAGAGTAGTGATGACCTTCGGAACGCAGATACTTCGACGAGGACAAGTTTAGATCATGAGTGTAAGTACATGGTACAACTCTGTTGACATTCAATGGCGGTTGGTGTAATTGAAGGGAAAATTCTTTTGTAACTTCAATGCTTTGCCATATATAGAAAATCACACAACACAAAGAAAAACCTTTTCATTTATCTTTCTTTACACATATCGTATAAATAGAATCAGATGTCCTTGACCTCTCACTAGAGGTATTATAGAATATTCTAGCAAGATCATTGTGTGGATCAAGTATTGACTTTTCATAAAAAGTGTTTAATAAAATATGCGATAAAAAGGAAAAGGTACTTTAATAAATTCCATAGCTCATTGTTTGACGACACTTAGTTTTAAGACCACATATTGGACACGAATAAATCTTCTCGAACAGAACCATGATCGATCAGCCTTGGACGACATCTATTATGCAGCGACATTGTAATTTGACCTATTTGATCTTGCACTCATGTCTCGATCCAGTTTTTATCAATCGTAGAACTCTTTTCCGCGTGCTTTGTTCGAATCATTCAATCTATCCATATCTATCATCGGAATAAACTTAGTCATGACACTTGTTTGTCAAATGTAAAGTATATTTATCTTATCTTCTTGAATATCAGTCGAACTTCGCAAACGAGAATTCTTTTTGTTATCATATATTTTTCTGTTCCATATCGAACGGTAACTGAAGTACATATAGAAACGAAAGAGTACACAATAAAATTCTTATCTTTGTAGACTTTACACAGCTCAAAACAATGGCTAAAGCAGTTGAGGTAATTCGATCGTATCTCAAAAAAAAATCATTGTTTTGTTCTTTTGTATCATTAGTGTCGAGATTACCGAGACTATCATAACGACACTTGCACATTTATTCGTACAACAGACGATTGTAAATTAGAAGATGGATTTATAGATTATCTTCAGCTCGTATTTTGTGTCATTGGTGATAAACTGCTTGGTCTTGGCTTAACCGTTTTAGTATGTATAAATCAAAACAATTTGTCCGATTATAAATAATGTTTGATTTTCAGGCTGGCTGGTTATTTGTTCTCTTTGTTGCATTGGGTGTAACTGCAGATTCTTAGTAAGAATTTGTACCGAAATCAAGTGCTAATTTATTGCGATTTGAAACTTTAGTTTTTGTCCTGCCCTTCGTGTTATCGCTCGAGTTCTTAAATTATCAGAAAACATTGCGGTTAGTTGATGGTTAACATCATAAAATCAACAAGAAACGATTTTTTTGTCTAGGGCGTTACATTCCTTGCTTTTGGTAACGGTGCACCGGATATATTTTCTGCTATAGCAGCTGTGAGTAGTGCTAAGGGTGGTGATGTTGGTTTAGCCTTTGGTGCTCTTTTCGGTAGTTTCAAAAGACACGTTTCACCGTCTTCATAATCGTTAATTTGTCTTTATTCAGGTGCGGGTGTATTCGTTACTACAGTTGTTGCTGGCACAATATGCCTCGTTACACCATTTCGTTCGATTCAACGACCATTGTTACGAGACATCATCTTTTTCATCATTGCTTCATTTGGTGCCTATGTGGCAATGTACGATGGAAAGATATACTTTGCCGAAAGCTTGGGCTTTATTATTATGTATGTCGTGTATTTGATTGTTTTAATCGGTGGATACTTCGTTAATCGACGAATCAAAGATCGTCGAGCATTATTACAAGCTGCACATACAGAAGCAGCTGCTAAAACTTACGGTTCAATTCAAACACCGGAAACAACAGCAGTATCAGTTGACGAAGTCGAAACTGCTATTCCCGATGAAAGCTATGTTCAACCTGACGTTTCACTTGCATTATATCTTCGTCATGCATTTCTACCAAGAGATGATGTTCCATGGTCTGAGAGAGGCAAATGTGGTAAAGTTCTCTCAATTGTCAAGGTAACTTAGATTATTTGCAAAGTTCGAATTGAATAAAACCGAGATTTGTTCTTCACTTCTCCATTATAGTTACCCGTCAGTCTAATCCTTCATTTCACAGTCCCATTGGTTGACTATGAAAAGCCAGAACATAATTGGAATAAACTTTTGAATTCATTCCATCTTCTTTCGGGTCCTTTGGTTGTGTCACTGTTGACCCAATGTATGTATGTTTCTATTGAACGAACAAGCTTTGATTTTTCTCTTTTATAGTGGGCTTTTATAAAATTGCGAACGTTTTTCCGATATGGGCTGTTGTCGCTATTGTTGGAACAATACTTTGTTTCGCAATGTTAATCGTAACTGAGCATCACTCGAAACCGAGATACCATGCGGTAAAAGCAATTTTCTTTTATCACTATTGAGGAAAAAAAAGCAAGAAATAACTTTGATCTTCTCATCTAGGGTTTTGCCTTTCTTGGTTTCGCTGTATCTGTTGTTTGGATTTATTCAGTTGCCAATGAAATCGTTAATTTATTAACAACATTTGGTATTGTCTTCGATATCAGTAATACCATTCTTGGTTTAACTTTTCTCGCGTGGGGAAACAGTCTGAGTGGTAAGCAGAAGTTCGCCTGAAAACCTTCCTTCAATTCTCTTTTCGAATAGATTATGTTTCCAATGTTGTATCAGCTCGACAGGGTTATCCAAACATGGGTATATCAGCTTGCTACGGTGGTCCACTTTTGAGTAAGTAATGATCGAATCGTCTAAACGACAAGTGAGATATGTTCGAATCTACAATCGCGAAATATCTTTCCTTCTCAGTTGCTCATACAGCTTTGATTTGCTCGAGCAGCTCTTAATATTTCGCAAAATCAAGTCCAGTTCGACTCTCCACCGATGACTATTTCCAATGATAATCATGGACTAAAAGTCGGCAACAATCTCTCATTTTGCTTTCTTGTAGATTTTCTCATGGGTCTTGGCCTTCCATTTTCATACGTCACATTGAAAACCGGTGCACCATTTTCTGTACGTACTTGCCAACTCAAATCAGCCTATGCGAAATCTCGTTTTTCCTCTAGATTGATAAATCCTTATTACAAAACGTTATCGCCTACTTTCTCTTCGGCAGTTTAGCTGGTACACTCCTATTCATTCCATTGAATAAATTCTACTACAATCGTCGATTTGGTTCAATATTAATCATCTATTATGTCATCTTCCTAGTTCTGGCTATTCTGATTGAAACAAATGTTATTGGATAAACTAAACTTAGTTGAAATTGAAGTCTAGTCGTTCGATTGCATGTATCATTATTCTTGTTCGTCTTTCAATTTCCTAATTATGTTTTTTTTTCTATGATTCTTATGTTACTTCGAAAGAATATTGCTGATCAGATGTTCTACTTTCTTTCTCATCTTCTGTTTATTGTTATTACAGAAAATAAGAACAAAAAATTTCTGATGAAATTGAAAACGAATTAAGATGAAAATTCTCTAATGAGTCTTGTCATCAACACAATCAACATCGATAAATTATCATAATTTCACGAGATGACGCTGTTTTTCTTCGGCAGAATAATCTCAAATTAGATCGTCTTGATCGACAAACAAAACTTCTATTTGGTCACAGGTGTAATATAGCAAAAGTCATGTTCGTCACATCTATTTTCATCATTCTTCAATAAATAATGTTAGGCAAAAAACATTTAATATCCAAAAAACTATTCTAATCGCTTGAGATACAGTAGCACTTTATTAATTACATTTCAACTTTTGTTTTTATGCCAAGTCGGATCCAATCATAAACAAAATCATTTTTCAGATTCATCGTTTGATAAACCTGTTTGAATAACGAAGTCAGATAAGCATAGTTCGGTTCTTCGGCAAAGCCAAGTTGTCGTGTATACATCAGAAACTCCTGAAATTCCTTTGGTAAATCTTCACACAAAGTTTCAATATGTGTATGCAGTTTAACTTCATAAACTTTCTCTTGTTTCGTTTTCTTATCTTCACATTTGATGCCTTGCCAGGGTAAACCTTTGTCTCGCCGTGCTAAATACATCAAAGTGTATGCAAGAGACTCGAGATCATCACGACGCGACTGTTCAATGCCGGCATGAGTACGCAGACTTGCATAACGTATCGTACCAACGAAATGTTTATGATCATTGTATTCAATATGCTGTCGCGTTGTCTTATCGAGATAGTATTTCGATAAACCGAAGTCAATTAGATAAACATTTTGACATTTGGAATTGATACCCATGGTGAAATTATCTGGTTTGATACTAAATTCAAATTCAATGTTCAACAATTCTGCTCAACTTTTGATTACAAAATAAAATGCTCTCTGTTTTATTAAATATTTAATAGTTATTCGTATATATACTCTAATAAATTAAAGCTCTGTTATGACTTTATATGGAATAATTTTGAGTAGAACTTTTTCCTTCATGGAATTTCACAACTCACTCGCGATGTACCAAAGATCGACGATGTACATGACAAATTCTTTCAAGCATTTGTTCACCAAGCAAAAGAACGGTTTTTATAGTAAACTTTCGATGACAGTAGTTATATAAATCTTCGATACTTGGTCCGAGCATTTCCAACACCATTGCTTGATAGTTTTCATCTACTGTTCCATACCTTGACAGATACTCTTTGTAGTTTGTTCTTGAGTGATTTCATCTATCTTACCAATACATTTTCGGCATGCCTGTTCCTTCGATCAATCGATAGATTTGACTTTCTTTATGTAATTGTAGATGATGTGATGCTTTCTTTTCGAATTTAATTGCAACTCTTTCACCGGTAATTAAGTCTTTTCCTTGGTAGATCGATCCGAACGAGCCTGAACTGAGAGGTGATTGTACAGACCATCGATTCTGAATTCGAGGTGGAATACACTCGCCTTGAGTTGATCGATATTTACATGATTTCGAAGAGAGCAATTCTGTCAACTGATTATAATGAGATTTTAGACGCATTCTTCTTTTTTTTTCCAAATAGTTACTAAAGAAACGCGGGTGGATTACTTATTTGACACAGATAGAAACAGAAAAACTAATCTAAATAATTCGGTCGACTCAATTGATGTTCTCTCTCTCTCTCTCTTTGCCGTTCTTAGTTAAATGCAAGCAATAATATCTATCTATACATAAACATCAGAATAATCTATAACGACATTGTCGACAATAGTTGTTCTATCATACATACCCAATGCAAGCTATTATATGACATACAAAATGAGATTTGATTGCACCAATCTTCGTATAAAGATAGGCGTATGAAGTATTCTGTCTATCTGTTTGTTTGTTGTTGCATGATAATGATAATGATGATTTTTTGCCTTGCCTTGCCATGTCTTTTTCTTTGCTATGCTATTATCATTTACATTCATTTCATATCACATCATGCTCATCATCGCGCTGTCCATACCGTGCCTGTATAATCGACATTAACAACTCGACGTCAACGTTAATCTTTCTCTCCCTATCATTTATTTTTCTCTGTCTCTCTCTCCCTCTTACTTACTCTTTAATAGAAAGAGAATAGAAGAGAGAATTCAGCAAATCAGATGCCTTGTTTTATCAATGATTTGGACGAATCGTAATCGAGAATATCTGAAGAGAAAGAATAAGAATAGCAACAGCAGCAGAAGAAGAAGGAGATTAATTTTGTTTTTAATATAAACTGTTTCATGATATTAGTAGCATGTGTGTCTGTGTATATATTAGATTCCAACTCATTTTGGATTCGTCAGGAGTGGATGAGAAGGAGGAGCATGCGGTCTACTTTTTAAAATCAGACATGCGAGGACGTGAATTTATTTTCTTTTGACTAATTTTCTAGACGCCATATACTTATTCGTAAACCTAAGATTATGGAAGTTTTACGTGCTGAAACCAATGAATTTCCTCACTTAAAGGTATTTATTTTCAACATTTGATATGTAGTTTATTAGATAGAGATATATTTTCCTTTTGATAGAATGCTGATGGTCCAACAAGTTCCTCGCCGAGATCATCAACAAATCATGATGAAGAGTGTGATGATGATTGTTTCTCAGATACGAGTGTACATGACAAGAAAGTGCAATCACCTAGTACTAATGAGACCGAACATGAGGAGAAAACAAATCATGAGAATAAAGAATCTTCATCAGTAACAAATCCTTCAATATCAACAAATGATTACTTACGTCAGCGTGAACATTTGGCAAAGGAATTCAAAGATTACGAAGATCGATGGTTAGCACATCGAAATTTCCTTCTCTACACACAATCACTTGGTATGAAACCTGAAGATCGCGAACGTCTATTGACGCATTTGAATACGAACCAGAATGAAGAGAATTCGTCGGTGAATCCGTTTCAAATTCAACAGCAATTATTTAATCATTTGTCAAAAGAAGAACGCGATCGATTTTTAGCAGCTGCTCTCTATCAACAGCAACAACAACAACAACAACAACGGAATTCTTTCAATTTTCATTCATATCCTTGGATAAATCCAGCAGCTTCTGTCATGCTTTCTCCTACACCGAATCTCATCTCGCAGAATCAATCATTATCATCGTCATCGGATCAGCAACAAGCACCGAGATCGCCTGGTTCGGATGATAGTGGCAATCAATCGAATTCCGGTAGCACAACCGAATGGTAAAATTCAATAAAGAAGACATTATTCATCTATTTGTTATTTTCTTTTCTCTTAGGACCTTTGAAGAACAGTTTCGTCAGGTAAATTGATATTTATTATCTGATATTTGATTGAGTAGAAATCAATTAGGTTCAGTCAGACTGTTTCTATCTCTATTCAGATCTATCTTTTCTTTCTGTTTGCACATCATTTAGAATGTATGTGCATTATTCGCTCTTTCCTTTGTAGAACGCACGCGTGTTGATAGCTGTGAGGCAATAATTAATTGAAATGTTTCGTATATATAGAGAGAGAGATGTAACAAAGACTCATTCATCGATGTTCTCTTCCTGAGCAACACTTATCTATTATTGAAGACATATAGATCAAGAGAGGGAACACATCGATCTTTTGTTTTATCTTCTACAATTGTTCCAAAGAAGATCACAATATCGGAAACATCGAGACAACAAAAAGAAATTAATCGAAATAATGACAATAATAATAATATAAAAACGAAGAGAACGGTGAACATCTGTATGAATCGAGAGCGTACATAGACATATTGCTTATTATTTATTTAGAAGATAATTAAGAGAGAAGAAAAGATTGATTATTTGAAATCCTCTTTACACATGAATTTTAAATGAGAAAGAGAAGAATTCTTTTGTTGATCGTTCAATAATCTAAACATCATTTCAGTTGATTAGATCGAAAAACAATTATCTAGTTGAAGGTTAGAAGAAGCAAGGAGAGAAAAACATCGACTAGATCTGTTGTTTTCATCTTGCTTAGCTCCAATCAGATATATTGTGATCAATCTCATCTGACTGACATTTCTGTTGATATTCTCAATTAAGTTTATATAAGATAGCGAAGAACTTTGGGCCCGTTTTTCCTTTGCCATCAAGACAAAGAAATATTTCTAATCGGACAGCTGTTATTTCGCTTGTCTTCTCAATATTCTCTTCGACTAATTTTCTTTCGATTAAGGCCAGTCAGAGTTTCTTTTGTGTTCTGATGATCAATTTATCGTTTACATTATCGATCAACTAATTGCCTTCGTAGGAAGCAAAAGGCACATTAGTTCGCTCATTTATAAATATGTGAAGAATCTTTTCGATTATTGATGTGTTTTGCCGTATGGAGATATATATACACACACACACGTGAGATGGATCAACAATCAGTGTGTGTTTCCATTTTTTGATCCGAAGGAAAATGTCTGATCATCAAAAGATACGTCGAGAGAATGTCGCAAAGGAACAGCACAGCTCGAGGCAATATCGATTATTTGCTACTAATTGCATTGTTTCGAGGCAGATGGTTGACGAGAAAATAAATGAGCATCTTAAAGGAAAAGATTTCTTTTTATGGACTATTCGAATTCACTTAAAAGAAAAACAAAAGAGATTTTCCAGCTGTCGTCGAGGGTTGCTTGACGTGAAACGGAATTCGTTGTTTTCCCTTTCGTTTACTTGATCAATGTGTAAAGCACGTTGCCACGAGAGTTCGTTAAAGAGAATATCAATTGATCGGCATTAGAAATTCGCAAGATACGTGTCTCTCTGTCGCCGCAGAAATAAATAAACAAATCGTTTTTTGTATATTTTTTTGCCTTGTAGGAAATGAATTTGCTGAACAAAAGTTATTCTCCCTTTTTTTTAGCTCTATGAATTGTCTGACGAACCAAAACGTAAAGAATTCCTCGATGATTTATTCGCATTCATGCAGAAACGTGGTAAGTGTGATATAAAGCAATATCATTCATTCGTAACTCTCACTTTTTGATTATCAAAATAGGTACTCCGGTTAATCGAATACCTATTATGGCTAAGCATGTTCTCGACTTATGTAAGTTGAGATTGGATGGAAGTGGAAAGAGAAACATTGCCTTTATTTTCTTTTTATTAAGATGAATTGTTTCGTCTGGTTGTTAGTAAAGGTGGATTAGTTGAAGTCATTAACAAGAAATTATGGCGTGAAGTGACGAAAGGTCTTAATTTACCAAGTTCAATTACTAGCGCTGCATTTACTTTACGTACACAGTATGTATAAATCTCTTTTCATTGGAGTGTTGACATATATAATGTATTGGACTAATCAAAGTCGATTAGTTTCTTTCACATATGTTGTCTATCATTTATCATATGTCAATGTCTTGAACATAAACGATGAGAAATCAATTTGTTTGATTTCTGTTGAGAGAGAGAAGAATGTCTTGTGTAGAAAGAAGTATGCTGATTCGTTGTTTTTCTTAAGATACATGAAATATTTATATCCATTTGAATGTGAAAAATTACAATTAAGCTCACCGGGTGAATTACAAGCAGCTATTGGTAAGAAGATAATATATACACATCTATGATATGCATACGTTCTCATTTGCTTATTTTAGAAGGCAATAGACGTGAAGGTCGTCGACCATCGTATGCATTTGAATATTCATCACCTCCACAGATAATGGCACCACCACCTCCACCCGTAACAACAGCATCGACGAATGCCTTTCTTGCTAGTCCACTTGCGCATAGAACATGTACGTATTTTTAAGTGAATGCTTCGTTTGAAACTCTGTTTAATGTTTGAATAGTGGATTCAAACCATGCTGCTATGGCTGCAGCATTGTCTCATCCATTCTTTTTCGCAGCTGCAGCAGCCAGTTCATCGTCACGTGACATCAATGAATCGCCATCATCAGCATCCACAACTCCGCGAATAATACCTTCATTTGACGATCATCATCATTTCTCAGCAGGAATCAAACGAAGCATGTCACCATGTTTCTTATCGAAATCAAATGACGATAATAATAATGCAAATAAGAAGTTTGCTCCAACAACAAATTCACCTTCGTTGTTATCTCAAGCGAGTAAATTGAAGATACTTTCCAAAGGTAAATGACATTCCAAGTTTAGTTTTTGAATCTTATTATTATTCTTTTTCTGCCAGGTCATAGTCCTGATCAACAATCAAACGAGAAATCGGTTAATTTCTCGATTGAACTCAATGGAATTACTTATCAAGGTGTACTGTACGCGACAACGTTGACCAGTAGCAAAGACTAAACTGTTTTCATGTAAATGCTTTTCTGAACGATGACTTTCGACACTTATTTTTCTGTTTTTCAACAATTCTTCACGTCTTTTTCTTTCCTTGTTTCTCATCTTTCTTGTTTCGTTCATTTTTTGTATTGATACTAATAAAAAAAAGAATCTTTTTTTGCGCATATAATTAAATGATCATAGTCATTCAGTAAATCAGCACTTTGATAAACGCGGAATGAATACATTGCAAAATCCGAAACTAAGATTGACCAAACAAGTATCAATGAATAGCGACATCATACGAAAGTTAGTTTTGTATAACCAATAGTTATGCTGCAGGTGATTATATTGTATGCAAATGAAAGAAATGAATGAATCATATTTTGAGTTCTTATTTTGTAACTTTTATATTATATTCCGAATAGGTTGATTTGAGTGAAAATGTCCACTCGGCATCGAACATCGACTGCCTCTGCGTCCAGGACGGATCATCCATCTTTAGCTCTGACTGAAAGCTACGACGAAGAAATTGTACCTTTGCTTACAACGATTGATCAAAGTATGTTCACATGCTCTATCGGATTGTTTTAAACGAGTGTCACATTTTCCACTCTCTTAAGTTCGAAATCGTGTGGCTGATGTCGATACTACTATTGAATTACCGTCGATTGTTGTTATCGGTGAGCAAAGTTCAGGGAAAAGTAGTGTCCTCGAAGCACTTTCCGGTATTCCATTACCTCGTGGTGGCCAACACATGACAACAAAGTGTCCATTAGAACTTCGAATGCGTCGTTCGACAACTTGGCACGCTAGCCTTGAATGTCCTGGCCGTCAAAAACGCGACAATATCGCCAGTGTTCAAGAAATTAGTCAATATATTAACGATGCACAGAATTATCTAACAAATGGTCGTGATCAAATCTCAAAACAAGTTCTCGTTCTTAATGTTCAAGCACCTTGGCTACCGAACTTAACGTTGATTGATCTACCAGGAATAATTCAAGTGACATCGACACAACAGGACAGTACATCGGTGAATATGATTGAGGAATTGGTCGGAGATTATCTGGTAAAACGAACGACAATTATTCTGGCGATTATTCAAGCTTGTAATGATATTGAGACTTCTGCAGCGATCAAATATGCAAAAATGTACGATCGTGACGGCGAGCGAACAGGTACAGAGAGAAAAGTTTTGTTTGCATTTGATTGAAAAATCGAAAGTTTAGTTGGTGTTTTAACAAAACTTGACCTAGTCGATCGTGGCACTGAACAGAAGTTATTGGAAGTATTTCAAAATAAACGCATTCGACTGAAACTCGGCTATTTAATGGTCAAATGTCGTTCCCAAGAAGACATTGATAATGATATTGAATTAAGTACGGCATCTCTTGATCACTTTCTTCATTTATTAACCGAATATGTTCTATTCTAGGTGATGCACTTCGTAAAGAAGAACAATTCTTTTCCCGATCAGCAAAATTTCATTCTATTCCAAAAGAACGACGCGGATGTCCATCCCTAGCTCGTTTTCTCACTCATGAACTTGTTCGGAATATCAAACAAGCTTTACCACGCTTGATTTCTGATTTACGAACCAAAATCAACAATACCGAACAGAAATTTCGTCATTTAGGCATTGAAGATTATACACAACTATTGCTAACGAATGAAGCGCGTTCACGACATTTAACCGAAAAGCTGTTTACCTCCATGCAGTTATTTCGAACGGAAATTCATGGTGTCGAAGAAGGTGCACAAGTCAACAATCCATTGTATTCCAAACGAAATGAACTCAATCAAAAGTTTTATTATGATATGTATAAATGTAAACTTCAGAATCATGACCTTATTCAATATATCAAATCAGCGATGATTGCAACGCAAGGACCTGAACCATCAGACGTAAGTTTTCCCCATGAATTCAAGCGCTCTGTTCGACTTCTTTCATTTTTAGTATATTCTATTTCGTGTGACTAAAACCGTCTGTTTGAATTATCTCAAATCCATTCGTTTTCCGATGAGAGAATATTTCTCCAATATGCTTGAACGTACAAGAGCAGTTATCGCTAATGTCATTGACAAAGTCTTTCATGCACGTCCAAATCTGTTGATGCAAATGCGTTCGATGCACGACGAGATTGAAAAGCAATTAAAAGCTGAATGTCAGCGAGAATTAGAGTTAATACTTGAAATGGAAGAATCATTCGTCTATGCCGATCATCCATTATACAAAGATACATTGAAGCAAATGAAGAGAATCCATAGACATGATTACAGTGAACCGTCGACAGTAACAACTGTTTCACAAGCAGCTCGATTACCGGTTGTGATGACAACCAATTCTGCAACGAATTCGATTACAACATCAGTGAAACGAACAAATAGTGTAATGAAAGACGACGATGATGATGAGCTGGAAGATGAGTTTAGTCCACCTGAGAAAATCTCTCGGACGAGTAACCGTGGTGGCAATTCGTGTAAGAAGATTCTGCACGTTTATTTCAACATTCTTTTGTTGTTTTCTCTAGTTTGGAATAATATATGGCCAACTTCGCGGTCTGACAGTTCCGAACCTCTTCCTAACAATCACAACAGTTGGTTTTTGTTTGTCACTTAAATCATTTCTTGCAGTCTCATTTTAGTTAGTCGAATTACATCTGATCATGTGACGACGACAACAACAACAGGAGCAGCAGCAATGGCAGCAACGGTACCGTCGAGATCGGCAGTTATCAATGGCACACAGGACAATACCAATGACGAAGAAATAACTGAGTATAAAATTCGTATCTTAGCAATGCAAGATATCATTTGTCAGCGAATTGTTTTAACATTTCCTCAACGTATTGAATATCAACTTGTGCGAAAACAGTTCTCTCAACTTGATTTACAATCGTCGATCTTAAGTAGTACAAGCTTAGAAAAACTAGATCACTTAATGGCACAAGATCCAGAAATTGAACGTCAACAAAATGATCTGATTAATAAGCGCAAATTATATGATGAAACAATTAAAGATCTACAAAATCTCGATCGGTATCAATCGACTAGCGATTCGACAGAGAATAGATAACTGTTGTCTTTGAATTGATGTCTGTGTTTTTCTTTTCTGTCATCACAATTTTGAGTTATTCAATCAAACAAGAAATTTTATTAATATAGATCAATACAGTTTCTTTTTGAATGTCAAATTAGAAATGTTCAGTCATTGGTCAACAGGAACTATAGTAGCTGCATTCGTGTTCATTTGTTTCATTTTCTTTATCGATGGTGGTCTTACTGGTAGTTCGTGTTCGAGCACTCCATGTGCGACATTGTCCAAACCGCGAACTTGGTCTATTCGATCGATGCGAATACCAATTGTAAAGTGCATTGATAAAAGCAAAATAGCTGTGCACACTGCTGCGTAAGCGCATATAACGGCAACTCCAATGAATTGATACCAAAGTTGAATGGGATTGCCGTAGAGTGCTCCATTCTTTCCATTACTGTTCACGTCTTTTTGACACAACGCACCGGTTAGAATTGTTCCGATGAAACCACCTAAACCATGGCAGCTGAAGACGTCGAGAGTGTCGTCGACGCGGAAAAAGAGCTTTTTACTGGTTAGAAATATATATACAATTAGTCCACCGACTAAACCCATTAATAGAGCATAGCCAGGTTGAACGTAACCTGCAGCCGGGGTAATGACAACTAATCCGACCACTGTCGCCGAGCAAACACCTGGAATAGAGATAAAACCAGCACTTTGCCGTTGTATCTTGCCTTTCACTATATCAAGTATCATCCATATCAACATGCTTGATGCAGCAGCTACATTTGTATTAACAATAGCTAATGCAGCAATGCCTATTAAGAAATTTGTCAATCATGTCTAGTTTCTCATGTCTCTTTTACATACCGTCAGCAGATAATGCCGAACCTCCATTGAAACCCATCCAGCCTACCCAAAGTAGCCCAGTGCCTAAAATTGTATAAGGAAGATTGGTTTGACCGGTTGCTAATACATCGGGATCGAACTGGACACGTGAACCGATGATAAGAGCGGCCACTAATCCGGATATTCCACTTGCTATATGCACAACTAATCCACCGGCAAAATCAAGAACACCAAGTTGATATAACCATCCTCGACTGCAAAATACCCATCTTGCTATAGGATCATAACAAAACGTAGACCATAAAAAAATGAAAAGCATATATGGAATCAGTTTCATCCTTCCAACGACGGCACCACTGATTAATGCCGGGGTGATAATAGCAAATGAGGATTGATAAGCAGCGTATGTTAATGATGGTACAGTATATGCATTAATATCGTCGACATCTTCGCCATATATGGCAACAAGACCGGCTCTAAGTTGTACAGCATATTCAAATGAACCGAAAGCAGAATTTCCTGGACCAAATACGAATGAGTAACCGAAAAGACACCATTGTACTGGCACAATCGCCATACAAACAACAGAAAGAAATAGTTGATTAAGAAAATTTTTGTTTTCAACTAGACCACCGTAAAAGCAAGCTAATGCTGGTGTCATCATATAGACTAACGCCGTTGATGTCATTAACTAATCGTGTAAAAAGGTAATAAGTTCTTTGGCATTATGAAAATCAAGATCGAACTTACCCAGGCAGTGTCACCGTGACGAAGTACTGTACTATTCATACTTCTGTCTGATCAGTGTTGTTAACATCTCTAAGGAATCTTTCGATTTATATATTTTCTTTCAACGTTCCTAAGCAGATTAAACAAACGATCAATTCACGTGTTATGATCCTGTCGAGTGAAATCGTATTACCGGATTGCATACTCAACGTGATTTTCTAAACTAGCGAACAGAAATATGTATTTACGACTTTCTTTTTTTTGCAGACATTATTAATTAATTATTAATAGGCGATTCGACATGATCTGTTATGATACTCTTCGTCCATAGTAGGGCTACAGAACCTTACAATATGGAAACGAATGACAACAATATAATGATCTTTACAAAATATGCTTTTCTTCGAGGGTATTTTTCTATCTCGCAAAGTCTTCTTGCGAGTCATTGTATCTATAATGCATTTGTATCTTCTAACGCATGATTAACAACTTTACCAGCTATTTGGAATAGACAGATAATCTCCGCACGCATCACCAATCAGATACGAGCGATGTACTTTTATTTATTTCAGAATCGATTTCACACTTCGATTATTCCTTTCTACATTAATAATCACCTGAATTCATTTTTTGTTGGACTAAGTTAACAAATGTTGTCCAACCATAGCGGCCGAGAATGTCATGTGGGCAGTTTTTACCGCTCCAGTCTTGATGTTTACGAAGACGATCAGTGCCGAAATTGAAACGTTTGAGTAATCGTGCTGCTAAGCGAGCACCATTTTCAATGGCAGCATTTTTCAAACTAACGTTATCGTTTGTTGATTGAGCGATCTCCACACCGATTGAAGCTTTATTACCTTCGCCACTACCATCACCTGCATGCCAGCCATGACTATAAAGAAAAGTGTTTCGTCATAGATTTGAGAATTCGATTTGAAATCGATAACTCACGTGTTGTCAGGTAATAATTGAATGGCGTGAATGTTATCAACGACATAATGGAATGAAATGTATTGATTATCACGACGATTATTCAAATACGTAGCTTCATTCTGAGCTGTTGCTTTATTAGCTGTATTATGAATAGTGATGTACTTGACTGTTTGAGCAGTACCATATTTCCATTTGAGATTGTAATCATTTCTGTCGAGTAATTGTTGAAGGACAGTCAAAGCACCAGAACTGAATCCGAGAACTGAAGCGAAAACAAGAAACACAATGGCTAAACGCATATCGATTGTTAATACTCTTCCCTAGTGATACTGTGTGAGATGGATGTTTGTCGACTTATATAGTGGTACCGATTTAATTGAATATCTTGTTGATTTAAGCTTTGTTAATCTGTGTTTTGACTTCGATCTGATTTCAAACAAAAAGGTCTATCGGTTGATTTTTCAGTATTTATATCGGACGATTGTATTTCAAAGTGAGTCTTCTTAAAATGTAGATGAGAATCAATTTACAGTCGCATCACGTGCAAACGATTAAATGAAATGAGAAAAAAAAGAAGTAAAGCAGTTCTTAAGACTCAGCGATAAAGATTCTTTAGTACAGAATGATTTAAATATAAAAATACTTGTGACAAACATTTGTTTAGTTTTATAGACGTTGTGCGTGTCTGAATAATACACTGAACTCTAAACTTACATTTTCAGACAATTAAATCTATAAAATAAACATCAGCGTACTTGACAATGTATTTCTTCTTCTCCAAAGAGAAACAGTGAATTCTGAAATCCTATTTGCTTTAACAAATGATTCAATCGTCTATTGACTTTAAATTTTCAAGTTGTCAATAAAGAGAAAGTCTTCCATTTCTCAGTTAGAACATCCAATCTTTCACTTCAATTACAAATATTATCTCAGCAGGCGTGTGTTTAACAAAAACATGCTTGTTGTTTTTACTTAGATCAAATACTCGCTGAAAAGTTGTTTTTTATGACATCAGTTAAGTGAGAATCATATATTTATGGAGCAAGAAAAAGACGAGAAATCAAACTTTTGTGCAATTATGAAGACGAAGAAAGCAAATAAAAGAAAAAAAAAACTCATTCGATTAACATCTCTCGACGGCGAACAAATCAAACGACTCTATTACCGATTCGATTGAAAATATTCTATTCTTTGATGAGCGACATTTATGTTAAAAGTTGACTATCTTCACCGTGAGTCGTTCGTTTCACAACCGATCGTCACTGCAGCACAAGCCAAGCAACATCTACATGAGATCCGCTTACAACGTCAAAATCAGCTAAGAACAACCATTAACGAATGTCATCGACTTCAGAATATCCATAAACAAATCTACAATCATGCTCCTCAGCAATGGAACTCTCACTCGACTGAAAAACATGTTAATCATCAAGGAAGAACTGTGTCGAGTCCGAAACGTCTTCCTAAATATTCGATACCTCGAATCGAATACGCTTCTCTGATCTATCGACCATCGAAGTCGACATTCGAAATCGATGCTGTTGACAAACCTCTGCCGATTATAAAAGAATTAACAGATCATTTATCGAAATCTCCTTGTGCAATTTTTTCAAATGATCGACAAGAAATGTATGATGATAATCAAATGTAAATATATCGTTAATTGATTTTTCATTTTCAGTAATCGATCATTATCAGCAATAAAACACGATCGACAAAGATGCTTAAGTGTTTCCTCGATTTCATCGCTTGATAAACGGACGCATAAAGTCTATGAAAAATGGCCTGATTATAATCAAATAAGTGAAATTGTTGGTTATCGAATTGATCCTCCTGCTCCGAAAGTAATTACATCTAACATTACACCATCGCGTCCTTCAAAAACTAGAAGTCAACAAAAACGAAATTCGTCAACGAAACTTTCTATCACGCCAAAGCCGAAGCAACCATCAGGACGAAAATCACAGAAAGATACTCTTATACCGATCGTTGTCGAAGAACCATCATTGATACTCGAAGTTCCTTCTGTAAAGGCAACCGAAGAAATCAAACCGAATCTCCCCGATCTACTTTGCCCATCATCCATAGTGTATTCACAACGTGTTCGAACTCGGCAATGGTTAATGAAACATAATTTCTCTTGCAATCCAATTCAAACTCTTCCGCTGTTGTAATCTTCTATTTTATTTCGATACTGTTTATTTAGCCAAAAGGAAATGAAAATTATATTTACAAAATAACACTGTCACATAAACAAGATGCTAATATAAGAAACAAAAATACACCGAACGAAAGAAGAAGAAGAAGAAGAGAAAAATATATGTATATATTATTGCACACAAGAGCAACGAGTGTTCTATGTTCAAAATCACACTAACATTGTGACAAGTTTTCTTGGTGTTATTGGAATTGACGAAGATGTTAGAGTTTCATATGGACATGAATGACCGGTATCCTAATCGAGAAAGAAAGTCAACGAATCGATCTGTCAAGTGTTCTTACCTGCCAAAAGAGACATTTACATAATTGACATTGATGAATCATTTCCGCATAGACTTCTCGAAGACCATATTGTCGTTTTAGTTTGAAATAAGCGCTTTTCCAATCGATATCATTAGTATCAACATCATCCTGTTGTCTTCGCATTAAGCCAAGGATATTCTCTCCTAATTTCGAATTATTACTATTCTGTGCATCACCACCGAAATGATAAAGACATAGCTGACGCCAAATCAGCAGTTCCTGAGAAACTCGATAAATATTGGAATTGATCATTCCAACATTGATAATATCTGTACCGTTATCTAAACGTCGTATGACTTCGCGTTGCATTTCCACGGGAAGTGAATCGAATGTTAATTTACTAGTATCTTCATCTGTTTTTATCATATTTGTTTGAACTTGTTTTATTGTTTCTTGCATTCGTGTTAACATTTCAATGTGTCGTTGCCACAATGGAGCTGAACCAATATAATAATAAAATGGATACGCGGAATGAATAGAATTATGAAATTGTGTGACGATTCGTTGCATTAATGAAATATTATCGCCAGTTTTCAGTACTGAACATTCGAAAAGAAGTCAAATGATCAAATGAAATATATGTGTACTCATAAATCAAATTTCATACCCATATCGATCATTCGACCAATCACTTGAAATAGAGAACGTTGAGCATTACCACTTAATTCGCCTAGCTTGTCTTTGAATAAGATTTGGACAACCTTCAATTCAACAATCAAGGAAAATGTCATTTGCCAACAATTCTCTATCTCTCTTACTTTTGCAATGTAATTAAAACGTCGAATATTATTAACTGAATTAGCAATTTCAAGTGCGTTGAATACGTCGGATAAGCTTGAGTTGACGTTTAGTAACTATATCAAGGACGTATGATTGGAATGTAAGTTAAAGAAAGAGTCGATTTGGAAACTCACGGAACTCGATGTTGATAGTTGTCGTGGTCGTTCCCATGAGCCAATATCAGTTTTCGTCCATTGTTCGCCATCAGCACGCCAATCTCGTCCAATAAATGGCATCCTACGTCGATATTTGTCTATATCTACAAGAATCCGATCTAGTAATAGTTGATTATTAACGTGATCAACAAAACAAGACAATAGAATGTGATCAGACGACGACGACAACGACAAAAGTTTGATTTTGAAACGAAGGTCAAAGAAAAAAACCTGCTCTTCTCTCTCTCTCTCTTTCTCTATCCTAGCGTTTAGTATTTATGTGAGAGATATGTATATACGAATGTATGTGAGCTTACATAAGAGCTCAAAACGAAAAGAAAGAAGAAAGAGTAGGGATTGTCTTTTTTTTATTCACATGCATTGCTCGTGCTTTTCGTCCATATGATCGACATTAGACGTACATATAAAGCAGGCAAAAAAGAACGAACAAAGAGATTAATGACAACAACATAACAGTAAGAGAAGAATTTCGCTCATGTTACTAAATAGGATGTCATTTAAATTCGACAATATTAGCAATGAAATGTATCTCAACGAGAAGATTTCGTTAATAAACTGTCTGCTGAGTGTGTCATCAGACAGGAGCGTACAGCTTGTATTCAAGGCCGTTCTCGCGTTTCTTCTTTTTCTACAGATTCCACTAACGACTAAAAGAAAAGAAAGCCTGATGCATTCATTGTCGGACTGACGCGTCGAGGCAACACAGATCACGCGCGCAAATTTTTTTTTTCATATTACTAAAGCAGTACGAGACCACATGGACGAGTGGCATAACGAATAAGCTCATAGTTAGAGAAAAGAACGCGCAAGAAAAGAAGAGAGATCTCACTACACATTCGCTCACGAGTCCATTCTCTGTTACATCCTACTCTTTTTTTTCTTCATAACATACATCATCGCCTGCAAAGTCTGGAGGTGAACAAGCGAACGGAGAGAGAAGGAAAAAAAATGAAAAGAACTGACGAACAGAACGAGAGAGAGAGAGAGAAACTAAAGAAGGAACTAAGACGACAACATTCAACGCATGGGATTCGATCAGATGACAACGATATTTTGGAGTCTTGATTGCATAATTTTGATTAAAAGACGACTTGATATCAATTGGAATTTGTTTTACGGTTCATTTATTAACTAGCTTACTTACTTACTTTCTTTCTTTCTTTCACTTTCGTTTGCTTTGTTATTTTTAGCGTCGAGAGGAAATCGAAAAGAGTAGCTTCTTGTCGTGACGAGATGAATATTATTTGTTTTGTCATCAATCACAAACAACTTTGATTTATTACTCAAAACAGCATAACACCCATGAGATTTTGATATAGCATGGTTGTTATTTAATTTGAGATATTTTTTTCTCAAGGTTCCGCTGTTTATTGGTGAGAAAACAAAAATAGAACAATCATATCACCAGTCGAAGACCGTCATAAACCCAAACAAATCTCTTAGCGTCTAATAAAAGCCTCCTATTCATTTATATTCATAGCCTGTAATAATTGTTTGATGCCATATTCATAAATCTTATTGGTAACCTATAAAAGAATAGTTCGAGACGCGAAGAACACTTTTGATTCGTCTTGAAAAGAAGTTGTTATAAATTCATATCAATCGCCAGAAAATATATTTATAAATGTAAACAATTATATAAACAAATGAAAGCTTGAATGTCTTCATTCAAAAAATTAACAAAAGAAAAACAGATCGACCTATGCTTTGTAAGATGAGTGTGAAACTTTTCCATCCGATACTGAATGACGTTTACTGAATTTGTTCTTTCCATTCTCAGTGATTTTGTTGGTGTTATTCGGTTCGTTTGCTGATGGTGAAGATGCAAAACGCTTTTTGTATTGTTCGATGTAGATGGGACGATAAACTGAATAGAGAAACTGTCGAAGAGCATTATGAAATTCTAATGGTTGGTCTATATAACACGCATGTGAAGCATTTTTAATTGTTAATACTTCACTCGACGGTATTTCTTTGAGTTTTTCAATCGCAGATCGGAATCTGTTATCATGTTCACCATGTACGATTAGAGTTGGAACCTATTGAAGTATTGAGCATTAGTAATCTATGAATCTAAAGATCAGAAACTTACAGTTAAGTCTTTGTATTCGCTGGATTTGAAATTTTGTGTTCCGACAGGTGATATGGGTATGAAACCCCGAAAAGTGTGTCGTTTAGGATGAGATTGTAAAACATATGGTAGAGAAAATCGACCGCTCATAGATGGACTTATGATGACAAAATCTGAAAGGCGAAGTACGTGTATCAGTCGTGTTAACCAATGAGCAGCTGCTGTTTCTTGGACAACGGGTAATGAACTGTTACCATAACCTAGTGCAAATAAGGAGAGAAAAGATCCTAGATTTTGATATTCGTAGTTGCCTACCAGGTAAATCAATAGCAAACGCTCGATAACCCCAACTTGCTAGATATTGCAACGTACCTGAAATGAATTATTTGTTTGACCTCGAAATGCGCTTTTACAATGTCTTACCAATTTTTTCCCAGTTTTTCGAAGAAAATGATTGACCGTGAAGGAGAAGAATATTAAAACTACCATCACCTGCTTCGCGGACAAGCACATTATGATCCTACAATCAAACCAATTCGAAAGTTCCTGTCAAAGTCACACTGAAAATGCTGATCTTCCCTACCTGTCCATGGCTCATTACAACCAAATAAGTTCGAATTCGTACTTCCGGTACATCAGGTTTGCCATCCTCTTCATGTAAAATACTTGGTTTACTATTAGACTTCACATCTGCTTTAATGCGGATAAATGTATCTCCATCTCGATTCGGTATGACATAAGCATTGTCATCATCAACGAATTCGAAGTCATTGATGTTTCGACCATAGGAAATAAGATTGAGTACAATGACAGCCACACCGAAGATGAGAGTACCAGTCACAAGTAATTTAAAAAACGATGATCGTACTATCATTTTTTTTTCTTTCATATATTTCTCTAGAAAAGAAAATAGAAGATAATCTTATCTCATTTTCTTCTCTTTAACTTCGTCTTAGTTTCATTATTGACTTAGTCAGGTTAGAAGACAACTTCTTCGGAGGACAACGAAGTGACAAAAGAAAACACAAGACTATGAGTAGTAAATGCTTCTACTGCGAGCGAGTGTTTGTCAATGGTGATCGAAAATCCAAGTATAACAATTTAGAATATCATCAAGAATGCTTTCGTTGTTCAACATGTAATCAACCAATAAAACAATCGTTCTATAATTTGGGTAACGACGAATACCGCTGTTCCGACTGTCAAAAAAAGTTAGACGTTGTTATAAAATGTGCTCGATGTTCACAAGAAATTGAGGATGGATCATATATTGAATATAAAGGTGAACCAGTCCATGCGAATTGTTTTGCATGTTATTCTTGCGAACAATTATTGGGCAAAATGCTTTATGTGGAACATGATGATCAGCCGTATTGTGTTCCCTGCCATATGGAACAGTTTGCTCAAGCTTGTGCAGTGTGTCAACGTTCGTTTCCACCGGGCACATCAACGCGAAAATTTGGTGATCAGTATTTTCATATTGAATGTTTTCGATGTTTTCATTGTGGCAAAATTATCTTAACGAAAAATTACGTCATCAACGACGACCAACAACGTGTTTGTGACATGTGCAGTTCAATATCATAAGATATTCTTTTCTCTCTTCTTCATCTATCGACATTTTATCAGTTTGATACGGTGATTTTGGACAACAACGAGATCGGAAGTTTTTCTTTTTATTCTGTTTTATGATGCAAAGTCCGGAGAATATGTTAAACGAGAATAAGAAAAAGGAGAAAGTTTAGAATAAAAAAAAGAAGAAAAAATAATTCAGGAGAAGAAATTTAACCACAACGCTGGTCGTTGCCATGTCGCAGTGAAGAGTGCCACTTTCTGTTCTGTTTCTCTCTTACGTTTTTCTTCTCTCTCTCTCTCCCTCCCTTTCTCACTGCATTTACTAACAATTCGATGCGCTCTCATTTATGCTTCGTAGTTGTAAAATTTAACTCAACTTAAGATTGTCGTCAAACGATATGAATGAAAATGCACGAACAACACGAAATACTGCTCAGTCACCTACATCTCTTTCGGTAGAAGCACTTGAAGAAATCGTTCGTAATTGCCAACGAAATGAAGAACGTCTACATGAACTTGAGCGACATACTCGACACGAACGAAAAAAAGCCGAGCGACTTCTTCGTGAAACGTTTCAAACCAAGTACAATCGTGATAGTCGAACGACCAGTGCTGCAGATTGCAACACCACTGATGATAACAGTCACGTCAATGATCACCAAGAAAAACAGCGATCACCGAAAGAATTTTTTGTTTCTCTCGACGATGAGAACGACGAAAATGGTACATATCATCGTCGTCACAAAAGAACTTTCAATCAAGATAAAAATTTACTTGCACGAGTCGAAAAACTATTGGCTGGCGATGGAACAGCCACATCCAGTGATATTATGTCATCACAAGAACGGCAAAAGAGGTTTGCCGAACGATCGATGTCACCTGTCGAAGATGATTTAGATGACAAACTATCTGAAATTAACGAAAAACATTCACATCGACACCTTCCATCGGCATGTTCGATTGAAAATGAGCTTTCAACGGTTGATCGTTTACTATCCGAACGGACTCCGGTTCATAATCAACGCACGAAGTCTGATAATCACAACAACCAAGAAAAGCTAACGAAGAAACTCAATACTGATAATAATGAACATATAAAAGATCTTGCTGATAACCGTGATCAACAGTTTTACAAACGTTTGAATAATTATGTTCAAACAGGTCGATTCATTTCACCGGAATCAGACCAACAAATGACTATCAACATTGAAACCTCTCAGTATCATTCTCGTCCAGCAAATGCAAGAATTAATAATAATAAAGACGAAGAATTATCTGATTTAGCGCGTCGTTGCGAAGATCTTCTCACGCGCTTACACGCCGAACGAAACCGTGCTGCTCTGCTCGAAAAATCAACGCATCGATATGATTTTCATCGACGACAACCTACACTTAGTTCCTCGTCGTACGAATCAAGAAGACATTCTCCTCAACAACGTTCAATCTCACCGACGCCACTTCTTGAAGAAGAACCATCGGCGATGTCTCTACAACAATCTCTCGAATTACTTCGTCCAGAATTTATCTCCCGTTCTCGGCAGCGTGTTCGACGTGTGCGTCTTCTTCGAGAAGAGCGTGAGCACAACGCTGAGATCGACCGTGAACGTCGACAAATGCTTCTCTTTTCATGTTCATCTTGGTGTGCGAAACCGCATAAACGTACAACATCGGCGCCGCCAACGCAACGAAACGTTGCTTTCACAGTTCCATACCATCAACCGGATTCATCTCGAATACCTTTAACATATCGTCAAATGAAACGCGCAACAAAAAAGAAGTATGACCAATTACCTGAAGTCGCCGATCAACGACGACAACATCAGATGGAGGAAGTTCGTCGACGAAATTATCTTCGTGCGAAAGTATTTCGCACACGTTTACGTCAACATGTTGCTCGACATGGGCAAACTAATATCGATGAATCGTTGACAATGATTGAAACATAAGCTATTTTCGATTCAATGCGTGCGTGGGATAGAGTTTCTTGATCAAAAACACTGGAATAAATTAGCCTTATTGATCACTAAAACCTTCTTCTATAAAATCTGATATAAAAAAAAAGGACGAATGACGATAGTGTTGGAATAACAGACATCTGTCATCAGTTGTTATCGGAGAGGGATGACAACACAAACAACTGTAAACGAGGAGCGTTGTTTAGAATTGATATTCAGGATATGACAGGGAAGGAAAAGCAACACGCACTAATCGATATTTCTCTTCTTACGAGCGGAAATGGTAAGAAAACAGAGTATTCTTTGAAATAGAAAAAGAAGCTGGTGTTTGTCTTTCTGTCGCGCAGTCAGTCAAGCACTATTTGCATTGGCAAGAAAAGTACATTGATGGAATTATTCCGTCAACGTTTATTAGAAAGTACGACTAAACAATCGGATTTTATTGAAATTTTCAGCGCAATCGATCGAGGTATAATGAAGACAATAGATTTCACATTAGCTCTTCTTGTTCGATTAGATCATTCAGGTCGAATTACGTTCGAAGAATTTCGTCAAACGATCAAATCTCTCAAACTGGGAATTAACAACGATAAAGACATCAAAACACTTTTTCATCAATTCGACACGACGAACAACGGTCAAATCGATCTTGATGAGTTCCTCAAACAATTAAGACCACCGATGAGTGAACGACGTCAGCGAGCTGTTCTAAATCTCTTCAATTCCATCGATGTGAACAAAGATGGCCAACTAACGACGTCCGATCTTAAAGTACAACTAAACTTGCTCATTCTCACATCTCGAATATTGTTCTTAGATAAAATACGCCACGCAACTAAAATCTACCAAGAAAAAATCTGACCAAGCCATCGATCATGTAAATCACATTTCACAGTTCGTTGAAATCTTTTTCAATGATTCTTTTGATAGGCATTGCAAAACTTTCTGAATAAATTCGATACTCGCGGGAAAGAAGATGGAATCATCGATAAAGAAGAATTTGTCGGTTTCTGCTCGATGTTGAGCGCAACGATCAAAGATGATATCTACTTCGAACATATCCTTCGCACGCTGTTTAATTTTCATCTCTGAGTCGATCGAAACAAAACAGAAGATGTCTTTTCTAACCTTTATTAGTATCTTGTCTTCTTCTTTGACAAAAATAGAACGACATAGCATGAAAAATCTGTAGCATACAGTCATCGCTCAAGACAAAAACAAGAAGACCAAACACAAACAGTTCAAATCTGAAGTTAATAGCAGGAATAAACTAATAGATGAAGGCAAAACAAAAATATATATTTAGATTTGTATATACATGCAAAATTAATCTTCTTTTCTATTGGAAAGATTTAATCACTGTTTCCGTTCTTTGGAAAACAAAGATATTTTTATTTGTATTCACGATGTTACGTTCTTTTTTCTCCCTCTTTCCAAGGCAAGCAATAATTTTAATTAATCTTCTTGCTGACTACGTGTTACTTTATTTGCACGCGTTTTCTTCAATGCTTGAGTACGTAATTTAAAAGCAGCTTTATTTGCCAGTTGCTAAATGAAGAGAAGAGTAGGTAGGAAAATCGGAATTTCGAACAAATTACTCGTTCAAATCGATTGCCTTTTGCCTTTTGACTCTCTTCAGCTTCGAGATCATCCAAATTGAACACCGAACGAAGAAAACTATTCTCTTTCAAATGCACATTCATACCAGTACCTAACAAACCACTGAACCCATTGTAATAGAGTCTGCCTGTCCATGAGGATATTTCTAAAACTTCTCGGGCAAACTTAATTGTAAATTGCGGTGAAGTACCTTCCTAAATTTAAAAACAAAATACGTAAGGTCGTGTGTGGAAATGGATTTTGTGAAGATCTACCGCGAAGAAATTGAATATTTCACGGAAAGTAGCGCGTTGTAAACGTTTTTCTTTTTTGCCTTTGTATTTAACACTATCAGTTGCTTTTTTGTCCAATGTTGTCAATAACGATTCGGGTGGCTCAGCAAAGATCTAAAGCAAAGTTCTCATTTGCTGAAATTCTCTTGTCTCTCTACTTACACTATTGATTTCTTGGGCAATCTCGTATAACACAGCGATTGTTTCACCAGCTTGATTACGTAAATCTGCGTCGCTGGATTCGATTAAGCCAGGGATTTTCTCAGGTGCATAACTAAAATATTCAAGCATACGTGTAGAGTAGCAAAATTCAGATAAATGAAACGGATTTACAGTCGCACTAAATCATGTGCATGATTATTCGGCATGGTGGAAAGAAGAAAGCACCAGGATGCTAATGCTGCGGCATGTAATTCTTGAACATCGTGTGTTAGAATTGGAGATGTTCCATCGTTAAGTAGATAAGATTTCGAAAAGATTGCCTCCAATGTTTTCATCAGATCGACCGTTGACTAAAAAATCGAACACAATTTTCCCGATATTCTATTGCTATGTGGATTCATGAGAAATCTTACGGAAATATCTTCACTAGCAATGAAACAGATCATGCCCACAGCTTGTGCATACTATTCATGAAATGAGAATCGATTAATTGCGAGCGAAAACTAAATTTTGTTAACATACACTTCGTCGTAATGATGCAGATTTTGTTTCATCTCTAAGAACTGGCAAAAGAGCATCACGAAATTGTTGAAAACCTTCGTCATTTGGTTCGCCAAGTTGAATGTAGAATAAAGTTGCAACGATAGCTGCTAATTTCCCTTCAGATTCATTGCCTTTTTTCAAACAGGCAATCAATTGTTCAGTTAAACTTTCACTTCTGAAACGAGTCATTAATGGAAAAAGGAAGACATAATAGAAACGATGTTACCGATCGCTGACGAGTTCAGGAATGAATTTTTGTGAAAATATAACTTGAAGACTCCGTAAAGAGCTTTCGCGCGTCTTTAAACTAAAACGTTTATTTGTTCGAATAATCTTCGATGATCAAATGCGATATCCTTACTCTTTATTTCGAAGTCCTTCAATCGCGGAGTCAAGTTTTTCTTCGGGATTATCCGATGACAAGATGACTTCACTTGTCGTGGCTGCTGCAGCTAGAAGCACATTTCTTCAGCATTCCCGATGTACTCAACCAATGCGTACCTTCAGTATCGTCATAGATACTTGTTCCATCTGATACATTCGAGCAGACACTAAGAGCATCATCGACTACCATATCGTCATCGCCACCGCTGCCAATACCTGTTTTTGTCGTCTTGCTTCTTGTACCACGAGGACGATCTATAAATATAAACACATTCTATTGCACGCATGTTATTTTTGAATATAGTTTACCTTTTTTGGTAAATTTCGGCATGATAAAAATGTCGTTAATTATTACGCATATCTATAAGAACAAAGAAAAGGAAATTGAATGTTTTATTTTAAAAAAAACCGCATCTAGTTTAATGAATATCTTATGTCTTTAGTTTATTGATCTAAAATAACCGATCACGTTTGTCCATAGCTAAATGTGGATCAACTTGAACTTCACCAAATTCACGTGGATTGTTCAAGACATCATCAAATGAAATATCTTCGTTCGTGCCACGTAAGACATCAGCCATTAAACGTGAACTTGGTAAACATGGAAGTCGGCCAATTTTATTGGCAATCTGTAATTCAGTTTTCAACTTTAATGGCGCTTGAATACCTAAAACACTACGTGCCATATAATGATGGAAGGCATCAGTTTTCGGCACATGTGTTGTTTCAGATTTTTCAAGAATATGACCAGTTGTCAGAGTTGATTTCACTGACGATATGCCTTGAAAAAGTTTGTTTGGTAAACCGGTGTAACTGGATGAATCCATCTGAAAACAAAGACATGCGTGAACATTTTCAAGAAAGTTAATCAGATAGATTTATTCGATTAGAGTGAAAGACACTGGAAGTATGGGCGAATAAACATAAGAAAATGACGGTGCACAAAGTTAATCTGGTGACTTGGACCGTAATCAATCAGACAGTGGACGATCGCACGAATGTAAAACGATGTTAGGAGAAAAGAACCAATCATTCTTTGTTAAAGACACATTGCTCAGCGACCTCTGACGTATTTTGAGTGTCGGACGAGAGAGGGAGGCTCATTCGCGTTTTAAGCGCACAGTATGGTTTGAATTCTTTGTTTAGCGTGACCGAACTAAACGGTTATTCTCATTCTCTACGGAAACAAAGGGTGTCGAAGTTGATTGTCTTCAAGAATAAAAAAAAGACTTTTTAGACACATGCCTACTTATCAAATTGTAGACGAGAGTAGAGTCGGTAATAAGTGTCGTTTCATGACCTCGAAATCTATCGATCATGAGAACTTGTTAACCTTGTGCAGAGCAAGAAACATAATATGACATTGATATCAAGTGACATTGTTTATGCAACAAATAGATTCCTTCTCATTGCTACTAAAGTCAAACATCGTTTTCGGTTTGATTAGCTCTCCGCAGAGCTAAATTTATTGAATCATTTCAGATATTAAGATACATTATTTTCACAACACTAAGACGATATACAAACACGCAAGGAACACATACGAGAACGAGATAAACAAAAAATATATAACTACAATTTTGTTGAGAGAAAGAGAGTTTCAATTATGATAAAGAAACAAAACTAATTCTACGTAGAGATTAACAAAGAAGTTATTAATTCAAGCTCGATGATAATATACATCAATGTCTTTACAAAATGTACAAACAAATATCTGGAGTAAATAATTGCGTGTAAACACCAAGGAAATGCAATTCGATAATAAAAAATAAAGTGAATTAATAACAAGAATTGTTTAGTTCTTGCGGCGGCGGGTGGTCTTAGTTGTTGGAGCAATGGTTGTTGGTTCTACTTCGATTGGTTCTAAAAGAAAACAGCAAAAATTCAATGGAATCGATATTGTGTTGATCTAGCTTACTTATACGTGAATTTGTTTCGAGTTTCATGAGTAAAGCAATAAGATCAGCTTTCTTTGCACCTTTTGGTATATTTTCCTTATGTTTATTCAATCGAGATTTGAGTTGAGCAACAGTTAATCCTTCGATCTAACCAAGAAAAGTAAATGTGAGTTTTTATGTTGATATTTTCATTGAAAAAGGAGTATACCTTTTGTTGGTCATTTTCTTGCGGAATTGGTTTTTCAGTTGGTTGAGCTGATTCGGTCTCCTTTTTTTCCATTTTCTTTCTCGACTCTTCGTTTTTTTCGATACTTGGTAGTCGGCGTTTGTTTGTCATTTTTGGTACGGGTTGTGGAACAGTCTTGGCAGTACTTGATGCTCCACGTCGTGTTTTTCGAAGGTTTGTTGACGGTACAACTGCTAAAGAAAAATTGTTCATAAAAATTCTCCCTTTCAGTTAGGACGTAAATTTATTACCTTCAGTTGACGGTTTTTTCTCTTCAACTGGTTTCGAAGTTCTAATTCGCTTTGCTTTCGATTCAGTTTTAGTTTCTGGAATTGTTCGTTTAACGGAAGCTCGTTTAGCAACCGGTTCACTTGGAACTTCCTTTGTTGTTCGTTTCGATGGAACTCGTCGTTTGGCGGCAACTGACTCAGTTTTAACTTCTGCACTTGTTTCCTTTGGTGCAGTTGGTTTAGCAACCGGTTTTGGTTTAGCTTTCGAAGTTGTTTGCTTTCGTGAGGATGACTTGACAACTGGTACGACTTTAACTTCAGTAGTTGGTTGTTTTGGTTTAGTGTGTTCCAGTACAGATTCAAGTGCTGCTTTGGGAATGGTTCGTTTTTGTGTGGTGCGTTTGGCAATTCGTTTAGCAGTAGCTTTTGGAGCAGCACGTTTAGCGATAGCGTTTGTAGTGGCTTTAACAGTTGTTTGTTTGGTTGATGTTTTCCTAGCAACTGGTTTGGTGGTCTTCTTTGGAGTGGTTTGGTTTGGTTGAACTTGTTTAGTTGTTTTCTTCGGCTCTTTAACTGCTGGAGTTGCAACTTTTTCTTTTCGGATAGTGGGTTTCTTTTTCATTGGTTTTGGTTTCTAAAAAGAAGGGAAGGGAACAAAGTATGAATAAATTAGTTCAGTTACAAGAGCGATTAGAGAAACTCACTGGTTCGACTTTCTTCTTTGGTGAAACTTTCTTCTTTTTCGATGCAATGACTTTCTTTTTTGGTTTAGCTGCTTTCTTAATTGTCGCAGCTTTAACTTTTGTTGATTGCGGTTCGAGTATGATTGGTGTTGGAGGAATAACAATATCTGGTTTCAATCCACACAAAGCTTCCTCGAGTTGTTCTTTGGCAACTAAACGTGCATCAGTTCCTGGTGTCAATTGAAAACGAACACTGCGTTGCAAGTTAACGACAACTTTTGTTTGAATTGGTGTGATTTGTTCCTCTTCTTCATTGACAACAACCATTGATGATGAGGATTTATTGATTTGAATGTTGGGTGTTGTTTGTTGTTCTGACACATGCAAATAATGACGACCAAACTTATCAAGGCTCGGAGTTGTTTGTACACCTCGTTCTAATGTTGATGGTTGTTCGATGCTGACAGTCGTCTCGTTGACTGAAACCATTTCAACATCAGCGTCATCTCGTTGAATTTCGATATTGACTTGGTGAGGAACAGTTGTGGTGACCTGTTCTTGTTCTCCAATGCAAACTAATTGCAACGATTTATGTCTTGGTGTTGCTGCTGGTGTGGATGAATGAAGTGGGTTAATGCTTGCTCGTGGCGTTGCATTCGATGATGAACGACGGCCATTCTGTGCTGCACTTGGAACAGGTGATGGTGCAACACTAGCATTGTTTTCTGTTGGGTTAGTCAGAAGAACTCCTAACATTGAGTTGGATTCGATCGCTGGTGATTCACTTGTTTGATTTACAGTGGTGTTACGTTTCGAAGGCCGAATAGGCGTTGATACACTAGCACTTCGACGTGAGCCTCTTGGTTTCGGTTCGGTTGGCTTCGTCAAGAGAACTTGCAACATTGAGTTCGAGGCAATTGCTGGTGAATTTACTGTTTGTTTCACAGCTGTATTTCGTTTTGACGGTCGAACCGGTGTTGACACGCTAGCACTACGACGTGAGCCTCTTCGTTTTGGTTCGCTTGGTTTAGTTAAGAGAACTTGTAACATAGAGTTAAAAGCAATCGCTGGTGAATCTGTTGTTTGTTTCACAGCTGTGTTTCGCTTCGAAACTCGAGTTGGTGTTGCAATTTTAGTTGGTTTGGTGAGTAAAACTTCTAACATTGATTTCGACGGGATGGATGGTGAATCTTCGACTTGTTGAGTCATAGTTTTCCGTTTTGAGCTTCGAATTGGTGATGGTACAATGGAAGTTTTTTCAATAGCTTTTGGTGCGGTATCCGTTGGTTTAGTTAGAAGAACTTCTAACATTGACTTCGAAGCGATGGCTGGTGAGCTGACCAATTGCTCGCTGGTAGTAATTGGTGTCGAACTTTCAGCTGGCGATGGTGCAAATGATGCCTTTCGCGCTGATTTGCGAACAGCTTCGGTTGGTTTGGTCATTAAAATGTTGAGCATAGATTTAGACGGAATTGCTGGTGAGTGAACTTCTTCTTCGTTGATCGGCTCTGGTTGATGTGGTACAGTTGGTGTTGCGTAGGAAGAGTTCAATGTCGAGCGGCCACGTTTCGTTGAACGACGTTTTGGTGTATCATATGTATATTCACGTGATAAGATTGCTGACATTGGTTTCGGTGGCGTAACAAGTTCTCCAGATTCGGTGGCTGTATTTTCAATCGTGCATTCTGTTTCTTTGGGCGAAGTTGTATTGAGTGTAATTGAACTAGTTTTGTCTAGTTCGCTTTGATCTTCTTCAGGTAGAGTAACAACTTCGATGAGTTTCGTGTCAGTGGGTGCTGGTTGTTCTAAAGATCGAAAGATGGGCATCTCAAACGAAAGACATTCTAGTGAACTGTTTACCTTCAGCAACTGATTCCGTTGCAGCTGATGATGATGGCAATGGTTGTGCGCTTGAACGAAGTCCACGTGTCAATGGAGCTGATGAACGAGCTTTAGCTAAAAGAAAGTACTTCGTACTGAGAATAGTTCTATATCCGAAGACTTACTTGGCTTCGCTAATGGTGAATCAGCTTTAACTGGTTGAGAAACTCGACCGCCACCAGTTCGCGGTTTGATCAAAGCGCGATAGGCAACGTCAGCACAGGTTGGTGCCCGTATTGTCATCATTGGCTGTGTTGGAGCCTCTACCTTGGGTTCATCGTTTGAATTATTTGGAAAATCATTCAATTCAAATGAAAAGTTTGTCTCATCATCATTGTTGCTATCATCCTTCATCGTATCGTTATCAGTAAGATCGAATGTTGTTTGTTGACTTGTAGTCATTGCAATTGAGGGTTGTTCTTCTTCCATTGTTGTATTGTCCATGAGAAATGATGGCGGATTTGTTGATGTTATACTTTCAATGGTTGGCATTGTTGGAATATCTTGAGATGATGGTTGACTACCAGCACCGCCTTTCTGCGCAATACTCAAACGAGAAGATCTTCGCGTTGAGTTGATTATGTCTGTCGGGGTGACAACCGTTAACGAAAGTGTATCATGATTTGTTTTGGGTGATTCACGAACGGTAGTTGTCGAACCGAGACCTAAGAGTTGTTCGAGTGCACGAAACGAATCATCCGACGGTGGTATGACTGCATTTGTGGTATCTTCCGTCACAGCATTTTCTTTTTCGGAGTCATTCAATGGTGAATCAACATTGATGGATGGTTCAATCGTGAATGTTGACGACTTGTGCATCAAAGATGGTTGATTCGGAAGTTCTTCGATTTCTTCATTTTCAACTGGACTTTCACTTTGAATCGGCGGTAGTGTTGATCGTGAAAGAAGTGATTTGCCTTGTTGCTCTTGAATAATTGAAGCAATATCTTCGTGTTGACCATGTTGCTCATCGACGATTGTTTGTTCTGTATACCAAACTGGTTGAAGACTGGCATTGATATCAGTTGTGGTCGCTGTTGTATCCATCGGAATTTCATCTGTAGCGAGAAGTTTAAGCGGTGTACGGGTTTGCTAAAAAAATAGATAACGAGAAAGATCAGTCAACATTAAGCAAAAATTTGGAAATTACCTTTTGAAAGCTTTCTTTTTGTTCAAGTAAAGCAGTTGCTTTCTTTGCTGGTGCAGATGCCATGCGGTTGGCTGGCTCAATTGAACCTTGATTTAAATCGCTAGAACATAACACTCATAGATACATTGCGACAGAAAAGAAACTCTACTGACCAAACATAAGGACTTGTTTTTGATAAATGTACGAGCATTGTTAAACGAATTTAATAGATAATTACCATAAAAATTAATCTATATCAGAAGAAAAATTTGTTCAATCACTGCGAGAAAGAAACAAAGCGTGGCGACTTGTTCGAAGAAAAGTGTCGAAAGAAAGAAGAGAACGAACGAGCGGTCATTCAACGAACGACTGAGTCCTTTGTCTTTCGTGCGAACAACCGATCTTTGTTCGTTCGCGGCATAATGCTGACCAATTATATGTACAGTTGAAGAGCTTTGTTCGAGATGAGGGCGCCACTTTGAGCGTTAACGTTTCTCACAGCCTTTGTCTTTCGATTTGTACAGAAAAGCGCTTAAGAAAACAAAAGGAAAAGGAAGAAACAATGCTGTGAAAATAAAGTTAAACGAATTATCCGAAAAGAAATGTTGAATTGTTTAAAAGCGATATAAGAACGAGTTTCACCTTACATAAAAGTTGAGGTGCGGAATGGTAATCGATAAATGAATGTAACGTCATTCAGAAAAATTGGAATTGCCAGATCTATCAAATGTCAGATTCTTTCCTTCAGTGATGAAAATTGCTTAATCGAAAAGTTCACTCTTCTATCATCGCCGACTACCAGCGACACTATTTCTTCAAGAATTGTATACGTGGTTGCTACTTGTTCAGGTGAATTATGGATTCTAAAAATATCATATCTTCAGATAAAGCCTATGTAACGAACGTACTCATTTGATATAGACCAAAGTTTAGATTTATTAATAGACCAACAATGGATGAAAATGACGATCAATATCGTTGGGAGTCGGGCTATGAGCGAACATGGTAGATTTTGAATATTCAATGAAGAAGTATCCAATGTCCACGGTTTTCATTTGATTTAGGGAAGTTATTCAAGAAGATGAGACTGGTTCACTTACAGCGGCAATTAATGCCATTAATCAGAAAAATCGACGGAAAGAGTTAGCACAATTGCCCAATGTTCGTCTTGGCATGGTGAGAACAGTGCAGAATCTCAAGAAATAACCTGATTTCATGATTTAGATGCGCCATCTCTACTTAGTTCTGGATATGTCAGATGCGATGAAAGATCAAGATCTTCGTCCGAATCGTCTTTTTTGTGCTATTGAAGTTAGTTTCCATTTTAATGATCTTGTCATTCCAACTAATTCTAAGGTGTTATAGCTTTTAAAAGAATTTATTTTTCTCTATTTTGACTCAAATCCAATTTCTCAAATCGGTATTATTATCACACGGCGAAAACGTGTCGAAAAAATCAGCGAATTAGCCGGTAATCCACGCTCACATGTTGCTTTACTCGAACAACTAAAATATCAAGAATGCGAAGGTGAAGCTTCGATTCAAAATGCTCTTGAAATGGGTTTACAAACATTAAAGTATCATCCATACTAAAAGTTCAACTTATAAACTATATCGAATTTTTCCTCTTTAAGACACATGCCGAAGTATTCTAGTCGTGAAATGTTGTTCGTTCTTGGCTGTTTAGCAACGTGTGATCATGGAAACATTCTACAGACAATTAAAGTAAAACTGTCCTATGAAAAACTCTTTCTTGAACTCGTCTCGTTAGACTTGTAAAGAAAATGAAATTCGATGTTCAGTGATCAGTGTGTCGGCTGAAGTTCGTATCTTCCGAAAATTATGCATGGATACCAAAGGACTATTTCATGTTATCACTGATTCGACACATTTTCAAGAACTATTACAAATCCATTCTCGACCATTGCCAGCATTAGATAAGTTCGAATCTTCACTCGTGCGAATGGGATTTCCGAAATATCGCACGTATACAACACCAAACGCCAGTATTTCATCGACAACGGCAATTGCAAAGCATGAGAAAGCTTCCATGTGTATGTGTCATCTCGAGCAACGTGGTGGAACAAATGGATTCTCCATTGGCGGCTATTTTTGCCCGACGTGCGAGAGTAAATATTGCGAATTGCCAACTGAGTGTAGTGTATGCCATTTAACATTGGTATCCGCACCGCATTTAGCGCGTTCGTATCATTTCTTATTTCCAATTGAACAATTTATTGAATTAACCATGGAAAAGCCAATCAATGAGAAGTGTTTCGGTTGTCAGCAGGCGTTCGATGAACAGAAACATAAAACAATCTATCAATGTACAAGTTGTAAAAATTTCTTTTGTTTCGAATGTGATCTATTTATACACGGAACCATCTTTACATGTCCCGGTTGTATACGGAATGGGCAACTGAAATAAACTGATGAATAGGAAACAGAAAACAAATAAGTAAAGACATGTGATATTATTCTAGATGTTTTCTAGATCGTTAAGTGATCTATCGAGAAAGAGTTTTTTTCGACGAAACATGACAACGGAATCGCCATTTAAATCGAATATTTTGGAAAAACAAGTTGCACTTGTTACAGGAGGTTCGAGTGGAATTGGTTTAGAAATCTGTCGACATTTGGGTAAACATGGGTGCAGCGTTGTGATGATGGGACGACGGGCAGAAATGCTTCGATTAGCTGAGAAAAGTTTAGCAGAAGAAGGTATTCGAGCAACAGGGGTTCAAGGCGATGTTCGCATACCTGAAGACGGTGTTAACGCCGTGAAATCGGCTGTAGACAAATACGGTCGACTAGATGTTTTAATTAACGGTGCAGCGGGAAAGTGAGCGAAAATTACGAAGTTAAAAAAAAAAGAAACAAATTTGTTCTCTGAAAACGTTTCATAGTTTCCTGTGTGCTGCAGAAAACCTCTCTCCAAAAGGTTTCAAAACAGTTATGGATATTGACACACAAGGGACCTTCAATATGTGTCACGCAGCTTTTCCTGAAGTAAATCAATCTTTATATTATCCATGATTTCTATATCATGTAATTTTCATAGTTGCGCAAGAGTCCAAATGCAAATATAATTAATATTAGTGCAACTTTTCATTATGCTGCAATGTGGTATCAAACTCATGTTTGTGCGGCTAAAGCAGCAATCGATGCCCTGACACGATCATTGGCTCTCGAATGGGGCGAATATGGTATTCGTGTCAATGGTGTTGCACCAGGACCTGTTGCAGACACGGCTGGCTTTTCCAAATTAGGTGGATCGTTATTAGATGCGGATAATCCTGATAATCCGTTAGTAGCATCCATTCCTTTGAAACGAATCGGCACAAAATGGGATGTTGCTATGTCTGTCCTTTATCTTTGTTCGACAGCTGGTCAAAACATAACTGGAAGTATATTGGTTAATGACGGTGGCAACTGGCTGCACAAGCCTCAGATTCTCGATCGTGAAACAGTACAAAGTTATTCTCGTTCTATTGAAAAGAAAAGTCGCCAAGAAGGTATTGCAACAACTTCCAAACTGTAACTGTTTTTTGTTCGTACCTTTTTTTTTTCACTAAATTTTCTGTCTTTTATTCTTTTTATATATGGAAACAAAAAATAAAGAGAAATACAACGTTAAACATACAATCACCAGATAGATTTCGAATGAAAACGGAATGAGAGAAAAACGAGACTTGGATAAATAAATATGAAGACTAGGTGAACAACACAAACAAGAGAGAGAGCGAGAGCGAGGAAACAATTGTGTGTCGTCGGATTGAAAAGAAAAGGACGCAGAAATCAGATATCGGGCACAGATGAGTGAAAATATGGTTGAGAATCTTTGACAAGTAACGTATAACAGACATCACACACACGAGATGAACGATTATTTGGACCAGTATAAATAGTTTTATTAGTACAATCTTTACAAAGGACTTTACCTACATGAAGACGAAACTAACATTCGAAGTTATATGGAAAAGTGAGCAACTTACCACAATGACCTAGAAAAATAAATGAGGATGAGATATGATGAGCCAGGATATGTAAATAACTTACGACAATGATGCTTCCGCCAAGTGACGGAAAATTGTGAATGGCAACGTTGACATTCCGAATAATCTTCCTCAGGTTGCCAACGTAATTGATGTTCCGAATTTCTGATTTCTTCTAATTCTACCTTGAATATTCACGAGAGAAAAAAGACGTCGATATTAAGTAAAACAAATCTTGAAGAAGAAAGCGAAGTTATCTCTAACTTACTAACATACTTGAAGCGATTGGGAGAGTTTAACAAAATCATGTTGAACTAATTCGTTATTTTCTAAATCAACTTTCAACTTTTGGATTTGAACACGTAATGCCGCATTTTCTTCATCCAGATGAGCCTAGAACATCGACGACTTTCAACAAATCTGTCACTCGAAAAGAATTTTTCTTTACTTTGGCACTAGTGATTTGTTCAAGTTTCTCTTTTAGTTGATTTGTAAACGAATTGGCAACTGCTTTTGTTGTCTTCAATTCATTAGCACGTTCATCTAACTGTTTTTCCAGATCCTTCTTCAGGCTCATGACACGTTCATATTCAGTTTGTAAACTTTGCAACACAACTAAAACCGAACAGTCGATTTCCTTTGATTCATAAATAATCTTTTCCCCTTACTGATCTCATCTTTTGCAGCATTCAAGTCGCGATTGAGTAGATGTTCAATTTGTTCTCGTTCTCGAATATCAGCTTTGTGATTGTATTGCAATTGTTGAATATCATTTTTCAACTTTTCCTTTATTTTCAATTGCTGAATGATTTCTTCACGTAGTTTAACAATCAAACCCCACGCATCCTAAAAGAAGAGTTCAGATGACTTTCACATGAACGATCAGTGTAAAGGTTTACTTCGAATGTTGTCGGTGCTTGGGATGAGTAAGTCAATAACTTGGCGGTTTCATTGTCGTTAGTAATGGCAGCTAACGAAGTATTTTCAGCTTCCAATCGCTGGATGTATAAATGCAGTAGTTCACGTTCTTTCACGAGCTTTTTTATATTATTCACTTGTTCAGCAAATAAATTATCATAATGAGATTTCATATCACGAAAATCAACGTCGTTCTTGTCGGCTTTGGTTTTCAAAATCGATAACTAAAAACGAGAAATTCGATGATTATAAATGAATCCTAATGAGCGAATGTAATCAACGGGAGCAGCTCAATTACTCTCACCCTCATCATATTTCAGAAAAGAATCGTCTAGAATGATTCACGGCGTTCTCAAGGACGTTCATCATTTTCTATTTACTTGTTCGCTGATTGTATTTGTTTCGGAAAGTTGCTTTTCGAGTTGCAAGCGTATCTGTTGTTCTTTTTCATGTTCAGCTTTGGCCAATGACAAATCGAATAATAATTTGACATTTTCTTCTTGTTTTTGTGTATTCAACAGAAGTAATTTGTTATTTTCATCACGTTGTTGAGAACATTTATCGCAAAACTTCTGAGATAAATCCATTACTTGACTGATCTAAACACGTAAAAGTTCATTTCGAAGTTCAAATTCGCGTAAATCATCCAATACTTTTCGTCCGTAGTTATTACTCATCGTCTTCTATTGTCAGATTTCTGAGATCTACCCTTTCGTTTTGTATGTCTAAGAAAGGAAAGGAAAGAAAAAGATAAAAGCGAAGATGGGGGCAATCGAACTATCATCATGGCTAAGAAAGACGAACATTTGTTGTCTTACACTTTCATTGGCGAAGAACAAACCTGTAAGAGCAACTCGTCCCAATCGGCTTCTGTTTTATGATGACGTGCAGCATCCAATTCTGCATTGTCATTTGCAGTTGCTAGAGCTGAGGAACTATTGTCGGACTGCTGAGATTGACTTGTACATGATTCTGAGAAAAAAAAAGGAAATGAATGTTTTGTAAAAACATACGGAATTTACCGGTTAAAACTTTCAATTGATCGTATGTTAATATCGTCAATAATCGACGCATCTGTTCTAATTGTTTTTTCTCGAATGCTAAAAATCGATCATGAGTACGTGCATAGATTTGAATATATTTGTCCCGTTCGTCACTAGCGTGCTTTTCAGCAGTTTGACCTAAAAAGAATATCAAATAGAAAGCAAAACCATGTGAGATTGTTCATACTTTCATTTAATTTCATTGTTACTTCTTGAATTTGATCTTTTAATTTCGAACAATAAGCATTGAGACGAACGATGGCTAGCTCATACGATGAAAGTGATGATGTTGCGTCATTTGTAGTTGATTGTTGTTCATCAGACGGTGCATCTTTCTAAAACACAGATTTTCATGGCGAATTCAAACAAAACGAAGGAAAATGATAAGGAATAGGACAAGATGTGATCCAGTTGATATTTTTCTATTGTCTAGCAGTTTTTCTTCTTCAAGGTTCTATGCAGCTGCTTACTTTTCTCACTTTCAATATTCAAATATACTAAAGCCACATAATCCTCTCTTCCATATCATACATTCATTCTTTTATTAAATACAATATCGAGAAAGAAACATGACGGACCGTCGAACACCTCAGCATGTGGAAAAATTTCATTGGCATCTTTGGTTATTATTCGCTATTGAAAATTGGATCTTGGACTTCGGTCGTCCAATAGCTATGTTGATATTTCCACTTGAATGGTTCCCATTGAATTTGCCAAGTGTTGGTGATTACTTTCACATGATATACAACATTGTGACACCATTTATTTTGCAAAGCTTGATTTTGAAAAGCCCGAAAAAGTTCAATCAGAGTTTATTTACGGTTTTGATGACGATCTTTGTTATGGGTGCGAGTATACATTTAGTGGGCGATTCGATTAACCATCGACTGGTACTCAATGGTTATCAATTACATTTGAGTGTACGCGAAAATCCAATTATGCAAAAGCTCGATCCACCAAGTTTAATTGATTCGTTTGAATTGCTCTATTTTTATGATGAAGAACTAGGTCACTATATGTGGTATGTCGAATAATTTGACGTACGAGATTTTCTTTTTTTATCGTTGAGATAATTTAGGTATCTGCCGTATTTTCTCTGCTTTCTGCTGTTTTTCAACACTACGTTCGTTTCGACGCAAACGAAAAGCACCGATGCGAAAGCATTTTGGCCACTGGCTTTGCTCAATTCCACTTATTATTGGTATTTGGTTACCGAAGGCCAGATCACTCCATTGTTTGTTGTCACGACATTTCTGATGACGATTATTTGGCTTTATCAACGTTTTGTGAAAGGAAATCGTTTGGATATCAATGGTCGATTCTTGTTATTCACGTTTCATCTCACAATTGTCTATGTTGCTGTTTGGACAAGTCTCTTTTGGAATGACGAGGTTTTACGAACGAAATACGCGTCAAGTTTGATCTATGTACCTGAACCCTGGTCGGTGTATTCGTTATATGGGAAACGATTTTTCTGAGCGGGGAATTTTTTGTGCTTGAGAGATAAGTTTAGAATAAATGAAATCTAACACTTACGGAAAGTTCTTGATTGTCTTGTTCGTTGGAAGGAAAAGAGATTTTCACTTCACGTGGCTGAAATGAATGAAAACGATTCTTTTATTGGCTTCCCAGATGAGAATGGAAAGTTTTACCAATGTTTCAAGCTCGACAATCTTATCTTTTGCGTCTTTTAGTTGACTTTTCAATTGATTGATTTCTGCTTCTAATGGAATGATGACTGATTTTAACATTAAAGTACTTTCTTGTGCTTTTCTCATATCTTCCTCGAGATTTTCGTTCTCTTGTGCTAAAGTTGACTGGTTCGATGTTAATTTATCACGTAATGATCGAGATATAGTTGCTATAACACTATCTCTAAACAAAAATTACACAATACAAGTTTGGCATTGAAAACAAAATGTTTATTTACTTTTCATCCATCACTTTGGACTTCAATTCATAATTTTCTTGCTGGAGTACTTCGTATTTTCGTCGTAGATTATTCAATTCATTATCATACTTTCCTCGTGCATCTCCAATACGATCACGAATAGTTTCTTCAAACACAAATCATCAATATTTGTTCATGTTTTCCTCGTTTGTCTTACCTTCCATGAGAATATTGATTGTTGCAAGCTCCTGTTGATGTCTTTGCTTTAGATCAGCGATTTCGGCTATTTTGGTTGAATCGGCGAAGTCTACCACTGCCGTGATGTTATTCAATTGCGTTTGTAATGCTTGTACCTCATCGACGTAACGTTTATTATCATTTTGCAGCGTCGATATGTATTCTTTGATATCATCTGGTAGTTGAGAGAAGTCTGTAATTTCCAGAAGGAAAAGAAAGAAAAATTTGATCAATATTGAAATAAGGAAAATGTGATTTAGCTTTACCTCTCGTTTCCGTCATTGTTATTATTTATTACAGAACAGAAATAAGCAACTAACTAACTAAAGCCTTTTTCGATCGACTATTTTTTTTCCTTTCTTAACCAACAAGATGATGAGTACGCTGAGAAAAAGATGTCACTATGATGCAAATTGTTCTTCGTGTAACAGTTTTTTTTGCCTTTTCAAACGTTCACTCGATTCTTGTTCTTCTTCGAGTAAACGATGAAAATATCTTTCTTGAAAATTGGCTATTTGTGTATGTTTCAATTGCCGGAGATCGGCTACTTTTTGCATCATTAATAACTTGCGTTGTTGATCAGCATGTTTCTGTTCTTGACGTTTTCTCGCCTGATGTTCATATCGAAGAATGTTCAATGCTTCACTAGGTGAACCAATTATATAATCAGTCATATTTCAATATTATTATTTCATCTTACCGAGCATCACGTAATGTGGTCAGTTTTTCTTGTAATGTTTCAAAATGTTGACGTTGTCGATCAAGATCGTGTTTCAACTGTTCAAGTTCCGTCGCACATGTTTGAAGTAGTATGAAAGCAGAGAGCAAGGCGGTATCTCCAATAACATCACGATTTCGTTGATCTAGAAAGAATCGTGTCGGTTCTAGTATCACTTGCTTTCTCTCATTATCGGTCTGATCGGATAGAAACTTTCTGATACATTAGCATGATACTCACTTACAATTGCTCTTCGCTCGGTTCATAAATCGTTCGATCGCTTCCGCTGTTTTGTCTAACAAGTTCTCACGTTGATCAACTTTCTTTTCGGTTATCGAAGATGCTTTGATTTCCTCATGTTTTCGTTGCTTATCTGCTTCTTTTTGTGATAAAGATATTGCTAAAGCTAACTGATAATCATCCTCATCATCGGCAAGTTTCTTTTTAGCTATGTGTCCATATAGAGTTTGTAAACATGTCGAACATATTCTTCTCGGAGACGTTTTCGGAAGAGTTTCAATCAAAACTTTATATTCATCTGAAGTTTGCAGTTCAGTCCAACATTGTTGACAAAGTTTTGCGGAGCAGTACGAACATTTTTTGAATGTCTCAAAAAGTTTTTCTCGGTTGTGACAACGTAGACAAAGATTATCTTGATTATCAATTGTCATAGAGAAATAAATAAATAAATAAAATAATGATCGAAATAGCTTTTTGTGTTGACAAGGAGATTTTTAGAGAAATATGTCTGAACAATTTCGTGGTTAGATTCAACGAACGGTCGAAAGAAAGAAAGAACGAAAGGACAAGTAAATTCTGTTCAATATATGCGAAGGTACGTTGAAAAAGAACGAAAGAAAGAACTAGGCAAACAAACATGAACACGAATGGGGGAGAGGAGAAGAAGAAAAAAAACGTTGGTTTAGACAAATATGTATGATACTTGGAGAGACGTGTACATTATATACCTATTTTAATCATTGAACTTACTTGCCCGTTGACAAGTAACAAGTAAGTATAGAAGAGTTCGTTCGTTAAGAATATGGATGATGCAACTTGTAACTTTCACTACTTCGGTTGATTTTAAAGGACGGGACGATATTCTCAATGTACTTTTTATTGATCTCACTCGTGCGTTCGACAAGGCTGTGTCTAATGGTCATCAAATGATGAACTGAAAAGAGAAAATGATCTAACCTCAATAGTAAGATCGATTCTTTTGTTTCCGAATAGGTGACAATGCAAGTTGAGGTCATCTATTGTCATCTACACGTCTGGACGCAGTGAAAAAAATCATTTTCTTTTTTCCTTTGCCTGTCTCGTCGCTTGACCTAATGATTGAAGTCATAACGGTTTTTTTTCTTATTATTCAAGAAATAACAACGTCTGGCATTCAGTTGATCGGTCAGCTTTGCTCGTAAGGGTGCAATACACACGTTCTAAAGTAGAAAATACTCTGTTAATTCGAGTCCAATTCCGGAGATAGTTACAGAAAACATAATCGATTACTCAGAGCAGATGTTTTTCATCTGTCAGGCAAGTCAACTAGTAGTTTTCTTTCTTGTAGAAATGCGCTACAAATGAGACTTTTTTTTCAATCAGGAAGATCGCAAAACGTTGAATTAGCTCATTGAATCTGTCAAATGCTTCTTTTTTCTTGTAGTTCCCATATATTATCATATCAATTATTGACAGTATGGAAAAAATCAATTATTTTCCTTTCGCTACAACTTCATTTCCTTTTCTATCACTGCCTAATCACATCGACAAATGATATATGTGGATGAACAAGATTTTCTTTCGAATCTGTGTACGTGCTTGGACAGCTTCCTTTTTCTCGCGAGAAACTCGACTTTTGTCGTTTTCCGCAACCGATTCACAATTGAAATAATTTCAGATCATGTTCCATTTCAACGACTGATTGCAAAATAAGCACAACATGAATAAATCAATGTTTCAATTTGTTAACAAATTGGCTTTGGTTATTCTATGTATCATCGGATTTATAGAATTCGGATTAGCTCTATGGACAATTCTCGAAGATCGGTACAAAAGTTTAGCATACAATCTTGCTGACGTCGGATATATTGTAAGTTTCATTTGCTTCGCCTTCATCGAGTAGACATACATCGATTTTTATCTAATAGGATCTATGGATATTGCGATACGTATCGATGTGTTTGTTGGCGTCATCGATTATAACCTTAGTCATGTGTTTAATTTTAATTTGGGGTTTATATTCAGCACATGTGTTTATATTCATTTCGACAACGATGGTGGCTTTGGTTCTTATTGCAGAACTGATTATATCAATGATCACTTTGGCAAGTAAATTTCAAACGAGATTAACATTACAGGAACAATTACCAAAATTAGGTAAATTGATGTTGAAAAGGAAGATTTGTTATCGTTTGAATCTTTGTTTAGTGATCACATATCGGCAAGGTAATGATGAACGAGCGAGTCGTGCTTTGGATATTCTTCAAAGTTCTTTTCAATGTTGCGGATCTGATGGACGTTTATCATTTCAAAATAACGTTCCTTTAAGTTGTAACATGTTCAGTGTTGGATGTCTGACACGTACAATGATGTTTCTCGACGATAGTATGGATGCATTGGCTTACGTTCTCCTATTCTTTAGTCTACTTAAATTATTTATTGTTATCTATTTCTATTCATTCCTTTGTATTCATCAACGGCATCAACGAAAACATCTGGACAATAGTCGACAATCGATCAATGATCCTTCTCAATGGCGTCATTCATCAAGCTTCGACTCGTCATCATCAGAGAATCTTCCCAAGAAAATTCCGTTCGCGTCTCCAGCAATGGCAAATCATCATGATAATGATTTCGTCGAAAAACGACGTGTTATTCTCAACGATTATGATTCTCATTTACCGGATAAACGAGTTCAGAATGCCGCTCCGATTCTTTCTATACCAATTCTACATTCTACTGCTGCACTTTCAACGCCATCGTTCGAACAGCAGGCATTACGCAAACTTTCATCCATCTCGGAGAAAACAGAAAGAACTGAGACAGACGATAGCGAGCCTGATATTTTGCGTATTAGACAATATAATTCCAAACGGAAGATGATCATTACTGCTGCCAATCAAAACCAACAACCGCCGCCATTACCGAAGAAGCTACCAACTATTCACAATCGACACAAGCCAATAGGTGACGATGAAATCGATCAAGATTCAGGTATTGTTTCCAAAGAAATAGTTCTTCTATGCTAGTGATTTCTTTCTTTTCTAAGGTGTTGAACATTCGTCATCTGAAAAATCTTTCGACGAACAAAACAGTAGCAAACGTCGATCAGATACTCCGACATCCGTTGATACAAATAGCAAATCGACTGCTTCAATCAAGAAGTCAACTGTCAAACCTCCGCCAACGTTGAGCTTCTCCAACGTGTTTGTCACATCCGTTTCTCACGGCGATACACCTGAGAAATCTCAAGATGTTCCAGTAAAGAAACCTCTGACTGCATCTCCGTCGACGTCTTCGTCATTTTCTGATCAACTATTATTATCTGATGTCGCGACACCTAAACCAATTTTGAAAAAATCGAATCAACAAACGTCGCCATCGAGTGATCAGGATCGCATTCCACCGAGCTACGACGATCAAAAGAAATTCTCGTCGGTTATTAATACAAAGCCTTGCGTGAAATTAAATGAGCTACAAACGAACAATTCAACGAAGATCTATGTACCATATAAACCTAAAGCAAATCCTCCTCCTGCACATAAAGTTCCAAAGCCAGCCCCACGTCCAAGTTTAAAACAATCATCAACGGACAAACACCATGAAAGTCTCGTGTAAAATCTCATTATTTACTTTTTGTTTAGAAATAAATCTTCTAGCTAAATAAACTACAGTAATTTGTAAGAGAATTCATCAGTAGATGAAATGAATCAACCGAAGGAGAATCATTGAATTCAATCGAACAAAACCTCGGGAGAAAGTTTGTTTTTCAGTTCAACGTCGACAATCACATACTATTTACTGATAATAAAACACACTGACAGAACGACCAATTTACCCTTTCTTTCGTTTCTTTGCATTGTCATAGAGACAAGCAAAGAAAAAAATGTGACGCGGTGCGTAAGCACAGTATATCGTGTAAAATTATTCTTAGGCCAATTGTAAGATACACATACATAGAACCCTATCTATTCTTCGATTGAATTATTAACAATGCATACGCTTAGACGATGGACAAGTCGCCGAATGATTTTATTTGTTTCATCATTTATAGCCATGTGTACTTTAATATCGTATTATTCAATCATTGAATTATATCGTCCGAATATTCCCAATACAAATATTCGATCGACTAGAAAGAGTTCCTTTCAGCAAATATCAGTTGTTCATTATACTAGAATGTATCATCAACGTATGGATTCGTCGTTGAATGTTTTTAATAATAATTTAAGGCGAATCTGCAAGCTGATCGATCCGGAAGAATATACTGATGCTGATGGTGTTATTGTCACTAGTTTTGATCTTGTTCGGCTGCCAAGTTTACTCGATCGGAATAATTCTTACAGAAATAAATACCAATCACAATTATGGTTATTTCATTCAGAAGAATCTCCACGAAATTCTTACAGAACAGTTCAAATGAAAAATATCTCGGAATTAGATGACTGGTTTAATTTAACAGCAACGCTCAAACCTGAGTCTGATCTTCACATACAATACAAAGTATGACCTGGATCATTCTTATGTTCATATAGAGACATTTCATGTTTGTTTAGGGTTATCGAATTAAACCTTCAATAGTAAATCTTATTACAAATAAATTGAATTTAACCTTTAATATGACCATTAATACAACATATCTTCCACAAACAGATCTATTTGATAATAATAGTTCAACTTATTTCAATACTCTCATTTCGGCTTTGTCTAACGAATTGAACATGCGACGAAATAATTATCTCACAGCTTGTCCTTTCACTTGCAATCAACCAGTACCAGCCGAATTGGTCAATTCTCTTCAACCGCATCTAAAACCGATTTCCCCTAAAGTATTAAATCGTGATACTGTTTACATAGTTTGGTTCGTATCGAATTGTAATAGTCACTCTCGTCGAGAAGAGTACGTTTTAAAATTACGCTCACAACCCGGCATTCACGTAGATATTTACGGGGATTGTTCGTCAATGCTCAATTCCCATATCGTTCCATTACAATGCAAGAAAGGCACGCCGGATTGCATGGAAAAGACTCTTTCGAACTATCGATTCTATCTGGCCTTCGAAAACTCGAAATGTGATACGTATATTACAGAAAAATACTGGATGCAAGGATTAAATGGTAAAGCAATTCCGATCGTTCTGGGAGCAAGTAAACAACAATATCAACGTATTGCTGTACCGAACTCTTATATTCATGTCGATGATTACAAAACAGTTGAAGAGCTGGCCAAAGAACTCCACCGTTTGAATCGAAACGATTCTGAATTTACGAAATATTTACAATGGACACAATTGTACGATATCGGAGTAAATTATTCACCGACAGTCAGATATGATATGTATTCAACACTTTGTTTTCTGGGTCATTATCAACGTTTGCATTCGATGAAAGCTAATGACCAACAGAGAATGTATATACTCGAACTTATACGAAGTATCTTTCGCTTAGAAGCTGTTCGTCTTCCGAATTTTAATTGGTCTACAGCGAAAAGCAAACTCATACGTATCAGTGAATTTTACAATCCAAAAATTGATTGCTGGGACGCGGATTATCCCTCGTTGTTGACAAGGATCTATAATTATTTGTTTTTGTGGTGGAAGCTTCTGTGATCAGCTCGTATTTCCTAACAAACGAGAATCCATTTTGTCAGATTTACTTATCAAAGTTTTCTATTTCATAATAAAAATGCTTTTAATCGATAAATACACTCATTGGACGTATGAGAATATCTCTACACATCTAACGATGGTATGCTTTCAAATGAACTTTGTTGTTCTTCTTCTTTCTTTTATTATCTTGTTTTATATTTGATGATACATATAAACAAGAAAGAAACAAAAACAATTCCAAACATCTGATAAAGTTGTTTGTTCAGTTGTTGTTTGCTTATTTTTTCTTGGCATCTTTGACAGCAGCTTTCTTTGTACCACGTACTTTCTTCATACGGTTCTTACGTTCTTTACGTTGTTTTCGGGCGGTCTTCTTTGGTTCGACAACACCTTGACGTGCAAGACGGTAACGTGGTTCGAATTTCTTGGCGAAATCGAGTGTATCATAGATAAGTGCGAATCCACTTGATTTGCCACCACCGAAATTGGTATTGAAACCGAAGCAGAAGACCAAATCAGGTGTTGTTTTGTAGAGTTGAGCTACTTTCTCACGGATTTCTTTTTTGGAGAGTGATGCACGATCTGGGTGAATAACATCAACAACCATTTGGCGACGACATAAGAGTCGGTTTGATTTAAATTTACGTGTGCGAATAGTGAATGACGAATCCGACATGTTTTATGTTGGTACACACTCTGATCTAGAACAAATTGCGAGAGAGTTTTATGAAAAAGAGTTCTAATAAAAAAAATAAGTTCGAACATAACTAAAGTTACTAAAACAAGTAAATGAATACGATTTCATCGACAGAAAAGATGCAACCAATCCCATAGCACGCTTTTTTAGATCCTCCATGAAATGATTGGTTGATCCAGAGTTTGCATGATGTCCATTTATTTGTTTGTTTATTCTAGTGAATTTTAATCAAATTTCTTCGGAAGTAGCTGTGTTTTCGCCAGTTTCCGATGAGTGAACCGGTGCCGGTCGTTCATATCCAATCTCATAAGCAAATCGATAACGAACTACCCGAACTGAATCTCAAATATGAAAATTACAATGTTCATGGGAGTCAAACATTAAAATGTCTCGATGCGATGCGCAAAGAACGGCAGTTATGTGATGTTATATTAACTGTCGAAGGTCATGAGTTATTTGCTCATCAAGCTTTGTTATCTTGCCATTCAAATTACTTCTTCGAGCTTTTCCTCAAAAGTGAAAGTGAAGCATCAACAAAGAAGCCAGTCTATTATCAAATTGATAATCTCGAATATACAGCTTTAAAATTAATCATTCAGTTCATATATCGAGGAAGGTAAGAAATTTTCAGAAAATAGAGACGAAAGTCGACCGATGGTAGTAACATTTTCACTTTTCTACAGCTTTCTGCTCACGACAGACATGGTTCCGAAGATTTACTTGGCTGCATATCAATTGCGCATCGAAACTATCATTAAAGCTTGCTCAAATTATCTCAGTGAACAACTCACCGAACACAACTGTTTGAGTATGTCATGATTTATGAGATTAGGTTCTCATCGAAATCCATATTTCAAAGGTGACTCTCTACACATTTTTACCTTCCTATACCATCATACCTTCTTTTTCTATCGTAGAATTGAATCCTAGGGTAAACTTGGTATCACTGACGAACTTATTTCATTATGTTTTTGTTTACATATACCTCCTTCAATATGTCTGTGTCGTATTCAGAAGTAGAGTACTGTGAAGAGTTGTCATTCTTGCGAGAAATCGAGTTTAGAATCAACACTGATCTCATTACCTGAAATGACTTAGTTGTGAGATATGTCGATCTAAAATCCAATTTGATTCTTTAGGTACGTGCTTATTGTCAATGGATGATGATCTGCGTGAAAAAGCACTTGCTTGTATTCAAACAAAGTTTGCTGCTGTGCTTGAAACTCGAGAATTTCATATGTTGCCTTCAATTAAGTTGGAACTTGTTGGTGAGAATAATGATTTCTGTGCTACTCGAATCTATGCATATTTCGTGAATTAGATTCAACTGTTCTCAAACCAAAAACAATCTGTGATCTAGCACTTCAGTGGATTGCGGAACAAGTCAATAATAACAATAACAACCTTCAAGAACTCTGTGAATATGTATGATCAATGAAGATCTTGTTTTACTTGAATGTCAAGAGTTGATTTTCGACTTCGTTCAGATGCATTTACTTTATCTCAATGGTGCAACTCTTCATGATTGTGCTGATATGGATGACAAAAACATTCACTTTTCCGATATAATTAAGGTAAATAATGTACAGTTCAATATAAATGAAGAGTGCCGTGACTAATTCGAAGGATTATCAAAGTTATAAACTAACTAAACGTAGTTTATCAACAGCATCATCATCGAGCACTCAGAATGAAAACTCGATTTTTGAACTTTTAAACTCCCAAGTAAATAATACGAATCACACATCGAATCCATTGGCTAACTCTTATGCGAACGAAGCGAAACTTATCCATATGGCTCAATCCAGTGGTTAGTTCTCCTAACTCAACTTTCGTTCTTTCTTTCTCTCTCTTACCGCCACATTTCTTTATTTTTAAAGATCATAGTTATATTGCAATTGCAATCATAAAAGGCAAAATGTTAAGTATTTCTATACACTTATCCATGCCATTGGTAACTCCAAATACCCCAGATTCAAATAATATCATGCCATCGGAACGAGTTATCGATGACAACGCCTTAAATTTATTCGGTCCAGTGTTAACATCTGATAAAAATATTGCCGTAGGGTCTCTATTAACAGCCCGGTGTTGTTTTGGAACCGCAGCTATAGATGATCAAATCTATGTTGTCGGTAATGTATTCCTCGTCTGTATTTGATGTTGAACTCGATCGATTTGTTCAGGTGGATATAATCGCGGTGATTGTCTTGATTCGATTGAACAGTTCGATCCGTATGAAAATAAATGGAGCTTATTACCATTTCCAATGACCAGTCGTCGTGGACGTGTGTCTGCTACGATTTTTAATAACAAAATCTATGTCTATGGTGGCAGTGATGGACAGAAAGAATTGAATACCGGTGAATGTTTCAGCATAAAAGTCAAAGATAAATGGTCTATGATAAAACAACTTTCAGCACCTGTTGCACATAGTGGTAAGTGCCGAAAACCCTCAATGAAATAGATCGATATGATATTTCTTTCAGCAATATGTAGTGATGATACTTATGTGTACTTAATTGGTGGAATTGAAGGTGATAAATGTAAGAATGATTGTTATCGATATGACCCGAATGATAATACGTGGTTAGCATTGGCACCGATGAATATGGAACGCAGCCAAACGGGTATTGTTTATTTTGATGGAAAGATATTCGTCTTTGGTGGTTCAACATTAAATCGATGTTTATCATCATGTGAAATCTTAACGTTATCAACCAATCAATGGAAAATAGGTCCGACGATGAAAGAAAGTCGTCGTGGTTGTGGTGCAGTTCTGTATCACAAGAAAATCTTTATAATCGGTGGCTCAAATGGTGTGGCATCATTGACCTCAGTGGAAATCTTTAATCCATTAACATACGAATGGTTATTGAATATTAACAGCATTCCAAGTCAACTAAACATTCCGCGCGTTGGCGTTGGTGTTGCTGTATGCTGTGATAAAATTTATGCTATTGGTGGTTTCGATGGTCGAACATTCCTTAAATCAGTGGAATTCTACGATGAAAATAATCACCAATGGCATTTAAGTTACAACCATAAATCAGATAAAAATGTTCAAATCAACGAATAAACAAAGATCTGATCATTAAGTTTTGAAAAAAAATCCTCAGAGTGTCTTTGCATTTTTCTTTCATATACACTTATATATACATTACATATTTAGTCATAGTTTATCCTTAAACGAAAATTCCGCTTTTTGAAATATTTATTCAAACTTGATCTGCACATCATTCTATTTTGGCCTTTTTTCGTCAATACTTTGCTCATTTTCATCATTATTTTCTCCTTAAATATGGCTGTCAAGTTAATCACGCATTTCTTTTTCTGTTTATATCATTCTACATAAAAACAACGAGAATAAAAGTGATGCTCTCAATGGGTTTCTTCAACATATACGAATATACATTTCTCAATAACACGAATCTCAGAGAACCTAATCAGCGAACCGAACAATGTTTCATATTTGAGCAATTCAAAGTAATCCGACGTATATATCTCGTCAACGATTATTGTTTGCGAGTTGAAATAGCATTGACAAAACGACTTTTCTTCCGAGCAATCGTTTCGTTATAGTCCTGATAATCAATGTGGAGAAGTTCAATGTTTGTGCTCGGGCAAAATCAGCGATTGCTTTTCTGAATATGTCCTTGTATTTGTGTTTCCTATTAATCAGATAGCTCTGGATCAGTTAATAACAGCAATCGACAATGATCGAGCAGTAAAGAACTGCAAGTGAAATTGTTGAAACGGAAGAGATAGATAGACAGTAAGAGAATGAATTTGATAGATTTGATTAGAGGAAAAGCTGAATGATTATCTTTTCTTCCTGCTTCTTTGCTCTTCGAGCAGTCGAGAAGAAAAGGAAAGAAAGGAGAAAGGGAAAAAAAATGAAAATATTAATAAATATGTCAACCTGCAACAAAGAAAAGGCGGAGAAAGACGAAGACGATAGATTGATTTTAGCAGACAGAGAGAGAGATGAGAAAAGACGAGAGAAAATGTGCTCGTCATCTTTAGGCGGAGTTACGAGACTTCGACTAACGACAACAATAACATCTATAAGCAGACAGTCATCATCATTCACATCAAAATAATCCTGATCGTCGATCAATTTTCATCCCTTATTTTGTTCAGTTCGACATATCATTTCAATCGATGCGAATGTTCGATATTTACAGCAGATATTACCTGTCGATATCAAAAGTTCTCATGTAGAATTCGTCCGATGTCGTCGCCGTTCATGACTCGATTATGTTTTACTATCAAAGTTTACGATTAATTCTCATGGTTCAACTATTTTGTGTATTCATCGTTCGTCCGTATGTTTTGATCTGTTTAATTTATTTAGAGAAACAAATACGTGTGATACGAAACGAATTGAATAGTTATTTTGACAGAATCATTTGTGGTTACTATTGTTATAGTTGCAGATTGTAGAAAAAAAGAGAAAAATAAGGATAGAAAGCATCGATGTGAACTGAGATAGACCACGTACAATGTGTCATTTCGCTGATGGTCTCTCAACATAGACCATCTGAATGTTCTTGTCAATGAAGAAAAGACTGAGATTATCTATTAAGCAGGAAAAGAGAAATAGTTAGATGATTGACAAGATTATATGCTTGATTGCATCGTCAATAGTCTTGTCTGTTTTTTCCTCTCCTATCGGGATGTATTCAGACAAGGAAAAAGAACAAATATTGAATATCTGATTTTAATCAGAAATATCGGACAAACATTTCGATAGACATCGAGAGAGACAACGAAGTGTTCTTCGTTCATACGAGATGCTCAAATAGGATTTGACAGTTTCCACATATATATACATTGATTATTTTGTCAAATGTGTTGGTTTCTAGAAGTTCACAACGAATGACTGCTAGTCGTCTGAAAAATGCTTCAATACAAATCGAAGATCTACTCAAAGAATACGACATTCGTCTACGACCGTCATTCGGAAGTATAAATAACTGCACAATGTCTCTCTTCCAACAAATCTTTCTTATTTAGGTGACCCATTACTATTAGATATAGAAATTCGTCTAGCAAGTTTTGATAGTATTTCCGAAGTTAATATGGATTATACACTAACCCTCTATTTGAATCAATATTGGCGTGATGATCGCTTAGTATTCGGCAATAAAAGTGAAGAAATAACTTTAACTGGTGAAATTATCGATAAATTCTGGTTGCCTGACACATTCTTCCCCAATGATAAGAGTGCGTACTTGCACGATGTTACAGAGAAGAACAAAATGATCCGTTTGAACGGTAATGGTGATATACTTTACGGTATGAGATTCACCAGCACCTTAGCATGTATGATGGATCTACGTCGATATCCACTCGATAGACAAAATTGTACGGTTGAAGTAGAATCCTATGGTTATACACAAGCGGATGTTATCATGCGCTGGAAAAATGGGCGTGCATCGGTATTAGATCTCGATAAAGTTCAACTACCACAATTTACCATTACAGGATATGATACAATTTCATATGGGATTTATTTAGCTACAGGTAAATACGAAATCGAAAGTGCAAATATAGAGACTATGTTTACTTTTCAGGTGTTTATCAACGATTATCATTAAGTTTTATTCTCCAGAGAAATATCGGGTATTTTTTATTTCAAACATATCTTCCTTCGATTTTAATTGTCATGCTCTCATGGGTGAGCTTTTGGATCAATCATGAAGCAACAAGTGCTCGTGTAGCATTAGGTACAGTACTAGAAACTATGCGACAGCAATGATTTCTCTTCTGTTTTCTCACAAAAAAAGGTATTACAACTGTTCTAACAATGACAACAATCTCGACGGGCGTTCGCTCATCACTTCCGCGAATCTCCTATGTCAAAGCTATTGATATTTATTTAGTGATGTGCTTTGTCTTCGTATTTGCTGCTTTACTTGAATATGCTGCTGTTAATTATCTCTATTGGGGTACGAGAGCAAGACGACGAAAGCAGAAAACTCAAATAAAAAAGAATGCGACTCATGTGAATCTCTTTCCACATTGGTTTTATTAGAAAACATACCCTTGTCTCACTTTCCTTTAGACTGACTATGAACTTGTTGGAGAAACTGCGGATCGATCTTCGCCAATCCTTGGCCTACGTACACGTACAATGACAAATCATCGATTAACAACAAGTTCACTTGAAGAGAATTGTCTCACTCAACGCAGCAACCATTTAATTGATAATCAGCCCCCACGTATTCGTCCGTTTGTACGAGGACATACAGGCTTATATTCCTCATCGTTGCATCGAAATACCCGACGACAACGAGTCAATCGTCTCTATGATCAGTTGCGAACTCGTCTACTAGGCCTACAACAGCACATACCTCACGTAAAAGACGTCAATGATATTGATAAATGGTCACGTGTATGTTTTCCTATACTTTTTCTACTGTTTAATGCATCGTACTGGCCGTATTACATTGCTCGACCAGAAACATTTGCTTGAATCAATAAAGAAACACTACGAAAATAGTATCATTGAATTTCTTTTCATGCCAATAAAACCGACGGAACTCTGGAGGATTAAGTTGTCAAACTAAGAAGAAAATCGATTTAGAGGAAAGTATTAAAGTTCATTTGGTGAATCCAAATATATCATGCGAAATAAGATTGACGATAAGATTGCTATTTCTATTTTCTATTTTCTATTTGATGAACTTTTCTTTTGTCTATATATTATATTTTGTCAGTTAGAAATGTTATTAATGTCGAGATAATTTGGCAAGTAAGATACTTGTTTTGACTAATTGAATTAGGACGAACATGTTTTTTTTCAGAATTCTTAAATAACTTCGTTAGATGGAAAAGAAAAGACTGTCTTCAATCCTATGAAAACGCAAATATTCGCCAAAACGATTTTATTTTCCGCTTTTTCACTTGTGAATTAATCGAATTCGATCGATATTTTTTCGCCGAAATCTTTTCATTGCACACAATACAAATTCTTCTCTCCAATCGACAAATGATATTAAACACATTTCGAGGAAATTAAAAAAGAACACTTCTACAAGTTTTACCAACCAGCACAACTACTAATCATAGAAAAATCAACTCCATTCCATCATTATAGACTTTCTATTTCTCTGAAAACAACTAACAATCAGACCTGTAGATTACCACCGAAAATTTCGCATTCGAAAAGTGTTCTAATTTCGAAGATTATGTGCATCGATGTTGACACCTCATTTGTCATACGTCATTAGAATATCTAAATGTCTCTTACAACGAAAGGAAGTAGAAATATTTCATCTATGCTGAATGAGGTTATCGTGGCTTCCAGTTGATAATAAAGTTGATATGGTTAGTGGCAAACGATGTAGATCGTCGTTTTCTCATTGTCGTCACATACAAAGTTATTAGAATTCTACACACGTTTTTAACGATAGGCTTAGGATTTGAGACAACGAATAATAAAACATTATCGCAATATTTAGGTTGGCTTTATTTTCAATAGATGTTTGATCGACAGGAACAATGACGAAGAAGGAAATCGAGTGTAATGTTCACTTTAGTTCGAAAACAAGAAAAAGACTTCGCCGGTTAGTTTTTCTTTGTTATATTCTCATTGCTTTCCCATTAAGTTACGATCGAAAACGATCTTTTGTCAATACTATTCAAAAAAGAGAAATAACATCATTCTCATAGAAATAGAGACATATATATGTATATATTTATGGAAGAGACGCGACACAATTAGTATGCCTGTCTTTGTTGTTGTCTCTCTTCGGTCTTCTCTTTCTCTATTTTTCTCCTTTTTTTTATTTATTCATTCGATGTGTCTTCTTCTGATGAGTTTTTCAGAGGACACGATGATAAGGATGATCAAACTAGAGAAAAAGAAGAAGAACTAGTCATTGGTTCATTCTCCAAAGACATTTGGACGCCGCTTCGTCATCATCATCATCATCATCGCCGTTATAACTAACAATTCTATTCTTTTCATTGTATAATCGCATATCTTCTGACTGAATATAAGTGACGTGTGTGGCTAGAATCGGATTTGAATATATTGATGCCTACTGGGCCTTTTATTCTTATTCTTATTGTATCTGTAACTATATTGATGACGTCCTACCGCGTTGCTGGTACGTACGGCTCGTTCGAAGTTTTCTGTCAAGTCAAATGTTTTTCTTCTAGGTGAAAATAGTCGATGTCCTGCCGATCGTGAACAATCACCATTATGTTTTTGTCAATCAACATATCGACGTTTTTCGTTACCGGACATATTCCTGTCGAAATTAGACCTTCTGCAATGTTCTACTCAAAACTCAACGCGTCAATGTCGCCAAGGACGATTTTCTCCGTCAACAACTCATGTCACCCAACTGATACCGAATTTAGCCAATCATAGCCATTGTACCGACGATAGTCGTTGTCTACATCCTATCCGTGCGATTCAACGCTGTTCCCAATGTGAAATTACACCTTCGACACCGTTAGCAGAGAATAGTTCCTATGTTAATACAACATCAACGGATAATCTTCCATCTGATTCATGTTTTCATGTTTGTGACCATGATAGATCATGCGGATTCGTATGTTTTGATCGGCGTGTAACAATTACTGTCGTTTGTAAATTATGTCGAGGATATCGACGAAATGTTACTTGTCGGTAAGTTTATTTATCTGCACAAACAAACGCTTTTGCATGGAAGAAAATCATTTTCATTTAGTTGTGCTCGAGAAAGACAACCGTATTCATGTTTGCAAACGATATCCGATACGACAACTGCGCGTTGGATGCAGAAACGTGGCTTTCCTGCTGCAGGAATACTTGCTCTACTGGTTCTAGTAACCGTTCTCTTAATAATCGCGATGAAGCTAATTAACCATCGTATTGCCATATTGATTCGACGTAAAAACGGTTCTGTTCGCCGTTCGATTACTACATTAACAACCTATCGAAGCCGACAACCATCACCATCAACAATAATTAGTTATCCAAATACACCATTGATTCCCGCTGTACAATTACAAAAAGATCTTGTTAATACCAATACAATGGTTGAGTTGTTGAATGACAAGTCACAAGAATATGCTGTTGACGTACATCGACGCGACAATGAAGATGAATTGAGTGTTTTCCTCCTCGAACAAGCACCAGCATTGAATTCCAAAGCATCGAAAATTCTGGGCAACGAGCCTGATATTGATGATGATGTAGAAGAAGAAAATCGAATTTAAATTTCGTTCTTTTTCGATTGTTTTTTTTTCTCTCTAAAACCAACTGTGATGTTTATTTGAACTTGACGATAAATCTTTTCTAATAATGACAAACTCATCACATCAACTTTTCGATGTAAAAGCAAACGATTCGCTAATCTCTAATGCATATTCGTGGAACGTCTCGGTTCATATAACCTTATCAACAACTATAATTGTATGATAAAAAAAATCATGAATCAATCATTTTGTTTCGGTTTTGGAATATTAGATCGTAATACTTATTGAATACCAAATTTAGATGATCATATTACAGGACGAGTAAAACATTTTTCATAGGATTCAGCTTCATAACACAAGCGAAAGACAACTGAATCTGTTTATTCGGTGCCCTTTGGAATCCATTTGACAGCCTCTGTTATTTGACGACTTTTTAATCGACATTTGTATATAGTCAATGAAGTTATGCAGATGATAAATAAACAACAGAATTCAACGACACAGATATATGCTTGACTGGCAGTGAAATATAAAAAGAGGACATTTGAAATCTATTGCTTTGTCTACATTCGACAGTTCCTATATGCTAATTCACGTGGACAACAACTGTGTCAGAACAATCTTTTCCCAATTGTCAGAATAACATCGACAGTGCTATCTATGACACACGCATTTATCTTTTGTATCAACCACAAAATATTTGTTCGCACGTTTACTAATAGGACTTCCTTCTTTTTTTATACGAGTACAATCAGATTAGCTATTTTAGGTTCATCATTTGTTCATGTTTACCATGTGAAATGTGTCAATAGTAGAACGTTGATTTTACAAGACAACTTGATCTATGATGGATTGCGTGACAAAACTATCTTCGTGTGATGATGTCTTTTAATAGTTCTGTTAATATCTGATGGCAAACAAGTACATGTATGTCTTTATACCGATAGTAATAACATGAATAAAATAAATCTCATCGCAGTTTCTCCTACGTAATGCTAATCGATGTGCAAAAGAACATTTGAAAGCGATTTCAATTATTCTTTTCATTTTACTTTACACTATTGTGTCAGTATCTGTCACAAAATAAAACTTTGACCTCTATGAATTGCTGAATTATCGAAGTATACATTATACAATCGGTAAGACACCAATGAAGATACTCATTCAGAATGGAATGAAACTATTTCGAAAAAATTACCATTTGACTGTTCCTCGGTATTCTTCCTTTAAAGATACTCGTTTAACTGTTTCATAGCCAAATATGATAAACAATGAATAGATACACGAATGTGAAAGACGAGCTGTCAAGCCTTTTGTGAACACTTGGAAACGTTCTTCTTGCCATAATTCGCTCATAATTTGGATGACTTTTCGGCGTTCTCGTTCGACTTGAATTCGAGTGCGACATACATCCAACGGGTTAGTCAAAAAGGTCGAGGTCAGAGAAGATAATGGACCAGCAAAACATTGAATAACAAGTAATGGCATTGTGTAAGAAGTAGCTACGAACGAAGATCGGATGAGAAGCAATGTAATCGCAAGAGAAAACTTACAAAATAGCGATTGAATTTTGAGCAGCTGGTTTTGATAGAAATAGTATGATGGCCACCAAATAGCACTGGTTAAACTGAATAAGAATGTCGAGATGAAATATCCACGATAGAACCCTTTCAAACTAAAACGAGCTCTTTGCTTCTCGGATGCATTTTCATACAATATGGTATTGCAAATATGTTTGAATACTAAATAATTACTATTTCGGATTTCTTTTGGTACATGGATACGATGGATTTGACGGCGATTCACGTTGGAGGTAGATGACAGTCGATCTTGTTGATGAGTTTTTCGACTAGACGATGTCAAACCAACTAACTGCATATGCTGAGATATGATATCAATAGGACAAGCCAGTATTTGAGCAATCATCGATGCCATAGAACCAGCGACGCCGGCTCGTAAATATTGATTCGTTGAAAGAATATTAGCATGTGAACGAATGGCTTCGAACGCGGTTATGTAAATGATTCCTGGAATTAATTGGCCATTATAAACAAGGAAGCCTTTATAGAGAGACCGAAAACCTTCGTAACGCGCAGTTGATGTTAGTGCATGCCATGTACCATTATAAATCGATGATTGGACTTGAACTTGCAATCGCGTACGAACAAGTGTAAATGGATAAAGAAGTGAACGGACAGTGAATGTTGATAGGACACTTAAAGGGATGAAACGGGTTTTCTCAAGCATTGGCCAGTCGATATCATATGTTAGATTTGGATCATCACTTTCCGACATAATATGCTTAAAAATAAAGAGACAGAATTTCAGAGACATGAACGAAAAGTCTAGATTGGACCCGAAATTTTATTTCATATCAGAATCTATTCAATCGTCTATATAAACAAACTAATACAAAAGAAAAGGAAGGAAACAACAGAACATAACAAAGACAAGCAGAACGTTTTCTTTTCTAATGAACACGACGATTTATTTTAACGTGGATGAAAGGATTTGATTGGCAGGTGTGGTTCGTTGCTGAACGATTTTTTGTACTAAACCTTGACTTGCCATGTATAATAATTGAAATCGTTTTGACATGGGCGCTGTTGGATTGGTTTGAATATGTGCATATAACTTTTTATTCAAGTCTGCCAAGACATTGTAGAGATAATCTCGTACGCTCGGATGTGATAGATCAAGACAAACCAAAGCTTCATGTAAATAACTAAATTGAATGAAAGAAAACAACGAGTCAAGATTCGGAAGATTCTTGATGAATTACCTGTATTTAAGTTCCTGATGAGTAGTTAAATCAGCTGCTAATTGTTGAATCAAGGAAAGAATTACGGGGATTTGCAATGGACAGGGCTGAATAGAAAATAATTCTGCTGGACGAACATTTTCGCAAAGATATAAGACAAGATTGAGATCCGAAGCTGTTAAAACATATTCGAATGCCTGATTCAATTGACCTGCACGGACAAGCTTCAAAACAGTTTGTTGCTTAGTATCAATTGTTGTTGGATTAGACGAAGCCACAGCAGGTAAAGGAGTTGTTGTTCGACTAGCGACTGTTGTTGTTGTTGCTGGTAGTTTAGGTGTAGCTGATTGTTGTCGGAGATGTTGAATAATTAGAGCGTTGATTTCATTCTTTTGCGTAATTAATAATTCACGTAGAACAACGTTCATTTCGTCACGGATTATTGTTTGCATAGTTTCATGAATTCTATTAAGGAAAGTGAAATGAAAAATATTCATGGTAGAGTTTGTTCTTACAGAGGGGTTAAATTGGTTGTCATATATTGAATAACTTCAGTTTTGAGAGTAGCTGTTAATTCTTGATTTTTCTTTTCGAATTCTTTTAATAGTTGGGTGGATTCTTTTCGAATTTCTGCCATCATTTGTTCACGCTGTTGAATCAACGAACGTTGCTGTTGACGGCCGTATTCGATCATTTCTTGTAAATCTAAATATTCCATCCTACTTTACTTATTCGAAGAGACAAATTTCGCTATATACATTCTTTAGTTCCACGTTTAAAGACTTCATTTGTCTGTTGAAACATATTCGTTGCTGCTTTTTCAAATGATGGAATAACTATTTGATTAAATGTATCACGATACGATGAGATCATTGTGGCTTGAATAGCATTGGCTACGGCATGGCTCAATGAATCGATCATTGTCTAGAAGAAATTTCAAGGAAAACCGAACGAAATTTTGACGAGCGAGAAAAACAATGAACAAACTTTGGAACGAAATATTTGTGTTATGGTTTGTTTTATCACTGTATCAGTTGCTAATAGCTTCGCCGTCAGATCTTTATGCAAATTATCCTTCAAGTCTCGATATGGCTCAAAAACGGATTTCATTGCTTAAAGAAGAAGAATATCAAGAATTTTATGCGAAATATCATTTGTATGCATACCGCCTTGCACATATGTTTCGATTTTTTCGATAAGCATAGCTTCTAATCGATCATAGTGTGCATCGGCTAGAGTGACGTGAGGTTCGTTCGTTGCGATAATATCCATTTGTGCCGTATTGGGACTCGGACGATTTGGTCGAGAGACAACGCCTACGAATCAGATGCTTTGTATTCGAGGGAAAAGATATTGGACACTGTTGACATACCGGTTTGTTCGAAACTGATCAATCGGTCAACTTTAGTTGTTAATTGCTCGAGACGTTGACAACATCGTTCGAGTTTTTCGTCATATTCAGACTGGAATGTTGCCTGTGAAAGAGATTCAGCTGCTAAATGTACACCGTGTGTGCGATATTCATTCAATTGATGAGTCAGTTCACGAATGGCATGCAAGGCCTAAGAAAAAAAGTCAAATTCAACTTGCAATGAATTCAATTAAACTCACATCAATGTTTAGTGGAATTTGAGAGCTATTTGGTGACCGTCCTGTGCGTCGTTTGATACGAGAATGCAAGAGATCTTCTTCATCAGCGGTCGAGTCATCATCTTTATCACTTTTGTAAACATAAATTAAAGAAATGCATTACTAGCATGTGATTATTGATAATGACGACGTTTACCTGGTTTCAGTTGGATCACTGAAATCATCGATGACTTGTCGACCTGATGTTTTCAATCCCCTAGAAACAGATTCTTACCGGAGAAAATTCGTCACTTCTAAATATAATTACTTCATCGGACTGGCTCCATTTGAATGACATGATTTCGACCACAATGAATTATCTCCATATGTCGACGGTAATAAAAGCGGATCTTGATTATCGTTCATCTATAAAAAGTAACGATCGGTGAAACCTTTCTTGTATTTTCTCTTTTCACAAAGCTTACGGGTTCATCGTCATCATTTGATTTAATTGGCATGAAGACAGCGTCACCCCCGTCGTTATCATCTTCATCATCCGGTACTAAGAGAAAATCTTAAGAAATACGATGTCAGTCGCTGTAAACTTACTCGCTTCGAATTGAAGTGGATAATTAGCCGAACATGACATACTTTCCGCGACTTCTTTGTCATCTTGATCGAACGGTGATTGTGAAATGTCTATCAATTGAATGATAATCGTAGGTAGTCATATTCAAAACAGACTGAAGAGTTTATTAGAAAGTTTAGCAAACATTCATTTGAATGATTCCAGGTGAAGAGAAAGAACGAGAAAGAAAAAGGAGCTTGACTTCTTTTTTCTCTCTCTCTCTTTCACTGTGCACCTTGATTGAAGTGTATAGTCTATGGTGGATGTTACATTTGGAGAGAAAAACGCCGAGCGATTTATTTTTCTTCTCTTCTGCCGATTTCAGCGATCGGTATGCTTTATTATTAAAAGAAATCGAGCTGTTTTCGGTACATTGATGATCTTACCATTGATAAGTAACGACGAAGAATCTTTCTCCGTAGTTGCTTTGATTTGAAATAGGTCATTGATTTGAGTGGCAGGATTAATCGCGTTTACTTGTTGTTGAGAAGGTGAAATATGTGCGCAACGTTCTGGTTGTTGAGTGGTTACCGCATCGAATGCAGTTGTATTACCGAGTAATAAAGCATGCAAAGGGTCAATCGTCGGTAATGTATTGTTTACACTTGCTGATGGAGAGAGTGTGTGAGTCGTGTTATTAATATTTGTTGTTAAACCATCATGACCAGCAAGTAATGAACGTGTTGTATCACCGTTTGGTAAACTTGTCACATTTGTCAACGAACTATTTGGGGTAAGTAGATCATCTATATTATATCTGAAATAGATTTGTATGATGAGACATGAACGATTAGTCGTAATCAAGAAATATCTTACGGTGGATGAGCCATCAGATTAGCCGGAATTGTATTTGAAATTAAAGACGAACGATATTTCTATCTCAGTTTATCAAACAATATTTGTTTAGGACAAAATATCTGTCCGAATCTAGAAATCAATCATATATATCATTAGTATTCCTATACTGTCGACATGTCTAGTGAGAGTTCGATTTCAATGCTTTAATGGCAGTGTCATCATCGTTAACTTTTACTTGATAGATGTCAAAATTGTCATTTTGTTTTACATTAAAGAAAAACAAACCGGTTTTTCTCTCGCGATTGTCATCCGATTTCGATCAAGCAAAACAAATTAGTTTCACTTGCTGTTTTTCTACCTGATTCGTTAATGAAATAATAACGACTATCAAAAGAAAAACATGCGACTTTTCCTCTCCTTCAAACCGCGTTGCGCAGTCTTGGATTCAAATCTCGTGAGTGATTTTTTTTCTCTCTCCACTAGAACAAAGAAAAAATGTCAGTTAGTACAATGATTGGGAAAATGTCAATCGACTTTTTCGATGAATAATTAATAATTATTTAGAGATTAGAAATAGTAATAATAATTTCAATCACTTAAACATTCATTTACTGTTTGTCAGATCAATGTCGAGAAGAAAGAAATCTATAATGAAGTCGTAGAAAACTTTCACTAACGTTTATTAACTAACACACTCAGTTAGCCGAGTCGATGCCGCTTGCGGGAACTTCTATTGATTAATGTGAATCGACATATTGTTGACAACGCTCAAGATAATATAATTTTCTTTATAATATATTCAATCAGAATACAGAATATGCGTTAACATGTTTTCCGAAAGTTCCTCTACTAATCTTCAGTACACTTCTTGAGGAAAATTTGTTGAAATTAATTGGTTTTTTTTCTGTCACAATAACCTTTCTATTGATTGTTCTTTTTGCCTACTATGCTCGAGAGATTCCGTAGTTCCTATTCAGCAGAAAGTACATACAATAGCGAGTTTTATTCATCGTCTACCTGCTAATGAAAGAACCCAGCTTGGTATTAATCCATCCCTTAGACAAATAGAAAATAATACTCGACGAGTTGACTTTTCTCGTATTCCATAGGGCTTTCCTAGCGTAAATTAATCATCTGGACATCCATAGATATATGAAAACAAATTGTTGTTATCCGTTTATGATTATCAGATGTTTACAAACGGAATAAAATCGCATTGTAGGGTAATATAAGGCACAATAGTGAAAAAGAAAGAAAGCACGTCGTACAGCAGAAGAAAAACGACTTTGATAGGAAAGAAAAAGGGCGAGAAGCATGAGAAAACTTCGAGGAAATAGAAAACTATCTCTGCTTTTTTTTCTTCTCCTCAGTCTACAGAAAGAAACTGTAAAATCTACTCTCATGAAGAAACAAACGTAAAAATAATCAACGCGTCGATTTCAGTCGAGGAAGCATAACTGCGGTAGTGTGTGTCAGAATAGATGAATAACAACATCTATGATCATCGTATGAGTACGTTGAACTTTTTCCTTTCAGATGAATATTGAACCTATCAGATAGAAATATTTAATGCATTTATACGTCTGAAGTGTTCGAACGCATTCGCTGGGGAATTCGTCATCTAATATGACTGCGAACTTTGGTCATATTGACGAACAACGACAACTCATACCAATGTCTCCGCTTCCGCCAACTATAACTTCCAATGAAGATGATATTATCGTACTCTGTGACTCAAATCATATTGACGACAATCAACCCTCATCCGAAACCATACCGCAAACACTCATTCTACGTTTCTACACTCGACTAGTTCAAATGATCTCATCGATACATCTACCACATTTGTCTGATAATAATTTACGCATAGTATTTCTGTTATTTATCACGCTAATCGGTCTAACTAGTTTTACTATTGCTCTTATCGTTGGCTCAAGTATAGTACAATTCAAACAGCAATGTCCGCTATACGCGTCATTTAAATTTCAAACATTTGTTCATACTCCAACTAATTGGACGATTAAAATCATCCCGCTAACCGAAAAATTTAGTTCACAATCGACATGTGATTTTTGTACATTTTATAATGTGTTCACGTTTATTTACTGTATTATGACTGGCTTCTTCTTTATACTATTCAATGGCGATGCTCGAATAGTAACAACAAATGATCAATGTTTGATCGTTCCATGGTAAGAAGCCAACAAAAACGAACTTTTCTCGTCTCTGTCGATCTTTTAGGTTTCCAATATCGATTATACTCGGCTTTTTCTCCTTAGTTAATGCATCTATTCTAACAAATGGTTTTCTCAAATTCTGTTCTACTCTCACATCGAATGATCACCATATAACGAGTTGTGGTCAACTAAATCACATTTTTTTCGAACAATATCCTAATGCTTCATCGATATTCGTCTATATGCTTCTCGCTATCATCGCCTCATGGTTTCAGCTAGTATTTTTTATTGGTATAATTACAATTCTTACTATTCGTCTTGGCACATCATTCGATTGGAGTAGTCGTGACGAAGATCATGTTAGCGAAAAGCCGAAGAATAATTTAATGCAATCTATGGAACAAACAGAGAATTAAACAATGAAATCATTTTTTTTATAGATCAAAAGACATTTATTTCGATTGTTATACATATATAAAAAAAGAGGAGAGACGTAGAAGAAAAGTAGCGCCCTGTTTGACAAACACTGATGGCGATAAACACAGCGAAATACACAACTACATAACAATATCATCCGGCGAGTTTGAAATATGTATAGAAAGAGAAAGAAGTTTGTTTTGTGTGTCGAACGCAAGTTGGCGGTGAGTAAACTGTTTGTTGGGTTTTACTTGCTAATTTCGAGCAACATCTTTTTCGAGCTTTTCGAATACTTTCCGAGCATTGCGAATATTCATTAATGTCACTTCTGATGCTGAAAACAAAGAGAATGTTTTCGTTAAGTAGTAGCAGCACAAAAAGAAAATGAGACTTACAAATCGTTGGATCACTGATAACAACCATGACGTAAGTATTCGGTGTTAATAACTCAATAAAACAAGCAAATGTTGAATTTCGGACTTCCATCGATTGAAATGCGGCAGTTAATTTGCTAGAAGAGGAAACTTGTCGAAGGAAATTTTCTAGACGAGTGCTTCTCACCTGCAGGATAGTTTGAACTGTTTGATAATATCACTGATCTTCTCAAATCGTCGAGGATCACGGTGAGCTTTCCGTGTACAATGTGAAATGACCTGAAATAATTAGAAAGTTCTTCTTTGTTCTTCTTCCGGCAATTAATTTTACCAGAAAAGTGGCTTTTTCGAAGAGTAGAATTTCATCAGCATCGATGATTTCCGCAAAGTTTGTCAAGGTTTTCTCCAAACCTTTGACATTTGGGACTAGTTGATAAACTATCTGTGACCAAGCCTACGCCAAATCATATTGAATTCATCATTCTTCTCTCAATTTCATATCCTTTACCTTATACAATGTTTCATCCCAAATCGATGTTCGAAAACATGAACATTGTAATGGTTTCGATAGATCCGTTAAGATGTTTTGTCGTTCCGCGAATATCTACACAAATGAAAACTCAAAGATCATCGAAGAGTTAAAAAACAACGTACTGTTTCGCGCATATCTTCCGATATTAAATCCATCTTGTGTACGAGACAAAAGATCTTCGCATGACTTGAATGTTGTAAAATAGATTCTAAGCATGACTGGTAATAGTGTAAATCCTAGACAATACAAATAAGTTAAGGGAAAGGAGGAAGGTAATTAGTAGTAAGTAAGGTACTTTATCTAATTCTTGACTCTGAACATCGAATACATAGATGAGTACTTCGACATTTTTGAAAATATTATCTTTTTGTGCGGTAAAATAGCATTCCATGAACGCTTCTTGACCACCGCAGTCCCATAGATTTAAAATTAAATTACCGAGAAAACGAACGTATGATTGTTCAACATCCACTAAAGAGAAGAAAATGAATCAATTTCAATGAGTGAAAGACGAGATTGTCAGCATACTTGTTGCACCGAGACGTCGAGTATCCTTAGCACTGTAATTAGCAAAAATGATTGAACGCATAGAGGTTTTGCCACCACCACTTTTACCCATCAACAAAACCTAGATAAAAAGAACGATCAAACAAACATTGATTTTATGGGAATTACCTTTTTTCGCATCATTTTTTCAGTACAAATCTCTATAAATCCTGTAAATAAAATGAAATTTCTTTACTATTTTTGGAAATAGAGATGAGGGTAATAAGTTTTTGGTTGATGAACTATGAAAGTACAATTTTCTTCTGTTTATTTATTTTCTTGCCTTTTGTTATTCATATTGGTTACAGAGAAGATGGTTGTTAACTTGACATTACAGATGGCGTTGTATGACAACTTCTCCCGAGATTATGGAAAAGAATATCAATCAATTCGCAGCGTTGAATGTCGTTTACAAGTGATAATCTGACACTTTGTTTCCTTAGCCGGGATATTTGAAGATGCATTCAAAACAACGTGTCGATTCACATCGTTTATTTAACCAACCAACTTTTCCTAGTTCGATATCAACTATGGAATTTTTAAGCCATTTTTGTTGGCATGGGGTGCAACTCCTATATGTGTGCCTGTCAACGTCAATAGAACGAACAAGTTTGATCGCCTTTATTTTAGGTCGCTTTATAATTGTCCATTAGATTCTCATTCTAATCATGTTTCATTGGGAATACATCAACACTATGTGACGCATCCGGCGAAATATAAACTATAATTCTAGTTTTTTATTTCAATATCATCTGAATAAATACAGTTTCTGTCGTGTCACACCCTCAAAATATGACTAGCTTCTTTTGACGAAACGCATGAGTGAGTTTTCGCACAATGAAATGAAGTTACACCTTTTGCACATATTACGATAGTATAGTGTGTCGAACGTTGTTACCTCTATGAGAATGTATCGAAATACATACAAATGAATGACTGTTCAAATTGAACAAACAACTATTCCTTAAATCTATTCGTTCAGATAAAGACAATCATTCAATTCAAGGGCAAAATGAGGAAGTCGCTGGAAAAAAAAAAGAAGAGATACAGGATTAAATATTCACACGGAAAAATGCATATAAAATTATGAGAAAAATTGATATAAAAGATCGATTGAAATAAAATTTGTTATTCCCACTCAGTTGTAGCTAAAAGGAAAGGTAATAATATAGATTTTCAGCAGATAAATTCACTCGTTCTATTACCTGGTGGTTTGGATGTTAAATCATATAAAACACGACTTATACCGGGTACGTTCGTTTGGATTGTTTGGCATATTTCATCGAGCATATCAAGAGGAAATGTTTCTCCTGGTACAGCCGGTCTTCCTGTCATGAAATCTTTGGTCAGAAATGTGCGCAGTACAACTGAATGTTGCGAACTAAAACCTCGTTCGTTGTCATTTGATGACACTGGTCTATCAAATTCAACCGGGATCAAAACAACGGGCATTTGACTTATGGAATCGTAAGCACCATGACGTTTCATAATCACCATAGCATGATCATCACATGCTCGGGCTTTATCAATGATGTCTGGAGTTAATGTTGTATGTGTAATATGAGTAATTTCATTATCCGAAATTTTCTTACCCTAAAATGGAAAAAACAGATATGAAGCAAATAAAGAATGGCCTTTTTCACATTATGTATTACAAGAATATAGACTACTCGATTTATCTGATGACATGCTTTCGTGATCATTCGAGCAAGAACAAATAATTCATTCCAATTGGGCTTATCGTTATCCGAACTGATGGCGGCAGCAAAACTATAAGTACGAGCATCACCTTGAACGCCAACACTTCGAATCTATTTTGAAAACAAAAGAAGAACAAAGTTTCGTTTATATTTCCGTCGATACTTTACTTACTGGTAATAAGACCGCTGCATAATTATGGTGGTCGCCTGATGTGAGGTTTTTCAGAAGTGTCCTCTCGTTATCAGTAAATACATGATCTAATCTAGATGATGCTGATGAAGAGTCTTTCACAGCATAAAAATTCACAATTGTTTTTAATAACGTTTGATTTGACGAAAAGGTTTCACTGGGCATATACGGTTCATCGGTACATAAAATTCGTATAGCTAATCCAGGTCCTGGAAACGGGTGACGATAGATGACATTCGGATGGAGTCCTAATGTTAAACCAATTTGTCGAACTTCATCTTTATGAAAATCTTTCAATGGTTCAATCACACGATTCAATTTGCGTAATTGCCGTACCATAGGTGAATCATTATGATGTGTTTTAATTGCATTAGCATGCCCACTTTGGCATGCAAGATGTGACGCACTTTCAATTAAGTCAGGTCTTAATGTTCCTTGCGCCAAAATGATGTCATCGAACGTGTAATTATTGTCACGAAGAAATTCCTGAACAACTTTAATGAATGTATCACCGATGATCTTACGTTTATGTTCGGGATCGGTTTCTTCAAACAGCGGTAATGTTTCTTCAAGCAAAATATCAGCATCAGTTAAACTTAAGAAATTGGTAGACATTGATGGGCGTCGTTGTGTTGATGATGATTTTTCATTCGATGTATTAGCTACTTTACTTCGGACATAAGTTTTCGAATGAGCAAAACGTTGACTAGCATCGATATAGTTTACAGTAGCAAACTGTGATAAAGTCTCGCGAATTTCTTTACTTTCATCTTGACGTAAGAATCCATTATCAATACTAACGAGTTTCACTTGTTTCGACGGTAGTGCACGTGTGAGTAGGGCAGCGCAAACACTACTGTCAACACCACCACTACACAAAACGAAAACTGGTTGATCTTTGACGAATGATCGAATCGTCTCGAAGGATTCTTCAATTCGACAACCCATTGTAAATGTCGGATGACAATGTGCAATTTCGAAGAGAAAATTTTTAAAAATTTCCACACCATTTTCAGTCAAATCAACCTAAATCAGAATTAGATATTTAAACGAGACCATCCAATGTTATTTACCTCAGGATGAAATTGAACACCATAAATAGGCTTATCTTTATCAGCGCACGCAACAATGAATGAATCACTTGTTCCAATACTGATTAAATTCTCTCCAAGTTGCCCGATACTATCGCCGTGTGTTAGTAGAACATTTTCATGCTTATTCATGTTTTTAAATAAGAGACAATCGTTGACATTCAATTCCACTTGAAACTGTCCATCCTCTCGTACTGTTTGTCGCACAATAGTTCCTCCTCGTTGTTTATTCAACATTTGCAAACCGTAGCAAATGCCTAAGATTGGTAAGCCACACTCAAACAGTTTTGGATCGTAATAAACCGGATTAGAATCATTTACAGATCCTGGACTACCGGATATAATGATCGCTTTGTATTTCATCGAGAGTAACTCGTTGACTGATGTTTGCAATGGCACAAGTTCTGAGTAAACGGATAGTTCACGTATTCGACGATCGATCACTTTCGCATATTGTGAGCCAGCGTCAAGTATGGCCACTCGATCGTAATGATCGGAGTGTTGTGGAGATTCTGTCATTCGATTTGTCTGCTCTATGAGGGATTGTCTAAAATACATATTATAGTAGAGAGTGTGCAGGTTTAAAATGTCTGACTATGAAATATTTATTTCCAGTAAGAAGAAATTCATCTATGACACGAGATGCTTCACAATGATTGAAGTAGAATTGAAATAGATATGAGTATGAGAAAGACGGACAAATAAACGAAACGAGACAAAACAAAAAATGCGAAAAGAAAATGCCTGATTAAATTTCATTGAGAATAGCCTAATTTTCGTTGAATATTCTACTACATTTCCTGCCTGTTAAAGACAAACAATGCAAAAAATGAATAGCAATATGTATATTTCGATTTCATAGAAAAAAGATAATACACAAACACAGTTATCACAAGTAAAAACAAAGAAACAGCGAATTATCTAACGCATTCATATCAATAGCAATGCTTAGGTACATCAAGCGACCAGCCTTTTCGTTCTTCTTCTTCAATAGTTTCCCAATTTGGCGAATGAACACCAGGTATCATATGGTTAGAGTCCACGACATTGTCCCAATAATCAATTGTCCAAACAAGACCACTTTGTGCAATATCACGCTGTTTAGATTGATATTCCACGGTGTAGGGGGCAAAGCGACAATGATGACAGCCTTCAATAATTGGGCGAGCATTGATATGAACATAGAAATCACATTCATCACTTGTATGAACGTTTAGCTGTCGACAAGCGACTGCAAATTCACATTGATGGCATTCATCAATATTCACTGTTCTTGAACAAGGGCCAACAATTATAACGCAACCAAGAAGATTTTTGATTTGCACCGATGAGGGAATACCTTTGAGAAATATTTCACAGTGTTCGAGATTCTCGATGGCAACATCTTTGCCATTGACTTGTTCTGACTCCAAATGAATAAATTCGTCGTGTTTATTCGTGACATTGACGGTATCCGTTTTGGGAGAATTCAACTGTTCATTCGTTGGAAATTTCGTTTTGACTTTCTCATCTTGTACACTCATCTGCATCTGTTCCATAATCTGCAAAACAACTAAATCGAAAGAAAATATTTTGTTGATGTCGCCATTACAAAACAGTTCGTATAAATATTCGAATTTTTTAGGTTTCTGAGTCAGTTACGCGTAGGTGTGCCACTTCTTCGTTCGTCTACAGACAGAAAAGGGTGCTGAGTAGACTATTCATCGATCGAGACGGTCTAATGTCCTTGAATGATCAAATCGATGGGAGTAGAAGGGAGAAAAGTAATTATTGACTCATGACGTTTGCTCGAGTAGGTCTTTATAATTATTTCATTGGACAATTATATCCACCAATTGACATATTCTATCAACGATCGGTTGGGTGCTTGATCGAACTCATTCCCATCTTTCGCATTTCTATGACGTCATTTAATTTGCCCAACAACGGAAATCGATCTGCGAAAAACCAAGCCTGACCTCTTTCTTGCGCAATAACTTCTAACGAGAGAAAATCCGAAAAACCATTTGAATACACATCGCACTAATTTGAGAAAAAGAATATTCAAAAATGTCATCTCAAACAAAAAAAAGCCATTTTTGTTGACAATAAACAGATGCTATCTTCTCTTTTATGTAGATTACATAACCATCTGATCAATCTCTAGCGTCCTCATACGTGAGACATCTATGTATTCATGATTATTTCCAGAAACTAAGAAGAACAAATGAAATTAGTATGAAACATACGGATTAGTCATCGTCGGAAAGATTTCAGTGTCCTCTTCTATTCCATTTCGATCGTACGTAAGAGTATCGACGACTTAGAACCATGTTGCAGACAATTTCCATTGATCAAGTGAAAGAAACACTTGATCAATTCAATAAAGTAAGTTTTGGAAAACTTGTCAGTGTAATTATGTAATTCTTTGTCGGTTTTTAGGGTCAAAAGTATTTGTACAATACTCTAACAACGACTGTTAGAGAAAATCAAACGAATGTAAATGAATGAAACGTTATTTAACGAAACGATAGCAGAATTCTGGTTTGATTGTTGTAGGAGATATGGTTTATTCATCTGCTAGATGAATTACGTGATAACGTGGATCTCTTTGAGAATTCGAATGAGCAATTTCTGGACTTTTTACAAGTAAAATTGAAGATATTGAACTCAACTGATGATTTCTTTTTCTTATTTGTGTTTAGCTACAAATTGATTGGTCAAGACAATCAAAAAGTGTTCTGGATACATTTCGAGCCTTTCAAATAAATCTTATTTCATGTAATACTAAACATGCACAACGTTATCTAAGTTTTTTATTCACCATTTTTACTATCCCAGGTAGATTTGTTTGTATCACTTAAACATCTTCACGAATTCTCTTCTAGAAACTACAAATAATTGCCTTCCACTTCATGATTTTGCTCATGAAACTTTAGAACAACTTGTTGTGATTGTTCCATTGTATGTATTTTGTAAACAATCGAATTTCCTCCAATTAAGAAAACACTTCGTTTAGAGCCTCAACCCTCCTATGTCCAATTGCTGAACAGCATTTTCCGTTTATGACCAAAGAAATAACTATTCAAATAACTTATGTGAAAAATTTACTCCGATCGTTATCTTACTTATCCATTCAACGTTTACGGTTTTTCGAAATAATTCTCTCGAAACTACTCCGTCTCGATGTAAATCTTTTCATCGATTATTTTCTCCTTAAACTTGACGTTCTCTCTTTGTTGGAAAGGTCCACGCGTCTCGGCAGGACATTCTTCGAGAAGAAAAATGCAGCATTGAAAATGAACTCGTCTTTTCTCTTGAACAACTCGGTACAAATGATAAGACAAGCAATGCAATGAAACATGATCAAGCTGATAAACTCGATTGTCTTATGTATGTTATGTTTGAATATATCAACAGTGTTTGTATTGAGAACGGTAAATGATTCCGTGCGAAGAATTTCTGGAAGAGAAGATTCCTTTTCTTTTAGGAACAGTGAATTATGAACAAACGAAATTGTTAGTTCGTGATTTATTAAGCGTATTTAATAAAATTTTATTACCAACACATGATTCATCGCATGTGCAATTCTTACTGTTTTATATATGTAGTTTTCATACAGTAAGTCTCGATGAAAGAGAAACAATTGTCGAGAGAATTCACTTTTTCTAGGATTTCAGTGATGAATTTATGAATAATTGTTGGAAAACATTTGTGTCACCATCGGTGTCGATGACATTTCGACAAGCATCAATTTGTTACCTCTGCAGTTTAATCGCTCGAGCTAAATACATACCAATTAGGTACGAATTTCTTTTCCAATTCAAAACATCTCTTCCAAACAACTTTTTCTACAGATCTGTATTGAATATAACACAGTTAATGATGGATTGGTTACATACGTATGTTAGCACAACAGAAACAAACAGTGGAAATGCAAATCCAAATCGGCACTTACCATTTTATGCTATTTGCCAAGCTGTTCTTTATATATTTATCTATCGTCATCAAGAAATTGCTCGATTACCTGACGGTATGTGTATTTGAACCATTTTCGATCGTTTTCTCTCAAAATATTGACTATACACATATCTGTTCCGTAAATCAGATACTTTTGTATTCATGTTTATCGGAGATTTTGATCGATATATAATATTTCAGAATCAATGAATCATCTGTTTTTTCTTGTTCTTAGGCATTGAAACTGTGTTAAAATGGCGAATTGGACGTATTATATCTTCAGAATTAAATCCATTGAAATATTGTTTACCTGCTATTGCATTGAGGTTTGCTCAACTAGCAAGGTAAAGTATGAAGTATTGAATTTACACCTTTCTCATAGATTTTCATTTTGAAGAAACTATCAAATTGTCTTTTGCTATTCAATCATTGAAACAAACAATCGCTATTCGTTGCCGGAAACATTTGCAACGAATGATTATCAAAATGGCAATCTACCATCAAATATTCTCTATTCCTATTTTCCTTTTGATCCATATGTATTGAAACGATCATTGGTGTTCGTACAACCAATTTATAATGATTATCGTGATGAAAACGATGAATCGAATGTATGTGGTAAAGATTCTGACGATAATGACGTAAGTAATCGACTGCCGAAAGATGTTCTTCATCAAATCTGCACATTATTTTCAGCGACAAGATTTCGATGATTCAGATGATGTTTTAACTTCCATGATGATGAGTACGACACCTGGTAGTTCCGACTCACTCGATCATCTGCCGATCACCACGATGTCAACATCATTTAAAAGTTCTCGAAATCCTCCGTCAGTTTTACCGTTCGGTCGTTCACCTGGCTTTCGAAATGCAATTAACTGAAAGTGGATATATTTTTCTTTCTTGTCTCTACCTAGTCATTTCATTCCATATTTCCTACTCATAATATTACTTTAACGTTATGTTCTTGTCATTGTCTCTCAGTTAACGTTCTTCTAGACAGAGAGATATTGTTGGACGTTGTTTTTTTAAATAAAGAAGAGAAGAGAGAAAGAAAACTAACTGGATGGATCGAATATTCACAAGTTTAGAAAAATAACATTTGACAAATACAACATATAGATATGAATTACCGACTGAACAGATCAAATCATGCGGGAAATTCTCACGCGTGGTTTTGTCTTTCTATGGATATGAACGAAAAAAACAAACAACAACAACAGCAACAACAGAAATCGAACGAATGAATTTTGATCACAAAAAGAACGAAGCACCAGACAAAATAATTAAATAAACGAGACTGAAATTGAATAAGAGAAAAATAAGCATGCAGATTAGCAATGATATCAGTTATTTATTAAAGAATTTTTCGATTATTTATTTTGCGTTGAACGTAACTTCACGTAACTTGGCAGCGATCTAACAAGACAAAGAAATAGTGAATGGAAGGACTCTTGAAAGACATTCATTTACTTCGCCGTAAAAGTTTGTTTGTTCGTCAACGACTTCTTGCAGATACTCATTAAGATCGATGACCTTCTGCTTTTGAAAGAAGTTGATTTCTGCTAGAACAACATGATTTAGATCGTGATAACGACGAGCAGCATCGCTGGCATCGATTCCACGTTGCTGGACAGTTTTCATAAAATCCGAGGCACTCTACGGCAATGGCAATGAGTCAAACAAGAAAAAGTACTTCAATCTTACCTTTTGAATGCCTAATATTGATGGAAAACAGCCAAGAAGTCCAATATATTCTTGAATGCGTTCGTTGAAATTTCGAAGACCTTCACTTCCCTAAATGGAATCATAGCAAATGATTATTCAGGTCAAATGTTCGATTTCAGTCAGCTGATAACAGGACGTAGATATACATCAAGAGAAAAGATATCAGTCCGAACAATCGTCAGTACACATACAGAATGATAAATGATCCGTACCTGAACGAACTCAAACTCGAAGTGTGGACTCAAGTTCGGGTTGAGTACACACTTACAAATGTCACGTACCTTTGTTTTATATGATTCAGCTATATCATTGTAAGATCGGCTGATTTTATTGATTGAGTTGGATAATTCCTGATTACCCGGCGTGGTCTTATCAATTTGAACAGCAAGATGAACTTTGGAAAATAATTCACCAATTTTCTGAATATCTCGTTCGTAAGTATCGGTGTAACGTTCGGTATACTTCGTTAAACCTTGACTGAGATTTCTAAATTGGGATTCAAGACCTGGCTGTTGGTGAACAAAGGCGTCTATTTGTGAATGCCTGCAACCAAGAGCAAAGTTACTAAGCACGGTTCAATCAAACATAACCTACAATTCATCTTCAGCTATTCTTGTGTCTCTCACAGTTACACATTGTAACCATGATGCATCGCGGAATTCATCTTTTTCGATTTTACGTTTTCCACCTTTCCATTCCTAATTTCAGTAAACAACAAAAAGATTTTATTCGCTTACTAATAACACTGAGTATTCGTGACAGTACCTTTTTGTTCTTATCGCTACCGTCGCAGGTAATAAAATGTTGAACAGGAAAAGATGCACAGAGTACAGGATGACGACATACACGATTAAGCCACAATTCAAGTAATCGTTGACGTTCTTTAATAAAATCTTGTTCGAATCGTCCTAGGAACACGCAATAAAATCTGATTTTTCCTCATTCATAAATCATACCTGCTATCTGTTTGCCAGGTAACGGTGGAATAGAGAGAAAGCGATATTTATTAACGAGTTGCTCATGCAACCAATCAAACTGTTTATAACGTCTGTTGACAGGCTGTTTTCCGTGTATCTAAATCAATCGACAAGTTATTTGGAAATGGAATGCATTGGTGACTTACTTGAGGAGAGATTTTATATTCGGTGAATGCTTTCAATCCTCCTAATTTGGTTCCTTTCGATGGCTCTTCGATTTTACATGTAAATGGTGGCATACCAGGATTTGGTGACCAACAAACACCGCCTTCTCGGTCATCATACTTGATGAAAAATAAACAAATATAAAATAACGATTAATCATGAGATTCGTACAGTTATTTCAACATGTTCATCTGGTGATTTGCCTTTACCACCATTTAATAAATAACTATCTAAACCATGTTTATCGAAAAATCTAAATAGAAGACAGATCAAGAAATTATTTACCGATCGCTCCTAATTCTCTTACCGTGCTCGTGGTGCACTTTTGCTTGTTTCACCTCCGACAATTGAACTGCGAACTTGACTCGATAAAGTTGAATGAACCGGTAACTGCAATACAATTCATATGAATTCTATGTTAAAAATTGAGGAGAAATCTGTCACAGAAAAGCAGTTCCAGAAAAGTGCATGCAATGATTCACACAACACGAACACGAAAAATATTCTCAACTAACCGTAGGTGCTACATTTACAGAAGGCTGTTTTGCTTGCTGAAATAGGAGTGTTTATTAGCATCCATCTCCCAGGTAAAAACTAGAGCAAAAGTAATGCTTACAGTGTTGAAATTCGTCGTATTCGACGGTGCAGTTGGATATTCCGAATCACTGAAACTGTCGTCGGAGTCAGTGTCTTTTTTTGATATTTGACGATTGCTCTATATGAAAAGAAAAACAAATATTAGATACTTTTCGTAGTACAAGAAATAATCCACTGAGCAACGAATAATCATGAGCAGAGCTTTATAAACTAAAAAAATTACATGGATTCTAATCGGAATCTTCAGCGGAAGAGTAACTGAGCATAAATGCTAGACCTCTTTGGTTTTCATTTGCTTTGCTTCGGGAGTTTTGGCTTTTCGTGATAAAGTAAAGAATTTAATGAAACTTCTCGATGTTTTCTTTTGAGCTGGTGGTAAGAGTTCTTCGGGCATCGAGTTCGTCTGCGTCAATTTTGTCGGTTCTGACTCAAGAATGTGATTGTCCGATGATACTTGATTCGATATTGAGTGAGTTAATACGTGTGTCCCTTCACAAGCAGTAGCGAATGTATCTGTTTTTGATAGTATTGGAGGAGATTCAGGAAGAGCAAATGTCGGCAACGGGTTGGCTGGTGCTGGCGTTTTGGGAAGCGTGCAATACCATTCATCGGACTGATCACCGACTGAGGATCTTTTCATGGCGAACGATGAATTTTCGATAGGAAACAAATCTAGACTCGTTTGAACATCGATCACAGTTGTATATCCGTCACATGAATTATCTGATATAGGTCGGATGTTCAACGAAGTAGTTTTTCTTCTCGAAGGAGATTTTAACGGTTGAATAGAACTAGTTACGTTTTCTTCATCTAATAGCTATCAGAACAATAGGGGCAGACGATGTGTTGGACAAAGGCAAAAGTCGGTACGTAGAAAAATATGTCTTACGTTTGTTAGTTGTGGTGGTGGTAGTGGCGGTGATGATGCCCATGCCGATGTGTCTTGCGCTTGCCAATTGTTAGTATATGTACCTGGATTCATGTATTGATGCTGATCATAGGCCGGTGGGGAATAACTGCTTTTTGCTGTATTATTATTGCTACCGAATACATCGAGATTAGGATAGTTATTGTTGGTATGAGAAAAAGTTGACATAGCTGGTGGTGGTTCATTTGGTTCTGGTGGATCGGCTAGAGCTTGGACATAGTTTTCTGGAATGACACCCATTCGCCCTGAAGAGTTTTTCGCATACCTAGTCGTAGTTGGCATTAGAAAACAATATCAAACGAGTAAAAAACACATCCTCTTACCACCAACCATGTCCAGCTGTGCTGGATGTTATCGTCAGAATTTCATTCGCACTGAAACTGAGTTCATTTGAACCTTCAGCCACGAAATCGTAGAGCGCACGTGCTTTGAATTCAGTATTAGACATTCTCTCACGTATGCAATATAGACATTTAATCTGAATCAACAATAATCTTAGTAAAGGACGTCAATGAAAAAAATAATCGGAGGAGGAAGAAAAGGTACACAATTGTTAGTTAGTCAGCGGGAGAGAGGAAAAACGAACTATAATGAATGAATCATCCTACAAACAAGATTTTCAATTGGCTGATTTGTCGACCAATCAAACGACCAAACTGACGAACAATGACTAATTGTAATCGAGAGTATATCACTGTAGCTGTTTATTAAGAAAAGATTGTTTTTCAAAAGTTTAATCGATCAATTGAAACTATTCGATGAGCTGATGGCAAAGTCTAACGGTACAGAAGCTCGTGTTCAAGTTGCTGTTCGAAGTAGACCATTGAATCAACGAGAAGTAAAGAATTTCTAATCTCCATGTATATTTAAAACGTAATGTTTCTTGTTCTTATCAATTAGATTGATTTAAAATCTCTAGTTATCGTGACGATTCATGGTTCACAAATACTAGTTAATAAATCTCAAGAGAAGTAATTCTTATCTTATTTTTAATTGAATTCGTATCATTGCCTGGATTTTTCTATAGGACACATGGGTTAAAGACATTCTCATATGACTTCTGTTTTGATTCGATGCATTTAGATGGGTCAAATTATGCTAGTATGTTGTCTTCCAATCTGTTTCAAACGATTTTTCACATTTGTTTCATTCAGGTCAGGCGACAATCTATGAAAAAGTTGGTGTTCAAGTTGTTAAACATGCATTCGAAGGTTACAATGCTTGTATATTTGCCTATGGTCAAACCGGTACGTGTGAAATGAAATGTATTCTTGAAAGAATATATTTTCTATCAGGTTCGGGAAAATCTTATACAATGATGGGAACACATAGTGATCGTGGTATTATTCCTCGTCTGTGTCAATCAATGTTTGATCGAATTGAGAACGAAATCAAACAGGAGATGAGTCACAATTCGGATATGAAAATGGTTGACAATGAGAAAGTCAATGATATTTTGTCATTGAAATTTTCATCATCGTATCGAATCGAAGTTTCCTATTTTGAAATTTATAATGAGAAAGTACGAGATTTACTCAATCCAAACAAGTAAGCTACTTTGAAATGGATTATGTTCAAATTAAATTCAATTTTTAGTAATCATCATGCATTAAAAGTACGAGAGAATAAAATCCTTGGGCCCTATGTTGATGGCCTCTCGCAACTTGTCGTTACCTCGTATCAGGTAAGATTATTTGAAGAATTTAATTAGAAGAGATTTCATTGAAAATGAACTTTTTAGGAAATTGAAACTCTACTAATCGAAGGCAATAATTATCGAACAGTAGCATCGACAAATATGAACACAGAGAGTTCCCGTTCCCATGCTGTGTTTTCTCTCAAATTAACTCAAACATTGTCAACTGATGCATCAGAAGTACGAAATGAAATCGCAACGAAAATGATCTAAAACAAGTTTTTATTTAGACACAAAGTGTTAAAGTAAGCAAAATAAGCCTAGTTGACTTGGCTGGATCCGAACGTGCGTCGAAGAGTGGTGTTCAAGTTGAACAAACACGTTTTCGAGAAGGATGCAATATCAATAAGTATGTGATGAATAAATCTCTTCTCTTGAATTGATTTGTTTGATATTCAAAAGATCGCTATCTACACTCGGTCTGGTGATCTCTGCATTAGCAACACGTCAATCGAATGAACAGAATTCTAAGTCAACAAAAAAGACTTTTGTTCCTTATCGAGATTCTGTCTTAACTTGGCTACTCAAAGTAAAACCATCGATATCGTCTATATTTTTTCTTATCAATCCTTGTTTTCAGGATAGTCTGGGTGGAAATTCCTTTACAATTATGCTAGCCACCATTTCACCAGCTTATGATAATTATGAAGAAACCATTTCAACATTACGTTATGCTGATCAAGCGAAGAAAATTGTCAATCATGCGGTTGTTAACGAAGATGAACCGGGAACGATCATTCGAGATTTGCGCGATGAGATTGATAAATTACGAAAAGAACTTGCAGATGCTAAAGCGGAAAAATCAGCTGAGAAATTGGATGCGGAAATCAAAGAAAACGAACGATTGATGCAAACAATCAGCAAAGATTGGCAAGAACGAATTGCAGAAACAGATAAAATAAGCAAAGTAAACTTTTCTTCAACGGATCGACTAACCAATTGGAACAAAACTCGATCTTTCTTTGTCTAGGAACGACACGAGCTATTACAGAAAAGTGGCATATCTGTTTGCAGTTCAGGTATTGGTCTCGACAAAGATCGCTTGTACTTGGTCAATCTCAATCCAGATCCAGCATTGAATGAATTATTGGTCTATTATTTAAAAGTAATAGTTTAAATTTTGCTTAGAAATGTATTTGATTTACATACGTCCATTTTAGCTGTCGACGACGACTATCGGTCGACCGGATGCTCCTACGCAACAAGACATTGAATTGATTGGTGTGGGTATTTCACCAGAACATTGCGTTATCGAGGTGAAAAGTCCAACTCAGATTGTTCTTAGACCATTAAATAAATCGAAGTTGGTCTCATAAGAACTGTAAATTCGAATATGGATCTCGTTTTTTCTAGAACTTATGTCAATGGTCAATTGATTGATAATGAACGGCAACTTAGGCATGGTGATAGAATTCTCCTTGGATGTTCACATTTCTTTCGTTTGAATTCGCCCGGAGATAAAAGTAAGTTACATAATAAAATGGAAAAAAAACCAATGTGGTCAATGACATTTTTGTTTTGTTCGGGCGTTGACATCTAGGCAGAACCTTGACTGAAGGTGGTTTTTCGATTATCGTTGCCAGTATAGACGAAGAGATAACGAAAGAAAAGAACGCGTAAATACGTCTCAGATAACTTTCTTTTGATAAAATTTGGATTTTGTATCTTCTCGAGAAGCAAAATGTATCTAAAAATAGTACAAAAGAAAACTCGTTCTTTTCCGATCGAGTTCTGTTTAGCATCGTCACTCGTAGATACTTCTGTGTTAATCGGTAACCTATTCGACGCGATTACTTTAATAGTCGCACTTCATTCGCTCAAGACATAGATCGATAATTTTCCTCGTGTTTCTATAGATTCGACGAATAATAACAATTCAGTTATGTCATCGATCATGAACACGTCATCGCATTTGTCGTTTACCGATGCTCAAAATGAATTTTTACTGAACCAATTAGCAACAGATCCAATGACCAAAGAATTGCGATCATTCTTAAAACCAGATGAAAACAATCAGCAAAGTAATTGTGCATTGGCGAACACTCATCTTTATGTTGATGTACGACTTTACGAATATTGTTTTAGAAATCATTCCAGAGAAAACGTCCGATGTTTACGAAAGAGAGATTGAATATCTGAAGGGTCAACTCATGCGTAGTGATAGTCGATCAACAGCAGTCAATTCAAAAACGCGTACTTTCGAAGATTCGCTTTCCAAATGGCGTTTCTCGAATAAGCTCCTCACTGAGTATGATTTGGCCTCTTGAATATGATTTTGTTAAAATTCTGCTATCATTCAGATCGGAAGAGAGTCGAGCTTTTTTCAACCGCTTAAAACAAGATCTCATTCGTGTGAATGCTTTGGTTTCCGAAGCCAATACAATTGCAAGTGAAATGCAACAACAAACAACATACAGTGTTATGTTACAAATTCCCGTCTCTTACTTAAAACCAAGTCAAAGGGTACGTAGAATCGAAGAGACGATATTTTTCAACTGATTGAATTCCTTCACAGGCTACAACGAACTTATGCGAGTCAGCTGTACAAGTGAAAAGACGAAATTTGTCTCCACAGATATGGAACGTGGAAAAATTTGAATCAAGATTAAATGACATGAGAGAATTTTATTATGAATGGCAAACGTCGGAGAATAAAGTAGGACGACACTTGTGTTTTCGATCAATAGATTTCTTTTAATCTTAATCAATGTTTAGAATACGTTTTTACCACAACAATCGAAACGATATGATCCGTTTTTTGACGCCGAAGAATACAATAGTCTGATTGGTGTTGCGAATATATTCCTCAAAGCTTTGTTTTACGACTCTAAGCTTGACTATCTCGTACCGATTATCAACACACAAGGAGAGGTAGAAAGAGCACGCCTGTCGAAACATTCTCACCCTTTCCTCTATGGTTTTTGCTATTCATAGATTTTCGGTTCACTTCATGTCGTTTTCGTCCAAGTCGGTACTTCGGCTATGAAGAAATTAAGCGACTTTCAGCCAAGGAAAGCGGTGCGCACAAATACCAGCGAAGGAATTAGTATCGATGCAGATGAAAATAGTCTGAGCGAGAATAGCGCTAGTCAAAACAGTCTGGATGAGGAAAGTGTTGATGACTCAACGAAGACGTTCAATAATAAATCTGACCAAATCACGGTTAAAGTACGTAGTCGATAGCATTTTTGATCGCAAGACATCCTCTTTCATTGCAGTTTTCAATCAAAGAAGTCCGAGATTTGCCTCAATGTGATGGCGATACTATTATGTGTCGATATACTTTCATCAATCAGAAAGATGAACAACAAATCTTCTCAATCAAGCCTTCGACATCTTCCGACGATGAAAATAGCGATGAGGAAACAAGCAAAAATCCACGAATATTTACATTTCATCATGAAAAAGTATTTTGGATCGAAAGGAACTTCTCTTTTTTTTCGATATTCATCTCTCTTCCAGGAGTATACTTTTACGATCACCGACAATTTCATCACAACATGTATGGAAAGTGCTATTTCCATCGAAGTTTGGTACCACTATAGCACGATACCATTAGCAGTGAACACGAATGCGCAAAACGAACGCAATCGACGTGATGCAGAAATTCGAGCATTAAGTAATCGATGGAAAGAAGTTAAACGGCACATACAGTATGCGATAGAAATCCACGAATTGGATGCGTCAGGCAAATGGGAACCGGTTGAAGTAGATGCACAACAGCCACAGATCATCAGTGGAGGAGTTTATCGACTACGACAAGTAAATCGAGCAAATAGATACAAATGACTCATTTGTACAATTTGTCATTTGATGAATAGGGTCAATCGAAACGACTTGTCGCAAGGCTACGTGTGATTCCTCAATCTGGAACAATGCCACTTGTTCTTCACGCTATTCGATCTGTTGAAATCGGTTCGATAAGTACACGAAAGATCAATGCACCGCGTCAATTAGATTCGTACCAAGATGAAGAATTACAGCGCCTAAGGCGTGAATGGCTTGGCTTAATTGAAAAACGAAAACTCTATCTTGAATCCGAAATGAAATTGCTCAGTCAACAGACAAGTAACTTTTACTGCTTGAGAAATTTCATAGGCTATTTCACTATTTATGTAGATAAAACACCGAATGATTTAGAAAGAGAAACAGCGTTACTCGAGCAGCTTGTTCGCTTAGCAGAAGAACGAAATTTTGCGGAATTCCCGCCATCAGGAAGTGGAATACCAGGTAAACAACCATGAAAGTAGCTTATTGTTTACAATTCAATATTTCTGTGCGAATTAGGTTCACCACCGTGTTGGACACCACCAGCTACTTTCGAAGAACATCGTCCACTAGTATTTCTAGATTTAGATCCTGTTCATATGAATACCGCAAATGATACTGCTGGTCTTAAAGCAACTTTAACTGAAGAAAATAAGAACGACATGTTTCGTCTACCATTGTTGCATCATGCATCGGATGAAGCAAGACATTTTCGTTGAGTTCACATTGTTTGTTCATAGTGATTTCTGTTTAAGGTTCGTGCAGTTGCTCAATGGGATCCATCCATACATGAAGCCACTGAAATGTAACGAATTTTTCCGAATCGTCATTTGAAGATCAACAAATTTGTCGCCATTTAGGAATCGTGTGACACCGCACAATACGATTATTTATATGATCGTCAAAATCACTGTCGTCATATCTCAGCCTGTTCGTATGGAACTCATTCTGCGTAAGCGTATTGCAACAACGATTGGAAAAACCGAAGGTTGGTGGTCAGGAAAAGCAATGAAATACCTCCTTGGATATGTAAGAAAATGAGCATTTACTTGGTAAAATAATGAATATGTTGCCTTTAGAAACCTTACAAACGAACGAGTATTGTTTATGAAATTGTTTCAAGTATACCAAAATACATTTATGAGATCGAGGATCGAAAAAGCTTAGCACTAGTAGCGGGCTCCGAATGTCACAGACAGAATTATGTCCAAAAATATATTCAATATGCGTCAGCTGTTGATTCACTTCTGTTACTCGATCAATTGAGACAAGTGAGTTACTGATAAACGGAAAGACAAAGAATTGCCTTCTCTTTTCAATTTTTTAGGAAGTTTCATTAGCTGAAAATTCAGCAAAACAACAAACGATTCGAAAAGCAACCAGTGTACCGAATATAGCAAATCAGCAAGGAAACACTGTAAGTTTCATTTCAATCGTCGCATTGAGAATCTATTTATCAAAAACGTCTGCACGTTTGTCATATTAATCATTCGATTGCGTGATGCGACACTTCGAGAATATTCTTAAGACTGATTGTTTTTTTCTTTTTCGAGACGTTTAAAGTATCACGAACGTTGATTAGTTCAAAAACTACTAAATATCTTCTTTCTAAATAGCCTTTGTCAATTGCACCAAACTATTCTCGTCGGGAAATTGACACTGAACCAACGTCACCACTGAAAAAGTCGCCCTCGATTCAAGGTGAATCATCGACTCGTCCAAATCCGTTCTATGACGATAATAAAGCAGCCAAGTCCTCATTTCTTTATCCGCATGCTCATTCTGATTCAACGCCATCACAAATTAAAACCATCACGACTCCATTTTCTGCATTCAGTCGATCCGAGGTGAATGTTTCCACTCCCATGTCAACACGTATTGAAAATCTCGATTATGAGGCCAATCCTCAACATTCATATTTCGAATCTACGACCCCGAGTTTGTTGTCCCGTTCGCTGTTCATCGAACAAGAACAATTACAGCCAGTTCAAACATCAAGCATTCGTATTCGTCATACGTTCGATATCGATGATCATGAAAATCAAACCACTAAAAAACAAGATAGTGATCAAGCGTTACTATCGATAAAGACACTTGAGGAAAAATATTCCATTCCAACAACGCCTCGAAAAACCGAACCAACAGTGACTGCAGAACCATCGACAGCAAAGAAAATCGTGGATATCAACGACGAAGAATATCCAGTTGATGCACGAGTCACTGTTAACACGGATCATCAATTATACAATAAAACAGGAACGGTACGATTCGTAGGGAAAACATCATTTAAAGAAGGAATTTGGTACGGCGTTGAACTTGATGAGCCTGTTGGTAAGTAGCCAAATGTTTTTGTCTGATGAGAACGAAAGAGAAACATTCGATTCTTTGTAGGAAAAAATAACGGTACATTTGATGGAGTTGCTTATTTTCAATGTCCTGATAAACACGGAGTTTTTGTTCGTCGCGATAAACTTTGTCGCAAAACATAACTGTAATGAATTCTTATTGTTTGCTTTTTCTATTCATTTGTTATTTATTGTTGAAACGGTCTCTAGTCGTTCGATATATTGAATATTTTTCTTTTTCTACTATTTATTTGATGATTTACGTTTCACTAATTATTATTGGATTACCTATATATATTTAACTTCACCCTATTCTGTCAGATTATCATCATTTTTATACACGCATGCCCATTATTGTTATTATTTCTATTGTGTTAATTATTTCATCAATAACTAGAAATGTAAACTAGTGTATGTGTTTAGAAATATATGTATGTGTAATTCAACTCAATCTCGTTTTCCTCTTCTCTTTCTCCTTTCTAGTTTTCGGTGATAACTACTGACTTCCACCCATATATGCATACCTTTTCCTGAGTCTTCTAATGTGAATATCTTTTGGCAAAGTGTGTCTCTCTTTCTTTTTTCATGTACTTATGTCCTAATTAAAGGATCTGATGAAACAATTTTGGTATTCAAATAAATATTCTTTATGATTATGAAATCCAATGATGTGTTTACACGTTCCGGTCAAGGATAACGTTATGTTATGATCTAGATTTGATGTGACTGTCTGACACTGGCATATTTTGTAGAACATTTGGTTGAAAATATCTATTTTTTCACCAATGAGAGGCTATAGAGAGCTGGAACAATATTATTTGTTTCATTTCTTTTTGTGTCTGAGTGACCTAGACGTGAAGATAGAGAGAGGAAGAGATTGTATTCTTTATTAGAGCATCACTTCGCACAAACATCCTAGTCAATCAATGATGAATGACGTAGTGATTAGGAAAGAAAGAATCGTCCTTTATTTGCTAGTGATTTTCATGACTATTTGACACGAACAAATAGTATTTGAACATTGATAGTCATTGTGTTATAAAATGAATTTCAGTATAGAAGTGAAATTGATTGGGTTGAATAGTAACTATTAATACTGATGTTTTGGTATGAAAAACAGCCAAGTAAAATTGTCTATAATATCGAGTAAATCAAAAGTGATTGATGATTTCCTTTTCTAGATTTTTTGTTTTTTCTTATTGTTTTCTTTTCGACTTTGTGCTCTGAAAATGATCATTCTTAGCTCGACAGGACTAGAAATTCTATCTACTTGAGAGAAACAGAAAATATCAAATCAGAACCAAGGAAAGCATACAGCCAGAGAAGTTCATCTCTTCTAGACCAAATCTAACGCTTCTAAATTAGGCTTTGATAAATGTCAGACTGGAATGAAAAGAACTATGCTAGGGAACGTCTAAGAAAACTATTAGGGATATTTGAATATTGTTCTTAATTTCTTGTGTTTCACGACAGTTCTTTCGATATAAAATGTCATTCTTTTTCTTCTTTAATGTTTTCTATTTCTGCTCATTTGTTACCATCGATGATTAGTGAGGATAACGGAAAGTTCGTCCGAAATCAAAATCATGAAGATCAATTAAATTATATTATATCTCATTTGTATATTTAATCGGCAGATTGATGCAAAGGCATTCGACGATGTGTACTTGTTTAGATGTATTACGAGAAAAATAACGATCAATCATATGCGATCTTCTTGTATATATAACATTTTTATAGTTCACATATCACGCTATGTACATGTGTGACCGTAATGATTTATGCTGAAGGGCTGTCTGAGCAGAAGATTGTTTTTATGACAAACTTCTGTTTCTAATAGCCAATTTCTTCGTATGACTGCGAGGAGATCGAGAGTTATCTCGATTACATTCTCAAATGTGAGGGACAAGAGTTGAAGGTTAACACGACTGTTTTTTTAACAGGAAATATTCGTGCTGTTTATATGGGTGGAGGAGTACTACCGACAATACCATCACTATCATTAACACTGCTTTGACTCGAGCTAAGTAGTCGTTATCAGAATTATACGTAATACTAGCAGTATTAGTATGAAGGCAAAAGAAGAAAACATGGCGAGTGTTGGGAAAAGGCAAACTGTTCTCTCTCTCTCTCTACTTCCCATCTTTAGCTTCTTATTCTGATGTTTCTGTTCTTCTTTCTAGCAAGAGAGAAATGATAGAAAATTCATCATAGTAATAGAAGAACAACTGTGATGGTGGAGAAAGAGAGAGAGAGAGAGAGAGAGATGAAGTTCTCTTTTGTTTATGCGTGTATGTGGGTCGAAGGAAGAAATCGACAACTAAGCAGAAAAAAAAACACGATGATGAGAAGAAACGAAAGAGATGAAGAAGAAGCAGTAATAGTAGCATGGTACGTTTTTCTCTCTATCCAGCAAACGTCCAACTGGGCCGTTCTTCTTTAGTGTCGAACAACATCTCTCATTATTATTGTGATTATCGTGCTCGGACGATGTTACTACTACGCGTACATATTGGCATGTCCGGGAAGAAAGAAGAAAGAAAGAGAAGATTATAGAATGTACACACTTGACAATATTTCGAACCGAGCTGTCAGCAACAGTACCATGAAAATGATTGAAATAGAGTAGGATTCAATGGACTGAGATTAGCATTCGGTTTCACTTTCTTTCTTCGCTTTTTGATGGTTGGTTTCCTGGTGTAAGTATATTTCTTAGCTATAATTCGTTACGTCATTGAGATAGATATCTAAATCAATATAGTGCAATGAGGAAGAGGCGAAAACAGACGGAGATAGATAGAGAGGGAGAGAGAGCAAAATGCAGAAAGAAAAGAATAAGTTATAGGAGCCTTGAAAACAGGTGCAGACAGCAGTATGATCCCGACCGGTAAAGAATCATCACGGTGTATTATGGGCGTGGTCGGAAACTAGAAAAAGGAATGCGATCTTGTAAATCTTTAGAATGCTGGAAACTACGTAGGTGATTCAATGAATAAATAGCCGATTTTACGCGCTTATTTATGACTATGAATGGAACATTAATAAAACATCCTTCTCACAGTAATAATATGATACAGAGAAAGAGAAAGAGAGAGAGAAGGATGAAATAATACTCAGCAATTGTAATAGTACTATCAGCATCGATATAAAACTAATAAAACTTAATGATATTATCGAATGCAAACGATAAGCATATTCTTTTACGAAATCGACTCTGATTGACAATAGCAAAGAAAACGATGATGCTAATGATGATAAGTGCATCGTAGTCGAATTAAATCAACGTCCGTTGTAATCTTTATTCCGAAATCGTTAGTTTACAAAGACCAATCTTGCTTTTTTTGTTTCTATTTTCTAACACACCGGGTGTCCTCTAATTAAACTGTTGTCTTTTCACCAGAAAACTATCGATTGAGAAGTCATATCTACATGTATGTGTGAATGTAAAGAAGGCAAAAACAAAAAATGTGCAGACAGCACAAAAATATTGAAAAATGAGTTATTAAGAATGGAGAGATACATATCAGGAAAAAATTTCCTTTCTTATCATTGATAAGTCTCATAATCGGCTTTAGTATTCGACAATGTAGATATTACTCTTTCACATCGCTCTTTTTTTCATCTATGATATCAGACTATAAATATCTGCCTAATTCCGCACTGGTAGTCATTAAGTATAACATTTGGAAGTATTTACTATTTGGTTAATTTAGCCATAGTCGAAGTTCTGGCGATTTATATTCTTTTTTATATTCTGTTTATTTGTTTGTTAATCTATGCAAAAGTTATGATCATCGCTAAACAGCAATAACAACAGCGAAAATATTTTTTTGCGACTTCCAGATAAAATTTGATGACGAAATCTCAATGAAGGACACGTTATAGCATTGACGAATATCTTCTTTTTTCAAGTGACTTTGACATTGAAAGGACATAACCGATGAGTGTCAAAGTTATTTCTTTGGTATAAAATCTTTTTTCTGTCTATTTTATACGAGATTTCTTTTCTCCTTTGCTTCCTTTCTCTTTTCACATCCTCTCTTTCTTCTTCTTCTTCTCCTCCTCTCCCTCTGTTTGCTATTCTCAACGAGAGTTCTTTCGTGTAGTGTCTCGTACAGCATCATACTTAGTCGATGACGATGCCACATACCAGGAACAACAAAGAGGGAGAGAGAGAGAGGAGCGAACAGATAGAAACAGATATGAGCAGCACAATGTATACATATTTGCAAATATTCAGAGAGAGAGAGAGAAAGACAACGCTAAAAGTCGATCTGGAAAAACTCGTTTTTTTCAGATGGGGTAATTAGGTATGTGGTAAGACTACGGTCTTAACAAAGTTTCTACTGAATTGTTTTAGATGAATTGCATTAAAAAAAACATAAGGTAGAAATTATTTTTTGGTGTTTCCTTGTGCTGAATCGAACACAATGTCAAACTTTTGATAAGCGAATCGAGCGATGACACGAAGTTGCTCGTCAATCATCCATGAATCGATTTGATTGGAATAAACTCTCACCCGACGAATTCGAGCGTCTACAAGAATACATATCATGTAAGTTAACTTCGCTTTTCGAAAGACTCTTCGTATCGAATGTCTATATAGATGCACCGAAGAAGGTCAAAGATGTTGTTGCTATACTTCAACAAGATCCATCTTGGTTAGCTCATCGATATGACGAGGTATATTGTCGAATGTCTATTAACCATACATTTGTTTTGATTTTGCCTCTTTTTTCTATGTTTCTAGCAACTAGATTATCAAGGTTTTCGGCAATTTCTTGAATTACTCTTTGATAATTCCGATATACCAGAAGATTTATGCCGACATCTATTTCTGTCATTTATCAAAAAACCAGCTCTTACTCTGTCAATCGATGCTTCATCACCGATTAATGCTCTTCCACAAATTACTGCCGCGATACCGGCAACAGCAAATCCAAATTTATCATTTGGCACACTACCATCGCCGACAAATGTAACAGCAACACCTCTACTACCTTCACCTTCGACTGCTACGTCAACACCCAATCGAGCATTTGAAATTGCCGATAAATTACCTAGTCTTTCATTTCTACCCGACAGATTCTTTCGAAGCAAACGAAATCCAGCTAATTTCACGGACGAGAACGGTACCAATGGAACGAATGAGAATAAAAATCGAACTGGTAAGACAACTCATGTTTGATTGATAAGAATACACATTCTAATCTAATTTGTAGGTATCTGTCATTCAGCTAAGGGAACTCTTATGCGCCGAGGTAATTCCCATGATCAACATTATGATTCATCAGGGAATTCTCGACAATCATCCAGAAAATCTAATCCATCAATCCATTCGATCCATTCATTACATAACAATGGTAAAGGCAGAAAGAACTTTCCTTTCCGGATATGATTTACAATTTCGATAAAACTTTTAGTCATAACCACAGTTACTCCTGACGATCCCTGGGTGATTCGAACATCTTTATCTCAATTGCTGAGCATGATATCTGGTAATGATTCCACACGTGCCAGTCATCATCATAACAATCATAATCATAATCAGACAACTGCCCAATCGAGAGTGCAATTAGAGCAAGAGATCGATGTTAAGACAGTACGAATACAATTCAAAGATATCATTTGTTATTTTTCCTTACTGGAAGGAGGAACACCTGAACAAAAACTCGAATGTAAATACATCTTATCGTCCGAAGATCGTAAACTGTACGCTTGCTTTCCTCCTTCGTTTTAGTTATGTTTATGTTATATGATGAAGATAGTAATGGAATATTGGACAAACAGGTTTGCAGAAATCGAATTGAATGAAGCTGATTGTCAATATTTTCTTGTCTATTAAGGAAACTGATTCGATTGTTAATCAAATGATGAATGTAGCTGAGTATTTGGGTTGGGATGTATCCGAATTAAGACCAGTAAGATCTAATGAAATTTTTTTCTTAATCGATACATACAAATATGCATATATAAATACAATATTTACGTTTGACTAGATTCTCGAAGCTATGATGAAAGAAATCGATTATGACAATGATGGTGCTGTGACGTTAGAAGAATGGAAACGTGGAGGACTAACCACAGTACCTTTACTAGTTCTACTAGGACTGGATTCGGTATGGATTGCTAGAAATATCAATGAAACGATCGTGTTCGTTGATTTTATTTGTAGAACGTCAAAGACGATGGAACGCACTCATGGAAATTGAAACATTTTAACAAACCAGCATATTGCAATCTTTGTCTAACAATGCTAGTTGGTTTAGGCAAACAAGGTTTATGTTGTACATGTAAATCGATTTATATTTCGATGATCGTAGAAGAAGGTGAATTGTTTGACTTTTTCTTTACTGTAGTTTGCCGATATGTTGTGCATGAACGATGTGCGAATCGGGCACCGGCGAACTGCATATCAACGTATATGAAAACACGTAAAGTGGAGACGACAATGTTACATCATTGGATCGAAGGCAATTGCCCAGGAAAGTGAGTAGAATAGATGAAAACACAATTTTCAAAATCTTATGAAAATTATCCTTCAAGGTGTGATCGATGCAGAAAATCTATTAAAACGTATAATGGTATCACTGGTCTGCATTGTCGTTGGTGTCAAATGACATTGCATAATAAATGTGCCTCACAATTAAAGCCTGAATGTACATTGGGTCCAAATCGAGATCATATTATTCCACCTACCTGCATATGTCCAGCTGTTTTAGTAAGAATCATATGAAAAACGAGTTTCGTCGAGTGAGAGAGAACGATGATTTAGGAACGACCAAAAGCTCTACGAAATGGAAATGGCCTTAAACGGGAAGAATCATGTGTCGAAGGATCCATTCAGTCATTTCAAATCAATCCATTACCGAATACACATCCATTGCTGATTTTCATTAATCCAAAGTCCGGCGGCAAGCAAGGAGAACGGTAAGCATACAACTAAACTTAATTCGATTAGGAAAATTCATTACATGTAATTTTAGTATCATGCGCAAGTTTCAATTTTTATTGAACCCTCGTCAAGTTTTTAACCTAACCAAGAATGGACCAATGCCTGGGTAAGTTCCATTCAGGCAACTATTTTCTTTATTCGTTTTCGTTCTCTTCATCCAGATTACAATTCTTCAAAGATGTTGAAGACTTCCGGGTACTATGTTGTGGTGGCGATGGAACAGGTAAAAACAGCTTACAGTTTCATCACAGTAAATACATCCTTTGCCTTCTAGTTGGATGGGTACTTGATGTCATGGATAAAGTACCGTTTGTTCGTCGAGCACCGGTGGCTGTTCTCCCTCTAGGTACAGGAAATGATTTAGCTCGATGTCTAGCATGGGGTGGTGGATATGAAAATGAAAGCTTAAATAAGATCTTAAAGAAAGTTTCACAAGCACCGGTGATCATGCTTGACCGATGGCAAATCGAATTCAGTACACGAACCGATACAGACGAAAAAGGCGATGATATTCCATATAACATAATAAACAATTATTTCTCGATCGGTGTTGTAAGTACTCGAAATGACTTCGATGGAAAGTTGATTTTTCATCTCTAGGATGCTTCAATTGCACATCGATTTCATTTAATGCGTGAAAAACATCCGGAAAAATTTAGTAGCAGGTTAGAATATTCTTACAGTTAATAATGATGATGTCTCAAAGGAAATATTTGATTTTTTCAGGATGAAAAATAGATTATGGTATTTAGAATTCGGCACGTCCGAAGCGATTTTTTCTACATGTAAAAACTTACATGAAAATATTGATATTATGGTAAGTATTCGTGTATGTTACTCATACTTAGCTATGTATTATCTCATATATGTAGTGTGATGGTGTTTCACTGGATTTATCGAATGGACCATCTTTAGAAGGCATTGCTTTGTTGAATATTCCGAGTATTTATGGTGGAATTTCCTTATGGGGTGAAGGCAATCGACATAAAAGTCGTAAAACACCCATCAGTTTCCAGCGCAAAGATTCGTATGTGTCAAAAGCGAATTGACTATTTCATGTTTTTGTTACATTTTCAGGGAATTTTCAACAAGTTCAACGTCAGATATGACATTTGTTTTGCAAGGTAAATCAATCTTGTTCTGATTTAAATAAAATCTCATTTGTTGAAGATGTGGGCGACAAATTGATCGAAGTAGTTGGTGTTCAATCAGCTATTCATGCTGGTTCGATTTACGCAGGTGTTCGTTCAAGTGCTAAACGTCTCGGTCAATGCTCATCAGTTGTGATCAGGTTAGGCAAAAGATTTCGTTTGATTTTTGTGTTTTTATTTATCTACTGATGTAATAGAACTCGAAAAAGTTTTCCGATGCAAATCGATGGTGAACCTTGGCTTCAACCTCCATGTACAATTTCAATCACGCATAAAAATCAAGTTCCAATGTTAATGGCACCTCGAAAAGAACATCGAAATAGCCTATGGAGTTTATTTAAAAAATAATCACTCGGGATAATTGTGATAATCTGATCATGATGAATAGAAAACACGCACACATACATATGAAACTATGAAACATCCGTTTCTTTCTTCCTTCGTTCTCCTTGTCATTATCTTCTATTTCTAAACAGTGATGGTTCTAGTCTGATAGATATTATTCTAATTATTAATCTCAATCACGCGAAAAAACTTTCGATGTGCGCTTGTGTCGTGTGTCATCTTCTGCCGATTAAGTTCGTATCTATGCCAAAGCAGCTTAGCAGTTGGTAGTCTCTTGATGTGGATTGTGTTGTTTTCCTTTTCATTTTATCTTTTCGAAATTCATTTTATGTATATGTCTTATTGTATTTTTGTTTTCTTCTTCCTCAAAGAAAAACATACGTACACATGCACACACAGAGATACAAAAAAAAACAACAGTTAACTCAATGTGGACATGCACGGAAAAGTTGTACAGGATCAGTGGATGATTTGCGCAAATCAAGTAATTGATTTGGCCCGCTAGTTTTTGATAGTGAATCCAATCGGGCTTGATTTGTTGATTTGAATAAAAGTAAAACACTCAATGGTAATAGAATTAGATAGATCATGAAGAGAATTCGATCGATAAACATGGCGATTTCTTTTACGGATCGTCTGTCTTTCGTTTGAGGAGAAAATATCGGATGAGAAAAGTCTAATGTTGCGCCTGTACGAAGTGAATTTCGTCGTACAAATAAGTTCATCAATGCTTGTCGAAAATATCGAATATCATGAAGTAATTCAATGGCATCAACATCGGTTTGTTCAGGCAAATTTTCGCGCATATTTCGACGTCTTTTCAGGAATCTCCATCGTTGTTTATTCAGTTCAATTAACGATTTATGAACATTGAATACAATACTTTTCTTCCGTTTGCGATGTTTTGGTTGAAACGAATACTGATGATGATAATACGTAAAAACAGTAAATGTATTAAATACACACGAGAGAAAAACGAGAAAGAATATTGCATTGGAATACAATGTTAATGTACAAATGCCTTGTTCAGTTTTGGGAACATAACTTGAAATTAATTGAACATAGAAAACCAAGGATAAGAGCACACTGACGGTCAGAGCAATTTTCTCTCCACTGTCGGTTGGTAAACAAAATGAAAAGACAGCGAGTGCAGAGATAATAAAAAATGGTACAATGATCTTCAGAATATAAAAACGAGAATAACGTACGAGCTCAATATCGATTTGCAACGTACTGAAATCACTCCGATAATAAACGTTGTATAAGTCTAATTCTTTGATTGCTACATGAGAGATTTCCCATTCGGTCGTTATGTAATTATACAAACGTACGACGTTGTACAAACTGCGTAGTTTTACTTGACTCGAATCGTAGACGCTCGATTGAAGTTGGATTGAACAATGTTGACGATCAAATGGAAAGTTTCGAACATCGATTTCACAGAATGAAACGAGTTTTTCTTGATAAGACCAACGAACATTCCCCGTGCAAACGACGGATATCGGATATTGAAGCTTCAATTCTTTTGTTGATTGTCGCGGCCCATTGATAGCAAGAATATCTGGTGTCCAGATTTCATGTGCCGCGAAGAATATTTCCGATCGATTACGTTTAATACACGCTTGTTCAGTCGAATTCCATTGTAAAAGATCATCGCACCATTTCAGATCAAAGTTGACATTCAACGTGATTACCTTGAATAACAAAATAGATGAGTCGAGAATTGAGTTGTTCAGAAACGAGTAATGACTTGATTATCGAGAGATTATTGCTCATATGTGAACTATCGAGAAAATCATTATGTCATACCCTGAAGATATATCTCTCTTCGTCGTCTTCTTTTTTATTAGATCGATATATTATTTATCATCGTTATCTCGTCTCTAGCTAGTCGAGGTTATAAATCATAGTTATCTTTTCACTCAGATAGACAGGTGATGGAAAACTTTGCTCTTGGATCAATGAAATGATATCGGTACATGTTTCACTACGATGATTGATCGATAGACAAACCTGCTTTTGCGGATCTAATCCTGCTACTTCAATAATCCCCAGGCCGATCGCTACCGTCGTTCGACTGCTGTTTTTCGTAAATGGTCTGGTTAAAACATGATCTTCGTAAAGTCTTGCAATTCGATTTCGGTTCTCTTCGATAACACTGTATTTCCTGGCATATGTTGTCATTAGTAGAGTAGTTAACATGATTGAACGAAGAAATTCATATGTCGCCGGCATTCTGTGACTATTCTCTTGTGATCAAATGAGATCGATTGAAGAACTGCAGAAAAAGCTCTTCTAACATTTCCATAATCTCATAAAAAACATGACGGCGTTTGTTCGAACCGAAAGGGTAGCTCCGAGCAGATTGCAAATGTAGACAAAAGAGACAAACATATTGTATTCCTATGCTGACAAGCATTCATATTCAGTCTTTTTTTAGATCCCTCTTGCTTTCATTTTCCAGGCGCACATAACAGAGTCCAGGATGATTCTCTTTGCTGCATTGCGTTCTCTTTCTTCTAATAAATCATTTCGTAACCGATTCCAATAAAGATATAATTGAATATAATATTCACTGATGTTCAGAATCTGAAACAAAGAAATACTTCAATCGGGCACTTGTGAAGTCACCTCATAAACAATAGCGTTGTATAATCAAGAGAAATTTTCAAATATCCTTCGACAAAAGATAAACTGGATGGACTATTTGCAGAGACTGACTTGCAAGTAAATTCAATTGTACTCTATCTGATTCAATGATCCTTTCACAAATTTGATTATTTAATGCAGAATAGTGAAGACGATCGTCCTCGAATAGGAACATGCAAACTTCTTGAAATTCACGGTCATGTAACATATGGTGAAAGATCTCCGCTTGTTTTGATTACAGTATTGAAATGCAACTCTGCGTGGAACACCCATGTATGTAGCCGATCGAATTGTATAGAGCTAATTATATAAATGACATTGTCAAAATTTTCAAAAGATCGATCAATTGCGTTTTTATTAGATAGACAGAGTAAAATGTACTCGTTAAGTAACTACTACTGAGTGTCTTCGGTATTTTTAGAAACCGAAAGATCAACTGTTTCGTTTAAGTAATGAATTAAAATTGTTTCACACGAACTGCTAACTGGAAGCCATCAGAAGAATGAAGTTATTCGCAAGTGTAAATAACGACTTCCTTTTGACACATCTGCTCTTTTAAATCATTTCGAATCAATGTAGTCCTTTTTGGTTTGATCAGTGTTGATAATATTCGATACGGAGCGTTGAACCTCTTATCTGATCTGTCTCTTAATTCAGTGCCGGTACAAACGTGCCAGAAAACCATCAATTGGAACTCATATGCAGATCAGACGCCGGATCTTTTACTGGATTGAGCAAACAGACTTGCAATGATCTCGAACGGTTTCTTGCGTATTAAACATAAAAAGAATGTACTGACTGTTGAAAAAAGAATTATTTCAAATACAAGAATTTTCGAAAATTCGGATACGAATTACATTCTGACCTTCGATTTCATAGTGCACTCGAGATTGATGTGAAGCCAGCATCAGAAAACGAAAAATCATTCAAAACTTTACGTTCAATCGCTTTCCCATTCATAAAAGTATCACCAGTCGATACGGAATATGATTCTGCGTCGAATGAAGTCACTCTCATGGATGGGAATCCATTTGAACATAAGATTTTGAATGATATTTCGTTTTCTCGTGCTAGCTTCACATCGATATCTTGGTTGACCTCTTCAATAAAGAGTGCATATTTGTTCTACTCTCTTATAAAATTTGGTTCCTTGTTGAATATTTGTCCACAAACTGATAAAACGATAAACAAACCAATGAAATTAGCCATATTGCTACGTATAATAACTAGAAGTACTATCTCATTTTAAAAAAGTCAACCTACTGCAATGCAATTAACAACTCAGCTGAATACACATGCACACACACAGATTAAAAGTGCGGCCATTAAAGTATCATTAGGTGTCTTCGATGTTTTAAAGAGAATAAAGGATTAAGTATTTTATATAAATACTAAATTGAAGTTATTCTACACAAATTAATACGTAAAGGTCGTGATCGAAAACATGAAGTTGTTCACAAATATAGGTAATGATTTCTATTCGATAGACTACTTTCATTGTATAACTGTTTCTTTCCAATTAGTCGCGATCAACGTAATTCTACTCGGATTGCTCAGTGGCTGTAAGATTCCATGTTGAATGTTAGTGTATTATCTAAATGGATCCTTTTTTTGTTAGTATCGGCACAAATGTATCAGAAAGCCATCGATTGGAATAAATATTCTCATCAGGAAAAGTACACGGATGTTATGGCTAGATCTGACTTCGGATCGGTTACTGGATGGAATATCAATCGCGCAATGATCTCGAATGGTGCATTACGTATTACGGTTGAGAAAAACGCTCTATCCGGTGCTGGAGGACTTATTTCGAACACAAAACTTCCTGAAGGTTCGGCGTACGAGTTGGATTTTGATGTTCGATTTCACAGTGAATTCAATTGGAGTCGTGGTGGGAAAGTAGGCTTCGGTCTTGGTATTGGAAATGGTAATACTGGTTGTAATTTACCAACTGATGGAGCTGGTGGTACGCTTCGTCTGATGTGGTATAACAATCCCACAACGAAACGAGTCTATTTCCATCCGTATGTTTATCACTACGGAATGCCTGGACCGTGTGGAAGTAATTTTGGTAAATCTTATCCGGCGACAGGTACGACAGAATGTTGAATTAGTACATTCAAATATTTAATTATATCCATTCGTTTTTGTGGCTATAGGTAGTATTGAGAGAGGTAGATGGTATAAAGTTCACATGTATGTGAAATCTAATACTGGATCGAACACTAATGGACATGTACAAATTAAAATCGATGGTGTCGCAGTGATTGATCAAAGTATTCGCTGGACAACAAATGATAGTAGACGACTTATCAATAATCTATCGTTTCACACGTAAACAAAGTCTTTCTCGTCACTTAGATCGAACAGGATCTCTTTTTTTCATTCTATAGATTTCGTGGTGGAAAAGGAGATGAATGGAAATCGGATAAGGATGGTTATATTTATTATGATAACTTGTCTGTTCGACAAATCAGTAAATAAAAATGACATTTACTGGCTGAACGAATAAATACGAATGGGAATTACGTCGAATTATTGAGTGAACGCGAAAATTCAGATGGTAAACGAATATGAAGTGTATTCTTTGTTTGTTGATCAGATCGAATTGTTAGGTTTGGATATCGTTCACAAACGTGTGGAATATAATTGAGGAGATTCTCGTGAGCATAGGTCGCCACTGAAGATGGTTCAATACGGATTGGTGTCGAAGAGGAGGCATAATGGTTTTGTAATGTATCTAGAAGCAAATGACGAATGTTCATGGAGACCGGTTGACCAACAAGAACGTGTTCATTAGAAATATCGATTAGAAACATATCAATCGGTGTTGAGGCAGACTTTTTGATTAAACGAGTTTGATCGTCGTGATTCGTTTCAAATAATTGCTCGGATTTTACATGTGTTATTGTTCGATATTCATCGCTGTGTTCAGTTGAAGTGTTATCAGAAATAGATGTTTCTCGAGACTGAACTGTACTCAGAGTTGAAGGTATAATAAATGCCTCCCTGCAATTGTACGCTTGAGCAACGTATGGATTAGAAGAATATTCATTGTTGATGGCGTATGTTTCGTTGAAGGGTACACAGACAGGCGTTGAGACACGTGGAAAGTGTGAGAAATTTAGCATCTGTTGATGATATGGGATATAATAAGGATAAGGAAATCCATACGTCTTGATGGGTTCGCGAGTGATTGCCGAACATTGTGTAATCTCGGTTGACGGTATCGCTGGCTTAGTGATCGCTGAAATCTTCGTTTCGGCAGGAGTTTTCGAAACCATGTCATGAATACTATTCCGTTTTCTCTGTTTACACATTGATAATACTAAACCCATATGTGACTTAAATGTTTAAGTCGATTGTATCAAACGAAGGTAATTTTTCGTCTAATAATGTTACAAAATAGCATCTAAATCGGCCATGCACCTTTCGTTAAAAAAAAGGCGAGCAGAAGAGAAGACACGCTCATCTCACGCAGGTATATTTATAGACTCAACAACAAACATATGGCAATATATCCGTACATTGCTGATGACATTCAATACCGAATTACCTAAATTTCAGTCATCTATTCGATCGTATCAGAATATAAAAACGTGTTTATTTGTCGATTAAATTTTTGCCAGCCAAGTTTAGGAATAATAATTTGCGTGAACTTTCGATAAATCCTCTGGAAGATCAGAGTTTCTGTCAATAATGTTTCGGTTTAAAACTTCATTGAATAAGAAATACGATGCATTCTGCACTTTTTGTTCTTGGGAGGCATATACGATAATCCCAATACTAATACTTTCAACCAGCGTCCTCTACAGGAAATTTGTAATCTTTGTGTAGAGGTTAACAAACAATGACTCAAGATGACGAGTGAATTTTCATTATTAACTGGCTGATTGTATTTGTCCTGCTTTCATTGTTTTTTTTTCTTATATAGACGAGAAGTGTCTAGAACTAATATGGCAGAAGAAGAGTGAGAATTTTGGGCTGTTCTGCTGCTATTTCTACTGTCACTTGCTTTTTAAAAGTCTAATTTGCTCTCTGGGAGGTCGATTTGCACTATTCGATTCTTTTCAAGCATAAAATATGGATTTTTCAGTATTTTACATCAGTTCCAATCGATTAAAAAAAACGTTTTCGTCTATTATTATCAGCAAGACTTTTGGCTTTCCTAATTTTTTTGTGAATCTCTTGCTTGTGAATAACTATTTAACATTTTTCCAGAACTATGGCTCCACTACACGGTGAGAAGAAAGATGAACGTGTTAACATTCGTATCAACGACGCATCAGCTAATGCTATTCATAAAGCAGCTGTAACACGCGATTATATCAAGCAACCACGCCTAAGTAATAAGCGACTTGAAGAATAACATTTTCTTATCTGATATGTTTGGTTATCTTTTAGCATATAAAACTGTTGTTGGTGTCAATGGTCCATTGGTCATTTTAGATAACGTCAAATTTCCAAAATTTGCGGAAATCGTCAACTTAACATTACCCGATGGCAGTGTGCGTAGCGGACAAATTCTCGAAGTATCAGGATCGAAAGCTGTTGTTCAAGTCTTCGAAGGCACGGCAGGCATTGATGCTAAGTATACAACAGTAGAATTTACCGGTGACATTTTACGTACACCTGTCTCGGAAGATATGCTTGGTCGAATTTTCAATGGTTCAGGAAAGCCCATTGACCGTGGTCCATCAGTTCTTGCAGAAGATTATTTAGATATTAACGGTACACTTGATTGGTCGAAATAAAACTGAGGAATTGTATATGTTTTTTTTCATCAAGGTGAACCTATCAATCCATTTTCACGAGAATATCCAGAAGAAATGATCCAGACAGGTATATCAGCCATTGATGTCATGAATAGTATTGCTCGTGGTCAGAAGATTCCAATTTTTTCTGCGGCTGGTTTACCACATAATGATGTATGATACTTTGTGAGACATATTGAAGTTTTATCGAAGTTAATTTAGATCGCTGCACAAATCTGTCGTCAAGCTGGTCTCGTTAAACATGCCAAAGGCACTTCGGATAGTGACGACAATTTTGCTATCGTATTCGCTGCTATGGGTGTAAGTATTAATTTTGATTCTAAAGATTCGAAGTAAGCTGTCGATGACTTTACAGGTAAATATGGAAACGGCTCGTTTTTTCAAACAAGATTTCGAAGAGAATGGTTCCATGGAAAATGTTTGTTTATTCTTAAACTTAGCTAATGATCCAACGTAAGCACGATGTTCATTGGCTTCATTTAGTTTTTGGAAAATGTGTTTTTCTTCTCATCAATAGAATCGAACGTATCATTACACCACGTATCGCATTGACAACTGCAGAATTTCTTGCTTATCAATGTGATAAGCACGTTCTGGTTATTTTGACAGATATGAGTTCATACGCTGAAGCTCTACGAGAAGTTTCCGCTGCTCGAGAAGAAGTTCCAGGTCGTCGTGGTTTTCCCGGTTATATGTATACAGATTTAGCAACTATCTACGAACGTGCTGGACGTGTAGCTGGTCGTCATGGTTCGATTACACAAATTCCTATCTTGTCTATGCCTAACGATGGTAGATAACATTCGAGCATAGTACAGCGCCTTTCTCTATACAATATTTTCTTTCGATTAGATATCACCCACCCCATTCCTGATTTGACAGGTTATATTACCGAAGGACAAATTTATGTCGATCGGCAGTTACATAACCGACAGGTAATACTAGATCTAAATGTCTCATTAGTGACACCTATGTACAATTAATAGATCTATCCGCCGATCAACGTGTTACCGTCGTTATCGCGTTTAATGAAATCAGCTATTGGTGAAGGCATGACACGAAAGGACCATGCTGATGTATCTAACCAATTGGTAAATGTTTTACTTTTGAATGTTAATCGAATATGCTTATTGAACCGTTCTTGTTTAGTATGCGAACTATGCTATTGGAAAAGATATTGCTGCTATGAAGGCTGTTGTCGGCGAAGAAGCTTTGTCTTCGGACGATCTGTTGTACTTGGAATTTTTAGGCAAATTCGAAAAGAACTTTCTTACTCAGGGTATTTATTAGTTTAATATATGCATCGCACATCGAGTTCTCATGTGATGATTTAGGTGCCTATGAAAATCGAACAATCGCAGATTCATTGGATGTATGTTGGCAATTACTTCGAACATTTCCACGTGAAATGCTCAAACGTATTCCACATAATATCCTCCAAGAATTCTATCCACGTGACGGTGGTAAACATCTTCAACAAGCAACAACGACTGCATAACACTGATCTATTTACGCATTTCTATCGTTTGAAAGCATCAAAATCCTCTCGATACACTTACATTGAATTGTGCAATACCTTCTATGTGGACACGTATTCGTTTGTAAAACACCGGTTGCCTTTTCCTGTCGATATTCTCTACTATTCCGATTGTCAATGTGATTTTACTCCATAATTTATTTCATTTGATGTTATCTTCCCTTACAAATATACATGTACTCAATTTTAGTTTTTTTTCCTCTTTCCTTCATGTAATTCTTAACTTATTTTCCTAGCTTATATATTACATCATTAATTACGCAAGACGCATCATTTCGACATTTTTCTCGTTCTTTTAGATTCTTAAGAACTTGTGCGTTTCCATAAAAGCATAAGCAATTCGATTGGCAGATCGTTTATTTAGTGCGCTAAAGAATTTATAAATCGTTTCTTATCGTATGACAGATCACGACGTTATTCAACTTCGCTCAGCTGATCCGTTCGCAGATGTGGCCGGTCAAAACTTAACGGATCTTGGATCTGGTGGAGCGGGTGTCCAACGAAGTTCCAATTTAATCCATATACGTGTCCAACAACGAAACGGACGGAAGACTTTAACTACCGTTCAAGTAGGAAAATCTCTCTCTCACTTTGAACTTGTCATCACTTCTCTTCTTCTGTGTAGGGCATCGGGGAAGAGTTCGACAAGAAACGTCTCCTGCGTGCATTCAAAAAGAAATTTGCATGTAATGGTACGGTCATTGACAATGATGAATATGGTGAAGTAATTCAACTTCAAGGCGATCAACGAACGCATGTCAGTGAATTTCTTCTCGAAATTGGAATTTGCAAAGAAGAGCAATTGAAAGTTCACGGTTTTTGAATACGAATCCATTGTATCATTCATAATCGTCGACATTGACATTGATTCCTATTTAACATAAACATTTGTTTGTCTCTACATCGTTTATTCATGCGTTCGTTTCCTTTTCTCTTGTTTGTCTATAGTGACTTTCATTTATTCACAAGAAATACACACATATATCTCCATCTCAATGCACCATCTAACATTTTTGAATTTCAGAAAATTCGAAAAAGAAAAGAAAAATGACTGAAAAGCAGACGTCTATGTTAACTGATGACGAGGCCACGCTCTATGATCGACAAATTCGATTGTGGGGCGCAGATGCTCAATTAAAGTAACATCCAATTTATCATTTGTTTGATTTATGTTCTTCTTTTCGTTAAATAGACTTCGCCAATCGCGTCTTCTATTAATCAATGTTAACAGTTTATCACTTGAAGTGTGCAAGAATCTCTGCTTAGCCGGTGTTGCCAGTATTACCGTCTTTGACAACACGCATGTCACAGCTGAAGATGTTGAAGAGAATTTAACGTTAACAATGTCCGCGAACGATATCAATGAATCGAAATCTGTTTGTACATGTCGTGTTTTACAACAATTGAATCCACGAGTACAACTGACAGCTGAATCGACAATGACCATAGATCAAATCGATGAGAAATATATCGAACAATTCGATTACGTTTGCTTATTTAATCATTATGATCTTGCAATGATTTCACATTTGAACAAGCTCTGTCGTGGACAACAGCAAATAGATGAAAATGGAAAGAAACAAGTTCATTTCTTCTGTGCGGGAACGTTTGGATTGTATGGATTTGTATTCAAAGATCTTGGTGATGTTTATGAATATCTTAGGTACACACATTCTTACCGCTGGGAAAGAAAAGTCTATAGATTTCTTTTCCGTTTAGCGAAAATACTGTTGGAAGCGAATCATTGGTCAGAGGTGATAGTAACAATGAATCGAAAAAAAATGAAAAAATTACAACTAAATCTGTAAGGTATCTCTATGTATACATCCTAAATTTAACTTTTTTTGTGTTCAAGAGTCGGAACTTCGTTTCTTTCGAAAAAGCATTAACTACCGAGTGGAAACCCAATCGACGACAAGCAACGACACGATCAGCGATAACAACATACAACATATTACGAGGTACAAACTTAATCCTGATGAGATAATTATTGTATGATTCTTTCGTAGCTCTCTTGACATTCTATAAAACTCATCACAGATCACCGACATTGGCAACGCAAGATGTCGATATAGCGAATCTATTGAGCATCCTTCGAGAACAATCGAGTTCGTTCACAGCTTCTGCTTCAACATCAAACAACAATGACGAACTAAATGAAGAACTACTCAAGTAAAACAGTACATCAGTTTTCGTTCGTTATCAAAGAAGTTGCTTTTAGGGATATCTTAACAGATAATAATGCAGTGGCGTCTATTGTTGGTGGTATAATGAGTCATGATATTGTCAAAGTAAATATGGATTTGTCGTTTTAATATGATTAATTAGAATTTTCTTTAGGCAATCTCAAAGCAAGAACCAAAAGATAATTTCTTCTTCTTTAACGGAGTAGCTTGCGTCGGCTTATCCATTCCAATTGCTTGTTGAATTTTCTTCTTTTGTAACCTGTGGATATATTTTCTTTCTTTTCTTGTTAAAATTGAAAAAAGACAGCAGACAGAATAAAATTCAGTAGTTCAATACAAACAACATTCAATCAATCATTTGCTGGACTAGATTTAGTTACTGAAACCGAACTGAAGTATTAAGCGTTTTTACGAAGACCAAGTAAAGGTATCAGAATGACTAAAATAACAACGCCAATGACGACAGCAATAGAAACGAAGATTGTCACTTTCTAGAGAAAAAGAAGCTCGAAATGAATAGGCAAAGACATACAAACGAGGAAAACTTACTCGCCGTGTGATAGTTCGTGATGTTGGATCAACCACTGGCCGTTCATCTTGCGTAGTTCCTCCTTCGATGAACGCGGTATCAGCATCGAGTGTATCTCGATCATTTCTTAATTCCTAGAAAGATAGAATTATATCATGAAGCTCTATTAGAATCAGCAAATGCAATTTCCATACATTAGCCGTCAACGTATTATTTGTACGTTCGATCATCTTCGCCTCGATGTTTCTGGTCAGCTATGTCAATTTTGTGAGCGTAGAAACAAATCTCATCATGAATGTTGCAGATAGAAACGCGAATATGTCATTCTGGCACTTTCTACTTCTTATCGTATGTCGAGAAGAAGCTCACGGGATTGGTCAACTCCATATGTCTGATGTCGTTGCTTTCTTTTTCCTTTCTCTCTCTCTCGCTCTGCTTCCGGTGCCAAGCGTTTATATAGAACTCTTTTGTTTGCCTGCGGATCATTTATCATCGAATTTTGACGCAGTTCTAAAGATTTTCAAATGTCCATGATTACATCGAGTTTTGAACATGATTTATGTTGCTTTCAATCACTGACACACGAAAGCTTCTATGCATGATTTCAAAAGAAAGACAATGGATATCAGAAAGAAAAAGAAGAAAGAAATGAGTTTTTTTCTTCTTCTTTGTGCTGTTCTCTTTCTTTGCGTAAGAATTATTCTGAGTGAATGGTAGAAAGCTTCAGTTGGGTAGAATAACCATCGTTGCTTCTCTTCTAGCATTATGTCATCGACAGAGAATCGCCTATCATTTGCTTTTGTACACAAAGTGCCACGCTGTCATTTTCTGATCAATGCAGTTGTTTCTTATAGGAAAAAGAAAAACTAGTTCGTTTTTCAATTGCTATTTCGAAAAAGAGAACGAAAAAGTGAAAAGTCAATATGAGTGCCAGAAGTGCTTTGTATATATAGGAATCAGTAAAAAAAATTGTGCATACAGTTTGTCCTCTTTTCTGTTCGGTAGATTTTATTTTGTCTGCAAGTTTTGTTTTAAACGAAAGAATGACGACGTTTGCTCGAGCAGTGCTTTATTGTAAGTAATAAAATTTTGTGTAAATGATGAATTATTTCAAATTTGTCTATAGTTTTCATCGTTTATCTTCTCATACTTTATCAATCAGTGAATTGCGATTACACAGTTGATTCAGTCTCATCAGTGGACAGTTTCAGTTCAACCGTAGCGCACAACATTACAACTTACTCTCCTACAATCGTACCAACTACTTCAACAACAAATAAATCGAATACAAGTTCTTTAACAACTACATCAATAACTTCTGTTACTTCGACGACGACGATCACGGCGACAATAACAACAGAGGCAGTAGAAACAACCATTAATACCTCTGAGTATTCACAATCAACTACTACTCCTGTTACGTCTACGCCCGTCCTTCCTCAAGGTAAGTTAATCATTGAGCTAGTAAATAAAAAAAACCTACTAAACGAAACAAGAATACGATAGCTTTCAGGCATCTATATTTATACTCGGAAATCTGAATTAAATAACATATTAGTTCGTCTCTTTCGTTCCTTTTTAGCACGATCGGAACCTGGCTGGTGGTTATTTATTGCTCTTGTGCTAACAATAGTTATTGTCGTCATTGCTGGTGTTATTTTCTATAATCGACAACAATCTCCGTATCGACGGTAAGAGAAAAAGAAGCGATCTAATATGTCAATAATTCCTTATGTGGTTTCACATAAGAACAGCTTTGTTAAAGATTAATGTTGACATAACCGTTACAGGGAAAACAAGTTTCGTTAGACATTCGCACTAATAACATCTTTTGACAATTATGACAAACGAAAAAGATGTTTCATAACTTATTTTTAGATCGATGTCCTGTTTACAATGGTTTAGACAGTGCAATCTCAGGTATATCATATTAGATAGTTGCATTTTCCTAATATCTCTCCTTGTCTCGATTGTTCTTCATAATATTTAACAACACATCAGACCACGTGTCTCCTTAAATCTTCAGAATGTATGTCATTGCCAAGCAAATCTTTCTTTTTTCCATAGATTTCTTCAAAATTGGCGTTCGCATGACGATGATACTGATAACATTATTTTACAACTTGAACCGTCTGATGTTAGTAATGATCAGTGGCCATCTCGAATCTCATTTAATTAAATGTTCGATTATTCGTGTAGATATATCTTTGTTACACATATTCAATAAATATTTTGTTACTACATGTCAGTTTTAAAAGCAATCTTCATCCGTTTCTGTGGAATGCGGAAAAGAACGAGAAATGTTCCATTTCGTGGTGCAAAGACGAACTACGTCAGATGAGATGTTGAAACTTGTAAGATTTTTTTAGACAAAAGAAAGAAAAGCATCATAATAAACATGATCAAATAAAAAGACGGAAAATCATAGTCGATAAGTTCTCTTCTTCTCGGAAACTCGAAAAAAACAACGACGACAACAACAACAACAAATGTTTAGTTGGACGTGTCCATCTGCACGAACAAATTTGCCTAGAAGGAAAAAAGGAGGGATGAAATTCATCAGATCACAGGTTGACAAATAACAAAGAAAATCACAACGAGACGGACAGAAACGTTCACAACTAGCACTAGGTTGATGATAGGCGAAGACGAAGTGTTTTTTGTTTGGTTGTTAGACACACCCGAATCTGTATGAAAGATTCCAGGTAGCCTAACGTGAATGCCCGTCGAGTCGATGAACGCATGGCAAGTTGGCTTAATTGCAAAGTTAAATTCGATGTTTGAGGATCTTCCTGATTGTCCTTTGTCGAAGATCCGCTAGAACTAGTGTTCTCATCCGCTTTCGATTTTGATCTAGAAGACAAATCTTAGTAGAATAGAATTTATTCGAAGCAAATTATCTTACTTATTTGTTGATTGATCACTGTTTACATCAAGTTGTTTTTCTAATCGTTCGTAATCATTGGCGTTCAACTGGCCATGTTTACGGAGATATGTTTCGTATTTCTGAATATTTTCAATCACTTGTGTCCATTGGTCATTGTATAAAACTTCAATTTTTTCTAATTGACTCCACAGTTTGATTTCATCCGGATTTTCAACTGTTTCTGATTGTTGGTCACCTCCTTTCTTCTTCGATTTCTTCGAATTCAATGTACGATTATCTGCCGACTCACTACCTTCGACTAACAAAGCTGTTTTGTTGAACAAAGCAGCGAAGATCAGTCGAATCGATAGATATAAACCATACGTATATGAAGTAAATTCTGTGTAAACAGAATAATATTCAATCGGTGACTGTTTGCCAGCGAGATCGTTCAGAAAATCTGCTGTTTCATCGTTAGTTGCTGTACATCGTTTTTGAAACAGAGTCTTTTGCAATGCTTGAACAAGTAATTGATAAGATCGCTCCAATTGTTTGATGATATCATTGATGTGTTGTTCAATTTTATCATAGGCGATCTTCACATTCGATAAGGAGATTTTCGTTAAAGTTGGTGCAGCTTCTGCTGTTTTATTCAACGTTATTCCATCGAGAAGCAGTTGAATAAACAATGGGATCGCTTGGTAAAGTTCTAAATCAACAATTGTTTGAAGCTCACATGGTGTGATGGTTTCCGTAGGATTCAATGCTTTCGTACATTGACTGTAATCCGCAAGAATTAATTTCAAGGTTTGAAATACTTCTTCATCGGGCATGTGAATCGCATCCGCGGACGATTTTCGGTCGACATATAATGTATGAAGCAGATTGAGTATGTTAGCGCGAAGATAGCAGAGAGCAACACGTTGTTGAAAGTCAACTGTTTGATATTGACGAAGAAACGAATCTTTGTAAGAAGGTGATTGATATGATGATTGATCAGAATGTTCATTCAAGATTCGATCAGCATACGCTACCGTTTCATTCGGCGTCTCTTCTTTCTCAATCGAATTAAAACGTAATCGTCTACAATTAAACATCTGTGCAATGTTATCGAAACGGAATTTCCGCTTACCGATGATCAATCTTTGGCCAGATATCGTAATCTCGTGTGTCTTGAACTCTATAAACCTCATTTGTATTTGTTTTATAGAATAGTCCATGTAGTGATTGTTTATTTTTCTGTTTATGTTCGAATAGAACTTGATTCGATGGGTGTTTCAATAGAGTACTTATTGATCGATATCGATTTCCATTTTGAATGAAATCAACGACCAGTGCACCAATCAAAGCTTGAAAATAAATCAATGAATAACTGAGATAACAGTCGGAAAATATGCGAATCTCATTGATACGCAGAAAATTGCCATATTTGTAACAGAACATAATTTGACTCCATGAATCATCATTGTAAACAAGTAAAAGGTTGGTTAGATAGTTGCATGAACTTCTGACATGACGATAGTTTGTATGAATACGCAGATAATGGTCAGTGAGAAGATAGCCAAGTGAATAATATTGAATGTTTTTGATCTCTAAACGTTCGAAGTAATCTTTCATGATTGTTAAACAATTGAAGTGTAAAGCCAGATTATAAATATAAAGTTTGACGTCGAAATTAGCGGAATCTTTATCGTGAACTCGATCTAGTAATGCATATATTTCCGACTTCGATTGTTTGGTTATATCAAGAATGTTTGCGATTAAAATAAATAATTCAATCGAATGTTCAGCAGATGTCGATGCTTGATTTGCTAGGTCGAATAAACGTTCAGTAAACGTTTTCCAATTGTCTTTTAGCCAAACATCATGTTTGTCTCCACATAGTCGAGCACAATAGAGAACATTTATTAGATATTGGACGTTATTTCGGGCAGTTTCCGATGTTATCTGTTCGATCAAATACGCATGAAGACGTGTTTGTTCTTCTGAAGAAAGATATTCTGATGCTCGATAGATATCATACATAACTAAGCTTGTTGTTTTTGATGAGTATGTCTGAATATATGATGTGAGTTGATCGAAGAACGTTTTAGAAAGATAGGTTGAAGCAAGTTCGGGTAGTACCAATGACTTGATGTTGTGTCGTGCGAGTTGCCATCGGAGACCAAATTCGATACGAGCTAGATGAATATTACGTAGATCAGTTGCCCCTTCGGGTGTCGCTAGAAAATTGATTTGAAAGACCGTTTTCATTTTCTATTGTCGAGAAAAAAATGGTCCTACTTAGAAGGAAATCATGAAGATCTTGAATCAGCTCTTGTTGCTTAGTTTGATCGAATTGAAAAAATGTATCGAATAAAACTTCGTACCAATTCCAAACGTAATTATCTTCTTTCAAGAAGTTCTTGGCTAACCGATACGTCTCATCGAACTGGCCAGCTTTGTAATTATATATCAATGGTTTTTCATGTGCAAAGTACGCGGGTAGCATAGATTCATTCGTGGCTGATTTGATTAAACCGTCCAAATGTTTCGTTAGAAAAGTCAATGCTTTGGGAAAATCTTTCTTCAATTCTAGTGTACATAGATAAAGTAAACACTCCATTTCACCATACGATTTAGTTTGTTGAGAATTCTCGTCGAAAAATTCTTTTTCGAGCATCTTCAATGCCATGGGAATATACAGTGTTTGTGCTAACTGAGCCGCATTTTCGTCGATTTGGAGAAGAACACTGATGACAGCCCAATTATAATAAGGAGTTTTTCGTGTTAGTTTGTAGAGTTTTTGAGCAGTTAACATCTGATTTTTGTAATCTTTCATGCGTACATAGGCCATGAATAATGAGCACAGGTATTCTTCACTATTTGGTTCACGTTTTGTTGCGTTGTCATAAAGCGAGACAACTTTGTCGTACTGCCGAAGATCTTTATAGTATTGAGAGAGAAATGTTAAAGTATTTTCATCAACATTCGATGCATCACCAATCGGAGCAGCATGCGTATGAGCCGAAGCGAGGGTATCTAATTCGTTTGCTAATGCACTTGCCTCATCATGTTTGTCGAGTTTCAGTAAGACAAGACATTTCAAAGCCTTACATGCGGTAAAATGAGCCTGTTTCTTCAGCAGTCGTTCGATTTCAGTCAATGCTTTACGATAGCTACGAAAGTAAAAAAAAACAATGAAAGATGAAATTTTTTATTAGCGAATTCAATTCATACTTGTGGATTTCCATAAAATCGTAAATAGGACGAAGTCGCCGTTCGTTAACTTCCAAACGTGGATTCGCGATACGTTGGGAGTCATTGTGATGCGATTGTGCTAATGTTCGGGGTGTGAGTGGTACTCCTGATGACATCTGAAGAAATTATCAAACAGTGAAATATCATAAATTGAGTTTCTATTCAACTTTCAGATATAAATATTCGACACAAGATAGACGTGAATGAGAACGAAAGATAAATAAATGCAAATACAAGAAGATAAGAATCACACATTAGAATATGTTGCTGTATTTTTAAAATACGAGTGTATATACAGGTAAATGTGGTGGATAACGATGATGACAAAAAAAAGATCTTTTTTCTTTCCAGTAAGTATAACTGATCGATTTTTCATTGCTGAGATTGGATAAACTACTGGTTTTACGAATTACGAACTTTGCCAGGAACATATTTCTCGTGATCGATGGTAGTCTCTTGGAGAAAAACGTGAAGAGAACGTTCATTTTGAGCCAATGGATGACCAGCGACTCTAGATGAATATAAAAATAGAATTACAAATCTGAGGATTAGGATTAACGTTGAATCTACTTATTAATAAATTGTTCAAGCCCTTTGCGTCGTTCATCAATGAAATCATCTTCAAAGATACCATCGTCCCGACGAAAAAATGCAGGCATTTGCCTTTTCCAAGCTTTTGTTGGTAGTGGCGGAACAACAATCTATCGGGAATTAATCGAACATAGCAAAACATTGATTCAATAATAGATCGACTTACTTTACTATCTCGTTCGAGCTCTTTTCGTAACCATTCAAAATCGGAATAACGTCGACGAACGGTACATTCTTTCAGACGAAAAACTGGTAGGTTCGTCTATAAAACAATAAGTTTTGTCGTATAAAATAAAATGTTGTACCATTGAGTTTTACCTTCATGCGAATTTCATAATCTGTATATCGTTTGCTTGCAAAGCCATGCGTTTCAGGATTGAGTACTTCAATTTCAAGAAAATTCGCCGGAGGATCATACCGATCTTCAAGAGAAATCTATGGTGCAAAAAGAAGAGAAGTACTTTCACAGAACAAAGAAGTCAAGTTGATCCTTACTGGACGTGTTGGTAAACGTGCAATTTCTCGACGATTCTCAGATTCGGTCACAGCCATGAATATCTAGAACAAACAAGTGATGCAAAAGAGAAGAAAGTACGATAAATAAATACATCGCATTCGCATTCATAAGTCCATCATTCACTTATTTTCCTCTTCTATTTTTGTATGTGTGTATATATATGAAGTCATAAAATATCAACACTACTGACCTCTGGCGACGAAAAATCCGATTGGTGCGAACAATTTCATGATGAAATCAAACGAAAAATTAGAAGGAGGGTCAATCAACACTATAATTACAGCCAAGATCGTATCAAATTGCACTGTAAAATTTTGTTTTAAATTGATACATTCGTCGTAGTCCATTCATTTGCAATCAAAAGCTATGTCAACACGTAACTATCACATACTCGATTCTAAAACACCAGATCTTTGCTATTGAACGTTCGACTTTTCAGGTGTGCACATTCCTATTCAATATTTATTATGGTTTGCATATACATTACCAGGTCTAGCTCTCTTTACGTGCGTGGGACTGTCTTTAGTGAAAGATTTTGAGAAATCCACTCGAACACATTGCAATGTCTTTAATTTTCTCCCGTCAATCTCAGCATCGATTGGCGATTGTGAACCACAACGTTATATTTGGCGATTGTGCTTCGCATTAGATAGTATTCCTCGTTATCTGATTGCATATATGCAATTGATGCGTTTATTAAATCGTCATCATATGGGTTTAACTGAATTGTATCCATTTGTTCAAATAGGAAATAGTTGTCTTCATTTTCTTGAATTAACTTTTCTTCTTCTGTTAACATTTGTTTCATCGAATGAAATTAAATGGATTCACGAGTGTTCGTTTGTTGGTTTTATGATTTGTTCATTGTTACATATGTTGTTAACGGTCTTAATCGATTATTTCTGGCCACGAACGGCTCATGTTCGTTTAACTGATCAAGAATTAGCTACGCGTTCGAAACGATTGAGATGGTTTCTTATCAATATCTTTTCGTTTTTTATCTCGCTCTATTTCTACTTTCGACACAACAGCTCTTGTGAAGCTAATATCTATTCGATGTACTGTCTTTTTGAATATATTGTTGTACTAACAAATATTGCCTATCATTCTGTTGTCATGGATGAATGGGATCAAAATAACGGACAAATACAAATCTTTTTTTAAAAAATAAAATTCATTCATGAAATGGGCCAGTGTTTTCTTCTAGATTATGGCAGATAGTGAATTAAGCAGAAAGGAGAAGTATCGACAGGAAACCAAGGCAGATAGACGTACACGATTTAAAGAACGTCGACGACTAAAAGCTGAATCAAAGCTTGTTGGCTTTCGACAATCAACACATTATATTGACTCGGAATTAACGTGTGATTCAATATATTATGTTGATCCTCAATCTCCTAAGTTACGCAAAGTACATCCGTATTTTTTTACTTGGATAACACATGCGAAAGAGCGATGGTATAACCGAACAATCGCCGACGTTTTCCAATATGAGTTTCGTCGTTCTATATTGAAACAAAATTTCGAGGATATCATACGAAATGGTCTAGTACGTATCAATGGGCAGTGTGTAGACAAAGACTACATCATTCAAAATGGCGATAAACTCGAACATTATACTCATCGACATGAAGTACCAGTCATCAATCAGAAGATCAATATCTTAATCAACAATGACGATTATTTAGTTATCGATAAACCGTGTTCAATACCAGTTCATGTAAGTTTAACAAAAGCGAATAATTGAAGTTGGAAATATGTGAGATATTTTTAGCCATGTGGAAAATATCGATTCAATACTGTATTGGCTATACTTCATTATGAGTATCAGTTGTCAAATTTACGCACAGTTCATCGACTGGATCGAATGACATCGGGTATATTAATAATGGCTAAATCTGCTGCGAAAGCACGTGCAATTGATTTTAATGCCGATCGCACGTCAGCCAATGGGGTGGATAAACTGTATTTATGTCGTGTACGTGGTGAATTTCCATATGCGAATCAAATTGTACGTGTTGATCAACCGATTGAAACGTTTTCTTTTCAACTTGGCCTGACGAGAATCGGAGGAAATAAGCAATGTCAAACTTTATTTCGTCGTGTGACAGTTGAAGAATTGCAACAACAAAAAGAGCAACATGGAAAGTATATCTTTAATCTAAATAGTGACAACAGCGAAGCTATCATCGATGATTCGTTACATAAATATGCCGATCAAGATTCAACGAGAACAAGTCTTGTTCTATGTCGGCCATTGAGTGGCCGAATGCATCAAATTCGTGTTCATCTACAGTATTTAGGGTTTCCTATTGTTAATGATCCTCTTTATAATGCACCGCATATATGGGGTTCATCGAACGGGCAATATGCACAGTATGAGCACTCGAACGATTATGTGGTCGAAACATTCATAAAATTACATAGTTGTGAATATTGGCTATTGAATGATGTTGAAAATGAAGATGAAGCAATGAATTCAAATGGTAAACGAGCAATAGAAGAAGTTCAAGAACAAAATACAGATGATACGAAACGAGTAAAAACTGAAGAATGCACAGCCACGGCAGCAGCAGCAGCAGTAACCACGATCGATGTCAATGATGATAGTGCTGTTAAAAATTACATAAAAGAACACTGTTTTGAGTGTTTGAACCGTTTTCGTGAACCAACAGCTGATCAACTTGTAATGTTTTTACATGCGTTACAGTACAGAATTTCCGATGATGTGACTTTCACTAGTTCATTACCTGATTGGGTGGAAATTTAGGCAAAGAATTCAGTTTGTTTGCTTTTTGTTTGTGATATTTTTCTTCACAAAATAGAAAATAAATTTTAACCTAATCGATCCGTGCAAAGATCTCAATGAATTCAATCTTCACATTCAAGCTATTGAGAAAAGAGAACACTGTTGTCTCTCTTATCAGTAAGTGTAGGTGTGGTAAGAATAGGTAATGTCATGCTTTGTCTAAGACATGACAAAAGAAGATTTTATATCTGAATGTTTCCATACTAGATCTAATCGATAAAGTGAATAAGCAGTCGTGACATTCCACATAAATGTGTAGCAAGTAGTTGGTATAAAAGACAATACAATCTCACATTGACAGCACTTCGTTTTCATCTACTCAAAGTAAATCTAAACTATCACGACAACGATAAACATGCGAGCTACATTTTTTGCAATTTTTCTCTTTGCGACTTGTGGTTTAACCGTGGGCACCAGCTTGTTCGATCTTGAGTCTTAAACTCGAGATGTTGGATTGGCTACTTGCGAAAAGATCTATGGTTTAATGGCCTATCCACGTGTCATTAAAAACATTACAGTTCTCCGTACATCTCCACTTCGTGTTCGTGTCTATCTTGTAGCCCAAGGTCCATCGAGATCGATTCCATTCAGTGTCGAAGGTATGGTATGCCAGGCTGGTTTCGATCAAAATGCTGCCAATGCTGCTTGTCGATCAGAAAACTTTCAAAATGCCGTCATGGTTACTAACATTGCCTGGCATGAACCACCTGCTAGCTACGGACAACAATGCATCATGGATACTGAATCTTACAAGAGTGTCATTCCATGTGAATATATCTTGCATCAATTGAACTGTGCACCCTCGGCAACTAATCTAGCAGACTGTCGTTTTCCTCCATTATTTAGTCAATCGTTGGAATGCAATGCATATACACATGTTGGACTTATCTGTACCTAAGCGTGTGATTTTTCTTTCGTAAATTGTAATAAAATTGGATATTTTCTTTTCATGATCGGACTTGGATTTCTTGAGGATGATGACTCCGAATCGTAGAAATCTTTATGCAGTTCTCGTTTCGTTAACATCATGTCATATATAGTCTCATAAGACATAGATGTCACCGGCAAGGTAGGACATCTATACAAGGACGGATGAAGCTCAAATAGATATAAATTACAAAGTAGAACTCTGATTTTCGATGTATTTCTATCCGAATAAAAAAAATTTCATTTTGAATTTATTTTTCCTCCGATGTAATTAATTCACTAATGTCGATCGATCGATTGTGATTGTAGGCATTACATCAACGTCGATGTATTTCATGATGTCGTCTTGTCTTGTCCTATATTGTTGTTTATTTACTTCAAAGTTAAGCATAACATTGACCTGTGTGTCACTCGTTGATCATCTTCGTTATCTATCGAAAAACCGAATCTCTGTTATTCTGTTTGTTTTCTAGATCCTTATCTGTTTTTGTTTATCGTCTCTTGTCATTCGTTGCTGTTGTCATATACTCTTGATCGATGGTTTATCTATTCATCTTATTTTTGAACTCTCCACTAGTTTGCTTTCATTGTCGATGAACACGTATATTTGTTCGAATATCCGTTCATTAAATTCCATCCTCTTTACAAATCAAAATCAACAGCGTCTTCTTGATAACAATCAATTTAATCAGAATTATCTGCCATCCAAATGGTGTTACCCCATAAAACAAAATCAACTGATAGTCGACACGAATTAACTACGAAATCAAAACAACTCAAGACAACAATAGCGAACAGTAAACAAAAGCCATCTCATACGAGACGAAAAAAATTACCCAAAGTACTTCCTTACGATAAACAAGTGCTTTTAATGACCTTGTTGTTGTTGTTTTTTTTTCTAGCGCGTGGATTTAAACAATCCACCAACGAGCACAAAAACATTACGTCGAAGTCGCCGTTTGACTAAGAAAGGCAAACAATCATCTGCTTTATCGTGTGATTCAACGATTGTCTTACCTGTTACTTCTTCAACTCCTCTTCATTCTGATCCCACCTGTGCTACAAAGATCTATCCATTACGCTCACGTTTGCGACGAACATCACTAACGAATACGAATTTAACAACAGCAACTGCAATTAATAAACCCACTCGACGTTTACGTACTTCAAAACAACAAGATCAATCATCAACATCATCATCGATGGGTCTTCGTAATGGTAAAATAGTTAGCTTACGTTCAATTATATCAGGATCAACATCTCAAACAACTCAAGAAATTACAACAGCCACCCTTCCCTTACTGGCATTCAACCCATTACCGCGACATCATCATCATTCAATCAATTCCTCTTCAACGTCCGTCACATCATCGTCATCATCTTCGTACTCATCAGCAACATCGAACAATAATAATAATAATAACAATAATAATAATAATGAATTAAACTCCAACGTATGTCAATACCATTATTCAAATATTACAAATCATCCATCGTTAGACTCAAGTAAACACTTTCCTGTTCGACTTGACATTCTTCTGGATCGACCACCTGTATCACGAGAGAAACAAATTGAATATGGATGGAATCATGATGATCGTTCAATGAATATTTTTGTTAAACATAATGATCCATGTACATTTCATCGACATGTAAGAAAAGCAATGCTTCATATCTATTAACAAAGATTTGAGTTCTTTTTTTTCGCGATTTTTTCTAGCCTGTTGCTCAAAGTACAGACGCAGTTCGTTGTAAAAAAGGCTTGACTAGTGGAATTCATGTTTGGGAAATCGAATGGTAACATAAATTATTCAAGCAATGCTCGATGTAGACCTATGTATCTTTAGGAATACAAGACAACGTGGGACGCATGCAGTTGTAGGTGTTGGTACGATAAAAGCACCATTGCATTGTCCGGGCTATCAAGCACTCGTTGGGATGAATCAGGAATCTTGGGGGTGGGACTTAGGTCGAAATAAACTTTATCATAAAGGTGTTAACAGTATCTATGCTTCAACACAGTATCCATCGGCAGTAACAGCATCGAGTTCTCCACTACCGACGACGACAACGTCGACAATAACCGATCCGGCTGATGCTATTAACAACAATGGCATATCGTATCCATCGAAATCCGAAGAAAGTTTTATTGTACCCGACAAATTTCTTGTCGTTTTGGACCTCGAAGAAGGAACATTGGCTTACATTGTCGATGGGCAATACTTAGGTGTAGCGTTCAATGATCTGAAAGATAAGGGTGCACTTTATCCGATGGTATCATCTGTATGGGGTCATTGCGAAATCACCATGCGTTATATCAATGGCTTGGAGCGTAAGTTGATTGTTTGATTATAATTTAAATTGAACGTTTTGTATTGCAGCCGAACCACTTCAATTAATGGATTCGTGTCGACGAGTGATACGAAAACGATTAGGTCGATCGAATTTACATTTAATCAACCAATTGACATTACCTACTTCACTTCGTAATTATCTCGTTTATCAGTAGATCAATCTTTTTTCGTTTCACATTTCTTTCTTTTTAATTGTATAAGAACGATAGAGATGATTTCGAAAACACACAAAAGGTCAATAATTTCTCTTTCTACATACGTACACGCGTGTGCTTTGTTTTTGTTCGTTAAGCTTGAAGAAAACACTTCTCTTGTTCTTGGTTTTTCCTTCTTGTTGTCTCATGACAGTTTTTCGTTTCATTTCTTGTTTTTCATTTTTCTTTTTGATTATTATTATTTCATAGATATATATTACTTCAACAGTGCTCTGTATCATATAGATAGACTTTTTCCTTCTTTGTTTATCTTTGATTGTCTCTTTTCTTTCAGTTCAGACTCATCACATTCATACACATACGCGCAGAAAGCATGATCGCATTAATAAAACATTCGTTTTCTTTTCTCTTTTCTTTTCTTGACATTTAGTGTTAATGTATGTCTGTATGGTGAATTCTTCTTTTCTTTTTTCTGATATGCTGTAAACGTTTGAGCTATGAATTCTGGCATTTTGTATATACACAAAAGAGAACATGTACCAAAAACGAAAATTCTAAAGATAATTATTGATTGATCTCGATATCATTGCAGATTTCGTTTTAGTTCGATTCTATTTCGTTTCATAAAAGAAAAATGGCAAGCAATTCTTTCTACAATCAGTCAAAGCAAGCATAAAGATGAAAACTGTCACTATTTTGATTTCGTTCTTCAATCCTACAGGAAACGTCGACCACTTGCTGATATTGACGATAGTATAACAAGGAAACGTTCGAATCAGAATCGGTTATCATTGATAAAAATGGCACATGCGACACGAACATTCTGGACACAAGCTGAAGCATTAGAATACATTACTGAACGACAAAAGAATAAGCGAAGCATAAATGCTGTAAATATTCTAGATAGAGATGAAATCGATTACAAGAGTCGTTTGTTCTTAGGGAGAGATTTTGTATTTGTTCAGTTTCGAATCCCAACCAGACGGAAGACGACGGTATCAAGTTGCCGATATTGATATATTCATACATGAGTATAAGTAAGTTTTTGTAAGTTTTCATGAAGATGTTTTCAAATAATTATGTAGTCAATTACCTGTCAATCAACGTCATACTTATGAGATCATTATCGATAGTAAGTGGGAAAGGGAGAGCGAGAGTTTCATTTTATGCTACATTTGCATTTCGTCTAGAGAAGCCTTCGAAATTGTATTTTGATCTGGAATACGATCGAGATGCGAATCCAACTATTGATGGACCGAAGTTAACCAATAATTTTATCAAGGTGTGGATATGAGAAGTACTCAATTGACTATTCCTCCACAAGAAACTATTACTTACAAATTTCTTCCAGTACGTGCTAAATTTCATGCGAAAGCGCAGTGATGACCTAAGTTATTCAATGCAAGATGTACTTATTTTGGATTCCACGTATGTTCTAATCTCTTATTCATATTTCTCATATGAAGACTTCCTTCCTTATTTAAGATCATCGACAAAATTTAGTCGTCACTTGATCTTTCAAACCATCGATCCATTTCTCGATAACCTTGCTGTTGGTCGATTTGTGAATCTAATCTTAGAAGATATTCAAGGTTGTTTACTTAATCATCAATGTTCTGCCGTCGTCAATGCCACACCCATTTCCAGTCAACAAGCTAGTCAGTTCTATTCGGATTCAACAGTTTTTGCTCGTAATCTTCTCGCAACTATCGAGTCTCGATTATTTCGATTTGAACATTGTCAATGTATGGATGATTATTCACAACTACATTTCAAAGATATTATTGAGTTTATTGTCAAGAAAAATGATGGTACTGGATTAACATGGTTTTGTGATATGGGTAAGAAGATACGAAGAGATACAGTGTGATCGATCTTCTTCTTAGGTGTTTATACGAAGAATCGAGCGTTTCGACTACTTAGATCCAGTAAATTCGATAAACCTGAATGTTTCACTGTCGCACCTGAGAATCAATGGAAACCAAATATTGGACGTTCACTGGTACAATCAAGTGAACTAGAGCGTCAGCTCTTTATGGCATCATTGGTTTATTTTAATGGGTAATTTGACTTGAAGAAAGAAGAAATTTATCATTCTTTCTTTAGACCTATTCGACGTTTTATTCATGTTGATGAGGAAATTCGAACAAGATCAAAACCTGTTCCTTCACGTTCACAAAAGCCTACTTCATACATCAATGAGGACTTGGAAAAAATCTTGCTAAACTATCCTGAACTTGGTAATTTTATGTCAGATATCGCACGAGATGACAACACAAATGACAATTATCCACGTATAAGTCGAATCTACAACGGAAAAGAAGTTCAAAATGATTTCAAATGGGAAATTAGTTTTTTATACGTTGGAAACTACAAGTATTGTGAACGAATTCAACGTCATCACAAGAATAATCACATATAGTAAAGACAGTGAACATCTCATCTTCGTCATCGTACAAATCAATTGTCATTTAGTTTCGTTGTGGATATGCGTAAAGGAACATATCGTCAGAAATGTCATGATGCTGACTGTGCTTCTTTCGAAGGCATTGAAAAAGCATTACCAACTAATGTGACACCGTGGTTGACAGTAGTGAATCAAGACTGGGACAATCCGAGTCCTCCATCGATGAAAGAAACACTATGATCAATGGAATACTTGCTTTTTTTTTGTACCTGTATTAAGAATATTGTACATTTTATTTCGTTTCGTATTACTATACAAAAGATGAACACTACCGAGATTGAACTTCTTAAATTATTCTAGATGATATCAGACTAATCAAATGAGGCTATCGTTGATATTGAGAAATTTGAAAAATGTTACGGAAGGTAAACCGTGAAATTATTCGTATGGATGAAATAGAAGTCATGTTGAATCTGTTTTAGAAAGATTGCCAAAGAAGAAACCGTATTGGTTGACGAAATCCAATCTGGAAATTCCGAAGAAATCTCGTGCTATCGTTGATGTTATTCAAACAAAGAAAGCTCGCCTGAACGAACCGGGCTTTCTAAAGCGAATGATTCTCGCGCGTAATCATGAAAAACGAAATGAGTATGACGAATGACATGATTTCTTGAATGAATACATCTTCTTTTCCTGCAGGTTTTTAGAGAAAGATTTTTTCGAGCAAGGACCCGATGTATATGCTGCATCTCGAACGATTGAATACAATGGACGATTTCGTATCGATGGTCGGCCGAAATGGGTGACTAAATTAGATAAACCATCAGGGACATTAGCATTGAACTTAAATTTTCAATTGGAAGCAGTTGATCTCTCTCAGACAACTGTCAATGTCGATGGATTAGATCACTATGGTACGTATGACCCTTAAGGTATGCTGTAAACAGAAAATCTGATTTTATCATCGTTCTTTTGCGTTTATTTCAGTCGGATGTGCAAATTTAAAGGCTATGTACTTGGCGAAATGTCGTTACGTTGACGATTGGTTTCTAGCGAGACTGGCACATGAATTTCAAGACCAGTTATTATTTCTAGATTTAAGCGAGTGTCCGTCAGTTGGTGTAACTGGATTACTTGCACTATGTCGACTTAAGTAAGGTTTTAGTCGTATAACGCGAAAGATGGGTTTTCCATATTTTTTAATGATAGATCATTGAAAAAACTTCGTCTTTACAATCTACCACCATTTGATGGCAAAGAAGTAGCAACAATGATCTTCGAAGAAAACGTTCCTGGATGTTTAGTCGAAGGAATCGAGTATGAAACCGACCCGATTGCTGGGCTTCTAGAAGCAGGTAGTCATCAAGAACAAGAACAACAGCAACACAATGTACAATTCATTGACACAGAAAATATTGAACAGAAGGCTGCTGTTGAAAATACACGACAATCGGTGCAAGCCAATTAGTTTAGATTTGTTATTGCTTTTTCAAACATATTTTAGGAAAATACTCTGTTTTATTAGTGTATTTAAAAATTTGATTAAAGACAAAATAAAAACAATCATATTGTTTTGTATTTACATAAGAATTTCGTGGATTCACTGTGAACGATCGAATTTCGGTATCGACAGTAACGTCATAGTTGTAAAGATAGTCATCAGGATTAGAAACAGAATAAGACATAAACGATCAATGACCATGGCAACAAATTTCCAATCTTGTGATTCATTATCGTACTTTTCTTGATGCCATATATAATTCGTTACGACATTCAGATGAGAAATCACAGTACGTAACTCGGAACGTATGATATCGATCTCATACGCATGATAATCAACAGATGTATGTTGGACCGATGATGTGGCGGTCGTTGAGATTTTCGGTTGTTGCCTTTCGGTATTAATAGAAAAGAAAGACGATTGTTTATTGATTGTGGCTATAGCATCGGAAATCGATTCAATAGGACATTCGGGAGAGCCAGTTTTATTGGTGATATGTGACGGAACGATCGTCGATGATAGTTGATGTCGAATGGATTGCCATGTTAACTCATATCCAGGACGTTTCATGCGTAACAACCATGCCAGATACAAGCAGATATATTTTTGGACCTGAAATACAAAACGAATACTTCACTCTTCCTTCACTATTTTCAACTAAACTTACCCAGAATGGCATTGTGTAATTCTTTGCATTTCGAAAATGGAGTGAAATGACGAATACAGAAGCAGTAACGGATATTGTTGACATACACATGACACTTAAAAAATACATTGTGATAATCGGTATAGCTGTGGAACTTTGTGGCATTATCTCCGAGATCAGGAGACTAAACGTGATGACAGAAAGAAGGATTGTAACCTCTAGCAAAGACATCTATGTATAGAAACAATCGAATTCAAGTTTTTTATCAACGCACGCAATGTTAGTTTTTCTCCGCTATCCGGTGCTAAGAGAAATCCAAGTATTGTCATACAACTAATCAAGAAACACGGCACTAAAATATAAAAATTGAACAATGTGCAGAAAAGCCTTCCTTATTGTCCTACCGACAACATTCGTCACATAGTAAAGAGAACGTCGACGGATGCGGATTGTAAACAGCACGAATGGATATAATGTTGGACAGCAATCATATTTAATTGCATTATTTACAGCAGAGAAATCTGAAGTTGAATAACTATCAAATAGTTGTCAAATATAGCATACGATTTACCTTCCAAATCCCATTCAGCATTTTTTATATATGCATCCAATTGACCTTTGCTACTCTCAGCTGTTAAGTTGATTCCTAGCAGAAATTCGATTGACGATCATTTTGCGACTATCATCCTCTAACAAACCTGAATCATCATGCGTCCAAGATCCAAATTTCAATGTACAATTTTGTGTATCCTGAAAATTATGTCAAATAAACAGTAGGATTTCAAACTATTACTTACAAATGGAAAGGAAGAAATATCAAATGGACATATGGATTTAAATATTCCTGGTGGAACATATAAAATATCACCTGTATGTTGAACAACGGCATTGACCTTCATTGTGCTATCAAACTTCTCATCGACACTTCGGAAAAGAGAATCATCATGTTTTATCAATAGAATTCATTTCACAAAATCTACCTATTATATAGAAGCACATCGGGTATCCAAATTAATGTACTTGGAATTCTGATCGTTTCAACGTTCCCATAATCTTGCGGTTTCCATCTCAAATTGTAATCATGCCACATCTATACGAATGTAACAGAAGAAACAATTCGATACAATACTGCCAAATTGTATGCATACAAGAACGATCCAGCCATTAATGATTATCACTTGGTTCTTTTCGTCCTAGTCACCCTCAACAAGAGCAAATAGCTGATTCCAAACAAGCGTATCTTCGCTTACGAAATCAATAATTTGTTGTACTGCTAGATTTATCCTAACTGGCAATGTTTGAGAATCATTTTGAACAGGTCGTTCAAGTGGATCGTGTTGTCGCTCGGTAAGTAAATGCTTAATCAATCGACGTTGATAAAGACCAGCCACTAGAATGAATCATCTCATTCGACGTGGGAGAAAATAGATTATTCATCTTACTCGTAAAATTCATCACATAGCACCAAACAAATACATACACTTTCATCTGTTGACTATGACCAAACAGCATGTTTTATTCGTAGGAAAAACGCTCTATTTCATACAATAGAAACCTTATGAAATGAAGATCGACATGACCAGTTTTTTCTTCGACACAAACTAAAATTAACACTTGTTTACCAGCCGGTATAGGAAAATCAAACAATGAAAAAGAAAATATTAACGAAGAGTGTACCTCTGCAGAACAAAATAGAAGTTGGTTACCAACTGTTCTGATGGTATGATCGATTGCCGGAGAGAAATTTGATGAGAGAAACGAATCATGTGCAATGAACAAAGTTTCTGTGTGACCTAGATGTCTTTACAAAACAATTTGATAGTTTGGCCAGGTTATTTCCTCAGCAAACAACATCATGTCTATTTCGTTGTTCAATTTAATCAGAAGTCAATGTGTCTGAATGACCGTCACACTTTATACAAACGGAAATTAATACTCTCCTTTCTCCAGATGAAAACAGATGTTGGACCACTCCTATCAATTTCTTGTTTCTTTCTTTTCCCACAGTACGTGCGTGACTGTACACTATGCTAAGTAAGTGAAACGAGACGGAGACACTCATTACACATGCTGCTTGAGGCCGAATTAATCATCAAATACATACAGGCTTCGTTGTTTTAGTCACACGCTATCGTTTCAAATCGGATAAGACTTTTAGATATGTATGTATTTCTCTCCTGTCCAAAGGAAAAAGTAAATGACATACAAAACCAGAAAAAAAGAGCAAATACGTGAAAAACGAACGTTTGACAAGATTTTAAATAGAGCCGGGATGAAAAATGCAGACCAGATTGATTGTGTAATCTTTGACGGAAAATAAGAAGAACTAGTTGTTATAGACGACCTTTATATCGACGTAGAAATTCATTTAACACTGTTTGATTTGTATAGAATTCTCGAATATCTTGTCCGTTTAATTGTAGATTAATATTTGTCTTTTTTGTTTGCTCGACAAGAAGATGTTCGATCGATTTCAACGTTCGATTGATTTCTTCTAATATCATACGGATATCGTTGGATTTAAAATCGACATTATTAGTCAGACGACTTATCTTCACGTCAGTAATTTTTCCTTGGAATAGAATATATGCGATAAGGATGATTAGTAGGATAAAAAGAGCGATAGCAAAGATTTTATCGGCGGTTAAAAACGATGCTGCTGAAGATGGACGACGCGTTTTTGTCGAAAATTTCTGTTCATTCAGTAGAGTTTGTCGGCTATCAATAGGTTCAACTGGTGTTTGAAGAGCGATAATGCCGTCTTTGTTTGTAGTTGTTGGACTAATGAAGGCAGGTGGAGGTTGTTCAACAAATTGATTATCATTACCCATGTTTGAGAAAATCTAAAAATAAGATACCCATGTAATCATTGGTGTTTTTTTCTCTTTTCTTGCTATGCTATTTTATTACGCATCGGAATCGACGAGAGAAACATTTTCCTATTGGCTGTTTGCATTTTTTTCCTTCTCTTTTTCTGGCTGGCATCGAACATTTTTTTCTTCTCAGAACAAGAAACGCTGTCAAGCTTCTTCATACTTTTTCCTTCTCTCTCTCTTTTTTATTCTATTGTGTCACGTCCGACTCAATACTAGATATATATATATATGATGTGACTAATCGACATCAGCCAATGAAGAAGAAAACTTGAAATTAGTGATGCTCACACTATGACATACGTATCAAAGTTAATCGAATAGTTGATCCTTCTATGCACCGTTCATATTCATGTTTGTTCATCGCGACGATAGTGAATGATACGTTAGTCGGCGTCTTCTTCGTCAATCGAACTCATACAATATAAACCTTAACACTCACACTCTTCTTCTTCGTGTTGTCTGCTGTATTGATCTTCGGCGCGTTGGACGTAGGGACTCAAATATTTGATTTATACGTTAGTGTATACACGCGCACCTCAATCAAATTGGAAAGAAACGTGATGATGTTAGTCTAAGCTCGAACAAAAGTGTACAAATATATATATGTGTGTTTGAATCATTCAGATTTTTCTTCTTCTCTTTGCGACGTTTCGCCTCATCGATCATGTTGATGTATTGAAGAAAAAAAGAAAAGAAGAAGAACAAGAAAAACTTTACTTGAATGACTAACAGATATATCATAGTGTATGTATAGAACACGCTAATGGTGGTCAAGTGTTGAAATATACAATGTGGTGAACGAACGAGAACGATACGCTTGAACTCAATATTGTCTAATTAGTAGACAATGATGCTAGAGAATACAATCGAGATTGATAACGAAATATTAGACGTGATTTTAGTTCTCCATCTGCTTATATCTTGAGGAGAGTAATCCCAGATGGGCGTGAACGCACTTGCTCTACGATGATAGTTTAATTTAAAGAATAACATAGACAAACAACATATGAAAACGTCTTCCTGCCTATTCTGAATAGACCTTTAGGGTGTATGTAGATGGACTCAACTGGTATGACCACAATAGAAGGAAATTGATTTTTTTTTTCATTCATCTAATTTCAACGCTCCATGTGTCTTACTTTCTCATCATTCTATATCAAGTCGAGTGGACGCGAACACTTAGTCACCAGTCGCTCACTAAATTCATCTTCCGTTGACATCGAACTAGTCTTGTCCAGCTGACGTACTCTTTCTCTCCATTTACACCTCTATGGTTGACATCTTCTCTTTCTCTAATCTCGAAGATGGCTCGAGCGCATGTCGCAAAGATTTTCTCTATGGATAAGACAGGACACTGGTTGTGATTGATTAGAATCTATAGAGTATGAAAGAATACCCTCGAGCATAAGCGCATCTTTTTCCTATTTCATGTGCATGCATGAATATTTACTTCGGAGTGACCAATGGTGATTAATTGCAATCAGGCAGTCCACTTGTAACACATGTGTTATTCATTTTTTCTTCTGATTTGTTTGATCTCGTAGGAACTTCTATCGAAGAGCGGCAGAATCGACAATTTATTTCCGTTTATTAGTCTCGTCATTGTTGTTGTTCATGTTCGTTCTCCCGTTGCGGACAAGTAAAATAATCAATGAGCTGTTGCGATCTTTCTTCCTCTTGTGTTTAGTTGAACCACATGGGTTAGAAAAAAAAGCAATGAAAGAGACCAACGGCCATGTTCGAGCACATCAATGTGAATAAGAAAAGAACACTTGCCATATGATCGACATAAAGATAAGAAAAGCTCATCAATCAGTATAGATATTCTTGTGGTCAGATTCATATTCATCACAATGATGGATTGGTATAACTACTTTTGTTCAGATAGGAAAGCTTATCGTTGATTTCTTCAAGGTTCATATTCCTGTGTTCAAACTTTTGCATTAGTATTAATGAGGTGATTAAGCAATAACAACAAAAGAAAAGTTCGTTAAAGTTTATTGAGGAATATCTAATATGGAAAGAGAAATTAAAACGGTCGTGACGATGGATAGAAATGGACATCAAAACTTTAATTTGTGTTTAGCTCCTTCCGGCCGGACAGTGCCAAATAGCAGCGTTTTGCCGTAGGGGAATATGACATTTTACGGATAGTCGACCGGAAAGAGTTAAAACTCGATTCAATCTCTTTTCAGCAAATTAATGATTGATCAATTTGTGAAATTTGGTAGTGCTCAAAGATACACTACAGTGTATTTTGGATGTTGGCCTTTTTTCCATGAAATGAATTAATATCATGAACGATCATTTCTATTTTTTGTGATAGTAAATCTGAAATGTGGAACAGATTTTTCGAGGACAGATGTAATTTCATATAACTTTGGATTTATTTTTACTGGACAAATAGGTTAACTCAGAACTTATGATCATATTTCACCTTTGAGCCAATTATATTGGCTTACATTCAAATCTCGATGCAGACGTCAGAAAAGTTATCCATCTGCGTTTTCAAGAGAAAGATTCGATTTCAAAAACTTAATAATTGAAAAGCACGATACGTAGAAATCATTTAAGACCTCGGGTCATATTATTTTTTCCAAAATAAATCGAAGCTGTTCGTGTAGTTGTATATAAAGCTACGATATTTACTTGATTGAAAAATCAAACGCGCTTTTTTCATCGACATTAGTCGCAAAACAATGCATTCGATTTCAGTTTTGCTACTTGCTTTCGTACCCTTTGTTTTATCAGGAGGTCTCTATGATCAATGTGGTGGTGAAGGATATACAGGATCGATAGAATGTGCTGATTCATTGAAATGTTTCCGACGAAACCGTTGGTTTTCATCATGTCAAACAGCATGTCCAGGTGGTGATTGGGAATGTGCTACAGAAAGTGCTGCTGCTAAAGAAGTTGAAGATACCGCTGTAGCACCAAATTGGGAACAATGTGGTGGTGAGGGCTGGAATGGACCAACGGCCTGTGCTGACTATCCGTGTCAACCACGTTCACAATGGTTTTCACAATGTCGACCGGATTGTCCCGCTGATTGGATGTGTGCCCAAATTCCAGAAGAAGAAATTACTGAAGAAGAATTGGGAGAACTCGAAACATACGATCCTGATACAGTTGAAGTAGAAGGAGAAGAAACTGAAACTGATGAATTCCCTGATCCATCACTTGTTGATCTGGATGCACTTCAACAAACAGAACAAGCTCTTTACGGTGGAACCGATCTTGAAGAAGATCCATTTGCTAACGCCCAAGAAGAGGAAGAAGATGAAGAACCAACATTATTGAGACGACGACGAAATACAGGTTAGTTGAACTCCATAGAGAGTGTTAGCACTCACCTACTTCTTCTCAAACAGATTATACATGACTCATTTTTAAATTAGTACGTGCCACTACATGTAAAGCTAACGGAAAAAGTGGAACATGCAAGTCTACCTCATCTTGTTCAGGCACATCAGTTCCTGGTCATTGTCCTGGAGCTAAAAACATTCAATGTTGTGTTCCAAAAAGTAGTGGCGGAAGCAAACCTAGTGCCAAAGGTCGATGTGGTAGTTATGCTAAAGCTGCTGTTCGCGCAATTAAAGGCAATGGCAATAAGGGCTACTCCGTAGTGAAGATTCAAAAGGCACATCTTGCCAGTCCTGGTTCCTATTCGCTCTCGCCCTCGTCCTCTGATAACACGATGACAACATCAACAGCTTGTGCTTTCGACAAAATGGCTTCAGCCGCTAAGAAATCCGGTGTTTACATTAAGATCGCCTCAGGTTTTCGTACCATTGCTCGTCAACAATACTTCTGGAACTGTTACAGAACCAAGAAATGCAACGGTGGTAATCTCGCTGCTCGTCCCGGAACATCAAACCATGGCCGAGGTATCGCTCTTGACTTGAACACAAACTGTGGCAAACAATCACGTGCAAAACCTAACTGCGGAGGAAGTCGAGTCTATCAATGGTTGTACAAAAACGCTCACAAATACGGATTCACCCGTACGGTCAAATCAGAACCATGGCACTGGGAATTTCGTGGAGCTGGTGTTCGTCGTGCTAGTTTTTCATGAGAAGTTCAATGAAAGGTAGTACTGTCATTGAATAAACAAATAAATAAATATACAAATGACTAGCTTTTGAAATAGATATTTTTTAAATAGAAATGCATCTGACTTTGGCCAAAATTCGTTCATTACAAAAGGCGAAAAGTTAAGATAGAGGAAAAAACTAAATTCTGTTTTTCTCTAATACTGTAACACGTTTTGTTGGTTTTGTAAGGCTCGAAAGATAATTTATTTAGTTTACTTTCTTATTAATATCTATCTCTAGTGCATGGATCATTAATGATACGAAGAAAAACACGGACTATCCAACCAATCCAATTTGTAAATAGGATGGTTTTTCCACGTTCGAAATTTTTACTTATTAAAAAGAAAATCATCAAAGAGTCAATATCCGTAAATGTGAGAAGGACAACAACGCTCACCACTGCCCTCTTTTTCGATCGGAAAACTGGGTTTTACATATGATTAAGTGTGTTAAGGGTCGTTTATGAAAAGGCGCTAGAGCGTTGACTTTATATTGTTATTTTTACATTTCGGAAATGTTAATCATTTGTATGAATCGAAGTTCGTTAGTGGTGTCGATTATGGATTGCGATGATAAGTTAAAACTGTTCCTATGAATGTGCTAATCTGCGCATTTTCCTTCTAAATATGAGATTTCGTGAAAAGTGTGTTATAAGAAAAATAACGAAAAATAAAATCGTCAATTGTCTATGTAAAAACCGAATTACTATGACAGGTTTCGATTCATGTTTGACGTCTGGGTGTCGAAATTCTTTTATTGCCTACGGAATCGGCGAAGAAACAATCCTGTGTGGCATAAAGTCGAAAAAGCAGCTCTTCTTAATGACAATAGTATGTAATTATTCAATCTTTTTCTATAAAATTTCAATTGAAGATACCATAAAGAGTTGCATCCAATCTCACGCTTTCCTCAGACTCGAAATAGATTGCATAAAAAACAGCTCGTGCACTGTACATCTTCTCAAAATAATTTTTAACAAGTAACACTTCTTTCAGACATTTATTTTAACTCTGTATTGTTATCATTTCAAATTCGACTTCAACGTTGCCTAAAGCTTAATTCTACCTGACACGTATCAATTCAACCTTAAATTCAAGTTTACCAGATATTCTTAGTTTTATGCCATGCGGGGTTTGATGCGCATCTCTTTACAATATGATAGACGAAAACATAGGTTTTATGACTTTTGTTTTCGATGTTCGCAATCACGTACCTTTACAGGGGGGTGGGGTGCGAACGTATTAGCTATGCGCTAATCTCAGTTCCGAATATTTTGCTTCTATTTTAAGTTAGTGCAGATAGATAAGATCAAATTTCTTGTTTGTTAACGTTCGTTCGCACTGACGAAATAGTATGCTACAGTGCATTAGTATTTTGAAACTCCTAATTGTCTTATGTAAAAATTTTGATGAAATGATATTTTTGGTTAATGTATTCTCAAGGATGTAGGAAGAGCGTCAAGTCAGCACTTGAGAGCTATCGGAAAAATAATGTTCTAGAAATGCACTCACTCTAGTTGCTTGGTAGACTTAAAGTATGAAAATAATTAAATTTGTTTTCGAGATAGATAAGTATTTATTTCTAAGTTTCAGTTTTCATTGAGTAGTTACTCGTTTATACCCTGTATCATGTTTTAAATCTTCGTCCTTTTCATTCAATATTTTCGTAAGATAAAATTTCAGTTTCGAACGAAAGTAACGACATACTATATAAGTCGAAGTTTTCTATAAAGTAAAACAGACAAACCGTTTTTCTGAAGAACTGCCAACGATGTTCTTGTTAATCACGTATTTAGTTGCTATTGGATCGGCAGCTGTATCCGCGCAAACAGCATGCACAGCTGAAAATGCACGTGGCACTTGCATCGCCACAGCGTCCTGCTCGGGTAAATCGGTTCCTGGCCATTGTCCTGGTGCAGCACATATTCAATGTTGTATTCCACGCGGCAGTGGATGTTCGGCCAGCGGACGAAGTGGAGTTTGTATCGCAACATCAGCTTGTGCCGGAACATCAGTCCCTGGTCATTGTCCCGGCGCAGCCAATATTCAATGTTGCGTTGCTAACGGTGGATCATCAGGCTCTGCTAATGGTCTCTGTGGTAGTTATGTTGGTGCTGCTGTTAGCTCTATCAACGGCAACGGCGGTGTAGCGTATTCAGTAGTCAAAATTCGACCAGAACATCTTAGCAATCCCAGCATTCACTCTGCTTCACCCACAGCTCAAGACAATACCATGACAACATCAACAGCTTGCGCTTTCGATAAAATGGCTTCAGCTGCTAAACAGGCCGGTGTATCTATCACCATTGCAAGTGGCTTTCGTACTGTTGCTCGTCAAGAATACTTTTGGAATTGTTATCAAACCAAACAATGTAATAACGGTAATCTCGCTGCTCGTCCAGGAACTTCAAACCACGGCCGAGGTATCGCCCTTGACGTGAACACGAACTGTGGTTCACAATCTGGTGCCACACCAAACTGTGGAGGAAGTAAAGTCTACCAATGGTTGAAGAATAATGGCCATAAATACGGATTCAAACGTACAGTACAATCAGAACCATGGCACTGGGAATATGTTGGTGCTGGTGCCACTCCTGCCAGTTTTTCGTGAATAATAAGTACTCATCAGTATTGATTGTTGGATGTGTGATAGATGGAAAGTAATCGGAATTACTGTTCCACAATAAAATATAATGTATAAAAATATTTCTTTGTATCAACTGTTGCTCGATATATTTTAAACAGAAATGTTGTATTTATCCACGCCTTCGAAGTAGAAGAAATGAGAACATAACTACTTATGTAGGGTGGCAGAGTTTGATGACAGGATAACGTTTTGATCACTTTCTAATCGAGCGAATATTAATGGCAAATCTATTTTTTCAATGGTAACACTTAAGTGTGTAAAAACCCGACGCTACTGTTCTATAACGCGAACCGGTATCGAACGACATCTTCAAAGTTTACGAAATACTTTTCGGTACGATAAATGCTCTGATGGAGGAGGATGGAGGAATCATCATCAGCTAACTTGTTTATTATTTTCTTTCTTATTTAAGAATTCCAATTTTTATCCAAATCTATTTTTCAATTCTAGCGTTCGAACTCATCCAATTCAATTAAGTATCAGATTCATGTTTTACTATTCTAGGAGGCTTCGATCAAGCTCTCCTTATAGCACAACACTGATTATGTAACCATAGTTTACCAGGTGCACATTGCATCAGCATGAACTTTAGCGTATAAAACATAGAACTATTCTATTTAGCTACCTTATTTCTCTTTTCAGATCTATCCAAATCATTCTAAACAAAAAAAAAGAAAATGTTTGTACAACGACGCGTTGTCGATGCTTGTTTAAGACATTTAACACCACGAATTAGCCATGAACAATCATCAATAATTCGAGTAAAGCTTCTACTTTCTGCTACTCGCATCTTCTCAATCCGATTATTTTATTTAGGCAAGTGTTCAAGCACAAAGTCTTCGTCACAAAAGGTATGTTTTCCGTACTCACTACTCACTTTCATTTATTGTTCACATATACGTACGTTTAGTGATTCAAAAGATGTCTCAAAAAATACTGACGGCAAAGTCAAGGGACATATCATTGGTATCGATTTGGGTACAACTAACTCATGTGTTGCTATCATGGAAGGCAAAACACCAAAAGTATTGGAAAATGCTGAAGGTTTGTCGTGTGAAACTCTCGTTTTGCTCACTTAAATAGGTTTACATCGATAGGTATGCGAACAACACCATCCGTTGTTGCTTTCAGCAAAGATAATGAACGTCTTGTCGGCATGCCTGCTAAACGCCAAGCAGTAACTAATCCTCAAAACACATTCTATGCTACAAAACGTTTGATTGGACGAAAATTTAACGATGACGAAGTTAAAAAAGAAATGTAAGTTGCCTGCCTGCAAAGGTTTTACGATTGGTGGTTATTTTGATTGAGTGAATCTTGCGTTTTTATAGGCAAAGTGTATCGTTTAAAATTGTACGTGCCTCGAATGGTGATGCCTGGGTAGAAGCAAATGGTAAAACTTATTCTCCAAGTCAAATTGGTGCTTTCGTTTTAATGAAAATGAAAGAAACTGCTGAGAATTACTATGGTTCACCGGTGAAAAACGCTGTTGTTACTGTACCAGCCTATTTCAATGATTCCCAACGTCAAGTAAGAGAAGAAAATGCGATGTTGAACAGGAAAAATCACGAAATTCTTCTAGGCAACAAAAGATGCCGGTCAAATCGCTGGCTTGAATGTCCTCCGTGTAGTGAATGAACCAACAGCTGCTGCACTTGCTTATGGTCTCGAAAAATCGAATGATAAGATGTGAGTCAGACAAGGATAAGTTCAATCAAATGAATATGGTTGCTTTTAGTATTGCTGTATATGATCTCGGTGGTGGTACATTTGATATCTCAGTTCTTGAAATGCAATCGAATGTATTCGAAGTCCGTTCAACCAATGGTGATACATTCTTAGGTGGTGAAGATTTTGACAATACATTGCTTAAACATCTCGTTGCTGAATTCAAGAAAGAAGTACGTTTGAAATAGTGTTGTGTACAAAAAGTGGAAAGTTTCATTGATGTTTGGCTTTAGAGTGGAATGGATATCACAAAAGATCCACAAGCTATGCAACGTTTGAGAGAAGCAGCTGAAAAAGCTAAATGCGAATTATCGTCTGCTGCTCAAGTAAGACAAAAAAAATCGTATTTGGTTTCGCTAATTTATCCTCTTCGATAGACTGATATCAACTTACCGTATTTAACAATGGATGCGTCTGGTCCCAAACATATGAATTACAAGATTACACGTGCTCAATTCGAAAATCTTGTAGCGCATTTAATCAAACGAACAATTGGTACGACTGAATGAAAACTTTCTTTCCGTATTCATTGAATATTTGTGTACTTACTGTAATTTAGATCCATGCAAAAAAGCCATCAAAGATGCTGATGTCAAAGTCCAAGATATCAATGATGTCATTCTTGTCGGCGGTATGACTCGAATGCCTAAAGTAAGAAGAAGATCATAAATTGAAAGATATCTTCCATGTATTCGCTCCTTAGGTTCAACAAACTGTTCAAGAACTCTTTGGTAAAACACCAAATAAATCTGTTAATCCTGATGAAGCTGTCGCCATGGGTGCTGCCATTCAAGTAAGATTATTTTCTATGTATTATAAGACATGTTCTCTTGAAATTCTATAGGGTGGTGTACTTGGTGGTGATGTTACTGATCTTCTCCTTCTCGACGTTACACCACTCTCATTGGGTATCGAAACATTAGGTGGAGTTTTCACAAAACTTATCAACCGTAATACAACTATTCCAACTAAGAAGAGTCAAGTAAGTTATATTGGATATGATTAGAATCGGATCATAAACTAGTTTTTTCATTCAGGTCTTCTCTACGGCTGCTGATGGACAAACCCAAGTCGAAATTAAAGTACATCAAGGTGAACGTGAAATGGCTGCCGATAACAAAATGTTAGGTCGATTTAATTTAGTGAGTGCATAACTTTCGAAGAAAAGCAAGTTCGATAGTGATCTTCGTTCTAGGTCGGTATTCCACCAGCACCACGAGGTGTTCCTCAAATCGAAGTAACATTCGATATTGATGCTAACGGTATTGTACATGTATCCGCTCGTGATCGCGGTACTGGCAAAGAACAGCAAAGTAACAACGATAACATATCTCTGAATATAGAATAAATTTACAAAATCGATTTCGACATATTTTAGTTGTTATTCAATCAAGCGGTGGTTTGAGTAAAGATGAAATTGAAAACATGGTTCGTGCTGCTGAGAAATTTTCAGCTGATGATAAGAAACGACGTGAAATGGTTGAAGAAGTCAACCGTATCGAATCAATCTTACATGATACTGAATCAAAAATGGAAGAATACAAAGATCAATTACCAGCTGATGAAGTACGATACAAAAGACGAATCATAGATATTTTACTCTTGCATTTCTTTTTCTCTTTAGCATGCCAAATTGAAGGAAGGTGCTGCAAAATTACGCGAAAAACTATCCAACAAAGATAACGAAACCCCACAAAGCATCAAAGACGCTGCTGATGAATTTCAACGACAGAGCTTGAAATTATTCGAAACTGCTTACAAAAAAGTACAATTTTCTTCCATTGATCCTTTCTTCTCCTAACTGACCATGCTTCTTTAGATGCAATCTGACCGTGAAAGCTCACAATCATCAGGCAGCTCATCATCATCATCAGATCAACAATCATCTGATGAAGATAAAGATAAAGACAAACAAGAACAACAAAATAAATAGACCAATTTTCAAATAGTTTTTCTCGTTTTCATTAGTACCAACTCACTGTCTTCGTTTGTTTTTCTTTCTCGTTTATTGTAATCGTTGGTTTTTTGTTTAGTTCGGCATTATATTAACAAAAAACAAACACCTTATCACAATGATATAGGAAAAGAAACGATTTTAGTTTAATTCTAAGCAAGAAAAATATATAATGAATGATGATTAGACTTCTTTGTTTCTCTTTCTCGCGAAATATCCAATAAACTTACCGTGCAAATCACAAAACGAAATCATACGAGCATGAAATCTACCTTTATTTATAGGAAGGAATACATATAAGAATAGAATAATTATTTGTTGTAGAGACACTGGAAAAATGACAATCACGGATACGCGTATACATAGAGACGAAAGGAATACAATTGCACATTATCTGGAAGTTTATAAATAAAAAAAAGAAGAATTTGCTCTAGGTCCAAAATTAAGCGCGTGATTCCAGTGGTCGTTGTCCTAGGTTATTGTTTGTCGTATTGTTACCAGCGCTGGCATCGGCCTGTTTGCCAAGATAATCCCTACAACATAGTCAAAGATGAGTTTTTTTTTTCGTATAAATTTGTTGCGTTCGGTTATTAAAAAATAAATTGATGCAAACGCAAGGAGAAGGATTAAAGTGCATTATTCATTAAAAAGATATGCTAAATAGATTATAAAAACAAGGAAAAATGAGCACACGTCAGTTCCTACATCATCCGTTATCTGTTTCTCATTAAAAGATCTGCCAGTTGCCTAGGAATTCGATGACATATGATTGATGAGGTAAAGTTTTCAAATACGTTCATTTCGAGACAAATCAAATAATTTTACTTACCAATTATGAACCATTAGTTTTTGAACACAAAGTAAACCTTGGTAACGAACATTTGAATCCGGATTTTCCAACAAACGCATGATGATCACTTTGCCGTCGAGCTTATCGATTGCTCTAAAATATTGATCCTAGAGAATAAACGTCGTCGTATGTCATATCAACGTACTTCTTTCCATGAGGATAATGTCGAACATATTCTCCCACGTCATGAGCAGCAACACATAAAACCAGCGGTTCTTTGCTCTGTTCAAGTAATCGAAGAAGCATTCTACGAAAGAAGACATCGATCTTTAAAGTGTTTTATCAGTTGTGTAAAGTATTGCTGAAGGCGAAAAAGATATCTATCGACCATTTACCTTAGTAATTCAAAGTTTCCTTCGTTTAATTTCGCAGCATTTTCCACCCAGAATTTTTCCGATTGATGAACGGGTGTCCATGAAAGACGGCCCGACCGAATTTCGACTGCATATTCATCAAATGATCTGTAAATGACCATCGAATGAAAACTATGTTCGATCATACATCTCTTACTTACGTCACATCTTCTAAATTGCCTTCGAGTTTTTCTTTAATAAACTCAATATTGTCGTTGATGTCGTCATCATCCGATTTTTTACTACTAAGTAATTCTAATGGTTTAACCAGTCGGCAGGCAATCATTGTCATTGCATTGTCGCGAATGACTTTTTCACTTTCAGGTTTTTCCAGTAGATTCTACGAACAAAAGAAAACAAAACGATCGCATCAAACCATAGGAAGTTTTCCCCAACTTACTCGTAAAAATGCAACAATCATGCGTGTAACTTTTTCTTTTTGAGTTTCAGCAAGAATTTCTGCAAGTCGTGGAATGACCGTATATCTACAAAGAGCCAATAACATTTGTGATCCGATCATCTCCTTCCTTACTTGGACATGATTGCTGCAATGTTTGGATTAAATGTTAATACCCATAGACAAAATGTCAATTGATATTGCACTTGAAAACCAACAGAAGCGTTGTTTAACACTTGCATTATACTAAAGAGTGACCATCATAAGTGAGAGAATGAATAAAACAATCATCATACCTGGGAATACCATCGATGGCAACAAAAGCTTCACGGTATTGTTCAATGCGTAACATCATTTGTAGATTTCGGCAAACGCTTTGTAAATATTCATTGCCCTTGAAAAGAAAAAAAGATTTATTTATGAAAATTTATGCGAGTGAAAATCAATCTACTTGTGGTTTAAGTTGTTCTTTAAGCCATGCTAAATAATAAGACAAATCCGATGATGACATTCGTTCGACACTCCAACAAGCAAGCTTAGCAATAATTCGACTCGTCTATCAAACGAACAAAGAAAAGAAGTTTCTAAGATTCTTTTCATAGAGAAAATTCTTCAATTACTTGATAAACAACAAATTGGTCTTGATTAGCAAACATGTTAAAAAAATATGACCACAATTGTTCTTTTTTCATCTTAGCATACGTATTAAATATTTCCACACGACTTTTATCTTCCTAAAAAAATAACTTTTCATATGTTCTTCTTCTAAACAGAATCGTACCCGAAGACATTCGTCCATCAATGTCAATAAATATCGCAACGTTTGCTGTTTGAACAATTTAGCCATCAAGGTTAAAAATGTTTTTGCGCACTACAAAACACCTGTCAATGGTTGATTCTTTATGAATACATTTAACTTACTTGGGTACGCATATTTGGATCCATCAACATTTTCGCCCGGCCTTCGGCATTCAATTGATCGAACTGAGAAATGAATTCATAATCATCCTTCGTAATCATTTGCCCTTGAAAGTACGATTGCCATTTGGGCTTTTGACGCATGACCTCTTGAGCTTGTTTTTGCAGATGACTTATTGCACCGGTCACTAATTCAAAAGAAAAACAACCGTTTTTACATTCGAAATCAACCTCTTTTTTGTTATATACTTGATTCTAAGTCATCAGGTAAATGATGAGTCGTTCTAAATTGATTGAGATCATTGCTTAAACGACGAACTACAGCTTCGTTTTCGTTAGTAGTTTGAGCCATGAATACTGTCTAGAAAGAAAGGTAAGGTATAAACAAACCAAAGGTGATAGAGCAGAACAAAATAGTATAATTATTATATGTAGAGCGGTAAAGTAATAAATAAGAAAAATATATTGTCACATAGCTTCCTTTGATGATGATGTGGTGAAAAAGAAAATGTTTTGTAAAAAGAAAAAAAACAGTCAGTCATAGAGATTTGATCTTGTTGGTTCAATTTTTAACCAATAACACAAAAGCAAACAGAAAAGAGAGAAAGCGAACATGCCGATAAGAGTCTACTCGTCATGTAGAGCTCTTATAAAAAAGAGAACTGATATACCCCCATGGCTCTTAGAAATGAACCGAACACGTTGATATCAAGCAACTGATTCCCTTTTATTTAGCAGTACGAACTGATAAAAATGATGCAAGCCATTAAATAGTCATTATCAACTGATAGTATCATGTGTCCTAATTATCATTTCAGTGAATTGATCGATGGCGTCGTCTAAATCCGTATATGTTTGGAAAGTTTTGATGTTATATAGAGTTCGCAGTATAGAATACCATTTTCATTGACAGAAATGTTCGTGTTGTGCGCCACAATCACATTTTATTTTTACTCGTTCTCTCGAAGTATGCATTTACTGTCACATATTTTCTTATATAAAAGATAAAGTTCAACTACACTCGAATTTATTTGTTATCCAGAATTGATAGTCTTAGCAACAAAATTACAGTAGTGTTAAACTCGAGAATTGGATTCGACTATTTGGTTATTCAAAACGCAGTCTGTGCTCCAAATAGTCGGATGATAAAGCCGTTAAAAAATTTGAAATGTCGATTTAATTATATTGCGGGCTTTTCTTTATCGGAAAAGATACACGCTCGTAGGACGCCATCCATATTGGAAATGCACACGACATTTTTAGTCTGCGTAGTTTTTTTTATAAATCCTTTATGCCATACCGAGTCGTAAGCTTTCTTGTGGCGTCTAGGTATAGTGATGGAGATGATATATTGTTAGTTAGCGTATCGCTGGCCGCTTGATGTATAAGCCATTGTGATTTACCAAGAAATATCAAGAAAGTTATTTTTCGAGTAAAACTAATCTTTTTCGTTGGTCTCTGTATAATGATATAAACCGGATACTCCGTGTACTGAACAAAGAATAAAACACATTAGTATTAATGGAGAGGACACTTATATGTTCTGTTCTATATGATACGTCTATTTCAGCTATAAATATAGAATAAAGAAAATCCTCAGGCGAGTTGCTCATCTTAAATATACAGAAAAAATCTCAATTCAAATTACTTTTTCTCGACGTTGGATGAAAAACTAATTAGAGTATATTCATATCAGCACGGCGGAGCGGTCATCAGATTCTTAATTTATTTTTTGTGTCTAATCTAGTTTGTTTGAGCTGCGCGTATGTGTAAAATATAGTGATGTAAGAAAAGTTTCACATTATATTTTCTCACAGTTCATTCGATGCCACTCAAGTATTCCATCAGCCAATAAATGATACTCTTTGTTAATACGATTGGTCCCTTTTCTGAAAGAAAGGGTTATAGTGTCATAAATCTGATCGTTGAAATGCAAAAAGTTCGCTTGTTTGCACAATCCTATTAGATTGCAGCATTCAATCAATGAATGAAAACTTAACCATGGTCATTAGCAAACGATTGATGAAAGGTTTTCGGGGTCGAAGATCACTAATCCGTAATCAATTTTTCGAAAAAACTTTTTGTTTCATTTTTTAGGACAAAGCATCACTTCTTTTGAGAAAATTTTTTTTTCTATAATGGAATAAGTGAAAAAGTCAGTTCTTAGATATGGCACTACTGATAGGTAGAAGATATTAGGCAACGGTGAAATTATTCGATAGTATATGTATTTACTTCGCTTCATCTTTCACTTCCGTTCCGACCTTCGATAGAGCCATTTTCATTTTCCAACATAATACCCTGACTGACGTCTCTATGATAATCCAAAGATGTAATCTGGTGACTATTCAGCGTAGTTGCCAAAACCTGGTTGGATCTTAAAGTCGAATCGATAAATATGATTTGACAATAAACTTCAAATAGTCTGCCACTTTTCAGCTGATTTTTATGCAAAAGTCAACCTGGGTGCTTACCAGAAAATCATAAGCAGACTTAAATTCATTCTCTAGATCATCAAAGTCAAAACAAATATCTGAAAGCTATTCGGCAGCGTCGCTGGTTGCCAAAGGTGATCAGGTTGATAGGAACGGTGAAATAGATCCTACCTTGCATTACATGACTAAACGTTTTCAAGATCAGAAGAAGTTTACGAAAAAGAAACAAATCTATTCTGGCATCGAATGGGACAAGGATTAAAACTTTGTTTGATCTATCTGAAAAAATATTTTCAAAAATGGGAAAAAGTAACGAAACGTCTTAGAAGTGGGAGAAAATCTCGAAGAGTATCATACCTAAGTCTTCGTAACGGAAAGAAAGCGACCCACTCTCAATTATTTAGTCTGCGTCATCACTGATATATCTAAGTTTGCAAGCAAAATACTTCGTTTATTTCGTCGAATCGAGCTTTTCTTTTACGCTATTGTTCGCAATATTTTTTCCGGCTATTTCGTCAGCAATCTCTATTACGATATGTGAAGGTGCGGTCTTAATTGAGAACTGAAAAACTTGAGAGATTGTTCATTTATGATAAGAATCGTTTAATCGATTGCTTCAGAAGGATGTTAAATATATAAGAGAGGATGAAAAATTAAAGGTAAATCAGTTTATATTTGGCTTGTTTCGAAAAATAGTACAATGGGTAAAACGCTTCAACTAAATTGGTACAACTATTTCTTCCTGGAACTTGATTTTCATTGTTTTCAGAGTTTAAGTAACGTAGTTCATCTTCATCTGCCCATGTATAAGTGATACTCGATGAATTCAGTTCGCACATTATCGGAGATCGATACTCCGTTCATTGATTATTGGTTGAATAACAAAAAATTGTTCCTGATAAGAGAAGTAGTCGTTGATTTGGTTCAAGTTCAACCGTTAGATTCGATTGATTTTTGCAAAATATCTTTTTCTCATTTAGGAAAGCTTTCAGTTGTGGACGAGTTAGTTGTACTAAACTTCGATAGTTATTTGTAATCACATGTACTGCTAGTTCATTATAGATCGAACGAGATATTTTCTCATCAGATAATAAACTATGCAACACAGCTGCGTCAATCACAAATGTTTCCACGAGTCCACAACTTGCATAATAAGTTCCATTCGATGAGACTTTGTTATTAAAAAAGGCATCAGCTCCGATGATATTTCCACATTTATAATAAGTAGTTGATGTACCATTTTTATGTTGAACAAGACCACGAATAATTAGATAAACATTTGTGACTCTTTGATTTCTTTCTAAAAGATTGCTGGGTTGAAACCATCGATTTATTTCGATCGATGAAAGTCCTCGAAAGTATCGAAGTAAATGAATTGGCTTTCCAAATTCTTTCTTTTGGTATGTAAACACTCGAATCTTTCCATATTCGAAGTTGAATAATTTGTTCTCAATCAATTTCAGTATGTGTGAATATTCATTATCTGCAAGAATTCCTGTTTCATACAACTGAATAATCGCAATTGATCCATATTTTAGAAGCATCTGAGCACATCGTCGTGTCATTTGAACGATCCAACATAATCGATAGGATTGTTTCAAGTCCAAGAGAATATACATGGCATTGATTTGATACGTCTTCATTTCATCATAGATTTCACCCATGATTCGTTCGTTCAAATTACCCAGTTCGGGGAATTGCAAACGAATATTATCAAGTCGAGTTTTAGTAGAATGAAAACCTAAAGTACACAACAATTCTTCAGATACTTTAGAAAAAATTTCAACTCACTCAAAGTCAATTCAATCGTTTGGAAAATATGATCGAAGAATAATCCATCCGCCCATAGCTTGTTCGACCGATCTGATGAAAATGTTGAGTGTTTTTCGGCGAATCATACCCAAATACTATTGTTTCTCATAATCAATCGTCATCACCGTAAGAAAACGGATGATTAATTCGTTACGAATATTTTTATCATGTTGATAATCATCGATTATTGGTGGAACGAAATTTTCCCTTCTTCCAACGATCGAGTTCATTTGTGAATCATGATCCAAAGGAGCATTCTGATGGAATGATTGTCGATCAGATATTGAAGAAATTTCATCTGTTGTTCTTGACAATTGTTGATGATAATTTGTGTAATTTTCTTCATCTAATTCTTCCAATAGTTTAAGTATTCGGTTAAGTTCGTCCAGTCAACATCTGCAAACTTTTCGTTAATTTCCACGATGTTTGTCGTCTGACATGTTCGAATGCTTGTAAAAGAACGATCTCACTTCCTTTTGTACCTAAAACAATAGAATTTGAGTTTAGCTAAGTTCATCACTTGATCGAATTACCATGGTGTAAACCTAAAATCTTCACTAAATATTTGCTACTTGTTCCATTAACGATCAAAGTTAGTAAGACAATCATTGAGATATGAAATAGAAAACGATGACGTGTGATTGTTTCGATTTCTGTATCTAGACTGACGATTAATACTAAGATAAGTGACATGCTACCACGTAAACCACTCCATGTTAGAATCACACAATCTTTCCATGATAAATGAACGCCTGGACACATCATTAATGGATATAATACAATAACTGTTACAAGATGTCCTACATGGATCATAATATACAAAACAACGGAGAAGCCGAAGTCTTTCGCAGAAATGTCAGTAGCAGTACCGATGAATAGCCTAGCGAGAATAATGCCAGTGATAGTAAAGATAAGAATATTGATGAAGTGAGTCGCAATTCTCCAAGTACTTGCCATGGCAGGTTGAACATTGCTGCTAATATAGTATTTGTATTTGCTCATGTATAAGCCCATGAAAACAACAGCCGTGAATGGTAGTGGAACTTTATTTTTGAAAAACTTCGATAAATATGATTTTGTATATACATGAGGACAGGACTGATAATGAGAGAAATAAGATAACTGCTTGATTTGGAGTCACTTTCGGAATGACTGACGAATTCATTTATTGAAGTAATCTAAAATAGGTAAATATAGTTGTCAAAATATTTTATGATAACTGTGCAGAGTATTTTCTTGAAAAGAAAAACGTTGATTTGTTATAGGTCAAGATGTCAGTGATGTCGTGGAACACATATGTAAAATAATGACGCGATCTTTCGTGTTTGTATACTGTTTGAAAGCATACTTATCTTTATGTTGTATCAACATATTTTCTGTCGCTCGAATTGGCGCATAGCATGAGATAAAATTGTGAAGGAAATTGTTAATAGGATACAGTTAATTGCATTGATCTGAGCGGCTAAGTACTCAGTTATTCAAGTGGTCACCTTCAATTAGCCATCGACTTCAAAGTAGCTTGTAGAGTATGGATTCCTAAAGATTAGTTTGAGTTTATATAAAGAAAAATATGGAGAGATGTATTCGAAAACAAAAGATAACATTGATTACTATCGCAAATGAAACATCCTTTGATTCTAACTGAATAGAAATATTTTTGTGTAGCTCTACATTTGCAACTCGCCATTGTCGACAGGAGAGAATCACCAAAAAATAATTCAGTGCAAATAGAAATTACTCAGTAATGATATCTCGAAAATATCGACGTGAATAAATGTCTCATAAAATTCAACGACAAAAGTTTCCAAAACATCATAAGCGGCGACGAAGGAGTGCTGTTATGAAAGAGAATATTTCTCATTCATTGTGTAGTAATCTTACTCATGAAAGTATCGAAAAAGTTCAGAAAAGTCGAATGTAAAGAAGATGAAGGAAGTACACCTATGGTAGAGGCGAACGGCAAATCCGAATTCAATGCAATGAGAGTGTTTGATACAGTCTCTCCATCGCTATCAAATTCATGTTTTCGCGTCGAAATTGACGGGAAAGAAAAGTATATTTATAAGCAAACAGCCTGTCGGCTTTTCACGGATTACAAACCACAATTGTCAGCTGATCGATCAAAACGAGTTATGAAAGCAGTGAATAGGTGAATGGAAGCTTGAATATAGTGGTGTTAATCAAACAAATAGATTAGAATTATTGTATTGCTTTTTTCTGTTAAAAAAATATAACTAAACTAATCAGCTCTATTGTTCCAGTTTTTTTACACTCATATCTCACTGTGATTGTCTAAACATCTGACGATAAAGAATTCTTTTTTCTTCAATATTTCATTGAAAACAGTGTCGAATATTTTGTGGTTTTTGAGCTTTAGAAGATCATCACAAAACATGATAAATATTTGGAAGACTCTATACTTTAAAATCCTGGGAGTACCGTGAAAATCCCAGGAGTACGGTAACAATCCAAAGAATACGAAAAAATCCAAGAAGTATTGAAAAACAAGTTTGAACAGTTGCCCGTGTCTTCCAACGATAAATCGATTCTTTTCTCTCCTGTCAACGAAATGATTCCCTGCCGAATATTTTCATTGAGGAATATCCATTCGTCAAATCTCTTTCAGAATTATCGGAAGCCTGGCAATATTATTCTAAGCGTACACTTTAGGATTAATCTAGCATTTAAACGCCTAGTCATTCGTCGGCCACTCACGTCTAGCCGCTGCCATGCTGTATCTGTTATTCCTTTCGCCTTTTATTAACTTTCAAACTGAATGATTGGGCTTTCTTTTATTGTCGCTTCGACTATCAAAAGAAACTAGATAGGAAAGTCTTATTGTATGATTTGCTTCGAAACGAACATCTTTCATAGTGCTGCACGTGTTCAGAATACTGTATGTATAGTCCACGCGTCTGTAGTTATTAAGATGAAATTTCACCGACGGGTATATCACTTTGCGAACTACTTCTACTAAATTCCCCTGAAAATATATGATACTAAGCTCATATCACTTTTTCGGATGTCTTCAATTAGAAACATCATTATGTACAATGCATTAGATCTTTTCGTGTAAGCTCTTGAGCTACTATCTTTGTACGCATGACGTCCATGCATAGCGTTCAGCTCATCATCTTCTACAAAAGATTTCAGAACAGATAAAGTAAAATATCTCCTTTGTAAAGAGGAAGGAGCAAGCCCACGCTCAGCGAATAAGACGGAGTTCACCCTCAAATTCGAATTTCCCGACACCAGACACCCTTCGATCTACTCTGACAATGGATGTTAATAAGTCGTGATTATTTAATCAAAAGTTAATAATTAATTAATTAAGCAACACTAACCTCGGATTCGTGATCCTCGACCTCGATTACCCTACGGGTAATCATTTTCTAACAACTATCGATCAATTTCATTGATTTTAGAAACGTTGATTTTGTGATTGAATCGGACAATCAGAATGACCGACAGGCAAACTTTGAGCTTTTTAGCCCAGCATTTAAACGCTGCATAATCCTTTCTTTCAGAGAAGGGAACTAGAGACATAATCTTAAATCAAGGAGTGGAATGATATAGAAAATAAATGCGGAACCTTCGGATTTTATCCGAAAGTTAGGTGTATTGCTAAAAGTGTGTCAGATGAAGTACATTAGCAGTCATAGGGAATTAGTAATAGTTGTTCAACAACTCAGAAATCACTCGTCCGAACAGCCTCATGATTTTATTTTAGCGAGATTCTGATGTGACAGTATGCCATGGGAAATTCTATCACATTCAAATTACCCTGTCAGAAGCTGTAGTATAGACCAACGGTAGAGACACATTGATTGGTTCTACATAGGTCGGTCAATAAGTTCTTACACTTTCAGATATTTATTGTTAGAAAAAAGGCAATCTTCAGGATATAACTGCTTAGGATATAATTTTAAGGGAACGCGCAAAAAACTTATCGACAGACCTATATAGTAATGCACTCACTTTATGAGTGTCCTATAACACTGAAATGCTTGAAATCTGTTCTTAGTAGCATATTGTTGACACTTTGACTGGCTTCAACTGATGCACATATTTTTACAAAAAAATCGCGGTTTTGAGTGCATTTTTACGGTTCACATCGCTCAGCACATCTCGAATGCATTTGTTAACGTTAACGCATACAAACTTCTTTTGGGTTAATTTCACCCAAGTCTAACACCCACCCCTCATTTTTATTACCTCCAGGCATTTTTATCACTTATTAAATCTGAATTCACCGCCCAAACTTTAACTACGATGTCTATAATAGAGATCCATGGCTAGTAGATGAGTGGTCTGGATGAAATACACCTTCATCCTCATCCGCACTATCAAGATCCTTATTATGGCGTTCTGAACCAAGTTGTGCGTCTTTACTAAAACCGAGCAGTAATAGGTGAGTGTTTCATGCACTTATCTGTCACGAAAACGGTTTGATAGCAGTTTCATCCAGATTACCTCAGATCCATCTCCTTACTAATCTGCCAACATCCTTCGACGTTTCCCGAGGCTTACGACAGTTCCATGGAAATGTGCGCCCGTTTTCCTTCACAGAATCGCTTGAGTGAAATTTCACCCAGATTACACCCAGGTCAGCAACACCTATCATCTTCACTAGTGTACAAATATTCATTCCGATGTTCTCTAGGCATATGGAAGTAGCATGCACCGTTTCGCGGCGTTTTTAGCCATAGAACCACTTGGGTGAGATTTCACCCACGCCATCCTGACCGACCCTCATCACTAGTCTACTAACTCTGGCTTGATGTTTCGCCCCGCTCACGGAAGCTCCATGAATGCTTTCGCGCCTTTTTCTAGTGCAGAACTGCTTGGGTGAAATTCCACCCAGATCTCACCCACGCCTACCCCTTCACTGGTCAATCAGCACTTCCTTCATGTTTTTCCGGATCCAAGAAACCCATATATTAGGTTTGGTCACCATAGCTGATATAGAAAGTAAATGCTAAACAAACAAGCGGATAAACACGCAAATCTTCAACATTTTCATATAGAAATTAGAGAAAACTTTACCAAAAGTCGGCAAGGGCACAGCCGATCAGGCTCATCTTCGAACTCGACCCAGGCACTTACAAGATAATGCTATGTAGCAAATTTCATGAAAATTGGATTATTTTTTCAGAAGTTATCGGATTAACAGCCGGACTTACTGACCGATTCTATAGTGTACTCACTTTTTGAGTACACAACAAATATTTCGAATGCATTTCGATATTTTTTTTAGACAGGATCATTTTTGACACCGCCCGGTACGACTAGCGTTAAGCAAACGAACTTTGAACGCGGCTATAACGTGTTCTTTCAGACAAGAGAACAATGACTAATATCTTTCTTTATGCGTCCTTTCTCGATTCGACGTTCATTTTCTCTCTTCGGTCACTTTGACTCAACAGGCAGAAAGAACGAATGAAAACATGGACTGACGTTCTCTCTTTTGTATCTATTCTGTTCGTGTTCAGTCTATTCTAGACAATGGATAGTCGTCCATATAAATATACATCGATTTCCTTCACGTTCATTCGTATCAACAGCAATCGAGGCCTCGTTCCACAACGCAAACAAGCGATCCTGTCAAATTACACGTGAGTCCTCATTTTTGAAACCGAGTAATGTTTCAAACACGATTATGTCCGTATATATGTGTGTGTCCCTGCCATGGGGAGTCGGCACGATGAGCGAAAGAAAGATGAGCACGGAAAGATAAGCGAAAGGAATAATCAGCGCCTGACTAATTAAGCACAACACCAATTATCAAATGTACAGAGCATTATGTTCATCACTAAATTGGATATACTCCGAACGCTCAGCAACATGTTTATACGGGGAATTGGATAATAAACTATGTCAACTTAAGTCTAACGATGTAATTAATTCACAAAAATATAAATAATGTTACATGATGTATGTAACTTCAATTTCTTGTTAATTGGCAATGTCGAAAATCTCTGAAAACGGTACAACAAAGCGAAAACCACGATTAGATCTTGATGGTCATTCATACATCCAAGACCGACCTTACGGTGAAAAAATTTACTGGCGTTACATTAATCATAAATCTGATAACTGTCCTTCTCGTCTCGTCTACACACCTGCATAATTACCAATTCGATTCTCAAACCACCTACTGAACATTCATGTAAATCCAATGCAATTGCTCATGAAGTTCGTGTTTTTTCTCAACAAGTAGCCGAGCGGGCTTTAAACACACAGGAAACGCCTGAAGCGATTATCACTAATTGCTACAAAAGTAAGTGACAGAAAACTTTTGAATAAGATCAACAATTTGAAATTCAATTTAGGTATGTCAGACTCGTCGATCGCTCGTCTTCCAGTGCGCGAAAATATTAAACGTCGAATTCGAATTCTTCGTCAAAATAACCAATTAGTGAAAGAACCGAATGATCCTAAATTTTTATCGGTTCCGAATGAACTAACTTTAACTCATCGAAAAGAAAGATTTCTTTGTTCTGACACAGGCCCAGGTAAGACGAAGAACAAGATAATTATGTTAACATCTGTTGTCTCTATTTCAGGTCATGATCGAATATTAATCTTCGCAAGTCCTGAACAATTACAAATTTTACAATCGTCTGAAGAATTCTTAGTTGACGGCACATTCAAAGTTGTTCCTGAAATCTTCTATGAACTGTTTATTATCCATGCTGTTTATCGTAATTATGCTGTTCCTGTGATTTATGCTTTATTAAGACGAAAAAATACTGATACTTACCAACGTTTAATTGACGAAATCCTTAAGATTGCTCCAAATTGGTCGTCTCGCTTGATAATGATGGACTTTGAACAAGCATCTATTAATCCCTTTCAAACCAAATTTCCAATTATACATCTGTCAGGATGTTATTTTCATCTTCGTCAAAGTATCCATTGAAAACTACAGGTGCGCAATAGTTTTGATAAAAGAAAGCATCACTATCTCTCTTGTATAGGAACTCGGTCATCAAACTGAGTATCAAAATGATACTGTACATGCGCACAATATTCATAAAATTGCAGCATTGGCGTTTTTGGAATCCACCTCTGTCGTTGATGGATTTGAATTATTATGTGAAGAACTAGGCGAGGGATATGATGATATTTTAGATTACTTTGAATCAACCTATATAGGTAAGCACTACTGTGGTTTTGAATTAATATCCTTTTTATACATTTGTTATCAGGAGAGTTAAGATCAAATCGAATTCGTCAAAAACCATTATTTGACATTTCTTTCTGGAGCATGCATAATCGAACAACCCACTCTTCTATGAGAACAAACAATTGTGCGGACGCATATCATCGAAGAATTAATTCAACTTTCCAATGTGCTCATCCGACGCTGTGGCTCTTTGTACAAAAATTATTCGATGAAGAAAACGTTGTTCACGCTGATCTGGTTCACATCATCGCTGGTGAACCACCGAAGAAAAAGAAAATCACTGAACGTTTGGAAAGACGTCTGTTAAATCTTCTGACTACCAATCACTCTCCTATAGCTGTACAACTCAACTCGATTGCCTATAGTATTTCTCTAAAAAAAATAAATTTCAGTTTCTGACTAATTCAATAAATTGTCTATCAGTTAATTTAATTACATTTCTGTGTATATAGATAATTAGGAGTCACGCTCAATTAGTCATTCACTAAACATTCCTTGCGCTTATGTTTCATGTGTTCATCTTTCTGTGCTCATTTTTCTTTCGCTCATCTTTCATTGATCCCCTGTCATATTTCATCATTACTATCTCTATACAGAGTTCTACTCTGTACGCGCGCGGGCAAATCATTACATTAATTTCAAACTAAAGAGGTACAGTAATCTTTTATTCCTTCATTGCTCCTTTACAATTTTCGATACTTTCTTTCACAAACTTTATATGAGGGTGATTCGCCGGTAATGCACGTTGCAGAATGTCCAAAGCGCGTTCGAAAAAAGTAATTGCTTTCGAATAGTCCTTAGTGTTACTGTAGACCCAACCGGTGTTGTTGTACGAAGTAGCCAAATCAGGGTGATTCGAAGGAAGATTCTTTTCTCTAATTTCAAGTGCTTTTTCATGGAATGAAAGTGCTTTTTCATGGAATGAAAGTGCTTTTTCATGGAATGAAAGTGCTTCAGAATGCTCTCCCATGTTGTCATACACCACACCGATGTTGTTGTAGGAAGTGGCCAAATGAGGGTGATTCGAAGGAAGAGTTTTTTCCTGAATTACAAGTGCTTTTTCATGGAATAAGAGTGCTTTAGAATGCTCTCCCATGCTGTTATAGACCAAACCGATGTCGTTGTACGAAGTGGCCAAATGAGGGTGATTCGAAGGAAGAGTTTTTTCCTGAATTACAAGTGCTTTTTCATGGAATGAAAGTGCTTTCGGATGATCTCCCATGTTCATGTAAACCAAACCGATGTTCCCGTACGAAGTAGCCAAATCCGGGTGATTCGATGGAAGAGTTTTTTCCTGAATTACAAGTGTTTTTTCATAGAATGAAAGTGCTTTAGAATACTCTCCCATGTTCTTGTAAACCCCACCGATGTTGTTGTACGAAGTAGCCAAATGAGGGTGATTCGAAGGAAGAGATTTTTCTCTAATTTCAAGTACTTTTTCATAGAATGAAAGTGCTTTAGAATACTCTCCCATGTTGTCATACACCCCACCGATGTTGTTGTACGAAGTAGCCACATCCGGGTGATTCGAAGGAAGATTCTTTTCTCTAATTTCAAGTGCTTTTTCATGGAATGAAAGTGCTTTCGGATGATCTCCCATGTTCATGTAAACCAAACCGATGTTCCCGTACGAAGTAGCCAAATCCGGGTGATTCGATGGAAGAGTTTTTTCCTGAATTACAAGTGTTTTTTCATAGAATGAAAGTGCTTTAGAATACTCTCCCATGTTCTTGTAAACCCCACCGATGTTGTTGTACGAAGTAGCCAAATGAGGGTGATTCGAAGGTAGAGATTTTTCGTCGATTTCAAGTGCTTTTTCATAGAATGAAAGCGCTTTCGAATACTCTCCCATGTTCTTGTACACCGTACCGATGTTGTTGTAAGAAGTAGCCAAATGAGGGTGATTCGAAGGAAGAGATTTTTGTTGGATTTGAAGTACTTTTTCATAGAATGAAAGTGCTTTCGGATGATCTCCCATATCCATGTACACCAAACCGATGTCGTTGTACGAAGTAGCCAAATCCGGGTGATTCGAAGGAAGATTCTTTTCTCTAATTTCAAGTGCTTTCTCATGGAATGAAAGTGCTTTAGAATACTCTCCCATGTTGTCATACACCCCACCGATGTTGTTGTAGGAAGCAGCGGACGAAGGGTGATTTGAGGGAAGAGTTTGTTCGTCGATTTCAAGTGCTTTTTCACAGTATTCTATAGCCATTGTATAATTACCTTGCCGATTTTGCAGGAAGCCAAGTTGATGATAGTAATGTGCTCTGTCATTGTTATCAGACGTTTGTTCCAGTAACACACTGTAGAGTTCTTCTGCTTTTTCCAACTGTTCAAGTTTAAGCAATAAGTGGCCCAAACGTTGCCATCCTGTACCCCCGCCAACTTCACTTTCAATATGATCCGTTAATACACGGAGTTGTGGATCGTCATCAGCAGTCAACTGAAGTTGTACCTCATGGTAAAGTTTTTTCTTGTCACCCAGTTGTCGAATAGTACCTATTCGAAACACGGTGTGCATGGAAAACAGGATCTCTGCTTCGCGTTCGAAATAACTAAGATCCCCGATTGATGCGAATGGAGTAGTACCAATAGTCGGATCGATTGTGATCACGAACAGAACACCCACCTTGTCGGGATCACGGAGAGCGCTGTAGGTGAACACAAGAGATTTCTCTTGTTTGATACTGGTGGATAAAAAGTTGTTGAACGATAAAAGACCACCTACAGTTTTGGATAACTGGTCAAAATCTTTCTTACATAGTCCCTGTCCACGGTAGACTACGAGAGGTTTTCGCCCGTAACTACTGACTTGTACTTGATGTAGTTGTTGTATTTGTTTGTGTAAATCATGAAGGAAAAATCCCATGTTAATAATGACTTCGCCATCCAAAGTACGAAGTGCTTGATTGAGCATTTTGTAAGTAAAACACTCACGTGTATACCACCAAATGGCCTTGTCTGGACGATAGTTACATTCAAACTCACCGATAACCCTTTGCTCTACGATGTTGTCTTGAAAACGCTGACGACAGTAATTGGCCAGGTCTTTGATTGCTTGCTTGTCATGCTCCATGTCGAGGAGGATCTTCTTAAATATTTGCGTGTACATAAAACTGGGTTCCAGTTGATTGAGATCGGCATTAGAACTCTCTCGTCTTACGGTGACAAAACTCATGGCGATGGAATCTTGATTGTGCTGTTTAACACCCGTGGTCAGTGCTTCACAGATTTCTTTGATATTTGTGTGAACACCTTCGACTTTTGACCAGCTCTTCGTCCAGGTTTCATGTGTGGATTTGTTGCTACAGAATATGTAGATGGTATTCACTTGCGGTATGTCGTGAATCTCGGGAACTAAGTGTTGACCTAAGGATCCCGATGTGATGACGAAAGCTTTTTCGTCACCAATGCTGTTGAGGAATTGAACGCAAGCATCTGGTTGACTGCATATATTGACATCATTGACAACACTTCGTAAGTGTGTCAAAGTGTTCTGACAGTCTTGGTCCTTTTCATCGATGTTGGCATCCACCCAAACTAAGAGGCAGTTTTGAACCATGCGTTGGCGCGGTTGGTTATTGTGCATTGTTGTCAGGGTTGCCATCCGGTCAGACCTAAAAAGGGGTACAACAATTCTTGAATGGGGTACATGTGGGGTACAATATTATGCACTATGGGGTACACAATTTTTTCATGATTAACAATAGAATTTACATCAAGAAATGCATTTCATAAAGTATTTATTTTGCAAAAAAGCTTTTTTGACTGTTTTTGTCTGTTCTGAAATTAGTCTTCGGACTCTAGTTTGTATGTTCGAAACGATTGTTCCCAGAGTATATATTCTTTGCACTAAGTATTCGCTCAAAAAGATAAGTTCCCTTAAAGTCAAGGACATAGTAGAAATTTGTTTGGGAAAATCGGCTACAGGAATATTTTGACAGCCGAAAAATATTAGAGACATCAATAAATTTTCGAAATGTTTTTGAAAATTCAAATATTTCGATTCGAGTAAAGATCAACCTCTCTGATCTTCTCAGAAAAGGTTCTACTTAGAGTATGCCTTCTCTAGTTGCATTAATTAATAAACATATTTTACACAGTAATATTTTTAATTGCTCTTAGAGCCAGACTATCTTACTTACTTATGTGTCGATGTGAAGCTATTATCATGATGTTAGCTTCACATCGATTATATATATTCAATGACGTCAGCTGGTTTTTTCCGAGTAATGTTTGTTTACATAAATCAATCAAGCGTGTTATGTAATACAAGACTTGATAAAATACATATATATTTCTATATATGAATATTTTTCATATACAATGCTTTCATCGAGTAATACCATAACTGACATAGGTTTTAGAGGAAATATTACTCGAATGGGAGCCCAGAACCAAATTATCATAATTTGCTAATTTATTTTGACCATAACGATTTTAATCAGCTGTGTTCGAGCCTCTGAAAAAGAATGATGGATTTAACTATTATCTTAATATCTACACTGAAAAAAAAAGGTGTTTTACCAAGCCAAAAAAGCAATCGGTCAGCGGGCACAATCGCTAAACTTCACATGGTTTGGTCGCAAAAAGGTTTGGTATCGACCCTTTACATGATCAATGATAAAAAAGGTTTCGCACATCAGGTTTCGTACGAAACCATTCCTGGAAAAAATCTAAAGGTTCCGTAGAAAAGATTTTGCACGAAACCTTTCCCAAAAATATTTTCAAAAGGTTTTTTCCGAGGGTTTCCATATGCAATACCTCTGGAGAATTTCCCACCACTGACGCCCTTGGTGAGTGCGTAATCCTTTTCCATGAGAGTCTTTATCTGTCTGATCCTGCCCAGTACGATAAGAGGCCAGCACAATAGAGTATTTCACCAGTTCTTCCTGTGAAAGTCATATTTACACCATCACACATCTGATCCTCGACGACCTAGAAGGTTTATACATAGATGAGATTGTTTTGAGCTGTATTCATGCATGTCATAAATGATATACACAAGAAACTGGAAAGTTACAAATGTTTCGAACTGCTTCAATTCAGTTCTCACGCTTACTTTTACTCAAGTAGCGCCTAGAAACATTCGTAACTTTCCAGTTTCTTGTGTATATCATATATGACATGCATGAATAGAACTCAAAACAATCTTATCTATGTATAAACCTTCTAGGTCATCGAGGATCAGATGCCTGATGCTGTAAATATGACTTTCACAGGAAGAACTAGCGAAATACTCTACTGTGCTGGCGTCTTATCGTACTGGGCAGGATCAGACAGATAAAGATTCTCATGGAAAAGGATTACTCACTCACAAGAACGCCTTACCTACACCGCTTACAGAATTGCCTACACTACTCACAGCTGAACATAGACTCACTGAAACAGCTATGTAAAATGAAACTCCTACCTTTCTCTCGTCCGCTTGATCGCGCTTCTCTATCACTAACAGACCACTGGCGACCTGAAATAATTCTAAAGCACAAACACAGGTATTCACTGAGAAGAGGTAGTTACATTTCATTCGCGCATTCCGCCCAACATATAACCTAAACAGCGAAGAATAATATATGGGAAGAAATAAGTATATACTTATGTATCCAATTGACCGCCATGTAGCCAAGTCATTTGAATGATTAGCCGGACAGTACACGNTAATTCACAAAAATATAAATAATGTTACATGATGTATGTAACTTCAATTTCTTGTTAATTGACAATGTCGAAAATCTCTGAAAACGGTACAACAAAGCAAAAACCACGATTAGATCTTAATGGTCATTCATACATCCAAGACCGACCTTACGGTGAAAAAATTTACTGGCGTTGCATTAATTATAAATCTGATAGCTGTCATTCTCGTCTACGCACCTGTATAATTACCAATTCGATTCTCAAACCACCTACTGAACATTCATGTAAATCCAATGCAATTGCTCATGAAGTTCGTGTTTTTTCTCAACAAGTAGCCGAACGGGCTTTAAACACGCAGGAAACGCCTGAAGCGATTATCACTAATTGCTACAAGAGTAAGTGACAGAAAACTTTTGAATAAGATCAACAATTTGAAATTCAATTTAGATATGTCAGACCCGTCGATCGCTCGTCTTCCAGTGCGCGAAAATATTAAACGTCGAATTCGAATTCTTCGTCAAAATAACCAATTAGTGAAAGAACCGAATGTTCCTAAATTTTTATCGGTTCCGAATGAACTAACTTTAACTCATCGAAAAGAAAGATTTCTTTGTTCTGACACAGGCCCAGGTTAGACGAAGAATAAGATAATTATGTTAACAAATGTTGTCTCTATTTCAGGTGATGATCGAATATTAATCTTCGCAAGTCCTGAACAATTACAAATTTTACAAACGTCTGGAGAATTCTTAGTTGACGGCACATTCAAAGTTGTTCCTGAAATCTTCTATCAGTTGTTTATTATCCATACTGTTTATCGTAATTATGTTGTTCCTGTGATTTATGCTTTATTAAGAGGAAAAAATACTGATACTTACCAACGTTTAATTGACGAAATCCTTAAGATTGCTCCAAATTGGTTGCCTCGCTTGATAATGATGGACTTTGAACAAGCATCTAATTATTAATGCCTTTCAAACCAAATTTCCAATTATACATCTGTCAGGATGTTATTTTCATCTTCGTCAAAGTATCCATCGAAAACTACAGGTGCTCAATAGTTTTGATAAAAGAAAACATCACTATCTCTCTTGTATAGGAACTCGATCATCAAACTGAATATCAAAATGATACTGTATATGCGCACAACATTCATAAAATTGCAGCATTGGCGTTTTTGGAACCCACCTCTGTCGTTGATGGATTTGAATTATTATGTGAAGAACTAGGCGAGGGATATGATGATATTTTAGATTACTTTGAATCAACGTATATAGGTAAGCACTACTGTGGTTTTGAATTAATATCCTTTTTATACATTTATTATCAGGAAAGTTAAGATCAAATCGAATTCGTCGAAAACCATTATTTGACATTTCTTTCTGGAGCATGCATAATCGAACAACCCAATCTTCTATGAGAAGAAACAATTGTGCGGAAGCATATCATCAAAGAATTAATTCAACTTTCCAATGTGCTCATCCGACGCTGTGGCTCTTTGTACAAAAATTAATCGATGAAGAAAACGTTGTTCACGCTGATCTGGTTCACATCAACGCTGGTGAACCACCGAAGAAAAAGAAAATCAATGAACGTCTGGAAAGACGTCTGTTAAATCTTCTGACTACCAATCACGCTCATATAGCTGTACAACTCAATTCGATTGCCTATAGTATTTCTCTATAAAAATAAATTCCAGTTTCTGACTAATTCAATAAATTGTCTATCAGTTAATTTAATTACATTTCTGTGTATATCGATAATTAGGAGTCACGCTCAATTAGTCATTCGCTAACGATTCTTTACGCTTATCTTTCATGTGTTCATCTTTCTGTGCTCATTTTTCTTTCGCTCATATTTCATTGATCCAAATTGTTCATATATTTGAGGAACTACTAGTAATTATAATAGACAGTATATGGTACAGTACTGACATCTTTTGTAGTAAAGAAGTAGACATAGTTTGCATTTACACTGAAGTTGTAAAAGGAAACAGTTTATGATTCTATGTAAATAAAGAAAGTTTCGACACAAGAAAAGCTAGAAGAAAAATCAAAAACAGACTTCAATTTCAAAAACTTTCTCGGCTTTTCAGGAGATTTAACAATTTTTATGAAATATCTTTTCTTATAGTTAATTTGTGACGAAATATCTCTTTAAACTCTATTTCTGTTCGACAGAATCAAATTGTTCTATTAATAAGTTTTGCACTCACCGACACTTACAATGACATATTTTCTTTCATGTCTTCATCATAGCGTACGACCGAACAGAAAGTACTTTTACGTACGCTCGTTACGTTTTTTTCTTTCTATATAATAGCGATGTGTTTTACAGTGTGCAACTATTTCAATAAACAAGGTATCAACAATGACAGAGCAAAAACGTGTGATTTTAGTGACTGGAGCAAATAAAGGCATTGGTTTTGAAGTCGTAAAAAAATTTCTTGATCAATCTTCTTCTAAAAACNAGCGCGGAACCCTTCATAGTTTCGGAAAATGAGGGATGGTTCGGTTCGTTTGGCACGGAACCTTCCATGGTTTGGGAAAGGGAGGAAAGGTTCAGGAGCTCTAGCACGGAGCCCTTGCTGACTTCATGAGATGGGGAATGGTTCGGGAGGCCCAGTATCGGAGCCCACGTGGTTCCGTAAAATGAGAAGTGGTTCGGGAGGTCTGGTACGGAACCTCTGATGGCTTCGTAAAGGGAGAAATGGTTCGGAAAGCGTGGTACGGAACTACGGCAGGTTTTGTACCAGACATACGAAACTAAAAAAGTTCAGTATACGCGCTGCTGAACCTTTCAATGGTTTGGCAATAACAGCACGAAACCTTTTTGGCCCTCAAAACCTTAAAAAATTCTTTATTTACGCTACGGAACCATTTTGGTGGTGCCAAACTTAAAATAGTTTGGTGGGCCATCACTAAACCGGAATGGCTTTGTGGACTACCTATTTTTTCAGTGTGGATAGAAAGGACTAATACTGAGGATAAGGATTGACTGGAAGATTTTCGTAGCTGATGAATCTGAATCTGATGCGAGTTCTGCTCAATTAATCATTGATGAAACCTTATCTTATTGGCTCTAGCAAAGGATTTGCATAGAGTTTTAGGAGAGGATAGTGCAGATAGGAGAACTGGTGTACCAGCAGGTTGGTAGGAACTTAGGGCACAATAGTAAGGAAAATGCTGTGATAACCGGAATACGTAATTTTTTTCTTTGTTAGAAGTAATCATAGCCGGAGTAAAAATCGTCGAAGTTCATGTCTTTTTATCTATGGTAATCAGATTTTATCATTGTATGGCTTATCGGAGCAAAGTTATTTTAGGCTTAAATTGCGAGGAGTAAGTGCTTCTTAACATCGTTGTTTGAATTAGGCACGCAGGAATTCCGATTCGATGGGATTCCGAATCCGATTCTCTAATCGATCAGAATTGGAATCGCAATCGATTGGGGTCAGATTTGGTTAAAAGTGGCTCGAATTGGTTTGCAGCTGTTATGATATAGTTAACAACTTTGGCAGACTTCGTGAGATCGAATAGGAAAGTAATTCTGAATGCTTGTTGTTAGTGAAGATTTGCGTGTTGCGAGCGAAGAGTTGTTGAAACTATTGCTGGTTGAATTAAACTTATTCATATATTTAAGTCTGGCTCAGATCGATTTTAGTCGATTCCGGGTTAATTCTGACTCCAGTTCCAGCCAATTCTATTCGAACTCGATTCTAGAATTTGAATCGGATTGCTTTGAATTGGGATTGGTGCATGCCTAATTTGAATCAATTAGATTTCGCGCGAAAAAAGTCCTAATCAGTGAATGATTCGTGAATTCAACCTCGGATAGCAGTTATTTGGGTTCAGAAGTTTCTTGTTCTCTCTTGAGTAATTGATTACTGTAATGAAAGCTAAAGGCGAACAATAGTCGTAAAGGTGGATTATTTTTGTCATTAAACTTGTTTTCGTGTTGTGGAATTCGTATCGTTAACTGAAAACTAACGCTATTGTGTATGTGAATATCATCTTCAATTTTTCGAAATAAAAAACGTTTCAAGAAACCATTTCACTATATGACGTTTATTTTAAAAAAATCAGTCGAGGGTAAAGCGAGTCTGCCTCGACGAGCGTTATTTATTAATAACAGGTGACACTTTGGTGGAAAAGATGATGAATCGAAAGTCATCTATCTGTTGCAAGAATGAGGAGGAAGTAAGCGCCAGGGTAAGGTTATCGCCAAAAATGGTTAGCCGCGAGTAGCTGAGTGGTGGAAGAGCGACGAATGACTAAACATTTAAATTCCAAATTAATCTTAAAGTATACGTTTGGAACTAGCGTCCTGCGGGAGCGACTTATCCGCCTGATTTTCCCGTTTTCCATTCCCATGAAAATGGCAAAGGGTCGAGAACTAGAAATTGAGGTTCTCTAAATTTTGATAAACTTGCTTCAATATTTTTACAAATTTCTGTCATAGAATTGCTAATTTTTGTTAATTTTTCTTTGAAGTGCGCAATTAACAGAAAAATAAGGAATCTGCATAAGCAAGAGTAGGTTGTTAGTTAAGTTTTAACTATACGGCTTGTCTAGGTAACGGCTAACTACCGTCATGATTGGAATCGATAGAGCTCATCGAGTTTGATCTGGAATCATGCTTGGAATGGTATCAGATATCACTCGGGCGAATCAGCTCGGGGCTTTCTGGAAATTATGCAATTTTGGGGGTACGGAAGTGACTTTTTGAGAAAATCTTTTTACCAATCGATAGAGCTCGTCGAGTTCTATCTGCAATCATTGTTGGAATAGTTGGAACACATACGAGGACGAATAAGTCCTGGAAAAGCTCGAATCGGGCGGAAAGATATCCTACATAACGATTTCTTTGAAATGTCGCAAAACTTTTGGTACACCCGGTAACTTCGGACAGGATTCGATATTTTCTTGAGTGGATTCGTTTCAGCGTAGGTTCCAATCAAACCAACACTGGTTCCAACTACAACTTGATCAGCTCTATTGGTTCCAAAAATAAAATTTCCAAAAAAATTCTTTCTTCACCCTCAAAACCTAAAAAAACTGCCAAAACTAGAGAAAAGCCGAAGCGGATTCGTTTTCCAACCACCGATCACGATTCTAACACTAGTTCTAGATCAAACTCGACGAACCCTATCGATTCCAATCATAAACAAATTTCACCACACCCTCACCCACGCAGCCAATCATCTTAAACCGCAGGTTTTTCTATACAAACAATAATAAAAGACGCTTCTATATACGGATGTGGAAATGGATGATGGTGGTTGTGGGTGGGGTAAAATTTGTTTATGATTGGAATCGATAGGGTTCGTCGAGTTTGATCTAGAACTAGTGTTAGAATCGCGATCGGTGGTTGGAAAACGAATCCGCTTCGGCTTTTCTCTAGTTTTGGCAGTTTTTTTAGGTTTTGAGGGTGAAGAAAGAATTTTTTTGGAAATTTTATTTTTGGAACCAATAGAGCTGATCAAGTTGTAGTTGGAACCAGTGTTGGTTTGATTGGAACCTACGCTGAAACGAATCCACTCAAGAAAATATCGAATCCTGCCCGAAGGTATCCTACGTCGATAACCGGTGTTGATAAATATTCTACTTTAAAAGGAAAAACATTGATATATAGTTAACATAGATATTTTGATAGAAGGAAAATCAATAATGCATCTTGGCATACGAAATGGCATGATTACACATTCCTACTATGTGCGAGTTAGACGAAATGTGGAAGAATGCTAGTGCTTATTCATCAAATACCGGTAATTTTATCGGTGCGAAGCTGGAACCATGTAGCTCGCACCAAATAGAGAAAAATAATTCAAACCTTATATTCAAATGAATTCCCGTCCATAAAAGTAGGCTCTTTCGATGCGAAATTTGATTCTGCATCGGATGAAATTACTTTCATAGACGAGAACTCATTGGAACATAAAGTTTTGAGTGGGTTTTCGTTTTCTTGTACTAGTTAAATGGTGCTAGCGTCACATCGATGTAATTTTTGTTCCGTTCTGTATATACGTGTCGGTTAGAATACTTCATAAATCAGCTCTATAGATAAGAAACTGGAAATAGTCATGCTGATACCACCATTTAGAATTCATTACGAATAATTCGACCATCATAATTTGGCGATATGTCATACAGAAGAGGAACTATGAACTATGAATTCGAGTTTGGCTGATGTCAACTCTGGTTCACTTCTGAAAACTCGTATCCACTCTTTAATATATCATTAAAGACAACTATTATATTTATATGTATGCACCGAATTTCTGATGTTCTCCAACTTATTACGAGTGTTGTCAAAAGTAGATATTGCCAATTGTCTTAGAGTTGAACGAAATTTCATGAACAGATCTGCATTGAAAACGTCTTTCTCTTCGTAGTTTGTATTGATGTTTGACATGGTGAAATTGAAGCGAAAGATAAAAAAATCCAAGAAGAATGTAACCTTTCTTAGAGCGGAATACAAATGACGAACGAACTAGATCAATATAAATAGATCGGTTCAATCTTTGATTAGAGATTAGTCGGTGGCGATAGGATCTTTTTCTCGTTCTCTCGTCTCATTTGACATTCACATCTTTTCTCTTCTCGATTGTTGAACAACAAAACACCTCAAGAATGAAAATATGCAACTGCTAAATCGTCATCGACAACCTTGTAATAGTAAGTAAACGAGGGATATTACATATCTCTCGTTCGGCTAATATTCGAGAATTGTGAGAAGAAAAAATTGTTCGTGATCATTTGATAATCTTTTATCTAAAACTTCACCATGAATAAAAAAGTGACTTATCTTTTTCATGGTAAGAGATACTAGCGACTTTCCTACCCTAGATAATCTCTATTGGCAAGCTACTTCTTCCTCTTTTGCTTTTCCATTTCAGCTTTTAGCTTTCGCTTAGTCGTCATTATTTTCCTTTTTAAATCTATACACGCTGAATACGACTGCTCAGCGCAAGATGATGGCTGGTATTATGATCCAGATTTCTGTCATATCTATTGGCGATGTATTCATGGAACATCGGAAGAATTCGAATGTGCAAGTGGTACTGCTTGGGACCATCACGAAAATCGTTGCAATTGGCTAGACAATGTTGATTGTTCGCGTGCTGAGAAAACAACAGTTAAAATAGTCGTTGATGATGGAAATGAAAATAGTAGTGAAGAAGCTCATCATAATTCAACAGATGAATCTGAGGATCAACCTACTGTTGTTAAGAAATCGAAAAAGAAAAAGAAAAATTCTCGAAAATTAAATTCCGATAAACGAATGCTTCCTGGTGAAAAGAAAAATGGCCTAGATCTTCATGATCGTGAGATTTTGCTTTTTTTACTCATTAGCTTCCTAGTGCATGTCACTTCTCTTCTCTAAGATTTACTTCATGATATGAATATCCACATATATATATATATCACTTACACTTCTCTTCCAGTCATTCTTCTGATTATTTTTCAAACAAATGCATCCACTGATTTTCTCTGTGCTGGTCGTGATGGATTTTTTGCGTAAGATATCTTTATTTCTTGTTCTTGTGAATGACTCGAATGAGAATAAACGCATGTTGTATTTTCTTAGCCATCCCGAATATTGCACGAGATATTACCGATGCTCGCATGGAATTGATGAAGTTTTTGAATGTCCACGAGGTACTGCATGGGATGAGGTGACAAAATCGTGTGCATGGGTCGAACAAGTTGATTGTCAGGATAAAAAACTAGGCTATTCAACAAGAACAACAACTGAAGGCATGAAAAATTCTTCTCCTCGACTCCATGCTATATCATCCAACTAATAAGTCTTCGATTTTTTTTCTTGTATTTCAATAGATACAACAACATCGAGCAAAAATTCCGATTCCGATTCGGTTTCGTCAGGTGGTAATCCACCATCGGCCGTTTCATCAACGAACGGCAAGGATGGTGGCGCGGTTGTGATTGAATGTCAACCAACTGGAATTTATACAGTACCGGATCCAGCTGAATGCAATGCCTATTATCAATGCGATAAAGGTGTCCGAACACGAGTCGTATGTCCAGAGAAAACATTTTTTGAAACGGAAAAGCGCGAATGTATGGAATTGGAACGCGTTTCCTGTGGCACAAGAGCGATCAATCCAGCAGATAAAAATCAATGTAAGAGTTGTCATCCATTCTTCTTTAAGAACAAAAAATGCTGTATTCTTCTAGGTGTAAATAAACGTGATGGTATTTATCCTGATACTGAACGTGATTGTCACTACTATTATCAATGCGTTGAACAAAACAAACTACGTGAAGCTAAATGTGCGGGTGATAACAAATTTAGTAGTTATACAGGACGATGTGGTCCAGTTAGTACCGTACCGATGCCATGTGGTAGATATGTTCCTGGAAATTTCGCAACAAAAAGTACGATAATATATATGTTTTCTTGAATAAAATACGAGCTTTTTGTTGATTTTTTAGGCCATCAAACGATTCATATCCTATCTATCATGATGATTCTTTTTGTTATTTTCTATGTATAATAAAATATTGGTTTCTGTACTAGATTTCTTTTACTACTATCATTGTACGTGCCTATTGTTGCAGTAGTTTGTGTTTAAATAAAGATAATTATCATAGTTGACTGGTTATAATTCTCTTAGAATCGATATGCGAAACAGCAGTTCATCAAAGATGTACGATTACGTCATTGTATTAAATCCTCCTCACTCCTTTATATGGTTATGTTCTCGTTTATGACAAAGACAATACAATGATGCGTATACAGAAGCATAACGTTAAACCTCAAACATACAAACAAACAAACGTCGAAGAACATTTCTGAACAGCTTTGTATTTGTAAGTATGTGATACTTCAATCGAAGGATACACGTACATATACATTCCTCACGAGAGGCAAAAGGTTAGATGAACAATAATTCGAATGACATGTTAGAAATCCATAGTATATATTACAGTTGTATATGTCTATATTAAAGAAATAAGCGTAGAATGAATAGTGAGCGTTTGTGGTGGGCTATTAGTTATTTAACAGGTACGATATATCTGGCTTTTCTTTGTCTTCGAAAGATTAAGAGTATACTTTAATTAAAGTGATAATAATTTTTCTACTTCCTTCGACTGAGTCACGTATTTTATCTAAAATTATTGGTGACACAACTTCGATTGCTGACAATGTTCAACAAAAATTGACCACATTTCAAGATACTATAACGACTACTCTATCGAATGGAATCTTTCCATCGCTAGTAACAAAACCGAACTCCTATTTATACGATTCTGATGAAGATGACGAAATCATATTAGATCGAGTTAAACGAGACCCTGCTCCATTCGTTTGTAAAGGTACAATGACGAATTTGATTTCGAGTTGTTCTATTTCGTCCTTCACAGGGGATGGCTACTATCCTGATCGACAGAATTGTCGAGTATATCACATCTGTACATCTGGTGTCGATACACCATCAGTTTGTGGTGAAGGCACTGTCTGGGATCCAGTGAAGAAGAATTGTAATTGGGAAAATACCGTTCAATGCAAAAAGGGACTCCGTCGATGGGATCAAATTACAGACGCTGGAGGAGGTGAACATGGATGTAATTTAGTTTCGGTGAATTCAATCATTTTCACTTGTAATTTAGTGACTCTGTTTGCTACTGATCCAGCAATAATTTGGCGATCAAAAAAATCAACAACAGTTCCTGCACAAATCAAAGTAGATTCAAACTTTTCATGCGAATACGACGCCGAAGGACTCTTTCCCGGTACTGTTCTCTTTCGTATAACGATTTTTAATGATAGACTTCATTGTTTAGACCCAAAATACTGTCATATCTATCATCTGTGTGGCATTGGCTTTCACATAGTTCAAGAATGTAACGCCAATCTTTGGTTTTCCAACAAAACACAAGGTTGCGACTACCCACACAATTCTGATTGTAAGATAGCACAGAAAACTGCCAAATAAATTTGGTTCTTCGCTTTTCACAGGTGCTGCTGGTTATTTGTACACATCATCAACAGGAGCAACGAATGTGGTTGACGAAAATGGAAACATCATCGTAACACAACGTTATCCAAGACCGAACAATGCCTATCTACCTATTGTCTGTCCACGCGACAAACAAGTTGAATTGCCGGATCCTTACGATTGTTCAGCATATCACTATTGCAACGGTGCATAGATAAATAACTAGCAGATCTTCATTATCTAACTACGTTTTTATTCTCTAGGCGGTGTTGACACACCAAGATATTGTGATCCTGGGCTATTTTGGCATAAAAGTAAGTATGAAATCTGTATGTGGATAATACCTATGCTTTTCATTTATAATTCTATCCAGAACATGGCTGTCAATGGCCTAAGGACGTTCTAGACTGTAAGATTTCAATAGTAGGAAAATTTGTACTATTCTTTCCTCGCCCAGGTACACCTAAATGCCCAGCAAACGGTCAGAGAATACGTTTAGTAGCCCCGCATAGTTGTTGTCACTATTACGAGTGTATCAATGGTCATTTGAAAGAACAAGTGTGTCCATTACACAAACTTTACGCTGTCGAAACGAAAACGTGTGAAAACTTCCAAGTTGTAAATTGCGGATCGCGGAAAAATTGTATTGATCTTTGTAAGAACTGACTTCTCTTTGCCTATCCATCATTTCGAGATTTTTCTCTCAATTTAGGTGACTATGACTATTCACCTTCCTGTGAGTTTGTACCCGTTTGTCGAGACAAACCAAATGGCAATTATGTCGATCAATATCGACCCAATTGCCAGTTTCACTATACATGTCTCGAAAGTCGAACATTCAATTATAAGCCTTGTGACCAGGGTCATAGTTTTTCCGTTCAGCATCAACGATGCCTACCAGCAGAACAGGTTAAATGCTCAGGAACTATCCTGAATAGTTTCTTTTCGCTTACCTTCTATGTCGTCTTCTCGATTTTAATGAAGTTTCTTAGATAAAACGAAGCTAGTTAGTTATATAGAGGTGTAGAGATTTATTTTTTGTATGTTTCATTCACCGAAAATAAACGGGTATGTTTTGTACAAGAACAATGACTAGGATTGTTTGGTTTGGTTTTCGAAGAAAAATAATTATACATAAATCTATATATATACGATAAACAATGCTAGAACGCAATGAATTCTCTTATGTTAGGACAGTGTTCCATTTAATGCAGTCGGTCGATGTCGATTCGTTGAATGCTGAAGGTGTAGAGAGTTTGCTGAAGGTGTACGGGAAAAATTCGATGCAGGACTTAATAATGCTGATGATGGTGGTAGAGGAAAAACAGGATTTGACGTTTCATTGATAAAATCGTGTAAACTTGCTGAACTAAGATCCTTCGGACCCTGACCAAGTGATGCTTGCGAAGACGGTGTTGGAGGTGGTGCATGCCATGGTTGTGCATAGTAGTTCCGAGGATCACCCATAAGTGCAATAGGCGGCGGTACTGGCCAAGGACTCATTGGCCAGTAGTTCGCTTGATTTTGAAATGTGTGAAATAGATTTTGAAACATTTGTTGCTGTGACGGAGGTGGTAGCATTGGTGGCGGTAAAAATTGACTTGAAGGCGTTTTCTTTATTGATTTCGAAAGATCAGTTCCTTCGTCATTAGTAGATTTGTTTGAATGTCGAGATACTTTTGTTCGAGTGGTGGAAGAAGAGTTTTGTCGCGAGCGTTTTTTTGGTTCTGATTTGATCGGAATCTCAGCCCTAAATTAGAGAAGTCGAAATAAAAACTGTGATAGATCCTTTCTTTTTCTTTCATACGATATCACATTGGATTTCGACAGATCCATCAATTGATCTTCATCAGACTTTTCCAATACTCGATTGTGATTGTTCTTTGATGTATGAAGCGGTGAAACAGTGGCGATTGGTTTTGTTAGACGCGTTGTTGTTGGATTTGTTAGAGATACTGGTGCTGATGTTGAAGGATTATTGTTCGGTGTCAGTGGCTCATCAGCTGCAAGAAGTTTATTTGCTTCTTGGATAACTTCCGAATACGAAAGTTGCTTTTGTTCGACGATTTCATTTGGATTTTCATTTTCCGACGGAGTTATTGGAGGATTCGCTGGTGCTATTGGAATGAGCTTTTGTTCTTCTTTAATCTTCTTTTTCTTTTCAGTTTTAGGCTTTTTCGTTGATGGTTGGTCATTGCTATTCGGTCTAGTCGAGAAACGCATGAAATTTCAACGAAATACATCACATCATTCCATACTTTTTCAATCTTTTCTTTGACTTTGAAAGCTCATTGAGTGGATTCATGGAATAGTGAATCGGCGTCGTTATTGTCATGGTTTTACAGTCAAGTAATGTACATTCTTTCGGTTTGATGAGTTCGACAGTTTCATTTCCCTGTAGTTGTTCAGTAGCAGAATTATTCAAACTAATTGTTCGAGCTTCCGCTGGTGTAAATGGTGTTGTATGCACAAATGTACTCGGATTAATATGATTATAAATATTCGCCGAACGAATAAATGCCGGAGGTTTCGGTTCGATCTGAAATAGCAAAATAATCAAACAAATGAGCGTTAATTCATTCAACTTACAGTATTTGTAACTGGCTGAAGAACCGTTGTATCTTGTTCTTCATTTCCAGGTTCTTCGCGTTCGATCACAATCACTTGGTAGTATAAATGTAACTGCTTCTGTTTTTCCGATTGGTTTCCTTTCCATGCACTGATATGATTCAATATTAAACTATCCAACAAAACTTTATGATCGTATAATATATCAATTTGATATCGTGTTCGTTTCGAGAGTGGTAAGACTTTTTTTAAATATTGTTTCAATATACTAATAGGCATGTTTGATGAACATTCAAGAAAATACATTTCATGTGTTTGATTATATTCGAGTGTAATGTAAACAATTTCCTTATTATTTAATCGATCCTTTTGTTGGAATAAACATCGTTCACTTAATTCGCCGAGCTCTTCTTCTCGACAGCCCATTTGTGACGCGTGAGTTTTCGTATATTGGTCGATCAATTTCGTTTTACTTTCAGGATTCGAATCGTAAAACATTCGACGTTGACACATTTCGCGTTTAAATAGCGATGGAACTAATTTGTAAACAATCTGTTGCAACCAACAATCTTTCGTTATGCCGAGTAGTGGATTAGCTGGATGCGGAACTGTTGAACATACTGGACACGTGGTGTTTTCATCCTGATCATTAAAATATGAAAATATACATGGACGACAGAATGAGTGTAAACATTCGTTGATGGTCCATGCATCGATCAGATAACCTGAACAAAGCCGACAGGTTAAATGTTCATTAATAACATCAAGAGTTAGCTTTTTCGGTGATACCATGATCTAGAACAAAAAGAGCTCTTGTGCATATTTTGAACAAAAAAAAAATGTACGTATACGCAATAATGTTTGTGTGTCTGACGACTGCCTGCTTTCGACGGTCAGTCAGTCATCGAATGTGGTGAAGGAAAGAGAGAAAAAGAAAAAAACAAGGGAGAGAAAACGAGAAGAAGGACGATGAACTTGCTGTACAGACGCATTTGCTCGCTTGTACGGATACATATTCAATTCTTTTCTTTTCTTTTCCTTTTTTTATCCATTTGTTCAATGAGATGAGAGAAGAGTACGTATCATGCAACGACCTGAATGAAAAGAGAAAAATAAAATCGTCCCTTTCCTTTTTTCTTCTTCTCCTTCTTCTAATACATAGGCAGATGTCTTTTTTCTTTTGGAAGAAATACTTCAACGAATGAGATTTGTGCATATCATTGATAGGTTGAAAAACGATTGGTTAGAAGTCAATAGAATGCGCGCGATTATTGTAATCGACATCGAGGTGTAATGTCTCTGCTTGTTCAAATAATCTTTTGTCTTTTATCTAGATCATAAATCTTCCTTACATTAGAGGATCGGTTTACTTTTCTCATGAGAAGTTCTATCTAAGCTACTATCTGCTGAACGTTTAGGTTTGAGAGAATACCACTTCGAGCTTTGCGTGTGACGGCATACTTCTATTTGACTTCCGTGCAATTTTTCGCTTGGCTCGTTGCTTCGAGATGTCATCTCTTAAGTTCGATCGATCATTAACATGAAAGTATAAGCTTAGCGGCAAGTTATGTGTTCTAATTTTTCAAGAGAAAAAAGGACAGATGTTGTGAAGAACGAACTAAGATGACGCAATGATAAGAATTGTGAGCGGTTTTAGTTCAAAAACAGATGCTATTACTTCGTATTGAGCGACTTAATCATCATCTCAAGAACTTTGAGTGTGAAGTCAACGGTCGATGCATTGAACAAGAAATCTCAAGGAAATGAAAATCAGCTTTTGCATTTTGCAAACGAATCAGATGAGTTTTTGTTTTCGAAGTGCGCGTTCCTGATTTCTAACAAATAGGTTGTTTTCCTTCTCTAAGTTTTCACATTCTCTTTTATCGGACTTATGTTGTCGAATATCGTTCTGTTTCAGTTATTGTTGATATTCAATACTGTTGTATTCACGAATAGCTTTCTCTTTACCAAGGTAAGAACATTCATTTCGATGAGATTCAATGACATACGTGACTATTTTTGTCATTAATCAAAGAAAAATAAACATAATCACCATCTAATCACTGCCCAACATGATCCACAAATGCCTTTGAAGTTTCGTAAAATTTTACAAGAAGTTGGTGATAGTCCTGTAGTGAAGATTCAACTCGGTCGTACGCCAGTGCTCGCTGTATTAACTTTCTTTCTGAACATTGCCAGTCTGGGAAAATTCTACAATAAACAAATAGAACTTGGTTATGACCAGATCTATCATAACTATCTTTTAATTACAATTGAAAATGACAATAGCCCATCTGTATTGCAAAACGTGATTACAGCAGGAACAAACGCCACAGGTACTGCGATTTATAAACTTGAAAAAGCCCAGCGAATTGCTTTGAAGAAACCAATTTTTCCCACTGAATTCGTTGATATCTACGATATTCCATTAACACCGAGTAAACTCTATACATTGAATCGTTTGATAACAGCCGCAACCAATATCGACAAAGACTTCTACACGTACGATGCTGGCAACAATAATATGTGTCAAACGTTCGTCGAGAATATTGTTGACATCAATGGTTTAACACAAAACATTGCCGATGAAAAAACGCGATTAGCTTTGAAACCACAAGATGCCAAAGCTTTAGTTGAAACACTCGGTAGCCGAAAGGATATCGTTAAACGTATTACAGATTTAGGTGGTAAACTAGATAAACTAATACACGATAAAAGAATTCAGTGGAAAAAACCAGAGCCGAAGAGATTCGCATTGGTTGGGAATGTACATGTTAAAGTATCTCATCCCGTACAAAATACGATCGATGAAATACCACTGCAAAAAAGTAACAATGAAGTGGTTAAAATCGATGGTATGACCAACACTATTGTTGAAAATGCTGACAATATATATGATGCGGCAGTCGCTTTGGAAAGCAGTGAAGGAAAATCAAAATCAATGAATATCACTTTTATCATCCTTGGAACTGTACTATGTGTACTCGCGATCGGTGCTATAGGAGCTATAATCGTATCGAAACGAAAAAGCAGTCGAGGTTCGTATGCTACAATTCCTTTGATTAACCGTTTCGTATATCCGTCACACTTTTATTTAAGGTAAACTTGAGAAAAGTGAAATCATGAAGGATTTCATCGATCAAACGAAGAGTGAATCAACTGAAATAACGACTGAATAATATTAGTTTTGTGCTTTTTTTGTGCTCGTACAAAAGATTTCAGGCAAAGTTTATTCTTGAGATGTAATGAAAGACTTTTAGTATGTACGACACTTGTTTGTTAACTTATCACAGATGCTTGTTATTTATCAGACAAGAGAGATAACCGGGAGATAGCATGCAGAGATAAACAGGTATTTGCTCTTGGGAGTGATTTAACAGTCAGAAAATATATTGGGGAATTAGACAACATACTGGGTAGTATGTATTTTCTCCTCACGATTATTTTGTCTAGCTTGGTGTTACCAAGCACCGCATCGTTAGCTGATAACAAAACTGAACATGCTATTGTGATTGATTCATTAGACATCGCACCCGTATGGGCCGGACATCCTGTGAATTTTGTTTTCTTGACTCACGCACCGTACCAATTCGTTGCGTACTACGATGCAACACGTCAAATGACTGTTGTACAACGAAATTTAAATGAACGTACTTGGACAGTCAACAGATTACCGATAGTTACTGGTTGGGATAGTCATAATTACATTGCTATGGCAATCGATGATGATGGTTACTTACATTTAAGTGGTAATATGCACGTGGTACCCTTGGTCTATTTCCGTACATCGCAATCTTTGAACGCGTCGACATTTGTTGAATTGAACCGAATGATCGGCACAGATGAAAAAAATACGACGTATCCAATGTTCTTTCGAGGACCAAGCAATGAATTTCTTTTTACGTATCGCAGTGGTAAGAGTGGCAATGGCAATCAGATCTATAATAAATATGATTTGACTACTAAGACATGGAGTCGTTTACTTGATAAACCATTTACAGATGGTGAAGGCAAACGTAATGCTTATTTCGATGGACCAATCAAAGGTCCCGATGGATATTTTCATTTGGCTTGGGTATGGCGAGAGTCACCAGATGCATCTACAAATCATGATCTTAGTTATGCACGCAGTAAAGATTTACTCTCTTGGGAAACTGGTTCTGGTCGAGCACTGACACTACCTATCACTTTAGAAACATGTGAAATTGTTGATCCGGTGCCGCAAAAAGGCGGAATTATCAATGGTAATACAAAGATTGGTTTCGACCAACAAGGACGTGTTACGATTAGTTACCATAAGAATGACGCTCAGAATTACACGCAGCCATGGACGGCAAGATTAGAAAACGGTGTATGGAAAAAATATCAAATTACCAATTGGCCATGGCATTGGGATTTTGGTGGCGGTGGTTCATTGGCTTTCGCTATTTCACTTGGACGCGTAACGAAAGAAGGTGATGGAAATTTAACTCAATCATTCAATCATATCAAATTCGGAAATGGTACTTGGTTGATTGATCCCGTATATTTAAATGCAACTGGTAAACTTCAACGAGAAACGATACCACCGTCTATGCTGAAAGTAGAAGGTACTTTTCCGGGCTTAGGTGTACGATTAGCAGAAGATTTTGGTGAATACAATGTCCCGAACACTCGTTTTGTATTACGTTGGGAGACTCTTGGTAGTAATCGTGATGAACCCCGTCCACCTCCATATCCTTCGCCTTCTATGCTACGCATCTATACTGTGAGAGTCGTTTGGACAAACCGACGTCGTATAAACTAATTTCTTTCATATTTTATAATGTGATTTCAAATAAATTCTTGAGAAATGCGTTGCACGCCACTGCTTTAGATCAGAACCCGTACGCGCTTCTTTAGCGGCATCTATGGTAAGCATTTCAGACAGAACATTGCTTCGATTGGTTAGCTAGCACTGAGACATCATGCGTTATTGGCTATCTCAAAAAGTTCGTTTCGTTTTTGTTCGTTTTCCTTGTAGTTTGTCATTGATTATTTTGTTCAGTGAAGTCAGAGAGTATTTTCCATTAATCCGCCATTCATGACTCATCAAGGAGAAGATGGTGAAGCTGCTGAAGAAGGTAAAACTAGCAGTGTTTTCCGTCAATTGGATAGAAAATCTCTTCTCTCTTTAGAAATCGATGTCGAAACATTGGAATTACCACCATTACCGGATCATATCCAGGCACTTCTAACACCAAAATATCGACTCGTGATCACTAAGATCGAAATTAACAATTTCAAATCATTTGCTGGCCGTATTCAACTTGATCAATTCGATGAAGTATAGATGATCAACAACTATCTTACTGCAATTTTCACTTCCTTCTTTTCCATTTCAGCATTTCACATGTATTATCGGACCTAATGGTAGCGGTATGTGAATTTGTTGATTATCCAAGCTAAAAAATTTATAGTTTTCCAATCCATTTAGGTAAAAGTAATGTGATTGACTCGCTTCTCTTTGTCATTGGTCATCGTGCCTCGAAAATGCGTGGTGCTAAACTGAGTACACTTTTACATAATAGTGCCGAATGTCCCGATGTGAAGAGTTGTTCGGTGACTGTACACTTTGAAGCAATCGCTATTGAAGGCGAAAAAGAGAAAATACGTTTTTCTATAACACGTATCGCTTTTCCCGACAATTCCAGTCATTACAAAATTAATGAAAAACAAGTTTCATTGAAAGACGTGACAAAGTTATTACGCGAATATGGCGTGGATCTTGATCATAGTCGATATTTAATCCTTCAAGTAAGATTCGGTTTTTCCTTTTCAGCAGATTGGTTTACTAACGAGAAATCTTTTCAAGGGTGATGTCGAATCGATTGCAATGATGAAACCAATTGCTGCCAACGAACACGAACAAGGATTTCTTGAATATCTCGAAGATATCATTGGTACAGAACGATTCAAAAAGCCACTCGAATTACTCAATCTCAAAGTTGAAGAACTGAGTGCCATGTGGGCTGAGAAGGTACAGTCAAAGTTTTCAGTTTCTCTCGACAAAAAAATCATCTTGTTCTAGAAAAATCGTGTCAAAGCTGCTCAAAGCGAAGTTCAACAACTGGACGGTCCGTATCAACAAGCATTAGACTTCATCAAATGTGATAACGATTACAAATTATCCAAATCGAAAATGCTGCAATTGAAACGATTTGAATTAGGTGATCAAGAAGTAGCTCTGACAGTTAAATACACCGATCGAGAAGAGAAAATGAAAGAATCCGATGAACAATGTTATGCGAAGAAACAATTATGTAAACAAAGTCAAGACGAACTGAATCGGTTACAAAAGTCGTTCGATAAAAACAATAATGAACTGACTAAATTGAAAAAGTCACTTGTTGACTATGAAACTGAGGATGGCACGATTCGAAATGAAATCAAAACAAGTTTCGATCAAGAAAAGAAATACGAAAAACAAAATGAACAAGAAACGACAAAAATGAAAACATGGGAAAATGTGCCCGACGAGAAAACGACTGAAATAAGCGAAGCTGAGGAGAAACTCAAAGTAGCAGAAGCTGAACAAGAAAAACTCGAATTAGAATTAAACAAATTGAAACAAGATTTGCTACCTCAAACAGAAGAATGGCGAAAGGAATTAACCGAAAAAACCAACAAGTGTCATTGCTTCAAACAGGACAAATACGCTAACAAGAAGAAAGATTATGAACTAGCACAAAATCGTTTACAATTGTTATTAAGTGAAGAGGAACGACATAAGAATACATTGAATGAAATGAAAAATGATCATGATAATAAACAAAAGGAACTTCAAATTAAACAAGAGAAGTTTCGAGAGATTGATCAACAACTCACCCAAACAGAAGGATTACATCGAGAAAAAGAACAATTGTTGAAAGGTATCGAAGAAGAATATACAGTTGTTGATAAACGTTTCCGACAAAATCAATTGGAATTAAACAATATGAATTCCCAAATGCAAACTACACAAAGTCGAGACAAAACATTGAATTTTCTTCTTGGACAAAAACAACAAGGAAAACTACAAGGGTTTCATCAACGATTGGGTTCTCTCGGTAAGAAACGAATCGACTAGTCAACCAGCCGAAGTTTCTTCCTCGTTTTTCCCTTTCAGCTAATATCGATAGTAAATACGATGTTGCCATCTCCACTGCAGCTGGTGGTTATCTTGATTACTACGTTGTTGATGATGTCAAGAGTGGTGAAGCAGCAAAGAATCTTTTGAAAGAACATAAACAAGGTACTGGCAGTTTCATTTGTATGGACAAAATGCTTCGTCACGCTCAACAAGCCAACCGTCGTTTTGATGTTCCACAATCGGCACCGAATACTTATCGTTTATTTGATTTGATTGATATTAATGATTCAATCTATAGAAACACGTTTTATTACGTTCTTCGCGATACGCTAGTTGTTGACAATATCGATGATGCACAAAAAGTTGCATTTGGCAGTCAGACACGCTATCGTGTTGTCACTTTGAAAGGTGAAATTATCGAACAATCGGGTACGATGTCTGGTGGTGGATCATTTCAAGCTCGTGGAAAGATGACACTGAAATCAGCTGATCATCGTGCCTCGGCACGGCAAAGCGTAACGATTGATCCAGCGAAGAAAACTCAATTAGAAAAAAGCGTGAAAGAGGTGAGAGAAGATTGGCTAAGAGAAGATTTCAATGATTGTCAATATTTAGGACGGAGAAAAATTGACTGAACTTGAACAACAACGTTTTCAATTGACAACCGAAGAGAAACAATTGCGACAAAAACTAGCTGATGAAAAACGAATGCATGCACAAGTGAAAAATGACCTCAAAGTAAATGCAATGATGATGAATTTTTATTTACTAAATTTGACATTTGTTAATCTTATAGAATTTGCCGAATCATGTTGAAACATTGAAAGCATCAGTGGAAAAACAACAAAAACTTGTTGAGTCAAAGACGGTTTCCATCAAGGATCGTGAAATTTACGATGAAGAATTGAAGAAAACAAAAGAAGGTAATTGAACCCAACATTTCGTGTCACTCATGCTGAATCCCCTCGATTTTGCTTAGAATACGATGCGGCAAATGATGAACTGGAAGAATTAAAAGCAGCAATCGAAGTGTAAGTTTCATCTTCTATTGTGAAAATCATTCCCTGCTCTTTTTTCTAGTGTAACAAAACGTATCAACGATCATAACAAACTGGCACTCGCAAAACCACAAGCTGATCTCGACAGTGCAGTTAACGAAGTAAAAGAATTACAGAATGTAATCGATACAGCAAATGTTGAGATTACCAATGCACGTCGGTGAGTTAGATGAGAACGAATGTGTTGATTTTCGTTGATGATAAATTTGATTAGGAATTTGAAAAAGAGTCAAGATAAAGTCAAAGCAAATCAAGTTGCTATCGAGCAATTATTGAAAAAACGTGCTGATTTCAATGCCCGATTGGAAAAATTGGAAGAATTGGCCAAGAATGCTGACGAGAAGAAAAATGAGATCGAAGTGAGATTCTTCCTTTCTAAAAACTGTCGAAAAAAAGATTGAATCGATTTTATTCGTTTAGACCGAATTGGAAGCTAGTAAACAAAACATGACAGAATTACGAGAAACAATTCGTGTGACCGAAGCAGAATTAGCAGATATTGAAAAAGAAATTGTTCATTTGAAACACGAATATGAAGTCGCACAAAAAGAATTAGCTCAATGTCGACACGAAATAAGTGTCATTGATGTTGAGGTAAAGTTTTCTGACTTTTCACATCAGAAAGAAAATCAATCTTGAGGATGTAAATGTTTAGATTAATGGATTACGTTTAAGTCAAGTTATTGACGACGAGGAAGATGTGTTGGATGACAGTGCTTCGACAAATTTTCTCAAAGAAATTCCTATTCAAAAATACGATCGTCCTGATCTGGATGTTTACACAATGAAAGATCTTGTTGCCGCAACATTAGAACGAGAAAATGAATTGAAGCAAACCCATTGTAACCTTACTGTTATTGGTGAACATCGTCGTGCTGTAAGAAATCCTTTGAAAAAGTAATTCGCATTTATTGAGGATTATGCTTTTTTGCTGTAAAGAATCGGAATTTAAATCTTCGACAAAAAGATCTACTGGAACTTGAAACACGTCGTGATCATATCCGTGCAAAACGTGATCAGTTCAATGAACAACGGCAAACAGAATTTCGTGCTGGATTCGATCAAATTTCTCGTACACTAAAACATATTTATCGAACGATAACCGATGGTGGTGATGCCGAATTAGAATTCTGTTCAAGTAATGATCCGTTTGTTGACGGTGTTGAGTTGAGGTAAATACTTTTATTAATGAGAATCTTCATTGTAAAAAGAAATCTTTTTTTTTTTTGAATAGCATTCGACCACCGAAGAAATCATGGAAACGCATTTGTAATTTATCCGGTGGTGAAAAGACTTTGAGTTCATTAGCCTTTGTCTTCGCTCTCCATACATTTCGTCCAACACCTATCTATGTTATGGATGAAATTGACGCTGCACTTGACTTCAAAAACGTTTCGATTGTCGGTCGATTTATTAAAGAACGAACAAAAAATGTAAGTTAATCATGTGTGTGGGTCGAGAAATTAGATGAGAGTTTTCATTTAGGCACAATTTATTGTCATTTCATTACGTGAGAATATGTTTACACTAGCTGATTATCTTATTGGTATTTACAAAGTGAATAATTGTTCTCAAACCGCATCACTTCGTCCCGCACTATTTGCTAAGAAATTAGAAGAACGAAAGAAATCTCATCTCATGTAAGTCATTCATTCAAAGTTCGACTGAAATGTCAACATTCTTCGTGCTCTTTTCCAGGTCTTCACAAGAGCAAACGAATCCTAGCGAAACTCACGATGAACATGACGTAACCATGACTGAACATACGGAGCCACTTAATTCGTATGATCCTCATAGTACAAGTATTCATCAAAATCAAACGGTCTTGTCAGATATTAATGGATTCTAAATACATACATATAGATAAAATATGCATATATATATTTTTTTCTCTTTCTCTCATATTATTTTGTATATAATGTATTCGATTTTTGTCTTTCATTTCAATCATGTAGACAGAAAAGAAAAGAAATAAATAAGATGTATCATCGATGAATCATTATCGTTCTAGATGATCGACTGAATCATCAGCAGAATATGGCAACTAATACAAGCGTACCGCCATGTGATTACGACATGGTAGACTTGTCAGAAGACGATAAAGCTGCAGCACAAAAGTATCTGAGTGAAAATGGAGTTCGCGGAATTGAAGGTTTTCTTGCCGAACGGTTAGATGCCTGGAGAAAATGGTTTGTTTTCTTTGCTTGATGAATCCAACAGCATTCGAGTACTTTTCGTATTTTAGTCCGTTACATATTGCAATCACTGGTGATTCAGGAGCAGTATGATTCGTTTTTCTTCAGTGTTAATCCAACATTTTCTTTTCAATCCTTAGGGGAAATCGACGTTGATCAATACACTGCGTAATCTTCGTGCTGGTATGCAAGAAAGTTTTCTTTTCGATCATGTTAAAGTGAAACTTTGTTATAGAGGATGAAGGCGCGGCGAAGGTTGGTGTAGTCGAAACAACCCGAATTGTCCAATCCTATTCACATCCCAGCTATCCAAATCTTGTTTTTCATGATTTACCAGGTTGATTCAATAATTTTACTTTTCACTACTTTCATCTTCTACTTCATCCATGATTTAAGGTGTTGGAACATTAGAATTTAAAAAATCTACTTACGTTGACCAAGTAAATCTCTCTCGTTATGATTTTTGTATGTATTTTCAATCGAATTCGCTTGTATCTGATAAGAAATCGTTTGATTTTAGTCTTAATCGTTTCACGAACACGTTTCACCGAAAATGACTTATGGCTTGCAAATGAAATCAAACGAATCGGCAAACGCTTTTTCTTCATACGTACAAATATTGATCAAGATTTATACAATGAAAAAGTTGATCATCCCAAGAATTATAGTGAAACATTGATACTGCAGCGAATTCGAGAAAATTGTCTTACTCACATTCGAACAGTTGACGACAATGCCAACGTTTTTCTTATTAGCGGAAGACTCAATTATACCTCTCGGTAAGACTTTTCTGTTCTTATTTGAAATTTCGAAAATACGAGGAGGTTTATTTAGATTTGATTTCCCTAAAATGTGTTCGACACTTTTACAAGATTATCCTGGTTTGAAACGTCATGCTATGATTTTAGCAATGTCAACGAATTGTAAAGAAGTGATCCGAGCAAAAGTTGATGTTCTCCGTAGTCAAACATGGGTAGCAGCAGCTGTTAGTGCTGCAGTTGCCACTCCGCCTATACCTGGTCTTAGTGTGATGTTCGACTTTTCATTGACCGTTGGCTTCGTCTTGTTTTACAAGAAACAATTGGGCTTAGATGATGAATCGCTGACACGAATTGCTCAAGTTCATCATATACCAGTATATGTTATACAAGATGAATTGCAAAAAATCTTACCGGCACACTTCTTTACTGCTGTGCCTGAGTTCGTTGTGTCTCTAGTGAAAAAACAAGCAGTTGGAACAGCGACTGAAGAAGTTCTTCGATATGTTCCCTATGTGGGTTCCGCTATTTGCGCAACTGTCTCCTTTACGATTATCCTCTCTGTTTTGAGAAATCTGTTAAATGTTATGGAGAAAGCGGCTTTAGCCTTGATCGATATCGTGGCAGAAAGAAGCGTCAGCGACGATGAGGATGACGATAGTCCTATTTAAAAAATATAATTGATTTCATATGAGCTTTTTTCTTGCCATTGTCACATTATGTAATTTATCATCAATCAAAATTCTTTTTTTTTTGTATTTAAGATTAATCATGAATTTCACCGATTTTGAGCAATTTTTCTATCGTGAACCTTTCGTGGAATCTGTTACCACCGGTGGCAATTTTCAATTTATCTCCGATGAAGAAATCCGAGGTGCTGAAACGTTCATTCATGTTAGTTCAATCGGATTCTTTCCTTTCGATTTCTATGCTCACATCCGTCTTTAGAGAAATGGTGTTAACGGCTTAGATACATATCTGTCACAGAGATTGGACGTATGGAAACAACATCCATTGGACATTGCAGTTGTCGGATCGAGGTTTGCAATTAACGATGAAAGAATAAATTCATTTGATGTTATTGTAGTGGAGTCGGAAAATCGACATTTATCAATTGCCTTCGTGGATTAGAAGCCGAAGATACAGGTGCAGCAAGCGTTGGCGTAGTCGAGACAACAAACGAACCAACTGCATATGAATATCCGGATTTTTCAAACTTAAAAATATGGGATTTACCAGGTTGAAGAATTTTTCCTATTTTTAGTATCCGTTGAATGATAAATAAGTTTTGGATCTGTAGGTGTGGGTACGCCGAATTACCCTCGTTCGTCCTATTTGGAAAAGATTCAATTTGAAAAATATGATTTCTTCTTAATTCTTTGCCGGACACGTTTTACTGGTAAAAAAAGCAAACAAATTTTCACACGAAAGTCACGCACATTCTTTCTCTAGAAAATGATCTGTGGTTGGCATCGGAAGTGAAGAGTAAAAACAAACGATTTGTATTCATTCGTACAAACGTAGATTCAGATTTATTCAATGAATACGAAGATCATCCAACTACATTCAACGAAGACGAAGTCTTACAACACATTCGCAACAATTGCTTGGAATACATTCGTCCAGTTGATCCCACTGCAGAAGTCTTCCTCATATCCGGCCATTTGAAAAACCGTCTACGTTTCGATTTCGGAAAACTAACTGAAACATTAATGCGTGATTATCCATCGTTGAAACGTGAATCAATGATTTTATCCATGTCCGTCATGTGTAAAGAAGTTCTCATAGCGAAAGTTGCTGCACTACATCGACGAATTTGGATCATCGCATCAGCATCCGCCGCTGTTGCAGTTGTACCCGTCCCGTTTTTGTCACTTGGTTTCGATGCCACGTTGGTGATGAGCGAAGTGGAATTCTATAAGAAACAGTTAGGATTGGATCAAGAAGCATTGACAAAATTATCGCAAGTTTACCAAATTCCAATGCAGAAAATTGAAAAGGAACTGAACGAGATCTTTCCATTACAGCATTTGAATTCGCTACGAAGATTTGTTTTTGATTTTGCAAAGAAACAAGCAGTTCGAGCAGCACCGGGCGAATTTGCTCGATATGTTCCATACGTTGGCACAGCAATTGTATCCACGCTCTCGTTTGGTGTTTGTTATGCTGTTTTGTACAAAATTCTCATTCGCATGGAACAGGCGTCATTGAAAATTATCGATATCGTTATCGACGCATCGAATCAAATGATTCAACAGGAACAACAACGACAAGCTTTGATTTAATCATGTCATTTTTTCGATACGATCGTTGACAGATTTATTTTCCTTTTTGTAATTGGTGTGTGCGAATAATCTTATTCAATTTCAGATTTTGAATGCCTACGATTAAATACCGTCCACCAAATGCACCCTATCACATAGCTATTCTTGGTCGTTCGGGTGTAGGTAAAAGTTCGCTATGCAATTCGATTCTCGGTCTTTCGCCTGAACAAACCGAATCCGCTCCGGTTGGTGTGGTCGAAACAACTCTACTGCCGACGTCGTATAAACTGACCGAAAATGTCTTTCTCTGGGATGTACCTGGTGTCGCAACGCCGACGATTTCGAAAAGCGATTATTGTACACTAATTGATATAAATCGTTATGATATGTTTCTAATTTTATCTCGCGGGCGTTTTACTGAAATTGATTTGTGGTTGAGTGATATTGTCCGAGATCGTTTTAGCAAAACTCTTTTCTTCATTCGAACCGGTATCGATGAAGAATTACGAAATCATCGCCGCGATTATCCTACGAATTTCAACATCATTGACGTGCTCAATCTCATTCGTGATAATTGTCTTCGCAATCTCCAAGCCAATCTCTCTGCGGTGGATCTTTCCCTTTACCTGATCAACACAAAAGACCCAACCAAATACGATTTTCCGAAGCTAATCGATGATATTATGAAGCATATTAATAATGAGAAAGATAACTGTGAAATCACGCTAATTAAAGACGATCGAGAACAACAAGCAACAGCAACAGTATCTCTCCCGGTAACTGTTCTACAAACAGCACAAACAGTCGTAACCAAATGGGCACGATTCGGTCTCGTTTCTTATCTGTATGATAAATATACAAATAAATGATGAAAAAAAGAAGAGAACACTACTCTTGATTTTTATTTGTATGTGTTATGTATATACGAATAGAAAATGACCAATCACAGATTCTGTTCTTATAAATCATTAGTTACATGTATTTCATTTCGAGTTTTCATGAGTTTCAAAAGTTCGACTAGAAAAAGAAAAAAAACCCAAAGACACAAATGCAACCAGACGAAAAATGATTCGATTTACCAGGAATGGGAAAAACGATAGTTGAATTCTTTTCTGCAGAGATGTGTGTCAGTGTTTGTAGATAGCGCAATTGCAGAGCAATGGGACTTTCATTGATAACATCGGCTGCTTCCTAAAGTAAACAAATTGTCCAAAACGATGTTAATCAGCAGAGAAAAACAATGTTCTGACTTTCAAAGATCTCGACGCTTTTTGTTCGCCTTCGGCTGCGATTACTTTTGCACGTGCTTCTCGAGCAGCTGAAAAACCGAATCGAATGTTATGAATCACAAAAAAAAACAATTCATTAGTTCTAACCTTCGGCTTCCGCAGCCATACTACGTTGCATATTGACAGGTAAGCGCACATCTTTACTAGAAAACAAACGGCAAAGATGTATTCAAATGAGAAATAAGTCTGATTAGATGCTGAATAACAAACATTTCTACACGTTCGACCTTGACGCCCCACGGATCAGTGCCTTCATCAAGATGAACTTGCATTGAATGGGAAATATTTTCTCGGTCACATAAAATTTCTTGTAAACTCTTTGTACCTCTGAAATGATCAATTTAAATGTGCTGTGTCCCATCGATTTCTCGAATTTACTTACAAAATATTACGCAAGGTTGTTGCAGCTAATAATTGTGTTGAGTAACGAGAATTTTCCACGTTTGTTACACTAATAATTGGATTAAATATTCGAAAATAAACGACGGCGTCTACTGAAACGGTCTAATGAGGAGAAATAGCAATTAGATTCAATAAGATGATCCAATCAATTACGCACCACAGAATCCCGAGTGAGGATTTCTTGAGGAGGAACATCGAAAGTAACTAAATAAAGAGAATATTATATTGATCATCTCAAGAGACGTGATAGTGACAGTCTGAATGATATTCGAATCTCTCTAGACTACAATTGTGTGTGATACTTACCAGTACGTAAATCAACTTTAATGATTGAATCAACACAGGGTAAAACAAAAAATAAGCCAGGACCCTTGGCACCACCTTGAAAAAGAACAGATGTTGACAAGTGTTTGTCTTATTTCAAAACATTTTTACCAGAAAGAATCCGACCAAGACGCATAATTACTGCTCTCTCGTATTCTTGTACGACCTATTTGACGACATCAAACTTAACATGCTTCCCCTCTCATAATTGTGAAATCTTACTTTAACTGTAACACAAAGCGAAAATGGAAATGTCAAAGCACACATTATGTAAGATATAACCACCAAGATCCATCCACAAGGCCCTAGACCTTCATGTGTATTACGGATATCATCTAAGATTCAAACGTTCCGATGTTTAAATGTAATGCTAATACTCGAATGTTACCCATACATTCTGAACCAAAACCAGTTGTGGGACGTTCATGTTGTTTAGATGTCATCACTGGTGATTGTTCTATACGATCACTTCTTCTCGTACGCTAGAATAATGACAGAAAGATAATTGGATTTGCTGCTGCTTCTTCTTCTGATCGATCATAGTTTCTTACGGAAACCTGTTCTGTCATGGCGCGTCGTTCTGCAAGAAGTGCTTCAGATTCAGGAACTGTTTTCATTTTTCTGTGTATATTTGTATGCGTCTACTACGTCTTTTCTCTTAAATGTGCATCACGACGTCACGACTCTTAATAGTGTAAAAACGTGTCCAATCGTAGTTGTATATATGCATGTTTGAAAGTGAAGAGCGAAGGGAAAGGATGCGGAATGTTTCTTCGCCGTTTTCTCTTCTCTTCTCGCATTGAATGAATCAGATACGACGATGAGTATTATTGCAAAACTTCAAATAGGCTAGCACATCGCATTGACAATGAGTTAACCACAGAAGAAGAGAAAAAAGACGCGGGCTAAGAAACGATCATTAAGTAGTTGTTTGTTAATAGAATCTTTGGTAACCACTGACGCTCAGATGCAAATTAAAATCGAAAGGAGCAGAGAAAAACGATAGACGAGAAATGATTAGCAGTCGTAAAAAGCAGCTAGATAGATGCAAGGAAATGGGGAAAAACGAGCAAATTAATATCGTATGTGCACTGAGCTTGCCTCTTATTATCACATATATATCTTAAAAGTCTAATAAATTGAATCAGACAATTCCATGTTTGATATATGTTAATGATAGGAATGAGAAGATGAGCGTAAGGAGAGTTTTTATTTAGTTACTCACGTCTTTCATTAAAAGCCTCTTCAATCTTTCACCATGCACAATTCCGGTGTGTGGCCGGTAGAAGAGAAAACGAGAGAGAGAGAGAGAGAGTAGGAAAGAAAAAGTGATGGAAAGAGAGAAAGGGGAAATCAGAAATAAACTAGTTATCTAATATTCTATGCATTGATTTGTTTCTGTACGTTAAAATGTGAAGCATCACGTCAGTTTTTTTTCCTATATGAAAACTTCTTTATACTTGACTCAATGGAACAAATACGTCATTAGTTTTATCAAATAAATCTTTCCGTTGGGAACAAAAATACGTTCCCTGACTACGACTATTGCTGACAGATTCTCTCTCTTTTTTAAGGATTGTTATTCCGAGGTTTTCTTGTTGAGTTATTCTCTCGCTGTTTTTTCGATTATGCAAACGATTTTGATTGAGTATACAGAGAAGAAGAAATGTCTATTTCCATTCAAGCACTTCGATTACCACCTACTTACACAATAAGCAATGGAAGAAGAAACTGATTTCCTTGTTAGAAAAGATTATCTGTGTTTATCTATCCGTCAAAGCATAAAAGAGCCTTGTATAGATGTTTCGATAGGTTTAACATTGTTTATGTACATACACGATATGACACATGCGGGAATAGACGAGACTTTTATATAAGATATTTTCTCATACACAATTATGCTTTTTATATAAAACATGTGCATGTTATCTTATCTTCCTCAAGGAAAAGAAATGAAAGCGGAAGAGAAAACGAAGAAGAAGAAGAAACATAATCTCTCTTTTTCTTTTTTTTTCTCAGAAAAGTAATCACAAATATCGTTGGATTCTTCCGATGTATTGGTTGGCACGATGATTATTGAGTGGTATAGTGGGATCGCAATAATAGACTCTGACGATTCTCTTAAAGAGCTACTTGAATACAACGCCTGCACATTACATTGCACGACTAACTCAAAGAAAGAAAAAAGAAAGAAAATAAGAGCATGAAACCGCTCTTCGATATTTCTTCAACGATTGCCGATCGAACTCTACAACGAGCTCTTTATTACTCCATCGCATGCCTTAACATGCGCACAGGCATCGCAAGACGTTTGGAGTAGATAAACTCTTCGACTAATTAAGTTGGTATGCTAATAAGAAATCAAGAAGTAGAAAATGAGTAGAGATCATGATACATATGTAAGCAAAAATTCTTCTTTATCCCGATTGCATGCTTGAAAAAGACCAATATTTGCTTTATGAGATTCATAGATTCACTAATCAACATGAAATAAGAAATATAACAAATGATCAAATAAAGAACAATATGGATATTCTATGATAAACTGTCACGTTTATGTGATGAAGGTCTCGACGCTTCTTTTTCAAGTTTTCTTTGTTGATGTTCACGGAGTTTCTTTTCACGTTCCAGTCGACGACTTTCTACAAGGAAATGAACTTAAACATCCGTTTCAGATAGGCAACTCGATTTTTACCACGAAGAGCCGCATCTGCATCATGTAAAACTTCACTGAAATCATCGTTTTCATTCCAGATACCCGCACTACTTGACACAGATTGTTCACCCCCTTCTTGCCATTCATTAAGACCTGGTTGCTACATGAAAAGAAAACAGTAATGTCCACCGATATCATGAAATTCCAACTTACAAAATCAGTTAAATCATCACTGGTCATTTGTAATCGATTGGTTGATGGATTAACGAAATTGAAATGCCCATCGTTTTCATTTACACGTTTTTTCAAGATGATCTAAATATGGACGTCAAAAATCGTGTCGAAAGTTTTCGATTTCAATCTACTTTCGGGGTCTTTTTAACCGTTGCTGCAATATCACTGAAATAATCTATCTGATCATCGTTATTGCCATCAGTCGGCGAATGATTTTCTAATGCTTTTTGTCGAAAAATATCTTCACTACCCCAAGAATTCCATTCTGGCTGTGGTGGTGCCTGCAAAATACAAAAAAAGAGAGTTTCGTTGAGAATTGAAGAGTTGATTTACTTTTGACAACGAAGTAGATGACTGATAAGGACGAGTGGAATCGTTCTCCATGTCATTTATAATGCGAATATGTTCCAGTGTAACTGGTTCCGTGCGAGAAAGAGATGTATCGAGTTCTTCATGGCGTCGTCCAAAAATAGTTTGAAAAATTTTCCGAAAGAATCGACCGATTGAGCAGATAAAATGAAATAAAACCCTTTGAATCATGAGAGTATTTATCTAAATCAACAAAGCTAACGTCCTCTATGTTTTGCAATGTAAATATCAAATAATTCTCAATTAAAAACTTATTAGTTTCATAAAAACCTTCTTAGAATGATATATTCGTATTGTTTTTATGACAGAACAATCTCTCTTGGTGGTATAACACAGACCACTCAAAAATCCAATAAAATCATTGTCGTTAGTTGTCGAACGGAAGAGAATATTTCAAGAAAGAAATGTTATTATCACAGTTAGCTGCTGCTCACACGACTCGCTCATTTATTGAAAACGAAAATTTAAATATCTACAAAGCACTTTTTACTCGGCAATAGGAATAATATTTCTGCGTTGTGATACTTTGATAAGAACATCGTGATTATCTTCCACCATCCAGATGCCTGGATGGAGAGGGAGAAATAATGCAAATGCAAATATAATCAGAAGACATTCGAATACGTAGAAATAAACTTCGTGAATGGCAAGATAACCTCGAAAACCCATCGCAAATTCCACAATTCGATAAATCGAACGAACGATTAACAAAACCATACTAAGATACAAGGCATAGAACATCTTAACCCATCGTTCTTTTCCTGTAAAGTCGGCTTTACGACGATGGATAGCCCAATGTAAATGCAATGTCACCAATGCAAAAAAACAAAAACTAACTAAATTAATGCCTAATCCACCGATTAAAACATTACTACCACGGGTGAGGTTCTCCAATTTGCCACTTGTGATCAGTCCTGCACCAGCCGATTGTACACCGATGGAAAGTATGTCAGAAATAATGAAACCAAACTCAACAAATCGTGGATTCACTATTGAATACTGACGACCAGCTAGTCGAATCAGACGACCAACAAGGATATAATCGGCTAAAGCTAAACCAACTGGTGCCAAAACAATACAACAGTACATGATGATATAGCTTCAAGAGAAAAACATATCAAGTAAAATGATATTTAACAAAGAAATACATACGGTGTCCGTTGGTCGGGATTGTGGGCGAGAGTCCATCGATATGCATAACCAATTACTTCTGATACACCAGATATTGTCATCACTAAGAAATACCATGTTCGATAATAAACCGATGATATTGTTAATAAAATAGTTACGACGCCATACACAACTGTCGACGCGATAGCTAAATTAAGATCTGGTACATAACCAAATGGATTGAAAGGATCTAAATTGGAAAACATCTGAATCGTTGATATTTGTTTTGAAAATGTATTTTATACCAATCGAAGGATCATACGGAGTAGTATTGAAATTCATCATTTCTTTAAATTATCAAATGAGTAGCATGCAAATTTTCGAATAAATAGAAATAGAAGTAATGTCTAACACGACAAAAAACTTAGAAAATACTCTACTTCTCTTACTAATCTCTATGAGTAATATTCAAGTTTATTCAAAGAAAAGGTTGAAAGTTCTTGTTTTTATTTGGGACATTCTCTAAATAATGGCCTACAATAATCTAGATCTTTATCGGTACGCTCCCGTATCTTATCGCCAACAAAGCTTGCGATTACAAACCAATTTTGCCCTTGCGTGATAACAACAAACTCGTTCGGAGCTGTCGTTGTAGTACGTAATGGTACGTTAATACCAATGTTTATTCATCACAACATTTTCTCATGAATTCTGCAAGTTATTTCGTTTAAATTGGACTCATGAAATTTTTCTAATTTAGATCATGTTCAAGTCATTCACTACTCAACGTGCAATCGATATTCTACAATCATTACATTATGAATTCATCTAGTGATATTTTTACATCGTTTATTTTATTCGCCCGCGAGCGAATCTATTCTTTTCTAAAAATATTCTTTTCATCTGCGTAATCTATTAACTATCTATTTTCAGTTAATAGCGACATTATATCACTGATGTCATTCAATTAAGAACAAAAGGTTTCTATTTCGCTGTTGACTCCTGCAGACGTCATTTCTTATTATATATGGCTATTTTATCGATATTTATAGACATAATTTGTCTAATAAATAACTCTTATTAACGCTAACGGTGATCGATCAATTGTTTGCGATATGTGGAGAATAAGCACGACAGAAAAACACAAAAAAGTAACTTCATTTGTTCTTATCTTTTTTTCTGTCCTTCTACAGCAACGCAATAGATCAGCTGCTGAGTGTATGGATGTTGAAGCTGTTGACCGCATGTTCTAACGAATGCACTTACTCAAGTGATTGCGAGAGATAGAAAAGTATTGACAAAGAGCATGGAGTAAAGCAAGCGTCTCATCATCGGTAAAGCCTTGTTGTCATATCTTTTGTCTCATCTTTCTCGATCTATAAGAGTCCTAAGTGCGCAGTATTGCTCACTGTTACAAATATCACTTTCACTAACGCGTTTCTCATTCGACAATGTCAAATACAGCTCCATGTGATCATTATAGTTCGACTTCGGCAAGCCATGCTCGAAGTATCAACGTCGGCATTGATTCCGGCTTTACAAATGATCCAGTTCATCGCGGCTCATTGACACCTACAGAATTAGATGCCATTCATCAAACAGCTAGTTTCAAAAAAGCTGTGCAACTTCAAAAAGAAGATGATCATGATTTGGCTGCCAAAATGAAACAAATAAAACGAGCAAACGAATCGAACAAGTAGTAAATTCAATTAACTCTAAAGTACTTTATCTAATTATGTAGTTGTTTGTTTGTTTTTTTTTTCTACTAAGCTAGTTATTCTCTTCTGTATAACATGAATAAATAGATAGCGAATTATATATGAGGGAGAAAAACAAGAATAAGAACAAATCGAGTTATAACATGGTTGATAGTCTAGTGCAGAATATGATACTAGAAGAAAGGCTTTGTCTATTAGAGTAGACCTTGTTCGTTTGTCAGCAGCGAAACGAGAAAAAAAAACAATGGGACGATGCTGTTAATACACATAACATGTATGCTAATATTTCCTCGTTTTATGAGTGGAATGAACAAAGAGATCATCGTGGACAGTCCATTCCATCTTCGTGCGCGCATATTCGATTCTCGTACTGCTCATGTTCAATTCGAAATTAGTGGCAAGGATGAACAACGCAGATGTGAAAAATATCAATTTACAGTTCGTCGAAATCAAGAAACGCCATATTCCATGCCGGAACAAAATTTAACATACTGGAGGAATTCCTTGGAATTACAACATTTACCTGTTGGACAATATCAAGTGTGTGCAATCATTTGTTCGGAACATTCACAACATGCCAAGTACCATTACAAATCATATATGAAAAAGAATCGAACATTACCGATTACAGCGTGCGTTAGTTTTCGCGTGTTACGTGCTCATCTTCTGATTCTAACATTATACGTCTTCGTGATTATGTTTTTGGCGATTTCTCAAATGATTTTTTCACTACGCAAACGCCAATTCCACCAACGAATCAAATTAGCCTTAACAGAAGTGGAAAATTCCCTAACAAAATGGCGTACCACTCAAGCACCACCTCCGTCGATAGATCAAACACAGTCCTACACTATCCTTCAAAGTCTCGTCACTCTACCAGCCACACCTATAGATTACACCATACCGTATCCGCCAGTTGAAACGAATGAACCTGTTGAACGACCAATTATTTTTCATTTAGAACCACCAAATGACTCTTGAATCGAACTGTCATGAGAAATGAACAACGGAAAACACTTGAGTTTATTTGAAATGAAAAGCAAATGATCTCAAGTTTCTTTTTCATGTATGCCTGTAAGTGTGCCCACGCTTGTCTTTGTACAATTTTGAAACGGAAAAGAAAAACGGGTTTACTCTCGATCGCTGTTCACTGGATTTAAAAGATTATATGTTATACAATATTCTGGATACGCTTGTTCACCACGATAAATAACATATTCAGGATAAACAAGGCCGCCTTGTGAAGGTCGACCTATGACGGAATGATGGCCAGGTGGTGCGTGTGCTAGTTTCGATGCACTAAATTGTAAAAATGACCGTCCAAGGCACACACGACACAATAACATTTGTCTAAAAAAAGAAATTTTCGCTTCACGGAATAACACCAATAAGACTGTGCTCCCTTACCTTGGACATTTGTAGCATGATTTGTCTTTATGTTGAGCGCAACCATTTCCACCACCGATACCATAAACATATTGATTCGATTTGGAAGAATTCTCTGCAAAATAAATTCCGGCACCTAGAGAAAACAAGAATGTAACATTTCTTTTGGAAAATTGATGAAACTAACCGAACATCCCGGTTATAGATGCGTGTCTTTCATCAAAACCTTTGTTCATAATTGAATGTATAAACGGTGAACCGTGAAAAAGTAAACGTTCATTTTCATGACCATTATTATCATCCTGAATTTCATTCCGTCGATGACAATATCGATCCCATAAACGACGATTACGAATCTTTTCGATCTACGAAAGATTCAAGAATGTTTTTCATCACAAACACAATTTCTACCGTACTTTTAATACAACATAGTGACTGAATATTCCACCACATCTATCTTTATGTTCACGAATGGTGCTTTGCAACTGCAAGAAATTGTAATAGAACGTTGAATTTTGTCATAATTCTATGAAATCTTACTTCATCTTCGACAAGTCGATACTCTCGATCGCTAGCATCAAGTTCAAGGAAAACTGAACCTCTCTCAGGTACATTTGACCATGGATCTTTGGCTTGCTTGTATAATCGCTCGATGCCTTTCAGTAGTTTATGTCGTTCACCGTATGCGCTGACACCGATTTCTTTCAAATCGTTATGCGTCATTTCAGCGAGAATATCAAGTGTAATGTGTTCACGTTCAAATAATTCTCGTACTTGATCTTCGTGCTGGCTTGATTGGAACTGACATAAACTTAAGAATTCAGTCATGGTCATGTGAAGTGCTTGTTCTCGCTGTTCTTCATCTGTAATCAGACTCATACTACCGTCGGCACTTGTAATATGACGTGGACTGACCGACTGCGGTTGACTTGTCGCAGACGATAGGCGTTGTCGAAAGCTGCTCGCATTTGTTTCGGCACCGAGAATTGATGTCGTTTCACGGGTTGAATGTGTGACAGTTGTTCGATTATGATTGTCCATCGATGGTGTGGGAGATATTGAAACTGACATGGCATCTAACAATAGAGATTTGACATCGTCGGCTGTGGTCAAATCGTATGGTGTTTGATTATCTTGATTACGAAGATGTGGATTGGCACCATGAGAAAGAAGTAGAACACATAGTTGAGTACGACCTTTGGACGCTGCTTCATGTAAGGGTGTATAAGACCAATTGTCACGAGCATTTACATCGGAATGATGATTAATTAGAAGAGTAGCAATATCCACATGTCCGAATGATGAGGCATTATGAAGAGCTAACAAACAAAATTTTTGATCCTGTTCATATTCCGTCTTCAAACATACCGATCAAGCCGCCTTTGTCAACAGTATTTGGATCACAACCATTTGCTAGTAGAAGCTGAGCTATTTCATAATGATTATATCCCGCTGAAAAACAAATAAAAGGTTTGCTAATCAATAAGAAGAGGCGAGATCATCCGCTTACCAGCTAAATGTAGTGGTGTACTATTTCTTCCTTGAGGATCTCGACAATTGACATTTTCTGGTGTAATCAGTTTTCTTAGTCTTTCAAGATTTCCCTTTTTAGCTAATTCTAAGATGGCACTGTCACCACGGAGTAAATCCGCGATATCACTGTCACGTTCTTTAACTAAATCGAGTGGCGTAGCACCATCACGATTTTTCTTATTGGGATCAGCACCGTGTTTTAACAACAATTTACAGATTTCGAATTTGCCCTTTATCGCACTTTCGTGTAACGGTGTTACTTTCCAGAGATCAGTTGTTTGTGGAGATGCCCCACTGTTAAGTAATAATGCTGTGACTTCGAAATGTCCATAACTACAACTAGAAAAGCCGTACACAGAAATGTATAGAGTTATTTGGTAATTCTCAATGAATCATACCTATTATGCAATGGAACAAGGCCACCTTTCAACGACGAACAAATAAATTTGATCAGAACGAAAGTGTCAAAAAGAAAAGAAATACCTTTATCACGTGCAGTTACATCAGCTCCCATAGATAACAGATATTCAACTACTTGTAAACGATTGTATCCAGCAGCAAAGTGTAGAGGCGTACTATTCCGACCTTGCGCATCTCGACAATTCACTAACATCGGATTCATAGTCAATATACGCTATAAAATCAGATAGCAACACCGATTTATTCTATGAATAGAGTAATGGTTTCATATACAAACTTTGACAACATCGAGATCACCCGATTTAGATGCTTCTAATAACTGTAATTCAAGATCCAGGCTCTCCGGTATGGATGTAACATTGTTACTATCATCTATTCAAACAAATCATGTTCTACATTCTGCAAAATATGCTTTCTATTCTACTACTCACTCATGAACAGCTGTTGAATATTTGACGATGTAGCCATTTCTGATGCCGTGTGTCCACTCGAACATGCAATTGACGTATCAATCTTACGAGCTAAGAGCAAACGGCATGCATTCAAATGTCCATTTTTAACAGCATGATGCAATGCTGATTGACCTTGTCCATCGAGTAGATTAATCTAGAACCGTTATCCAATATAGGTAAACAGATATTCAAGAATCGAGATTGTTCGTCTTACGTCGGCATTATTTTTCAATAAAACGTCTAAGATATCACAGTAATCTGCAGCAGCACATAGATGAATCGGAGCAATTTGCCTAACGAATGAACGATCAACATCAGCAGTATCTATTTCGAAACAACTACTCACCGATCATTTAAAATATTGATATTGGCACCGCGTCGTATTAGGATTTCAACGATTTGACGACGATGTTTGATGGATGATGAAGTACACGCTACATGCTAAATATTCCAAATCACTCTCACTTCATATCTATCGCTCTGCTAAAAAAAACTTACTAAACACGAATCTCCGGTTTTGAAATGTTGAAAATGAACTGTTTCATTTGTTAGGAGTTTTTTCACTCGACTTAAATCTCCATGATAAACTGCATCGAGGAACGAATAGCCATTGTATTCATCTAAAAATAGAAGATACCATTTTTAGCACACTCTTAGTCATCTCTATTCGATCATAATTACATAGAATTCTGTCTCGTAATTCTCGACTTGCAGCTATATCAAGTGCTGTTTTGCCATGGCAATTAGCTAGTGTTGGATCAGCTCCATGACTAAGGAGAAGGGTACAAACATCAACACGCGATTTTGAAGCAGCTTCGTGAATAGGTGTGTACTGCCATAGATCACAAGCGTTAATCTGAGCGCCATGCTAAAATATGCATGATTTTAATTGTAATTCTAGCTATGACAAAAAAGACGAAGATTTACTTCGATTAGAAGCTCCGCGACATCATAATCTAATGATTGAAGACAGTTGAATCGATAAGAATTGAAAATAATCGAAGAATACTTACGACCATAGGAAGCAGCGTTGTGTAATGGAACCTAAATAGCATTTTAAAACTCCGACCTTTCATCTTGAGTTCTTCCAAACTTACCAATCCACCTTTATCTTTACATAGAACATCAGCACCGTGTTCAAGTAATATTTTACAAATTGTTAATCGATTATATCCAGCTAGAAATATAAGGTCTGACTAATTAGTTGTTGTTTCGACTATCTTACCAGCGAGATGCAATGGAGTTGACTAGCAACAATAAGATAATCAACTGAGTGAATGTATAAACAAGTTCAACTTACTTTTCTTCCATCGCTTGCGTGACAATTGACATTGGTTGATGTTAAAATTCCGATTAGTTTTTCATCATTACCTGCTCTGGCCGCTTCTAATAACTCATCTTTACGATATTCTCCTTTTAGTAAGAAAATCAATGAATCAAAATCATTGTTGCATCTAGTTCACTTCGCATCTTACCTGTTAATACCGGTCGTGTCGATGAATCAGCAAGATCCAATGCACTTTTACCATCACTATTCTTTAGATTTGGATCAGCACCATGTTGTAAGAGAACTACGTTCATACAATTCAATAGAATCATTGCTTTCAATGAAAACGTCAACTTACTTAAACAAACATCGACTTTGCCTTTACTTGCTGCTTCAGCTAATGGACTATAATTCCAATTATCTAATGCATTAACATCCGAATGATGATCCAAAAGCAATTGAACAACTTCCGCATGACCGAAACTTGCAGCATTATGTAACGGAATCAATCCACCGTCATCTTTCATATGAACATTCGCATTTTGACTAAGAAGATATTCGACGACGTCTTTACGACCAAATCCTAATCGAAACAATATTTTAAGATGAATTATCCATATAAGAAAGTCAATCATTCAGCTTTACCCGAACTAAAATGTAAAGGTGTCGACTTTCTTCCTGAGATATCTTGTGCATTGATATTCTCTGACGTGATTAAACTTTTAACTTTGCTCAAATCACCATTCCGGCAAGCTTCAAACAGTACTTTTAATGTTTCATCCATTTTGCACAACAACCATCGTTATGATCACCAATGAATAGATGTTACACGAAACGTAAGAAACAAAACAACAGATCTAAAATAACAAACAGTACTCCAGAAATCCATGGGAAAATCTATCAACATGTTTTTCTCGTGATGAAAAATATAATCATCAGAAATCTCTTATCGACACGTTCTACTGCGATGCTCCTCTTAACTAAGTTGCTACTTGAAGATTATTCTGCTCATTCATGATGTAAATTGAAAGCGTTATGAAAGAAAATAGATTACTATTCAATAAATCGAGCAAGTATATGATGAAAAACGAAAAAAGCCGAAGTAAAGTAATTTTTAGTAATCGATCGATCATTTTGTCGCGTAAGTGCACAAAATAATCGTACTATTGACATTGTATCGTTCTACAACAAACCATCTGACGAATAACCTAGAAAATAGATGATTTTATCAACGCACCAATGGTTCTCATAGTCGATACAGTCAACATCAGCTGGAAACATTTACTTCTCCGAATAGAATCCTATTCTTCGGTATTATTTGGGGCGAAAATGTTACATACATAACATTGATATTCAATCAAGCAGAAATATATCTTTATAGGACGAAAAAGCATGCGAAGAAAGAAAAGCGAGCAATCTTGTGCGTGATTGCCAACAATAGAAAAATAGCATAGGATCAGATTTGAGCAGATCAATAGAGATTTGGAGAAAAACGAATAATAATTGAATAAAGCAGTAAATCATAAAATAGCAATCGAGCTATCAGTGACATGAAAGAAATGCATTGGTGAAAGGACGATCAATTTATGATCAACCAGCCAATTCCATAGCATCTATCAGTGACATCTGTGATTCAAGTCTCGGTAGAGAGCATAACAGATTTCCTTCCTTTATGTATCAAAAGTTCAACATATCTTCCATAAACAGAGAGTAAACCTGCTATTTTCAAAACATTTCTTTACTTCTAACTCTCTCTCTCTCTCGTTCTGATTTCTATCGACTATTCATTTAGTAATTGGATTTTGTGTACGAAAAAAACAATTATTAGCGATGACTCAAATCAGATAATATTGTAACATATACATAGGATTGACAGCATACACTATGATAGTAATACTCGTGCTATACATATTGTAGAGAAGTTTCCATTCTAATAGTTATCAGCTATATAAGATGACAATAAATCATGATTCAAACGCTCGGTTTTAGCGACAAATGTTTACTTCCGTAGTCCAACCAATGAAGTATTTAAAAGCGCTATTGTACTGTTTCGAAGAAAAAAAGACGTGAAAAATGAAGTATGAGTCATACATGACATGACACATAATATTTATCGCTTTATTTGATATGACAACATATGTAACTTTCTACCAACTATAAATGAATGAAGAAAACGATTACATTCTTCATTTGCTGTTCTATTGTCATTTTAATCAGTACAATTTTCTACTACATGGCTGGAAATCAACAACAACGAACGCCAATTTCAATCCTGGCGATAGGTGACTCTTTGACTGAAGGTTACTACAAGCGTGGTCGAGCATTTCATCCATATGCGAAACACTTAACAGAACTATTCGACCATGCTAATATTCCTGTGAATATTCAACAGAAAGGTGTTAGTGGAGAACGAGTTGTTCCAACTATGATCAATCGATTTCATCGTCTTCTTAGTAACAGTACTTCCTACGATTGGATTATAATCTTAGGTGGTACGAATGATTTAGCAGACTCGTCAAAGACTGCGGAAATAATCTTCCAAAAAGGTTTACAACCAATGTATGAACTGTGTCTAAATCATACCCAGAAAAAAACGAAGTTAGTAGCAATGACTGTGATTGAAAACACGTATTACTCGCCAGAACGTGCCGAAGATGAAGATCGACAAAATTTAAACAATATGATTCGTAACTATGTGGCGAATTCGAGTGAAAAAGATCGAATCGTCCTAGTGGATTTGGACAAAGGTATTCCATATCATAGTCTAACCAGTGAGAAAGAACGCAAGGAAATATATGATGATGTCGTGCATTTAACACCTGTTGGATACGATCGAATGGCAACATTGATATTTGACGCAATTAAAGACAAACTTTGATTTTGTTATTCGTAACTTATAGCAATTTTAAAAAGGTATTTATGATACTTTCGATCATCAAAAATAAACCTAGAGAATTATATGTCATTCAGTGATAATAGACATGAAAGAGGCAAACAACCGTCTTATCAGTTAAATGATAAACTTAGTAGAATATATAAACATTTATCTTCACTATTCACTCTTGCAGTAAAAGTAAAACAACCTACATCATAGTACAATTGCAATATTCTAAAAATCTCTGACTATAACAATAATATTGTCAACTATGTTCATCAGTACCAAAGGTAAACTCTTGCTTTTGATATCATTGAGTCTTTTGCTGGTCACAGTCAGCAATGCTTCACCCACTGCTCAAACTCATCAAGGCATTTATGTTGGTCATCAAGTAAGAATCAATGAAACCAGTGTTAATGTCTGGTATGGAATACCGTATGCTCAGCAGCCGATAGGTAATCTTAGATGGATGCCGCCACAAACTCTTGGTGAAGCCAATGGTACTAAAGATGCGTACATTCCCAATGCGTGTCCTCAAACGAATGCTTATGGAATCCCAATTACAGAGGCTTGTCTCACATTGAATGTGTACGCTCCAGATAATGCAACGAATTTGCCTGTGTATGTTTGGATTCATGGTGGCAGTTTCATATCGGGAGCGGGTGCCGAGTATGATGCAGTAGCATTCATTAGTACAACTATGCAACACTCTATTCCTGTAGTTTTTGTAACTATTAACTATCGACTTGGCCTTTTGGGTTTTCTCGCAGATAAAGGTTTGTATGATGAGCGGTCAGGTATGAACAATAAAAGTACTACTGGTAATTATGGTGTATTGGATCAAATGATGGCATTGGATTGGATAAAGAAGAACATTCGTGGTTTCGGTGGTGATGCCGAACAAATCACCATTGGGGGCGAAAGTGCTGGTGGTGCTAGTGTAACCATTTTGTTAACTTCATCGTTAGTTACAAATGGTACATTTCAGAGAGCGATTATACAAAGCGGCGCCGTCTGGCCTAATGCTGTAAGCTATTTACAGGATGCTATTAACGCAACCGGTAATGTTTTACGATTACTAACGAATTGTAAGACTCTACAATGTCTACGAAATCTAACAACGGAAGAAATTCTTACTGTTCAGTACATCATTGGATCGAAGAGCATTTTCTCTCTAGCCGCTAACCCAGTTATTGATAATTATGTGATCGATGACACGATGGAGAATAATTATGTGAAAGGAAAATTTCAAAAGGTTCCAGTACTCATTGGTGCAAACACGAATGAATCATCTCTGTTCACATGTCCTGCTTTCAATGGTTCAGCCAGTATTATTCAAGTTCAAGCGTTTTTCCATTCATCATACAATGCCACTATTGTTGATAGAATTCCATCCATCTATGGTCCTATCGCTGCTGCTAACCATCCATTAACTTATCTGAATATTGTATTCAGTAATTCTTGGTTACATTGTGGATCTAGACGCGTCGCTTCAGCATTCTCTAAACATGGTTTACCGTCGTATTTCTATACATACAATCATCTCATACCCGTAGCGCCACCATGTTTTGGTGTTGCTCATGCTGCTGAACTCGTCATGCTCTTTCCCACCGCTCTTTCGACTTTATTTCCACATTATAATTTTACTGTAGAAGAACAGCAGTTTTCCACCAGTATGATGATATACTGGGCTAACTTCATTCGCACATCAAATCCAAATTACTCGGGAAATTTAACGACCTGGAATGCTTATGAAACATCGAGTGACAACGATTTCGTTCTCGACATTGATTCTCAAACGAGAAATTTTTATTATAATGGCACGTGCTCACATTTTTGGGATTTATATGCTGTCACAAATCAATACCAAATATCGTCTGCAATGAAATCGAATCAAATAATGAACTATCACATGTTTAGTTTTGCTGGTATTTTGCTAATATTCATTTCTATTTAATTTCAAATATTCGATTCATCGACAGCATACTGAAATCAACTTTTCGCTTCCTTCCATGATCGTTCTCACACCTATTCCAACTTAAATGTAGAAAGATTTGACATTCATCATATTGAACACTGTAGTTCTAACTCAACACAGGGATGAATACGTAAAAGATCAATTATTAACTCGTATAGGCATCTGAACGAATTCACTTTTTGCATCAATAATGAATATGACCCAGATCATTTGTAAAAGAAGAAAGGAAAGAGAATAGAATGAAGTAACAAAACAATTTATATAGAATTTTATGACTTTTACGCCTTTCTTTTAGTTTTATTCCTTGCGCGATTTTCTTTTCGCTGTCGTTATTCGTCCTTGAAATGAATGTCGTCGACACAGCAATCAACTTTGTTTCCTTTCCTATGTTCGGAACATTGACTTTGTTTAACATCATAAGAGCAATGAATGATGAAAATGTACAGCATAGAATTTTCTGTTGTTGATTGAATCAAAATGAACGTAAGTAAATAAACAATTGATCAGCTCTACATCGAATTTTTGTTTCACTTATGTCGATCAGATGGAGATTAATAATACTTGTCCTTCAACAACTATTTACAAACACTGTTCAACGTAACAGAACACATTCAATGCCATACTGATAACTGTGTTTACTTTTATTGAAGATCACGACGATTTCTTGTGGGTGTATTACTTGTTTTTCTTTTATTTGTTGTGACAGGCATCATATTAATAGTGCTTGCTAGTATAAGTATGTTTATTGTCAATCTGTCAGACGTCAATTGATCGATATTATCTGTTCATTCTTAGAACCGTGTCTTTTTGTAAGATGCCATTCGAGAGCATCACTTTGCATCAATCGCTCACCATTCAAAGGGCAATGCATTTGCGACTCTTATTCAGCTGGTAATGGTCGAACAGTCTGTGATGGTAACTCGAAGGGATAAGAAGTAATAGTTGATTTTCATTTGTTCACGTAGACTGCGGTCTTGTATATACTCGGCCAAACGCGCGTATTATTGGTGGCGTAGACGCAGATGCACACAGTTGGCCATTTGCTGTTCTCATTCAACAACGCTACAAAAGAACGGTGACAGTTGATGACGATACTTTTCTGGTAATGTTTCATGAAAGTTTCAATAAGATTGAATGATAATTTCGTTTTTGTGTATTAGGTATCAACAACATGGATGTGTGGAGGAACCTTAATCAATCATCAAACAGTTGTAACTGCAGTCGGTTCAATCTCTTGAATCTTTCGTATATGTTTCAATATTTTGTTACAGGCACATTGTTTGAAAACCGCTGGGGATACGTAAGTTCGCTATAGAAAAGAAAACGATTGTTTCCATTTAAATTTATAAACGATTCTATGTGGTTTAGTTTCAATTATCGATCCTTTGTGTTTCCAATTGTCTGGAATAAATATTACTCAAATATTGAAAGTGTAAATATATTTTCTACATCCAAATTCTGAATATTAACCGTTCATTCATTCAGACGATCGAAGTGAGCGTTGGTTTACATGATCGACGAAAGAAACCTGGACGACGTACTATTAAAGTTCAAGAAGTGATTATCGTAAGAAACTTGAAAATTTTAGTTGTCTTTTCTTAATCAGATCGAAATTGATCTTCGAAGCATCCATCGTACAGTCAGCAGAACCTTTTCAATGACATTGCTATTGTCAAATTAGAAGAGTACATTCAACCATCAGTGAATGTTCAATTCGTTTGTTTACCCTATTTGTTGTCTAATATCAATGTTAGTGGAATCGTTGTCGGTTTTGGCGATACAGTTCCTGGTGCCAATCAAGGTGAGATTGATAAATGGATAGAAATGATCAATCGTAACTCGAGTTTATAACTAGGCTCATTGACTTTGAAACAAGTGAATTTGACGATATATCCAAATGATTTCTGTGACAATGTTTCGCCTTTGACAACGAAAAATTGGACCACACAGATATGCTGTGGCGATTTGAATGGAGAGCGTGATGCTTGTCAAGGTGATAGTGGTGGGGGTTTGTTTGTTCAGCAGAATTTGTCCAGTGTACTTCGGTATACGATTCATGGAATTGTTTCCTATGGTGAACAATGTGCTAGTCCCATGAAACCAGGTATTTACACACGTGTGTCAAGTTATTTACAATGGATTCAAGAGAACAGTAACTTTTGATATGGCAGGAAACTAATCTGTTTTGTCGTTTGTGTTGTATATAAACTAGAATGTTTGCTCGAAAATGATAACTATTAAAGACATTTTCATTAGTATCACTATGCAGGTATTCATACAAGTACATGATACCAGAGAGAAGTGTTCGACAGTTCGAGTAGTCATACGTCTTGGATGGAAAGTTCAACATGATTTAACTTGAGAAACTATATAAACAGATTCTGTCATTTATTTGAACTTTATACCATAAGACATATTGTAACATACAAAAAAATACGTATACACAATTACTTTGTATATCTTCTGTAAAATAAATCTGACATTCCATCGCATTGTCCTAATCTCCATTATTACCATTCGCTTTCGAATCCTTGTCTGGTAGAACTAATCTGTATTTTTCCCAGTTTTGCACTTCGCCCTAGAGTTATCAATTCAACAAAACAATGTCATCTCGGAATCTGTCTATCATACGTTTTCAATAGATTCATTGATCCATTTGTAATTCACACAAGGTATATTCGCTTTCTTGGCATCGAACAACTTCGCTGTCTTTCGTGCTTTATCCGAGATGAGATAAACATTGTCACGGCGGTTCTAAGAAATACCTGCGGTAGACAACCGAAGTTACGATGATTTCTTTACTTACAGCATTCGGAAGCTTTTCAATGACTTTTCCAGCGTGACTTTCGATGCAAGTTTGAATTTCAGCTCGAGCACCGATTGATTCTAAATATCGAGCTATCGTAATAACGAAAAAGAATGGAAGTAACGAACAGTCTTACCATTGAAACCTGTAAGAAGAAAGTGCATTGAATTGAACAGTTTTGTTTGACGCGTTGGTGTAAAAGCTACAAATATATTTTCCTGTTATAGGAGTGTAAAGGTATAATGAATCTTACTTGATCGTTGACTTTTAGTTGGTGACGATGTAGTTACAGATTTACTTTTCTTATTGGGTGATGAAGGTATCACGGATGTTCGTTTACGCTTTCCTTGAGCATTCGTTGTTGTTTCTAACAAACCGAATAGATTAAATTGATCAATTTCATATAAAAAAACAAACTTACCTTCTGCATGCTTATTCATATTGGTTACTAAATCTTCTGCTTGCTCAGCAGTTAACGAGATAAATGGCAATGGATACCATCTTTCTTTACCATTTATTTCCACTACATAACCAATATTACCAGTTTTCCTTTTTTTAATCAAACGTTTGATAATTCCACTCTTGAAATCTTCATCAGCAACTTGTGCTTGAACCACTTGATTCACATCCAAATAACTTCGAGAGATCACATCTTGCGCTTTCACCGAACGTCTACCACCATCGTCATACTCAATCATACATCTGAACACAATACCATTCAATAAGGATACATAAGAGGGATCGTCTAATTACTTGTCACCATTGATATTTCCGACAATACCAGGATAGAAATGACCATCGAGCCATTTGGCATACACTCGTGAACCTTTTTTCAATGCTTGTCCCGATGTATTCGTCGGTACGAAATCTTCACCACTGATATTATCAGTTGGTTCATCTTCATCATCATCGTCCTCATCACTTTTGTTCTTCTTATCATCACCAGATTCCTCAGTTGATTCCACATGGATCACATCGTCATCATCACTAATAATGTTAATAATGATCTATACACACAGCTTCACATGGTTTTATGCATTACCTTCGTATCGCTTTTGATTTTTTGGGTGAAACGACAGTCGGAGTTGGCTTTCTGAAACGAATGAAGGTATTGAATGATTTCTGAATGGTTCTGATTTATGCTACTAACAAACTTCTTGATTGTCTTTTGGGTGTCACTTGTTTTGCTGATTTTTTCGTGGCACTTTGCGCTATTTGAGTAGCTTTAGTCGTTTTTTGAACAGTTTTGTTATCGGATGGTGGCCATGATTCTATTCGAGTTGTTGTATTTTCCTCGACAATACGCTGTTGAAAAAGTTGTTTTTGTTTCATAGTAGAGGAAAGAAGTCGAAACTTACTTCTAGAAGTAGGTCGCGTGATAAAACCCGTCCTTTGCGATCAACTTGTACAGTATATCGCCGTAATGTTTTCGAAATCGATTCTTTAATGACGATTTCTTCTTCTTCCCGCTAAAAGAGGTTTGGAACAGGATACAGAAAATGATTCAATTTAGTGACACTTACAACGGTTGTATTTGATTCATTAACATTATTATTATTCGATGCTGCTGTTGTTAATTTACCAAGAATAGCCTCGAATTTGTCCATTGTTGGTTGACTCAACGCATACGCTACTTTGGACTTGGGTGAAATCTAGAACCCAACACATATCAAGTAATTTGGAATATCAAAAGACAAGGAAAATACTGCTGTTTTGTTTTGCGCTGGCGACAATAGTTTTGTTGATGTTTCGCTAGCTGGAGTAGGTTCGTGATTACTGGGCATTGGTGTTTGATGCGATTCAATTATACCATCACTACCAAGTGAAACTTGTGCATCGCTGGTGTCCATAGGTTCCTCTTTTGGTTTGTCATCAAAGTCTATCATATAATTTTAAGGATTATCAGTGAAAAAACAAATTGTAGTCGATAGAATTACTTTCTTCCTCTGGATGATTGACCTCGTCTACCGTCGTTAATATGTTGATTGGATTTGGTCTAGAGAGACTTTGACTTCAATATATTCCGTTTATAGAATGAGCACCTACTGTGCATCCTCAACATTTGCTGTTTCGTGAAGACTTGCTGCTGGTGAGACATAGAGTCGTAAATCTAAAAGATTCGAACTAAATGAGATTTCGATAATACCGACGATTACTATTCGTAGCAGTTGGAACTTCAAGTTCAGTGGTAGCGACATTCTAAATCGACAGAAGACTAAAGTGTTATTAGTTTTATTTCGAATACCAACGAACCAAATTTGATTTTGATGATGGTTCGGGTAATGAAATGTCCTATGAAAAATGAAGTATGTACAATTGGAAAGCTTACTCCTAAAGAATTAATACCTCTCTATTAGCTTGCGTGTCAAGCACTATTAATTCTAGATTTCAAATCGGAATGACGTATTGAATCATAGAATAACTTTTGATTACCTTGTTCAGCTGAAATACTACTTCCATCGGTTAGTGTTGATTGAGCTGCCGGTAGTCGAATAACAAATGGCTGTAAAAAGAAAAGAAATAGGAAGTCTTGATGTTTTTCACTGATTATCGATAAGTTGTCAATTCATACCGTAGTAGACAATAAAGTATTTTGAGTATCAACAGTAATCGATGATGTTTCATTTGATACTTCATTATCTGTTACCGGTTGTGAATAATTTTGCGTGTCTGCTAGCATTATATCAGCTTCGGCATTTGTTACCTGTAATATCATAACAATCGATTGATACTTATACAAATTTCAAAGCTATTCTGCGAAATCATTCGTTATGAAATCTAACCTGTTCCATTGGATTTTGATTTTCTTTCGCTTGATCTGCAAACAAATGATATAATCATCTGATACGTCGAAAATTTTCTATCAACCTGCCACGGATACTGGTTTCTCAGTTCGAGCTGCTGACTGTTTATTTCGATAGGAATGTTCACTATAAAAAAAACATCATAGATTAGAATCGAAAATGAATAGCTATACTTGAATGTTTCTTGCGTTTCGTAATTCAATGAGATAATATCTTCACTGCCAGCAATATCATTATATTCCGACATCTGAAAGATGACAAAATCGATTTTTTTTTTTTATTGTTCATACATATATAGAGAGAGATATCCCAAAAGGAGAATAAACTTCGATGAGTATTATTATACAAAAAACATTAAGTATACATCAAAAAGAGTTTTAAAGAAATTGGTTCAAGATTGGGCGGCACCTATGAAAAAAAGCACAATGGAAAAAATGTGGTTCGATTTCGATATGGTAAAATTACTTTTTCCATCGCATGCAACAATCTTCACTTTGTCGACACGGGGTATATTCGATGATGCTGTGTTATGTTGTTGAGCTTGATTACCCTCTCTGACAGAGAACTCGTTCAGTACCAGTGTCCAAACATTGTCACAAAAACGATAGGTGCTTAATTTTCCCTGCATAGACGAAAAATACACTTGAACGTGTTTCCTACGCAAACGTATTTCGATCTTTCTTTTACCGTGAATTGAACTTTTTTGGTAATTCGCTTGTCAAGTACTGCATTAATAGATCGGTCAAATTCACTGAGAACTTTGCCAGCTGCTTGTTCAGTCAATTGACCTTGCTACAGAAAAGAAAACAAAAGTATGCATTTGAGAAAGTGCACTTTTGCTTATTAACCGTAATCATGTCTTCTAATGTTTCTTGCAATGTCACACCTAATGTTGTATTACGATACAGTTGATAATTGGCCATTTCGACAGCAGTTCTCACTATCAGAACCTATGACAAATAGAATCAAGTCGAATACGACTATTATAAATATTTTAATAGGCAGATTGGAACGTGTATTACACTATGATGGTGCAAGAGAAAAAATCCGACGAACAGACGTTTCAAAAAACGTTCGTTCAACACATTTTCATTGATTATTTGCTGAGACCAACCGCATTTGATATGTGAATATATATGTCGCCACAGTATTTTTCTGCACGTGTTGACAACACGAGCCTGCTCTGTGAGGTTATATAAAGTGTGTTGTGTGCCTTCTACTTCGCTTCATTTCTTAGAATTCCGATTGCAGTTAATAAGCTTTTGCAACATGCCGAAATACGATCTTCATGGTGATCCAATGAAGGTAAACTCTGATTCGAATAATAACACTAGAGTCAGTCATGTTGCTGTTCTTATGCGTACCTTTAGGCTGGTCCTCAACCAAAATTCAAACCGCAAGAACAAGATTCACCTGGTTTCGAATCGAAAATGGATCCACTTCCAGACTACGGTCTCGATAGTTACAAAGGTTCGGGCAAACTTCAAGATAAAGTTGCTGTTATCACTGGTAAATAACATCGAAATGATTTGCAAATCAGAATATGTTCTTTGCTATCTTATGCGCGTTTCCAGGTGGTGATTCTGGCATTGGCCGAGCTGTTGCTTTAGCATACGCACGTGAAGGGGCAAACATTATCATTTCGTATTTAAACGAACATCACGACGCACAAGAAATTCAACAAGCTGTCGAGAAAGAAGGCCGAGAATGTATTTTAGTGGTAAGTGTTTCGCTGAACTGTGTGTACCAATGCTTATATAATTTATTTTCTTGTAGCCTGGCGATATCAGCAACGTAAGTACTGATTTATCATGAACGACAAGGAAATTGAATGACTTTAGGACGAACAATGTCGACTTGTGATCGATGCTGCTGTATCCAAGTACAAACGAATTGACATCCTAGTCAACAATGCTGCTTATCAAGGAAAACAAGTAGTACGTTGATTCAGCTCAATAATTACATGCCACTATTTGAAATGTATTTTTATCAGGATGATATCCAAGAACTCGATCATAAACGAGTAGAATATACATTCAAAACAAATATTATTGCCAGTAAATCAATGAATGAAAAGACAACGCAATTAGTACGGTGCTTCTTTTTTTCCCTATAGTGTTTGATTTGGTACGATATGCAGTTCCACATATTCCAAAAGGTGGAGCAATCATCAACGTCGGTTCAATTCAAGCGTAAGATTCCATCGGAGACTAGCTTCAAACTATGTTTACTGTATTTAGCTACGATCCATCGGCTGAAATCTTAGATTATGCGGCCACAAAAGCTGCTATTGTTGGTTTTACAAAAGGTTTAGCTGATCAACTTATAGAAAAAGGCATTCGTGTTAATTGTGTCGCGGTAAATCAATGTTATGCTTTACTTTTCTCGTCGAAAGAAACAATTTTCATCTAGCCTGGCCCCGTTTGGACACCATTAGTCATTGCTTCCTTTAAAAAGGAAAAAAACGCCCAATTCGGTTCAAATTATCCCATTAAACGACCAGCACAACCCAGAGAATTAGCACCTTCATTTGTTTTCTTAGCTTCTGCGGCAGATTCATCCTATATATCCGGGTAAGTTATTATCCTAATCTTATCCTTCTCATTCTGATTAAAATGCTCCTCCTTTTTCGCCATTCTTAGTGAAATTCTTGCCGGTAAGTTGACTATTAATACATTTCTTGTCTATTTAATAAGCATTTTAATATTTAGTTACCGGTGGCAAACAAACTGCATAGGCAATTCCGACTCTACGAATGAATTCTCGCTGTTATTTTATAGGATTAGTATAATTTAATCTAGCTTTAACTTTTTTCCCGAATGGACTCTTTATTATGTATACAAGCTGTACATTTGTAACAGATGATTTCTGTTTTGCGCAAGAAAATTATCTGTATAAAAATAAACAACAAAAATATTTCCATATTTTCGTCTAATTTACCCAGCCATGTCATGATCCAGACATGAAGTGTCTGGAACAGGAGAGTTCTTTCTCCAGATATGATGAATGTATCGATGCTTTCTGAATAATAATGGGAAAATATGTGACATATAATTTCCACTCGAGACTTGATTGGCTGTGAAAAGTTTCAGGATATTTTGCAATTCAATTGATATAAGCTGTGAACGTCTACGATTATTTCAAGTCCTATTTATGTGATGACGAATAGAATTTTGTTCTCCTTTTCTAACAGCTGTTATTTCATGCTCTTTAGTCTTTTGTTCAATCAAATTTCTTATCTATTTGATAAGATATTCAACAAATGAATATGTACATAACTATGAAAGAAAAAAGTCGAGATTCGATGCAAATCGAACGATATCAACATGCTGATTCTGTCTTTAGTTAATAAAAATAACCAAACTAATAGTAATAATAAAAACTATAATCATCATAAAAGTGCTACTCTCAATTTCTTTTTTCTCTTCGTTTTTTATCGTTATGTATTTCTCTTTTCGTTCTTCTTTTCATACATACGTACACATACATCCATACATCCATATTGTAATCGGAAGAAGAAGGCTCTAGAAGCAACAGCAGCAGCAGCAGTCGAAACAAAGAAACATATACACACAAAAAGTCCCATAGAAAGAGGCAATCACTTAGTATTGGCTTTTTTTGAAGAAAAAAACGAGTGGGAAAGGGAAAAAAGGAAGAGTAAGAAAGAACAGACGTCGTTTTACATAGGTTGGATGTAATGTACAAAAAGAAGGACGTTATAGAATATTGTAGGAAAGGGACGAAAACCTGCTGTTGCTGCTGTTTGGACACTTAGTAGAAAAAGAAGAAGAAGAAGTTAGAATCTAATCATGCAGTGAGAAGAGAAGGAGCGAAAAAGATAGACAGATAGAATAAAAAGAAAAGAGAGAAGAAGCAAAATGTCGTCGACGATTCTTGGTGACGCTTGGTCTCATCGTCCTTGAAACGACGTATGTATTCAATGCATTCTTTTTTCTACTTTCATTTGTCTGTTACAAAGTGAAGTAAAGAAAGGGAAAATTGATAATATGCAAAGAAAAAAATGCATACTCGTAAGAGGAAGAACATACACGCTCCGAAAGTATAAAAAAGTTTATCCACGCGCTGCGCTGACTTGTTGTATTTCTTCTTCTTCTTCTTCTTCTTCTCATGTACGAATAAAAAAAGGTAGGAATCAACATAACGAGAAAGGAAGAGGGAGAGAGAGAGAACAACAACAATGGAAAAAAACGTACATTGACGACAACGTCATTGGTAGTGTAGATAAAGATTCTCTTACTGTGTGAAATCAAGACAGAACTAAGTCATCTTTCGTAACAAGAGCGCTGTAATAATATGTGAGTATACGTAGAGGTGGATGATAGTGAATGCAAAATGAGTAGCTGAATAAATAGACAATGAAAAAACGACGACGACAGCGTAAGAGAAGAAGTAGCAGCAGCAACAATTCATACTTTATTCTGTATTGTCTTTTTCATTACCTTGATAAAGCAAAAGAGGTACAAGTCCGTACGAAGTAAAACAAGAGTTTCCTATAGCTGTTTGTAAATTCTATGGATTTATAGAGCGAATAGGACAGATGATGATTCTTTTTTTCTTTTGTTTTTAAGTTATGAGGATTGAGTACATGTTGTTTGAATAATTATACATTCTTTCATTGTACAACTCACATTCGTTGTAGAATACAAACTAAATAATAAATATTTTCGATTGAATCGTTTGTTATATACACAAATGCATGAGATACTTTTTCTTTTTTCTAGTAAACAATACATTTTTTCATCTCAAATCATGCGGAAATAGTTAGATGAAGCTTTTTTCTTTCCATCATTTTGGATCCGCTAGTCTGCGTTAGATTCTTTCCTTTCCGCTACGTTTTTTTCTCTTCTTGCTGTACGCTCATACACACGCACACACACATAGAACTCCATTTTCCCCTCTGTGCAATACATCATTTCCGTGATGGTGTTGTGTGCGTGTATTTGCCTTTTTTTTCTTGCTTTTTGTCATCTTTCTATATATGCGTTGCCTATGTTGAACGTTTTTTGTTCTGAATAAAAGGAAGAACGTTGGAGACGAGAAGTACAAAAAATATTCATTAGGATTCAGGTTTTCCTTCTCTTTCCTTCTTTTTCTCTCGTTTGAACACACAATCGATGAATACAGAAAAAAGCAAAGAATGTCCAGAAAAAAAACTATTCATATAATGTTATACAACTCTAGTTTTTGTTTCTATTCTGCTTTCCCCTTTTTCTTCTTCTTTCTCAACCAACAGTAATGAGTGAGCTGAAGAAAATCGAACGAAGAGAAAGGAGAAGAAAAAAAAAAGAACCTCAGAAATATGCATATAGAAGTATTATACACGCAATTGTGAACATGATGGATAGAAGAAGAAGAGAGGAAAATGCGGAATAGAGGAACGAAGAGGAGGAGTTTTTCAAGAAGAAGAAGAACAAGAACAAAAAAGGGAACATTACTATTGCGCTGTTCAATCCTGACCGTGGTGCCACCACGAAGCCTGTCTCGTCGTCCTTCAAAAAAGTGCCTGTCTATTCTTTTCCTCTGTGTTATATATGTGTGTGTGCGTGTGTATGCAAGAGAAAAACACCGAAGAGAAGAAAAAGAAGATGAACTGTTCTGAACATCATCAGCAGCATCAGATTCAACGAAAGAGAAAAAAATGAACGAGCAAACAACCTACTCCTCTTCCCGTTCTCTCTCCTGGTAATAGTTATAGCACGCATAGAAAATATGTTCATACTCGAGTAAAAAGAAAGTTCGACGACAATTTTTCCTTGCTTTCCTACATCTTCCCACCCTCTGTTTCCATTGAATACTGCTTCCTATCTTTGTATGTATTTTCCTCGTAGGAGAGTTTTCCGAAGAAGTTTGACGGTATTTTTTCACATGTCGATTGTGAGCATATAGGTGAACGAGACGAGTCTTATCAACTCATCGTTCTTTTGCCGACTAACATTACAGGTACATTTATTAGATTAGGCAACTTATATTACGTGTTGAATATGTTCATACTGCAGAAGACAAAATGAAAGACAAGTCTATTGTTCTATTTCTCCTTTTCTAGAAATGACCACTGGGACGAATATAAAAGATCGATGTCGTCTTTGTTATACACGTCTAAAAGATTCATCAACTTCTCATCATAAATTATGGTGTGCCCAACATAACCATCAAATCTACAACATATATAAACGTCGGCCGTATCGCTACCGTGACCTTATCGTGCGTTATTTATGTATTCGCTTACCCGAGAATGAAATAACCAGTAATGGAAATGATCCGACGGATCGTTATTCGCATGTTGTTTGCGGTACGTGTGCTGCGTCTTTGAATAAACTTGACGCAGCATTTCGAACGTTTCAACAAACGCAGAAAGTTTTGCGATCAAAATTCCGTAAAACGTCACATATTGTTCATTATCAATTGAATAAACAACTAAAGAATTATTCGTCGGAAAAATCATCTTATGAAAACCCACAAGGAAAACCTCCCGAAAGAATCGAACAGAATCAAGATAAAGACAATGTACCCAAGCGACAATCGAAACGGAAAGGTGCGCCAAAACATATTGATCAAACGATGAATAATAGTTTAACGCTGAAGAAACCGACAGGTAGTATGCAATTGATTGTGAAAATCCATTCGCCTGATCGTCAAGGTGATGACGATGAATCGGAAGATAACGAAGGTGACGATGACTTACAAGACACGAGTTCAAGTTCACCGACCAAACGAACGAGTCCACGACGAAAATCGTTTCAAATATCTGAACCTGATAAGACGAATCCAAAGAAAAAGTTTAAACGCTTAACAAAAGATCAAAATGCATCGAATAACGAACGATACAACTGTGTAAATCTCTTGAAACCAAATATACTTACTGATATACCATTGTCTTCGAATCCAAAAACTCGACCCAATTCTCTTTCTTCGAACAGTCGACCAATCAACTCGGTGAAAGGCAATCATATTGAACGTATTGCTGTTTCTCTACGATCTGTATGTATCACACACGGGAATGAAAAAGCAACCAGTCGTTTTCTCTCTTCATCTAGGGAACAGAAGCTCTTTCAGATATTGGTAATAATACATTAAATCTTCTAAATGGCACAACCGATCATCGTAAGTGAGAAGCTTCCTTTCATCAGATTTCATTGGTTTTTGATTCTGAATATCTTTCATTTCTTCTGATTGTAATAGTTTAAGGTAAGAATGCATGAGTTCTGAAGAATGCCAACATATATCACAGGATGTTTGCTGTGACAATATCTTTTTTTTGATTTTCTTTGTTCTTCAATATTGATCTCTGTGTATATATTCGTCTCTTTTTCTTTGCATTAAGACTCGATAAAAACGCGTGGAGGAGGACGCCGAAAGCAATCATCGACATTAGAAGTTTCCACGACAAATAACATTCTTTCATCGACAGTGCCATCACCTTCGTTCGATGATAGCATGAATGGCAATGATCGTGATGACGACGATGACGATGATGACGAGTATTCCATTGGCGGAGCGAGTAATGCGAGTTCAAACACGAGTACAACTGTGGTCAATCGACAAGTTAACGCAAATATTCCAAATGTGAATAAGAATCTACCGACATCAATATCGACAACACCCACGGCCGAAGGTTTAACAATTACAGCAATCAATCAAACCGGGCAAAAACAAGTGTTCATGGCCAAACAGCTGGGTAACTTAAAGAAATACCAATGCGGTCTGTGTGAGAAAATTGTAACTAATATTCAAATTCACGTGCGACGTCATACAAATGATAAACCATATCCATGGTACGAGCAATTTCTACTTTAATCAAATAATTCCTTCTCTCTCTCTCTCTCTCATTCATCGTAGCACTTATTGTGAGAAACGGTTTACCAATTCAGGTGATCTTCAGATTCATGTGCGAATACATACAGTAAGTCTATGAAGTAATGCATGTTGATTACGATGCTCTTTCACTCTTATCTTGACATTTCATTAGATTTTGTAAGCTCATTAGTTTAAAGGTACTAAAATCCCTTCGTGATGATTAGCTTTGCGTTGCAACTTTTTTTTGGTTCCTCTAGAAGGATACTTGGGAACATAGAATCGTCAGCCAAAGAGGAAAAAACTGATATTCGATGAGAACATGTATACACGCATTTACCGATGAAATCTTTCTATCAATATACAATTCTTCTTGTCAGTTCTCAAAGGAAATTTAATATCAATGAGAAAAGAAAGCGATAGACAACCTGCCAAGGTCAAAGACAAGGTTTCTAACCTCGAAATCTTATGCCAGCCATGACCTTCCCTCATTAGAAAACTGAGACGATCTTTTTTATATTTTCTTCAGGGCGAAAAGCCATACGCTTGTCCATTGTGTTTGAAAAGTTACCGTACAATTGGCAATTTCAACAGTCATGTGAAAACTCATGATTCGGGCATCCGACCACATCGATGTGACTTATGTAATCAAACATTTCCAATACCTAAAGATTGGTATTCTCATTTGCGTTCGAGTCATCGTTCTCGAACGGCAAATATCAATAATAATTCAATCACATCCTCGTCATCTTCATCATTGAATTCAACAAACACAACGACTACCGTGACTCAGCCGCTATTTGCCAGCAATAGCGTCACAAGTCAGCAACAAAATAGCGAAAGATTCACTCCGAATAAAGTTAAACTAGAACCGATCAATCGTTCTCAATTACAAATCAAATCTTCGAATGACAAAGCTTCTCCTTCTGAAGACGACGATCAAGAGCCTGTAGATATGTCCACAAGAGACGATTCCAATGGTGAAGATGATGATGAAGTTGATGAAGGTGAAGAAGAGAATCATCAACAATCAACACATAATCTACTTGCAAATGTCTCATCTCCTGTTCATGCTTAATAAACTAGTCAAAAAAGAAGAAAAACAAATGCCAATTCTCTCCGAACAGTATCAATGAATTTCGAAATGAAGATGAACAGCCAAGTCAGTCTTTCTCTTGTGATTGATGTTTTTCTTTTCTTTTTCTTTGTCGTGATTCTTCGTAGCGCAATATCATCTGTATTATTTCTATTCTTCTAATTGTTGTCTGTATCGTATGAGGATGACATTCTTGTATATTTCCTTTTCGTTTTGTTTCCATCTAGGTGAATCGAAGAATGAATTGTATTTTCTATGTTTTTCGTGTATATATTTATACATCATTGTCGTGTCTTCTGGTCATTCGTTCTTTTCCTATCAATGTATTTTACTTGGGGCAGTGGATTTCGTTTTACTCTTCTATTTTCCACGCATTTAGCCGATGCGTAACAGTATTCGATGAAATGAAACACATGCGGTCAACTTTTTTCCAAAGAAAACGAGACAAACTTTTTCTCCGAGTTATCTATCTTTGCATTTTGAACTACTGAATGAAAGAATATATTGTATACGTTTCTTTGCTGTTTGAAAACAAAACCCGAAATAAATATGTGAAGATATTCGATGAATTTGTCTGCATTTTTAAACACGTACTTACCCTGAGAGGAACAAAGCACACTGATTTGTATGTATGTCATTGGAAAATCAAGGTTAGTTGTTATATGAAACTTCTCTCGTCCAGACGTGAGTATTTTATTAAAGGTATCATCTTTTGATTCATGTCGTCTATGTTTGAAATGTCAATAATTGGATGATATGATTTCAAATCATGTCAGTGTAGCATCAACACAAGTTTGTCGAAGAAAACGACAGGTATATAGTCGGTTAACAATCAATTATTTTCTTTATATTCATTCAGAAGAAAAAACGAACTGTGTGTTAACGGATAAAAACCTAAAAATTATATTCATTCTGATCTACATGTTCTTATTATAGCGAAGATTAGATATCACATGTATCGCATTCGGAATAAAAGAGATTCCCAAGTCATCACAATCTTGTTTTAAACTAAATTCTTTTCTTCATCATCGTTATTGATTTTATTCCAGGTTGTCGAGTATTGCGGAGCGCCATTTGGATGTGTGGCTGAACGAGATGAATATTGTGATTGACCATTGGAAGGCTCAATGGAATGATCATTGTTTAAATGTTTGTCCGGATACGTTTCACAATAGTGTTTATACAACCGATCAATAATTTCACCGACGATAATATCTTGTCCATTTCTTGCTAATAATCGAAGTGCAAAACAGCCGTCTTCTTGTAGATAATCTCGGACGAACTGTTTAATTCGTATTTCTTCATCTAATCGTTTTTGTTGACTAATGTGATCACCAGAATTAGTGAGAGAGATGTTTTGCATCATCAATTTGCGTCGGACGTAAGCGGAACGATTATCAACACGAATAATACGAAAGAGCCAAGCTAAGAAATCACCTATGTTGAATGCGGCTAAGAGTAAAATCCAGAACCAGAGAACAAGAAAGATTTTCTCATTGAACAAATTGATTGGTAAAACACATTGAACTGTATAACGATGGACGATGCCAACTTCTCGAATATGGAAATCACACAGTGTGACACGTGGAAATCGTTTTGATTCACCCCAATCGAGACCGCGCATAAATTTGTTAATGACTTCGAAACCAAATAGATGATATTCATTACCTAGGAAAGCATTCAAGAGAAAGATTTGGATTAATGAATTGATAAGGAATAGTAATTTAACGAATGTGAAAAGTACGACAAGATAAGCACTTAGATGACGATGACGCCAGAAGGCCACATGATACCAGAATTTTTGAGGAACCGTTTTCGAACGATGGTGATGGGGTATTGGACTTGTGTAACGATTTTCGATATATACTCGAATCGAATTGTAAATGTAATCAACCGCTTTTTCTCGTTCTGCAGTCGGATTTTCTTGTTGCTCTTGCTTCATGGCTTGGTCGACTAACTTCTCGATGTCGAGACCTGATTTATTATTTAATGATCGCCAGATCATACGAGGAAAATAAAAACAAAGTGCCATAAACATCAGGATAAATGGCGACCATTGATAGTATTTAAGCATTCCTATGCAATTCAAAAGAAGAAACATCAAAACAACACAACGAAACATCTACTCAACACTCACGTTCATATCGAGTATTCTCAGCATGTGGAATATCATGTTCCATTGGCACATAATACGTATTCATGATCCAACATATATCATTTGCATATTTTTCATAACCACCTGTGAATTGGGCAGGCACCTAAATGAACGCAAAAGTCAGTTGTCAAAACAAAAGCAGAAAAGACTTTACCCAACACGTAATTGGCGCACCGAAGTATTGTTGGGTGGTAACAATACCTGCGAAAACTAAGATCATTGTCACCGTATATCTATGATTGAGTCTGTCGATGAAGACATCATCATTTCGCGCTGCATGGTGTTTACCGGCACTTAATTTTTTAGCAAACTCCAATATATCCATAGTGATATATGTTAATCAATCAAAAATAAGACGAAAAAGAAGATATTTGCTTTCGGGTTAAGAAATCTTTATGCCTATATATCACTTCGAACTTGTGAAATATTGTATCGGGACATATTTGCGTTACCTGTTCTATTAAGTATTCAATTCGCCGCTATTTTAGTCTTTCAAATCAAAGGTTAATGTTATCATTTCTTTCCTTTTGTTTCTCATCATAAAGAAGAGTCAATGCTATCATAAAGAAAACCGTTCGAAATGTACCAATTGCACTAATTTCTCTTCTCTTTCCTCTTCTTCTCTATTGTATTCAAATCGATCATCCTCGATCTTTCTTCTCTTTCAACTCAACTCTACCCATACGATCACCTTATTTTCTTTTTTCCTGCAAAGAAGACGAAAGGTGATCAGATCATACACACATTTTTGTAATAATGGTTACATCACATTCAAATACACATTTGTCTCTTACCCATCTATCTACAACGTCCATATTTATCTTGGAATTTGGAACAAAATACGAAATGGACATCAGAAGTTCATTCTCACTTCTCTCCCTTCCTCTCTCTCATATTCGAGAACTCGAAAACATCATTCTTACGAAACTCTCTTCATCAACTTACCCTTCAAGATAAGACGCAAGTATCGAACTCACTGTGAAAGCCTCACGTAAACCTTGATGTCACTCATGAAAATAAAAGTCACATTGTCGTCCTCTCGGTCATTTTCAAGAAGCGAGATAGCGTGAATGAACTTTTTACGATCAGAATATATAAAATACAAATCATTACCACGAAACCACAAGTCAAGGGACACGTATCGAATAAAAGCATCTAAAGCAAATAGATAATTTTCAAAAAAAGGCGAACGAAAAAGAGAGAAAAAACGTAAAAAAAGAGCGCAAACGGATTTGTATAGTACAACGATGAAATCTTTCTTTTCTCTCTCTCTCTCTTTCTTGGTCTTTTTCTCCACTCTCTCTCTCTCTCTCTATCGCATTTTGTGTCATCAATCGATGAAAGGTCCAACCTTTCTTTTTCGTTACACTAACTATCGAAAGATAAAGTTGAAACATAGAATAAATTGAAGATGATACTAATACATGTACATAAGTAATCAACTACACATAGTTCCTTTTGTTTTTTTTTCAAATTTGTTTCTTCGAGTTGAAAAAGAGAAAGCATATAGAGGTATTTAACGCACATTGCATCATGTTGGTACTTGACGTTATCTTAAAAATTAAGCGTAGTGCACTTCTTCAAATAGAAGAAACACCAAAAGGGAATCTTAACAGATGGAAGAATCGTTTCTTTCGTCAATAGATCAAATCTCCTCTATTTTTACATATTAATCAAAAATAAATATACAATTCGATTTCGTTTTCTTTTCTTTTCAAACGAATCATGTTGAATATTTAGTCAAGCAAATTGCTTCATAGAAGATATATCAATTGCAAACACATTTGCAAATTTAAGCTTATCTATTCGTCGATAAAATTTATTTTATTTCATTTGTGTCTTTTTTTACTTTGATAAAGAATAATATTGACTTGCAAATTTTTTATCGAGGCATTCGATTCATTCAGCGAATTGACATATTCATTGTCTATTCGCGAATGGATTTCATTCAATTCTCAAAATATGACCTGACGGGAAAACTTTTATTGATGTTTCTGTCTGTCGTATATCTACTTTCTAAGGAACGTGCTTCACTGTCAATAATATGTTGAAACAACACGATGAAAATCTCGTCAAATTTACCGATTATTTATCTTTTTTCTCTTTTCTCTCGTAAAAGACAAACAAATATTACGGAAAATAATACGACAGCAGCAAATGAGAAGAAATTTTTTTCTTCGATTGTTTTCTGATAACAAATATTTTTGGCAGTAAAATACACAGAGGAATTCATAGAATTCTATATCTCCCGCCTGAATTGACTGTTGACGTCAATAGTTGACCAAAAATCGATATAATTTCATTGTGCGAGAGTTGTTTTTTAATTTCTACTTTTTCCTATTAGGAAATGCTATCTAACTGAACGAGAGAGTGAAAAAGAGAACAATCTATCAATATATAAGAAAACGACATTTCTCATAGGAGTTAGAAGAGAAAGTAAGTACGTGTGAACATTCAAAGTTACTCGACAGAATATTTCTACACGATACGACACGGAAAGTATCGATATGGCTGCTAAGTTCAATGATCGATCACTTTCGTATGATGGTTCACCTGTTCATAAACAATCTGGTAAAGGAAAGATCAGTCCTGCAGGCAGCCCAGATATCTTCACGGTACAACCTGGTGGAGAGAAACGAAGTGTGGCACATTCCGATGAATTGCAACGTAGTCCAGCGGCACAACGTGGTATCGGTCGAACAATTCTTCATGGCATTCGTTGTGAGTATGAGTACAATTTTGAGTAGTTTCGAATTTGAAATGTTTAGCACTTTGGGCTACGCGGCAAACAGAGAAAGATCTTGGGAAAAACAAAGATTTGTACGTAAAAACAACTATTCGAGAACTGATCGTCTACTTGGTCTTTATCGTCGTTCTATGCATTAGTGAGTACACAATCATAGCTTACGTTATCATGCTCAATATTCAAATCTTCTACAAGAGAAATAAGACAGTCAATATGTAACTTTATATGTTGACATAAGATATATCACGTTCATATAATAATATGAAGTAACGTATATCTAAGAAATTTATTGGGTGTAGTTTTCTTTTCCATACGAGCCGTTCCGTTTTAATCGACGTTTTTAAATAAATGATCTGGTATATTTAGTTACCTTCGGAATGACATCGTCAAAGACGTACTATTTCACCACAGTCTTACGTACGATATTTACTGAACGAAAGATTATCGATATTGGCGACCAACCAGCCTTTGATGATATTGCAAGTTATGATGATTTCTGGGGCGTAAGAGGCTTCTTTTCACAGATTTGATTTAATCAAAGAATGAACTTTCTTAGGTTATGAGTGGTCCAGTTATGAATGGCTTGTTTCCAACGCAATGGTACAACGGTGAAAATGTCACACAAGATCAAGTCGGTTTCGTTCTATTCGAAAACAAAATTATTGGTTTACCACGTCTTCGTCAACTTCGCGTAAGCTTAACGTGTAATGGAACAGCTCGTTAAATGCAGATTTTACTGTAAATAGATGAAAAATAATTCGTGTGTTGTTCATAAAAAATTCCGATCGATGATTCCCGATTGTTATGCACCGTACAGCAGTAGCAAAGAAGATCGCGACCCATTTGGATCAGAAAATGTCACATCCAAAACTGCGTACGTATAAATCTCGTTTCGTCCTAACGTTTCCTACAACCAAAGCGATCCTTTTCACTTTTAGTTGGCGTTATCAATCATCGTCGGAGCTCGATGGCCTATCAGATAGCGGTTTGGTCTCTCGATACAGCGGCGGTGGTTACGTCGAAGATTTACAACGAGATTATAGTCTTGCTCTAGCGCAACTCAATGATCTGAAAGCTAATCTATGGCTTGATCGTAGTACCCGTGTTGTTTTTCTTGATTTCACATTGTACAATGCAAACATCAACCTGTTTTGCCAAATTAAATTAACGGTTGAATTTCCAGCATCAGGTGGAGCTGTCCCATCAAAATCATTCGCATCTGTCAAACTGATTCGAGTAAGCATATCGAAACGCACGCGGATTAAAGTAATGTTTGTCTTGCTTTTAGTACGTTACCTCCATGGATTATTTCGTCTTGGCATGTGAAATCTTGTTCATCATCTTTACAGTTTACTACACAGTCGAAGAAGTTCTTGAAGTAAGTTTGTGGGTGATCTTCATCTTCTATAAATATGAATTGAACTGAATTTTAGATTGCTCGATTTAAACTTCACTATTTCAAAACCATTTGGAATATTCTTGATGTACTTATTCTTTTAATCTCATATATTTGTATTATATTCAATATTTACCGTCAAGTAAAAGTTTCGGAAATTCTCGATGAATTATTGAACAATTATAATACTTTCTCCGATTTCGAATTTCTCAGCTATTGGCAATTGCAATTCAACAACGTCATTGCATTCACCGTCTTTCTCGCATGGATCAAAGTGAGTATTTCATGCGAAAGGTTATTTCGATTTCACTCGATTTAGATCTTTAAATACGTTTCGTTCAACAAAACCATGACACAACTATCAACAACATTATCACGCTGTGCAAAAGACGTCCTCGGCTTTAGTGTCATGTTCATGATTGTATTTTTGGCATATGCACAATTGGGTTACTTACTGTTTGGCTCAATGGTTGAAGACTACAAAACATTTAGTACATCAATGTAAATTTTGAACCGAAAAACGATTCGATGTTTCTATTCTGATGAAAACTTTTCATTTAGTTTCACATTGTTTCGTATCATTTTGGGTGATTTTGATTTCGATGGTACGTATTCCGCTTGCATCTTATGTAATATTATCTTGCCTGTTTTAGCTATTTTGAACGTTCATCGCGTTCTCGGACCGATCTTCTTCTTGACCTATGTCTTTTTCGTTTTCTTCGTCTTACTAAACATGTTCTTGGCTATTATCAATGATACATACGCCGAAGTGAAGAATGATATGGGCAATCAACAATCAGAATTTGAATTGGGAGAATATTTCAAACGATCCTACGGAAGAATGCTTGAACGTTTGCACTTCAAACGCGAAGTGAGTGTCTCCATTGATCCCAATGTAAATCTTCATGTTTTCACATCTTTTTTAAGCGTGTTAATGATATACAAAGTGCATTAAAAACTGCTGACCTTAACAAAGACGGTGTGATCGACGTAAGTGAAACGTAAAATTAATCAAAGAAGAAGTCATTCTATTTTTAGTTCGATGAATGGCGTCGAGCATTGAAAGAACGTGGTTTCACAGATACTGAAATCGAGAATGTTTTCACGCGTTATGATACTGATGGCGATCGTACTCTTCGTAATGTCGAACAAACTCGATTCAAAACTGATTTGAATACACAAGCAAAGGATCTTGATCAAGATATTCAGAACTTAAAAGATGAACCTGGAAATGTCAAGTAAGAGAAGACCTTACTTTTGATCTTTGCTTTTTTTATCACTTAGGGTTGATTTAGTAAATTTGCCGGTGCAAATTTCAATGAAGTGAATAACCTTAATCATATATCTTTCGATGAATTTAAGATTCTGATTCGACGCATGGATCGAATGGAGTATTCTGTCGGAAATATCGTTGCTCGAGTAAGAACGACTCGAGAATGGAGGATAAAATCTCAAAATTTTGCTTGCTTAGATTGATGATGTATTAACTAAATTGGAAGGTATGGAGAAAGGTAAAACCAAACGACGTGAAGTTCTACAGAGAATCTTAAATTCCATGAATGAAGTAAGTTCGTGAAGATCAAAAGTCTCGCATGAGATTTACCATTCATTCAAATGTTTTTAGGATAATCATTTGAGTAAAGAAGCTAAACAAGAACGTTTGGAAAAGATGATTCGCGAAGAATTAATTGAAAACATTCCAGATCGATTAAGTCCGGGTGCACCAGGTGTGACTTATCGAAGCAGCACGTCAGTACGTCATGAAGATGACTTCACACGTGCTTCAAGTGGCACAAAAGTCAATCAATAAGATAATGCAAAGATGAAACTTTCTCTCTTTCGTTTCTGATTATGACCTCCAAACGTTTAACGTATATTTATTCATTACAAACGCTTTTGTCGTGTTGTACATGCAATATTCTCTCGACATAATAAATCGTTTCATTTTCGCGCGCAGTCATTCATTCGATCATGACGACGTTCTTCTCTTTGTTTAGTGAAGAAGAAAAGAATAGAATTTCAATCTATGAATTGATTCTCTACGGCTTATGTTTGATTCTTATTTGTACAAGTATGATGTTCTCATTTCCAAAAAAGAAAACTATGTCAACAAGGATGTTTATTCGAAAAGTCAATATTTTTACCTACCGGGAAAAAGTCTGATTCAAGGCTTTTTTTAAAATTTATGGCATGATAAATTTTGATAGAATATTTAAAAACATTTCTGTCTGTAATCTCTGTCAAAACATGTTCGAATCATGTCGACGTCAAAGAAGACAAGTTCTTTTCTTGTGTTTAGTTAGTTTTGGTCGAACCAATGATTCAACATACTATTTTACAAATATGTTAGCAGAAGCTTTCGTGACGTCAAAAACCAAGAATGCAGATTCGTTTAACGACATCGCGCAGAGTGACGGCACTGATTTTTGGAAGGTTTCGCCACTTCACTTTGTCGTTTACTTTTCATAGGAAATTGTATTTTCATAGGCGATTCAAGGACCGATCTTTTCACGATTGTATAATAATGGATCGAAAGGAAACTATGGGTACATATTGAATGAAAATAAAGTTCTCGGTATAGGAAAGACTAGGTTTGATGAAAGATTTCTCGAATGATTTGTTTAGGAGTGGCGCGTTTGAGACAAGTTCGAGTAAATTGATTTTCTTCAGTTATGTTTGTTCAAACTTCACGATCGAAAGGTCAAAGCCGATTCTTGTAAATTTCATGATAAGTTTAATAAACGAAACTTGACGCATCAATGCTATGCTGCTTATACAGTTGATCAAGAAGATCAAAGTCCATTCGGTCTCCGTTTATCGAATGTCTTTACCGCTGATGCGTACGTTTTCCTAAACGCAAATATTTCCTCTATGTTCTTCAGATTTCTTTCAGTTGGAATTACATACCTGCTCGTACGACCGGAACATCGAATCATCGAGGTATGGTGTCTCAATATGGAGGCGGTGGTTATGTGCAATTATTGACTCGAAAGTATGAATGAGAAAGAATTTGAAAGACAGACCATTGTGTTTGACTTAGTGCCACGAGAACAATGAATATATTGGAAGAATTGAAAAGAAACTCTTGGATTAATCGAGGAACACGAGCGGTATTCTTCGATTTGCTTGTTTACAATCCAAATATTAATCTATTTTGTCATGTATGGTAAAACACTCGATAAATTTTTCTTGAAAAAAAAACTTAGAAAAGTCTTTTCAAGTCTTCTTGCTGAATATCCATCCTCAGGCGGTGTTATTCCTACAGCAGTGATTCGTGCTGTTGAGTTAATTCAAGTCTGTTTACATTTATGTTCTGTTTTATAATCTCATCGAATCATTCTAGTATACATCCATATTTGATTACGTCATTCTTGCCTGTGAATTAGCATTTACGTTGATTGTTATCCTTCAAATCCTCGAATGTACCATCAAAGTAAGATTTGTGTTTCATTCAAAGCAAAATCTCCGTTTCTCATTTCAGATCATTCGGAAGAAACATTTGTTTTTACTCGATGCTTGGGATCTTATCAATCTGATATCGATTATTCTCTCATTAATCTGCATTGTCCATGAATTTCTATTTCATTTCTCTACGCGAAAACATCTCAACCAACTACTACAAATCGAAACTGACTATCCGAATTTCAACAATTTATTCACCCTCAAGCTGAATTTAGATTTCTATCTTGGACTAACTCTCGCATTAACTTGGTTGAAAATTTTCAAATATTTGAACTTAAATCAAACTATGCTCTTACTAAACAAAACTATATCAACTTGTTTGAATGAACTCATTGCATTCACGTGTATTTTCGTAATTATCTTTCTTACTTATGCACAATTCGGATGGCTTTTCTTTGGAAGATATTTAACTGAATGGCGATCATTTTCAAGATCAATGTAATCGATGTTTAATCTTCTCAAATAGAGTTTCCTGTTTTTCTGTATTTTTAGATTTACTCTATTCCGAATGATTATCGGAGATTTCGATTTTTATGCTATGTTAAACATAGATGAATATCTCGGCCCATTTTTTCTGTTCAGCTACATTTATTTTGTCTATTTCGTTCTACTGAACATGTTCCTAGCCATTATCAATCAAACTTATTCTCAAATTGTCTCAGATACCACCTTACAAACATATCAAATTCAAGGATTTCTCAAACGTTCACGTGTCGCTGTGACCAAATCCGATCAGAATGAAAATTCAGGTCAAACAAAAACAAATCGCGATGGAGAGAACATGAAACCGAACGCTGAGTAAGATTAACATGCTTGATCTATTTACCCGACCTGTTGTTTGCTCATGTAGTCATAGTGACAAGAAATCAGGTAGGATGATTGTTGAAAAGTGCTTTGCAAGATATTTACCTTTTCAATTATGATCCTTGCGTTGCTATTTTGAGAGCCTTGATTCGATTGCAAAGCATCTGTCATATGTTTTGTTTTTTAAATAAACATGATTTTGTGTAACCATAGTGAAAGATTAATCGATATTTACTAGATATCACAACGAAACTTTCGTATGACGAATATTTAATCCTGAATCAATATGTTGATCAAATTGAAAGTCAAATTACTGATTATATTAGTAGAATAGAAGAAGTTCTAAACGGCCTTGAAGATTTGCATGAAACAACGAGTGATCGAAAAGAAATTCTCAAAAAAATAACAATGAAACTTGAAAGTTAACTTTGGACTCTCTCAATGGTTGGTACGTACTTTGAGTTGAGGCCGGTATGTACATTTTGACGTCAGGAAAAAAGGAAAAGGTGATATTATGGTTATGAAGATGATAAACATGACACTCGTTAGTTACTCATACTCTTCGTACGACCTGCTTGTTTTGTTTTGTTCGTTCTTTTCTATTCTCGCTCTCTCTTTTTGCTTCTCTTCGATCGTTATTGATTTCAGTCTGTGTGTGTCAGTCATTTGTTAAAAATATGTTTCTTAACGACCTATCGATCTATTCAATACCGTTAATCGGTATCCTAATTCTTCTCATCAGTATTAGTTCTTCCAAAACCATCCATTTATTCACATATCAATTATCCAGCAAGTCGAAAAAACAACTGAATGCTACTCAATCGACGACTCAGACTCCAAACTCTCATGTAGCCATTCCAGTCAGTTCACATCCTCAATTAGATAGTGTTGATTGTCGATCTCGGCCCATAACATTAACATTGAATGATGATGACGATGACGAAGATTTGATCCAATCAGATATTTCGTCGATATCCGTGACCAATTTCTGCGACAACAGTTCAATTGAATTACGTCTCGATCAAGATCTCGGTGATGATGATGAAGATAATGATTTATAGAGAAATTTCCAATGTCTTTCATTAATTATTTGTATTTATTTATGAAAAATAATAAAACTCATTCATTTGTCACATGTTTATGTTCAAATTCGCTCAATGTTTCAATTGGATTATCTTCTTTGGCAAGAGATTTTCCGGCACTTTCAGATTGAATTTCTCGAGTTTGGATTAGATCCTTTTCGTAACGAATCAATTGTAATAGAAAACCATCGTTTGGACAGATCGAAGGACGTTTTTCAACGAGAAAGCCATAAGCGTCCGTCAATGTATTGTGATGATACTTCATTAGATAAGCAAGAACGATTGTTGCCGATCGTGATATGCCTGAAACAAGGTATTATCTCAAAGAGATGAATAATTGATATCGAATTCAATACCAGCAGCACAATGTACCAAACAGCGTTCTTTCTTCTCATAAAATTCGTGTAGTAATTCATTTGTTCGATCGAAATGCTAAAGAAAGTGAAGTTTTAGTTCGAATTTAGGTTTGAAATGAATTCGATACCTGTCGGATATTTGTTACTGAGTTATCGCTTAATGGAATGTGAGTAATACTGAAATTATCTGGGTCAAGTCGAGTGATTTCCCAATCACATACATTCAAAATATGTTCTAAACCGAATAGTTGGAAAGTCTATGAAGATAAACCTATTCTATTGAGCTTACTGATTTGTAATTCTTCAAGCAATGTCTGATTGTTAGCATGTTCAAAATCTCCCAAGAACAGAAAATCATCGAGAACAATCGATGGTCCGCCTATCGTCAGATATGCTCGATTATCATTCGAATTACGAATCGCTTCAATCTCCTGCATTCTTGCAAGTTCATCGCTAGTGATACTTCTCATCACATTATTTCCGATTGGATCTAGTAAGGGTGCAAACATTGCAATTTACAATTAGAAAAAAAACAATCTATAATGGAAAAGTAAGATGGTTGGAGGACTTGTCGTATTTGGTCATGCAACGTTGCTCTGAATGTTACAGCTGCAGGGTAAAAACAACTCTACAATGGAAAGTGCGTTTTGGTTTCTAAGATGCAGTTTCACCATCTATTGAGAAGCAAATGTTAGTGATGTATAAACGCAACCGCTATGTCACTGAATGCCTATTAGTTCTTATCATACTGTCTTATCTACGTAAAATTTTAAGCAAGGGGAGAAAATTTTATGGTTATCGATCATGCTTTCCTTTAGAAATGGTTAGTTTATGAAAAAAAATCGCAACTCTCCATTTGCTTTGATCGTTTCTAATATTCTGTTTCGTTATGAACATTCAGCTGTGTTTCTTCTGTTGGGATCTTGTTCAAATGGTACATTCGATTCATCAGTTGTATTTTTTCGATCATATGAATAAAAATTTATGCCAAAAGCAATAAAAATAAGTGATTAATCCCTTTTTTCTCGTCATAAACTTTGACATTTTCTTTTGCAATTGATTTATCAACGAACGAACAAACAAGTACATGCGTACGATGATTGGTCAGATCATCCACCAATTAAATCATTACGTTTGACCTTTACAAAGAAGTATTCATGCACATGATTAAATACGTTGATACCAGGAAACAGAAAGCATCTTCATTCTAAAAAATTTCTCTTTCTTCACCTTTGTTTCAATTTTCAATTGTCATCCTAATCTCACGAGAATATCTCTTAGAGGCATAAGTCGTTGAGTGATGGTGTCTACTTGACAGAATTTTTTTGCTACTACAAAATCAATCAATCAATAAGATCTTTCGGTTTATATACATTGAACTAGGACATCAATCTTTTAGGTTGAAGACATCATTTGCTGAGTTTTTACATCCAATGCTGTTCTTTGTTTGTTCATCTTAAAACCAATCGTTGACCAAACATGTACGGCAAAAATAAAGGTGTTAGCGCACCCTCGGATATGCATGCGAAAGACAAGTAAACTTGATGGATTGTTCTGCGTATATGTTCGTTAAATATGTTCGTTTGTTCATGTAGATTGAATTTATATGTCTACGAATATTTGTACCATATTGGTGCATCGAAGGCAGCTCAGGGATTTTGTGCGGATGTAAGTTTGATATTCTGTTTGTGAGATAGAAGGAAAAATTATGTTTTTTTATAGATGAAATGGGAACAGAATAAAATGTCACTTGGCGAAGCACCAGGATTTTTATTCAGTTGGTGGTGGTAAGTAACAGTCAGCGAGAAAAGTTCCATTTACAGTCATTTTTTTCTCTTCTCTAGCGTTTTTTGGGATTTGTACAGTGCGGCACCGGAACGTCGAGAACAACATCCTCATTCTGAAGAAGCAAAAGCATTTCATGATTATGTAATGTTCTTTTTGTTTTCGGTTTCAGCTGATCTATGGAAATGCTCAATTTTGATTTTAGGGTTTTATAAATTCCAATTACGCTCCTAATGGTATTCCTCCTCAAGTATGAAACTATGCGAATTAGTCTGCCTTTTTTAATCAAATCTTTTCATTAATTTCAGTCGAACGTAAATCCAAATGCTCCACCACCAATGCCAATGAATGTCAATGAAGGAATGCATAATCCAGGTGTTCCTTTTTTTCCAGTAAGAAAGTCTTGTTGTGATAGTTTCGAAAATAATGTACATCTATTTTTGTGATGTAGCCGCCAGGACAGCCAATCATGAATCAAGTAAAATTATTATCATACCTGTTGCTCGTCATTAAAACATGTTACTTTTTTTAGTATTCTCGTTATCCAAATGCACCTCCACGTTCACTTGTTCGACTGCCATCTCAATCAGATTATCCGGTACGAACAGAAAAACACTAAAAGCAAATGAATACTATTTTTTTCTTGTATGTTCAGGGTGGACCCAACGGAGGACCTTTAATGCCACCTCAAATGGATGTTGGTCGAAATGGTAAATAATAGAATAGAATAGAATACGATGTGAAGTAAGTTTTTTTTTAAATTTAGGCTTACGTATGACATCACCGGGCGCTCGATTACCACCGAATTCAATGGGTCATCCAGGTCCAGGTGGACCACCACCTCCTAATGCATATCGACCTCAAGGTATGCCACCCTCAATGTCACCATCGATGAATCAAACTGGTCCACGAATGTATATGACTAATTCACCTGGGGTAGGCATCCTCGATTATGTCTTTACCAACTGATGATAAATATATATATATATATATATCCATATAGGTTGGAGGTTATTCTTCATCGTCGCCTGCTCCTTACGGTGTACGTATTAAAACGATTTTCGTAACTTTTGTTTTTGCCATATGATTCCTATCTCGCATTCGACTTACACTAGAATATTTTTGTATCGATTAAAATTTCAATTCTAGACTCCATGTCCTACTGGTCATGCACCGACGACACCCATGATGCCAAGTCCTCAAGACGCAAATGGTGGAGAAATGACACCTTATGGCATGCGACCGATGCCTGGAGGAATGCCACCAGGACCCAATCCAATGGTACATACAGTACAGGCTTACTTGTAAAACAAGCACATCTCTGAACATCTGCTTTTGTCCGTTTAGTATGATCCACATTTATCTCACATGCCGTCGATGCCACCGGATATGTCCCATCACGGTCCAATTAATGGTATGTGTTCGTACTAAGCTATCATTGCATAAGATTGATTGAATTCTATAGGCGATTATGATCAACAAATGAAACAATCACCCGGTCAGCAACAACAACAACAGCAACAACAACAACAGCAACAACAGCAACAACAACAACAACAACAAGCACCACCTCCATCTTCAGACGTACCTAATTTCAATTACAATGAAGATCAAACTAGCGATACTAATGCTATCTTGAAACTGAAAGAATCAATGCAAGAAGAAGTAAAAAAGTTTGATAAAACGCCTAGTAACTCAAATAACGATGATTATAATCACTATACTGGTATTGGTTAACAGCACAAGAACATCCGTAAACACACACAATCATATATACATAAATGCATATATTAAAAAACATTCTGATAAGGAAAATCTCATTCTGTTTACTTAGTTTGTATTCTTGCTTCTTCTTTTTCTCAGTATGAATCAATTGAATGAGGATCTATTTCCCCCTCCCAATCTCTTTTTTACAATGTAGAATATTCTTTTTGTGAGTGCGTTTGTAAGGGCGAAAAACAGTACAAGAAAGCAAAACAAACTGAAGAACCTCGTCGTTGAATCTACACTCTTCTGTTCGTATTTACACTTTATTCGCAAATGTTCTCCTTAACATATTGTTCATCGAACATTCCCCTGAGAAACGAAGCTGAAATATGGATATTACGTGCGACGAGTCTTCCGACAACAAATTAATATGATGTGGTTTAACCTTCTCTAAAAGAAAAAAAACAAGCATCTTCTTTTTTTTCGTGTGTCTATATTGTTTGTGTCATGTACATTTTTCTGTTCAACTATGCGTGCGTGTGTGTGTGTGTACAAGCAAATTTGTCTTCTTATATTTATCCTTAAATATACATATTTCAAATGATCTACATCTTTTTATTTTTCGAATACTGTTTCCTCAGGGAAGAGTCGTCAAAGATAAAGTGCGTTGTTTTTCATGTTGGATTAGATAGTCTTCTACTGATTTCTTATAGATTGAGTTCTAGTTAGGCAACTTTCTCACTACATTTTGATTCTATAGTTCTCTTGATGCTTTATACTAATCCTCTATCACGCATTAACTGTACAATCATATAACCAACTACGAAGGAGAACGCAGTAAGACAAATAAGAAGAGCGATTTTGAACATATACGAGAGTTTTCTTCTTCTGCTTTGCTCTTGTTTGAGACGTTTTGATGATGAGTGTTCAAATTCAGCAGATGTCGTTTCCAGATCTCGTGTTTTCTGGTTTAATGTAGTTAGATGTGGTAATCGTTGAGTTTGTAATGAGGAAATATTCCGTTGAAGACCAGTTTGCACATCAACAGCTCGTTGATTTAGTCTCGCGACTTGTTCAGTTAATGGTAAGCTCGTTTGTTTACTTGTAGATGATTGTGATTGATGAAGTTTAACACGTGAACGCGTAGGAAAGAATAATTGCGTTAAACGATTGTTTTTCTGCGATTTTAGACGTTTCAGAGATGATTTCTGGTCATTAGGATAGATAGATTTTATTTTTCTACTATTGTCTAATCGTAGCTGCTCACATGCTGTTGATGATTCCGTCATTAGAAACTCAAGAATAAAGAACACTTGAAAAATAGTATAGAAGTTTTAGAAATTTGAACTCTTTTTGTTACTTGGACAACAAAAAGAAATAATTTGTTATACTAATAAATATCCTGTTTTTTGTTAACAAAGGTGTGTTTGAATCCATTTCATTTCTTCAAGTTTATAGTAAGGGCATGTCCGTTGGTATGAGAGAATATTTGGAATGAATGGTATCCGATCGAAATGAGATTTTTTCTCTTGAGCAACTCGTGAGTGTTCGTTTTCTTGAAACTTCGTCAGTTTTTCAATGTCCGATAGTTTAACAAACCGATCTCTTAAGTTCTTACTTAGAATATTCGATTTTTTCATCGTGTCGTCCTTTGTCGTCGTAATTTGTTCGTTCAAGCATGAGTACAAAACATCGAGTCGATCAGCTTCATCACGAATATTTTTAGAATACGAAATAATTTTAGCCTACATGTTTTCATTATCCAATTGTTTCTTTCTCTCCATTGTAACTTACTCGATGTTGAGCACTAGAAGTAAATTCATGTTTTTTCGAATAAGTATTATAAATCATAAGTGCTGTTACGGCGTTGATCTCTTCTGCTAAGTGTGCAGGTTGCTCTTCATCTTCTTTTTTCTTATTTTCTTCTACTTGTACTTTTGAAATCTTTCGCTCTGTGCATTTAGATGATGAAACTACGCCCAGTTTAACAAAACAATCGTCTTTATCGATCGTTCTCGGTTTTTCTCTCTGACGAGTTGGATTTCTTGAATATTGACGATTAACTTCTTCATCACCGATTTCCAATCGACCCATGACGAGAAAAGTGAAAAATAAATATGCAAAAATGCTATGACAAATAGAGCGGGGCATTGTTATTTGAAAATAGTCTTTTATATTTAATAACTGACTAAGTCCCTTGTATTCACTGACTAATAGCATAAGACAGATGCATGACAAACATTGTGTCGTCAAAATTTTCTTCATTGGATAATAAAAAAACTTGTTTTTTCTCGTTCTTGACATATTTTGCTTTTTGTTTTCATTCCTCTTATTTTCTTTTATGTGTTCATCTGTGTATCTTTCTCCTTTTTTTTCAGATCGATGACTTAGACATAAAATAAATGGCTCGTTTAATAGTTCCCCAAAAATCTTTTCATGAACTGTTACCAGTCGATCCGGTACTTCCGATGGCCTGTGCCATCGAAAGTTCGTATATTGTCGATGGACATGGGGTGAGGAGGAACGTCGGTTTCATTTTCTGAAATAATCTTTTCCTTGTTAACCAATAGGAATATTCTATACGAGTCGCACGTATCTCAAATGATCCGGCATTTTCATGGGTCATAACGAAACGTTTCCGAGAATTTGTGGAATTAGATAATCTACTGAAAGATTATGGATTTAATTTCGAATTGCCAAAGAAAAAGCTCTTCGGTAACACTGATCCGATATTTATGGCTGAAAGACAGAAGGGTCTTCAAGTATGTTTCTAATTATATATGAAAGATCTCGTCAACATCTTAGTCCTTTTTTCTTAGGCATATCTCAACATACTTGTACAGCACATAGAACTTTGTAACTCATTAACTGTGCATCGTTTTCTCGATCCAAATAGTCATTTAATCAGTTATCCTGGTATGTAACAAAGTCCGAAGTTGATTTTGATCGAATTTTCACTTTCATAGAATCCGCATTACAACATGTATCGATGTTTGTCCGTTCAATGACTGATGTTTATCAGATAATCGATCCATTGCAAGATTTTGGTAATTCTTCTTCTATTGAAAATGCATTTACTTTCATTGAACAATAGGTTGGCGTTATGACAAAATGTACTTTCTTGCAACAAAGACCGGACGACCTAAACATGAACGTTATTTATTAATATGGGTAAAATCTTTTGCATTGTATATGCATTTCAAACGTTTGTTTTCCTTCTTCAGTGTCACTATGGTTTAGACAAAGCATTGAATGAAAAAGCGATTGGAAATTGTTTAAAATTACTCAAATCGATCTCTGTATGAACTTGTTCTTTACTTTAAAGCCGTTTTGGATCAAATTTGTATTTTAGCATCCGTTAATTGCACCGATCGAAGATGTCTACGCAAATGAAAGTGGCGTACTGACAGTGTGTCGCTTTTATAATCGCGGTTCTTTGAAGGATTATATCTATCGGGTAGGATTAGTTAAAGCCGATGACAATAGTTCTCATTGAGTAAGTTTTTTAGACACGACCAGCTTGTGGTGTCTACTGGAGTCGATATGGACCGACAGTAACGACGAGAAGATGCGACATCAATCAAATAAGAACGTTAGGCCGTCAGATTTTAGAAGGACTTTATTTTCTCTATGACAACCATCTCATGTACGGACATTTACATTCCGGAAATATCCTTGTTGATTTGGAACAATCTCAAACAATCAAAATTGTTGATATAGCGAATGTTATCACAGGTGTTTCATCGAAATACCGACATTATTTTTCTGATTTGAAACATATTCGTGTTAGTATATGAAAACGAACGATATCGTATATCAATCCGTAAATGTGTTTTAGACGCTAGAACATTGTGATATTTATTCGTTTGGACGCTTATTATATGAACTGTCAACCGGTGAAGAATGCCCAATGAATATATGTACAGAATTGCCGCATATAATTCCAATGCCTGTTCAACAGATTCTTTCAAAAATTTTTATCACATCTGGAGAACTTCCAACTATTGAACAAATACTGAATGAACCGTAATTTGTTTGTTAGGAGAAATATGGAGAATAATGATTAGCGATTGATTTAGATTCTTTCAAATGATGTTTTTGAATGGTGTCGAACGATTTCAATTGACTTTGTCAGAGAAAGCTTTAGAAGTTTTCAAACAAATTCGCCGAGTAGCGGAACAACGGCTGGAAAATGATCAAATCAAAGTAGAAATTTTCTCTGTATAGACAAATAAATAGTGTCTCTTCTTTCCTAGATCAAAGCTGCTCAACGTCAATCGAAAATTACCAATCATCTGATGTCCGCTGAAGAAAAACTTAAACGACGTCGTGAAAAACAAGTTTGTATATATCATTAATGTTTTACACATATTTTTCTCTCATTTTTTTAAAGGCAAAAGCGTTAGAAAAACAAATGGAAAGTAGTTTCACTTCAGTGGATACTACGAGTATGTTATATTCTATGTTTATCTGTTGAAAACGTTTAGTTTTTGTTTTTATTTTCGATAGCAAATGTTCCGCGTCCCGTCGCTGTCAATCCATTGCCTTCGACTACATCAAAGCAATCTTCCCCACCAAGTTTTGTGTCTCAATTATCATCACCATCAATCTCCGTTGTTGCTGCAGCTAGTGACGATCGAAACGATTTGTTGAGTTCTATCGCTGAATTCAATGTTTCGAAATTGAAAAAGACGAAAACTAACGATAGGAGTGCTCCGAAACTCGACCGAGAAAAAGATATAATCTAAAAAATTATATATATATATATATATATATTGTTTTGAAAATAAAAATCTCATTTTACAACCGCTCGCTTTGTAACTATTCTTTCAAATTCAGATCATCATATATCAAGCCATGGCGAGTAGTTTTAATATGCCAGATTCTCATTCAAATCATACCGAATGGATGCGAAATCTACCAGAATATCTTCATAATGTACCCGTTACGAAACTTGCTTTGCCTGGTAGATAAAGTCCATACGCAACACAAGTTTTGTACATTTGATTTCTACGATAGGAACACATGACTCATTTGCATTTCGTCTTACATCTCAACCAGGTCCAGATCTCGCACCTGTTCTACGTCGTCTTCGTATATTTATTCATCCGATTATCAAAAATTGGAGTGTCACACAAGATAAAAGCTTCACGGGTATTTCGTTTGATTGGAGTCTAATACGTATTCTTGACATGATTTCTTTTAGAACAATTACGCATAGGTATTCGCTACTTTGACTTACGTGTCTGTTGTACACGAGATAAACATGCATATTCCCGATCACCATTTCAGTTCACACATGGTTTGTTAGGTGATTTCGTTCGAGAGAGTTTAGAAGAAATCAATGAATTCTTGAATAAACACTCGAAAGAAATCGTCTTACTGGATTTCAATCATTTCTACGATTTCAACGACCAATGTGGTCATGATCAGTTGATACATCTAATTCATGCAGTTTTCGGGAAGAAACTTTGTACAACAGCGCCAACAATTCGTGATTGTACGTTGAATTATCTCTGGAATCATAAACAGCAAGTGATTCTCTTGTACGAACAAGATCCGGGCCAATGTTCAGGCTATATGAATTGTATTGGGCATTTTTTCAAAGTAAAATATGATTTCGAAAATTCCCAAACATGTTTGTCTTTCTCGTGAACATAGGTTTGTCAATCGCCATGGGCAAATACGGCGCGCGTGGATGATTTGTTTTTGTTCCTTGATGACAAAATAACTACATCTCGACCAACAACGTGTATTAATGTGGTTCAAGGGCAATTGACACCGGATAATGCATCCATTCAACGTAATCCGTTCGGTTCACTTCGTGCATATGCGAGAGAGTCGAATCCAAGATTAATAGAATGGTTATCGTATCGACAGCGTGATCCATCACTAGTCAATGGCGTCAATGTGGTTATATGTGATTTTGCTGATCAAGCATTTGCCAATGCAGTTATTATGTTGAATTATAAAGTGTCTCGTTGAATTGATAATATTCAAAGGGTTTAATGTGTACTTTTTCTGTGTTGGATTAGTTTAATCTACTCAACTATGGAATAAGATAATTTTTTTTGTATTAATAAAAATAATTATAATAAAATTTGAATCAGATATGATTTTATCTGATGAAAGGATCGATGAGTGAAAAGCGAATCCCCACGAATCATCAAGTTGGTGAGGAAAGTGAAAAATGTTTGAGTAGAAAAACATGGGACAGAAATAAAACGACGTTAATTGATCGATAACAAACCTGTCTGCATGAAAAATGATCGTCATGTTTTTACCCAAAGGTGTCTTGATTGTCCAAGTAATAACTATACCGATGTGAAACCATGTGCACAAATCAATGACTAAGGAGCTATGTTTCGACATATTTTTGCTATAATATTATTTGATTTATTCGCTCAATCAGAACCTTTTTCAATTGAGTCAAAGTTTCTTCTAATGGATCCTATTTGAAGGTAACTTATCTAGTTTTGCACTCTTCGTTCATTATATGATAGGATAATAAAATAGCTCGTAAACCGTTATCGTACAGATAGAATATCATCTCAAATGCTTGCGTATGTCTCACAGTAGTGACCCTCGTTTAATTACAGTATATCCTTACTCATTGAAGTATCATTTATTCATTTACAGCTGTAGCTGAGATCGTTATATTACTTCTCGAAGTTGTTTCTTTAAAAGAATGGTATTCTTTTGTGAAAATAAGAATAGTACAAATATCAAATTTAGATATAATTCTAAACAAATAATATTCATATTTCGACTATTACACCGCTCAAAGAAGAAAAGATCATACTTGATGCACCTTTTCTTCTGTCAATAACCGTTTTGACTTCTTCGTTTATATCCCTGTTCTTATCACACAGTGCATGTGTGATCAATAGATAACTTCTCGAAAAAAAAGTCTTTTACGATAATAGTATTTAAGGGAACGACGGCAATTTCTATCGAGATATCTTTTATTGGTGACATTAATATATGAATATTGTGAAACGAAGTCAGACGATTATATTTGTGTATTTTTAGACTCAAAACAATGGAATTATTCATCGTCTTATTGACTCTTATTTGCAATGTTCATCTTATTCTCACTGCCCCGCCATCATTGTCAAGCTTTGACGATCGGGTGACTGCTGTTCTGAATCGTATGACAATCGAAGAGAAAATTGGACAAATGACCCAAATTACTATCAATTTAATATTGGAAGACGCAGCTAAACCATGGGATGAGATCGAAGTTGATACTGAAAAACTTCGTATAGCTATCGAAGATTTCAAAGTTGGTTCGATTTTGAATGTTGCCGAAACCGGTGCTTATGACCTTGCCAAATGGCATACCATCATACAAAAAGTTCAAGATGCAGCAAATAAAAGTCGATTGCAAATTCCTGTGCTTTATGGTATCGATTCAATCCATGGTGCTAATTATATTCGAAATGCTGTTTTATTCCCTCAAGCAACTGGCTTAGCGGCAACGTTTAATACAGATTTAGCTCGAGATCTAGGTAAAATAGTGGCACATCAAACACGTGCTGCTGGAATTCCATGGAGTTTCCATCCACAAGTTGATATTGGGTAAAGTTCGACTTTTGTTTCTTCTCATATAAAGAACAATATTATTAGTCGTCAAAAACTGTGGTCAAGACTATGGGAAACGTACGGTGAAGATGTGAAACTTGTGAAAGACATGGGTCGAGCGTATACAGAAGGAATGCAAGGAGATGATCTGACATCACGTGAAAATGTTGCTGCTTGTTTAAAACATTATGTTGGTTATGGATTACCATTATCAGGAAAAGATCGAACACCGGCGTGGATTGATGAACGACATATGTTAGAATATTTCTTGCCACCTTTTGAAGAGAGTGTTCGTGCTGGTGCTGTCTCAGTGATGATCAATTCTGGTGAAGTCAATGGCATTCCTGGTCATGCAAATTATCATCTATTGACTGAAGTTCTCAAAGAACAATACGGATTTCAAGGTTTTACTGTTTCCGATTGGGTAATCTGACTTGGAATTGAATAAACAATCCATTTCTTTTATTTATTCTTCTAGGAAGATATCAAACGTCTTCACGAACGCGATCAAACTGCTGAAACACCGAAAGAAGCAGTTCGTCAAGCAGTTATGGCCGGTGTCGATATGAGCATGGTTCCATTTGATTATTCATTCTATAATCTAACACTTCAATGTGTTAACGATAACATCATACCAATATCTCGTATAGACGATGCAGTACGTCGTATTCTTCGCGTGAAATTTGCATTAGGTAAAAGAGTATTCTTCGTTACGAAAAATGTCATATCCTTTCGATAATCTATCTTTTCTAAAGGTCTGTTCGACGGAAACACTGCTTGGCCAGATACTTCAGCTATCGAAACATTTAATAAGTCAGAATATCATCAAACGAATCTTCGTGCAGCATGCGAAGGAATCACTTTACTTAAAAATCAAAATGATGTTTTACCTTTGGATGTGAATCAAATCACTGAAACTAAAAAATTAGTCATCACCGGTCCGACATCCAATGTTTTAACATCACTTAATGGCGGTTGGTCTTATACCTGGCAAGGCAATGATCAATCAATATATCCACAGAATTTAATAACGAAAACCATTCTGGAATCATTTCGAACACGTTTGGGCTCATCAAAAATTGATTATTACAATAGTTCTACATTTAATCAATTATTGGACCTTGACAATCTATTGAACGCTGTACAAAATGCAGGTTATATCATCGTATGTCTCGGTGAACAAGCTTATACAGAGACACCAGGCAATATCGATGATTTAACATTGGATGAAGCTCAGCTACAATTAGTCGAAGCAATTCGAAATCGTACACAAGTTCCCATCATCACAGTGCTGGTAGAAGGACGACCACGAATCATTCGTCGAATTGTCAATTTATCATCAGCTATTCTCATGATGTATTTACCTGGTATGGAGGGGTATGTTTGATGGAGATTTTTTGAAATTGTATGTCAAATCATTGTATTTCAGAGGCCAAGCGTTAGTTGATGTTGTGTTTGGTAATTACAATCCAAGTGGAAGATTACCAATAACATATCCAAAATATAATCATCACTTGTCAACATATGATTATAAATGGGCTGAAGCTAAAATAGGCAACTCAATCGATGTAGAATTCGAATTTGGACACGGATTAAGTTATACAACATTTGATTATTTAAGTTTGACTGTGCCATCGACGATGAACTGGGATGATCAATTGCGTATAACTGTGATTGTTCGTAATAGTGGCACAAGAGCGGGTGATCATACAATACTATTGTATGTTTCAGATGTTTATCGAACGGTGACTCCACCAAATAAGGAATTGAAAGGATATAGGAAAATATCGCTTGCCGTCGGTGAACAGAAATCAATCGACTTTAATTTGACTCGTCAAGATTTGTCATTCATTGGTATTGATTTAACTCGTCAAACTGAACCTGGTGTGTTCAATGTCGCTGTTGCGAATCTAACAGGTAGCTTTAGATTAATAAAAGGAAGTCAATCGGGAACTGCAGCATCAATATCGAAATCACACTACCAACAATCGATCCTACTGTTTATTATGAACATGTTTCTTTTCTTAATTATGATCGTTTTGTAAAACATCAGTTTCTCCTCAATAAAATACTTAAAATATATTCTATTCTCATTGAAAACATTCGACACAGTACTTCATTCTTTCAGATCCTCTCTTACAATAGAGCATATTGACCGATCATATATATATGCGCTCTTATCAACACTAACGAGACATGTTTTTTCTTACTCAAGCATCTAAAGAATTGCTCCTATAATATTATTTGTCGATGAAAACAGACGTACTATACAACATAAACTCTTTCCTTCGAAACTTTGATTATAGGTAAACAAAAAACCCTTTATCAATGTTATACTATTTTGTTACTGTCTTTGGCATTTACGATAAGTGTATGCTAGTCTTCTGATGTTATTTCTATCATCAGTTGGCGCCAACATAACGCATTTTTTTGTGATAAATCGTATTGAACCAATGAATGTCGAGGTGCCGGTGTCCATTCTTTTAAAAAAGGCTTAGGTGGATTAATACTATCTTGTTGTATAATACCATGTAACTTCCATTGACATCTATTAAAACCCAATTTGGATATGTTCACATGTTGTCGACACATTGGACATTGTGCAAGTGTACGTGAATCCTTAACAATATCGTAGCATTCGATATCGATTGGTATAGTCACTTCCTTTCTGTATGCCTGACATCCTGAACTGATACATTTGCCAAGAAGAGATGCACCTGGTTTGATTTGCTGCCATGGTTTAACAGGGGGTAATGAGATGAGTTTATAAGGAGGATCAACTTCCTCAAGGTGTATTATATATAGTCCATTTCCAAGATTCGCATGATTCTTTATGCTCAAATATCGACCGGGTAATAACAAGATTTCGTTTTCAGATCCGTAGTATGAGTGATTTCTGATGTCTCGTGCATGTTCACTTTTAATATGAAAGATTGTTCGAGGACCATTTGTACCACAAAATTCCTCACATTCGAGAGCACGAAAATCACTAGTACACGAGCTAAAACTCCACCATGTCAATTGCGTATTGGGTGGATAGTCAGCTGTCAGATTCCTTTTAACACCGCGGTAGACTACGTCGTTAAATAAAGGAAGCTGCACGAGTGCATCAATCAATAGTCTCAGATATGCAAACCATGGTCTTAAAAGTTCGCGATTTTCTTCACGTAATGTCTTGTTCAAAATGTAGTAGAGACTTTGCGCACGATGCGGCCATTCGATGGTATAGAGCATGATCGATGCAGATTCATCTGGAGATAAGCCATCGGCAGGATTTTGACACCGTTGTTTTGCTATCGTTACTCTTGTTGAAAGGCTATCGTCAGGAAACAAGGAGACAAGTGGTTCAACCGCTACTTCTAATGACACCAGAGGCACACCTTCATATCCATCGATTGGTAATCGTGGCCTACCGTCGTCGTGCGTAATATCATTTATTCTCGAAAACACACACTCCATGGGAATAGAAACCTGAAATTCTCTTATTTCTAATACAAACTCGGAAGAGGAAATGAAGCGTTTTTTTTACGATGGAAATAGAAACTATTGCAGAATTCTCATCAGCAAATAATATCGCGTCAGACTAGAAGAAAAAAAAATTTATTCGTTGCAGTATGAGTTTTATAGATGTCATTGCGCACTCGTTTCAACTTGATGACAGTGCAATTCGATTCATTGACTGAATAGTGAAACGCGGCGAGAAACTGGTGAAATGTGATCATCGAGATTCGTTGGTACGATACAATTCTCTATCTAAATGGGGGAGATACATACATATTCCTTTGTAAGAAAAGTATTTTTATACAAGAGAGCTCTTACGATATCTAAGATTGAATTTTAACGTAGGCTTCAAGCACTTTCGTCGTCAACAACTCACATCTGTAATTTCAGTAATTGCACTATCATTTCATCGCACATGTGATTCATTTTTTCATACTGATCCGCTAATAGTTAACTCTTTGTTCAATAAGTAACTTCACAGATTCCAGTTTGTAGAAGAATGTTTTAGATAAGTACTTTTTTCCTCATTTGGTATTAATGGATCGCACGTCTCTAAATTTGGAAGCGGAAAACCAGTATATAGCGCTTGTACATTGCAAGACTGAACAAATATTTGACATAGCTGTGAATGAATAGAACAAGAATATGATTACCGTTGTTCAATCTTTTATCTACGAAGACACAATCCGTATAGTATAGTTTCACCTAAATTGCTGTTATAATTGAAAAAAATTTATGCTTTATTACTCACATCAATGACAGAAAAGTGCAAATGATTAGTATGAACTTCTTGCTGTAGCCAATTTTTGGACTGAACCAGATATAATTTTATGCGATTTATTTATGGTATACAATGAGAAGATTCATGGAAAATAGTCACTAGCCACAGATGAGTTTGTTGTTAAGTCTCCCAATAGTCAAGAACGTATTATCATCAAAAATACTGAATTTTTCTCAACGTGAAGATCATGAACGAATAGCTATGCTATTATCAATTACAAAGGATGATCTTACTGGATTAGAACATATCTGTACTCAAGCACCACTGTGGTTAGTGAATTATGTTCTTGACTACTGGACTGCTATTCTTCATGAAAAGTATAAAAGAAAGGTGAAACTGTTCAGCCCATGCATTCTATACGAAATTAATAGTTATCGCTTATTTCCGAATATACTTTAGATAGCAACACAACACAGTCTTCACTATGTTACAGATTCGGCCGATTTTCATGCTATGTAATGTGTTTCAAAACATAGTGATATTTCTAGTTGGAAAATGCTATATCTTGTGCGATTACAGGGACAATCAACGAATAACACTGAAGATCTAAAATAATCGATCGATACTACCATTAATTCAAGATAATACACATCAAATGATATCTTAGAATTATGGGAAGGTTTAATCAACAGTAAACAGTCAATCGAAGTCGTTTTAGCGACTAGAATAAAAACAATTCTAGCAAATTCATTTCATTATCAAAATGAACAAAACATCGGAGACCTATTTTGTACAATTAGTCGTCATTGAATTAGAACACTCGTGTTCTCGAACAACCGTTTCTTTGCAATTGCGCGTGGGAGAGTACGGACGTATTAAACATTGCGCACAACACAAGGAATATCAAAACGAGCTCACTAAATTTTTTTAGACCTAACATATTTGGACTTGATGTCGGTCATTGGAACTATTTTCAAATCAAGAAAACATTCTGGTTTCACCAGATCCTAGTACGATATGTGACCAATATCCATCCGGCCCTCTCATCTGTTTGTTTATAACCATGGTACATCCTGAGCATCGTAGACAATTCATAAAATGTCTAAAATCATTCAAAAAGCACTCTTTCTCATGATTTTCACCAATGGAGTATTGTAGTTGTTTTTTTGGAGATGTGCCCAATTTCCTTCAGCAAATCTTTTTGCTTCCAGACAACTATAAAATAAATTGGCAACAAATAAATTTCTATATGACAGCACTAAATTTACACAGATGTACCTTTTAGGAGATTATGCTCAGTAATATGGATTACGTCAACTATTAAAGGAGACGATTTTTCTGAATCCTGTAGAGGTAAGTCAAGAAACGTAACGAAAAATTTCAGATTGGCTGAGATAAAAACAAATACTGTTGTAAGGATGATTAGAATAAAAAAAGATGCGAATACGAACGAGCCTGTGAAATATAAAATCGAGACAACGACTAGCACAAGATGGATGTTTTTCTTATTGCAATTATTTTAATATCTATAATCCTACTGAAAAAACTCTTCACTCCTGCTGTTAATCCATATCGCTACCCGAAAATTCGTAATTGGGCTGAACAGGGAAGATATTTTAATTTTAACGGTTATCCAATATTTTACTATGATTCCGCCTTACGTGATAAGTCAGCTGGTAGAAAACCGACGTTATTGCTTTTACATGGATACCCAACCTCATCACTAGATTGGTTGCTCATGCGAGACGACTTAGAACAACAGTTTCATATTATTGCTCCAGATTATATTGGCTACGGTCTATCAGCCAAGCCTGTCTCCTTCTCGTATACAATATCTGCTCAAGTTGATATGATAGAGCAATTACTGAGCTCGTTAGAATTGTGCCAGTTTCATATTATAGCGCATGATGTTGGCGATACGATTGCTCAAGAATTCTTAGCAAGACAATGCGATCGTAGGCAATACATCATTCAATCGACTATATTTCTCAATGGTGGGCTATTTCCAGAAACACATCGTGCATTTTTCATGATGAAAATGCTTAAGACACCTATTATTGGCGTCATTCTTCAATTTATCATACCACGAACATTGTTTGGCTCAGCTATCAATCGAGTATTCGGTCCATCAACCCAGAGAAGTCAACAAGAATTAGATGAAATCACTAACCTATTATTTTACAATGCTCCATACAATCTCTTACAGCAATTACAATGCTATATCAATGAACGAGTTAGAAACAGAGATCGATGGGTCAATGCTATGAACACAGTACAAACATTCAAGGCAAATCCTATACGAATCAGGCTTATCAACGGGCCCATTGATCCTATAAGTGGACGACATATGGTAGATCGATATCGAGAGGTCATCGCGAATCCTGATACATGTCTACTGAATGATAATATCGGCCACTACCCGAACTTAGAAGATCCTGCAAATACATTGAAATATGTTTTTGATTTTCATAATTCGATTTCAACTTTCAACGAATAAAGTTTTGTGAAAAATCTCTGATAGGGACAAAGATATTTATTTTCCAACAAAATATACAAACAAAAAATTAATCACTGAATCGACTTCTTTTTGTCGTTGATGTTGAATCAGTTGTCGTTTGTTGCTGTTGTCCCGTTCGCTTTTGTGATACTGAACTAGGCACAGCTACGGAGTGACTTTTAAGACTAGTATCTGTTGCTGCAACCTATACAGAAAGAGCAAATAAAGGATACATTGCTACGCAAATTGCTGGAGCTACATACAAAACTTGATTTAAATTGAGATTGAAAGGCTGCTTTCATGGCTGACGCTCGGTTAGTACCACTCATGCCAGACGAAGCACTCGCACCGCCACGCCAATCAGTCATTGGACCAACCGATATTGTTGGCTATGAGATCAAACAACACAATGGAAAATGACATACTATGCAAGATCTTTTACTTTTCTTGATGATGGTCCGTCGTAATCGAATGGATTCGAAGAATCTACCGTTGTTCGTGGTGGTGGTGCTGATGATGATGATGATGACGACAGGCCACTATTCGAACCGAAGCCAGGTCGTTCTCTCTGCTCACGGTTTCCGAGCGTAAAATGTTTACCACCGCCACCATGTCGAGATCGACTGCCAGCAAAATAACTATTCTAAAATGTACCAAACGCATAGTTTATTCCTAATTCTCACGAAAAGTGCCTACCTGCATGGCCATATTCAACAAATCTAGCGATACATTTTGATTTGCATTTTCTAGATTACGCACGAGATTCGGCGCGAAGTCTTTATCTGTCGATGTTAGCAATGTATATGCCGTTCCTTTTTCACCAGCACGTCCTGTGCGACCAATTCGATGTGTATGCGTATCGATATCGCGTGCGATGTCATAATTCACAACCGTCTTGATCGCTGGTATATCCAAACCACGAGCTAATAAGAACTCAATGATATATATCGAAGACATATGAAACGATCTAGTTTACTAACCAGCTACATCTGTAGCAATTAGAATAGGCATATCACGCTTTTTAAATTCATTAATGACTTGTGAACGATCATATTGAGCCATGTCACCGTGAATAAGACCAACTAAATGAGAAAATTACTTGAAATACGTTCGTGCGTTTTCATCAAGCTCTGCTTACCGGTAAAACCATTTTCTTTTAGATTTTTTGCTAGCTCAGCACAGTTATCTTTTCTGGTCACAAATATTAAAACTTTGCCCACTGGAATAAGATTGAAACATGATTTATGTCAAAATGCCACCAATCGACTACTTACACACTGTGAATTCGACGAGTTTCGACAGTAGCCAAGTCCATTTTGCTGAACCATTGGGTAAAACGTGAACTATTTGAAGAACATCTTGATTTGCCTATGCATTTCAATAAATTTACAATATCCAAAGGACTGAATCAATAGAGCATACTTCACCGACTTCACCTTGAACAATACGAACAGGATCAGTGAGAATGTCTCTTGCTAAACAAAACAACAATAAGATTAAGATCACAACACTCTACCATTGCAAACTAACCTAATTTTTCAACTTTTTTCTTGAATGTAGCACTGAATAAGAGACATTGTCTATCAGGACGTATATGATCAGCTATTGAACGAACTTGTGGTTCCTTTTAACGTAGATCATGAACAATATAGTCTTTCACTCGTAATCCAAAACTTACGAAACCCATATCAAACATTCGATCAGCTTCGTCGAATACCACATAAGTAACACGTTGTAAGTTAGTTCCTTTTTTCTTAACCAAGTCAATTAGTCGACCCTAATGCATTGAATTCAATGAGAATGTTGAACACGTTCTGTTATCTTCTCATTACTTACCGGTGTACAAACCAGAATTTCACATCCTTCTTTACAAGCCACAATTTGCTCATGCATATTTCCTCCACCGAATGCACATACTGAATTGATATTATAAGGCTTTCCATATTTTTTACATTCAAGATGAATTTGTTGAGCTAATTCTCGCGTTGGCGCACAAATTAAAACAATGGGACCGTCATCAACTTTAAGTTGATCCTATAGCAATAAAGAAATCAAACATATTCATTCCAAAGGCAACAGTTCACGTGTATTTACTTGTGCCATGATATGAACAATCGCTGGCCAGACGAACGCTCCAGTTTTACCGCTACCGGTCTTTGCAATACCGATTATATCCCGTCCGCTCAATGCGCTTGGAATAGCCTTGAAATGAATCAAAGTCGTATATCAAAATGATTATGAATGTCTAAAGTTTTACTTGTGCTTGAATTGCAGTTGGAGTCGAAAATTCTGATTTCCGCAGTGTTTTCATCAAACGTTCATCGAAACCAAAATGAGCAAAACTAACAACTGGACGTGGAATGTTCACACCACGAACCTTTCATAACGCAAAGCAAGAGATTGATTTCAATTGGAACGCTCGTTCATATAGATTGACTTACATTTACTCCAAGTTTATGTCTTAATTCATTGACTTGATCAGTGGAAAGACTTCGAATATCTTCATGTTCAACATAAAAGTTCTTTTCAAATGGCGCGTATTTGATTTCAGAATGATCGATTGGTGGAAGCGGGTCGATAACCTGTGAAACAATCTTTCTTTCAATCGTTATTTCTTCACTTCTGTCACATACTTTCGATATCTCCGGTGCAATCAAATTGCCTAGAAATATATTCAATAAGTTAGAGGAAAACTATCTTGTGAAAGATGATGAAAAGAATACCATCATCGTCATATTGTAATTCTCGATCCTCATCATCGTCGTCCGCGATGGGTAAACCAGCGTTAGGATTCTCTTCCAGCCAACGAAAATACGACTCTTGATCGTCTTCTTTATCAATGTCATCACGTGCTCCCCTAAATTCATATAGATCATACTTTTGAACATCTTAATTATGTTTTCAGAAATACTTCTCTTGTTTCTTTTCTTTCTTCTTTCCCATTGTCTCAAGATCTTTTTTTGCTTGATTATTATTCGCCTTCATAAATTGTTCAAGCGGATCTTCTTCTTCATCGTCATCTTCATCTTCGTCCTTTTGTGAAGCTTTATAACTCGGACTGCCCGGAGCTGGTTGATAATCTAGATCATCATCATATTTTTTACTCGCCGATGCTTTGGCTCTACTATGCGCATTGTCATCCGTATCATCGGAGTCAAAATACCTAGCAGAAATTGATACAATGCATGTACGGAAGACGAAAATTTAGTCATACTCCTGTTCAGTACGGTGCGGTTGAGTGACAACATCAGTTTTTTTGACATTAGCACGTAAATTACTGGGTAAACTGAACGAAAAGACAAAGAATTTAGGTTGAAGTCGAAAGAATAGAGATTTCTTACGGAAAGAGTTGTTGTAATTTTGGATCATACGGTTTATTATTCGATGACATGTCTGTACGAATAAGTCAAACTAGGAAAAAACACTGAAATTTTATAAAGAAATTCTGCGAACGTTTCTATTTGTCCAAAAACGATCTAGTACAAACGATCTTGTGCTACGTTGAGTGATGTCGCCAGATGATAGACATTAACATAGGATAATCTAGGTGAGAAGTTTCACACTGAACACCATTTCGATTGATTGGAATTAGTGCATATGATAAGAGATGAATTTGAATTGTTTTAGTAAATGATTAAACACGATCTGATTTTGTAAGTGCATATTTCATTGAAAGGTATTCCCATGTGAGGGATCAAATGAAATTAATATTTCCAAATGAGAATCTGATAAGAACGAATGCTTCTTTCGAACAAGCAACTCGCATGATACTGAAAGTGTATAAATGAATTTTAAAAAATATATATATTAATGAAATAAAATGGTTATCGTTGTACTCAGACATATTTTCATCATTGTTTTCATAAAATTATCACTATTCAAGTAAAATTAAGACTGAATGATTCTATGTTGAGCACGTTTCATAAATGAATGTATAGAATGCACCAGTGAATGGCATAGTTACCCACATTTTTTATATTTCATAAAAGTTCAAGAATGTACCATAAATAAATTTACTTAAGTTTAGTTTTTCCTCTGTAAAGAATGACTAGTTGCAAGTTATCAAAACATGATTTGTCGAAAATAAAACGGCAAAATCGCTGATTATGATGTATATCATATCATATCACCTCATTGTGTGAGATGATTATCGATGATGAATAGAAAATGATGAAATTGTCTAGACAAACGAGGAAGATTTTCAAATTCACTATGCAAAAAAAAGGATTTGTTCAATCATCGACAAGGTGTAACAAAAACATATGTTATGTAAGGCTAGCAACACATATTTATGCACCTCAATCGAGGCGCGCACTAAAAGTCATTGAAATATTGTCAGTTCATTCTGCACTACATAATGTAAGAAAGAAATTGACAAGAACCAGACCTACGTGTTTTAAGACACTCGTTCATACTGAATAGTTTTACTTGATCCCACTGTCAAATGAATTCAAGTTGAAGACAGTAATTACTGTTCACATTCTTCATCTATTCGACGCCTGTGTCTCTTAATCAATGATATACAAACATGAGACATGTCATAGTGCAATTTCTACGTTTGAGATCAAAAGACACATGAAACATCGAACAAAATAGTTAGGCAGATGCTCTCGATATACATTCATGTCCGGTTTTATAAGCTAAACGATTATATTTTACAGCTAGTTCCGTATTCTTCTCTTTTTGTTCACTGATCAAGACAGGAGGGGGAAGGGAGAGAGAGAGAACATGCCGCTTCCTTTTGCTAATGTGATTCTATCATGATTGTTCATCTCGATTTCAAGAGTAAATGAAAAAAGAGCAAAGCATGCGTAATCATTGCCGGTGATCTGGTATGATTTGAATGAAATAAGCCGAAGCATAAACACGATCTATGTTTCTGTTCGTGAAGACGACAGAAAGTGATAATCGTCTGATAGAAACGAAGCACACAGATCAAACATCATCATTAAACAAACAAATATCCTGCCGTGTCTTGTCTCTTATCAGTGAAACAGAAGCAGCATTCCCAATGGAAATTGTCCTGTTCTTTTTCGTATTGCACTTCAAATATGAGATTTTCGTTTTCACACTTTATAACCCATCCAGTACCAACCAGTCTATCGACACGATTATGCGTACATAAACAATCAACCGTGACGTCAAACAAAGCGTCCGAAAAAATACTTTCATCAAAGAACAAAGAGAAAAAGAAATAGTCGAGAAGAGATTCGTGTATAAGACTGAATAATCTGAATGGTGTAGAAAAATATTCTCTATCAGTTATTGACAACCAATCGGATGTGTTCTATTAATGGCGAGATAGAGAAGAAAAAGACGAAAAGATAAGGCTTTTTTTCCGTTATTGGATAGAAAAAGAAGGAGAAGAAAAAGTAAATATAAGCGATGTGTATCTATTCGGAGAAAGAAAGAGAGAAGAGAAGAAAAAATTACGAGTCAATAAGTGAACCAACTTCAATCAGTCAATCGTACAAACACACACATCATTGTGACGATTACCAGAGCCACAAATACTCAATAAGTAGACGGATATTATTCGATTAACAAACGCATCTAATTATTAATCAACAGGTGATTGAAAACGAAATGTTTAACACACCCAACGATTGCTTTGTCCCTTCATCAACTTCTCCATCCGGTTTAATATTCAATCGACAACATCATACATCTCGTTATCATCCGTACAATCGAGTGCCATCGACTTACTATCCCAGCAATGAACTGGAAACTTATTCCTACGATAACAATAACGCTAATTCTAATCCAAATCATCATACTTCGACTGTACAAAATTACGATCATTCGATGATGCCATACGATTATAATCTTGCATGGACAACATCATCGTCTTCGCTTGAACACGATATGAGCATAGAAGGAGCAACGACGATGGGCTCAAATCTTGGTGGAACAGGTAGAATGAAGTTTCCTTATCTTTTCCCTTTGTTTCCGAGCACAGAAAACTTTTTTATGCATTCAAAGGGGCTCCTCGTTGTTTCAAACGACGTGTATCAGCTAACAAAAAAGAGCGCCGTCGGACACAATCGATAAACACCGCCTTCTCCGATCTTCGCACTGCAATTCCGAATGTTCAACCTGACACAAAATTATCCAAAATCAAAACACTGAAACTAGCTACGAAATACATTGAATTCCTCATGGATATTCTCGCTAAAGATGATCCAACGGCTATGCCTAGTGCCTTCAAAGCAGAGATTATCAAAACACGAAAGGATCATCGAGATCTAATGAAAGCAAGTTTCTGGAAGAAAAAAAGAACTCTAATCGAAATTGTAAATCATTTCTCTTCTAGTTTGATAACACTCTATCACCACGTAAAATCAAAGGACGAACAGGATGGCCACAAGCTGTCTGGCAATCTGAATTGAATCGCAATGAAAACTTTCAGCAAAATCAATCACCCAATGAAATCAATCTTTTACCTCCAACACTTTTAAACCAAGTCCATTCGGGTAGCTTATCAAATTCTCCCACACTTTCTCATAGTAGCTCGTCATCCAGCACAAAAACACACAAATTACGTACATATGACAAGTCATATTTAAGAAATAACAATGCAAAAATGCGATAGCTAGATATGACAAATAATGCCATCACGTCGTTTCTCTTTTTTCCTCTCTCGTTCTCTTCTTTTTTTTGCATACCGGTGTTGTACATAGATTTGATAATGTGTGTGTTGTTCTGATTGTAAGAAATATATCTCCATACATATATACTCAAGTAAATGACTTCATTTAAACTCATTTGAATGCACTCAAGACATATCTAAACGTTTTATCAATCTAAACTTAATCGAGCGAAGACGATTTTCAAACTCATCAATATAGAAATTGCTCTAGGTGAAAAATAAGAAGATGTCAACAATGACTATTTTATTTTAAGCCCTTGGACTTAATCGAATGATGCAATCAGTTAATAGATTTTCTTTCTCTGTTTATATATACAAAGGTAAATAAAAGCGAGAAACTTATTTATTTTCATGTGTACACACGCATCAAGGCACGAGGATGTCTAGAAATAAGAACATTATCTGTTTTACTTCTTCTTCCGTATCGCGTGCGATGAACACTAATAATAATCGATTTGTATGTGTGCATAGAGGAAAATTTATATTGACAATGTTCATATGGGACCGACTGACAACATGTTGTCGTTCGTATGAATAAGTAAAGAAATGTTCGTGTTGTTTTTCTCTCTGCTCGATTTCAAATAGATTTGAATGTGTGAACTTGTTGAATTAGTACAGAATGTCGAAAGGAAAAAGAAAAGGGAGGGACATGAGCAGATTGTCACGCTACTGTATTGTTAATTATTTATATTCAGTCAAACGAAGTCTTTATATTAAAATAGTTAATCAATTATTCTTCATCTTATGTCAACAATGGAGGAAAGAACGAGAAGAGAAAGTGATCTGTTCAATATCAATCCTTCTAATCAAGAGAAGAAGAAAACGAGGAAGGAGAAAGATATAGCCAATTATCATTATTTGATGTATTGTATCTGGCTATTCATACAGAATGAATGAATAGGATATGATATGAATCTAATTTTAAAAGGTAAGAAAGAGAGTTGCATTTAAATCTATCTTTTTGTTGTTTCGAAAGAATAGAAGAGGCGAGATCAAAACATAATAATGTTCAATTTCTGCTTCAATCTACTGTTGTAAATGTTAATAAGCTATCAAATGAATGAACAATCGAATATATGAAGATGTTTCTAAGGACACGTATACAAAGAATACACGCGTGCTCTGACAAGATGATTATTCATCAAAAACTACTAATGGGATAAGTACGGATGACATCTCATTGGTATGATATATCGATACATATTAATAGCTAGAAAAGGCGAACACCGTCATCATCATTCATTTTTTTTTCATTGCAGAGAAATTTATTTTTGATTTTCAATTCAGCATTTACTCGGTTCACAAGGTATTACTTCACGGAATAACGAAAATGTTTCAATTAACAAAAACGCAACAATGGAGCCAATCAATGCTCCGCATTGAACATTAACACCGTACCAAAACATACCACTCGATGAGTAATTTCGAACATAATTAGCGATTACTAAACGTGGGTATCCTAATAACACATAAGTACAAAGCCAAATGGACAATATCAAAACATTTCCTTTCATTGTATGTACCCACATTGGACAAGGACTGTTCAATGCGATGAATAATTCGAATAGAAATGTCATCGTACCCATTAGAATCAAAAGTAATATCGAACGTTTCGATACAGATGGTTTTATCATGCCTAAAATCCAGACTAATGTGAACATCCATGGCGATAGGATAGTTCCGAGATAGAATATTTCTTGTCCGTATGGCATGAGAACGTATGCAGAGATTGAGAGAAGCATTCCGAATAGAATCGAACTTGTGTAGGTACATCCGAATGAAAGCAGGAGATATGACGTTCTGTTCAATGAAAGTGATTCGGACGAAGTAGGAGATTTTTGCTGGAAAAGTGTACTTGTTGTTTCCTGATTATCTTCATTGGGTTTTAATGATATTTTACGATTAATCTGAAATGCGTGTTGAGGAATTGAAGTCCATTGTAGAAGTACAAATGAAATAAATGAGATTGTTAAAAGTAAAAACAAACATAGGAAGTAGAGCGAAACTGAAAATCTTGCAGTTTCATAAACGGCTTCTGTCACATTCGTACCATTGATGGATGTACAACGAAGTTGACCGTTTCCTTGCGCAATAGCCAGTAAACTTGGAACGATCGATGTCAAACTTTCACCAAGAAAAAGAGCGCTGGTAAATTCAGCTCGAAATTTCTGAATATAATCCGCAAATGAAATCGACGATGTGCAATCCAATAAGGAAAGAAAAAACGCAAGGATCAACAATGCAATACTGTAATTTTGATTGAATATCATTCTCGTATATTGCCAAAAGAAAATCAATGAAAAACATGATGCCATGCCAATGCTAATCACAATGTAATTAATCGGAATTGGATTAAGTGTTTGTTTTTTGTTGAAACATTTGATAAGAATGAGTATCAATGGTGCAATGTTACCAAAGTTCGTGATTAATGCAAGATATGCTCCGAGTCTCGCACCTTCAGGTTGAGTTAAGATTATCTGTGGTAATTCAGCAAAGATTCCATTAATATCTGTCCAAGATGCAAGAAACACCAATGTTAAGAGAATATACGTTACATATTCATTAATTGTCCATCTGTTCTCAGTCATTCTGAAAAAAAAACTGAATATTTCACAATAAAAAAACAAAGTTATGTACATCGATCCTCTCGATAACATGACTCATTCAGCATGATACATATCGAGTGCGAAAAGAAAACAACAAGCTTTCGTGCATATTTTATTTCTCTCTTCTGACGTGTACTTCGTATAAACAATCCTACTTAGCGATGAGAAAAGACTAGATGGAAAGGTCAACGGAATTGATATCCTTTCCTAAACCATAACAAACGTGGTATTTGACGTTCATAATTATCAAAATACGAAGATTGGTCATTATCAACAAAGAAATTGAGTTTATCTTGAAAAATTATTGTTAGATAACAAATGTAGAAAATTGTTAATAGAAAAAGATAGATTAAATAGAGATAATCATCGTAATGAATAACTGACGACTGTCGAACAGCGAGTTGTTCGAGAAGTTGACGGATGAACGGTGCGTCGCCGGTTGATTGAATGTAATTTTCTCGTTCTCGAATAGTAGACGAATCTCTTCGTTGTTTTCGACGATGTAAAAACTGATACAAGTGATTTCTACTCATTTATTTCTCGTACGGTTGCTAAGAATGAAAAACAAACAGAAAATAAATTAGGAAAATTGAAATTTTATTTCCATTGATGAGACAACGCTGGTATAATTCAATGAAATCATTTGGAAAGACTCATGTAGTATCACAAAACTAAATTTTATAGATTCTTCTTACATTGAGCAGGTGGATTTGAGCCCTAAATGAGACAAACAAAGACATTCGATAAATAAATTGTGGAATATATTTGCCAATAATTTACCTTATATGTTTTACAGAGAAGACCAACAAGATCACTTTCTGCTTCTTGTTCCATTTCTTCGGTATGTTCACCATTGATTGTCACCCATGGTACGTATTGATGTGGTGGTTGAAGACTTTCTGTTTGCACAGCGTAGAGATGTTGTAATTGATTGCCTACTCGACTTTGAACGCAAGAAGTGACTTTATTGTAATCAATCGAAGTCTTTTCGGCACATTTTCCAGCGACAGTTTCAACATCACCTTCTGTTGATTCAGTACAATAAATAAATGGCTAAACAATTTCAAAACGAATTCTCAAAACTATTCCTTTCAAATCATTATCTTACTAAATGAGCTGTTGTATTTGGATAGAGACTGATGACACAGGTCTAAACAAAAAAACTCAAGAATGACCAATGCTAATTGTTACTGATTTCATTACGTGAATCAAATTTCCGTAACATTCATCCGAGCCATGTTGACAATAGAATTGATATAATTGAGTTTCTGGTCGATAAACTTCACGTGCATTACCATATGGCACAAAGGTAATATTGACAATGCTAGAAATGGATTGAAAAGCTTGCCAAACTTGTGTGGAGATGAATTGTCGACAATCAGGACAAAGTGTTTCGTAGTAGAGAGTGAAATTCACACGATCATTATCAGCTCCAACTGCCCACACATATTTTGTGCATTGATTGACGACCTAAACGGTTAAATTAACAAAAAACTCAAATGTCGAACGAAGAGTTACTCCACAAGCTTGAGCAATCTCTCGATTATCACACCAATTGGCTGATGATTTCGGACAGTCGATGGTTAAACCGCCGTGAATACAAAAAAGAAGAATAGTCGAAAGTGCAAGCGACGTGTACATGGTATTGATAATATCTAAAATGTTGAATATTCAAGGTAAACTACGAAAAAAGATAAGATTATGAGAACAATGTCGTCTCAAGGACATATTTAAATGTACTTATTTCGTTCGACGATGAAACTGCGTCTGATAATAAGATTAGTTAATTAAAAGTTAAAGTTATATATCGAAAAAATATTCTCTAGAGAGACTGTTGTTGTTGTTGTTGTTTTGTTATCGATCTTTGATTAATACGAACACGGAAAGCTCTCGAGTAAAATGTGATTCTATACTCATGAGTGAACTGTTAGAAGTTGTTAAGTACGTTTTTCTAGAAAAAAGAATGACATTTCATTTTGCATATTACCGCCCATTTTTATGTAAGGCAGTCATTGCTGAACTGCAGATGGTTTCTTCTTCCCATCAATGCAAATTTTCATACAGATGGAAGAATTCTCACTCTATCTAGCTCGATAAGGGATTCGATCGACGAAGAAAAACGAAAGTAGTTCGAACCGTCTGTTTGTCCATATTAGTCGTTTTATTATCGCCATTTATCTTTTATAAATAACATAAAAAGAAAAACTTCTTCCATATACACATGTTCATGAAGAGAAAAAAAATCATTTCAAGAATTGTCGATGACAATTCAGGAATGTATTCCATGTAAATGATTTCAAAGAAAAAAAGTCCTAGGCAACTAATTGTTAACAAATAGCCAATGAAATTCCAATAGAAACAAAGACATGTCAAAATAGAAATACTAAATCGCACAATAGATTATCACATGAAGAACAAGAGAGAAGGAAGATTGAAGTTTTTGTCTCTATTATGCGGTTTTAGTGAATGATGAAGACTGGCGACAGAAAATAAACATGGACGGAAGTATATTCCTTTTGATTAATAGTGTTAACATTTGTGTCTATGAAAAGTCTGTTCGGAAACGTACTGTATAAAGGAAACGAAAAGAAAAGAATTGCTCAGTATTGCATTTAGATCAATAAAAATCTACAACTGCCGAAAGAATCATTATGAAAAATAATATATGTATGTAAATACATAATTATATGTGTTTGGATCGTTCACGTCCAAAACCAAGCTGGTGCTAAAATTTCCTTGGCTGGTAGTTTCGGTCCGAGATGTTCTTTGGAAAGAAATTTATGTGGTATCAAAACTAGATAACCACGTATCGTTTGAAGTAAACGTCGGGCTTCTTCAGGATTGGTTTCACAGAGTTTAGAAGCTGATTGAATCTCACGTAATTGAGTAAATGTAAATGCTGAATCTGTTGGAATACAATTGAATATCTTTAAAACGAAAAACGATGATCAAAATTAGTCGTGAAAATTACAGACAACAAACCTTTTCAAACATCGTGGTATTCCTGGCTGCTGTTGATAACCAAACATCTTTATAGAACGAATCAGATATTGGATCTTGATAATTGATTTGTGTTCCATCAAAGTCGCCCAGATGCTCGCGGAATAATCGTTTACGCAAACCACTAGCAAATTTTCCTACTTGAACATGAACTCTATTCATCATTCCACGTACGAATTCCGTATCTTCAAATATAACCGAAATTTCCGAATCTCGATCGCCGAGTAAACTTCGATCATTGATATTCGCTGATCCGATCAAGACGCGATTGTCATCGACAATTACTAATTTACTATGAACATAGACTATCTCAGATACGAGACGTCCATTCATTTCTGACCATGTTCGTAAACCAAAGAAACAAATATAACGATGTGGATCACCAACTTCTTTTGCTAGACGAGCTAACAATGACTGATGACCTTGAGATATGGATCGATAGTTCCAATGTGTGATGGCTTGCAAAGCTGTTGCTTTTGACGTACCATATTGACCTTCAAAGCCAGGAATTAATGGCATAACAACATATACACGAAATGTTTCTTTTTCTCTAAAAAAAGCAACAATCAAAACTAGAAAGGTCAACGAGTTTATTTTAAAGATCACTTACTTATGTGCGCGTAGAATTCGTTTGAATAAAGCATCGGCAATACCATTTCGTACTGTAGTATCCTCGATTAATGAAACAAAGAACTGATTTTCAATATAGATATAATATTTTGCTTTTGCAATCATATCGATAAAAGCATTATGAATGGATTCTTCCTTTTCATCTCGACCTGTTGACCATCGGCCTACACTTCGTAATCCCTACGTCAAATAAAAGCAAAACGTATGACACTAAAGTTACAAGATGTCTTTTGCATACTTGTGTAGAACAATTGAATGTATTGGAAAGGAATTTCGGGCACGGCGTGTATGTTCCGTATGATTTCGGTAAAAGAAATGGATATCGATCATCATCTTTAACTTTTTGTCGTTTAACAAAATTCCATCGTTCAATAAAGTGCCGAGCGAGATCTCGTGCACAAGGACCATAAACCATTGCGCCAATATCATGCCATGGCATACGTGGCGTTGTATTTCGATCGATTTGATCTTGAAATGGTTGATGTAAATTTCGAAAATCGCGAAGAAGAAAATTGGCATAATCTTTTCCGAACCATAATTTGGAAGAACCTTGAAGACCAAGCTGATGTGGTGTTGATTTCAAAGAAGAGCTTATGAATGAACTCATATCGTCATGTAATGAATCATGACAGGAATCGTTTCGATCAGTATCAGACTCGTCTGATTCATTGAAATCACTACGTTGTCTCCAGCTGGTCTTCAAATTTAATGTAACACGACGAATTTTATCACGCAAACGAGATCGATCAAAAGATGGACCAACATTAGCACCAAGATAACGACTAGAGAACGAGATCGGTTGACCATCGGAAGAGATTATTGGAGTCATTGGTGTAAGGCCTAGTGTTGAAACATCTTCGGTCGATTTCGTAAAACGGTAAATCTTCGACTGAATACCAAGTTTCAGTCTTTCCCAACGCGATCCGCTGTCTAAAAGAAGAGAGAGAGAGAGAGAGAGAGAGAAAGCAATATTGATTATAGAAGAAAACTAAAAGACGATGAGCACATATCGAACAGAGGGACACATATAGTGCAGAAATTGAGGAAATGATATCCATCAAAGAAAATCAAGAGAAAACATACGAAGTGAATGCAATAGACAAGATGACTCATGCCTACTTACACGTTTCGGTTGATAAGAAATTTTGTTCTGTAAATGAACGAGTGATAGGTTAGATTCGTGAGGAAAAATTCTAGTTTTTGTATTTTATCAGATCGAATTTCTCTAGTTACATACCTTTGTTTAATGCTTCGATAGTTTCACGATGAAATGGTGTATCGAACGAATAAGATCTTTTCAAAGGCCAAATCACATCTCGTTTCTTCTTTTGTTCATCAGATAAGCCATTGGATGTTTCAGCTGGATAGTAACTTGCTCGTCGACGAGCCGTAAGAAAGGAGAGTTTTTTCAGACGATTATTTGAGTCAACATTCAGTTTCGTTGGTTTTGATTGACCATTTTCGAGTTGAGAATCGATTGTTGTTCCACTGGAAGACAACCGTTGACGCGACGATGAGCCAGTTAATGTTCGTCGATTGTCAGCATCTGGTACGGAAAGTGTTGCTCTATATGCATGAGGATGTGAATGTAACATTGCTTGTTGGGATTCCGTAGGATTCGTATTTTTTTCTAATGCTTTACTATATACACTGTCTGACGTGGTATGTTCATGAATCATGTCTGAATCTTTAACACTTTGATTTCGTCGACGTGCTTGCCGTTCATGATTTTGCGCTGGATTGATGAATATATGCGAATCCGTTGATGACGAACGATGTGTACGTTTGTAAATATTCGAAAAAAGTGTATGATTGAAATTATAGATTCGACGTTTTTTCTGCTGTTCGATTAATCGGTTCTGTTGCGTTTCTATCAAGTGAACTGATTGTTGATCGATGTCTGATGATGAAAACCGTCGCGTTTGAGACATTCTGCGGTCGAACGTGTCGAAAGTTTGATCACTAAGCACTTTTGATATCGACCGATTCGGTGATAGAGGAATTGGAGCATCGTTGATATTATTCGAGTTCGAGTCGGACGTGGGTGGTTCTTTCAAACGATCTTTTAGATGGTATTCACTGCGAAAATGAGCAATCTTCGGTGGAAAAAATAGGTCACTAGTTGTAATGGGACGTGGAGATGGTGATGGAGTCGGTTCTGCCATTGTTTTAGTCTGGTTATTCGATTGAATAAAACGATTACATGTGCCGCCATCGAGATCGAGTGCATCAATAGATACTGGTGATTGGATGATTTGATGAATCTAAATATTTTTGACAGGAAATTCTCAGATTTAATAAAGAAAACTTGATTAATCAAAGACAAAAAAAGACGACTATGCCTCTTGAACTCGAAAAAACATGTATTATCTTACTAATGGAACACTATGTGTTCGAGGCACGTTGAGACTTGTATGATGTTTCACTGGTAATGCACTTCCGAAATCAGTTAAACTAGACCAAACAAACAAATTAATTATGCGAGTCAATTCTCCATTGTTCCACTTACTAATGTTGGTAGTTGTCCCAACGGCCATAACACAAATCTAGACCGCCAAATAAGGCAATACTTTGATCAACAATTACGAGTTTTTCGTGATGTCCCCAGAATAACACTGCATTCTGTCCTGTGTGATCCGGATAACGAAGCACTTTGACGTTTTCTGGATGCGCTTCAATTAATTTTCTTTTCGAATAAGAACTATTGATACCAATTGCTAATTCGACTTCTTTGTATAATAGAACAAATATTCGTACACCTTCGTTCTAGAAGATAGCAAACGAAATGTAACGAGAATGCTCTCATTTTTGTCTTCATACCGCTTTCTTTTCGAGCATTTTGTCAAAACGCCATTCGTCCGATAATGCCGGACGTTTCAAATAGATTTCAGGGCTAAGAAACCAATCAGTGATAAATATTTCCTCCGTTGCTGATTTGATAGCATAAGCAACAGCTTCCATATAATCAGAGCCATCGACAAGCCACTGACATTTCGTATTGATTCGAATGGGTGCATATGAATTGAATCTCTGCTGGATATGAAAATCTTGTCCAGTGGTTTTTAACATTCGATTAATATCATCGAAATACTCAATCGCTTTGCGTTCAGTTGGACAATTCAGATTCAATCGTCTGGAAAGCAAAACTTTACGGATTAACCGAGCAAAAACTTCGAACCTACCGAGATAAATTTGAGATACACAATTTCTTCACTGAGCCAGTATGTAGCCGACCGGTACGTACACGAAAAGATCCGTCTACAAGCATTACGGCACGTACATGACCCGTTTTCGGATTCAAATATGCAATCCAGGAATCTTTTGTGATGAACCAACGTTTCAACCATTTGATACGTGCACCGAGATTAGCACAGCAACCTTGCCTATAGCCACCAGAATTCTTCTTAACAATACCTTCCTTGTATTTACGTCCTAATTCACGTATAAACGATAGTGGAGATGATTCAACAAATTTAACCTGAAGAAATCAAATACATTTTCAATGAAAATTATGACCCGGAACGCACAACGAAGTACTCACACATTCAACATGAATTGAAAGAACAGGATGATTCACGATTGAATTCAACTTTTCTGCGACAAGTTTCTATGAGAAAAAGAACAGTGCATTCTTTTTTCTCTTGAACTTTTTCTCAGTACTTCTCGGTCATTAATATCATTATCATCGACGAGCATATCAGGCTTTAACGTAAGGCCTTGAATAGCTTGTGAATGGGACATCTGACGACGAATTTCACGATGTCTAGGGAATAGACAAAAATATATCAACAACATAGCAATAATTATTTCAACATACGATGTGGTTGGAATAGGTAATACAGCCGTTTTTTGAAACACATTCATCCGTTCGAAAAATATAACCAAATCTTTATATTTTTTTGTTATCGTCCAATTAAACTCCCCGTGGCGTAGTGTGATTGTATACCTAAATGTATGCATGAGCAGTTAGAAAACATATGTATGTACAAAAAAAAAACATGGTTATACAATCAATTCGAAAAAAAAAGCAAAATCAGTCGTTAAGGGAAGCAGTTTATCTAGTGAGTGTGTTGTTCGAAGTACCCCGATTTCGACTACCTGCTATGCAGACGATCAAGCCAATTCTGTTCAACAGAATCTGGCTGTCTCTGAGAGCTTTATATGAATAGAATAAGTCTGCATTGCGGCAAAAAATAACGATATGAATGACTTACAAGAACGGATTCAAACGAAAATGATGTTCACGACTAACAGCAACATTTATAACAGACACATCTGTATTGGGAATGAACGTCCAACGACGGTCACGTGCTTCAAGATACGTTTTGTACGGAATCGACATTGATACATTACGAGCGTGATTGTTATTATTTTCTAAAAAGAAAAAAAATCACAAACAAAGAAGAAGAAATATTTTTCAAATACCATAACAGTTATTAACAGCAAGATGATTGGTATCTCCATTACATGCGAAGACAACATGATTGGAAGTTTGAGTTGTAATATCATTGTTTTCATCTTCTGATATTGATTCGTCATCAACACCTGTAAATCTTAGTGTTAATGGTCCATGAAATGATTGATCGTCTTGATTAGTCATTCGTACGTAAAAGAAACATTAAAATTATCTGAAAACGAGAGATTTTTTTCAAGGTGAGAAATTCTTTACTCGTATGTTTGAAAGGAATGTCTATAGCGATGAATTCAATGACATGTTCGAGATTGAAACATGGTTTTGATTTCTGTCTACGAAAGACAAGTGCATATGGTTAAAAATTATTTAGTTTTAATCTGAGTTCTCAAAAAAGAATCAGTCTTCACATCTAGTCTAACAACAACGAGTTATTTGTAAATGTATCGATTGTTTCAATCATGCACTTTGCCATGGTATCGTATCATAAGTCTGACGAAAATAGCTTCAAGAAGGAGAATGTTGCAAGAAAAAGAGAGAAAAAAGAAAAAAGGACAAGAACAATTGTTACATATTCTCTCCAAATACCCTTCTTCTCCTTTTCTCCGTCGGAGGCAAGCAATCAACCTACCGACCGATTCTCTTGTGTTACAACGACGAATGTAACACATACAACGATATTTAGACTTCGTCGTTCTGACACTCCCACGTCACAAAATCGATCTATCTATATTTTCTTCTACATTATATGATTACAACTTTGATTAGATAGATCATCTGGTTTATACAGAAATAATATATTTATCGAGAAGAAGAAAAATCCGACATTAACGAAGTTTATCCTATTCTTCCTTTGTCCTTATTTCAGAGCACGAAACTATTTTCTGATATTAAATATTCATTCATCCGAAGAAGGAAAGTAGAAAGAACGCGGGAAACAGTGGGGATTCTATTTAAACTTGCTTTGCTTACTTACCTCCTGAAGAAAAAACAAAGCATTTCGATTAGTTAGTCATCTATCATGCGATAAATTGACAATATTTTGTTTCACATTCATTCTGTATTATAAATAATAACATTATAGATAAAATAAACCGAATGGTTGCTCGATCGATCGGTTCCCTATTCTGTAAGATAGGCAAATAATAAAAAAAAATAACGCAGGTGCAATGGTCGATTGATAAGCTAATCCTATAAAGATGAACATAGAGGGCGTTAGCGGTTTTGGTTGAGTCAAGTACGTCATTATGTTGTCAATATTTGACGGCGAGAAAAAAGATTGCCGTACAAGATCTTTTTCCGCACGCAACTGACTCTAATGATTAGGATTCAAAGAGAAAAAAAAATCTTAATTAAGAGAAAATATACGACGTATACGTTGATTAGGTGTGTGTACTCACTCACTTGAGTTTCCAAGTATATAGCGTGAAAAATAGAGCTTTTCCTGGCGTATCCCATTGGAGAAAACTTAAAGCAAGCGTATTTTGTTTCTACAAAAACAATGCTTCTGGAAAGGTTATCGAGAGAGAACGATTATATAATAGTTAATTAGTTATTATGATATCTTCAATAAGATATGTTCCGTGTCGACTTTGTACTATTATCCATCTAAAAATGAAAGTCGATATACGATGACATTTTCTGTCAAAAAAAAAGAACAAATGGTTTTGATACATTAATTAAACTGTTGTAAAAAAGAAGTTTGCAGCAATTGGGTTTCTAACAAAATCTTATTAAATAATACTTTTATCTCTTCGACATGTCTATTTATAATTTCTCGAAAACAAGTACCGCCCTTGATTACTTTTTTTTAAATTAGTACATTCAAATGTCTAAGAGGCTGAAAGAAAGAACCTGTATGATAAGTTTTGCTAGTCTATTATTGTTCAGAGATCAACTGGTTGTACCATGAAACTTTCCCGACAAAAGATTCTATCAGAGGATGTGCGGATGAAATCAATTTCTTCGTAAACAATCATTGTACTTGTGAAAAGTATGGGTCAATTGCAAAGATCTTTTCGCGATATTCACCTAATCAAACTCACTTTTCTTATCTTTCGAGATACGTTAACCATTATCAGCGCAAACAAAATTTTGTCAAGTTGATACTTGGAGACATGAGAAAGATGATTGAAGTCGAGTGCCTATATCAACACATAAACCATCTTACCAAACTGTAAATCATGCATACGATGTTGTCAGAAGCTGTCTCGTGTTTTTGTTTCGTTATTTGATGCTGCTTGCAACTAAGAATAATAAGAAATAATGACATAAATCAATATTATGAGTAGAATTCAAAGCAAAGCTTCTCTTATTGCCTATCGACAAGGCTTTCTATCCGATCGATCAAGTTTGTTTCATAATAAACAGTGTTCATAAATATGACTGATGTATTATCGTGTTCTTTGCAAAGGTCTGCTATTGAAAGAATAGTACTAAACTTTGAGCTTGTCATGAATCGATCTTCCGCTCAATTGAAAGAGCATTCGTTATTATTGATTTACATTGTAGGTTACAACAACTAAAAATTTGCTGTCTTCGTCGTTTAATTGAGTGTAGCGATGACAATCGCAAAGACATTGTTAGAAATTATTTTCACAGGAATCAATGGTTGACATATAATGAAAAGTTAAAAAAACAACGTTAGCTCAGTTACTGTAGTTTGACATTATTTATAAAAGAAAAATTCACATTCTATACAAGTTTCTCGTTTACAATGGAGAATTCGATAAATCCATCAATAGAAATGATTTTTGCGTCGGAAATGAAATGAGACGGTTTTGTCATTAGAAGAATGACCTATAAAAATAATGCATTAATAATGATTATGCTTTCCATATTTTTTGATGGAATATTCTATCCGTACGGAAATACGGATGACATTTATTGGGAAAATTAATCTAATGAATAATGGAATTCAGACGATTCGGGTAGATAAATACAGACAAAATATTTCTAGTTGATTTTCCGAGATTATCCTAATCTATTTGCTGTTTACATTCTGTCCGTAAAAATATCAGATGTTTATTAAGTTTTTTTTCAAGTCAAAGAGTTGTGAATGTGTATTCAGTACCTTGTCTATTTATTCTAAAAAAAGTAATCGTTATGCGTTGTTTACATGTCGAAGATAGTTTTTCGCTCTGAAAAAGTGAAATGATAGCATCATTGTTCTTGTCATTCGAGTCATCGGTACGATCAGCTGCATTCGTCTGACATAGATATGAATTGCAGCTGTTTTTCTTGCGTAGATTAGATCGACGCTGTGAGCTGAATATTTCTTTGTAAATGACGTATTCGTTTTTGCTGATCAAATCGAAGTTCTCAACTTCTTCTATTGTTTAAATAGGCGAGAAGCGCATTTGAAACCAGCTGGTCATACACTCTGAGAAATTTTTTCAAATGGAAAAAGCACAGTCAAGCGGAAGTGTAAAAAATAGGATAGAATGACAGAAGAAAGATGTAATGAACATGTTCAATCAAGCGAGTTATGTGTAAATGAAGATCTTATTTAAGAGAAATCAACGAAGCTTGAATGCTTATCATAGACTACTTAGTGATCATTTGATACATTTGAAAAATGAAGTTCTTTCGAGATGGGTGGTAACACTCGAAAAAAACTGAGTTGTAGAACAGCTGGAGAATATTTTTTCAGCTGTCAACGAACATGCTTGTTGTATCTTCGTCCGATTCTGATTAGCAAATGCACTCAGAAAAACTCGAATAGACACACTATCATCGCCCTAGGAGTTTTTATCTGTATCTCTTATTAATATGAAATTAAGTACAATAGACAGATATTTATCAAGTGAGAAAAAGATTCTTTTTTTTTTCTTCTCTCATTAAAATGATTTAATTTAATGAAGTGCCCAAATGGTGACATTGACGAGATAATCATGATTATCATCATTGAGAAAAAGGTCTTCGCTTTTCTAAATAGTTCAAAAGCTAAAATTAGTTGCAGTTCGATTGTTTACAATCGATAGACTACCGAAGATATCAATGTGTTCGATCAATTAACGATTACCATAGATAATAATCTAATATAGTCATATAAATAGAAGATAAACATCAATATTTTCGATGAAGAGTAAATTTTCCTGTTGACATAAGACGACTGTCGTTAATCAATAGAAGGATCAAAGGAAAACTGCTTAACTTTTATGATAATAACAAAGGAAAGAGCGAGAGAAAAGGCGCTTTATCAATAAATCATAAGTGTAGTAAATATTCCGAATATTTTCTTTTAATTTAGATTCAAGAGAAAGAAAGAGATGCTCAGCATGCAAACATATAAATGCATCATGTAGCTCAATAGGAAGTTTTCTAGCTAAAAATTGCTACATATTATTTATTCTATGTTTACTCGGTGCACGCATCTTGTCAGACAATGACATTTGATACGTATGCACGACTAACGAATCCCAATACGGCAATATCAATAGTTTGTTAGCATAGAATTATGGATAGGAGCAAATTTGCTTCATCTCATCTCTTTTTCTTGAGAATTAGGGTGTATGTGTGCGTAGTGCATGCACAAGCAGCTACTGTCGCGATGCTGTCGCCTAAAATTGGAGCTTGCCGTGTTATTTGTATCTCTCGCTTTTCTCACCCGGAATTCCGTTCTCTATTCTTTGTCTAACAACGATGTGTTTTGTGTCCTCTACTGCTGCTTCATTATCATCGTCTTCTCTCTTTCTTCGTCTTTTTCTTCTTTGACTTGCTTCCATTTGATAGCATCACGCAAAAAGCTGTTCGTTTGGAGAGAAAACTCGATTCTTCTTTCTCGCCTATATTCTTTCATTACTGCTCGTGTCAGACATGCGCACATTGATGTTGTTTTCAATGAGAGTTCCTCATTCGTTATGACTCTCTTTGCTCGCTAATTTTCTTCTATATGAAACCTATCGTTCTAATCGTGTTGAACGATCAATTGAACACGAGCATATGTGCAAACGACACTTTTCTAAAGCGTTCTCTTCTGTTTATTCTCACTTCGACCTTACTCTTTGTTCGTATTGATGATAATTATAATATAGATTAGACTTTTGTTTTGTTAGGTGAATAATAGGTAAAATAAATGACATCAGTCAGGAAAAACGACTTATGTATCGCGTTTCGACAGGTATTAACTACAGATTCGATATTCTTGATCTGATAGTACATTTACCACATTGTAGTCAATAAAAGAAAGATAACTATAAGTTGTGCACCGGAAATAAGTTAGAAATGATTCATTTCTCCTGTCATACAATGTCTTTCTTTCCTTTGATCAACATCACGATATATCAATGTTCATAATCTGTTTATTTCCTTTGTTTTTTTAGATGGACAAACCGCTGTTGTGTAAACTACTATGATTTATTTGAAACCGAACGGAAACTATCATGCAAGTCCTAGTTATTATCGAGTTCTGTCTATTATTTCTTCTTTCAAATCTTCGTCGACGAGCTCAAGCTGATTCAGCTTCATGTCGTAAACAAGTTGAATGTTTTGTATGTGACTCTCGTGAAATTCAAGCGTGTGAAGATTCACGAAATTTTTCTCAAGTTCAAATTCCCACACGTTTATGCGATGACTATTGTCTAAAAATGTGGACACGTGAAAATGATAGTATCGCAGGAGATAATAAAACAAGTGCATTACGTTATGTGCGACGTGATTGTCATAAAATCTTTCATTATCACATCAAAAAAGCTGAAACATGTTATAAGCATAAAAAACACGATACAGATTCGTTATGTTTATGCGGATCGGACAGATGTAATTCGGCAATGTTTGTTCCAGTACCACAACGAACCTGTTGGATTTTTTTCACTCTTTTTTATTTTCTACTGTAGTAACAAACGTGTTCTGTTCTTTTATTTTTGGTGATCAGTATCTCTAAAATTATCAATACTCCGATTATATTATGTTTGAATGTATTGTACAATAATAAATAATCATGTTTTCAAAAATCACAAACCGTGAACAGCTCAGTGAGTTATTTCTCAGAAATGTTTCTTGGAAAATATTGTAAAAAGTAATTCAATATGATTTTTTTTTCTTCACAAACAGGAGCATTAATAATAGAATGATCAACTTGATGAATCCTCAAAAGATCCGAATAATTAAGTATTGGAACAGAATTTCAAATGAGTTATGTCGTTTTATTTCAATTGACTCTAAATTAATGAATATCAAACATGAAATATAGGAGAAGGTAATGAGACTTTCTTCAACTATGCTCAGTAGATCTTGATGTCGAAGTGAAACTAAATATGATGTATCGTCTATGCTTTGTATATTGTAGTAGTCCGATCTACGATATCGAGAAATATGTTGTACGTACGTAAAGAAATAATCAAGTTGTGAAAAAACATTCAAACAATGTAACAATTGTCATTTTGTTGTACAAAAAAAATAATCAAATTGTGAAAGACACTGAACTGAGACAAGTAAAACAATGTAGGTGTTCATCTTGGCAATATTCGTATTATAATTAATTGGAAACTGACCATTGAATCGTTTGACTCACTGGATCAATCATATCCAAATCAAGACCATAAATTACTAAAATCTATCATGATAAAAAGAATCTTTAGGTAAATGAAATTGATATGTTTCGTATAAGTACCCGATCGGGAATATTATAAATATAACTTGAATATGATTGGCCATTGACAATGACATTGGTAACAGAGTGATCAAGTCCAAGAATTTTCACAAGATCTAAACGCATTGCTGACTCTTTGTAATTTGATACGACAGCGTTGATAGTCAATTTATTCTGAAACGATCGGATTAGAGAAAGATGTGTTGAAAAAGAAATGATCAAGAGCCTACAGAATTAGTTAGAGAGAATTCTAAATAATTGTATGCTTTTGTTTCAATCGAATCTGGAATAACAAATAATAGACGAGATCAACTAGTCATGCGAAAAGCCTTACCGAGTGAGTCTCCATCGTCCCAAAACAGATTCCCAGTTGCGTTGCCCGATTGTGATAGAGCAACGAGCAGAGTAAACGGATTGCCACGTCCCAGAACTAGATTGTCACCGGGTATTTGCATTGGAATAATGAAACCTCCACGAACGTGTACATTGATTTTCGATATTGGAGCATCCAAATCGGTAAATAAGCCAACATCAGACAGTTTCACACCTAGTGGAAATTCATACCAAACATCTTTTGGAATATATGCATAAACAACATCCGATTCCTATTCAATCGAAAGTATCAAATCAATAGATTTCATCTCAAGTGCCTACCGGTAATAGGTTCGGAGAAATCAGCAAAGCACGTCCAACCAAAAACTGCCGATCAATATCGTATGTATTCTCATCGTTTAAGTATCTGCATACAAACGAGAGAAAGGAAGATTGAATGTAAACGTGAATGATTCAAAATCAAACAAACTCTGCAAACAGTGGTTGAACAATTGATCGTGATTTGAACAACGCGTGATAGTGAAGTGTATACCAAAAGGGAATGAGTGAATATCTCATCAACAAGGCTTGTTTCATGATTTGTTGTGCTTCCCATGAGAACGAAGCAGGATCTTGATCCTAGATTATCGAGGATGAAATGCTAGATAATTATTGATAAGTTTCTCACTCTTTCTCCGATGGCGTTGTGATTTCTCATGAATGGATAGAAAGCACCAAGTTGCATCCATCGAATGCATAATTCTTCGGTAGTATCACGAAGAAAACCACAAATATCAGCACCGACATGTGTGACACCGAACATATTGAAATTCAGGATAGCTGAAAATGCATAGTAGTGAAGTGATCTGGATGAGAACACTTGATGTTATGATAATTGTCTCTGAAACGAACCTGGTATTGAAAAGTACATGTCGTCAAATGTGGCTTGATTATCACCGGTCCAGTGTGCAGTAAATTGACCTGAACCAGCAAAAGTCGATCGGGATAGAACAAAAGGTCGCTTTTTACGAATCGTTCTCAATGCTCTACGAACAAAACATCTTCTATGTGTTAAAGAGAGACAGGTATCAAAATTACTCTTACATATTGGTAGCTTGTGCTTCAAAGTAACCATACATACTATGTAAATTGTAATGTGATGATAAATGGTGCTGTGCAGATGGGCATACTGTTTTGGCAGAAAGTGCATCACCATGAACGTCTATGAGAATTAGGAGGTACATTGTCAAAACAAATCTTTTCGACATATGCGAAGCTTGAACATACGAGGTGTAAACGGTGGGTTATCTAACGAGTTTTCAGTACATCCATCTTGAGATCCATCTACGAAACTAGATGGTTCATTCATATCCTAAAGCGAATATATTTCTATGGAGAATGTACAGATGTCGAAGCTTACAATCCACATTCCATCGAATGGTACTACGTCATGAAAAGCAGCTGCTGCACTCGTCCACCATTCAACCGCTTTCGGATTAGTAAAATCTGGAAAGGCTGTTATTCCTGGCCAAACCTAATCGAAATGTAATACCGACAAATGATTTTTCACTAAACGAAAGCATTGCACTTACTTTTCCTTTGATGAGCTCGGTTGAATTAAATTTTGTCATGAAGATGCCTCGTTTTACTCCATCATCAAATGGAAAATAGGAGCCAGCTGGTTGTGTTGAGCTGATACCCGGATCAATGATGTTCACGTAATGTATTCCATCGGCTTGTAATGCACGAACAAATTCCGGAAGACCATGGAAATGTTGACTGTCATACGTGAAATCAAGAAACGAAGCCATAGCATCGATGTCCGTCCATTGAACATCAATTGGAAAGTCAGCATTTCGCATTCTCTAAAATAATATCACATGAATGCGTCGAATCTGATATCTCAGAAAAGAACTCATACCACGAGAGATGCTATCATATTTTCGATCTTGTTATATCCCCAACGGCAAAGATGGAATCCGAGTGACCAAAACGGTGGCATAGTCGGTTTCTATTATAGCAAAAGAAAGTAAGAAAAGGCCGCTATCGTTCGCTTTCGTTACTGACTCCAATGACATCCCAGTACTGTTCGATAACGTCCTGTACAGTTGGTCCAGTAAATATGTACAAATCAATGATACCACCTATGGTCGTGTAAGTGAGAGCAGGTAGTGGTTGTAGGTCTACATCCATTGCATTAGAATTAAGGAAGAACTGTCCGTGGACACTTGTACGATTGTCCGGTGTTCGTTCAATATTGATATGGAATGGATGAACACCTAGAATAATTTGTTATTTGATTGTTTGCTTAGATAGTTACTGGAAAATAAGTCTTACCGTAGAGGTTAACGTGTTGCACTGGTGGAAAATCTCGAGTGTAGAACGTCAACCGTTTCCATTCATCGGTCACGTTGATCAACAAAGGCTGTTGATGTTCACCTAAACCATACAACAACGGACTAGATAGTCGCGTTGATAATTTAATAAATTGATCAGCAAATATCAACGGAGCTACGCTCGAATCAAATCTATAGGAAAACGAACGAAATATTGTTTGAAAACAACTTTGTCAATGAAACTCACAATATTGCACCGTTTGATTTTCGTGTAACAACGACTGCAAATGGCCTTCGACGAATATTCACTTCATAATCGCTGACATTGACTTTCGTCTTGATCACGGGCACTTTCAATGGTACTTCGTAACGTTTATTGTTAGTATCATAGATTCGAATACGCAGACGTTGCTGCGTTTCATAAATCAAGTCAACTGTCAAATCCATAATATCGTTTGGCATGTAGGTCGTTTGTAATTTAACAATACGAATTCGCTGACCGAAATCTGTGCTTCCGTTAGTCGTGACTTGATAACTGGGAAAGTCTTTTGAATAATAACAGAAAGGTATGCCAGTCACACCAATACTAGTCAAACGTTTTTGAGTGTCATTAGCTTTGTTCACTGGAATTCTCCAGCAGCATTTTCGTGCTAAACATTTTTCTTTTGTTGGGTTCTTCTCCGGATAACAATCAAAGCGTGCCTCGTGTGGGCTCACATCACACTGTTGTCCGCCTGCAGACCATACACAATGCAATACTGCGAAACTTACCAAGAATAACAAGCGAGTCATTCACCTTATATAATATCAATTATCTACAATGGAAATCGATGTAATTGCTATTATTCATTGAATTTGAATAAATAATTTATCAGGAAAAAGTCATAATTCAATCACAGTAGATTCGGACCTGATCAGAAACTACGAAGAAGAAGAAAAATGAACCACACAAATAACAAAACAATTCAACCAGATTGTGAAACACATAAGTTAAAAGTAAACAGTTACTTTTTCGTCCAATGCACCTGTTTTTCATTCGATGTTGTCCATTGCATGATCTGACTGGATCCAACTAACATATTCATGTCGAGACCATGAATAATCAAAATCTAAATGAATGTAAGGAGGAAAGTTTTTCAATTTGGTAACATTCGAGATTTACTTGATCGAAAAGATTGTAGATATAATTCGAGTAGGGTTTTCCATTGACAGTTACACCAGTCACTGACTTAACGACACCAAGAATTTTCACAGAATCCAAGCGCATAGGAGAGTCTCTATAGTTCAGAACTATCGAATTAATTGTTAACATGTTCTAGAAGATGATCGAGACGTTGCAAGTTTTATCAGAAACTATGAATAGAAGTTTTTTTCTTACAGGAGATGATAGTGTAAATTCAAAATAGTTGTATGTATTGCTTCCGATGGGATCTGAATAAATTCCGAGAAGTGAAAATGATTCTACTCTAAATTGTTTAGAGGAAGATATGACTCTTACCGATGATATCCCCATCATCCCAGAAAAGATTACCGCTTGCATTTCCAAATTGAGACGGAGCAACAAGTAATGAAAATGGATTTCCGCGTCCAAGGATTAGATTAGCACCTGGTGTTTGCATTGGTAGGATGAAACCACCGCGTACATGTAGATTTAATTTTGATAATGGTGCATTCAAGCTTACAAATTGTCCAACAGTTTTCACCGCAGCACCTGATGGGAACTCGTACCAAACATCGTTAGGAATGTAAGCATAAATGGTACTCGATTGCTAGAAAAGATGAATAAAACCATTACTGCTGTTTTGAAGAATGACTATTGGCTTACTGAGACTAAGTTTGGAGACACAAGTAGAGCACGACCAATGAGAAATTGTTGATCTATATTGTATGTATTGCCATCACTGAGATATCTGAATTAAAACGATGAGAATATTTTTCAATCACACAGAGAAAATCGTTCTCACTCAAAAAAAAGTGGTCGAATAATAGGATGCGATCTTGTTGAAGCTTCATAGTGAAGAGTGTACCAAAACGGAATGAGTGAATATCTCATCAGTAAAGCTTGTTTCATGATTTGTTGTGCTTCCCATGAGAATGAAGCTGGATCTTGATCCTATAACGAGGAATGTAAGAGAATCTCGTGATCGCTACGAATAGTTCACCTTTTGACCAATATCATTGTGATTTCTCATGAATGGATAGAAAGCGCCAAGTTGCATCCACCGTGTACACAACTCCTCAGTTGTATCGAGTCCAAAGCCACAAATATCCGCACCCACATGAGTTATTCCAAACATATTAAAACTAAGTATGGCTAAATTGGAACATGCTTTCGCATCACTATTTCAAGTCGCATTCATACAAACCTGGAATTGAGTAATACATATCTTCGAATCTGGCGCGATTATCGCCAGTCCAATGAGCAGTAAACTGGCCAGAGCCAGCGAATGTTGAACGCGATAAAACGAATGGACGTTTTCCACGAATAGTTTTCAATGCTCTATGAAAAAATAGATGCACTTAACTAAACTTGTTCTGGTACGATTTCATTATGTGAAAGCTACTTACGTGTTCGTGACCTGTGCTTCAAAATAGCCATACATACTGTGTAGATTATAATGCACTGATAGATAGTGTTGAGCCGAAGGACACAATGATTTCGATCTAAGATTATTACCGAATACGTCTATATGAGATAAGACTCACATTCTCTTAAACAATATCTGAAAAGGGATCTCATACGTGGAACATATGGAGGATTGTCGAGTAGATTAGTCGTACATCCATCCCGTGAGCCGTCGACAAAATTCGATGGTTCATTCATATCCTCAAAAAGATGTATTCATCACATGAAGATATATAGTGATTAAAGTTACTTACAATCCACATACCATCAAACGGTATTCTCTCATGAAAAGCTCCAGCCGTACGAGTCCACCAGTCAACTGCTTTTGGATTTGAGAAATCAGAAAAAACGGTTGTACCAGGCCAAGATACTCCTGTGATGGGTTCAACGGAATTGAACTTTGTAACGAATATCGCTTGACTCATTCCATCGTCGTACGGTGGGTAAGTGCCAGCCGGTTGAGATGAACTGATGCTCGGATCAATAATATTTACGTAGTGTTTACCATCAGACTGTAGTGTACGAACAAGCTCAGGAAGACCATTAAAATTCGTTGTATCATAGGTGAAATCAAGTTTATCCGACATCACATCGATATCTGTCCACTGAACATCATATGGAAAGTCAGCATCATGCATCCTCTAGTTCACAGTTGGAAAATGTCATGTTGGCTAGACATAATTTCTACTATCTTACTTTCACTGTTGTCCACAAATTTTCGATCGTATTGTATCCATAGCGAGAGAGATGGAATCCGAGTGACCAAAACGGTGGCATAGTCGGTTTCTATTATAGCAAAAGAAAGTAAGAAAAGGCCGCTATCGTTCGCTTTCGTTACTGACTCCAATGACATCCCAGTACTGTTCGATAACGTCCTGTACAGTTGGTCCAGTAAATATGTACAAATCAATGATACCACCTATGGTCGTGTAAGTGAGAGCAGGTAGTGGTTGTAGGTCTACATCCATTGCATTAGAATTAAGGAAGAACTGTCCGTGGACACTTGTACGATTGTCCGGTGTTCGTTCAATATTGATATGGAATGGGTGAACACCTAGAAAAGCATCTGTTGTTCATTGTTGAACAATATATTATCCTTACCATAGAGATTCGTGTTTTCAATGGGTGGAAAATCTCGTGTCCAAAATGTCAATCGCTTCCATTCAGCAGTGACATTCAGTAGCAATGGCTGTCTGTGCTCTCCAAGTCCATATAAGAGTGGGCTGGACAATCTTGTCGATAGTTTTATATATTGATCAGCAAATATCAATGGAGCAACACTCGAATCAAATCTAAATATCAATAAACACATCAAATAGGAAATCGGAGACGACCTTACAATGTTGCGCCAGTTGACTTTCGTGTCACAAGTACAGCGAATGGTTTTTCACTAATCGTGACTTGATAATCAGTTAAATTAGCCTTTTTCTCTACAACTGGCACTTTCAATGGCACCATATATCGTTGATAAGCTGAATCGTAGATTCGAATACGAAAGCGTTGCTGTGTTTCATAGATCAAATCAACTGTTAAATCCAAAATGTCGTGTGGCATGTAAGTTGTTTGTGATTTAACAATTCGTAATTGTTGTCCGAAATCTGTTGTTTCTTTCGATTTGACCTCGTATGTTGGAAAATCTGATGGAAAGTAACAATATGGAACAGTTGCATTTGTCAGTGGGATTGGGGTTCGCCAACAACATTTTCTTGCTTCACATGTACTTTCAGTTGGATTATCCTCTGGATGACAATCGAAACGCGCTGCATCGGAGGTTTGCTCACATTGTTGTGCATGTAGACCGGAAGTAAAATGAAATACCACAAAACTTATTACTAAGAGCGAGTGTACCATCCCTCGATGCCTAACACTTATCTAGAAGGGCAGAAATCATTGATCACATTGTTTGTGTGGAGTAAGAATGTTTCATGCTACTCAGCTAAAAATCTACTCACTAAATCTCATAATTCGATCACAAAAACGCATTTTGTCTATCTTTTAGAGAACAATAGGTAAGGGGAGAATCTCATGAAAATGAAAGGAAAGAAATGTTTCTGAAGTTCATTGGGCCAAAATAATCATGAAGTGCTACTCTTATGATGTTGTCCATGCTATTGTTTGACTAGCTTGTGCCAACATATTCAAATCCAGTCCATAGACGAGTAATACCTATTTGAATTGAATAAATAGTGCAATAGGGTGTTTCCCCCAAGAGAGATACATACATCATCGAGGCTGTTATAAAGGAAATTCGAATACGCTTTCCCATTGACATTCACACCTATGACCGTTTTATTCAAACCGAGAACTTTTACCATGCCTAACGCCATAGCCGAATCTTTATAATTCATTACGACTCCATTAATTGTTAAGGTATTCTACAAATATTATAAAATAGTATAAAATCCAATCAGTTTCGATGTTCTACCGATCCTGTCACCGTAAATTCAAAATAATTATATGTTTTTGTTTCAATTGAATCTAGAGTAATGAGCTATACAGACCAGATGAAACAGTTATTTAAGAGAGCTTACCAAGAGAATCTCCGTCATCCCAAAATAAACTTCCTGTTGCGTTGCCTCCCTGTGACAGTGCAACTAATAAAATAAATGGATTACCACGTCCAAGTACTAGATTATCACCGGGTATTTGCATTGGAATGACAAAACCGCCACGTACATGCACGTTAATTTTTTGAATAGGTGTATCCAAGTCAATATATTGACCAACAGTCTTCAGTTGTACACCTGACGGAAATTCATACCAGACGTCTTGTGGAATATATGCATGCACAGTATTAGATCCCTGAGCAGAGTGATTTTTAATGAATTTCCACGATTATTTTCAGTGCAAATGCTTACAGAGACTAGATTCGGAGAAATAAGAAGAGCAGTTCCAATCAAGAATTGTTGATCAATATTATACGTATTGGCATCGTTTGGATATCTGAACGATAATATGGGAATGTTATCTCATGCATGAACCAGGCAAAAAAGTGCATACTCGAAAAACAATGGTTGCACTACTGTTTGTGATCTCATGGCTGCTTTGTGGTGGAGTGTGTACCAGAATGGACTAAGTGAATATCTCATCAGCAAGGCTTGTTTCATGATTTGCTGTGCTTCCCATGAGAATGAAGCAGGATCTTGAGCCTATATGTCGATGTGAAACTACAATGGATTATTTTTTATGAGAAATAATTACTTTGTCATCTATGGCATTATGATTTCTCATGAATGGATAGAATGCACCTAGTTGCATCCATCTTGTGCACAGTTCTTCCGTAGTATCACCAGCAAAACCACAAATATCAGCACCAACATGTGTAATACCGAACATGTTAAAGCTGAGAATAGCTGAAACAAACAGTAAAATCAGTAACTAATTCTGATATAAAAATAGAACATACTTGGGATAGACGAGTAAAGATCTTCAAAAGATGCTCCATTATCACCTGTCCAATGAGCAGTGAACTGACCAGAACCAGCAAATGATGAACGGGTCAGGACAAATGGTCTTTTGTTTCGAACTCGTTGCAAAGCGCTAGTCAAACAAAGAGTTCATTTTCGTTCCATTGTTAAGTATTTGGAAGAAAGATCTATACATATTCGATGCTTGAGCTTCGAAATAACCGTACATATTATGTAGGTTATAATGCTGCGATAAGTATTGCTGTGCAGATGGACATAGTGTCTTTGAAGTTAAATTGCCGCCAACCACATCTATAAATGAGAATACGTCCATTTATGATACCAAGTCGAAGAAATTCGGTGACATACGAGGAGTAAATGGTGGATTATCAAGACTGTTCATTGTACAACCATCATGTGATCCGTCAACAAAGTTAGATGGTTCATTCATATCCTGAAAAATACATGTTCATTTTAAAAGTTGATTGCATTCACACTTACGATCCACATTCCGTCGAACGGTACTATCTCATGAAATGCTGAAACCGCACGTGTCCACCAATCAATTCCTTTTGGATTTGTAAAATCTGGAAAAGCGGTGGCACCGGGCCACACTTCTCCAATGATTGGTTCAGTAGAGTTATACTTTGTGATAAAAACGCCTTGTTGTAGTCCATCATCATATGGCGGGTAAGTGCCGGCTGGCTGAGTTGAGCTAATAGCTGGATCAATGATATTTACGTAGTGTTTACCATTAGCTTGCAAAGTACGAACTAGTTCGGGGAGGCCATGGAAATTCTTCGTATCATAGGTAAAATCAAGTTTATTCGACATCACATCGATATCTGTCCACTGAACATCATATGGAAAGTCAGCATCATGCATCCTCTATAACCAACAGAATCGTTGAACAAATCTTACCTATATCTTCTTATTATATGCACTACCTGTATAACAGCTGTCAAGTTTTCAATTGTATTGTATCCCCAACGACAAAGATGGAATCCGAGTGACCAAAACGGTGGCATAGTCGGTTTCTATAAGCACAAATTACACTTTCTGTGAAATAAAATATCGCAAGTGTAATCATACTCCAATAACATCCCAGTACTGTTCGATAACATCCTGTACAGTTGGTCCAGTAAATATGTACAAATCAATGATACCACCTATGGTAGTATAAGTGAGAGCAGGTAGTGGCTGTAGGTCTACATCCATAGCATTAGAATTGAGAAAAAATTGTCCATGAAAATTTGTTTCCTTGTTAGGGATTTGCTCCAAATTGATATGAAATGGATGACTACCTAGGAAGATTTTAATCAATGATATTCTGAAATGGCGAGAATATATTGTCTTCACCATAAAGATTAGTATTTGGTTGCGGGCCAATATCTCGTGTCCAAAATGTCAATCGTTTCCATTCATCAGTGATATTTATCAGCAATGCTTGTTTATGTTCTCCAAGTCCATATAACAGTGGACTAGATAATCGCGTTGAAAATTTAATAAACTGATCAGCAAATATCAATGGAGCTACGCTTGAGTCAAACCTACACGAAATACAATGCATTGAAACCTAGTTTGTCGTTGGATTTTTTTAATCGTATTTCACGTAAAATTTTCTTTTACAACTACAGATCGCTTTCAATGACTCACGCTGATGAACATATCTAAGTAATCCTTATCGTTGGTTTCTTTTTATAACAACTTACAATATGACTCCTGTTGATATCCGTGTAACAAAAATTGCAAACGGATTTGATTGCACCGTCACCGCATAATCAGTCATATTAGCCTTTTTCTCTACAACTGGCACTTTCAATGGCACCATATATCGTTGATAAGCTGAATCGTAGATTCGAATACGAAAGCGTTGCTGTGTTTCATAGATCAAATCAACTGTTAAATCCAAAATGTCGTGTGGCATGTAAGTTGTTTGTGATTTAACAATTCGAACGCGTTGACCAAAGTCTGTTTGCTCATCAGATGTTACTTTATACGTTGGAAAATCTTTCGGATAATAACAATATGGTACGTTTATATCGCGGAAGTCAGCTGAATCTATTTTTGTCAAATTCATTGATATGACTGGTGGTCGCCAACAACATTTTCGGGCTTCACATCGTTCTTGCGTTGGTCCATCATCCGAAAAACAATCAAATCGTGCAACATTCACGCTTTGTTCGCACTGTTGTTGCGCATACAAGTAAGTCACGCAGCAACACAGTAGAATACTGGTTACAATTGACAAGTGTGCCATTCGATGGAATTCAACACTTATCTACAAAAATCAATAGAATCTGTTTTTTCTTGCAGATATATTTTGCAAAATAAAGATGAACACCAAGGAGACTATTGAAAGTGAAACATGTACATGAAGAGGAAAAGTCTCAATCATCCTCGTTTGCAGCCATCGTGGTAGTTGTGAATGTACTGAATAGTATTCGTCATTCAGGAGGAAATATGCATACATATCGAAGACAAAAACTTACGTGTTTGTTCAATGATGGATGTTGAGAATGCTGTAAAAATAGCTGTAAAACATTCTATACGCTTAGAACTATTGATAGGCTGTCTAAATGAAATTTGTAGAATTACATTGTCTATTTCTATAAAATTAGTGTGGAAACTTCTTTAGATTTTATTCGATAGTTATGTGCACTAGAACTAGAAAGAGTGTATGAAAAAGATGAGTCATTCTAGAATATTCAGATCTTCAAATGATCGGAGATCCTTTGTATGATCATAATTTTTGCTGATTCCTGCTTATATAAAAGAGTATGAGATTGAATACAGTATATATTTCAACGCTGTGTCTTGGTTTAATACAGTGAGGATAATCATTTTCTCATCACCTGATTTTGATTGATTACTACTCTGTCAATAGGATTTTGAGACAAATAGAGTGCGAATTCTAATTTTGGGTGCACGAACTGCATGTTAAAATTTATTTTGTAGTTCGTAAAACTCCCTATCGATGGTATATGAAATAGTTGAGAATTTACTTTAAATATATGACGAAAACGTAGATTTTTGGACACATTTACTCTCATCAGTGTTTGCGTAATCTTACAAAACAAAGTAGAAAACTCTCTACCAAGAGCGAAGAGATTCTAACTGAATTTGTCACTTACCTTCAAACTTAAGCAGAGTATTGATTGTATAATGCTGTTTCAGAGTAATCTCATCACGATCGAACGAGATCTTTGGCAATGACCGTGAGAACGGCCAATTGAACGTTCTAACTGATTTCGCAGTTTTTTTACCTTTGAGCGCACTAAAAATATAGTAAATTTTATTCTTTCAATGAAATGGAAACGAAGATCACCTACATTTTCTATTCCGAATAATAATCTGGTAAATTCATTCTTTCTTCGACTAACCCAAAGCTCCCACAAAGGTACCAAGACGACAATGCAACTGTTTGTTCACCTTCAAGAAAAGCGGTCATTCCTATTCCAAAGAAGAATTCATATAATACTATCTGTGAACAGAAATGACTTTTTTTCATTCATGTAAAATGTATCATAGGATGAGTTTATCTAATCTTTATTTGTTTTATTTCACACTATTTACTGTGAAAAGAAAATATATACAGAACAGCACTAAATAAATAAATTCAAAGTAAAGAAGAGAAAAGTGTAAAAAATAAAGCCGAACCATCTTTTGCTAGTTTCGAAGAGCTCTAACTTAGTTCTATAAATATCTTTGAGCAATAATACTATCAATTTTGTGTTCAGACGATTCGATCATTGAACACGCACCGGTATTTTGATTATTCGTTGAAACAGCATCACAGTTTGTTTAATGACCGAAGAAAGAATCTTTTCAGCATCCAAGTCAATTGTTTGTGAAATGCTCCTCCTTTCTTTGTTCTTTCCATAATTACTCGATGTGAGACAATGATTTTTTATTTCATAAAACATATTCATTTTCTGAAAGATAAAATCGTGCTAGACTTTGTTTTTTTGAGGTCGTGTTTGTCATCTGTCCAACCATACTCATACCTATTCTTCAAAAGAAGTTTGTTTCGATCTCTCTTAAACATACTGTACAATACAAAAACAAAACAACGGTAAACGTCAATGAGATTATTGAAAGTAAAACATATACATAGAAAGAGAAAACGTCGAATCACCGGTTAATATTTGTCAAAAAAAGTTCAAGAAAGGAAAACAATAATATTCGTAGAAAAATGGAAATCATTCAATTTGTTGTCATTGTGCTTGTTCTTGATGCGCTGAATTGTAGTCGTAATTCAGGAAATAATTCGAATAGGGCTTCGTCAAGTATCAAATAAAACAACTAAAATATGTATGTACAATTACTAGTGAACAATTTTAGTCTAAACTCACTTGTTTATTCAACAATGGATCTTGAAAATGTTGTAAAAGGATTTGTAAACCATTCTCTACGTTTGCTTGACCAATAATACGTTTGATCATAGTTGGTATGAATTCTTCAGCTACTGCAATCACATCTTCGAAATTCACCATATCCGCTGGTCTAAATTCACATTTATGTATAGTCATAATTCTAGCTTTAGTTTTACCCTTTATCTGTTGCGACATTAGGAAATATTGTATCTGAAATCAGATTTGGAATAGTTCACTAATTTCAAGATCGAATGCATACCTCGAAGAGCATGAATCACATCAACGATGTTTTCATCGCTACTCAATATTTCATCCATTCGTGTTTCGATGAAATGTACGAAGTAGGTATCAAATGTGTTCTTTATTGGAACACGGAATAAATCCAAAAAGTGAATCACTAATGGCGACGCTGAAAAAACTTGTTTGACTAGAAATCAGATATAGAAGATTATAGAGCAATGAAACGTATTGAAATAAATATAATTACTAAGAAAAACAACATGGTTATAAGCACTATCAGTATCTTCAGCAGAGTAATTGGAAGTCTCTTCACTGGTCGGATCAAAGAAAGGTTCAATCACATTAGCATTGTTGCCATATATAGAATTGAGAAGCTAAAGCACAACAACATTAAATGCATTGTATCATGTTACTCGAAAACCATCAGTACCTTCTCTTCAATGATATCACTAAATACTGGACTTGGTTGTGAAGCTTTAGCTTTGGCTGGTTCAATGTAACTCAACAACGACAGGAGAAATGGTTCCAGATCTTGTCCTTTCTACAGCATACACATGAGAAAAGTGATCATTTTTCGATGAGAATCTGACGTACCTCAATTCGAAACCGTCGTGGTACAACTTTGAATACTTTAGTTAAGATAATTTCTCCATTAGGCAAAGCGAAATCATCTGGCTGTGTGAGAAAGTTATATAGCAGTTCGCTGTTGCGTAATGTTGGTTTTGATAGCAAGTGCTAAACAGAAACTAGATGAGCAAAAAAATTGCCGATAAAAATACTATTTATACGCGTAAAAAGTGCTCCAAGTCCGGTTTGACAGATTCTAAAAACTTGAGATCTTTTGCGGTGGCTGCTGATCGCTTCGGTGGTAGTCGAGCATCAGAAAAAATTCCATGGAATTCACTTAATTTTTGTTCTAGTAAATAAAAATCTTGATAACGTCTGCAATAAGAACATTACAGTAATCATTCCATCACCATATTTCAACAGAATATTACCTGGCGACTATGGAATGAGGTTTCTCATCATAATGAAGTAAAGGACTGTCTAAACCAGAAGACTTTTTTTTCTATATTTCATGTGGTAAATAGATATTTACCAGTGTTCGACTCGAAGCGATGAATTTCGATAATGTAAGCATAGTATTTCGAATTAGTGTTCAAATTTCCACGTAATTCTTCGGCATGATCGATTCGAACATGCCATGTACTCAAATCTCGTTCGTCTAATGACTAAATCAAATGAAATAATCATGGAAAAAGATATTATTCGAACACAAAATTCACGTACGCTATTACTACAAACGCTAATTGCATCATCTGAACATTTCAAATGTTGATCATCTTTTTCCTCCATCTCTAACGGTTTTTAATAATAATAAATCTTGTTTTTACATTCAACATCAGATATTTACCTTGATAAGACGTTGTTGTGTAATGTTTAGACGACGCATGTTTATTCGTAGTATCATTGCCAATTCTAAATTCGTTAGATACTTCAGAGATTCTTGAGAACCAGAAAAAACATACGCTTTTCCGGTCAATCGATACTCTGGCGAGTCCATTCGTTGTCCGCATACATACAGAAAGTGTTCATCGCTTTTCAAAAATTCATCTTGATATTTTGCTTCAATCAATTCATAGACTTTGCAATGAAACTTTGATAACAGTGCAAATGTTTGTTGAACATTGAACACTTTGTTCGGATCCGTATTATTAATACTTTCTTCTAATTCATTGTAAATTAAATGTTTTATTTCATCGATAAGAGTATCATTCTCATCAAATGGATTACTGATAACTAGATACGATTCGTAATTTTTTGGATTTAAATAACGTTCATCAATATGCTTCAAACGTTGATAAAGTTTTTTTTGAACTAAAATATCTGATGCTAATGGAATTTCATTTAAGACATCGCTTAATGACAAGTAAATACTCAATAAACCAACCGAACCATGACGATCAAGTACTCGACTAAATTGTCCCATCAGTTCCTTTTCGTTCATGACATCAGTTAAATCTAACGCTAATTCATTTTTGTGTATATGATCATTTGTCGAACAAAAGTCAGAAAGGAGTTCAACAGATAAATTTGACGATTGACTAGAAGTAGATATGTTTGCTGTTTGTCGACGTTGTATTGCAGTTGTAAAGTATAGATGAAATAAACGATTTAAAACATTCGGCTGACATATCGAATCAATTGCATCGAGTAGAATGTGACAAACAAGAAGTTCACGTAGGAGATTACGTGAACCTTTGCACTCGGAAATCACTTTTGGTGCTATGATTGGTAGAAGATCGTGGATGATCTGTTTGAGGTACCGAAGTTCCGTTTGACGATTGTACATGGCTAGATGAAGATCATCTTTATACATTTTTCGAAGAAAATCAGCTGGATCATCGATGGAATGTTTGTCTTTCATATGAATATACCGTTCACATGTTTGGAATATTAATGGAAGCAAACGTTCAACAATGAAAGTACCGATATCAACCTGTTTGTATATGAAATTCATTTTCGAATCTTTTTCCAAGGTTAGTCTTACATTTTGTAAACGACGCAACATTGTGGCTAAAAAATATCGAATGATATATTTGACTTCATGAACAAAACCTTGGTCACGAGTGATCACGCTAGAAGAAAACAATGATCTTCTTTCATTTCAATGAGAATTTAAACTTACGATAACCATGGATCGATATGATTTCGAAGACATAAACTACAAAACTAGAATTGAGAATGGGAAGAAGTCGTACAAAAGTATTTATTGATCGATATATATGTATATATACTTCATCAAGAGCAGAGTCTATTCGATCAGAAATCACCAAATGAACCCATGGGTTTTTATGTATGTAGTTGCAATTTGCACTATGAATGATGAAAGAATATTTATTTCAGATCAAATCATACACTGAAATACCTTTCTTGTCGTCGTTTTTCTAATTTCGCATCCTAAAATCGAATGATTTTATTTAACTGAACTAACAAAATATTTCTACCTTTATTCCATCGAAAAACACAATCAAATTCGGCCAATATTTACAAGATTTTTCTGGATCTCTCAATGTTCGTCTATACAATAGAAAGAATCAGTCCTGTAAAATCAATAATGAGTAACAAACTGTTTACATACACATAATAATCAGTTAATTTATAACTGAAAATGATGAGAAGAACGAATATCCCAGTATGGACTCGTCTGTATCAAAAATTCTATACTAGAATGATTTTCATTGAAAACCAAATAACATACCCAAAGAAAAGAAGGACGATGGAAAGAAAAAGTGTTAGTCCTATCCCAAGAAGAATTCGTATGATGTTATCTGTAAACATGAGTTTCTGTTTTTTCATCTGAAATATATCATACGATGAGTTTTATCTAATATTTACTTTTTATTTTGTACTATCTACTGTGAAGAGGAGGAGATGAAATACAGATAAATCGAAAAGTTGAAAACATAAGAAAACGAAAAGAAATTTCATTTCTTTCTGTCTGGTTTGAGTACATCACGAACACGTTGATCAGCTTGAACGATCGGTGCTTTCTCGACTTCTTTCCATTCTTTAGCTAATTCTTCTGCAGCCCATTTCGTGTCCGACCATTTCTTCGCAAAATTACCCGATAAAATATTATCATTCAAAACGCGGCGAAATTTTTCTCGAATTTCATTGCCATCATGACGATTCATTGTTGACAATTGTCCATATTGACTTGTTCGTGAATGATATTTCAACTGCTTAACAAACCCTTCATCGGCTGCACGTTCAAAGATCTCGGCTGGTTCTTTACTTAAATACATATCAAATAAAATCGCTTCATCAGAAAAGCCGGCCTCATGTAAAACATTATAACCTTCGCGGAATATAGCCATAATTTCTGGCCAAAGAGCTTGTTCAGCAAATAAATCAATTCCAGCTTCTTCACGGCATGATGAACCTACAGCACCATTACCTCTTGTCGCTCCAATTGCCCGTGCAATTGACAGACATGTTGCTAATGCTGTCCCACTAGCATCTTTTTCAACAGACACAAAGCACGGATAAGGAATGTTTTGCACATAACGGTCACGTACACCAGCACCGATCATTCGTGGTGCTACCATAACAACATCCATATCATCAGGTAAGTCAAGTAAATTGAATGCAACATTATATCCACTTGCAACAACTAAGGTAGTGTTCGATTTGATATTTTGACGAATTTTTTCATTCCAGACAGTTTGTTGGTCTTCATCAGGTATCAGTAACATCAAAACATTGCCTTGACGAACAGCTTCTTCGATACTTACTGGATCGAATCCATCTTCACGAGCTTGTTTCGCATAGTCATCGTCGATATTACCAATGACAATATTATTTACACCACTATCACGTAAGTTCAATGCTTGTGCTCGCCCTTGATTGCCATAACCAATAAATGCCACAGTTTTACTGCGGACAATATTCACATCAGCATCGTCATCATGATAGATATTCACTGGCATCTTTTCTATAAAGTAAAGATAGGTTTAAAAAAAAACAAAATGTAAGTCTTCTGTTTCATCGTACCCTACTCGTCGACAGACAATTGATACACGAGAATGGAGAGATTATTCTCTCACTTATCTCTATCGACCTAAGAAGCAACAAAGGAGGCAAGGCAAAGAGACATATATGCTTGTGTTTATTTTGATCTCGCTTGATGGGAGAAAAAATGAAACAGAATAAGGTAAGATAAAGTAATGCACAGTTATGAAGAAAAGAATGTCAGATTTTATTCGAGAAAAGAGAAAAAAGATAGGCAAGTTAAAAATTATAATGTTCTTGTTTTTTTTAAGCTAGCTTATTTATTTCTTGTTTTTTTTCTGTTTTGCAGCACGACAATATACATTAGAGGACAAAAACACTGTTTAGTTTCGAATACGAGATAAATAGCAAGAGTGAGCGAGAGAACGAAGAAGAGTTAATGATCCAAAGTTTTCTTAGATATCCTAGTTGTGCGGATTGTTTTGTGCTGGTTGTAAATTCACGTAGTCTTTTTCTTCGGTATCGACTTCATCAGGGATAGTTGATGCACGTTTTTGAATAAAATCATTGAATGCAGCAGTGGTGCCACCTTGAGGATTCGAATTTTTATTTGCATCTTTACTGTCTTGAATGTTTAACCATTGTTCAACTTCTTTAACATCACGTTCAGGATCCTAAATAAAGAGTAAAACTTGATTTCTCTCTGTAGGAACTTCAAACTTTCCTACCTGGGTGTTTGAAGCAGCTCGAGTCGTGACTGCAGCACTAGAAAATATTTTCAGAAAGAAATTTATTGAAGAAAATTCTAATCGTGTAAGCGCGTGTGTGGAGCGAAATCAAAAAGATCTATTCGATGACTGAAAGGAAACGGAAGACTAACGGAGGAAGACAACAAAGAGTAAATGTAAGCTTACGAATTCATATTCATATGTCTTCTTCAAGAATAAAGCATGAACATCAAGGATTAAAAGAATAGAAGTCGGGAGTACTTACGTTGATTGCTGTTGAGTATTTTTAGAGGCAGCGTCAGGTGATGATGGATGAATATCTGAAAGAAAACGAACGAATAATGTGAGTGGTCACGACCGGAAAGAACTACGAACGTAGATTGTCGACGCCAGCTGATAACATTGCTGGTTCCTCGTCGAATTTGATTAAGGCGGGTTCGTTATCCTGGCTACGTGATAATGATGATGTCTAGAAGAAAATATATTTATGAAGATGAGGAAACTAGAGAATTACAAGAAGAGATACTTTTGTAGTCGATGATTGAGAAATTGGTAATGAAGATTTTGTTGGCGATGTCGTACGATTCGCAATTGGAATATGTGATGGACCAACACGTCGTTCACGTTCTTCCATGTAACTTTCAAATGTTTTAAATGAATTATTAAATTCATCATTGTAACGTAATAGATCGACTAAAATATGAAACATTCCTAACTCTGACCGGATAATTAATGATCATCTACCTGTAATATCATCGATCGAAATTTGAGAAAGCAAATCAATAATACGAGCTTGCATTTGCTTACATGTTTTGTGCAATTCCTATAAAACAGAAAACATATATATATATTTCAAACCACGACATTTTGTTTCATCGTTCTTTACCACTAAGAATTCGAGATCTTGTGGATGTTCTTCGCCTGGCTGTAAAATAATCAGCATCTCTCCAAACACTTGTGCATTTGTTTGGACGACATCCAATTCACTGCGTAGTTTCGCGATTTGTTCTGGTGTCATTTGTCTTAGGACTGTGTGTTCGGAACCAGGCAAGTGCGATGCACCACCAATCCCAGCGCGATTCTAAAAGGAAGAAAATATGATCTTTTTTGGCTACTGACTCTATTCGAATCATTTGCATTACATCACGTGCAGCGACACCATTTCCTGTTTGAGACTAAACAGAAGAAAGACGATAAAGTCATTCATAGATGCCGCTTTTCACGTCTCTTACTGTTGATCGTGCAGGACGCTCGATAGTTCTCTGAAAATCATGCGAAAATAAATATTAAATCAGAGAAAAACACGTTTAAGTACCGTAGCAGGTACTGCTGCTTTGATTATATTCTCAGGATCAGCCGGTGGAAATTGTATACCTTGTTGTTTACATTCTTGATAAAATTGTTCGACATTTTTCAGATCAGGATCATCACGAAATGCCAACGCCCATGTCTAAACCACAAGTGACTATTTTCAATCATGATTTGCTTTTCTTACTTGAATCATGCCGAGAACTTTATCTTGTATAGCCGTCGGTGGGTTATTTTTTGGTAAAAGAATATCACGGAATTCTTTTAAGAAATCTTTCTGTGCAAGTTGAACATGAAAAACCTTGCCACAATTTTTTGTTAAAGCTTCTAGCAACTAATTAATTCGAAAAACAAGATTTCTTTGCATCAAGAAATGAATAGCTGACATACAGTTAGTGTTAATCCAATTGACCGCCATTGAGTCGGAGCTTGATTGAATTGTAAACGTTTTCGAATCACTTTCATTGCTTCTTTAGCGCTAGAAATGACGAGAAAATCAAATTCAGCGAATACAAATATCAGATTCAATTGAAAACCTTTCTTCATGTACAGCCACATGATCACAGATTTTCATAATCGTTCCCCAATCTTCCTCTTGTTGATTCTCATCGGTGACTTTTTCAATCGCTTGTTGGAATGGCGTTGATTGGACACTTCCACGAAAGAAACTCGTCATTTTTTGTGTTGATCTACGAACGAAAAGCTAAACTTCGGAGTAGGTCAAATGATGAATGTATTATGAGAAGAAAAATGACAAGATTACAGAAAAAGAGAAATAAAACTACGCGTAGATGACATCAAAACAGATGTATGATTCATCAAGTTAATATCGCATTTCATTCAGGATTGGTCAATTGATCTCAACCAACTGCAAATATGAAATGACAGTTCAGTTCATTCAAGTCAATTTTCTCTACATAGAATTGAGAAAATTCTTTAAGATAAAATTACTTAAACAGATTTTAATTGAAAATAAACAACAAATTACAAAAATCGTCATATGAGCGTTTCTAGAAATTCTCGAGAGAAAAATTTTACTGTTCTCTTCGACAGAATAGAGTACTTAGCAGTAAATTATTAGGTTTCAGACGACAAAAGCAGTGTTGTCTCATCTACTTCACGCAAAATCTATTTTCCTTTCTTCTTTCCTTCTTGTTTCTCATACGATTGTTGATATTTATTTCATTTTACACGCTGGTGTTGACGTAAAGTCATATAAATATATATATACAGGGAAAATAAAGTCGTGCAACACAGTGACACATGATTTTTTTTTAATTTTAATACAGTATTGCATGCCTTTGCGATAAGAGAATGCAATATTGATGGATACAAGTATTCTACAATGAGATATCGATCGATCGATTCAGCATGTGGAATAACACGGTTGAAAAACAACTATTTCAACGTTTCTAGCGCTTATTCTTAACATTGAATTCGTTCGAAAAATACTTTGTTCGCTAAAGTTTTCGAGTAATGTATTCATTTGATAGCGTATTCCTCTGTTTCGATAATACTAAGAAAGAAATATTTGTGTATGTTTGTCCACGCATGATATAAAGTCTTGATTTTGCTTTTTAAGTATTTATAATGTGAGTTATCTTGTCGATGATCATTTCATACGAAGATCGTCTTTTGACTATGTTATGACTGTTACCATTAACGTTTTAACTCTATTTCTGCTGTTAATACTTATTTCAATGTTATGTTAAAAAATGTGGTTATATCAGGAAGGTTTACTGAAACTCAATCAAGATGGGTATCAAACGGTTGAAGATAGTCTTCGTATTCAATAATTTCATCGGTTTATTGTATTTCTAATTGACCCAAAAGCACATTCTAGTCGTTGATAAAAGTATTGTCTGTAATGCATCGCTCAGATGAATATGTAAGCCGAGGAATGGTCTGATTTAAAAGAAGTCGATTTAATGAGAGATTTTTCTCAATTAATCTTTTTAACAGTAACACGCTGCTTGTTAGGCAAAGAGAATCGTGAAAATAGTCAAACAAAATTTGCATATTTCTGTGAACAATTATGCGATGGAGTAAGTCAATTATTATTATTATTCTCTAATACGTCAGTGCAAACAATGTAGGAAACGCAATCTGTCACAAAAGAAATCACAACGATTATTTTCAAAGATCATCAAACAACGTTGAATGGCCAACGATGTTGAAAACGGCGCATGATATCTCACCGACTCTCTTTCGACTGACGAAGAAATCACCAGTTTATCAATAACTGTGTTATTTGATGGACGACATATATCGACAAATGATGGAGATATCTCAAAATGAATTTATTACATGCAGTTATGAAAGAAACACTGGGAATACATCCACTAACAATATTATTAATGAGAAAAGTCCTGTAATCAATTCTGTACGACTGATCGGTTCTATCCTAAGATAATATTGTTGTGGTTGCACCATTTGTGGTATATTAGTTGTTGATTGTATTTGAAGACACGGCAGAATTCACTTCTGAACGATTTTTAGGCGAACATGCCGAATATCAAGTAGGAAAAATTTGGTTTCTTTGCATTCGATGGTGGTCGGCATTGTTGTTCTGGAGAAATATTTTCGAACTTTGCCATGACCTAATTATTCCGTTGTCGTTGTTGAATATAGACCATCTTATCTGGTTAGACTCGAATGTAAAATCAATTCTTTATTAACTCTCACATTTATCTTTTTATATTATTGAAGAAAAAAAAAGTGACAGCAACATAAATTTAATTGATTGAATAAATAATGAACGTACATAGGAAAAACGATGTTTCCATCATACATGAAAATAAAAACTCGAATGTCTTGTGATTAGCGAATAGCTTTAGACTTGATCACCTAGTTCTACATGATTGAGCAGTTAGGCGTATTGAATGGATTGTTTGGTCCTCTGAAACGAGAGACAAAAAGAACAGTAAGATGAAGTAATTGAGAGAAAATAAAGATATGAACATATGCGCAGCCAATTAGCCAAAGCAAAGAAGATAAATATACTACAATAGACATCCTTGAAGACAAGAACAACCGTCTTAGTAATCGCACATCATTGTAGTATGAAACAATACCTGTACAGTATGATATGTTCATGGTCTCAGTGATTGATAGGGGGTAAATGGTCCGGATGAAGTCGATCCAGGACGAGAGCTTGGTAAGGACGCTCGTGCATAGGAGAGGCCTGATGCTGGCGTTCGAGTTCTTGAGATGGGTGATGTCGATGAAGCTGACGATCTGCTTGAACTACTACTATTTGACGAACCAAAAATATCTCCTCGTGCATATGGTGTCTGAGAATTAATTAAGGGTGGTGGAACAGGCAATGTAGATCTAGAGGATAGTGGTTGTGAATTGGATGTCAGCAAAGGAGCTGATGTTGGCATGTTTGTCACTGGTAAGGAGGATGGTAGTAAGACATCTGACGAAAATGGTGCTCGTGATGGAACTGTAGGATTGGCGAAATTCGTTCGAATAGGAGGTAAACGACTAAGATTGTTTTGTTTGAAATCTGCTAAGAATCTGGCTCGTTGTTGAATCTGCTGGCGGATATGATCTAAGTTTCTGGCGCCTAATGGATAACTACCTGATCCAGAAAACAAATCACGATTTGTACTACTCGTCATTTTCGAAGGTTTAAATGGAATAAGCAAACCATTTGCAGTCATAGATCTGATGGGCATCGATTTTGATGCTGGTAAATCATCGTTAGATAAACCACTACAAACATGAATTAGGTAGACGAGAGGAAAAACAGTGTTTGAACCCTTTCAATACGAAAGAGAAAGGATCGACTTTCAACTTGTTTTTACAGCATTAGAAAAGCAACACAAGCATGAGCATCACAAATAGAACAGTTAATTTTTGAATAGAAGTCTTACTTTGCAGTAGAAGCTAATCGTCTTCCAGGTGACAATATTGCTGATATATCTGCTGGAACATTTGTGCCCGGTGGAAAACAAACAGGTACACCGGTTCGATCAGAAACAGTCTATGAGTATATAATTCGATACTTCTTATTCTGCTAAATGTATATGCAACTTCTTACTCGGGCAAGAGCATTTTGAAATAAACGTGGTCCAACAGTAACTCGTTGCTGTGGTATATAGCATGGCTGACTTAATGTAGCTACAGGACTGTTAGCAATAGAAACTTGTTGACTTTGAAGTTGTAATACAGTAGGATCATATGAACGCTGATAGAGTATTTGTGGGCTAGCTAATAGCGATGAAGAAAAAAATATATCTAATGAAAATGCTGTTTATATAACTCACAGTTAATGAAAATGGTGTAGATTAGAAATCCAGACAGATGTTATAGTTAGTCTTTTCATCAAGTAACCTTCACCAAATGCACTATACAAACAGAATTCTACCTGCAAGCGCTTGAGTTGGCGTTTGAATAGTTTGTATTATTTGAGGTTGAATATTAGCAAGGGCTGGTGCTGCTGGTGTAACCGTTAGGATTTGTCCTGTTTGTACTTGTGGAGTTTGAATAATTTGAAATGATTGAGTCGTAGCTTGAGGTTGTTGTTGAATTAGAATTTGAGTAGGTGAAGAGGATGATGTCTGTGGCACACATAGATATGCTTGAGATTGTGTTGTTGTCGATATGGGATTACAGGCAGGCACTTGGCTAATAATTGTTGACGGACTGCTATCCACATAAACATATTGTTGTTGCTGTGGTGATGGTGAACAAGATACTTGTTGAACGAGATTGCAGTTCGATGTTGCTGGTTCAGTGCATAGAAGAATTTGCTGCTGCTGTTGTTGAGGTAGGCAAACAAATGGATCACATGGTTGAGGAATCTAAATGAGATCGAAGCTAATCTTTCTAGTACATGTACACGAGAGATGAAAGTGGATCTTTTTATAGCGTCAGTAGATAGGAAAAGAAGGTTAAGCTTTTAGATGAGCTGTTTAGGTTTTATTTTTCTTCATACACAAGAATTTGATGTGCAATCGACAAACGATGACGGAGTGCAACAATCGTCTTCGAAGTAGATTCGTTCGATTTCCTGAACGCCACAAGAATTTATAATGTTTGAATACGGTTCGGTACAAATCACTGGAGGATAACTCTCAACCTGAGCTTCGTTTTGAGATGCTGCTCGTCGAGAAACTATTTTATTTTCAACAGATTGCAATGGAATATTTCCCTTCTGTTTTTTCTATAGAAGATAGAATTAAAATAATCAAATAAAACAAAGAAAGATCATTGCTGATCTATGGAAATAAGGCATCATTTAACCATTCACTTACTCTTGATGAATTCGCACTGATTTCTGTGTTTGGTTGAACACTTGGATCACGATAGACAACCAACGGCTTTTGTTGATTTTCCAACACGATTGACTCACCATTAGCGTCAAGAGGAAGACTGATTGTCTGACCTTTATTATTCAATATTCGACGATAAACTAAAACCGGTTGTTGCGATGCATCGGTGGTCGAATTAGCAATGATCACTTTAGGTGAAGACTGGGTTGTTTGATTGTGCTGACCTTCATTACTGTTTGATCGAGGTTGATAGCTATGACGTCGATGACATGAATGATGACGTTTTCGGCTACTGCAATGATGATGGCGATGTTGATGATGTTTCGGTTTATGATTTCGTTCGGTTGTCAGTGTAACACTCTCGCTTCTATGAACATTTTTCGTTGATCTCATAGCTGGCCATGCCTTAACAGATTTTTTGTCTGCTGACGGAGGTAGACTATCAATTGGCGGCTAAAAGAAAGTGCATAGCGATTGATGAAAACGAAACATGAAATAATATCAAAGTTTACAGCAAAATCAGATGCGCAATGTTGAGATAATGGAAGTGAGTGTATTGACGAAGCATGTTGTTGTGCCTATGCATATTAAGCGTGAGAGATGTTAGAGCATAGAAGCAAAGATAAATACTTACTGACGACAATGAAGTTGTGTCAACATTCAAATACATATGTGGACTGGCCGCATCGTTGAGATAGAGATGAGGACTATTGTTGGTTCTCTCAGCTTTTTTGACTAGAAAGAAAAATCTTATCAAATAATTCGAAGAGTATTGAATTAGATGAAGTTTTACATTGATCTTGCTTTCCACCCTTGATATCGACTAGTTTAGTCGTAGACAAATCTCTTTTAATTGATGGTGTTGATAGATCACTGGCCTGTGGTGAAGCACTTTTCTCCGACATGATAACCGTCTATATTCAGTTTCGATACTTTTTGTAACGATTGTACAGTGTAAACCGTCAGTAGATATATAGTCATAGAAGTGAATACATTGTTTATCGTTATCTGCTCTAATGAAATACGAAAAAATACGATGAAGGTTGCAGAAATATATATATATACGATACAATCAAATCCGAGTAGTCATATGAACAACAAATTATTATCGGAGACGAGAGAAAGAAAATGATCAGTCTATCAAGGATAGAGATAGGTGTGTATTTAGCTACTTATCAGCAAATATTTTCTTTTCTTTGTGATCACCGAAAAGATATAGTATAATACTATTCTATTAATGATTAATAATACGATCAGCGACATTGATATTATTTGTTTGTATATTACTTACGTTAATGGTTATAAATATTAATATAAAATACGAGATTTTATGACTTCTCACTGAATCGAGTTGTGTTATTGCGCTTGCAGACACACTTCTCTTCACGTATGAATAGTATTTATGAATCAAGCAATAGTGATGTTCTTTCTTGCTTCTACTCGATCATTAACATAAATTTTCGACATATCAACATGACCATCGTATAACAACATCGAAAATACGATATATGTGCGTGTGTGAATGAAAGTCCCTCTCTTTTTTCTTCTCTGTCTAATCTATCAATGATCTTGTTTAATGAATGAACGAAATACGATGTACTATAATAGTAAAATTGTTCAGTCGTTCAATACAATCAATGTATAGCAAGATGTCGATATAGACCAATCAATCTTCACCTAGTTATTTCGTTCATCCATCATTATCGATGAAGGTTTTTCTCTGTCCTATCGATCAAATATTATCGCAGTTGTAGCAAAGAAATCAAAACAAGTAAATATACATATGTCCACAATAAAACACACATACGTAGATAAATGAACATTCAACTCTCCATATAGATATATATGGGGGTCGATTTTTCTTCGGAAATGTACTTGTTAATTAGAAATGTGCTCACTCTAGTGCATTATTACTCTTGCTTTATTTATTGTCGGAGAAAACGAGGAAATGAATCCGAAGAGAAAAAAAAACAAGTTCACCAGAGAATCAGCATCAAATATTTGCTCTTCTGAATGGTAATGGCATCATTCCAACAACTAGTTCAGACATGAAAATGAATCTCTCATTAGCAGACAAACGTATCGAGCATGCCATTGAACAAACGAATCGAATCTTCCCATTCGTTGTCTTACCATTAGCAACAATTGGCAATACACTTTGCTTTTTGGTCTTCTGTCGGGCCAAATTTCAAAAGCGTTTAACACGCACATCTTCAATTTGTTTACGACTTTCATGTGTCAATGATCTGATCTTACTATATCTATTTTCGATCGACGTCATCTTGAAACTCTATATGAAACCATCCATGCGAATTTACACCTCACCTGCCACGTGTCGTCTGTATAAATTCATTCGTTATTCATTTTTGGACATGTCGGCTTACATTCAATTGAGTTTAACAACTGATCGGTTTATTTGCTGCGTGCACCATACATATTATTCACATTGGCGAAAGAAATATTATCTATATTATTTACTGTTGATTGCTTATGCTTGCATTTTGCTGAAGAATTCTTCATTCTTATCTCCACTATATGGTTTCACTGTTGTTAATAAGAATCGAACAGTTACCAAATGTTCAGTTAAACTTTCAGCAAAGAATTTCGCTATCTATATGGCTTACGGTCAATCATTAATCGATGTTGTGTTTATCACATTTATTCCATTTTTTCTTATTCTCTATTTCAACTCTCGAATTTTACGAGAAGTTCTATACATTCGCACACAATGTTGGAGTACACTGACACGCTTGATGCATTTAACTCCTGCCGAACAAAAAGAACCCACTCGAAATCCAATCATCGTTTCGAGCTGCAGCCATGCTCGACGTCGACGTCGCCTTCATCTTACATTTGCACTTGGTTGTATCTCATTCGTTTTCGTACTCAGTACAGCTCCATACAAAATCTTCAAGATCGTCGAAAGACACGATAAACTCCAACGTGATAAACTCAAATACGGAACGTCAAAATCTATAAATATTCAGTTAGCTGAGATTATCATTGATTCCCTTGAGTATCTATCATGTTCGACACCGTTTTTTGTCTGTCTAACAACATCAAGTATGTTTCGTGAGGAGTTACGACGAATGTTTAATAAAATACGTTTGTAATAATAAATCAAAACGAAGTAAAGATATTGATTTTAGGATCGTTATTCCTCCTCGTTCTCTTTACCTGTTTATGATTGGTATTGATTTAAATGTCGGCGAGCTGAAAAAAAACAAGTAGGTATCGGATGACTTGGTATTAACATAGGAATATTTGACATCGCGAAAAAGTCGACTTCATTTTCATTATAAATGCAACGAACGGCACCGCATATGCATCTTTGGTTGTTAAATATATTTATCATATATGAACTCGTCGGTAAGATACACTCGAAATAGTTGGTTCACTCATAGATAATTTCCTAATATTTACTCGTTCACGTGATCAAAATGTGTTGAAATTTTGTAGCTGGATCGTCATTTGTTCTATGAAATGACTTTGTCTTAAAAGACATTCTTTAGTGTGCTCGTGTTTTTTGGATAAGTTAGTTCAGTGTTTGTTGACGAGTCCAATGAATGCTCTGTTTGAATATTTACACACTTTTAACTGATCGTTGTTTGTTTTCTTGCATCATCATCAACATGATTATAATGATTGGCTCACGTCATTCATGTACTATTAGAGTCATATTTCGGAAGAGATTAAAAAATGCACTTGAAAATATTTATTTTCTTAGATCAGAAACCAATGAAAATGAACTTTGCATAGGATGTTTTTCTTTTGAGAAGTACGGCTAATGAATGAACTAAAACAAATATTTGACTACCAGGATGCTAATTTAATGTTTGTCGATTTCTTTTTGTAGGCAAATCTACTGGTCAAGTACTAGTAAACGACAGAAATATCAGTTGTTTTTCATCCAGCAATAATACAGCAGTACGCCTTTTCTGTTCAAATGCTCTTGCTGTTCAAGATCTATCGTTTGATCATTTACAACAAAACTTAGATAATACCATTGAATATATTGAGATAGCGGGACTAGGAGAAGGTTCTACTGGACCATTAACTGCTATTCCAGTCAGTGCTTGTCGTTTCAAGCAACTCAAAGTAAATATTTATGCGTATGTTCTTCTGACCGTATTCTAATTTGGGTTTTTTTACTTCATCTAGTTCTTACGCTTATCGAATAATCAAATAACAAATCCAATGCCTGCTCCTCTACCTTCATGTTTTGCTCGTTTGGAAAGACTCGATCTAAATGGTAATTATCTCCGTGAAGTTCCCGTTGCATGGACTTCTCAAATGCATAATCTGAAAGTAATACACTTATCACGCAATAGGCTCCAATCAATCACTCCTCAGATGTTTTCGAACATCTCCAATGTAGATTTTATCGATTTGTCTGAGAACTTACTAACCAGTGTTGAACTGTGGCTATTACAAATAAAAAAATTAATAGACTATTCAGCCAATCCGATAACTCGTTTCACTAATTATCATAATTATAGTCTGGCAAATTATCAATCGAGTATAACTCAACAAATAGTTATTTATACTACACAAACGTTCCTTGATTTCGATGACGGTATACTAGAAATGTACAATCGTTGTGAAGAAACTGATGAGACATATCCACAGATAATAATGGAAGCAGTCAAAAAGATTCATGATACTAATCCTGGATTACTCAATTGGAATTGTTCATGCAAATTTTACCATTTACGAAAGTATCTTATGGCAAAAGAAAATAATCACGCATTTGCCCACTGGGCATGCCCGAATGAAAACGATCTATCATACGATGAAAAGTGTAATTGTCAATCATCATTTGTTAGTGGCAGTAACACTCCTAGTTTCTGTAAGATTCAAGATTGGACTGCAAACAAATGCGGAGCGGTAAGTAAAAGGAAGTTCAGTTCACAAGCGATACTTATCTTTTTTTGTTAAAATACAGAACAGAAATGTTAACTTTTTTCACTCTAGAATAGTTTGGAAAATTGTACTGATTTACAGGCTCTCTGTTCCACAATGTACAGCGAAGTACGGTTTACAATGAAGTCGATCTGTATTAGAAAGATAATTTCCTTCTTTTACTTTCAGCTAATGACGATTCCTGTGAATAACATGATCAGAGTATCGAAGTTTGTAGATATACTCCAAAAGTTTTATCAGAAGCTTGACGACCTGCTCACTTTTCAATCGGTCACATTACCAATTCGAGCTGATTTACAAAATCTAACAACAGTAATCGAAAATCTCTTAGAATCCATCGGAACTACAATTAATATCACTTCGAATTCAATCGCTATCCTAAGTGTAAGGAAAGGAAGCTCAATCTATTCTTTCTGTCAATCAGAAGAAGCAAATTCTACCTTCAGCTATCTAACTGACATCAATCAAACGAATATAACAGCAAGTATAACTATCGACCAACTCTCCATCGATAGCTTATTTCCTACTGATATCTATACATTCTATTTTCTTCCATCTTTACTCTTTCAACATGCACAAAATAATCAACGGAAGATCATCGTTTCACCCATCGTGGGTGTTCATCTTCCGAAACGAATATCTCAGCTTATTACCATGTCATTCACTGATAAAGTTCGTTCATTTGGTTCATATTCTTGTGAATTTTGGCAAGCAGGTGATTGGAATTCTACTGACTGTTTCTATCGGAGAGATACCAAATCTAATCGTCATTTTTGTCAATGTAATCATACGACATCATTCGCACTATTATTTACTCCTGACAAATCTATTCCACAGGCATACATACCTTCAATAACAATAGCTCTGCTGTCTATTGTTTGCTTTTTTGTTTCAATTATTCTTTCACTTTACCATCAGTCAAAATCCATTCGTTACTTATCTATAGGAAATATTTTCAATCTGATCAGTTCGATTACTCTATTTTCGTTGTTTACTGTCCTTCTAATTCGCGGTTATCAATCATCAAAAGCACAATCGAATATCGACATAGAAGTATGCTCAAAAGCTGAACAGAATCTTTCAATAAGTATCTATTTTTTCCTCATATTATCATTCGTTAGTAAAACATTCCTTGGTATTTGTTATTTCTTCACGATATTCTTTCATTTTATCTTCATCCAATACACTACATTGTCGAATAAATGGCTTTATGTAAGTCTTCTTCTTGCCATTCTTATTGCTCTTATTCCGACTATTATTATTCGCGTTATTCTCAATCAATGGTCAAAGTTATTCGTTCACTATGATGGTATTTGTTGGTTGAATACCTCGGTAATTTTTCGTTTTGTTTCGATTCCAATTCTGATATTCATCTCGTTAAATCTATTGATTATTTTCGCCATCTCAACTCGACTATTTCAATTTGTTCTCGGCCGAAAAAAGGCACCAACAAGTGAAAAGCGCGTGAATATTTCATTGTTGATATGGGTGTCATTGTGCATTTCATTGGGTATCGCTTGGATAGTTGGACCGTTTCTAGAAATTACCAGTAGTGAAAGCAACCGATCGGCCAGAACGGTTATACAATGGATATTTGCGATTTTTATTGGCTTGGAAGGTGTGTGGGTGTTGATCATCAACATCATATTTTATTTCAATCAGACGGGAAATGTGAAAAAGCGACCAAAGAATATGAACAAAAGTCATAAATCTGATTTTTAATAAAGATCAACGAACTGATTAGAATTGTTTGATTCGCTTTATTTAACGTGTATAAGAAGGAATGAAAAAGTTTTTAGATTATCTTGTGATTATAGTTTTGTCCTTCTGTCGTAATCGAAGCGATCACTCGTCATTTTCATCGGTTACACAGATTTATATACAGAAAACAGGCCCTGAGTAAGAAAATAAAAGGAAAAAAAACATAACATAGTTGCCATGTGCTTATGATCTGAATAACAATAAAGAAAATTCAGACGTTTTTCATATCGGATGAATCACTATCAGATTTATGGCGACTAATTAGTGCTGATGTGATTATAGATGATTTTGCTGTAACAGATATTTCGAGGGGATCTTCGTCAAGACGTTCCATACGCTGCGGTGGGATAGGTATTGCTTGTTCTTCACATTTTCCCTTCAATTGTCGATCGTTTTCACTTGTTATAATATCGCTTTCAGCTGATGACGATGCGGTACGTATCTGCTGTGATGAAACTGAAAAATTGAATGGTGACTTGGTCGGAGGTCGTTGAAGTTTTCCACCGCCTGTTGTTGATGGAGTTTCTTGCTGTCTAAAAGGTGGAGCTTCTTGTTGCGTGGTTGCTGTGGTCAAGATTTGCGGTGTAAGGATAGCAACACATGAAACTTTATCAGCTAGAGGAGTTTGTGGTGGTGGACCGTACATATAACAATATCGTTGTTTTCTCTGAATTTTGTCCATCGCGCCTTGACGCCATGCTTGCATATGTTGATCATGACTCATCTGTGTGCGAAGTGTTGATGAATTTGCAATCGAAGTTGTTGCGGCTGGATAATCAGCAGTCGATGGAGTCGATGGAACACCGGGAAGAAACGTTAATGGTGTATAGGGCGAATGTTGCGTTGTGTGATAAGCTGAACGACTAGTTAGATGAGTTTTTACTGATTTGGAACCAGAATCAGATGGTGGTTGAATGGCAATATCTGGTGTTATTTGGAATCCCTGACTTCGATCACTGGTCATCGTTGAGGCGAAAGCAGGCCGTTGTCCGCTCAATGAAGCGGCAGTTGTTGGTGTCCGTGAGGATTTAGGAGAAGACGACATATTCATTTGTTGAGTACTTGTGTCATATAGCATTTGTGCACGGATTGCAATGTATCGCTCGGCGGGACTTTGCGGATATTCGATAGTTGCAGGCACAGCTACGGATAGTAACCGGCGAGGTGGCGAAGGTAGCTGTTCGATTGTTGCCGCAGAAATATCTTGCAGAGATGTTGTTTCACTAAAAATACAAGAATTTCATTTTATAAACTGCAGATGGAACTGATCAGTTGTTTGTCAAAGTTATGTATACTAACGCTCTTGATTCAGCGACTTGCACAAAGTCTCCTTGGGGTACAAATGTTTCAGTTTCAAATTGCCTCACTGTAGCCGCCATTGGAAGTTGATTTTCATCGATAAGGCTACTTCGTTGAATGTGCAAACGTGTCAATCGTCCTTGAACATCTTTTCTTAAATCGAACAAATGATAATTGCGTAGGATTGTATAGAGAAAATGCCAACGGAAACGCAGTCGCTTCCTTTTTCTAATTTTCTCCATCTCTTCTTTTCTTTCTGGATCTTCCGAACGTTCGCCTGAGAAAACAAATTGTTTCGGATGTAAAAGACGAACTTCATCTTGTGTATCTTCATGATCATTCTCGTCAGTCAAGCAGCTGATCAAGTCGTTTTTCAGTCTAACTTCAGAACTTGAGTAATTTTGAGTTGTCAATTGCATAGTTGCACTTGCAATCTCAACGTAATGATCATTTTCGTTGTTGTCATCGGTATTGTCAGCACGATGTATTTTCGAAGATCGGTTTGGTCGAGATGGAAGAAGTGGTTGCTGGTTTTGATGAGCATGACGATTGGATATCGTTCGCAGCGGATATGAGTCTTTTGAGGCTGTTGTTGCATTGTGTGATGACGGACAGCAGACAACTAGCTTTTTTCGTTCATCGAATTGACATTCAACTGCGTTTTGTCGACGTTTTATGTTTACCAAAGTGTCGGATACATTTGTTGTCGATTCAACGATTTCGTCGTACGACGATGACAGTGTTGTGTCCTTCGGTTGCTGACGTGCGTGTTCAGTTTGATCATAATGACTGCTTTGGGATGCTGACTCTACTTTTGTTCTTCGGTGGTGTGTTCCAAGTGGTGCAGAAAAAGGAATGGTTTTATCAGTTTTTGTATCGCTTTTCGATCTCTTTTTCTTGCCTTTTGATGTTCGGTTATCTTTCTGAACTGACAATAATCTCCTCTCCGATGAATCATTCTCATCACTTTCAGAGGTTAAATCTCTACGAGGTGGAACTTCGGGAGGACAATCCGATTGTGAATCATCTCCATGTGCCTGTTGTTCATCGATTGAAGCATTACTAGATTTGTCTGACTTGTTAGGTCTCTGAAAAATGCATACAAGGTAAAACGAGAAACGAAAATCATTTTGTCTTTTGTCTTTACCAGAGATTGTTTTGGTAAATCGACTTCAGACTTATTTTCCGCTATTCGAACACACCGTGAACGCTGTTTTGTTTCTTTTATCAATACTCGCGAATAAGTTTCATCTTCAATTGGAGTATTTGTCTGCTTCTTTCGTCTGTATTCAATGATTGATAAGTTCTTTTGCACAAGAATCTCTTTCGGTGGTTGCACACCTTGATCATCATCAAGTTCACCCGGAGCAATACAACATTCATCGTCATAGCATTGCTTAGGTCGTCGTTGTATAATGTCATCATACACAGAATAACAAAACGCTAAGCACAAACGACATCAAACACACTTGCAATTTCAATATTTAGACTAACCTAGCATCACGGGATTGGTATATGTAACTTCCATATGTAAATATGAAATATACGCTGCAAAGCCAAGGTCTAGAGTCGTATGTGTAAGTTGTTTGCTTGAGATAAATCCGTTTCAGCACTTACCAAATCTTTCCAGTGGCCGTCCGAGGAAGCTCCAATCAAGTCGAGCCATGAATACAACATTGAGAAAAGTTGCTTTCAGCAAACGAATAATACATGATGCAACACCAAGAAAACAATCTAAAGCAAACGATTCCATCCGATATTTGTCCATGTATCTTCATGCTTACCAGCAAAAAAACTGAAGTAAACGAACATTGCATAAGTTTTTCGGTTTTTTAAATTCAGTTTATCATCCAATTGTTGAATAAATATAAATTTACCAGCTGATCTCATACTGAGCATTTTCAGAAAATAAATAACGAGTACGGGAACGATAATAGCCAAGAAAAATTCAATATGACGAATTTGTAGTGAAACAATGCGCACACTGATCAAGAAGAAAAGTATCACATGGAAACAAATAACAAAACCCCAAGCCATATAACCGACAAGGAAACCCGAATAGTGAACCGAATTCGAAGCCATTGAACTTGGTTTGAAGTTAATGGCGGATGGAACATCAACATAGATACCCTTATACAACTGTAATTTATGCTTTTGATAATTCTGCATGCCAATATACAGTTGAAATCCATAAATAATAGCGGTCAGTATGGCACTGAAGATAATCTCATATTTCAATGAAAATGCTCCTAGTTCTAGACGAGACAATGAGTAATTTCGATAGGTATCGATATGAGATCACTTACCAACATTAAATGTTGATTCAATATAAAATTTCAAAAATGAAATATGACCTGCTGTTCTTGAAAGATACAGAAAAGCGAATGTACATGCTAAGTAATATAAAAACACAATGGCAACTGTATAAGTACATGTTGCGATTGTTGTAAAACGGAAATCGTTATTCGAATGGTAGATATGATCGAAAAATTTCTTTACACGAGATCGATTAATAGTATTTTGCACTTCTGCATCATGCTCATAATCAACCAGATTCTCAAGCTTGACTTTCTCATTTTGTGCTGGCACGATTCGTTGCGAACGATGATTACGTCGAAACAATTTTGTTACGTAATATTTCGAATATTCTGAATCATCTAATTCAACCACCGGCGCTGACCATATGGTTCTCTTCTTACGCATAGGAACATAAACTGAATCATAGATGAAACGTACGCATAACTCGCCAGAGATGTAAGACAAAAGGAAAAAATGCGGGATGTTTTTGATTACCCCATAAACAATGAACCAAGTACCAAGTTCCTAAAAATATCGAAGACGAATTCGAATTTTCAAGTCAACCCATTTACTCGTCGAAGTTTCGCTTCTTCAGCATCTGTATAACGTCCAGATAAAGGTAAAAATCCCATGCATGAACCTTCTCGTATGATCGTATAGAACATATCACAAAGGATATAAAAGCAAGCGAAGCCACGCGCCACAATATTTCGTAATTGCAAAGAAGCAAGTACTGGATAATAACGAAGCCCGACAAGGATGATAAGAGCAATTCTTTCCAGTAACTCAATCAATACACCCTGACGTAACGGTTGGCCAGTGCGAAAAAGAAGTTCTTCGAAAATTTTCAGTACTTCAAATGCAAGAATACCAAAAACAGTTGCAGTAGTGAAACGATTTCCAGTACGAAACGGTTCAATCGGTGTAATCAATGCTAAAAAACAAACAAAGATTTCTTGCTCCTAGACATAACTCAATTGACAAACCCGGTCGACCATCGCACATGTGCAAACAAAGTTTTCGCCGTTTCAATGACCACGAAAATATCAATATCAAAGAAATAGCAAACGGAGCAAAGATCAGATTTCCTGTCCGATAATCGGATATGGTTACGCATCTATTCACTAAACGAATAGTATCATTAATCGAGAATTCTTCATCGTGATCGCTATTCATGCCATATCCGAATGATATAAGGTACATCAGTGATGTCGAAAAGAATAAGACTGTTACGAAGCTTATGGTTAATGATCCAACCCAAATATTACGAGCTAAATTACGTTTAACTGGAGTTTTTAGTGGATTCGTACGTTTTGGAGCACTGAAAAACAAAACGAATCTCGTTCAGAAAAGTAGAATCAATATGAATATTCAGTCTATGGAATCGAGGAGCTTTGTGAGCGCTATTTTCCTACAGTGATTTAGTTTGTTATAAGAACTTTAGTATTTAATCAAACACAAGTTCACATACGTTAAGTATCGATATATTTCCCTTCTATTACATTGAAGTAGAGAACGATTATCACATATATTCGAGTAAAAGAATGATTAACTTACAAAAATTCGATTAGCTCCTGAGCCAATGTTGGTCGTCGTTGTTTTTCTGTTGACGGTCCATTATTATTTCTGAATAGTAAATTATTCTTTATAGTTTTTGCATTCTCAAGTAGAAAAACCGGCTGAACTACCTATTCGTTTCTTTCGAACGTGGATTATTGATTCGACTACGTTTGACACAAATTATTCGACATAGTCTAAGCGAAAAGCGAATGATTCTATTCGAGTCGAGTAAAACAATTTACTTGATTAACTCAGAAGTAAAAAACCATAAAAGTTTTCGAACAAGTTTCAATGATAACGCCGTCAATATAATAATAATGATAATACCAGTAATGATTTGTTTACCATGATCCGATACTGAACAAATACCAATAGGAATTTTGTATGAAACGTTTCCATCTACTTACTTCTATCACATAGAACACCACCATATAAGAAATTGCAAGAACATCTGAAACCAGCCAGAGTGTTAACACATCGTCCGTACTTTCCGCACAGAATATTTGCAAAGCAAAAGTCAAGTACTGGAGAAACAAATAAATAGATGGAAGAGAACGATTTAGAATTTGTTGGACAAACCATATTCGCAAACATGATGATATTCCATATCGGTATCGACATCACTCAATGAGCAAACAGTTGCATCGGATACAATGTATGTTGTTAAAACGTAAACGGTTGAATTGGAATTCTGATTGAGAACATTCCAGTCAATTCGTTGACAAACACTAGAAATATCATCGATTTGTTCGAATGGATCACTCTCGTCAGGTGAATCGAGATCATCGTATTCATATTCATCTTCATCATCGACTGTATGTACAACTGTTATGGAATTTGCTTCCAAGTTGGGATCTGTTATATTAAATTCTCGATCATCGACATCGTATTCTTCGTAATAACTTGGTTGAAAATCATTTTGATGAGCGTGTTTTCTCGACGAGAAATCTTTGACTTTTTTCGTACGTCGTAGAATTTTCAAACCCGTCGACGATAGTCGATTCAGAACCTTTTCTTTTAATTCTTTATATTTTTTGCGTATGTCATCAAACTGTTTCTTCATTCGTCTCCATCGATCAGGATCATTCGTTAACATTTCCGATATTTTTCGTCCTAGAAATCAAGCAAAACTCTATTCGAATACCTTTTCAGACCACAATAAAAGTCCAACCTTGAAGTAAACTCGGATCAACATCAATTATTAACGATGACAAGTTATTTCTTGATAAAACATGAGCAGCGTAGAACAATTCAACAGTGTGTCGCACTTGCATGAGATTGGAAAGATTCGAATACATCAAATTGCAAGTATAGTTGGCATCGATCGCTGACGATGTTAGATTCGAAAGATAATAACACGAGCCGCCTAGACGTTTCCATCCTTTTGGACAACGAAATCGATTAACTAGAAAAGCAAAAGCGATAAAATCTCTGTTTCATTATTGAAACCTTGTTTAAACATTGAAGAAAATGAAGCTATCAACGTGTTCATTAACCTTGATAAAATACCGATAATATCATCATGAACGAGACGACTGTCGTCCATCGGTGGATATTTGATATCATCTTTTACGTGTTCTAGCGATGAATCTCTTCTATATCTAGTAATTTAATCCTCAGTGATACAAAATATCTTCATCAACATTGTCTGAACAATTAGGATATGATGAAGTTTAATCGAACGAAAAGTAAATATCAAAACTTTGTCTCAAGACACGATCTTAAATCATCAATAAAGTACGTCCTTCACACCACACCGGTGTGACCTTCATTGAAACTTTTTTTCTTTTTTATCATATCAGAATAACATACCAGCTTCTTTGATTTTGTCAATAATGGCTGGAAATTTGTCCCATAATGAAGTAATATCGTCGAGTTCAAGGTTTTGGATGTTGTTCGGCAGTGCACATGTCGATGATTGGATGAGAAAATTAATAAACAATAAACATATCACATAAGAAGTCTTTAACAGCATGCGTTAAACAATGGCTGTCAATGGTTGTTTTTCGTTTGTATTCGTTGAGAATGGCAAGTTAAATAATCCACATAAATTTCTCTGTTCAAATCAATTAAATTGTATTGGCACATGTAATAAGAAAAGAAAATATTCTTGATGACAAAGTTTCGTAGTTCTACAACGACAACGGCAAAATAGTTGTGATAGGATGGGTAGCTAAAAAGAGAAACACGAGAGTAAAAACAGCAGAAAAGAAAAGAAAAAAAACGGGCAAGCAATATTACTACTCATATGGAATGAGGCTGGAGACGAGAGAGAGAGAGGGAGGGAGGGACAGAAAGAAATAATAAAACTTGAGCATTTTGGACGTTGTAGCTTGAAAAAGAAAGGGAACAATGCGCAATACATGAGCATTTTCTTTTGACAATCAACTAATGTTGGTGGTAGTTGCAAGTTCATTACCTTCATTCTCTCTTTCCTCTTCTCTTTCTTCTATCGTACACAGATTTTACACGTACATCTGTGTAAAATCAATGATATTATATATACATATCTGCTTGTGTAGCACATTGCTCTCTTCTGACCGTTCATTCTCCATCGATCAACAACGTGTATCATCAGCAAGCATAGGAGAAAACAGACACAGAAAGAAGATTAGTTGTCGCCTCCAGTGAATACTTAACTAGTCAGAATCATTTGGTTACCAGGCACGATGATTCAACAATGTGCAACGTAGCGAAATTGAGATATATCAATCGAGAAACTTTCGAAAGAAATCGCTTTTTTATGTTTAGCTCGTCAATTACTAATATAAACACTACTGCTGTGAATCAATCGATAGTAGGTTGTGAAAAATGTTGTGTAAGAAAGATTCAATAGAAGTATAATAACGAATTGATCGTAAATGGGATTATAAAAGTTAACTCATGATGAATAAAATGTTTTTCTTTCTGCAATGAACATACAATAAAACAACTCAATGTGTATTCTGTCGAGATTTTGATTGAAAAGGCACGTCCATGACAAGAATATGATAGTTATTCAGAAAAGTTCTTGTCATTTACAGAATATGTTATTATTCTATTTGTTCATCAAAGAAGAAAAGGTTATCATTGATCTGATTATATACAAATCAATCTATCAAAGTGCGATGTTGTACAAGACCCATCTTTTCGATTAAACTGTGTTGTATCGACGTCAGTTGCTTGATGAACTCAGCGAATGTCTGTCCAAATAATCGATTATTTGTGAAACATGACAAACGTCATTATGTTAAGTTGTAATGGATGTGAAATGAATTTTTATCAGGAGTAGAGCGAAACCGTAAACAATTTCGATTCACATTTGTCTTCACCCGGTGATTTTATTAATTTTCGCTTTTTTCTTCAAGAAACAGAATTGTTCAAACAAAACTCAGCTATTCAACCGACGAAAATAAACAGAGGTGATTTACTTAATAACGCAACTTCTCGTCTTATTTACAAATTATACTGTCAAACCTAATAAAGGTTGAAGGTAAAATAAATCGAACAACGCACCAGCTCTTCTATTTATGAATAATTTGCTGTTGATCAGAGGTAATTGACGAAATTGAAACCTGTAAAAAATGTTGACGGTAGGAAAAATTAACATAGTTGTCAAAAGAAAGTATCAAATTCTGATGAATATTTCGCAGAATCGAAGACACACAACGGCATTTCACTCATAGGTTCTCTATTCTAAACTGAACAAAAAAAAAATAATGAATCTTACTACACGTATGAAGAAATTCATCACATACAATCTCTCCAGCAGTGATATGCATAGTTAAATACTTGAGTAGTATTTGCTTTATCTTTCATTCCGAACTTAAGCTGGAAGAGCTGATATTTTCTTTTAGTTTCTTTGTCCAATGGCGAACGTTCGCAGATTGTGACCTTCTGAGACAAATTACTCACGATTAAGTAAAGTAGGTATATCCGTTCCGATCATATGACACTTCTGAAAAATGCAATAGATTCTAGAACTACTCTCATGCTTATAGTTTATTGATATAGCGGACAATATTGGAAGTAATTCTTCCATTTAACCATTCTTTGGGTACAGTTAAGAAATGTACATACAAAATATAAAACTATGGGTAAGAAAATAATAAAAATTGAACAACTTTGCAATGCGGTGATGTAGAAAAGCGATCTACTTCGATAAACTATATATAAAAAGTTTCAAGCGTAGATAATTTGAATCAAGATTGAGTTTGTTCCGCGACGGCATCTGCTGCATCGTTATGCGATAGTTGATCTGAACCGTTCTCTTGTTTGTTTATTGAAGAAGCAAAAACCTTCGATCGTTGTTTGACAGTTGGCGGCGAGGCATCCATAGCTTTACGGTACGATGAAGATCGTAAAAGATGGATACGGTTTTCATCGGTAATTCCAGAGCTCGTTGATGAAGAGTTAACTGTGACTGATCGTTCAGACTCATCTTCATCGTCTGATACCGGTTCAAAGTGGAATTCACCGATGGATTCTTTAAGTTGCCTGTCACTCAAACGGATCGATGGTTTTATAAGTAATTTACTTATGGTATCATATGTAATTGCCGTTATATTCTTTTCATCTTTCAGTGATTTCATATTTCCATCATCGATATCGGCCTCTGATGCTTTTCGTATTGATGCTTCAGTGTGTAGAACAGGTCGTTTCGATGACATGATCGTTTTAACTGTATCATAAGTTTTAACAATACGACCACCGTCTTCGTCTTCGTCGTCGATTTCGATCGTTTTTTCTTTTCGGATGATTTTCTTGAGTTTATTTATTTCACTATCCGATACGCCATCTCCATCATGATCATTGTTCACTTTGTTTTTAATCGCTTTTTCTTGTTCCTTCTTTTTCGTTTTTTCTTTCACTGCTTGTTTTTTCTTCTCAGCTGCATCTAACTTTTGTTTATATACACCACCATCATCATCTTCATTCTCATCATCATGATGCCGAACACACAGTGGCATTGAAGACTTCTTCTTAGTTTTAGTTGGTTTGACTTTGCTTTTCTTATTCACTATTCCACCATCTTCATCTTCATCGACAGGATCATCGATTAGAGCAGTCTGTTTCTTCTTTTTCAATTCATTTCTTTTCTTCTTCTTCTCTTCAGCTTCTTGCTTTCGTCTGGCAATTGTCTTTGGATCGATACCGCCATCGTTATCATCGTCATCTGATTTAGTACGTTTCTTCAACTTCGATTCAGGCATAGTAAATTAGTTCTTGTTGATCAAATGTCTAGTGAGCAAATAGGATATTGAAAAATAAATCATCTCCATTATTCGTTCTTACCTTGAATAAAATCTGTGATATGGACTTACGAGGGAGTTTTTATCATTCGAATTTCTCTACTCAGTCGTTAAAGTTGTATTATATTTAAGTGTTACGAAGTCTTTCTCATACGTCAACATACGGTGTGATTCATATTCGTGTAGGTGTGTTGACATATAGAATATGTGTTTCGCTTACCCATTCGTATGTGTCACGATTAATATTTGGCTTTTATTCACTGTTCTGACGTTCTTTTTTTCTTCTCTCTCGTCAGTGTAAGAACGAAATTCTTCTGTTCTGTTTTTTGAGTATTACTGTCAGATTTGCACACAGTTTCAGAGCATCCTGCAGCAGGACACTTTCTTTTGATTTACAGGCTTGTATACGCGTCTTAGAAAGATCAAGAGAAGAACGATAAAATTCCAAGTTCTTTCTTGAGGAAGTTTGATGGGTCCGATTTCCTTCAAAAATGTATTTCAAATAAAGGCAGTGTCGATACTTTCACTAACACTGTTCGACATTCTGATTATCATGTGATGAGAGAGCAAAACAATAGAAAGTATCTTGAATAATCTGTCGTCAAGCTGCTGATTATTTTCAAAACTTTTAAATATGAAAATTCTGTCAGTTAAATGATTTATTATTACATAAGAATATTCGATAATTAATGAACCAACTAGCTTGGACGATAGTTATGATAATATGGTAAATAATAATATCTTTGACGTCGGATACAATATGAACTAACAGATATGAAAATAACAAATATCAATGAACCAATGATAACGCCGACAATAGCTGCCGGACTGAATGTATCGGGATAATAGGTGCGAGGTGTCGTTACAGGTTTGTTTGTTGATGAAGTTTCCAATGATGACCAACTGGTTGACTGTATAGACGTTGAACTATCAGAGAATTGGGTTTCATTAGAATCATTTGACGAATAGATACCTAAAATCAATCTTGTATTCAAGTGTTGTTACTATTATTCCCGATCAAATCGTGAATTCTTTAAAAGCATTCATTTCCCATTGTTACAATTACTGCATTATGTCATAAAGTCAATATTTAATTACTCTATCTCGCAAAGTATTGACAATTAAGACGTACTGTGTATCAAGCAGATGAAGATCAAAAAGTATCGATGCATTCCGTTGTATTCGTTTTGTTGTTGACGAAAAATAAAAACAACGTTGTAGATTACTATCTTTCTTCTCTAATCATCTTGATAAACTATTGACTCATGATAAATAAAGATTTCAGAAAAAAGTTTTGCTTTTGTGTTATATGTATATTTTTTCTTTGAAACCAAACTGAGAGACAAGGTCTTCTTTTTCTTGCATAACGAAAAAAAACCAGAACAAGAATGAGGCAAAGTGAGTGTGAGAGACGGAGATAGAGGAAATCAAGGGCGAAAAGGTAAAGAAAAATAGGAATCTAGGAAACAAAGAGCCAGCGCAAAGCAGAAAAGCCAGAAGAAACAAATAAATCAGAAATGAAAATAAAAAAGAAAAGGAAAAAGAAATGAACAAAAAAAAAAGAAATCTGTCAACGATGACGACGACTACTACACAAAATAGGTTCGGGTTTATAAAGGAATAGGGTGAGGAATGGGAGGGCATAAATACTGAAGCATGAAACGGATCAAAATAAACAAAAAAAAGACAGAAGAAGAGAGAGAGTTGACTGTTCAATGCTTATTTTTTATTAACAGCAGCTCCAAGTGTTGGAAATTCTTCCGTTGAAGCTAGATTCGGTTTTTCTTTTTTCGATGCTCGTTGACTCGTGTTTCCAACAACAGCAATTGATGAATTATTACGTAATGCAGGTGGCCGATAAGCTGTTGAAACTGGCTTAGCTGGTGCCACTGGTTCTTCGGTTTTTTCCGACGGTGAATCAGTCGTATCATTTGTTGCTGGTACTGAGTCATCTGCTTTAACTTCATTTAATTTCCAAACAGGTTTATTGTTTTGCTGTTCACGTCGTCGATTACTGCGTGATAATGATTCTCCACCAGCGCCAAGAAGATTCTCGTCAGTATTCTCATCTTGATTATGTCCATCATCGTAATAATCATCATTATCTTCGTCATCTTCGCCGTTATTTTGTTCATTTGTTCCACGTGAAATTTTCAAACGTAATTGGTGATATTTCGAATTGGATTCTTCGAACTCTTCCCATTCATCTTGTTGACCAACACCGGTTTCTTTTTCATTCAGATTGTTATTATCTTGAACAGATAATTTTGCTGTATTCTTCGTTTTACTATTTGTTGATGTCAAATGCGAATGGGTTTTATTCACAACTGGATAGGCTACTTCATTTATATCGACGATACCATTCGGTTCGCCAATGAACTGTTGACGATGATGATTATTCGTCGCAAATTCCTCGTCGTCTTCGTCGTCAAAATCCATGTTTTCTTTAAATGCTGATGTTGCAGATGTGACAATCACTAAACAGACACTTATCGATAGGTGATGTCATGAAAAATGTGAGATATTACCTAATTGTTTAAGTAATTCTTCATTGTTGGTTAATAAACCAGTTTGTTTCTTGTGTTTATTGACTTTGCGATCTTTCTTTTTGAAGAAATCATCAAGATCATTACTGGTCGCCATTTTGGAATAATTTGTAGACAAGAAAAAGAAATCAAATAGAATAGAAAAGCTGTGTTGATGCGTCTGTTTTGTGTTATGTTGTGTTCAGTTAATTTTGCTAATTACAGATATGAGATTGTGTTTCATTCATCACTGAAAATAATCGTCCACATGGATAGGTTGAAGATGGATGGTGATTGAATAAAGAAATGGTCGAAATTTGAGAAGAGCGCGTTTTGCTGCGACTCTTAATGGAGGACAAAACAAAAGAACAGTTGTTCGAAGTATATCGCCGTGTAGAGCCTAGCATAATCTGAAAAAGAAGCGAATTTCGCCATGAAAGTCAAGAGAATAGTGTGTATTGCACAATCATGACGGCGACATCAATGTTTTATCGCTATGGTATTGCAAAAGGCGGTTTGAGAGTAAATAAATAACATTTACGGTACATTTTGTCATGATAAGACGATCGATTCGAAAAAGAATGGATCGACACCGACATACACGTATACTTTTAATCATGTCCTTGAGACTGGCGACGACCTGAGTAAATAGACGCCTACACACGGTAAATTTCCGAAAGTATTATATAGAGAGGGAAAAGATGAAGGGGTGTAATTTTTCCACTTATTGAAAGTGAATGTTCCGATGAAAAAGAAACGCTTAACTGAAGATTAAAAAGGTCAAAAGCATTGGTTCTCTGTAATATTCGATGATCGGTAAGAAAGGAGAGCCAATTGAAAATCGATGAAAGAAAAGTAAAATATCAAAAACAGTCAAGAAACAAAAAGGAACCTCATTCTCTTCGTCTGTCTCGTTTGTTCGCTTTCATGATCTAAGGTTTCATTGGACTAAAAAAATACGAAAGATTATCACGAGATATTAAGTGTCGCTGGGCTGACGAATGTTTTTTTGTTAAAAATAACAGTAGGTAGATTGTTTCGGAAGTATTCGACATCTATTTCCCGATACTGATAGTTAATCATTTTTGTCTGCGGTAGATTAATGCAAGAGATAAAACGATGATTTTCGATACGAATGATTCAACGTGATCACGTACACCGTTGACGCATGCTGGATGAATAATATAACACACTAGGAATTCATTTATCTAAAACATACAACCAAAAGTTAGACGTTTCGAAAGAGAGTATGTTGGTATTCTACAGGATATTCGGTTCAATCGATAAACAAAAAGTACATGGGTAGACGAAAAGACAATGGATGGAAAAGGAAAAAAGTAAAGATTTGGTAGTTTAGTCTAATGTTTGTCTCAATGACCATGGTGAAAGTGTTTACTGAATTCAGCATCGCTTGTTTCGTAACCTTTATCATCGTAGTGAATAGCATTAAACCATTTGCTGTGAAATGGTGAATGAATTCCATCTTTGAATGGCCATTTCATGCGTGGACGAAGATGATCCCAGTCTTTGTATTCCGGACGTGTATGTTCTTGTGTGGCAATCAAATTGATATATGTTAAGATAGCGACAGCTGGGATAGCGACTAATAATGACAACCATTTCCACATTGTAACTTGTGGATTGAAACGATCGGTCAGTTTATCGAATTCAACCGGATCAATTGGGCAATAATCAATTGGTAATGGTCGAACAGCTTCAGGAACACCTGTAATATCATGTGCATAGTAGAGAAGGAGATTTCAAAAAAGAAAACATACGCAAGAAGAGCTCTTTATTTGGTAACAAATATTAATCTTGGTTAGAAGGATGTATAAATTAAATTTACACCCTCCAATAGAAAAATATCAATTTGGTAGCTAATAGCCCTTGTAACATTTGAAAAATGATTACTTGTCGACACTTCTGAAGGCTATAGAAGAGCTTCGTATTACTCAGTTCAGATCCTTGAATACAAGTATAAATAAAGAGCCTGATTATAGTAGAATCTCAGACACATCGTACTAAACACATTCCCAGAAGTGAATAAATGATCTTCGCTGTACTATCAACGTCAACGTACGTCTGCGCTCACAGTATTCAAAAGATTAGAAAGAAATGCTTACCAGGCCAAATTTTAAGATTGTGTGCTCGTTGTTCATCTGTGAGAACGGATACAGCGGATGAATTTTGTGCTGGAACACGAAATGCATCTTGTTGACGACGAGCAGCTAATAACTGATTGACAACACGTGTCATGCTCGTACGCGAACGAAGAGCAGGCAACATGTTTAGATAAATAAGCTTCTTCTAAAAGAATGAATTCAAGAGAGACGAAGAAGTTAGTAATAAGGGAAGAAAAATGCAAGTGAAAGAAGTAAACAAACAATAAACAATGAGCTATCAACCAATCTACATCCTAGGATTGGGTGAGGAAAATCTATCGGATAGAATACGATTTGTTGACTCAGAAATGGAAAGAACATTTCTTTTTTTTGGAAAAATATAATTTTTAGAAAAAGATGGATCTGCTAGCGACATCTATATAAGAATGATCGTGCGGAGGAAACCCAATGGTTTTCTGTCGGTTTCTTGACAGTGAAAGGCATAAAAAACCAAAGCGTTCTATTTATACTTCAACCTCTCGAAAAACAAAAGTACCTAACCGATATGGACTATCTTGGACGAATGGAACGTCCATCGTCTAGAAAAGTCTGCACTGAATGACATAGTTTCTGGACGTATATGTACATATGAAAGTATCCTGGAACATAACTAATGAAACAAAGATATGCACTGTATCAGAATAAAGTCTACCATTGTCAGATGAATTTGAATGATGTAAATATTATTATTTTGATCGCAACATCGGACTCAGCTTACTAGTAATTCTATGTGCCATAAGAATAGAGTACAAACAAAGAGTGTATTCTACAAGGCACTGAATTGGACTGTATTCGTTCATTTCTTTCTGTTCTCGAAATCTATACATACGATCATAACGTCACATGTCGGCCTAGCGATTCGATCGATTTTCTATTCTTGTTTTGCTTACAAATTCGATTCTTTGTTTTGCTGACTGCATTGTTACGCTATTGACCAGTTTAAGTCATTGTTTTTCTTTCTCTTCTTAAATAGTCATATGCAGAAGTCGTTTATTTGATTTCAAACGAATAATTTTAGATGGCTAATCAACGTCTTACTACAGGAGCACTTTTGGTAATGAAATTCTTGAAACTAAACATCAATTAGAAAAACGATTTCCTCTTTCTAGCGATACATACGTGGTAGTACTACGGAAAAAGCAATATTACAAGTTGTCGTATGTATTTAGTCCAAGGCATTTCTTGTATTAGTATTAGTGACCTTTGTAGGGTATTAAATCGATTGAAAGTAAAACAGATGATCCATCCAATGCTTCGAAACGTTATCGCTTAATGTTGTCCGATGGCAAGAGCACATTTTCGTGTAAGGAAGCATCTCACATCATTACATACACATTGAACACTTCTACATTTACTTTCAGCATGTATGCTTGGTACTCAAATGAATAAATTAATCGAAACGGAGTCATTGAAGGAAAATTCAATTGTTCGCATTGATCGCGTTATGGTGAACTCGATCGATAAACAAAATGGACGGTAAACCTATGCAGGAGAGCACCATCGTTAGTATCTGTTTGCATTGAATAGAGTAATGCTGATGCTTTATGAACTTGAAGTCTTACAAAGTGATTCGGAACGAATTGGTGATCCAGTTGCATTGCCGTTAACCGATATCATTAACAATAATGGTGCTAGTACAAATCGTTTGGGTATACCGAAGAAAAAACGTTTGTTTTCTAAGAAATCATAACAGAGATGAATATTTGTTTAGAAACAACAAACAATAATCAAGCGCCGACAGCCGCACCAGCACCAGCTGCAGGTACGATCGAGAGGAACGACTTTTCAATCTATATAACAGTTTTTTTAAGCACCCTCAACAACGAATGTTATCCGACAAGGTTCCAAAGCATTGCCAACATTAGATGATCGTAAAAAGCCCAATGGTGATAATCGTTTCGCCGGAAAAGGTGGCAATAGCATCGACAAGGAACGTATTATCAATATCGATACACTTAATCCATATATGAACAAGTTTGAGATCTTTTTTGGTTGAAGGAAACATTTTCTAACCTGGAACTTTTAGATGGACAATCAAAGCGCGTGTGAGTAATAAAGGTGCGATTCGAACGTATGAGAATGCACGCGGACCTGGTAAACTATTCAGTTGTGATCTTGTTGATCAATCGGGCGAGATTCGTGCTACAGCATTTAATGCTGAATGCGATAAATTCCACTCGATGCTTGAAATTGGCGAGGTATGGGATATGCACGTCGTTATGATATGTTGAGTAGACATTTACTTACTTAATTCAGGTTTATTACATAGCAAAAGCATCGTTAAAAGCAGCTAATCGGCAATTCAATACAACGAATAATGACTATGAAATGACATTTAATCATGATACAATTATTGAAGCTTGTGATGCCGGTGAAGGAGAAAATATTCCCCAAGTACAATTTAATTTTATTCCAATTAGTGAAATTGCCAATCGTTCAGCAAACAGCACATGCGGTAAAATGAAATTTTCTTCAAAGAAGAGAAAGAGAGAGCACTTTGCATTCTAATTGAAACTTTTAGATGTAATTGGTGTTGTTAAAAGTACATCGGACATGCAAACAATCGTCAGCAGAGCATCACAAAAAGAATTTAATAAACGTGAAATACTCTTAGTCGATGAAAAAGCATCGATTTCTGTCACATTGTGGGGACAACAAGTAGATGGAGTCTAGAAAGTTTCTTTTCCTCTCGCAATAAATCGTTTATTTCATAGGCTGAAGAGTTTGATGGTTCATCAAACCAAGTGCTCGCTTTCAAAGGAATCAAAATCGGTGACTTTAACGGTATATTTCAAATAGTTTGAATCACATAGGAAAATCAGAACGGATGCATTCTGTTTAGGTCGCACTCTATCATGTATGAATAGTACATTGATTCGTCAAGATCCGACTGAAACACCACGAACCGTTGAACTTCGTGTTTGGTTTGATAATGAGGGCAAATCCATTGATCTGCCTGATTTATCCAAAGGTGCTGATGTTGGCAGTCGACAAAGTTTGTTTTCCTGTACTTTTCTACTCATTCCATAATGACTTGTCTTTCCTAGCACCGATAAAAACGCTTTCTCAAATTATTTCTGAAGGACTTGGCCTCGGTGATAAGCCCGATTATATAAGTGTTAAAGCAATGACAACTTTAATTAAAAAAGACACCGCTGTTTACATGGTAAAGCTTTTCCAAGAAAATATCAAATATGACTGACGGGTTTTTTCTTTGTGTTATGGAGTATAGATGTGTCCAGAAGAAAGATGCGGTAAAAAAGTCGTTGATGAAAACAATGGATCTTACCGATGTGAAAAATGCAATAAGACGTACAGTAATTTCAAATGGGCTTATATGGTTTCCGTACGTGAAAATGTCAGATCGTTCTTGTGAAGATCAATTCTGTTTGTGTCTGTAGGCTGAAATTTCTGACTCAACAGGTTCCCAATGGATAACTGTTTTTCGTAATGAAGCTGAAGCACTACTCGGTGTCACAGCAGATGAATTCGGCAACCATAAACTTAATGTAATTGAGATTTTCGATTGAATTCAATGAAAAATCGGCCTTGTTTTTTTCTAGCAAAGTGAAAGTATTATCGAAGATATCGTGCGCAAAGCAATGAATCATGAACGAATCTTTAAACTTCGTGCTAAAGCTGATCAATATAATGTAAATCACATCCCATTTCCCCCCGACCTGAAACCTTAATCTTTCTTCTCTAGGATGAACGAAGAATTCGTTTTACTTGTGTAAGTGTTGCCGATATCGATTGGCCTTCTCATGGACGTCGCTTAATCGACGAAATCAAACAAATGGAACCCACACAAAATTAATTATCTGTTATTTGAATCTATGTGTTTTCTTTTTTCTTTCTTCTCAATATATTTTCATTTCTTGTACAGATAAGTAAACATTTCTTTATATTTCGTGGTCTTGTGCTAATTTCTTTTTCTTTTGTTGGCTTTTTTTTCCATAAATAAATGACAAAACATGACAACAGCAAAACAAAATGATACAAATAAACAGGAAAAAAACAAGAACATACAACCACCGGTATGTACTAAGAGATAGAAATATGAAAAGCATAAGCATCGATACTATTTATTCTGATTTATGAGAATATTGATCTGACTTGTCAAATTTCTTTCTCGCTTCTTTCGCTTTTTTCGATGAACAGCACATTAAGCAACACAGCCAAGTGCGACATTGACGATGATCATTACAATGCTCCTCCGAAAACAGTTGATAATCGCGTTCGAACACGTCAATGGCGCATTCAAACACTTCTCGGACGTGAAAACGCAGCATTGATGAACATTCAACAAAAGCATTGCATTTTAAACGTTTGGCTAGTTCTGCACCCTGTCGAGTTGTTATCATCGATGGAGATATGAGATCAGGCGGAGGATTCAACGAGTTATTTTGAGTACGTAAATCGATACAAAGTGAAACAAGAATAACGAGACTGGATGGATCATGACTACGAACATCGGGCATCCATTTCTTTTCGATGTTATCGAATGATGACGGTTGCATGCATGAATAACATACCAAAAATACATCGGTATTAGCATACATCATTCGACGTAACTGTTCCCATTCTTCTTGGCCAGCCGTATCGAATAGTTCGAGGTTATATGATGTATTGGCATTTCGATGCATGACACATGCGAAATTATCAAACACAGTTGGTTCGTAAGTCGTTGGAAACTCATCTGGAATGAAAATCGGTTCGTCAAAGCGGAGTCATTCGTGTGTACTTTTTTTTACTTGTAGCGAATACAGTCAATAAACATGTTTTTCCTAAAGATAAAATCGAAGAAGAGAGAGAAAGAGAGACAAAATGAAAGAAAAGTTTATCGAAGATAAAAAAAAAACTCACCAATCGAGCCATCACCGACACAAAGGATTTTTATCGTTGCTTTGGGCGGTTTAGTACGTGTCGAAGCACGTCGAAAGCTCATCTAAGAAGTTAACTTTCAATGCGATTGTTTTAATATTCAAAAAAAAGAAGAAAAGAATGCTGTCTAACGTTGCACACCCATTCCGAGTCTTGCAAGTACAATGAACAACGGTATTGCTCTTGCCCCGTGTGCTCCTCCTTTCTTCTTTTCTTTTCTCTTCTCTTTCTTTTCCTTTTTCTTCTCTTATATGTGTTAGACGCTGTTGTTGAATGTAAAAAATGCGTGACGGGTACCGTATGTTGCTTCCACGAGAGTCATGTATATATACCCAACTAAGTTTGCATCGATTCACATCACTATTAAAGTAAAATGTAAAAAGGAAAGAGAATAAAATCAAGTATGATATGATGCCGTTCTATCACCATATATCCCTTTCAAAAGAAAAAGAGACGAAGACAGAAAGAGAAAAGAAAACCGAAGAAGTGAATGTAGTATGTCTTTGTACTATACAATACGTACCTTTTTAGTGGTCGAGTTGATCGATGAATAAAGTCACAAACAAAGACTCAATTAAAATTATTCACTTGATTTACCTTTGAAAGAAAATACCATTGAAATAATATTCTACAGAGAGAGAGAGAGAGAAAGAAGAACGTTCAGTTGTATCTAATAGGCTGACTTTCGTTAGCCTTCGAATTGTCATAGTCATGCCTGTCTATCAGTAGTTCTATTCAGAAACGACAAGTTTAAGTAATACATCTAGCGTTTACAATTGGCAGTTGGGAAATTCTCTTAATCACATTCGCGCACAGAAATATATAGAGTGAACATGCTCAATCTTAGATGTGCGTGATTTAGCTATAATCAAAAGAAGAACAAAAACAAATACAACGATCGAAACAGCGAGACATTCACTCCCCAAACTTCCTCTGTACCTGCTAAAGAAGAAGCGATTGAAGATGACAAGAAAATAGAACCGTGCGTGATTAATTTGCTTTTTTCATCTTAGCTCTCTCTCTCTCTCTCTTCGCGTTCTCAATCCATATAAACATACGTTCATATTTACACCCAAAACGTGTAGACATCTACGTTTTAGATTAAAAGATTCTCATGGCTCGATGGATATGTTTTTCTTTTATCCTCCTTTTATTCCTGTTTACTAATCTCACTGCGATGATTCTAGTCGATCAACGCATACCACACAAACGACATATTGGTTCAGCACGCGAGAAATTCTTCCGAGCGAAGCAGTTACCCACGAATACTGACAATTTATTTCAACGACCTAAACAATCCCTTCCATCACCGGAGTTCTTACGATCTCGTTGGCTCGAATTGTACAATGAACGCAATAAAGTTGCTGAGCCGATCATTGTCGTCAGCTAAGCGTTTCGAATTCTACTTCATCGAATAACAAGAAAATGTTTGTCGATCTCGATGTTTTATTTCTTGTATCTCTTCGATGACAAAATCAGACATGCAAAATAAAAATACGATGCAGCAAAGTCTTTAACTATTTTTGAAACCAATGGTATTCGCTCGTTGGATCGATGATTTATTGATATACGTTTGTCCAAGTTGAGAGATTTTATTCGAAAATGATTTCCAAACATTGAGAAGCTTGAAAGTAAAAGCAAAGCAGAAGACTTCCAATGGAGAAGAAAAGGTTAAACTTACATCGGCTGAGACTTTCGATTGAATGTTCCCTAATCCACTTAAGATATACACAAAAGCTTCTAAATTTGCATAGATTAGTTGAGTTTCAATTTGTATACATTTCAGTGCATGATTGTTTCGTTTTTCGATCGTATCCAAGTTATTCTCATTCTTAATAGTAAAAAGAAATGCATAGATTTAGTAAGCTTTTGATTAATCCAACGTCAGATGCTCCGTGTAGGCAAAATGCGTGGTGAGAAGTAAATATTAATGAACACTTTCTAACTAAAGTACACTTTTTTGCCTTGGAAATTAAGTCATTCAATATTATTTTATGCAATTCATCGAACATCTGCTTGTTAATTATGTCAATAGAAGCATTTGTTGATTCAGTTCAGATGTCAAGAGAAAGTTCTTTGAAATATGCTAATCCTCAGTGTAACCTACCTTTGATGATAAATCATTTGTTGTTAATGAACGTCGGTTTTGATTTGTTGCTTTGTGAATAGCTCGTTGTTCCAACTGAAGAGACTCCTCAAATCTTTTGCACAAATCCTACAGAATGAACATTGTGATCTTAACAAGCAGTTACATTCTTGTACTTTGTATCCTTGGAGTAATTCAATTAACATGTCGAGGTGATCGTTAATCACTTCATCTTCACGTATACATTCTTCGCGAATTCGTTCGGAAACGGCATTCATTTCAATTGGTAATTCTACTAACCCAGTTTGTATCGTTGGCCAATAATCATTTAGACCGGTTGCCCATCGCTGTACTTGAGTAGAATCGGTGCTGATCAATCTAAACGAAGAGAAATGTACGAGTAAGGGTGGAAGCCGATCGATTTACTGAAGAGCTTTTTCAATCCGACTATATTCATCGGCTGTTTTGAAATTTCGTTCATTGATACTTTTCAAATAGTCTCGTATTTGGAGAAATTGTTGATGAAGAAAGGAAACATGTGTTTGACTAGTCTGAAACATTCGAATACCATTCGAATCAGCTTCATGTCTCTATTGAAAGATGAAAGAACTGATTTGTTGAAGCTATTCAATATTCATTTTACTTCAATTCGATCGATTGAACTCGATGATGTTGGCGGTTCTTGACTGAACTCGTCTAATGCGTTTTTAAACGTTGCTTTCATATTATCTCCACATGACTAATCGAAAACATGAGAAGAAAATGGAGAATTTCGAGTTGAACACAATACGAACTGTTCCTTGAAATGTTAAAAAGAATTTGATAATTTCTGTTTCGCATACAATCGGATGGCGACATAAGATTTCCAAATAATGTTTCAATGAACGACGTCGTTCTTCAATAAATTCTTTGTCAACTATAAAGAAAACAGAAGCGTTCTCTTCGAAATTCAATATTCAAGAAAGAAAAGAATGTGGAATAATTGATCAATCTCTATATGATTGAGCAAGCAGCGATAATCACAAGCGAGAAGAGCGTTTCGAGACCATTGACAGTTTTTTTCGGTGGAAGTTGCGGTATGATTCGAAAAGGATATTTCAAAATGAGTAATTCATGAAGAGCAACAAAGTCATTATATCGACGGAAGACCTTGTTTTTGTGACGCTGAGAGAGAGAGAAAGAAAGAAAACGAGAAGATGTATTGATATCGAATCATAATAACAACAAGGATGGAGAAGAAATATTTACCATGCTTGATACTTCGTATTCGAAATGTCGTATAAGGACACCTAAAAAAACATACGAGATGATTGAATAGATGAAGCGACGAGTGAAAACCTTTCTTGTCCGGTGCCAAATCAACTTGAATTGTATCTAGTGAGCAGAGATCACCATAACGGAAACATAGAGCATGTTTGCCTTGTTCGTTACGTAAAATTCGAAGAAGACGATCTTCTAATTCCTTGCTCGAATCGATTGTTGGGATAGGTAGTTCTAAAAAAAGAACTTTCTCTTCGAAAATTCAACCGAACGATTTGATTTTCATCACCTCGGTTCATATAATTATCCAGTAGTCTCTCATCAACGTTCTTTCCCTGCTGAGCAAGTGCCATCAATGCCAAACATTTGTAAAATTCATTACGTGAGGAGAGAGAATTGGTTTTTATGACTGCATTCCAAATCTAGATGAAAAGTTTCACTCATATCGATTTGTGCCAACGATCAAAACACGTACTTGGTTTAGAATCGCTTTTGTTAACGTAGGTGACTCAAAAAGAGGTACGAATACAGTTAAGGTTAACTTATCGATCCCGTGCAAATTAATCATTTCGAATAGATCACGATAGATCGATGGAATGGAACCTAAATTCCCAAAATAACACTTTTCAAGTGTTTCGTTTGCATTTCGATCGTACCTGTGCTTAGATCGACCGGCATTGTCGCAAATAAAATAACACGTTCGACTTACACTTTACATAAAAGCAAAATAAAGACGTAGAACTTATCTAAAAAGATAAAAACATGTAAAACAAGCCGAATATCTCGATAGAGATCGCTCAGATACGATTTTCAAAAAGAAGCACCGAAAATATTGGTAATTTTTTCTCTCACGTGTCTATCATCATATACAGATGTTAGTTACACGTTTACTCTTGTCGTTCATTCACAATCGCCATGGTGTATGCCGTTCAATAAACACAACACATTCTCATTTATTTTTAAATTACGTCTCGCTTTTGTGCAATGTAGATATTGCGAAAAGCTCTGGTAGTATTCAATTGAAATTTCGAACAAATATTAAAGCCGTTCCAATGTACTTCAAGCAGTAGGGTTCAACGTGATGTCGACTTATCCTGGAGCAATAAAAAATTAATATGGCTGTAGCAAACATGCTCAAATGAGGTAAAAACACACTGTCATCACGTTCAAAGCCTGTTCTTTGGAAAAAATGAGGATAATTACGGAAAAGGTCGGGCACAATGTGACCTGCACTTTGACAATTACCATGATACAAACGAACGAAGGCTAATATTTCACTGGACAAATATATCCATTAGGAATTTTTATCAAATTTCCATGCAGTAAACGTACCTGGAAAAATGTTTTGTCGTTATCGAGAAAAATCTTTCTATAGTGGAATATTTTCATATTAATCAGTGGGAGTATTAGCAAATGATTATTCGGTTAGAATGACAAATATAAAAGAAAATATCTTTATGTTTTCTTTAGATTTCGAATTAGTAAATAATTGATATGTTGTGATGAATCTGTTGGCACTCATAGAAATCTCGTATGAAGGAGATTTTACTTTGGAAATAACAAACAGCGAGAAATTTTTAAAAGTATTTGCAAGAACGTTCTATGCTATTGACAATGAAGCTTATTAATACGTAAGGTACTTGAAGTTTAATAATAAAAAAAACCATATTTGACCATTAAATCAAAGAAGTTCTCATTAATAATTAAAACCTAATTATGTTTTTTCTTTCTCATCGGTGAAGATCATCACTTTCACATTGTAATGAATTGAAATACAACATTCAAAGCGTATCGTTGAATATTTTTCCTTGCCTTTCATAAGTACGACAACACGAGAAAAAAAATCGATGATGCATTTTTTTCTCTTCTGTTCTGCGCGAACAAAAAAATCTTCCTGAAGAACATGCGAGAAGAATATCGACGTCTATGTCATTGTGTTCGTACTAAGTAATTTCCAAAAAACTGTTCTCACTTGAACTAATCTGCTGATCTTTTTCTATTGAAATAAGCAATAGAACGTGAAGGCATTGCCGTATAGGCGATGAAAAATGACCATCTATGTCGAATCTACCTCGTCCTTTGCCTTTCTATGAAATCGAAACTTGAAAAATAATTTCTAAATTATTTATCGTAATAATTGTTATTTTTTAGCTGAGTAAAAACAAAATAATAACATCCTATAACTTGCAAGACGATGTGCAGCGGGCTTTTTTATGCGTGTTGTCGTCATCATGTTATAGAAGAAGTAGAATATAGAAAAAAAAAACTAAGCGAGCGAACGAGTAAGCGAGCAAGCGCGGGCAACCAAACACAAAATATATACGTCGAGTAAGAGAACGTCAACAACACACACGCATACACAGACATACAACACACATAGACACACAATACCCAGTCATCACTATTACCACTAATACCCACGATCAGTTTTATTTCGATAACAGTTCGTTTCACGTGTCACAATTGATGGAATTGAACTTTTGATTAATTCTTCGCGTCAAGATTGATTTCATACTGTTTTAATCATGAGGACAGTCCATACGTATACATCTGCTCAACAGCAGCAGCAACAACAACAACAATCATCTTTATCAGCGGCATCGTCGTCATCATCATCATCATCATCTTCTTCTTCAGCAACAACAAGTCAACAAAATTTACATCAACATTCGTCCATGAGCGGTAAAGTTAATAAAATAGATCTTCATGTTTTTCTTTTTCCTTGAAAAATAAGCAAGAAAATAAATGATAGCGAAACAGTTCTTTTCCAGCATGTTTATGAGTTTAGATACACTCTACTTCCTTAATAAGCATTCTATTTTCTTCGTTTTTCTTCGATCGAATCAAATTGAACTTAAAGTTCGTTTGTAACAAAACACAAATTCTTATCACTTTTCGAAATCAATCCTCGTCTGTTATTTAAATATGATTCATTATTTGAGGTTATCCAAGTGTACGACATAGTTTATTTCGTATGCACAGTCAACTTCGATCAGCACCAAACCGACGAGAAGCAACTCAAGGTCCTATTGATTTAAGTCTTTATCGTACTCCTCAGCCAACAATGGCTAAAATGACAACACGTTCGACAAGTACAACCAGCACTACTACTATTCGACCTGTTCCCATTATAACATCATTGGTTACAACACCTACCCACACTATATTCAGTAATGCAATGCCTTCCTCCACATCCACACAAACAGCGACATCCCTATATAGTCATGAACAGAAAATAAAGTGTAAGTTTTCCTTTTTGTTTGGATATATTCTTTAATTGACTTCATTTCATTTCAGTACAAAGATCTTTTTCTTCCGATGTAGTCACCAAACGTTCATGTTCTCCAACTCGCGTCTCGTCGCCTAAATTAGCGTACTCATATTCGAATATCGAAGAAAATCTTCAGTGCGCCTTATGTATCGATCGCTTACGTGATCCTCGTGCCTTGCCATGTCAACATGTGTTCTGTTGTTCATGCCTGAAATCGATTCCTTCATCGAATTTGCCTTATCCAACAATATCGTGTCCATTATGCCGTCGAACATTTCCATACAAGGGTGCTGAGCAATTTCCCGTTTCATATATTCATCGACAATTACTCGAACTCGTTCCGAAAAATTATGAAGTTAATGGTAAATGTACAAAATGCCAAGAGAAATCTTCCTTAGTCTTATGTTCCTGTTGTGATTTTCTTCTCTGTCAACAATGTTTTCAAAACGATCGTGAGAAAGTTCTCGATAATATTAAGCATATCGTTCAAACGTGCCGTTTTCGCGTTTCCCGTATTCAGACGACTCACCATCAAATTAATGAATTGAAAGAATCGAATCGAAAGAAAATTCAACAAGCTGAGAATATTTATGAAAATTTTCAACGGAAATTCTTCGAACACAAACAATTGACTTTAGATTGCTTAAATAGATACAATGAACGAATCAGTGAAAATTTCTGGTCAAAACTAAATCTCTCGACACGAAATCCCACCGAGGAAATTACCGATTTATTAAAAAGAGCCGAATCTCTGCTAGAAAAATCTCAAACAACACAATTCGATGATATTCTTTCGTTATTTTATAATTTGAATTCAGTTAATGAACAATTAGAACATGCCAATGCATTGATTGATACATGTGATGTACAAAATTTGCTGAAACAAACAATTCAATTTAATCCTGGTAATGATTCCGATGAACAAATATCTGTCCGATTAAATCAGATAGAGGATACCGAGAAAACACTGCCGTTAATTCCTTCAACCATCCTACCCCGATCAATTAAACGTCTGCGAAAGACCGAACCGAAGAGACATGTGGAAGAAATCGACGAAGATGAAAGCCAAGACGAAGAAGATTCAAATGATAATCACGAACATTTGCCGATTTTGAAACGTATGAAAGTCGAATATCAAAACGATTTCAATTTTGATAATTTTTCCTCATCGCCAAATTCGATCCTATGCCTGAATTTACCAACGTATGAGCAACAGCAACAGCAACAGATTTCTGATGACGACGGTGATATAATTTACGTCAAAACAATCCAACCCATATCTTCACCGACGATTCCTTTCGATGAACTCTTTCAAATGATTGAGACGAATCAATGAAAAGAAACACTCGTTCGTGTTTTGCTGGTGAAATATTCCCTAACAAAATTCACTTTATCTATCTGTCTAGTCTTGTGTGCCACGAAATATTATCTGTACGTTTCATTTCTGTCTTCTAACTTACTCATATACATATTAATATATGTGAATCTTTACCTTTGTTTTCTTTCTCTTCACTTCTTTTTCTTATTTATTCAAGAAATACAAATAACACAACTTCCGTGTTTATACAATAGTATTTTCTCAATAATGGACAAGGAAATTTGTTCACATACTGACAGCTTTGAACGAACATTCGTCTTTCTCCAGATCAGGAAAACATTTCAACCGATAAGATCAGCTTATAAATGGTAATCCAACGAAATTCTGATTAATAATCAAATATGACTCATGCTTTACTCCCGTGTACTTCTCCAATTATTAATTTTAAAGCCAGGGCACTGTTCAGCGATCACAATCTTGTTATTTTAGTAGCGATTAGTTTGTTTTGGAGAACGAACATAATGTTAAGGCTATAGTGGCTTCACTAAGTGAATCTACAGGTAAACGTATTGCAGCTGCATGACATTCTAAAAGAGAAGCGAAAAATCAGCCTTTTCTCTGGTTTGAAGTATGTTGATTTATTTTTCAAGTTGTGATTTGAAAAAGGAACTATAAAAGCTTTTTTCTTGCGAAGAATCCAATCCAATGCTTCACAAGTATACATGCTTTATTATATATGAACATCGACTCTGTTGCGTGTTGCACATTAGTTCAGACTAAATAAAATATAATGTCTAGAAAGGTGAGTTTTCGCAAATAGCCTAAGAATATTGTATGTACCTTTCGACTGCAGGAAACAAACCAAACACCTGGAGAACCGATATTGGTCAATGCTAGGGAAGGTGCACGTATAACTGAAGATATTTACGGCGTAAAGCGCACCAAAATCAAATCTAAACCTAAAAAGAAGCCTGATAGGAAATCCGATAGTCCTAGAAGCTCACGAAAATCGCCAGAAATTAGGTCACGAAGTCATAGCCCATCTGATCAAGATTCGAGTGATTCTGAAACGTACACAAACCACGTACCAGGTGATGAAGATGTATGCAAGCCTATCCGCCACGAGATACAAACTGTTAGCTACTTGGATATCGGAGATATAATCACGAAGATAAGAATGGATCCATTATGGTTTCCGCAGCAAAGTGAACCAAACAATTTGAGTGACTTTATTTATCATTCTGGTATCACTTCTACTCAAACACATCAGAATGTCGCTCTATTTCAAACAATAACCAATCGAAAAAGTTTCTTTGATGGAAAAACCGTTCGTGTCAAAGATAAGCTGGACGAGCTTATTATTGCGCTGAGTGAGTTCGCCGGAGAATATGACGGTAATCTCAGTTTCACACAAAATGAACTTCCATATAAAGACACTTATTGCGCAGCATGTGGCGTCGGTGATCTTGGTACCACACATCTCCTAGCAACCGACTATATCAGCACAGCTCGGTTCAGCTTCCATACCGAGCTGAGCTATGACGATGATTTGACGAAATCAGCTGCAACGATGAAAAGCTTCGTTCTGACTTTTGTGACATCGGTCGCTGAAGTTCTAGGACTAGAAAGAAACGAGTATATTCGTGTATTATCAGTGGTTAAAGATGAAGAAGATGGTGGAAAAGCAAATGTTAATTTAGGAGTGACAACTCCTGATAGAAAAAAAACGGAAAGACTAGCTCAAAGATTACAGGTAACTCGATCATTTTCGTTATAATCATCTATCGGCCCAACTCTTTATATAAAATGGCTTGTCCATTCAGAAAAATTTCTCATACGAATATGCCAGCTTGAGGGTGTATCTATGTTGTTAAATACCATAGACACTCCAGCCTGCAATTATTTCTGGTAAAATAGACCTCGGTCTCTCAGTGAGCTTTTCAGAAATTCATGACGGGTGAAGATGAACAGATGCCACACGTAATCAATATTGCTTTCGCTACAGTCATAAAGCTGGTGCATTATTTTCGCAACTGCTACTAGACTAATTAATCGAAGACATACGAATATATCTTAAAAAAAACTTTTGCACTAAATGAGGACTGTTGTGTCGTTCTACTATATACTAGGAACTGTAAAGGAAATATCGATTTTAGTTTGATCATTTAGTTCGATGAAGTTTACATCTTAACCAACCATCTTCTATTCTGCTTAGAGTTATGCCACGTCAGGCTTTCGTAATCATCCGCGACTACGTGAAATCAGATCCGACAACTACAGTTATGCATGGAAGCCACTTCTATCGTCTCTACAGGTCCAACGTAAAGATTTTGACGAAAAGCACAATTTCGATTACAATCAGCGAAATCTAACTACAGTCGGTATGCGCGGCAATTCTCCATATTATGTTCCTATGGGCTGGTACCGCTACGCACTGAATGTTTCCAACAAGTACTCGGACGAAACTAAAGATCGATGGCTTGGCTACGACAATATTCCCGGTGAATGGGTCGTCGCGTATTATGGTACACATGCGGCTAATTTTAGCCTTGTTGACCGTGATCCAATGAGAGAGGAATCTATTAGACAAATGGGTGAGAAAATGAACAAACAAGGCTTCTATGTCTTTCCAAAGTGTAACGGTGGAGCGTATCCATGGCACACAAAGACGTTCGAAGTGCCCATCACACCGAAGAAGAACAGCCGATTTCGAGTCGCTTTTCAGTGTCGTGTCAAACCTGGCCGATTCACAGTTCATACATGTCCAATAACGAACTGCGAGATGTGGCGTGTGGTTGATACAAATGCTGTGCGTCCATATGGTGTTTTAGTTCGCAACATGAAAGAAAAAAAACATCCCGATGATGAGTCGGAACCAGAAAATGACCATTTTGATACATAGAACGCACGTCATTCAATGCTTGGAAACTGACTAAACAAAACGTCAGAGTGTTTAAAAGACTAAGACTGTGCATCGCTTTTCAATCGTGGTTAAAGCAGCATATCTGCAGTTTTTTTTCGTTGGAGAGATTTTTGAATGTATAACAGAAACACAGTGGCACATAGACTGTCAGCCGATGCCTACAGACATGTGAAACTTTGCATTTGAACAATCTTTAATGGTTCTAACCATTTCAGTTGATGAATGGTCGATCAGTGTTCGTTATATAGCTTGGGAATAAAACTCATTTATATACAACGTGTCTTTTCAGTCAACTATCGACTACTGCTCGAAAGTTAGAAAACCGAAAATTTCCCGGAGATGAAAAGTATTTCTTCGATATGAAGTCTGTCTCATCAACAAACCGTCGTTGGAATTGTAAAAAATGTAGAGTTAGAACTTTTTTCTTCTATCCAAACTGTCACCAGTTAACTGCCATAGTGAATGCTACTATTAGTTTTGTCACAAGAGATATTGCTCATTTATAGGCCGTTAAGAAATATTAAGAATCAAGCTATGATTACATTAATCATTCGTACCCTATTTAAACATCATTTTTTATTCGCTGGTTTTAAAACTTCAATCACAGCATCGCTAAAATCAGCTACCCTTATGTATTGTCAAATTTATCGTTCTCTTTTGAAAAAACAACACATAATGCGCACATTCTCGCAATTCTATTATGTAAATATGCAAGTAACGCAGGATAGTTGCATGACATTCTGAAAGAGAAGCAAAAAATCAGCCTTTTCTCTGGTTTGAAGTATGTTGATTTATTTTTCGAGCTGTGATTTGAAAAAGGAACTGCGAAGGCTTTTTTTTCGAAGAATCGAATTGAGTACGCACACACGCAGACACGTCTTGCATATAAACATCGGTTGTGCTGCATGGTCAATCATTTGAGATTCAGTATAAAATCATGCCATCAAAGGTTTGTAAATGAAGTGTAAACAACGGGCCAGTCCTTGCCTGCATTCGTTTTTTTAGAAAAACAAACCTAAACCTAAGAGGTTACTAAGTCGCGCAGAAGCAGAAGCATTGGAAAAAGGTGTTTATGCGGCACCACGGAAACCACGAAAACTAACACTACCAGACAATCTATCGAACAACTTAGGTGAAAGGAAAAGAATTCGAAGACGGTCATCACGGAAAGTTACTCATGAAGATCCTCCAGAAGAACCGGTCACGAATGTGGAACCTGATGAGAGCGACCATAGTGAAGAGGATGTTAACCTCGGCTTGGAACCAGAAGTAGAACTTGACGAGAGTGATTCTAGCGAAGATGATAAAATAGATTCGGAACCATTGCAGAGTGCATCATCATCCGACGAAGACACTCCTATAGAAGAAACGCCACGTTCCGAAGATGATGGAGGCGAAACACCAATAGTTCCGCTTCAAGATCTAGTGCAAATGGTCGATGATTTAGATATTGGAGATATTATTACAGAAGTCAATATGGCTCCTGCATGGTTTCAACGAGAAAATGACCTCGACGACATAAGTGACGTCATTTATCCTTCTGGTATCACTCCTACTCGAACACATAAGAATGTCGCACACTTTCGAAACGTCACCAATCGAAAAAGTTTCTTTGGTGGAAAAACCGTTCGTATTAAAGAAGATACTTTGGATACTCTTATCACAGCACTGAGTGAGTTCGCCCGAGAATATGACGGTAATCTCAGTTTCACACAAAAGGAACTCCCATATGAAGATACTTATTGCGCAGCATGTGGCATCGGTGATCTCGGTAGCACCCATCTCCTAGCAACCGACTATATCAGCACAGCTCGGTTCAGTTTCCATACCGAGCTGAGCTATGACGATGATTTGAAGAAATCAGCGGCAACGATGAAAAGCTTCGTTCTGACTTTTGTGACATCGGTCGCTGAAGTTCTAGGACTACAAGGAAACGAGTATATTCGTGTATTATCAGTGGTTAAAGATGAAGAAGATGGTGGAAAAGCAAATGTTAATTTAGGAGTGACAACTCCTGATAGAAAAGAAACGGAAAAACTAGCTGAAAGCTTACAGGTAATTACAAGAGTTCTGCCAAATATAATTTTCATGCGTTGGTTTTATGAGCGTTTCCCTATTCTGTCGTCCTTTTCCCGAATAGATGTTACTTTATACAGTCGAAAAGAGTCGTGAATATCTGTGCTGAGTTCGTGAAGTTGTCTAATGACTGCAGTTACAGTTCAAAATTCTCGTACCCCCGTTGATTTGAGTCGCGACTACGCGAATGCACACCATTCTAATCATATTATATTTAGGACTACGCCACATCAGGCTTTCGTAACCATCCGCGACTACGTGAAGTCAGATCCGACAACTACAGCTATGCATGGAAGCCACTTCTATCGTATCTACAAGTTAAACGTGATGAGTTTGATGAAAACCATAACTTTAACTACAATAGATCTGGCTTGCGTCGCGAAGGAATGCGTGGCAACCGCCCATATTATGTTCCTATGGGTTGGTATCGTTACGCACTGGATGTTTTCAACAAGTACTCTGATGAAACCAAAGATCGATGGATTGGCTGTCAAAATATTCCTGGTGAATGGCCAATCGCTTATTATGGCACGAATGGAAACTTCATTCACGACCTTGAAAGAAATCAGATATCACTTGATCAGGAAAGATTTGATCCAATGAGAGAGGAATCTATTAGACAAATGGGTGAGAAAATGAACGAACAAGGCTTCTATGTCTTTCCAAAGTGTAACGGTGGAGCGTATCCATGGCACACAAAGACGTTCGAAGTGCCCATCACACCGAAGAAGAACAGCCGATTTCGAGTCGTTTTTCAGTGCCGTGTTAAACCTGGTCAATTCACAGTTCATACATGTCCAATAACGAACTGCGAGATGTGGCGCGTGGTTGATACAGAGGCAGTGCGTCCATATGGTGTTTTAGTTCGCAAGATGAAGGCAAAGAAACATCCTGATGATGAGTCTGAATCTGACGGTTGATGGTTACTACTTGGGGAAGGATTGTATAGCCTTTAGACAAATCAGCTACTTTGGTATTGTAACTTCGTTTGTTTTTTATCGCTTTTCTTGTCATCATTCGAGAGAACAGTATACATGTAAAAGGATTTGTGTAACGACTTTGAAAAGTGAATATTTATTTAAAATTTGGTTTCATACGCGCATTCTTTTTTCATTTTCTTCAATGGCAAGAAACTGTTGCCGTTTTTTATTTGTCTGCCGACTTGAAAAGATTGCTGGTGTCGAAGAACGAAGTGGATATACGTGCGTATGTGTCTAAGATTCTATTTGTCTAGACAAACAGCATAGAAAAAGATTTGATCACCCAAAGATAATTTACTTCACTAATATTTTTTCGATATATCATATATACAAAACCCATCACCACTTTTCATTTTTTTTTGTCTAGAGTAGTTTTTCTTTTTCTTCATCGTTCGTATTTCTTTTCTTTACATTCGATTCGATGGACCAAATAGAAAAAAAAACGATCCGCCCAAGCCTTTTGTCGAATGATAGTGATATGAAAAGAGAAATGAAATAGGTAACCAACATTGTTGATGGCTTCTTCTTCCTTCTTCCCTCTCGTCTCGGCTTTTTTTGTGCGTATCTATATTGAATGAAATACGGCTTCACTCGCTCACGCACACACACACACATAGACACGTAAACTTCTAAGTCAAGTGTCCCATTGAAAAAGGCTTAGAAGCAAAAATAAGTACAACGAATAGCTAAAAATTGAAGAGGATAACACGAAATTACAATCGATGTGCAAACAATCATAATCCGATTTTACTTTGTGGTAACAACATAAAGCAGCACGTCAAGATCAACAATTGAGGTAAGCCAATAGAACTTATGAAGTATATCCGTATATTTTCAAACTTTGTATAATAATGATGACAATGATATATGCGTGCAATGTTACTCGAAGAAAAAGAGACCAACATTCGACTTCGACAAACGATGAGATATATTATGTAATTTATACTAGGCTTTTAAATTCAATAGATTTCGAATTGGTTGATGTATGTACATTTTTCATCTATCTGTTATCTTATCGTCTTTCATTGAATGGAAGACAGAGAGAGAGTGAAAAAGACACGAAGAGAAAGAGAGAGAGAAGGAAAGGGTCAATGACGCCAATCGTATCGATCGATATCGGACAGGTGGGTAATAAAAACGATAGTGGAACTTTACACATACATATACATATTCATCATATTTGTGTATTTAACTTTACTCACGTTGTATATGCGTGTGTACATATGTACGTATATTGTTCTGTCCGTCTCTCTTCCATTCTCTCGCTTTTGTTCATTCTTCTCCTTTATTCTGCTCAGCATATCTTTGATATTCTTGTATTCATTTGTCGAAATCTAAAGTAACGAGTAGGATGTATCCATTGTATAAAGAAGATGTTGAAGATCTTGATAAAATTGAACAAGATAATTGGGATCTGACATCGATAAATGATGATCAACAACAACAACGGCCGACAACATTCGAACGACTTTTTCATTCGTATCAACGTTATAATGAACTTCGACGAAAGGACGATGCTATCAAGTAATCATTTTTCGTAGGAAAAAAAGAATGTAACTCTTTCTCCAGAGCATGAAATAATACCCGAGTTAAGGGTAAATCGACATCCGACCTTTTTCCTCGATGTATGCTAAGGAATGAAAATCTCTTCTCTCTACCGCACTCTATTACTTTCGTTTTTATTTTATTCTATGAATGAGTTCATCGCACGCACGTACGAATGCGATTGAGAGTACTGTTGATAAATACGATTCACACTTTAACTATTTGAAGGCCGTTCTCTCCTCTTTTTTCAATCATATCCGATTTCGAGATTTGAATGTCCTCTTAGAAATCGAAACTAATCTAAACTGCTTCAACATATCGATGGCCTGTGAACATCATCGATAGGAAGACATTTGAACATTCGTTTCTGTCTTACTCACAGACCTTGTTTCAAGCTCAGTCAACCACATAATTTGAATAGAATAATCATTAAATTACACATAGACATACACATGTTAACATTAAAATATCATAAATTGTTTTATGACACATTCTCTCATCCTTGCCCCTCATAAAAACGATACACAACGGGAAGAGAAACTCCTCTTCATAAATGACAAATTCATACTTATATTCAACTAGTAACAAGATGTTTTACACATTGATCAATCTCTTTTCTTATGCCGATTCCGAGTATGTATTCGTTTTAAATGAGAATCTTCGCATCTTTCCATTTCTTCCTCTGATTAGACCAGTTTATAGAGAAAATATTTTATTTCCAATTGTTTAGAGAACGTTTTAACGACTTGCAAACTAAATTACAAGAACTCGACGTTCTTCATCAATCTCAAAAAGAACATTTTCGAACAACAACACCTTCGTCACGCGATAGCGGCGTTCCAATCCGTTCATCTTCATCCTGTTGTTCATTGACATCCGATAGCACGAGTACACCAAAGAGTTCGCTTGAACGTCCATTCGATTCACCAACATTACCGTCACCATCGCACACAAGTGTTCTTCAATTCTATCTTCATCCTCCAGTTAACCCAAGTCATCGTCACGTTAGTGTTCATCTAGACGAAGAAGCTGCTAATATGTCATACATACACGAAACTATTCCACGTTATCAATCCCACGGACGAAATGTTCATTGGAACGATAAACAACTGACAACTCCATCACGTCGTTCAGCTAGCCAACATGTTTTTCACGATGAAAATCAAACAAGTTGCTACCATTCGGATACCAACATTCTGGCAAAGCAAGGCCAATGTATTTCACTCAATGCGAGCTTACCATATCAATCGAAACTGAATATTCGTATTCATGCTGATCGAACATCGGATGATAGCTCGAATAACAATCTGAAACAAGTGAAAGCAGTAGCAACAATTGAACCATTGGATAATCCACAATATGAACAAACACATTTTGATCAATTACAACAAGCGTACGCGGAACATTATTCAACATTATTATCCAATGAAAGTGTTCTCTCGAGCAAAACATATTCATCTGTGCAACAGCGAGAATCACGACGTGATACATTACCACGGCATCGTCAGGTTTCATTGCCTATCTCTTTACCAATCGATCAACGGCTCTATTTATATATTCAAAATGGAGAAGTTCTTGCCAGATGTTGAATAATGACTGCTGATTTCTAATTGAAATTAAGAAGAAAACACATATATATATATATCTTCTTTGCTTTTTCCTTTTATTTCATTTTTCTCCATTTAGGAAAAAATAACAATAAATATTTCATGCGTAGATTTGTCGTCTGCCCTCGTCAATAAACGTCCATGTTCACGCATATTTCATTTGAGTATATACATATCAGACGTGACGATAATAAAATAAACTTTCTCGTAAAATTCGCTTGCGTACAGTTAACACAAAATACCTAGTAAAACGTCAGGTTCATTCGCTTTCGTCACAAATTCGTAGCGTGATAATGCTATCTGTGATGATGACAAACAAAAACAACTGGTTCTTTATATATATTCACTTTCGAAAGAGATCTTATCTTTCTTTTTCTGCTATCATCATAATTTACAAGAGTGGGTCAATAGTAAAATCTTTTTTCGTTTGTAATATTCGTTAATATATAAGAAACTTTCAACCGTCTATTTTATACGCGTCGTTTTTGACACTGATTATTTTCGCTGAAGACTTCAAGGAAAATAACTATGAATTTGAAATATATCTTATTATTCGTTGGAGTAATGGCGACAATGTATGTTCCAAATGTAGACGCGTACGGAATTTGTACGTGTTTGTGTTGTAACGGAGTAGCGTGTCAACCACGACCTGTCGGCTCAGTACAAGTTGAAAGCTGCGCGGGACTTAGTTGCTATAATGCTTGTACACAAAAGTATCCAACAGCTTGCGATAAATCAGCTGCTGGTGAAATTTCAACACCTTGCCAAGAGTTCACAACCACAACTATTACTACTACAGTGACTTCAACTTCTACTCCATCGACAACGACTTCTACTGCGTCCACAACAACAACAACAACATCAACTATATCAACAACATCAACTACTCCTTCGACTCCTTGGCCAACATCGACAACATCGAATACTTCAACAACTACATCAACAACCACAGCAAGCCCAAGTACCTCAACTGGAAATATAACGATTACTGTTTCTACTACTATCACGACACTATCAACTAGTAGCCGTAGTAGCAGCGTCAGCACATCTACACATTCGTCAACATCAACAAGTTCTTCAACAAAAGTCAGTTCTACAACTCATAGTGGTGCTCCGAATGTTCAAGAAAGTACACTGGTGATTGTTCTTCTGCTTTCAGCAATTACTTCAATCTTTTAACATAATACAACGAGACATACTATGAATGATTATTGATTATCATAGATACAAAGTCTTTTTTCGGAACCGAATAAATAACGTGTGTTTGTTAATCTCGACGAAAAAGTATTATGTAGCCTTCATTGCAAAGATGAATGACAATCTGCTCGAGTAGCAAGTTGTATTTAATGATCAGAGTGATATGGCAATAGCAGAAATCGAAAATACTGCTCATACATAAACGAATTGTGGTGCTACCCTAGCGGAAAATCGGATGTCGTCATCAAGTTGTCCAAAACTGTCTTTTTTGATGTATTTTGAAAGCAAAATTGTCATTATCTGACTTGTTTATTTTCTCTCTATGCATTTGAGACAAAGAGCGTTGATAAGCAAAATTATACTTTCGAATGAAGAGGACGGCGTCAGCTACTCAATGCATGATCTTTGCTTCATCTCAGACAAAGTTGACGTCGAACTGACGTAATTCTTACTCAGCACTGGCCATGACTATGTAGTTTAATAGATATTCGTATGTTAAGAAAAAAGAATCAGTTCCGTAGTTCGCACTTCGTTTTTATTTCGTGCCAAAGAAAAAGATAAGATGATAAAATTTTTCGTTTCTATATTTTCCTTCTTACATCATATCTCTGAAATACTGCAGTGCATTTCAAGCAACGCTATAAATTAGACAGATCTTGTTTTTGGCACTTACGAATTCTTGTTATTTACTAAACACGATGAAAGCTCTATATAAATTCTTCGTTTTATGTATTGGCTTATTAGCAGTTATTTCGTTACAATTTACAAAAGCTAGTGATATTTGCACTTGCTACTGTTGTGATGGAAAGGGATGTGATCCTATCCAAGAGGGAAGTTTCGAAATTGCATCATGCGCTGATGATGCATGTCGGCAAGAATGCAAGAAACACTATCCACTATCTTGCGGTAGTGCGACTACCGGTGATGTCGAAGGCAAATGCGAAGAAGTGACTGGAAGTAGCTCAACTGTAAGCACTACACAATCAACGACAGTATCATCGTCAACAACGACAACAACTGCAGTGAGTACCAGTTCGACTCCGAGCACACCATCAACTACACCGTCTACACCATGGCCAATTCCAACAAGTTCGACGGCATCGACAACATCCACTGCGCCGATAACATCCACTGCATCGACAAGCACTTCGAGCGGAAGTTCATCGACTGGTTCAAGCACCACACCAACTGCAACGACATCAACCGGATCAACATCTACCGCATCAAATACCACACCGAAAAACATTACCGTCACCATATCAACGGTCTCAACAACAGCCGCGTCGTCGACTACAACCAAGAACATAACTGTTACTATCTCTAGTACTACAACATTGTCTACTATCAGTAGCAGCAGTCCGCAAACATCAACTTTGACAATTTCACCAGTGTCTACATCATCGACGAAATCGCCATCACCAACAACAAAAACAACTAAATCACCTTCGACTACACCACATCATAGCGGTGCCACTAATGTTCAAAAGAGTTCCGTGATGATTACTCTCGTCTCATCAATTGCTCTGGTTACACGAATGATGTCGTAATTGCAGTAACTAGAACATTTTATTCATACAAAAAACAAAACAAGTGTTTGTTTTTTCTTTCATATTTTTTGAATAAATAAATGTATATGAGAATGTTGATAATATCTTTCTTTTGCGACTGTAATTATTATTTCAAAGAGAGGTATGTATCTCTATTTGGTGATACTATCACTTTGACAAACATCGTGTTATCTAAATCAACAAAGTATTTTTATCAACTATTTAACATTTCCAACAGATTCATTTGTAAGCAATATAGAATGAAAGTCACCATTTTATTGGCTCTATTTATTTCCAGCAATCTTATATCCATATCCGCAGGCGACCATTGCCAATGCAACTGTTGTATTCGAGCGCCCAGTGATCCTGACTGTCAAGTGGAACTAGTAGGCACTGTAGCTATCGATAGCTGTCCAGCAGATTCAACACTCATCTGTGAGGAAAAATGTCGACAGCAATTTCCGGCACAATGTAATCAAAATAACAGTGTTGCGGAAGGTGGCTGTTCCTTCGATTCAACCTCTTCGATGAAGCCAACAACGACGACTATTCTCAACGGTCCAGTTGAGTGTAAATGTTCCTGTTGTATTGGTACCCCTTGCAATGCTACTTACGCAGGTAATGTTATTGTTGAAAACTGTCATTTATGTCAAAAAGAATGTGATGACACCTATCTACCGCAATGTACTCAACGATCAGCAACAATTGTTATTCAGTGTGAAGCAGCACCTCATGGTAACGCTTGTCGAGCGGACTTGAACATAATGGTTTTATTCAGTTTTATTCTTTTTAAACATTTCTTCTTGTGAGTGTGTATCTTGATGCAATAAAAACTGATTTACATGTCACATTCGGAGTTTTCATTGTAAAATACCACATTAATGCAACAGTATCAAAATAGCCAAATGTTGGACCAATATCTGACGCTCCATGCACATTGTGAGCATACGGAAAATTCATGGACGATATTTTCACCGGCTTGTCAATTAACAGTAGACAGATCGTCTGAATATTTGCGTCTCCAACCCGATAGCGATAGAAAGCATCGAGCGCTATCAATTGTTTTAAATATCTTTCAATGACTTTATGCTCATACATTAAATCAAGACGTATAACAAAGAAGTTATTATAAACTGCTAAACCATCATAACCATACGGGCCATTCAAAAATGAACACATTAACTCTATGCATCCACTTCGTGTTTTATTCGTTGCTAGAAACGATCGCAGATTATCTCGAATAAATTCAATTCCATTGGTATCACGATAAATAACTCGATAAGCATAATCTAATTGATTACGATGAAATTCTTCGAACAGATCATTTGCAGTTAAATTCGATAAATACGAATCATCGTCGAATCGCATGACGTAATCACATTGACTTTGAAGAATGTTATATTTGAACCAAATGTCGTAAGACCAAAATTGACACATCGATGCGTAGCCGGATCGATTCGATGGGATAGTAACATTGAAATGAATTTCATAGAAACGAATGTTCAACTTCGATGCACAGTATAAGATTTGTCGTTTCGTGTCGTTTTCTAGTGTCGGTTCATGGAAGAGAAATATCGGATATTGATGTATATTTCGAAAATAAAGAGTCAAAGAATTCAGCATATTCAATAAGCGATTTAAACTGACGAGTTTATCACTACGGATCAAAGACACAATACAACCTCGATATGGTAACGGTTTCGACACGGGAAATGTTTTTTTGTTGATATTCGAATATAAGATCAAATAATATAGAATTGAATATGAAATCGCAAGACTGATAGTCGTTAGTAAACATTTCTGTCGAAAGAGGTTCGGATGCATTTCATTCGAAATGGCAGTGAAGGTGAAAACGATTTTAACGTAAACAAAGGCAACCGAATTTTTCATCCTTGTGATTTTCACGAAGACAAATAAACATTTGATTCGTACATTTCATCTCACGTGTAGAGAATATTCGTCAACAGAGCAACCTGTGTGAAATTGGCATAGATGAGCTCGCTGTACTGATAAGGAATGGGTATTGACAAAATCAAATGTATTCTTTGTGCTTTTTGCGTTTAACAAAAAAAAAGGCAATCAAAACAGAAAGACGTCCACCGGTGAAAAAGAGAAAACGACAAGAAATTTCACGAAAAAGAAAAAGAAAACGGAAGACAATTTTCTTATTCTATCAAATATTCACAGCATAACATTAGATACATCAGTATCTACTTTCTTCTCTTTTCTCAATGTCCTTTTAATCCCTTTGCTCGTTCATTATCAAATGCAAATTTTGATTCATTGTAATTCATTCGGCCGTTTCGTACATAATTCTCGTTTGGTTGCTGGTGGTAGTGTTGTTCTTCTTCTTCGCCGTCGACTTCGCCACCATCCGAATGATTCTCAATGTCGATTTCATCCATAGCTAAACTTGTCGGCAATATTCGATATAATTTCTTTCTTTGCCATTGTTTACTTATGAATAGAATAAATACAAACAAGATCAACAATACAGATGAACCAAGAAATAAATAAAATAAATACGATCGAACGTTGCTTTTGATAATGTGAAAGAGAAACGATGGGAAGATGATTTCACTGATTGTAATCGCAATGAAGATCATTTGAACTAAGGATTCGTTAAGGCTTAAATCACGTTCGATCCAAACTAAGATTAATATCGGTATGGACGCAATCAATACACCGACGAGGAAGAAGACGAAGTAGAACATATGTATCGGTGGATTCGAAGAATTTTCTTGAAATAAATTGGAAAAACTTAACGTTGAACATAGAATAGCTAACAGAATTAAACGAATAAGTATACAAAATTTGATTGATATCAAATGAAATCGATCGGATTGTTTCTTTGTTCGAGTAGTGATTCGAGTGCTGAATAGGAAACAACCATAATCCATCAGAACATCGATTAAACGCCCGAAAAGAAGTCCGACGAAAAATAAAAATTCAATCAATAAACTTTGATGTTTGCTAAATTTTAATTGAATGCCAAGCAGATAAGTTAAATAAGTACAGGAACTTTCGATACCAGCCATAAGGAAATAGAATGCAAGGAGAAGAAAGACGAATTTTAATGAAGACCGATCGGATAGTAAGGATAAGTAGGTTTGAGAATTCGTTGTTATGCGGTGAGAATTGCCGAGGAGTAATGCTAGAGGATTCAATCGAGTGGGCTTCGATGAGGATGCTTGAATTCCTTCGCCACGCATAGCTAATGTTGAGTAGAAGACTCCCAAAAGAAAAAATGCAAATGCAACAAATAAATAAATTAAATGGACTAAAGTGATCGATTGAAAAAATGAACGGAGTTTTTTGTAGAATAAATTTTCCGAGAGATCATCGATATCTGATTGAGCTACAGATGGTTTGCTACGACGAGATGTGGTTGTTGTTGTTGTTGTTGTTGTCGTTGTCGTCGGAGAAGATGTTGTTGTTGTACTGGTTGTTGCTACAACGATGAATAGAAAAATGAAATTCCGAAGATTTTTATATACTGAAGTAATGTTTCATCAGTCACAACGAAATCGTATTCGTCAATGAAAAGCTTTATAGGACACTTACTGAGAATAGTGGTGATAGCTTGGGTGGTGGTAGTGGTTGCTGTAGTCGTAGTTGTTGAAGTAGTAGTAACTGTTGTAGATGGAGTTGTTACTATAGTTGATGGATATGTAGTAAGTACTGTTGTTGTTGTATTTGCACTGATCGCAGTTTCGATGAGTGGTATTGAACATTCTAGATTCTTGTCGTTTGTACATATTTGATCGATTCGACACCGGATATTCGTGTTTTCAATCACACATTTTTGTGATGATGACGCTGAACACACTGACAAAATATTGTTGCACTCCTTCGACAGATGATCATCTTTTTCTTTGCACGTAAATAGAATATTGTTGGTCGGTTGACTTGCATTAAGATTAGTATCATTACGATGATAACAACAGAATGTTTTCACACATGTCTTCTTTGTTCCTGATGAATCGACTTCAGGTGTCGGTTTATCAACGTGTGACTGCTTCAGTATGGCTGAGTCAACAATCGATGGCTTTGTAATGACTTTTTCTGGTACACTAGTCGTTCTGGTTGACAAGCTTTCTTCTGTAGTATCTGATTGATTCATCAAATTCGATCCATTCATCACGCTTTGAATATTATTATCAGTATCTAATGGTTTCATGGAAGCAAGAAGGGATGATATTTCATTGAAAGCTTCTCGACGAGGCCGATATGATGCTGTAATACAAAACAATACATATAGTTAAATTCCAGGCTCATTCGTTTTCTGACAAATGAACTTACGAGTAAGGGTTGTTGAAGTTGACGAAGAGATTTCGTTATCGTTCGAAATGGTCGACGGAAACAACATCACTGTTGATAGAATAGCACCAACAGCTACCAATAGATGCAACCATCGCACAGATGGTAATGATGGCCGACTCCAAACACGATTATATAGTACATCGATACCTACAATGACAAAGTATGGGTTTCGAATTCATTTTCATTTTGTTTATTTGCCGTATTACCATTATACGATATGGCTAGGCCAATACCAAGTAAAAGCGAAGTTAAGTAAAATGTAGCTAGATCAGTGATGAGTGGAAGCGAACAAACACCAAAACTGATTGCTAGGCATGAGAGACCGAGTAAACAACACACATTAAACCTATTTGAAAGATGGGCACGTATGTACTCATTTTAAGATGAATCAATTGGTTTTTTACCAAACATATAGATAACTACTTAGAATCGTTCCGATTAGAAATCCGATTGCTTTCAGTGCAATTAACCAAACGACTGCGGACAGATCAGCTGGCATACGTTGTGATAGAAAAGGAAATGTTGGTCCTAGTAATCCGGTGAACATGCCCTGTAGTCAAATTCAAATCAATATCAAGTTAATCAGAGAACAAATCTATATTTCATACAATCACAACGGAAGTTGCTGCTAGAAGAATAACTTTGGCTTGAGGTAGTTTGACCGGGTCATCGTAGACTTTGATGTTAAATCGATTGACACCAAGAAGTATGGGTCCTGAATTGCTCGACGAATGAATGTCGTTCGCTGGATGAATTAATGTTCGGCGATCAAGTATTACTTCCTCTTCATCATCATCAACATCTTCATGCATCTATACAAAATGGTCAATAAATTGTCGATGGGACTATATACATTGTCTTACCATTTTGGCAAAAGAATTTGTTGAAATGTGAAAAGAAGAACAAGAAAAAATATGAATATTTTATTCTACACTTATTCTATCAAAGTTTGCTGTCGAATGTAATGCTATGCAATGCCAATATTATTAATTGTGAATCATTCATCGTGCGTGCGATTTGACCAACGAAGAGAAAATTTGCGGATTGGTGTTATGTGTCGTTTTTCCTGCGCCATCAATAGAGAGCGCTAGGTAACGCTTCGTCTTTCTTTGAACATTACTTCTATCGAAAACATACTGATGCGAGCGAGACCTAATTATAAAGTGTGTGTTAAAAAGACAGAGAGTTTTGATTCGTATATGAAGGCGGTTTTTTTATTAGAGTAGGAAAAGCAAGATGAGTAAAAAGATCTAGTCTTTTCGAGTCATCCGATATTCTTATGGTTAAATTGTTTGATTGATATTTGCTGTGTATGAAGTGCCCATCCAGAACGAAGCTAAAATTGTTGCAATATAGCAAAGAACATGTGCAAAAACCATGAGTCTGTACGAATAACCAGTGCCTGGATGAAAGAAAGCTGCTAATGCAGATAATGTAAAGATGCCCGCGACAAAAAGAACAGCCACAGCCAATAGTCGAATGGATTTAGGAAACATTCCAACAGCATTGAGAAGAAGAATAACGACTGCAGCCACGAGTAGAAGTAGAGCAACAATTGATAAACCAGCAGCTGATGATGCTCCTGACCCACAACCTGAACAAAATAGTCCGGTGAGTTGTGTCCATCGTGGTGTGGCTAATCCAATCAGACAAAAGAAGGCTGATATTGCCGTGAATGCGGCTGTTATAATAAGCAGAAGCTTGTCACTGATTTGCATGGTTTCGACACGTTATTTTCTCTTTTCTATTTTCAAGAAAGACGACCACTCCAGACAATAGCAATATATGAAATGACGCCAAGAACGCTCGTTTTATAAATCAAAAGACACAGAAGGAGAGAGAGAGAGAGTGTGTGTGTGTGTGTGTGTAAGCACGGTAACAAAGTATAACAGTTACTTGAATAAATGGATGGCATAGAAACAAATTATGAAATAGCATGCAGTTCACCGTTCGCTATATTATTGGTAGAAAAGAGGAGTGGCGTTTTCTAATTTTTGCACAAGCAATTCTCGTGGAAAGTAATTGCCATTGTCGATGAGTCTCATCTATTACTAACGTACACTCCATAGTAGCTTCTCTTACTCCGTTCTTTACCGCTTAGAGTAGATGGTTGTCAGTTTTCATTTATATGAAACAGGTTGTTTTTTTATCTTTCATGTATAGCGTGACATACTTTTGAATATTGTGGTTGAAACTAGTTTGAGTGCAGGCTCAAACAAAATTGTCGCATTGTAAAGCAACCCATTGAAGAAGGCAACTACTGAATTATAAATATCATCACGTACACTTTCTAATTTCCTCTTCCTCTGTTTAGAGGAGCCAATATTTCAGTTGAATATTTAACTGAGAAAACTTCATTTAAAATATATTAAAAATCTCGTCTAAATGCTTATGCTCCATTCAATATCGATATAAAAGATATTTTCTCAGCATTTTCTTTTCCTGTATCTTGAGAAATCGATATTGTTCATTCATTGAAAAACGTTTTCTATGTAATTCTTATTGACATGATATTCTCCACGGTCAGATACGAGAAAATCTGATTTTATTTTATTCATTATCATTATCCATTGATTCACTTTCGTGATCAATGTCAACAATTTGATCAGTCTTATTCGATGCTGAGTTACTATGTTTAACTAAACATAATTTCAGGCGGGGCATAAACCGAACACTACCATCCCAATTTCTAATAGAAAAAAAAAGCAATTACTTTTCAAATCAACGATCACGAACTGCAACCGATCTTACCGAAGTTCTTTGACAGCATCTGGTTGGAGCAGATTTGGGACTTCTTTAATAAGAAAACAGAAAATTGGCGGCGAAAATTCTTGAAATAGTTTACGTACCAAAACCGTTGGTTTCATATTCATGTCGTTCAGAAGTGATTGTTGAATCAATCAATGCTTTTCGTGAGGCATATTGCGGTGTTTTCTGCCGTTGACCTATTTGATTTTTCAGATCGATCTGCTCAAGTTCATCTTGAAATCGCTGTAGATATCTATCTACATATTAGTATAGTAAAACAGAAGAAATCAAATATGAAGACAAACCAACCGTTCGATCAATTCATGAATTTCTTGTTTGGATAAATGACTTTGATCGGAACTTAATTGATCTTTGAACCATTGAATTCGCTCACATAGATTATTATATTTTGCTTTTGTATTCTGACGTTTTCTGAAATCAATTAGAGATGAAACGAAAGGAAAAAGATTGCTCAATTTACTTCACAACACGACCAGCATGACATTCTAATCTGGAGATTTGCTTGGCTTTTCGACTATTGGGATGGATGTCTTTACCACCTGTTTTGAGTTTTTTATCTTTCGACTAAAATAAACTCACGATCATGAAATCAAATAACTAGAATAAAAAGATTTACCATATTTTTTGCAAATCAAAACAAAATATGATCTAGAACTAGAAATAAGAAAAAGTGAACCATCCAAGTTGCGAAATAATCATCAGCGTTACAACTCGTCCATGTTATACTTCTACATCGATGTGGATGTAGTGGGCGTTAGTTGTCGATAGGAGAACGATTATGTTTAATTTAGTTTCGAATTAATTCAAACATCCATTCATATTCGTACAGATATACATTTTTATTACGAATTTGTGATTTATAAAGAAAGACTTGATGTACCATTAACAACTAGAGGTGTGAGCCGGCAACTTCCTCAACGGCGACGACTCGAAACATTCGAATTTCTCTACTTTTTTAAAGATTATTAATCGAAAACAATGGAAAACGATAATATATGAGATTATAGTAAGAAACTAGACTAGACTAAACGAAAGAAACCATTCTGAAGACTGAAAATATCTAAAAGTCTACTTTTCGTACATGTCTCACGGGAGCGGGTTTACATCGCTATTAACAGCGAGCAGTTCCCAGTCATGTGGTATACGTCTTACTTAGCGACAGTAATCGTTGTCACTTGAAAACAAAAAGAGGATTTATATGGAACTATTTTCGCAACGAAATCGAAGCAGTTTTGAAGCTCTCGCATGAACCTAAGACGCTTTTCTGTTATAATTGTTATGAGTTGTGCTATCTCTCTTGAAGGTTTGTAGTTTTCCTACGACATCTTTTCTAAGTGCGCGAAGCCCATTTTGGTTTCGATCAAAGCCTGTTCTGTTTTCAGTGTACATGTAAACGTAATTTTTGTCTTTTTATTCAATTTGAACAATTGGATTTTTTTTGTCAACAGCTGATTGATGATATCAAACCAGCAGATACCAAGAAAATGGCGATTCTAAAAGTCGGAATAACCGAACTTGAAACGAAGATATCCGATATGGAAATAAACACTAGCAATTCATCAACTAATTCATGGCATCTTGTTCAGACTATCATTTTTCCATGTGTTTTTTTGTCCGTAAAACAGTAAGAAGTCCCTGAAAGCTTTATACATAATACATCTTCGATATCAATGTTCATGTACGAAGTAAAACCGAGTGGAGATATTCTATATCATTGAAATAGCCGAAAAATAACTGTCTCGTCAGATCGAAAGTATCAATGATAGCAATCAATAGAGTTGATTGTTGAGATGTTTTAAGAAGGCCAGTAAGAAATAAAAAGCTTGTTACATCTAATGGTTGGCTAATAACCTGCGCGGAACGCTCTGACTGTCCAATCCGTGCAGGAAAAAACACCGGTTTCTGTAGGAAACTGACCGTTCTTTTCGACTTGAGAATTATTGGTATGAAAAAGATTCGAAATGAATCAACATGATGAACAGGAACTTTGTGAAAACATTTCTTAACTCACTCAAAATGCTTTGTCATTTCATCAACTTGTCTTACTTCTCATATGACTACTCTGTACGTACCTTGAGAAGATGTACTAATTGACTCATCTGCATACGTGCCACAGTCTACGCAATACTTGGAATCTAAACGTAAATGTATTTTATCGGCCAACAGAGAAAATGCTTGAGAACATGTAAGGGTCTTTTGTATATGTGAAGGGATTGAATACATTAGATTATAGTTACAAATATTTATTCGATCATTGCGTCATATCAGTAAAAATACGACGGCAAATGTGAATTGCATAGGCTAGGGTGGATATCTTCTTATAGAGAATATGAATCCAACCATGTTTGTTGTTGACATTTGATAATGTCGAATTATTTCTGACTAAGACGATATCTGTTTCATGTCATGAGTTTTGTTTTATGTTTAATATATTTGAATTTTTCTGAAAAATACAATATTACATTCGTATATACACAATGTTCGTTGAAAAATACCACAAATACGTATATAGTAAGAGGTACACAACGAATATTATGCTGAAAGAGTTGTATCGGCTATGAGTTAATGATCGCATAAAAGCTTTAAAATGGTCAATGAAGCATATGACGATTTGAAATCTTAAATTCAGAATTAATGTCTTGCTCAATCTGTGCTGTCATTTGTTCAGCAAATTGGGAGTAGTTTTGTCCGTCTTTCTAACTAGGCAGCTATGTACGGCGTAGAGAATCTGTATTCTTCATCAGGCCTTATTACGATAGTACGGGTTCAGAAGAAGAGGGTATAGATTAATGTCAGGCTTTTTTTGCGTCCTATCGAGATTTATATCCCAGCGTTGGCTTATTTGTTAAATAAAAACTTCGTAGACTATTCAACACATTCGCCATACATCTGCGTTACTCTTGCTGAAGTGTACAACAATGATGGAGAACGATGAAAGTTTACCAAACGTGACTGGTCATGACTGATTGCTATTGTGTCTCGTCTGAGTAAATAATGTAGACTAGGACGAAAAAGAACTGATTTTTAAACGTCAAATCCATAGTTTCAAGATCAGTTCTTTTCGTCCTAGTCATACTCATGTATAACGATTGTTTTACTGATCAACTTGAATGCTAACCAGTTCAACAAGATAATAGCTTTTTTTTATCGATTGTCTAAATTGTTGTCATGTAGTATGTATCAAAATATATCCGAATCTGTTTAGTGTTACATTTGCGGCATAATGTCGAAATCGATTAAAGAAACCCTACCATTCGGTTCTTTCTCCAGGCAGTTAAAGCAAAAAGAACATTTTTTCTGGTTTTATTCGTTAAATAATAGATACGTTTGTAGGGCACATACTTGTGGGGTACCAGCATTCTTCTTCCTGAGCGAAGTAAGGGCAACTTTCTAGCATGGAATTGTCTTTTGTATTCACATAATAATCGAAGAATTCATTGATCAAGAGCAGTCAGAAAGGAATTATTGACAATCAATTAACTTTATTTACTCATTCATACAGAGCTGGTAGGGAGCACTGGTCAGACTTTAGGTTCACAGTTCATTTGCACAATGCTCGACCATAAATGAGCGAATTGATCATTTTACGCGACGTTTTTCTTTTGTTACTTTATACACTCACCTCAATATTTGCACTGATCAGTAATGGAATCGTTTTTCGAGTTATATTCCGTCGCGGACATCATTTATTATTTCAATCGACAATCCATTTTCCTTTAAGCACTACACGAATTCTTTTACTTAACCTTGCTCTAGCTGATACGTTATTGGCCGTAACTATTCCAATTCAATTTATATCCTGTTCAACCTATTTCCTTAATCATTTTTCTATCAGTTCGTATATATGTATACTGAATAGATTTATGCAAGTACTTGGTTATAACGCTTCAACAGTGACGATATGTTTGATTGCGTATGATCGATATCGTTTAATACGAAATCCTCTTTCTAAATATTATGAGCCCAAACTTTTCCGTTCTCTTCTGTCGACATGGATCTTATCGAGTCTATTCTCCGCGAGTTGTTTACTTTCCACGAAGTCCCAAATCTACTTTCCTTCAACAAGAACTTTTATTGGTTGTCAAATACTTCTTCCGACCATAGCAAAAGATTTTTCAAACGGTTACATCCTTAAAAGACGTATTTTTTGTGCCATGATATCATTTTATATTATTCCATTAGTAACCGTTACTATACTTTGTGTTTTAACCATGCGAGTCATTTTTCGTCGATCGACTATTGGCGTTCAACGATTCCAATCATTTAAACAAACACGTAGGCGCTCCTTAGTCTTGCTACTGATGACAGCAATTGCATTTGCTCTGTCTCGTACGCCGATATATCTCGTACATTTACACGAGTTCCTTATCGCTTCGTCGAAAACTTCACCTACACGTTCGGTGCGAGCGAGTAACCTATGCAATTATTCAACATTGTATTTATTGTTTTATTGGTTAAGTATCAGCAGTTGTTGTCACAATCCTATTATCTACAATTGGTTTAATCGACGATTTCGTCTTTTAGTTGTGGATTGTTATCGTTCAATTCTTTACTGTGGAAAATAGTAAAGAGATATGTTTTGTTTCGAAATAAATCTATTTTAAAATATCAGCAATAGTTTTGTTTTATTATATATTAATCGTAATAATCAGAACTTTCTAGTATAAACAACTTCCGGCGCTTTTAACATAGGAAATTTCAGGCGCTCTTTTCCTTTAACCTCCTCTTCATATACGATAACATCGTTTGAAATTGTGCTTTTGCCTTGTAAATATAATTTGACCAGTATTGAAATACATATCTATTTACGGTGGTATCTATCGGTCACCGTTTTAACACGTCGCGTGTCTTACCTTGTGTGTCCAAAGTACATACATAGAACAAAGAAAGAGAGGGAAAGAGCAAACATTTTTATAAAAAAACTAATTGAATTTGCATGAACAGACATTGATCCAAACGTGTGTCCACAGTTTATTTCGAATCTCATTTACATTTTCATCATTGAAAACGTTATTTCAATCATCGGTCGACCTTTCTTCTTCTTTTTTTTTGTTGAAGAATTCCTCACATTTTTTTATATCATCAAAGTGAGAAATATAAATAAGCTAATGTTAGAATGAAGATTAATTTATGAGTTGTGCGTCACACATACATTCAGTTTTTTTCTCTTTCACTTCTATACCGACGATGACATACTCCGCCGTTGTCTTTATTCTAGTATAATTATGCTAGTAATCATATAGTTAGCTTTTTTTTATCCGTTCTTTTTCTATTCATTTAGCTGTTTATATACACCTTTTTTTAACATTGCTGACGATGAACTTTATTCTATCCGTTGAGTATATTCATTTCTTTTTCGAGAAATAACATTCCGTGTCGCCGCTTGGCCATAGTGTATACACGTATATCCTTTAGATTTATGCTTTTTCCCTTCTCTTGTTGTCACATACAGTTGACTGGTTTAAAAGTTTGTCCTGTCGTCGGACTCGCTCAAATTTCGAGCAAGAAAAAGAGAATAATGCCATAGGCAGACGCGAGTGCGCTCTTTCTCTATCTCTCGCTGGAGTTAGGTGGCGAAAGGAAGGTGTATTATCTACATTCACACGTATATGACATAGGTAAGAAGGAGAAAAGCAGACAATCTCTCATATATCCTTGTCTTTTTCTTCCTGAACCGGACACTTGAGAGAAAAAGACGAGCAGTAAATTCCATTTCTTTTTGAGCACTTTTTAGTTTATACCACAAAGAATAAGAAAAGGAGAAGAAGAAGAAGAAGAAAAAGCCGGGCTTTTCTTTCTTTTTTTTGCCATTATTTTCTTCTTTTTACTTCATAGTAATGATATAAAACGATAGAGTCAACCAGCGCACGAAGAGTTTTCTTCTACTTTTCTTTTTTTTCTCGTTAGATATCAAATTTAAGGGAAAAAAAACAAACATCTCAATTAATTGTTTTATTTAGATATTCAACTTCTCTCTTAACTACATAAAAGAATGTCTGCCGAAATGGATGGCGCCTCGAAAGGTCTCCTAGGTAAGATCGCAATGAAATATACATAATAGATATTCAACTGCCGGATTGAGTAAAATCCAACTAGTTATATCTTTTCTTTCTTCTCGTATCGGACGAAGTTCATATTTCACCTCGGTGTCTTCTTCTTCTTTTCAAAAGAGTTGCTGGTGCATAATGCCACTAGTTCAATACAGATAACGAGGGAAAAGAAGGAGAAAGTAGATTTGTCAAACAGGAAGTTGAATAAAAGATCCATATTAAGATCACGTCTTCTGCCATTTAGGAGGATTTGCTGCGTTTACACTCGGAAGTGGCCTAGCAACATTAGGATATGGAATATTCTTATTATATCGTCATTTTGGATTCGGTTATAATTATGGCGATTTTAACTTATTTATCGCCAGTATTGTCCTGATTGCCGTGGGCAGTGTATTAATACTTACTTTACTTCTGGGAGTACTTGGCGCCCTCAAGGATATTTCTCATTTACGTTTGGCGACATTGGTATTTCTTTTTATTTCACTCGTCATACTAGGTAAGATTTCGATGATGAAAGCGTTCTTCCTCGATCAATCATATCTATGTATTTCTCGTTATTTAAGCGACCGTCGGCGTTTATGGCATGGTTTTACATCAGACAGGCCGGTTACAGAAAAGTACAACTGATGAAATCAATAATTTGAATGTAAACTATAAAAACATAAGTGATCAATTAAAAACGAAAGCTGACGCTTTGAATAAGGTGAGTAAAACGTTTTCTAAGAAGAGTAAGTTCGATTTCATGTTCACATTTATAGTATTACCAATGTTGTGGCTTTTTCAATGAGTACAATCCATCAGAATACTATGACGGAGCTCCTGACAGTTGCTGTGCAGACTCAGGTAAGATAAAAATCGAGACGCCTTTTAGAATATTTGATTTAAATGGAACGTTAATTAGATTGTACAACTAACTCAAGCAAGAAAAGATATTACGAAAAAGCTTGTGCTAGTATCTACTTTGAAGCAAAAGGCAAGATCGTTTTCTATGTGTCAGTCTTTGCATTGATAGCTGCCGGCGTGGTACTTCTTGCACTTATATTATACGCAGGTTTATCTCAACGTGCACGTGAAGGTTACGCAGCTGTTTCTCGTGGTCCATTAAAATAAAATATCTAGAAGAAAATCAGGCATTCCCATCTAAACTCGAATCAATGTTGTTTGTGAAAATGAATGAATCTTTTCTTGCATTAGCATTGTTTAGTTGTTTTTCTTTTTCTCTCTCTTTTTTTTCCGTCGATGTATCTCAGCTTTATTTCGTCTTGTTTGTAGACATGTATTCTCGTAGCTCATCGAGTGATCTATGAATTCCACAGAGTGTGGAATGAGGTGTGGTATCTCATTTTCTCTACATTTTGATGGTCTCAATACTTGGCGTATGCGTGTGTATTTCTTTGTACTTTAAGTTTCTTTTTTCGAAAAAATATATCATTTATGTATACATGAAACGAATTTTGATTTCTTGAATTCTTATCGAAGATAAAACAAACTGTCAATCATATCAATAGACTGCTCTTTCACCAAAGGTTAGTAGAGATTAAAATGAATTGAATGAGAAATTGAAGTTGTTTGATCTGATTAATAGACTTATTGAGTACTGTGACATTTGAATTTCATGCTAATCGATGATCTCTCTTCAGTTCATCATTTTTCTCTATTGTTATAGGTTTAAAAATGTTAGTTCGAAGTAAAACAATGACGCAATACTTATGTCAACTAAGTAAAATACATCGCTCCACGTCTGCGATATGACGCTCAGTTCGAGTATCTATCTTTTGAAGTACTCTTCAACCTAACATTCAAATGGAACAACTGGTCTTGACTAAAAGAAGAAAAATCTTTCTGTTCAGAAAAGACCAGATGGCATACAACTATGCCAAGTACGATTCTGGCTGAATGCTCAAAATGAAAAGTGTGTTGTCTACTAGCACATTTTATCGTTCATTATTTTTTTGTGAAACATACAGACTGAAAGTGATATTTAAGTTTTGAAAACGGATTTTTCAGTTAGTTCTTTTAGCTCTGGTGAGTCAAAACGATGTATTTAGAGCCGTTAACCGTTTCGTTTGATTTGCAAAATGAGCGATCCTCATGATTGAAGCTGAAGATCAATCAAATGAGAAACAATAAATTAAGCCGTTTGAAAAGACACTTATGTGCTAACCTGAATCAAGAAAGTCTATGTACAAAATTTTTGTTGAGTTTTCAATCACTTAAATACGTAGTAGTCTAACTGAAAAGAAGTAGGAGAATTTCAAAATTTGATGTTCTTTCCGAATATGCGATCACAAGTCTTTATATAAAGTTTTGTTCGAAGTAATGGAAAAACTTTAGAATGCCTTGAAAAATTAATCTGTGAAAAGGAAAAGATTCGGGATGTTTTGATACAATGCTTGTTTATTTTTAGTCAATATGAAACGTTTAAGATTAATGAAAGGCAGCTGGATGTAATCAGAATTTTAAGCTCTTCTTGAATTTGAGCTCAGAAATGATGTGCTTATTTTTGTTCTAAAACGGTACGCGAATCTTTGTAGGAAAAAAACCAAGAAAGTTTCTAGTATTTTTATTGACGAATGTGAAAAAAGTCGTTATAGTTGGGAATTGTGTAGAGCAAATAAGGCATAGATTTGAATCTGTAAATATTTTTCAGCAATTAGGTTCTAATAACAATCATACCGTTGTGGCGTGAAATTCGACAGATCTGAAAATTGAAATTTTAAGCACTTTCGCATAAGACAAAAGGAAAAATCAATGGCTGCGTTTTATACAGAAAATTAAGATTTGCAAGCAGGTATATCAACAAAGATCTCAGTTTTGCGTCGGCTAATAAGCATTTAACGCACATCTTTCTGTACAACGTATGCTCTTAGATCTTCGGAAGACTCTTTCAACACTTTCTAACAAAACGTGACATGAAGACTTTTGATGGCATATTTAATCTTCCTACTTCTTTTGAGTTAGACTACTACGTCTTTGAGTGATTGAAAACTTAACAAACAATTTATACGAATACTTTCTTGATGTAGGTTATTTCGTATTTTATTATTCCATTACTCATTATGAATTCTGCAGGTCTGCTGCTATTTTAGTTCTACCGAAAAGCGCAATAATTATGAAACGACAATTCCGAATTAGAGTATTCTTCGAGATCAGCAGACATATTACTCGTTTTCTTCGTAAAAAAAAGATGGAGCGAAAGTAGTGTCTACATTTTCGGTTTCCAAGATTTTCCTAAATTATTCAAGAGAAATAGAGCTTAAAACTCTGTTTCTGGAACATTTCTTATACAAATTGAAGGTCTCATCTACAATGTGAAAACGGATTTCCAGTTAACTTTCTATATTTACCTTTCACGTTCGTATTCATATTTTCTGATGTGCAGTTCCTGAGATTATATTGAATCAAAAGTGCATTTTCAAACGTACATGTCGAAAAAGAAAGCTCGCGCTTAATTCTAATAATGGTGTGCTATCATCCATATCTTCATAACATCAAAAGCACAGAAAACTTGTTAAACAAGATTAGGAATTCTGTCGTGTGACAGTCTGCTTTGCGTCAGTCTCCAACACATTGAGATATGTTTTTTTACCTTTTCATATGCTCATGAATATTTTAATTATCATCTACGTCAAATTAGAGATTCGTCTACTTCATCGAGGTTCAATTACTTAAATATTTATTATGATAATCATTTTTATTTTTCTTTTCCTTGATATTACACTATGCTCGACTTGATTTTCTTTAGGTTACACAGTTTAGAAGCAAAATTTCAGTCGTCGGTAGATGTCCTACGTATCTATTATGGAATATCTTGCTTATTGTGGATTTGCTCATGAGGATAACTAATTGTCGACAGTCATTCTCGTCGATTTTATTTTCATAGTGTGGAATTTCTAAACGAATTCACGCGTCTCTTCATTGTAGATTCTCTCGTACTCATCTTAAACAACATATACAAGATGGAATTTGCCGAGAGAATGTTAAAAAAATATGGCTGGGATGCCGGTAATTGTTTTCCGTACACACACTTCAGAAGAGTAACTAAAAAGTTTAATCTGTTTAGATAAAGGTCTTGGTAAAGATAATCAAGGAATGAAAACAGCACTTAAGCCTGTTTTGAAGTTCGACACTCGTGGGGTAAGTCGAATGTCTTTTCGAAAGAAAAAGAAAGCCTGGCTGTTTTTCTTCAGGTTGGCTGTAATCAAAAGGATGAATATTCAAGTGAGTTCAAATGGTGGGAACATTCGTACAATCGAGCAGCCAAGAAAGTATCCGAATCGCTCGACAAAGGAGAAAAAGAAGACAGACAAGCGAAGAAACGAAAACATAAAGTCGAAGATAACGAGGATAATAATGAAACTATAAAGAAATCAATTTATTCGCGGTTTGAAAGGGTAATTGAACACTGGTTTTAATATCGTATTAGTCACAGAAATCTTAGAAATGTTCTCGTATCATTTTCAATCGATTGTTTATTTTAGAGTTCGGTTTTAATGGGTAATAAAGAAGAATCTCTGCGAATTGAACAAGAAACTGTCGTAACAGAAACGAGTTCTACTCCAATGTAGGTTTCATCTTATCATTGAACGAGAATAATCATGCATCTTTCTAGGCCAAGTGACGAAGACTTACTTCGAATATGTGGTGGTCGAACTGCTCATAAGTAAGAATCGAATCTTTTCGAAATAAGAAATTATTCGATTTGATTTTTCCAGAGGTGCTCGTCACGGGATAAAAATGAATGGTAAATTACAACGTTTACAAGAACAAGAGGAACAAATCTTATCGTTGCCTTCAGAGAAAAAGGAAAAGAAAAAGAGAAAACACAAATCGACTGTTGAAATCAATGAATAAAATGTGTCAAACAAAATCTGTATTCATTTCGGTTTGTTTCAGATATTTCATGTCTTTCAGCCGTTCAGCAATATTTGCTGCTGTCTCGTTCTACCGTTTTGCAAGACAATGCAAAACTGTAGCACCGTACGTCTTGGGTACAGCAGCTACATTGACCTACTTCTATACTCACAATCCGGTTCGTCAACATCATGCAGCAGTGCTTGATGATTTTCTTTTGAAGCCGTCATTCTTAAACACGGATGTATCGGATACGTATCCGAACAAACCATTGGAATCGTTTATGGCTGAGCCGATCACCGATAAACAAATTCTCCAGAAAAATGCTCCAAATTCTTATCAGGCACGAATGGAAATTTTCATCTTAAAATTACAAAAACAATTCTGTCAATCATTGGAACATTTCGAAGTGGAACAAAACAGCAATAGTCGTTTTCTGATCGATCGTTGGACACGTGAAGATGGTCATGGCGGCGGTATTACATGTGTCTTGCAAGATGGTGAGGTTTTCGAGAAAGCTGGCGTTAATATATCGGTTGTCCATGGTAAATTACCAGTTCAAGCAATCGAACAAATGAGAGCACGTGGTCATCAATTTACTGCACGAAATGTACCTTTGGATTTCTTCGTAGCAGGCATTTCATCAGTAATTCATCCGAGAAATCCTCATGTTCCAACGATTCATTTCAATTATCGCTATTTCGAAGTTACTGATGTCGATGGCAAAGTTCATTGGTGGTACGGAGGGTTGGTATTTCAATGAAATTATTCATAGATAAAGCATTCTCTTTCTTTTAGTGGTACCGATTTAACACCTTACTATTTAAATGAAAATGATTGCAAACATTTTCATTCGGCATTAAAGAAAAGTTGCGACAAATATGATCTGTCGTTTTATCCGAAATACAAGAAATGGTGTGATGATTATTTCAACATAAGTTATCGTTCGAACGAACGTCGTGGTATTGGCGGAATTTTCTTTGACGATTTCAACGACGCGAAACAAGAAGATTGTTTTAATTTTGTCAAATCATGTGCAAATACAGTCATTCCATCGTACATTCCAGTCGTACAAAACAACTATCAACGAACATATACAGCACAAGAACGTGATTGGCAATTATTACGTCGTGGTCGTTATGCAGAATTCAATTTAGTTCTTGATCGTGGCACAAAATTTGGCTTTCAAACACCTGGTGCACGCATCGAAAGCATTTTAATGTCTTTGCCGCCATTAGCAAAATGGAAATATGGATTGGATTTGAAAGAAGATTCACCCGAAATGAAACTGATGAAAGTTTTAAAACAACCAAAAGAATGGGTCTAGGAACAACTAGATTAAGCTGAACTAAACAGTAGCTTCTTTTTTATTGTGATATATTTGCTTTTCTTTTGTTTTGTTAGAGCAAAAAACGAACATCTGATAGGCGATTTCAAGGATGTTTGGATTGTTGCGAGAGAATTCAGTTTAGCAATCTTGTTTCGTTGGTTTAACACTTTCAACGTTAGCACCCATGGCTTTCAAGATCTTTTTAAGTTCGTCGATACGCGATGGAGATAGCGCTTTCTTTCGACTGAAATATAGAACGAATGCACGCTTGATGAGAGTATCTACCGAAAGGAGACAGCAGAACTTACGACAAAATCCAAATGAATTCCATTCTGACACCAATGATTGGTATGGGTTCACATGCGTAAACAAGTGCATATTCGCTGTAATCAGTTGTAATAACGTTATAATCTCCCTTACGAGCTATTCAAAAAGGAAAAAAGAAAAATTGTGAGTTCAGAAAATTGAACAGGAATTAGCTCGTTACGTGGATTGGAAAAAATAACTTCCAAAGCACCTGGCTCAGCAGGATCTTTCACTTGAGCAATACCGTGAATACTATAGTAACCGCTGTACTCAGTAATGGCTTGATTCCAAACACCTACAGTTCCATTATCATTAGCTGTATAGGTAGCATTTTCACATTTCGATGCAACTTCGAAAATAATGTTGTTTCGTTCAATTTCATACCAAGCACCTAAGTACTTCGAAAAGTACACGATAGATATAACGAAGAAAAGTCATTTTCAGTCTACTTTAGTAGCGTTGAAATCCTTTTGAGTGGTGATTTTTGGGCAATCTGCAGAACACGATCGACTGAAGACTGCAAGAATAATGGTGACTACTACGCACGAAAACATTTTACTGATGATGTGATTCTCATTGTGGTATCTCTATAATTTTATACTAGATATTCCAGATGTCGTCGTGTACATGATCACTTGATAAATCAATAAATACATCTTGAAAAATCTTTCATTATCTAGTTCTGAGTTTGAAGGTTTTCATACTATTTTAAGAGCGGGGGTGAAGTACCACCGGCGCTTTTATTGACATATCGTCAGTGAAAGATGCGCGACAGTAACGAACAGACAATGTCACGATGAGATGTATATTTCCTCCGATCAAAAATCCATTTTCAATTATATTCCATTTATTTGAAGAAGATTTTAATGTATTAATAGAATATCCTTCCATTTCTTCGCTTTTTTTCTCTTATTCATAAAGTATTCGACAAAAAAAAACGAAGTAGACTATCATATCATGCATCTCTTCTCAATAGTGACTCTCTCGTTCGCATTAGTACATATCACTTTTGCTCAGCCTTTTCCTTGTTCATGTTCATGCTGTATTGGAATGGGATGTAACATAAACACATTCACTGGTGAAACCACCGCTAGTGAATGTTCGAATGCAGCATGTTTAGCAGCTTGTAAAGCACGATATTATGCCTGTACTGCACAACCACCTAACGGCCAAGCTAATGGATCATGTAAACAATCAACAACGACCACAACAACATATCCACCCATGACTGGAGGTCCCTATTCATGTCAATGCAACTGCTGTAACACCGGATCGTATTCATGTACACCAACATTTGTAGGTTATTCTAATGCTTTCTCATGTCAAATTGGTGCATGCAGTATTGCTTGCGCTAATCAATATCCATATGTATGTGTAAATAATTATCTTGGTCAAACTCAAGGTACGTGTTTGGGACTGACTTCTCCAACACCACCGGTTCCGACTGGAGGTGTACGATGTGGTTGCGTATGTCAAGGTACGGGTGGATATCAATATTACGAAATGATTGCTACTAGTGGATGTTCATCGTGCAGCATTGCCTGTAAAAGTGTGTTGTCTCAATGTTCTAATCATCAAAATACTTATTGTATTTAGTGGGGAAAACAGAATAAAATAAAACAAAACGAAAAGCTATGAGTTTGTTTTTCATTTACACAGTTGTTTATGTCATAAATCGAAAAAATTTGATTCCATGTCACTATAGAAAAAAGACAAAATAGCCAGTTAGTTAATATTTATGCAGATAAATTCTGTTTGCTCTTCTAAAACTCTTGTTTTCTATTATTATGATTGATTCGCACGACGTGACACCACAAACGCAAAACAATCGTTTTACTCGGTGTTTATTTTTCACTCCATAGTAACATAAATTATTCTTTTTTCGATCATGGCGCGCAGTCAAGATAGTGAAGTACGTATTTAGAAACTATTCTTTAAAACGGATTTATTCCATTTTTATTCAATCTAGAAAGTCCTTGTTGTTCGACTAGATCGTAACTTCAATGTCATTGATTATAACAGTCGATATCAATCACCGACCGCGTTCAAATCGACAACAATACATCGCGTGCCGGAATCACGAAGAAAACGACCAGCGGTATATGAAGACAAAACTCCTACATCTTATAGACAAATGAATTATGTTCAAGACACAGCATCTGATATTGTACTGCCATATGAAGGAAGGTCTCAAGAAGTTCTAATGCAGGTAATGAAACGTGTACGATAAAAAGAGTTGCTATTTAAAATTACTGAAGGCCCCATCAAAGCGACGTCGCCGTCGTCTACGTTACATTCCGCCGAAATCGACTGTTCAGGTATAACATTCTCAGATAAAATTCGATTATTCTATAATTATTTACGCCAGATTTTCGACGAAAAAGTCGATTGGCATGCGCAATCGAAAATCGACACTCATAATGATGAAGGCATGAAACAAATACGAAGTCATCGAAGACCAGTGGTAAGACATTCGTTTACAGAACGATTCACCTTTTTATTGTTCGTTTTGGAAAGAAAAGATCGTCGACGAACCTCGTGTCTGGTTTGCACCTTCACGAACTGACAATCACAATCCTGATTATGTTAGACGTAGGCGACAAGAAAGATCCCTTCAATATCAACAATCATATGTGATTATACAACTTGTATTTCTTCCTTGAATCTCTCTTAAATTTCTTTGATACAGAATATGTCACAAGATCTACGATCGTCCAACCATGAGTTTTACTATACTAACTATGTGCCTGTTTATGATGAGTTTAATAGACAATATCAACCAGTTGGAATTCCAGTAAGATAGAAACTTGTTGGAAGTTCCATGAATGATTTCGATTTAGCCAATGCAAAATCGAAGGAGTGTGTGGCCAGAAAGAAGCCGACGACCATCTGGTGTAAGTTTTGAAATACGATTCAAGTTTTGCACTTCTCAAATTTCCTGTAGGTTTCAGAAAAGCGTGATCGATGGAATTTTATCAAACCCAAAATAGACAGTCATAATGAACATATGATAGATTATATAGAAAGTCAACCGAAATCCAAAGTAGGTTCAGTGGATTCTGACCAGCTCTCCATTAGTGTTAATCATTTAGATCATCAATAACCTACCTCGTTGGAGATCCGAGCCGAGAATCAGAACATTCAATGAATCGTACGATCCGAGATATACGCATATAAAACCCGTGGTAAGATTCAGCTGAAATCTCTTTCAAAAGAATAATAACAGAAAACAATTATTTGCACTGTAAATAGATCTTTGATGAAAAACCAAGATGGTATGCGCGCTCTAAAATCGATACTGGCTTCGCTTCCGATCCATATTAACATAGATTATACATAAATGTTCAACATTTCTCTTTCTTTCTCGAGAATATCACTTATCGATTAATCTACATATATCATTTCCTCGTTTCTCTTTCAATTTTCGTTCTCATTCTTATTGCTTCATATTTGCATGAAATATACATATGCACATAACGCGTGTAAAGACCATGAAACATTCGCGTCCTTTTTTTACGATGACATATTGTTAAACGGTCTCTTTTACCCTCTGTCAATAAAATGAGAAGCACACAATTGATCTCACTCATATGTGTATATGATGATGATGAGAACAGAAGTGAAGAAAAGGTAACAAAGAACTAGTACAATATTGTAAGACCGTCGTCTATTTGCACAATCGTTAAAAAAAAAGAAGAATAGAATAAAATATATAGCGTTCAACAATTTTATACAACAAAATCTCTTCTTTCGTTCTTGTGTTAAGAATTAAACTAGAAAAAATACTATCAAAAACAAAATACTGATGAATAACTTTGCTGATACTAGATTTGACGATGATGAATTATATGGAGCGTACGACGAGAGACCGACTATGGAACGAATAAAACTGTTATACGTACTCACACGTGTATAAATTCCAGGCGTATTTGGCTTACCACTTAAGAAATAGAACAATACTTGAGTGTAATCATTATCAATTTTATGACATACTTACCAAGATTTGCCAAATGAAGTTATACCTACTACTTCCCAGCGATTATCTGCATTTTCCATCATTAGTGGCCCACCTAGAATAAATTTCGATGTTGATCTTTCAGTAAAACGCAAACAACAAATCGTTTTCTTATCTAACCTGAGTCAGCTTGACAAGTATCGACGCCTCCACTTAATTCTCCAGCACATATCTGTCCTTGAGCATAGGTGATGTAAATATTGCATGGCCATTTAGTTGTTTCAAGAATTGGTAAAACTACTTGCTTGAGTGTAACTGACGGATCGCCACCAAAATAAGTCGAACCCCAACCAATAGCAACACCGGCACTATTCATAGGTGGAAAGTTTTTTCCCGGTACATCATCGGGCGGTAAACAAATCGTTCCTATCCATGGATTGTTGTCAGGTAGCGGTGTTAGAAGAGTAACAACAGCAATATCATTGGCAAATGTTTCAGGTTCATAGAGAGGATGAACATTGATTGCAATAGCTGCTACTGGATTTCGTTTATCAGTAATATAGTATGTACCAGCAATAACATTCAAGTCTGAAACATCATCAAAGTCTTCCATACAATGGGCAGCTGTTAAAACATGGCGCCTTGTCAGAAGAACACCACCACATAAATGAATATTATTCAAGGAGCGCTTTGTTATCGACACCATCCAAGGATACGAATGCGGAACAGCATCTTGTCCGCCCATGATACGTGCAAAGCGACTGCTCAGTTGATTTCTTCCACATGCCCAATTGGATAACTGATTTCCTTGGTTAAATGATACAGTATTCTGATAATAATTCGATGATGGTGTATCTTGCTTTGTCCAATACCATTGAAATGGTGTTGCCTGATTGTTAGACGAATAATACCATTTTTGGTTATTGCTATTTGTCTGCAATTGCCGTTGCTGATAAACACTTTCTGGTCCATTTAAAAAACGTTGATATTGCTGTAGTTGAGATTTCATATCAGCTGTAAGAATCGTTAGACGACATACGAATTGCACGACGCAATACAGATATAGCACATGGGACATGATTGATCTCAGAATCCGAAGTTATTCCTCATATCTTCACATCGATAACAACCGTATGTATCAGCTGATATACCGTTTCGTGTGACACATATGTTGATGTGCAGATAGAAACAGAAGAAAGAGGGGGAGGAAAACTTCTTTCAAGTTAAAATGATTTTGCGTCTCATTATTTGCTTACGTTTATTCTGTTCTTTGATTTTGTGACAGAAAGAGAAGAAAAAGAGACGCCTTTCTTACATCTTTTCTTCTTCTTTTTTTGTGTGTCGTACGCTTGTTAAAGAAGCAAACTTCTTCGCACTAGTGTAATCATTGTGTGTGTGTACACAAGATATTCGTGGCAACTTTAGTGGACTGTTACTTTGTCCGTGTTTAAGGAAGAACTTTTCAGAAAGGAAAGAAAAGAAAACCGTCACTAGTGATCTAGAATAGTGAATTGCTGTGAATGAAGCGATTGAACTGTCGCATACTGGAGTTCAAGGCGAGAGAGAAACATTGCCTTTCTCTCTTTCTCTTTCGCACTGAACGTACTATATACACAACTGTACTAAGTAAACGTTATATCAATGAAAGGATGACGTAAGCTATTCTATTGAATGAATAAAGGCAGCAATGAAAGCATTCAAGTGAGATGATGTGATTTGGTTAGATTTCGAAAGAAATGAACAATATGTTGAATTGCATTAGTGTGATCTTGACTTCGTTCGAACCCATAGAAAATTATAATGATCTCTATGAACTTTTCTTGTTTATCATTAATTCATGTAAATAAATAAAGTTCTATTGTATTTTTGAATAAGTAACTGGAAGTTTTCGAGGTCATGTTTCAGGTGACCTTCAAAAATTATATTTGTTTTCATTCGATCGGGTACATGATTAAACGGCAAAAAAGTGCAGTATTTTGAAGGGGCGAAAGTACAGGTTAACCATGCTGAGTTGCGTATGATGATTACATTTGTGCTTGACATGCATAACATTGAGTGATTCAGCACACGGTATGTATTTGTGTAAATAACAATGCATGACTTACCGCCATCGGAAACATGATGAAGAACGCCTGGAGAAAGGATTCGTCAATACAAACACTTGAATTAAAAGTACGATTTTCGACATGACTTAAAATCAGCCGCTATTGTGGTATATAAGCAAGAGTGTTAATCGAAGCTAAACCATTCAGTCTTGTATCTGTCAAGTTAAATCAAAATGCGATCAACAATAGTTCTTTTATCATTGGTTCGTAGAATATTTGTTTCTATACAAATACTTTTCTAATTGAATTTGATTTCAGTTTATGTGCGCTATCGCCGTTTTTTCGGCACCAGTTGGCTCAAATGGTCAAACTCCACCAGCCAACAACGGCGGTCAAACCCCACCAGCTAACAACGGAGGTCAAACCCCACCAGCTAACAACGGAGGTCAAACTCCACCAGCTAACAACGGAGGTCAAACCCCACCAGCTCACAACGGAGGTCAAACTCCACCAGCTAACAACGGAGGTCAAACCCCACCAGCTAACAACGGTGGTCAAACTCCACCAGCTAACAATGGCGGTCAAACTCCACCAGCTAATAACGGTGGTCAAACTCCACCAGCTAATAACGGTGGTCAAACTCCACCAGCCAACAACGGTGGTCAAACTCCACCAGCTAACAACGGCGGTCAAACCCCATCAGCCAACAATGGTGGTCAAACTCCACCAGTCAACAACGGTGGTCAAACTCCACCACCCAACAGTGGCAGCGGAAGCGGAAAATAAACTGTAAGGATGACGATTGGCCAATATGAAATAATAGTTTTTTTTTATACAGATCGACCTCTTCTTCGTAAATAATTGCAAATTATGAACAGACGAAAAAGGACTGAAAAGCTAGATATCACACAACATATCATTTATTTTTACTCACTACTTATCATATCACGTTCATTATTTAATCAAGTTTTCTGCAGTTTTTTCTTTATATTAATCAATAAGAAGGGTTTCGAGTTTAAAAATCAAATATGAATAAATATGTACGAAAAACAAAGACTAATAAGCCATGGAAGAAGCAAAAATTGATTCGATGCGCCTATCACTAGTGCTTGAGATCCGTTGGTAGTGCCATTCAAACGACTATTTATCCAATTCACATACATGCTCACTCGAGTATTGTGATTTAGTGGTATATTCCTACATATATATATAGGAGTTATCCATATTCACGTTATATGTATTTTCCTTTCGTTCTTGGACTTTTCCTACATATATATATACGCATGTTTGCTGATATAAGTGTGCGTGTATCCATCTATACTTTCTCCTGTTCTCTTCTCTTCTGTCTTCTCCCTTCTCCCTTCAATAAAGATTCTCTTTCCGAAGATCGTATTTTATTGAACATCAAGACTTGACAATTGGCGACGAGAGTGAGATAATTTTTTTTTTATTATTATAAAAAGAAAAAAAGAAGCAGAATCAATGGCTACCAATCAAACAAGTAATCAGTTACACAAGTTCGATCCAACTTTATTCGACTGGAATGAATGGGAAATTCTTTTCGACACATATTTGGCTGTAGAAGGTGTTTCGGACGATTCGAAAAAAAGGAATTTACTCATTACTTCGTTGGATGTTCAACCTTTCAAAACATTAGTTTCAATTTGTAAACCGAGCAAACCTACGACACTTACTTACTTGGAAGTAATTACGAAACTTCGTACAAATTACGCGAAAGTTACTTTCTCTTCAACTGAACGTATCAAATTCTTTGCTTTAAAACAAGAAGTTTCACAATCATTAACTGATTTTGCAAATATTCTTCGAAATAAAGCAACAGCATGTGATTTTCCAGCTGTTTTCTATGAACAAGCTTTGATTACCGCTTTTGTTGGTGGTCTTCGTGATAAACATGTTCGAAAACATATGATGCAGAAGAATCTGAAAACAATGGAAGCAACAATCAATTCAGCCAAAACGATCGAATCAGTTTTGATTGAAGGTGCATCTACTCAAGGTCGTACATCAGATGAATTGGAAGTTAATAAAGGTCATAAACAGGATATTCAAGAAGCAAATTCGAATCAGAAAATTGCTTGTGCAAGTTGTGGATCACACGATCACGCACGTTCCACTTGTCGTTTTCGAAAACTTATATGTCGCACTTGCAAGAAACAAGGACATATCGCAAAAGTTTGTCGGTCATCAACAAGTGATGACGAGAAAACGATAAATTCGGTGTTGGTAGCAACTGTTCAAAATGGATCATCGAATCAATCATACGAAATCCAAATGTCGATCGATGATATTCCAGTTACATTGCAGTTGGACACAGGATCTCCAAGAACACTTTTAACTGAATCGGTCTGGGTAAATATGGGAAAACCACGGTTGAAACGAATTCAAATGGGGTTGCATAGTTTTACTGGGCACCAACTTACGTTAAAAGGAGAGAAAACCGTTAATGTAGAGTACAACGGCAAATCAATACAATTACCGGTATTTATTGTTAATGGTTTTGCAAATAATATTCTTGGTCGTGATTGGATTTATGCATTAAATCTTAATGCACGATCGTTGAATGAGATTGCATCTATGAATTCATTGCCCGATATGGATTTAGATACTCAAAATTTGAGCAATATGGTTATTGATTATAGTGATGAATTGAAACGTGGTTTGATATGTGACGGAGATCAAGCTGAATTACACATCAAACACCTGATCAAGTAATCGATGCACTAGAGCCAGGTGGACACCGGGTTCACCTATACAACGAATTGTAGGTCGTTTTTGGGAGGTAGCTATCGAGTCGATGGTTTCCATTTATAAATACCAACTGTGTCTATTCTGGAATCTGATCACGATCACAATGGATTCAATTATGATATAACAATTTTCTCGTTCTCTATCCTTCATACCATTTTTGTCCGATCCTCTATATAATGAGATCGTTACCGGTATTTTCTTACCATAACGTCATCTATCTTTCCACCGATTTCGCTTCATGCGTTGCCATAAAAGTGAAGGACATTTTTTTTATATACGAGACCTTTTCCGAAAGACATTTTGTGGAAGACGTTACTTTCAAAGATATCTTTTACATCACAAAATTCCGGAAGACATTTTTCTGAAGGACAAAAACTTGAGGACATTTTTGAAAAGAAGTCTTTTAAAGGACATTCATTGACGTATTCGAAATGAACAATATGTTGAATTGCATTAGTGTGATCTTGACTTCGTTCGAACCCATAGAAAATTATAATGATCTATGAACTTTTCTTGTTTATCATTAATTCATGTAAATAAATAAATTTCTATTGTATTATTGAATAAATAACTGGAAGTTTTCGAGGTCATGTTTCAGGTGACCTTCAAAAATTATATTTGTTTTCATTCCATCGAGAACATGATTAAAAGACAAAAAAGTGCAGTATTTTGAAGGGGCGAAAGTGTAGGTTAACCATGCTGAATTGCGTATGATGATTACATTTGTGCTTGACATGCATAACATTGAGTGATTCAGCACACGGTATGTATTTGTGTAAATAACATCCATGACTTACCGCCATCAGAAACATAATGAAGAACACCTGGAGAAAGGATTCGTCAATACAAACACCTGAATTAAAAGTACGTGTTTTTGACATGACTTAAAAGCAGCCGCTATTGTGGTATATAAGCAAGAGTGTTAATCGAAGCTAAACCATTCAGTCTTGTATCTGTCAAGTTAAATCAAAATGCGATCAACAATAGTTCTTTTATCATTGGTTCGTAGAATATTTGTTTCTATACAAATACTTTTCTAATTGAATTTGATTTCAGTTTATGTGCGCTATCGCCGTTTTTTCGGCACCAGTTGGCTCAAATGGTCAAACTCCACCAGCCAACAACGGCGGTCAAACCCCACCAGCTAACAACGGCGGTCAAACTCCACCAGCTAACAACGGAGGTCAAACTCCACCAGCTAACAACGGAGGTCAAACTCCACCAGCTAACAACGGAGGTCAAACTCCACCAGCTAACAACGGCGGTCAAACTCCACCAGCCAACAACGGCGGTCAAACCCCACCAGCTAACAACGGCGGTCAAACTCCACCAGCTAACAACGGAGGTCAAACTCCACCAGCTAACAACGGAGGTCAAACTCCACCAGCTAACAACGGAGGTCAAACTCCACCAGCTAATAACGGAGGTCAAACCCCACCAGCTAACAACGGAGGTCAAACTCCACCAGCTAACAACGGAGGTCAAACCCCACCAGCTAACAACGGAGGTCAAACCCCACCAGCTAACAACGGAGGTCAAACCCCACCAGCTAACAACGGAGGTCAAACCCCACCAGCTAACAACGGAGGTCAAACTCCACCACCCAACAGTGGCAGCGGAAGCGGAAAATAAACTGGTAAGGATGACGATTGGCCAATATGAAATAATAGTTTTTTTTATACAGATCGACCTCTTCTTCGCAAATAATTGCAAATTATGAACAGACGAAAAAGGACTGAAAAACTAGATATCACACAACATATCATTTATTTTTACTCACTACTTATCATATCACGTTCATTATTTAATCAAGTTTTCTGCAGTTTTTTCTTTATATTAATCAATAAGAAGGGTTTCGAGTTTAAAAATCAAATATGAATAAATATGTACGAAAAACAAAGACTAATAAGCCATGGAAGAAGCAAAAATTGATTCGATGCACCTTTCACTAGTGCTTGAGATCCGTTGGTAGTGCCATTCAAACGACTATTTATCCAATTCACATACATGCTCACTCGAGTATAAACGCCAGGATGTTCTGGCAAGGCACATCCTTGTCCATAGGAAGTGACTCCTGCAATTAGCCATGTATCACTATTTGCATCATGGGTCATCAATGGCCCACCACTAGAACGTCGATTCAGTTACTACGAACATCTAAGTATAGTCACGTTACCTGTCACCTTGGCATGTGTCCTTTCCTCCCTGGTCGTATCCAGCACAGAACTGAATACCATTGTTGTAAACAGTATCATAACAATATTGATCTGTATATGGGAGAATCGGCAATTGCACTTGCTGAAGAGTATAAGCTGAAGTGCCGGAACTCTGCAATCGTCCCCAACCGATTGCTGTGGCATTCATTCCACTGTATGGGTATGTCACTTGATTATTCGGTGGCAGACAAATGAAACCAATTCTAGAATCACTGAAAGAAACACTATAGTTCAATTCTAAAAGAGCTATATCATTTTCATAAGTGTTTCCATTATAATTTTCATGTAAAATCATAGATTTGAATCCGACACGAACTGGATTTGTATCATTACTGTATATTGCACCAATCACAGCAAAATAGTTTGAGAGTTGCGAATCCTTCATATTACTAAAGCAATGAGCAGCTGTTAAAACATATTTCTCATTAATCAAACTTCCACCACAGAGGACACTTCCAGGACCGGATGATGAACTATCACTTTTGGAACGGCGAATACTAACTAAGTGTATTTTTTATGCCATTAGAAATCAAGGATACAAAAGCGAGACTTACCGATCCATGGCCACGAATTGTTTCGCGCCGCGAATCCACCGACAATTTTCGCTTCATTAAGAATAGGTTTCACCAGCGAACATCCGCATTGAGTTGATGACGAGATACATACTGATTCAATCGAGTGAATAAAACAAAAAGAAAACCATACTATAAACACGTCTTTTTTATACGCCATGTTTTCGCACCGATATCAGAAATAGGCGATTCGCACTTATGTTTATATGAGTAATATATGGTAGTTGATGTTATGCATCGTAATATAAAGTCTTTTCTCTTTGACCCTCCTCTTCTCATTAAGAGTGTAATATTTCTCATTAATTTCGCATAACATTTTTTTCTATACTTGTCTGATTCGTAATTGTATTCAAGGCATTGTGTATTTCATCCAATGAATCATGTGCTTTTTCACATTAGTAAAAAAGAATTACACTTTTAGTGGCATCATTTATAGAAATACAAAGATGTTGACAAGCATCACAAAGAGAAACAGAATAAGCTTAAGAACAGTATTCTGGATGCTTTTGTAAGTAATCTTTCACCAATTGCAATGATTTACTTCGATGACTAATTTTGTTCTTTTTTGTTTTATCCATTTCGGCAAATGTCTCTTTATCGGGCTGACCATGTTCATCGTCTGGCTGAAAAATTGAAGTCCATCCGAAATTATTCGGACCACGGGCGGGAACAATTCGTCCTGGACAACGTCCTACAAATGCTATCGGTTCACTTGAAGGACCGGCACAAAACGAAAAAACGCATTGCGCATAAGCTGTCTTATCTTCATATGCGGCAAGAAGTTTATTTAAACCATCATGTCCAAGTTTATCCAGGAACCATTTAATATACGGGCCAGGAAGGCCGTGTAAAGCGTTGAAACATAGAGATGTATCTTCGACTAAAACTGGCCCTTGAACACGCTCAGCAGCTATTTTGGCTTTTTCTTTAGAAATATATTCCGGTTCACCTTGATATTCCGGTACTACAAAACGAATCAAATAGAACATGTGATCGTAAACATGAGAAATATGATTCTTCAGTGCAATTAATGCTAACAAATGTACTCAATGTCAAACCTCTACTGAAGAACATGATATTGTAGTGTTACAATTGCTGCTAACTGGGTACGTTTAGATGATAGTCTATTATTAAGCCACGTCTGTTTTGAAATCTTATTAATTATGATCGATATGCATCAGCAAGTCCAATCCCTTGCTGATTTCTTCTAATCGTGAAATGACCTTGACATTTTCAATGTGATTACTGATGTCATTAGCTATTTTGTCAATTGAATAAGAAAAAGACATTATCCATTAGTGTCCTCAGAATAATATACTTACAATCCAATGCTTCCGATCGCAGATTCGGTAGCACATCTACCAGAATTGCTTGAACTTCAACTAACTTGTTTTTGTTTCCTGTCACAAATGTGATCGCCATGTTTCGACTTGCTCTAAACAAAGACAGTTTTCTCGATTGTTTACCACAATCTAGAAAACATGCACCACTTGAGCATGTACTGATTCTTTGATCGAGAAAAGAAAAAAAAACAACATGAAAAGACATTTCTCTTATTTTATATTGTCTTCACATAACATGAAAAAAATACGTACAGAAGTATTCTGAAAACAATCACACGCGATCAAGAAAAAAAAAGACTGTTCGATTTTATTTAAAAATCCTGTTGAAATAAGGCACTGGACAAGAGATCAACAAGAAAAACATTTTGTTATGTTTCTGAAATATCATCTGATGTCGGTACGCTTTCGGTGTAGATCTGAGCTTCTTTTAAAAATGATTTCAAACGTATTGGAAGATCTAAGTCATCGATACGGTCGCGACGTATTTGACGATGAATAACAAACCGGGCTATGTGTTTCAATGATGACATGTACGCAAAGCGTGAAACTGGATAGAGTAGACGAACAGGTGTCATTGGTTGACCTGTAAAACGACATAACATGAAGTAAACAATAAATCGAATTGTCAAAGTTGTACATACCGGGTATACTTGACCTGATAAAAAACATAAATTGACCCGATTTCGAATGTGCAATTGTATTTTCTATAAATTCGACGACATCAGACGATGTACATTGTGATTTGGAATTTCCATGATAGAAACTAAATGAATCTAAACAATCACACGAAATGTTATCAGCAAAACTGGACACTAGTGTTCATTCAACGTACTGCTGCTATGTTCAATTCGCGTATGATGGATATTACCTTGCGATTTGAATGTTATTGCGAGAAAATAGTGACGATGGCTACTATCACGAACAATAAAAGAATAATCTTGTTTATCTTTTAACAAACGCTCAGCATCAATCCAACTCAATGGACCCCAATACCAACCGACCTAGGAAAAATGAATCATTCTTAAGCTTAAGTGTTTTCAATATAATTCGATTATACTTCTTTTAGCCTTTGTAAACTTGCTAACTGAGCGATCATTGGATGTTTATCTTGACTATCTGAAAAGTCATTCGATTAAGTCTTTCGTGAACAGTAAAATTAGTTTTCAATTTACCTGATATCATCTCTGTTTTATTATTCACATTTACTATTTGTTGGTCGGCAAGATCGTCTTTCATCGTAATATTAATGAGTAGAGAATTGAATCATTGAAAAACTAAAAAAGGAAATGTCGATTTTCGTACATGACGCAATTCGATTTTATTTACCGAGCATCATTCGTCAAGTAATTTCATTAAATATTGACAAAAACACGCCGTTAGTACATATGCGTAAGTCTTTACCTGTGTATATGCAGTGCGTATAGCAGATAGACTAGCGATTTGAAATGGCAACCAATATATGAAAAGTAATAATTCTATACAACAGCGCGTGATTTGGTAGTAGATGACGCTAGTAATTGTACTTGAAAAAAAACAAACTTCTATCTCTTGCTGAAAGCGTCTTGAATTCTTCTGTGATATACAGAAAAAAGGGAATAGGAGACGACGAAATGAATGTTTACCTTTACTTCTCTCGATGGTTATGTATTCCTAGTTTTCTATATTGATAGCTCAATAACAATGCAATGTCATAATATTATTCCAAGAGATAGATCTATATGCAAGAGTAATTATGTGAAAGTCAAGCCTAATGAAGCACATAGGATTGTATTTTTTTATTTCTTCTCTCAAGAACTCTCTTCGTCAATGGAGCACAGCAATCATGTTATTTATAGTGTTTTTTTGAGGATTATGACATACTGTATAGTTTACATCCGTACAAGACGATTACGATTAAGCTCTTGTTTTACTGACTGTAAGAATTGGTGAAGATTAATAAAACCTTTCTTCGATAAATGTTAATCTATTCCGTTGTTTTTTTGTTTTTGCAAGAATTATGAGCAAAAGCGATTGAGCACTGCCTACAGAGAAAACGATTTGGTAGAAGAAGAATTCATCATCTCCATAAATATACGTTTGTTTGTTTGCTGGATCAGCTGGATGCTAATAACTACTCAATGTCAGTAACTAAATATGATCGGATGAGTCATTAGGAAATCATAACTAATGTTCTCTGTGACAATGAAGTAATTCTTTTCACAGAAAAATGTGTATTGACGGTATTGATCATTGCTGTTTTCGAACTATGCACTAAACAGACTGAGATTGAATGGATTACATGAATGGAAAGTATAGCGTCTCTGAGGAAAGAAAATACTAGCGATACTGTTTCTTCATGATTACAGTTCTTTGAATAAAAGACCGGCACGGTTTTAAACACGATAGATGGCAATTAAAGTATCCGTAATAATAATTAGTGTTCACAGAAGTTTTTCTGTTTTTGAAAAAAAGAGCAAAGTATCTACGAAGGATATACCTTCAGATATTACATGCTGACATTGAGTATTCCGTAAATGTAAATACTCGACCCAGACAGTGCGATGTTTCTCATAACAGAATAATTCTTGAATGATCACTCGACAGTAAATAATGCAAAGATGTTGTAAATGAGCATAGCATCTGTGAACATGATTGAGAAATTGAATTGTGACAGAATACGAATAACATATAGTGAAAATATCGTTCATACTTCACGCTCACTTCATGATTTCGCTTGATTTTTATGTAACATTTTTGCTTTCTGTTATCCGCACTCTCAGTCTATACAGTAGAGTGAGAAAAAAAACAGCAAATGAATTCCCGTTCATGAAAGTGACTTTTGTGCTAATTAGTGGCTCACTATCGGATCCTTTAGAAACCAAACATATAGAAAATTTATAATTATCAATTTTTGAGGGTGGATATTAAAAATAAATCTCCGAGAAACAAAATGAGACCGAAGAATCAACTTCAGACAAGGAGTTTTTAATGTCTGTCTTTAATAATACTGGTGATGGTGCACGATTTATTACGAAAATGAAAATGTTTTCGAAAGAAAAGCAGCATCTGTCACAACAATCAATTGAAGAACAAATCGATGATTTAGTTGCTGCTGTATTTGCAGTCTAGATTAAACATTTTGATCGGATTAAACTCGTCGAAATGGAACTGTTTCAGTCGAATCAATGACACACGCAAACCCATCTTTGGACATGCGAATCATGTTCGAACTATATTGAGAACTATCAAAGCCGAAGATGATAATTGTGACGAATTCTGCCGACAAGTGAAAGCGAAGGCATTATTTCTGCTTGCATTGATTGAAAAATGTGAATATATTTCTCCAATGACCGAAGAAACATCATTGCTTGCAATCGAACTACCTTAGCCCAAACCACCTCAGTTCCAACGACGAGTTTCTCGATGGACAAAAGCGAAACATACTCTAAAATCACTTCGGCATCTAATACAAGCATGTGTGCGATCTAAGAAATTGACGCGTAAGAGACAAGCGTGACAACAACGTGTCGATACAGAAAGTCTTCTCAGTCGAGATATTCATCAATTTCTTTGTAAAGAAAAGGGTTTCGATCGATAACATGATCGAGCAATAACACAATTGATCGATCAATCTCGAATGTTAACGACGTTAAATATTCTTTACCAATGTTGAGACACTCAACAATAAAATGGAGTTATTGTGTAGATATTGTTACCGTCGATCTTGAACTGAAAGACAAAATACGAAACAGTTATTATTCTGTTCTTCATACAATTCTATCCTTTTCATTATCATCAGAAGCCAAGATCTCCATGCACAGTCTCTCCGATCATGTCACTTATAAATACGGATCTGCTACTCTTCTGTCTCTCTTCACTGAGGTATCACATTCCGCAGAAACTTTTCTCATTATTGGACGCTCAGTCACTTCGAACGAAATTCCTTGTCTACAATTGGTTTCAATTATTTACACTGCTACTGGGTAAAAAAATTCAGTCGGATCAAAAGAAAAAAGAAATTTCGTCGAAAATTAAAAAGAACAGCGAGATTTTTATTTCAATCAATTCTTCGAAATAAACTTGAACTATCTTAAACAAACAAAACGGAAGGTTTTCAACCTTCACGTGATCCATTCAAAGAACTCACTCTTGCTCGATTTCAATATATGATTCTCCTGCATTATTTGCAACTCTCTATCCTATATCGAACGTTGACTCCGTATCTTTCACTCGAAATTTCATAAATCCACGATTTCCCGTTAACTTCGTAGCCGAAAACGTAACTATACACTGACTGATCATTTTTGTTTCAGACGATTAACGGATTTGATCACCATGTGAGCAGAAGAATGTGGACATAGAAGATTTCACTTGTCCCATATTTCCAAGTGTCGATCGTTCTTCTATGTCGATATTATTTATACCGGTACTATAATCTACCCGAAAAAAAACCAAAAAATCTTCATTAGTACGATGTACTATTTGTCTCAACCAAATTTTGATTATAACTTCACGCCTCTTTTCTCTTTCTCTTCAAAATAAATAAAGTCTGTAAGCTAGCGACATGGAACAATAATTGGTTATTCATATTCTCAAATAACACAGCAGAAATAAAATAAAGTTTTTTTTTTACGATTTTTATTTATTTTCTGAAACAATTCTATTCAAATGAATACTATGATGGGAAGATCTATGTCTGTTGAGACAGTTTCAGAGCACCAGCCCAGCTGTCTATTAGAAAAAAAAGAGAAGCTATAACGGCAGGTTTTTTTACTTAAAAGATTAGATTTAGTAAAAACTTTTCTACTCTCACCATTCGCGCTCGCATGAATGGATGTCACGACACAGATATTGTAATCAATAAATGTCGTGGGTGAGGGTGAAGTATGATTGGTTTTCATTTATTTTCCTTTGCATTGGATATTGTGAGAACCTTTGCTCGTAATCAAAATCGGTTTGGTCAAATATGTTGAATACAGAACAAACAGAAGATAAGAATACTGTTTTTTTCTTTATTACTTTTCTTTCTTTTCATCGAAAAAAAAAAACAGCAGAAATATTTTCCTTATCTTAGATATTCATTATCAATGCGATCTATGTTTGCTTTTTTCACAGATTTAGAAAACCGAAAATGTCTGCGGATCGTACAGGCCGATCTGAAATGGGTAAGCAATACATTTTCATCTAATAATTCAAACGGATTGAATTGAATTCGTGTTTTTTTAGTGATACTTACCGGTAATTCATATCCAGAACTGGCAGAGAATATTTCCAGGTGAGTCACGCATCTTCTTAGTAAAACCTTCCTTCACTAATCAGCTTGAACAACTGGATAATACTTCTTAACAGTTTAACTGTTTCTATTTGAACTTAATCTAGAATGATAATCTTAACATGGGTGTATGTTGCTTTTCTTTGTCATTTGTAGAATTGTTCACTCCTACAAGACAGACAGTAGTCAGTATGTATCCACTTTTGTTTTGTCACGTGTTCTATGCATGAATGTGTCCGTTTGAAGCGTTCTTGGTGTGCTTAGATGAATTTGATTGTAAACATCTATTTGTAGTCGTATCAAGCCACTTGGTGAATGTCGTGTTTATAAGAAGTCGGATAAGGGTTTGTGGAAAGATAATTCTATGAAGAGAAAGATTTGATCAATTTTTTTTTTGTATTCAGAAACTCATGTCGAGATTCGAGAATCTGTCCGTAGTAAAGATGTTTTTATTATTCAAACAGGTTCCACAAAGTAAGAGTAACCTGATTATTTTATTCATATCTTAGAAGAATAATTCTAGAGATCCGAATGATAATCTGATGGAATTGATGATAATGAGTTACGCATGTAAAACATCATGTGCTAAGAATATTATCGTAAGTTCCTTTCTTTTTATTTACAAATATCAATGTCACTAAGGATATGATGTTTCTAGGGAGTGTTACCATATTTACCTTGTAAGTGAATTACTTTTCTCCGGATGATTTGCATTTGATTAGAATTTCTTATTTATAGATAGTAAACAGAGTAAACAGAAGAAACGTGGATGTATTGCGATGAAACTCGTCGCACAAATGCTTGTTAGAGCAGGCTTAACACATTTGATAACCGTCGATTTACATCAAAAGGAGATTCAAGGTTTCTTTGACATCCCAGTTGACAATTTACGAGCATCATCATTTCTCTTGGATTACATTCAACAACAAGTAACATTTCATGACTTTAGCAAAGCAAAACGAAAGACACGTTTCTTTCAGATTCCCGATTGGCGTAATTCGGTAATCGTTGCGCGAACGCCAAGTCAGGCTAAACGTGTCACAGGCTTCGCTGAACGATTGAAGCTGAATATAGCCGTTATACATGGTTGTCAAGATGGAGATATAGAAAGTGAAGAAGCTGATGGGCGAAATTCACCACCGCCACCACTCTCTGGTGTAGATAATTCAATTGCATCTATGTCAAAACGTCGAAGTGTATTTACAATTCCATCACTTGCCTTAGGCTCAAGTAATTATTGCCTATCTTCATATAGCGTGATGTTCTTCTTGTTGAATCCCAGTTGCTTTTCAGCGAGAAAGCAAGTCTACGGTCAAGAAATGACGGTTGTCTGCTTGAGAAGTTTTATTAAATCCATTTTTATGAATGTGAAATGAAACGTTTTTGTTTAGTTTCATTTCGTGACAGAAATAGTGGCAAACTATTTAGAATCGATTAGGGAACTGTTCAGAGCGTTTCTTTCCGATGAGAAAATAGGTTGCAATAGGAAAGACGATATCCGGCCATCAAAATCCGTTTCCGCTACTCATATTCTGATGAACTACAGACACACACACATATATATACAAGAAAGAAAACAAATTTACTGCTTGCATGACTTTATTGAATAAGACTAATGATAATAATAAGAAGAAGAAATAAGAAATAACGGGAAAAAAGCCCGAGAAAATTGCAAATTAATCGCAATATTTCTTTTTCTTTCTTTCTCATTGTAGACGTACACGTCAAAGGTAAATTACCGATGGATGTTGTTGGAGATGTAGGGGGCCGAATCGCTATCATAGTAGAAGATATGATTGATGATGTTGCCGGACTTGTTCAAGCTGCTAACATTCTTTGCGATCGTGGCGCATATAAAGTCTATGCATTAGCAACTCATGCACTTTTTACAAATGATGCACCATCATTAATCGAAGAATCTCAAATATCTGAAGTTGTTGTCACGAATACCGTTCCACATGAATTTGCTAAACTCCAATGCTCAAAAATCAAAACTGTTGATATCAGTCTTTTGTTATCTGAAGCTATCCGTCGTATACATAATCAAGAATCCATGAGTTATCTTTTCCGTAACGTTGAAGCTAATGATTGAATCAAAATCTTGAATATCGTCGATCGCATTCAAGAAACAGCATGAAACGAACATTTTGTTTAGTAGTTTTTTTGTTTCTTTTTTTTTCACAAAATAAAACTATTATTTACTACTAGTTATTAGAAATGTCTACAAGAGGTTCGAATTCACCTTAGTGGAATGTGGAACAATATATTGTATTCTCTTTATACAGGAAAAAGAAGTCTTTTAGGGATAGGGGATGAGGAGACCAACTGTTCTGTCGTTGTGTGGAAGAGAGAAGATAGAATAACACAAAACAAATACAACAAAAAGAAACAAGAACATCGATTAATAAATTATATAATAATAAGATAAAATACGAAAAGAGTACAAAACCGAGGCCATATAACCAAAAGAAAAGAAAGAAAAACAACGATTAAAATAAATCAAATAAATAAATAAATAAATAAATAAGTATAACAAAAGAACATGGAGAAGGAAATTGCGTTTTACGAAGTTGAACTTGCCATTTGCTGTTCGACGTACATCGATGACTGACCGTTTGATAATGGTAATGTATTCGGTCTCAATGAAATATCATGATTATTAAACATTGATGAGTTCACTTGTGTGTGCGTTATGTATGGATTATAGTAATTTCGATAATTTGGTGGCCTGATGATAGCCGATGGAGATGGATTTATGGGAGTGGTGTTATCAATGAACGAGAGTGGTAAGATTCTTGATTGTTGAATTTGTTCTTTTTGTTTGATATAAGCGGAAAATTCACTTGGTAACATTCTAGAACACGATGATATGTTGAGAAGAACAAGCAAAGATGAAATTGGTCTTACTTTGATTGACTGCGTTTCCCAGCATGCTTCGATTTCAATGAACCAAATTTTGTTTGAGCAAACGTTTGAGGAGAGAAAACAGGTGTTGAGATCGTTTTATTCAAAAGAGCTGTACTTGGACTATTTCCAACTGTTGGAGACGATACAGTTGGAGTTAATGAATGTTCATTAGTATTCCATGCTGGTATAGTTGTACTCGCACCAACACCTGATGATGATGAACCACTCGATGAATTCAAATTCTGATTATTAGATGCTAATGATGATGTTGGAGATAAACTGATAAGACTATTTATAGAATTGGAAAGTAAGGAGATTGTATCAAAATTATCAGGTATTGGTTGAAATATTTGTGCATCGGGATTAAACGGACGGATGGGGAGGTCGGAATCTAGAAAAGAACGATCAAGCTCATAAAGAAACATTTGCCGACGTTTACCTTGGTGAGATAATGGTCCTTCACGTTCTTCACTATCACTTGACGATTCACTGTTAAGACTATCTTTATTGGTACTTTTGCGTACTAAACGTCGTTCATCTTCATATAAAATTTTTACTAAAAAGACACAATGATTGGTTTTGAATTCAGTTTCTGAAATGAAAAGAATTTACCTGGCCCTTTTTCTCCAATTCGATATGAAACTTCACCTGGATCGATCCAAATTGTTAAATCATTCGGCAATGTATCAAGTATTTCTTGTAAATCCAAACCAACATCAATCGCAGCATTAACCAAAACTTTATCAACTTTTTCTTTACTAATTCGTATTGATCGATATGCTGAACCTTTTGTTGGTCGTTCGGGATACCAATGACCTTGAAATTTAATGCGTAAATGTTCGAGCATTTGTTCGCCCAACATATTTACCCGACTAAATAGTCAAGGATTACCAGAAACATTCATCATACACAAATGTCTATAGAGAAAATGCTTACCGGCGGGGTAGTTTATTGTAAAGATAGGCAATAAGAAAATTTAAAGCAACAGATACTTCGAATTGCATTGTGTGTTATACTAGAAGCATAAAATGAGAAAATATTCTTGTCAATTTCGATTAGCAAGGCCAAGTGTAAAAAAAAGCGAAAGGAAAAGAATACAGACACGAGAGCGTAAGATTGATTTTCATTCTGTTTCTCACTCATATATCCACACCTGTTGTCTTTGTTTTGCGAACAGTACCATCGGATACCACCCACCGACTTTCGCTCGACGAACTAACGTCTCACAACGGGCAAATAATTGATCGAAATCGAATTAGAAACACTAACATCGATGGTTTATATCATGCTTCTCATTTTCTTCTACTTGCTGATCGAATAACTATATCGATGATTAGGAAAAAACGACGACGATAAGAATTATTTTTAAAAAAAAGGAAGAAAAAGAGAAAAAAAGACTAATACAGGGGAGGAAGCGTCTAGTCTCAATTAGCAGACATTATCATTATCATTCATTATGAGTTTGTTCTTTTTTGTCAACAGGTCAAGACAATATAGAAAAAAAGAACTCAACTAGAGACCAAATAGTCATAACAACATTACGATTCGATGTAGTAGTGACAACAGCTGGATTCATTCTTTTAGCCTTGATAAATATAAATGTGAGTGGGTGCGATATTTCTTTTTTTTGTAGTTATGAAAGAAGGAAAAATTGAATTTACCTACTTCTCTCTGTCTCTCGATCTATCTCTGTCCTTTTTATTCTTGAGTACGAACAATATGAATAATGAAATCGTTGTCGGCACAATCTTAGATGTTATTCTGCAATTGTTGTTCGACGATCATTAGGAGTTCGCGTCGTCTTTTCTTTTCTCAAGTCTAATGACGAGAAATATATCAATGGACAATACGCGAACGAATCTACGTGATGTATGTGGGTGGTGATGGTAAAATAGGAGGAAAGGATCATATCGGAGGAAAAAAAATATGTGAAGAACTTTTTTTCACTACAACTGCTTTGCCTCTCGTTCCATCGTGGTGTGCTTTAGTACTACTCGGCGTCCTCTCGCTCCCTATATATATATTTTGTCATTTTTACATCCTGTTTTCTCTCTGTCATACATGCAAGAACGATCATGATTATTCTCTTTTTTGTATCTGAATGAACGAGTGAATAAAAAAGAAAACAATAATAAAGATTTTTTCCCTCTTTCACACTTATTTTTCTCTTTCTTGTTCTGAACGTGTTGCTATATATAGGATAATATCTCAATGTTCTACTGAATGGAATGTTTTTGAAGACAAAAAGACCGTTGTGTTTTCTTCTTCTTTGGCGAGCGCTCTATATTAGTGTGATGTTTTCGACGAAGTAGAGAAGGAAGAAGAAGAAGAAGAACAGAAGTCCCTTCTTTTTACATTCATACCACACATGTTTTTTGAGTTTTCCGTTCCCTCTTTTTTTACACCCACACACTTATTCTCCGTGTTTTTTTTCTTCACAAAGGCGAACGACGAAAAAAGAAGAATAAGAAGAAAAGACGTCATCTAACTAAGAACAACATTACGGCGTGCAATTGTTGATGGCCCGAGTGATTTGTCGGTTCTTCTCTATTGCTTCAACGACCAACACTACCAAAGACCTTAGCCCATCGTGCGATCTTCTTTACCCTACGTCAATAGAATGAATGAATGAATGAATGAACGGAACGGAAATAGGAAGGTCGCTAGCAGGATTAGAGCAAAGAAAAGAAATATAAAGAGCGAAAAAATAGATGAATTCCATTTCTTCCCCATCGCTGTCGTCATCATCATCAACATTTCTATCGAGTTTAAGTAAAGCTTATTTGATACATTGAAATCAAATCTATTCGTTTCTTTAATCAACTATTAAATAAGAAAGAAAAACAAAAGAATTCTAGACGAAGATATCTCGTTGACTGAAGATAATGAAGTTGTGCTCGATTGACAAGAAACGAGAATTATATTAACGATCTTACCTTTATGTTTTTTTGCTCCTTGTAATATGTCTGTCTTTCTTTTTCTCTCGATTTGCCTTTATCGCGTCGTCAACTGGGAAGAAGAAAAACTATATCTTAGAAGAGGAAGATTGATGATTGAAAATGAACGAACAGGGTTCTCAGATGAAGAAATTTTCTAGTAGCATCTCATCTATTATTCCAATTACAACCGAACGACAAGAGTCCAATGTTCTAACGAGTCATCAATTGAGAATAGAAAATGTACCATTGTCCATTCTCTTTACATTTCTGCCTACTCAAAACGGACAGCGAACCGAGAGAAAGAAGAAAGAAGGAAAAGAAACAAGACAATCTTCGAGTAAATTTCGTTGATGCAATTAAAACCATCGGCTGAAGAAGGACTAAATATATGTGTGTGACGACAATAGAATTTGTGCTTGATGGTAAAGAGAAGATCAATTATGATGACGATTGAATAAATAAAAGAAAAACTATGATTAGATAACAACATAGACACATCTTCACATTTGAACAAAAGAAAAGACGAAAGACATATATATCCACACATACACACTTACTGAAGAAGAAGAAGATGATGATGTTGTTGAATGTCAAATGAATAGAACATACATTGTACTAAACAAAATCTTGTTGCCAAGTTTATTTACAGGTTGTTATGATCAACGCGCGTAAAATTTGATTTCTACTAGACACACACAATTGTCGTCAAAGTTCGAATAGCAAAAAGACAACACATCTCTCTCTCTATAAATACATGTATAGAACAAAGAAATAAAAGTGTCAGACACATATCATCCATAGATGACAGCATCAAGAACACGACGACAAATAAAAATTACCTGAAAAATAGAGAAAACAATAGATAGAGAAAGAGAGACATTGATGATCATAGACTTATTATTCGTGTCTCGTTTGATTGTAAATACTTATTAAAAATAATAAATCGAACTTTAATCGAGTCGACAAGCTAATATGTTGACAAAAATCTCGAATGTTTTTGCCATGTTTTCATGTAATGAATATTCGAAATCCAATTATCTAAGATAAGTGATGAGTCACATTGATTCAGTATTCATGACATGTTTCGTCAAACATATCAATTAGGTCTTCTATCTATTCTTTCGAGTCAAGGATCGAAACCATTCGAAACTTGGATATGTAAAGTATCAAATGGATACATCAAACGAATTACGGATGAAGATATCAATTCGCTCGTTCTTGAACTGATTTCGAGTAATGTTAGGTAAGATATACTCATCTTCATTGAACAATTCGAAAACGAGATCTTTTCGCAGTTCAACATATGTCACTTGTCCGTGTCATCCGTACGATTCATTGGGAATCAAAATGCAGTATTTGAATTTATACATCAAAAACTTACGACGTTACTTTGTGATGGAAATCGAAGTTTGATTAGATGGGATTAGGTGTATTTTCACTCGATATTCGATTTTTAGGTACTTGATAGTCAAAAAGTGCATCGTCGCTTCAAAATATCGACTTTTGCAACGAAAACAAAGATCGGCCCATTTGGTACACATTCACCATTAAATTGGATCGAAGGTTGGAATCGTTTGACACTCAATCTTGAATCATTTACAAAAACAGTCTATGGTACTAATTATATCGAATGTCGACGCATCACGGTACAACACACATCGAGATTTACAAAGAATCCATTAAGCCCTTTTAGATTCATGCTAATTGCCGAATCCGCCGTATTTTCTTTGCCGATCGAGTTTGTTTGAAAAGACAGGTCACATATGAAACAATTTCATTTGAAATTATTGCGATTGTAGGAGTACAAAGAAGAAGAATTGCCTTTAGATTATCAATTACGTTGTCGTATTGATCGACCGAAACGTGACACACCTGCGCGGAATTTATTTGCATTGAAAAAGTCTGCTTATGAACGTCGAAATGATCAAACTCAAGTAAAAAAGCCTTCTAAAATTCCACCAAAAACTGCCGACGATTCCATTGATTCAATGAAGAAAGAAATCGAAAATCAATTTGCGACAATCGAAGAAATTCCGAGCACCGAACGAATGATTAGTGCACCACAAGGTTCGATCGCATCTGACGTTCAACAAGCTGACGATCCCAGTGATAATGATACATATTCTGATACAGAACAAATCGATCATCAACAACCGATGGTCGACGAGATGAATAACCTTAACCTTGATACGAATGGAACGAACGAAGTAAATTCGTTTAGATAGAGCATGTTTCGTTTCGTTTCGGTTTTTTTTTATTTTTCAGAAATCTTCCGATGACATCAATGTATCATCGAACGCCTATCGAGAACGGTTCTTCGATAGATTCCATCGATAATGTGTTCCAATAAAATTATTTCTTTTGTCCTTTTTGATTGAATATCGAAAAAAGTGAAATAAAAACAAATAATCAATGGAAAAAGAAAACAAATGAAAGTGGCATTTATGAAAATATACAAGAATATAGGAATGAAGTATCAGGTGAAAATATAGGAGGAGAAGACGTCGGAACAACTTATAAATTTTGACAATAACAAACCAAACACACACATACATATATAGATATCTTTTGTTAATAGTGTTCTAGCTCCCTTTGAGTGAGTTTAGATACTATTGCAAGTTTAATACACCTGAAAAAGAGAAGATGTCCTATTTTTTTCCGAGTGTTATTTAAAGATAAGTTGTCACAGTCATATTTTGACGATGTGCTTGAGGTCTTGGTTGTCCTCCTCCTGCAGATGATAATGCAAGCTAAACAATGAGAATAGAGTCGATTCGATAAGTTTCTCAAACTTAAATTCAAAGTCGTCAGTTACTTGTTGCGAATGATGATGGTGGTGATGATGATGACTGAAATGATATACATTAGCAGCTTGTAATGATTGTAGACCATTTCGTGGTAAAGGTGATGAAGTAAAGTAAGCTGATTGGACTGGAACAGTATGTTGAGGAGTATGATGTTTATGAACATTTACTTGGTTTAAGTAAGATTGTTGAGCTTGCTGACGATTCGGATGTTCTGTATCATTCATATTTGGTGTAATACCTTTTATTGGGAGAAAATAAACAAATGAAAATCAAAGAAATAGTCGATGTGCTCTTAGTCTTACCAGAACCTGCTGCAATGTAGGATCCATATGGATAGGTAGGTTGCTTTGGTCGATTACCTCCTCCATCTGGTGAGAGACCATTGATAGTGCTGCTATCATTAACTTGTTGAATCCATTTAATGATAGGATCTTCGAGAATAACGGGAGGAGGTCGTGTTGACGATGTTGTTGACGATGCTGCGGATTGTTGTTGGGGTTGGGGTGGAGGCGGTGGAGGTGGAGCTGGAGGAGGGGCATGATGATGATGGTGGTGATGATGATGGCTTGCAGTGATTTTAGTCGATTGTTGAACGTAAGCTGGATGTTTCATGCAATTACCTGCTGATTGTTGAAGGGAGACGCGTGAACCAAACACACCTACGGATGGCTGCGCTCCACTAACGCTTTCTGTAGCATCGATTGAGGATAAATTAAGCATCGATTGATGGAATTGTGGTACTGTTTGTAAACGTTGACGAACCAGTGGAGTTGCACATGCAGGACCACTCGGATTGGTTATGCCAACATGTACACCTGGTTTATGTGCAGATTCGGTTCGTTTTATGTTAGGCACCGGTGGTGGTTGTTGAGTTTTATTAGGCGTATGATTACCATTTGTTATGCTCGCTGTATGAATACAAGTTTGCGATGTCGAAACAACAGGTCGAAGGAGATTATTTCCATTTAATTGATTCAATGGTGATAGTATTGGTGATTTACCAAGACTTGGTTGCTGAGATACATGAGGTTTAAATGCACTATTACCATTTTGATTATAGATATTCATATCAGGTTGCGTAAAAAGACCTGAGCGACCAGCCTGTGATGGATGAATAGCCGATGGTTTGATGACACCATCTATGATGAGATAATTATAGAAAAGGAAACGTTTTTTTATCGAAGGCAAGCCTTACTTTGTTGTTTTGGTGCAGCAGGTGGTTGCTGTTGTTTTTGTTGTTGTTGTTGCTGCTGCTGCTGTTGTTGCTGTTGTTGTTGTTGTTGTAATGACGCTGACGATTGAAGATTTGTTGGCGTTCGATTTGGTGAGGGCGTTTTCAAATCCACATTATCGTAGTTTTGATTCGATGGAGTGACATGTTGTTCGAGATCTGGTTCAGGTTCTTCTTTGAGAACGGCATTTTTATCAGATGGTGGAACGAAACGAAAGCGTGGTCGGGTCAAAGGTGGTGGTTGAACCTGTTTGTTTTTAGGTGCCTTATCAATCGATGTTAAATCAATTAAACTCGCACTAGCTCCGTTGGCTGTTAATGTTGGTGCATGGTTTGTTTTATCAAGTAAAGCTGAAAGACGTGCTTGTGGTGATAGTTTTTTCCAAGCGGGTATGTTCGAGAGGTCCTCAGTTGATGCTGCAGTGGTTTGAACAGGTGGTGGACGAAGATTTTTCTGAAGTAGAGCTGGTTTCGACGCTGTATTAATATCGTTGAGATTATTTTCCGATGTATAACGACGAACATTGTTTGTCGGTGAATTATTGACGCCTGATGTCATCTGTTCAAAACGACAGCGAATGTTTTGAAACTGATGAAAGTGAGAAGCATGCAGATCAACTGGACGTTGGGGCATTTTCTGAGAAGATGTTGACGATGTCGTAGATGCATTAGTAATAGTGGAGATATTTGTCTAAAGTCAAACGCGATATGAGCAATCGAATGCGACAGGATAAAACTTACATCGAATTCTTGTTTAGCTGGTTCAGCTGTGCCAGCAACAATATGAGTGGGAGGCTTGACGAGATGAGTGGATGGAAGTGCAGCTGAAACGCGTCGATCTACTTAGAAAAAGGATCACACATCAGTACGAATTGTATAAATGAATCGAGCGCATTTACTTTCATCAGTCGTTTCTTGATCGCTGAGATACTGATCGAGAATGGAGTCGAAAAAGTTCATAGTCTTTGCAATTTGTTCATCATCTTCGTCGATCTTCTGTTGGGAGTTCGGTTTCAATTTACGCTTTTGATCGTACTGACAGTAATTATCCATTTTTGTTTTGTATAATTGACCAATTAAAGCGATGTCATCACAGAATTTTCGTATGAATACTAATTGTAATTGATGAACTTCACGGAGGCGAGTATATTTACGTCGAGCTAACCAACCACGTAAGACTAAAGGAGAAAAGATAAGATTACGAAATCAAAATTGAATTAAAGTTCAGATGAGTAAGGATATTCTCTTCTTCATTTCAATTGCTATCGAAAAAAATTTAATTGATTGACTTTAGTCTCTCAATTTTATGTAATGTTTGTCAATGGATTACATTAGGAAAGTTTCCTTTCTTTCTTTCATCTCTCTTTTTTCTTGAAACTATTTTAAAAAATCGATGATCATCTATTCACACTACCTGCCATCTCGTCAAAATTATCATCTCGCGTTTGTAATGTTTCTATTAAACGCTTTAATTTCTTCATACGACTGTATTCTCTTCTATACAATGAATGAAAAGAAAAACGAATATCGACATTAATCTTTGTCTAACGAAAATAATAAACAAATGGGTATGAATGTGTTAATGAACAACTGTCTATGGAAGGGAGATCGAGGATCAAATAACGATGACGACCTTCTCTATCAAAGCAAGTGTGCAAACGAGCCACAGGGAGATATATGTTGTTTTCATTTCTCACCGCTTTTACTTCTAGTCTTATCTTTTTTTTTCTCATTCTGTTTGGCGTTTAATGAGTTCATGAGTGTGAGAGTGTGTATGAATTGAACGTGTGTAGTCTTTTCTATCGATCATAAACGAGATTAGATTCATCAGTAATGCCCGTCTGGCTGTCGACTGGTCTTATCAATCACTTTTTATTCTAGTCGTTGCTGTTTATCAGTAGAATGCCATCTTCGACATACCTTTCTGGCAAATATTCACTTTCTTCTCATATTGTTCGGCTAAATTATGAAGTTGATCCGAGTGCCAATAACGAAATAGCAGTTTTGTACGGCCGACCTTAAATGAAATGAATAAACAAAATAGCAAAGCATAGAAGTTGACGCGAACAAGAACGATCGTCTTTTCTTTTTATGACCAGAGAACTTTCTTCATATGGCGATTTCTTTTTTCTCTTCTCTTCTCTTCTCTTTCTTTCTTTTTGCATTAAATAGAACAGAATAGGAGGAGAAGAAAAAAAGTTCTATGTTTGACTCACTTTATAATCGTCAATTCCGGTGCGTTTTAGACATTCAACTGCTCGATCACGATTGTATGTTGTTGATAATAATGATAACTCTTTTGACCGATCATTGCCAGTAATCGGCAGTACACACAGAACGAGCGCATTGTATCTAAGATGAACATAAAAAGAAAAACGGAAAGTCATAAATCATATCGCTCAAAACTAAATGTGAATAATAATGAGGTTAAAAAAAGTTCAATAAATACGAGGAAATTGTTCTTCTCACTTGAAAAATTCCGTTTTTTTATATTTATAAAAATGTATTTGCATACCATTATTCTCATTCATATGTAGACGATATAATTTCAACTCTTGGGCTTTGTATATATCCTCTTACTCATTTTTTTTGCATCGCGTACCAGAAGACGAGAGAGAAAAAGTTGCCTACTGTCAAATAATCACAATTATTCGTTATACACCCGTCCGTACACCTTCGAGAAAAAAACTTTCTTTTTTTTTTTATAAAGATTGATTTTCGATATGTCTCTGTCCATTTCTTGTCACCATGGAATGATAATGAAAAGCAATAGAAGACATCGAAGTGTAGAAGAAGGAGGAGAAGGAGAAGACATAGACCTCCAATTGACATTTACAGTATATATACACCCGTTCTTTCGATAATCGTCATTAAATATACGAGGCTAGTATTGTCTCACCTGTCAAGAAATTCATCAAATTGCATTCTTAATGGATATCCTTTCTTTCGAATTTCACACATTTGAAGTATACCAGAATAACGTAATTGACGTGTCACACAGGGAACAGTTAGAGATGTTGTTTTATCACGGCTTTCATTTGGTTTTATACACCGAACAAAATGACATTGACAAACATTCATTTTATCAATTAGTTCAATTAACGAATGCTAGAAGAAAAAAAAAGAAAAGCGAAAGTTTCATTTGATCTTTTCACAGTGAATTAAATCGATGTCTACATTGTTCTTTTTAATAGACAAAATTGTGTCTCGAAAACGAGTCAATATTATTTCGACAAATGAATTTGTGAATTATTATTGCAGATATTGTTGTCCTATTAATAAGTTTCGTTTCTTTTCTATCTCGAGATTAATTCATTCGAACACAAAAGGTGAGAGTTCTATTGTTTGGACATTTTGATATACAACAGTTATTCAAACTCCCGAATGATTTATACATGAAAATAATCAAAAATCCTTGATTTGATCTCGAGAACAAAGGGAGACAAACATCGATTTCCGAGTCGACTAACCTATGAATAATACTCGTTCTATATGCTTTTTTCTTCTTTCTTCCATGTGTCAAAAAGTCACCTTGAATGAATATTATTTACCTTAAAATGAAAAGCTACTGTTCGCATTTGTGTACCACCAGTTCTTTCGAATGTATTTCCAGTAGATTTTTCCGGTAGTGTTCGAATCGGTTGTTGCATTGGAGAAAATTGTCTTCCATTATGATTTAATAATACTTCATTACGTTTAAAATCTCTATTCACATGAAATGTATTCGGATGATGATGTAATGAGGGCGATGCTGGTAGGACGCCTTTTTCATTTAAATTTGATCGAAATAGCTCTTGAATGATGAAGTTATTGCTTGCTGAAAGTCAAGGATGAAACCTGATAAAGGAAAACTTTGAGGAAAAGATTGTCTCACTTCGCGCCACAAAAACAATCGAATTGGGAAGAAAATCGCGATTTTTTTCAAGTAAACCAACGATATTATATACAACAGGAGCTGCATAATGACGTACAGTGAATGTTGTACCACCATCTTTAGGTACTGCATAGATACTTGGAAATTGTACACCAGGTCCATGATGAAGTTTCGTTGCTAATGTTTGATCAGTTGCTTGAGGAAAACGACTTTCTTCGTCAAGAATAGCCAAAATACCTGAATGTTTCTAAATATTCAAAGACAAGCAACTCGTTTTCTTCTGCCATCAACAACAATGATAAATTACGTTTAAGAATGTTTCAATCACAAGATGATTATCAGTGTAATTGATGTCGACGGTGTCGATTCCTTCTTGTTGACAATCATAGTTCTCTAAATCGTAGATATGTTGGTTGAGAAATCGTTGCATATGCTCGTTGGTTAAATTGATGCATAACTAAAACGAGATTAGTTCGAGATAAAGATAATTCAAGTGAAAAGAATAGTTTTCTACCTGTTCGAAGCTATTATTTTTAAAATTTTCAAAGCCAAAGATATCAAGAATCGAAATTGAATGTGCCGAATCACTAAAAACGAATGTTCAATTAGAAAGAGTCTGATTGAAATAGATATCTTATCTGAAGATCAGTAACCTTGGTCAATTATTGCAAATTTCAGAACTCCTCAAGTTCTCGCAGTAAGAGTCGGGCTGAGGTCATGTCTAACGTCAGTTTCATTGTTCTCGTCAAAAATTTCTTGATTGGTACATTTTTCCAACAAAAACATATTACATTATATTCATTTCTCGCAGTTTTTCCGTATCATTTTCAATTAGCAATTGATCGTCTAGTTGACCTCAGTCGAAGGTTATTACTCCTGTTGTAACGGTTTGTTAAAATGATATACAAAAACTATGACCTTTACATTTTGTCGTGTATACGCATATCAGACTTATTTCTTTGCTAATTAATCAAACAAACACAGATAGGATAGGAATATGCTTTACCTGTCTTCTTGCAAGGGTTGTAAATACGAATTAATTCCATTCACGATCCAACTGAATAGTCTTCCATAGAGCGCTTTGGCAAATGCATCTCGACATTCGGATGCGTGAATAAAATTTCTTTCTCGAAAGATTTGTTCACCGCGTGTCACTTGTAATTCTGTGACTAAAGCTGAACTGAATTCAATCGACGAAACTTGAAGAAGTTCAGCAACTAGAAAGACGAGAGTTCATTTCCATAAAGATATCATTAATCTTTTTCAAAATACTCTTATCAACTGTCGTTGTGTTTTTCACTCGTACACCATCGTTTGCACCATGTGGGATAAACGCAATATCACCGATGTGTAATATCGCAGATAAAATTGTAAATATCGATTGAACATCATCAGAAGAGAAACCGATAGAAATTAAACTTTGTTTAACCATCTGAAATTTCTTGCGATATTCAACTTGTCTGGCACCATCTAATTGAGCTAATTCAGTATTGTGTGACATGTATCTACGAAGATAGAAGAAATAGATCGGCTGTTTATTTCTTCAATCTAATGGTAGTTACCGATGTTCACTCGGTGTTCGTAGACCGTTTCGAACTAATGTATCATGAGATAAACCAGCGAATAGATAATAGAAGATATGAAAGTTGCCTTCGTCGTTATTGTGAGAAATAACACGAGATTTTTCGAGTAAATATTCTTTTAATTGAGCTGAAAATAGACAAAGATTCGTGGCGGATGTGTAAGTAGAAAGAAATCGTACCGCCGAGAACATTGCCAGTCGGTGTGAAATGAATTTCAAGATATTTTCCGAATCGGCTCGAACTAAAAACGAAATGTTTATTTGATTTCAATTCAAGAGTCAGTCATACTTCATGTTGATGTATGTTTTAGCATTTCCAAATGCTTCCATAAGTGGATTGACCTTAACAAGAATGTTTTTTACTTCAGCAAATAAAAGATCAACGGTTTCTCATCGTTTACCTGATTAATTTTCATATTCAATGCAGTTTCAACGGACAAGGATCGACTGAGAATATGCTGAACAATATATTTACATGATTCAGTCTTTCCACTACCAGATAAACCTGCAAACAAACTCGATGGTTCTAGAAACTATCTTCTTCGTTTGTTTACCTGATATCACAACACATTGTGATGTTCTCTCTCGGATCATATTACGATATAAACGTTCAGCATAGCCATAGATGTGTGGTGGTAATGAAACGATGGATTGCGTATTTTTGTAGAGTTCCGATATCTTCAAATGTATGATAGATATGATGAAGACGTTCTCAGATGAAATCTGTTTACCTTGCGGCTGTAGATTGGTAAAAGATCGAAAGGATTTAATGCAATGAGAATATCTCCAATGTAAGTCTAAAGAAGAATCGAAATGCAATCTTGAACCTGTCTTGTCATGCAAAATTATCATTACATAGATTTGGCCTTGCTGGTAGCGCATTTCCAAATCATAGAGTACACTTTGTTCGGAAATTTCTGGAAATAATGCCAAATCATCATTTGGCAACTTAGTTGGCAGTGACTAGAAAAGAAAATACAAAACAAATGAGCATTATTCAAGTTCAACTAATGCACGTCTTTAAGCAAGAATTCATCGGTGGTAGTGAATTCTAACCTCGGATTGTAACCAACCAGTCCAGTAGTATTCATAGATTTTGATCATAGTTTTTTTCAAGAGAAATAGACTGGAAGTGCGAATGAGGAGATATTTATTCGCCGACTTCTTTCACAGACGATTTATCTTGCCTACTCGATCATCAAAATAGCGTCGTTTTCGACACGCACTTTATGTCAAAACGATTTGATGCTTGTTAATATTCTAAATATAAATTACGAAAGGAAAAAAAACCTCGAAGCTATACAAGTCCCAGCTCTGCATCGTTAATCAACTAAGTGTAGTTAAATACAGTTCGATCGAATACCATTCTAGGTACGAAAACGAACAAAAAAAAACGAAGCGAAGTATACCTGTTTGGAAAGATTATTAGAACAGTTTCTTGGAAACTGCTCTTGCTTAAATGCTGGGTTAGTCGATTGATAGTCCATGTCGTCTCTCGTCATGACATAAAGTCTTTTAGACTAGTCTTCGAAATAACTAGAAATTACGAATATCTACATATAAATATGAACGAAAAAGCAGTACGTATGCAACTTTGATGAGCAGACCGAATGAATAGAAATAGTGATATGAGATACTACAAAAAAAGGTCAGTAGAATATGTATGATGAATGCATATATGTCCTTTCCTTTCGTTTCGTCTTTTTCCTTTTACATCGGTCTGTGAAATTGAATAGATTTATATAAATAAAAGTACAAGGCAAAAAACATTTTGCGGAACGAGTGATAATGATAGTGATAATAGTAATATTTCGCTCGTGATTTGTTTGTTTGTTTGTTTATAATCGCCAAGGTCTGATTTTACACTTGTTAAAGTAGTTCGCAAAATGTTGAATATGTCCTTGTTGCATTTTTTCCTTTTTCTTCTTCGTTTCTCGTCTCTCATTTCTTTTTTTTGCTCGCTTATCCTTGTGTAACTTTCATTTTTACTTGCATTCTCGAACATATTTACTGAAATTCTTCGAATCCTGCATTTCTTTCCTTCGCTTTCTTCTTCGTCTTAACGATCAAATCATCCAAAACATGATTTTCAATTTGATGACTCAAGAGGCAATCTTTAGAAGTGCATGCTTATACTACTAACACATAACAATCATTTGACTTTTTCAATGAGAAAAAACTAGAAACAATAGGTCAAAGGAGAAGGAGAAAATTAGATGAAAGTCTCACCGAAGGTTTGTAAGAACCCATGTCAAATAACAATGGTAACATTGTCGGCGGCATGATGTCCGTGTCCGTGTGTGTGTGTGTGTGTGTGAGTGTATGTTGTGTATATCTGAGTGTGTCAACGGCGTTAAGTCGCCTTCAACGTCGCCTTTTTGTCACTCGATAAAGGATTACTTTTGACGACGAGTATCTTCTTCTTCTTCTTGTTCTTTTCTCTTTTTCTCCTTACTTTGTCAATTAGGAGAACGCTCAGAACAACAACGAAGACAATTCTCCTACTCTCGCCCATATTTGATCATGCCTACTTGTGTCCATTACTCCCTCTTTTCTCTTCTTTCTATCATGTTCTTTTACTTAATGTATGCGAATGTATCTATGGTGTGTTGTGTGCGTGGCTGGACCGATCAGAATTATACTAAATGATTTACTTTATTGTCCATTACGTCTTACTAATGGTTGGACATCTTTCCTGACGTTTTTCAGCTCGTTCAACCGTACAACAAGTCGGCAAGCACTTTAAACGATGACGTAATTATTAAGTAATAATAATGTGAATCTATTTTTATCACTCTCGTTCTTTCTCTTCCGTCTGAACAAAAGAAAACGATCGTTTTCGATTCTTAATTCAAATCTATCCCGGTAAAGATAATTGATAGTTGGACAGATTGAAATACAATAAATCAAGGTAAAAGATTATCGATAGTGCGAACTTATACTTCGTACAACGTCAAACGACTTCAATGAGTACTTATTCATAAAAGCAAACAGACAAGGTTAATGTATTTCTATCCTACGGCTTTCGAAGACAAACCAAAGTTAAAAATCAATTACAAACAAATTTCATTAAAGATAATTGTCGATTTCCTTCTTCTCATTTAGGAGTTATTCAATGTTAATTACTAATAGAATGTTTTCTTTCGCGTAACTTACATTTTCTTCAACGACACTTTCTTCAAAAATATCCAGCATTCTAGTCACAGCGTCATCGTCGTCTGTCGTATTGGAATTCATGCTGCAAAATGAAAGAAAAAAATCACTCATGTTTTTCTTTCTCAACCTGAAGTCTGATCTACGATGAATCACCTTTGTTTTTTCTCGGGGATCGGATTAAATAAATCTTGAAAACCATCATCATCACGATTATCTTCATCTGATAAACTATCTGATGTTTCTTCATGTTCTTCTTCTAAACTATCATCGCTCTGTTCGGCACGTTTGCGTTTTTCCTCGTACTTTACTTCCGCTTTCAAAAGTAAAGCACGGATAAAACTATTTGATGCACACACTTCTAAAAAAAGTAAAATCATCACGAAATGCCACGGCTTCAAACGGAAATTCTTACCACTAGGTTTTCGTCCAAAACGATCTCGAATAGTCGGATTCGCACGAGCGTCAATTAACAGTTTAACAATCAAACCCTGACAATGAACAAGAAAAACACATGTGCGGAAAAAGGAATTTTTTTCTCTCTGCTCACTTGCTCATGTTTAGCACAGAGATGTAATGCTGTAGCACCTGTATCGTCTGTTTGATCCACATTCACGCGGCGCTGTAACAGGAAACGGACAACGCTCGTGTATGCTTTGGTAGCTGCAATGTGTAACTATAGGGAAAAAAGAGAGTAAAAAGAACAACGGTTAGAAGAAAAGGCGTGAAAATGATTATTTTAATTACTAAAGTAATGCCATATTTATCTGGTTTATCTAACGGTTCATTTCGTTCTAGTAATCGCTGACAATCAGTAAGCATCGATTGTTCTTTATCGATACGAAAATGATCATGACATCCATCTAAAGAAGTTCAATTGTAGATAAAGAATCACTGGTGAGAAGTAAAACACCATCAAATCTACCGTTCGAATCTTTCATAAAATGTTTGGTTGGAAAACCACGTGGTTCGCTATTAGCCTAAAATTTTCATGATCAACAGATAAAAGATTGTTTCAAATCAATCAATCATATATTACCTTCCATTTTTTATCATATTCAATCGATATTTGTGAATTCATAATTAGGTCTGTTCATTATTTATTAAATCATTTAATTTCTTTTCCTTGTTCTACTATTTGTGTGTCCAACGAGTTTTCTTGATTGATCAACACCTTTTGCTGTCATTCATCATTATTAGTTGATTGTCTAATAGAAAAAGAAAGAAGAAGAAGAAGAATAACGAAGAAAAAGAAACATTGCCTAATACATCTATACAGCTATTCATATACATTTAGTTNACAGAAAATGAAAAGAACAAAAAAAAGAAGAAAGAAAAACGAAGGAATGAAAAGAAAAAGCACAGTATTGGTGCGCATATGTCAACAATTTCACTTGTGGTCAAAAGAAATTCGAGAGACGAAGAGTGAAAGAGAGTTCATCAGCAGAAAGACGACCAGTTTAATCAATACAAGGAATAAGTGAGTGAAAAAAATCACGAAATCCACGCGTACACATACTTGTAGATCAGGATCAACTTACAGGTCATTCACAAGGACAATACTCTTCCGATCAAATTGAATAAAATGTAACAGTCATCAAATTTAAATTCATGGATCGTCAACAGGAAGCTACCTCAGCTGATAAGAATCATTTATTTTTCTCTGGACATTCGCTTCTATCTTGGACAATCTCGTTGTCAATGAGGAGTCGAACTCAATCTTATCTGACTTCTCTGTTTAGTCTTTCCTTGAGACGGGTATGTCTACGAATAAAAAACCTTACAGGCCTTCGTACCATGACCTGTTATTGAAAATATACAAATTAATTAATACATTGAATTGATAAGATAATTTCAAGCATTTCTGCGGATGATAACATCGAAAAAAACATAATCAAACTCACGGTACACTCATCAAGAGCATCAGACAAGTCAATCTAGTGCTAATTTTAGGACAATTAGAAGATCGTAGCAAATGTTATTTTTCTTTTCATTCAATATTCGTCTGAGTTAACCGTGGAGAGCGACATTCATAGTGACGGTGTGGTCACAGTAGATTACTTATGACTAGTGAACACTTCATCGTGTACTTTTGCTCTCGAAAGAACAATCTAGGTACTTCAATTTCATGAAGATATTAACATTGAAAGTTGGATTAACAAGAAAGCAAATCATCGATGGACAATTTTTAAGAGGAAAATGATGTGTAAATGGAAAGATTTTATCTTGCGCGTTGATAATATTTTCTTGTTATGATCGATGTTGATGTACTATATGAATGAAGGAAAACTTTCTTACGCTGATGTCGATCTTGAAACGATTTAATCTTAATTCTCTCTTTTAGCGTTTGCTTGTCAATAGAATAACTTTAAGTCAACATATACGAGATAAGATCGCAACTCAGTGCGTTAAATTGTTTCTTTAAATTCGGAATTTCTCTCATTTCAATCGCATTACCTAAAATATCTATTCGTCGAATAGGTGAAGCACTTATTCGCCATCGATCTCTATACTCTATCAAAGCGTGATAAAGTCTTCGTATCGATTCGCTTGATATTAGATTGAATGTCAAATTTAGGTGAATGATCGACCACCAGGATGTCTTCTGACTACGAAGATCATCCCTATCATTGTGTAACAAGATTTGGCAAAACCATTGAATGAAATTATGATTGAGATTGTTGTAGGCTAAACTGAGTTCTGTTAGATGTTTAGCGTGCAGAATTAATGAAGTGAATGCTTCGTTTATAGCACCAGATTGTTGATCGTTGTTCCATGTTAAACCCACGCGTTCAAAATGAAATATCGTTAAAACACAGGGAGTATTCAATGTGAGAAATAATCGAGCAAGATTGATTGATCGAATACGAAAATTTCGAAGGCGAATATCAGCGATATGATGGAGAAATGTTTGACACCATTGAAATTGATCGAGAACAGAACATTCAAGGATAGACGAAAGTTCAAGACGATCGAGTTTTGACATGATATTCGGTAATAGTTTATACAATAAGCGTATATGAATATATTGCATATGACGTCTAAAGGAAAGATTTTCAATAGGCCAATCAATGAACGATTTTGTTAATCTTACTCTCGCCAGATGAATTGCTCTAATGAAGTATTCGCATTGAATGTGGCTTGTTCAATGTCAGACAGGTGAATACTATGATTTATTGAAGTAAAAACTTTTATTGCTTCGAGTCGCAAACGTTTAAGATTAAGAATTGGATTTTGAAAGAAATGAAAGAGAAAACCTATAGCACCGTGCGCTAAGGAAATACTTGTTAAGTGCAATGTTCGTAATTGAGAGCGAGTACATAGAGTGATTAGACTTGTTTCCAATTCAGATGAATAAAGTGCAAAATTGACCAGAGTCAAATGTTGTAGTTGACTCATACCTTTGAGAAGAGACATATTTTAGAGGAAGGATGCGGTAGAAGATTTGGTTTACCTAGCAGAGTAATCGCGATCATATGGATACTTTCAATTGATGAAACGTAATAGACAGAAAGATTTGTCAGCGAATTTGTTTGATTCTCTGGACTTATATGAAATAGCAGATATTTTTCTTCGGCAGTTTTAGTTTCTCGTCGGGGTTGGATCGTCTTTGTTGGAGTTGTTGTAAGTGCCATCGCAGGACGTAGGTGTAAATTACTGTCACTAGAAAAAAATGGCTCTATCAGATTATTATTCGTCGTTGTCGTCGTTGATATGTCGACGAGGATTGATTGCTCCGAAATGGATAGATGACGAGCAGGGGTTAAAAGTGGCGGAAAGATCGAGTGTCGTAATGGTGCTTGCGAACGATTTAAATACGGTCGAAGACGTTCGTATGGTTCGGCTGTTAGTCTAAAGCAAAAGTACAAAGATTTCGTTAAATGTTTTCATCCACAAACCTTTCGGTGTTCATTGACCTAATGATAGGATTTAAATCAATTACTGGTGCATGGCTTTGTGACGGTCTGTTTGGTTGTGAACTCAGCTGCTCTTGTAAATCATTTCTAACTTGTAATATTGATGAATGTACATGAACGGCGGTATTCGGTGGGCTCGGTAAGAGATCAATAGAATCGCGTAAACTATCCATAGAGTTCGATACAATTGCGCGTGTCGTGTCGATCGAATGTTGGTCATCTTCTTCAAAAAATGAATTGTGAGTCGATAAGATTCTTTTGAGATCGCTCGAGACGTCGGTAGAATGAATTTGTACTTCTAGACAAGCTTTCTTGTTGCGACGTGGTAAAATGTAACTCTGTGTGAAAATATTCGATGGTTTCATATCCGCCTCTTTTCCTGTCGACAGATACGATAGCGAATACGAACGAGGATAGATGAAGAAAGGTAATAGAATGTTCATTAAACAGTAGGATGGAAATTTAAGTACAATATTTGTGATGTGACCACGCGTAAGGACATCTAAAATAAATTTCATGCCGTGAATATCATTTTCCGTAGGATAACCGCTGAGAACAATATCAGTGACATTCTCAGTAAAACATTCAATTAGAAGTGGATCGATTTCAGCTAAATTCCAAACATTTGGTACAAGGATGAAGCTAAAACATCAGATGAGACGTGTAGAGAATGTTTAGAATCATTGGACAAGTTTACCGTTTAATATATTTATTCCATTGATGCTTCCAAATGACGAGCAAACTTTGATTTTCATTTTCTAACCTTCGTTTCGAACAATAGACGATTGAATCTCTTGTTAAATTGTACTTAATTTGCTCAACAAAGGAGAGATTTATAATCGATTTTGATTGATTCAGAGATGAGAGATGTGCATAGATTCCTAATTGTAAAATTTGTGTATCATGAAAGAGATACTCGAAATAGAGACGTTTATATGGGATAATAGACAACGAGTCGTACGAATCTTTATCATCTCGAGACAAAGACCATATCAATTCAAAATGACGACGCCAAAGATCATTTATCGGAATGTGTCGTTGAGCGTAAATTACATCGAGACGTTCGAGTTCAGCAGGAGACAAGTACGGAAGTAAATCACGTAAACAAGTATTCGGTAATTGATTGAAATTTATGAAATTTAAAAAGGAATTTTTCAATACACTCGTCAAACATATCTCGTAGAGTGTCGAGACTGACATGATTAAACACACATTAAATCCTTTTTCGTATTTAGTCGACGAGACTGGGGGGAGAGAAAAAACGAACTACACTACAAAAAATAATAATAATAGTTTGTTCAAGGCGCTTTTTTTCTTTTTGAGATCTGTTCTTTTCTCATCTAATATCAAAATAATTTCCATATGAAACCGATTGAAATCAATCTATACATATTTCTACCCATCCGATGTATTTATCTCATCTATATCATTTTCCATCAGCCGTATTCTTCGAGATGGGTAATGGTTTCATGCTGATGTTTCTAAGTATAGATAGGATCATCATAGGCATGTATGCGACAACAACAACGACAGCTATTGGATGTCCCAAGGAAAACATCCGTTTGTCGCGTCTTTTGTATATGCGGAAACGAACGTCATATACGTACACAAACGGTTTGATGTCTTAGAACATAACCGATAGTAGGCGTACTAAATAAGTCCCTAGCGAAAATAATGGTGAGGAAACAGAATAGCCTTGGCCAATCACCAGTAGAGAAAAGAATAAGAATAGTACAGTTACGAGAGAGAGAGGGAGGAAGGGAGAAGGGAGAGATATCGATTGTACTTTCATATATACATATAAAGAAGGACATAAAAGTCGTACTTCGTGCTAATCGTGATTATTATTTTTCTTTATTGTCGTACATCTATTCTCTCTTTCTCTTTGATTCATTTTTAAAAGGCGACAAACAGACAATAGGTGAGTCAATGTCATCGGATGAAAAGATCGAGACATGTAAAAAGCTACTTTTCGTTTTCATTTGCTAGACTACAAATGGGTAGAGCATTGGATTATGGATATTTATCAACGGCGACGGGAATTTTAAACATAGCTGAAATCGTAGGTGGATCTCTCGCATGATTTACTTCATTGAATCTAACCTTTTCGAAGAAAGCATTCAATTGCCCATGATTTCGCTGTCATTTCCTGCTAGGCAAAGTAATACCAATAGCAAATAGGTGTTTTTGTCGGTCTGATGTAATCTTGATATGCCGACGGTTTTATGTAAACAAACAATCGATAGAAAGAGAGAGAGAGAGAAAGACAAAAATCTTAGATACTTAACGGTTGATGAAGTAGATTATTCAACCAATTAGTCGTAAAATAACAACATATGTCTATCCTAGACAATGATTGAACATGACGAATACCTTCGAGGAAGATTCTAATGAATTAAACATCTAAACATTGATATTTAATTACTTATCATTAGTGTTCCTCATCGTTTACAAATTCTTGTTCATAACGACGATACTTTGATGTACCGAACTCTTCTTTTTCTTCTTCTAGGTTTCATTAATTGCGGCTCTCATCAGTGTTGCATTTACGTCTCGATTATATTGCGAATTAGCCGATAATTTACAATCAGTCTACCCTGATTTAAGTACAGTAGCGGTCCGAGCTGTATTTCAAGCATTTGCTGTTCTTTGCTTAACGATCACCGTCATCATTTTGCTCGCTCATCTCTATGGCATACGTTACTTAGGAAAAAATTTCGTTTATTTGAATCAAGCTGTTAGTAGAAAACACAACTCGATGTTTATCGAAGATAACGAGAGAGAGAGAGAATTGTTTTCTTCATTTAGTGTATAGTCGCTAATGTTATTATGGGGTTGATGATGATATCAATTGGAATATGTGCTATACTATGGGAAGATAAACTACGCCGAACACCAGGGATCGTTAAACGTGGTTATCTGTCGTATGAATATCAAACTATTTTCGATGAGCAAACATATCCAAGTCCAGGAGCAGCTGCAGCCGCCGCTGTAAGTCAAGCAATATCTATTTTGAAGTTTTTTTTTCTTCTACAATTTTCTTTATAGACATTTGCATTGATTGCTGGTGTACTTTTTATCATTGAGGCATGTACTCGACCGATGTTAGGCGCAGGTGCATCACGTTTACCACCATATACATCAGATCGACCAAGTTATACTGTATCAACAAGTAATCAACGTCCGTTCATCAACGATAGTTCATCTGGTGAACGCATAATTCCTATTGAAACAACGATTTTACCGTACCGAGTTTAGAAACAAATATTTCTCCTGCTGTGTGTTTCGTCTTGGCATTTTGATCTTCGTGTAGTTTTGCTTCGTTTTTCTTACGCGCTTTTTTATTAACAAAAGCTAGAGAAAATTTTCATTTTGACATCACTTTCGATGGTTCGGTGTGCTAAAACGAAACAAATCGAGCGAAAGAAATTGTCGGATCCACAGACGAATTCAGCTGATCAATCTTCATCAAAAATTCTTCATGTAGTTCGTCAAGCTTTACTCAACGCTGCTGCAGAACTTGTTGCACAACAGAAAACTTCAGCAGAGAATCCGCAGACATCAAATTTGAATATGAATGAAAATGCGACAAAGAAAAAGGCGAAGAAAACGATAGTAGCTCGAAAAAAGACTCGACGAAAATAGTTCACTGACATTCTCATTCGAATCATTGATTTTATTGATGAATAAAAAAAAATATTTCAAAAAGAAATGTGTATCAATCAATGTCAGTCATTATCAGATGACCTATCTTGCATTTTGAGGAAGTATCGCAGGATTCGGAGGTAAAATATGTCCACCTTTACGCGAGAGAATACTAATTTCAGCTTTCAATGCTTCAATTTCTTGTGCTTGTAATTGAACAAGAGTACATAGACGATCAAACTCTTCGGCACTCTGTTTCGATTGACCAGCAAACTCATCCGCCTAAAATTATCGTTGTCAGACAACCGAGAGTCGATTAGACACAAGAGAAAACTTACAGATTTGGATTTCCGTTTCATTAGTTGTTCGTCGAGTTGACGTTTATCATCGACAAGTTCAGTTAACTCATCAAGACGTTTTGTATTGGTTTTCAATAAATCAATCGTATCTTCGTTTTCCTCGATTTTACGCAGCTAGAAAAATAGATTATGACATTCCATGGAAGCGCTAGTAGAAGATCTAACTACATATCTTTTACAAGGTCATCACAGAATGACTTTGACAAAAATAGAGCATGTTATCCTTGGTTTAATAATTGATCAATGAAAATGTTTGGTCTAGCTGAAGATAACAGAAAAATGCCTAGAAGTCTTTTCATGATTGATCATTTAATTTCTGTAGATAACGATTCTTATCCTCTCGAAACGTGTATTCTCTTTAGAGCGCTAAGATTTAGAATTACTCTCAAGTGGCATTTCACTGAAATGTAGACATGACTGTTAGTTCGTTGTTTTAACTTCATATTTCTGTGGTGGATATGTCAACGATGGATTTGAGAAAGCAGAATACTCAGATAGATAAGATAGAAAAGGAAACTTTTGTTTTGATAAGTCCAACTGTCGTGTTCTATCGAAGGTTGCTTTAATAGAGGCAAACACTCGTCTTTCCTACAATTAATAACATTGTTGATGGTTTGTACTAAATTCCTGCGAGCAAATCTCGTCCGATGTCAAACATATGTTAAGGATATGGAGATGACAATGATATAAAACGGAGATCAATCAATTCCGTACCTCATATTGGGCCATTGTATTGTAATATTCATCTCCGGCATCATCAAGTCTTTGTTTGAGTTCTTCGATTTGTAAGTTAACAATTGCGCCTTCGATTCTTTCTAATTCAACTAGTTTGCCGAATTTTTCAACCATTAATTTATTACATTCATCGGTTAAACGTTTGATGATTTGATCGGCATTCTTCAATTCATGTGCTAAATCTTTTCGTGCTTGTTTCTTGTTGCTAAAGACGAAAATTCTTCGAAAAAGTCCTCGCTTTGTGATCGTGCTTACATATATCGATCTTTTTCTCCCTTGATTTCGGTTATCACGTCGACAATACGGCTTTGTAAACCTGCTTTACTCTTTTTGTTGAATATCAAACAATCCGATAGGTCATCTGGTAAATGAGTTGACCGATCATAACGAATTTGATGACAGCGAAGACCAATGGCAACGTTGATATCGTTGATTTTTTGTTGTTTTTTTCTCTAGAAATGAGAAAATATGAGAAGAAATGATCAGAATTTCGATTTTACTTGAAAATCAAGAAGATCATTCTGTTTGGTTTTCAATTCAGCATCGATCTTATTAAGATAAATTTGTGTTTGACCAAACGTTTGTTGTAATGATTGAAGAGCAGTCTTCTCATCTGCTATTATCTCTTCTGCAAATCATCGAAGCATAAATCTTTGTTTGAACAAATAGACAAAAGAAAATATTTACCAAGGTCAAGTCGTTTTTCTCGTAAAGCGACCACTTCATCATACAATTTTTGATCAAGATTAGGTGGACAGATATCCACATCAAGTTGTCGAGTTGGATCTTCATTTGCTAGATCTTCATCGTCATCGTCTTCTAATTCCCAATCGTCATCATCGTCAAGATCTTGAGACATATCATCGGCATCTAGGAAGCGAAATAAATTTCGATAAAAACGTCCGAGAGGTATTCGTTTACATACCATCTTCTTCGCCTTCGACACGCTTCTTTCGTTTGACCTTTTTATTCAAAACTCGTAAAAGATAATTATAGAATTTATGCTCTTTTGGTATTATCTCATCGAACGTTCCATACAGTTGTTTCATTCGATCATCCAGCATATCGTTATCTTTCTTCTTAGCGTCAACTTTCGCTTGAAATTCTTGCATCTACGCACAAACAGACAGTTTAAATTCGGACAGAAGCTTTCGTATACTTTGGCTTGTTCGGCATCAAATCGTTTTTGTGCTTCGGTCACTTTGTTCTCCAGCTCGTTTTCTGTTCGTTCAAATTCTTTTGTTAACATCAGTTCTTCGTAGAATGTGATACAACTATTCATAACAATCAAATCAAAGGAATGAAATGAACGACGGAAAATAACATACCGGAGATCTGTTTCTTTTGCTCGTAGCGTTTTGATGATTTTCAAATAATACAACAGCGAAACATCTTTGTCGAAAGTACACATTTTCTCATGGATGTTCTTCAAAATTTGATCGCGTTCGAAATATATTCTAAATACATGTTCATCGTTTAACTTTCAAAAGATTTCTCGGCTAATCTTCGCTTACCGATGTGTAAATGAACTGGAATCTTTTACTTCATGTAAAACTTCGACTGGCGTATGATCAGAGAATATCTTATTGGGAAGATATTCTGGTAATTTTTCTTTTAAATTAACCGACCAATGAAGGTTAAGTGGACGTTTTAAAGACGATGGTTTTGATGTTGAAGTTGAAGATTCATCGTCAGGCCGTGTTAAATCACCATTACGGTGATCATGTTCGTCGCGGAATGCTTGAATTTCTTCACGAGTGAATTCGAAACGACTAGAATGAATATGAAATGTAAACAAGCTTTATTCCGTAGTTTTCTCTACTTTGCTTGACCATTCTCGTTCAATGGTAGAAGAGGAATGTTGAATAATTCGCTATGCTGTGTTTGACTTTTACCAAGAGTATTTAAATATTGAAGATCAGCATTGATTTCTTGGGTGAGAGTACGTTTGCGTTCAATCAGATCCAAAACACGTTTGTTAAATTCCATTTTGTATGTATACGTCTAAAGAAACACACAGTCATTAACTCTGACTATAAGAAAGGTTGGAATGATGTTCTACTTACTGCAAGTCTGATATTGGTAATTCGTTCAACAGCTCGAAGGACTGTTAATCGTTGATCAGTCGGTACAACATAATCCGGTGCTGTTTTCAGAAAATAATTGCCCATATTTTCTCGTGCAAAACGAATGCTTTCAACTTCAGCTGGATCATCATAACCCTCCGGTTTTTTCTTACTATAGAGTGCTGCCCACTAAACAAGAGTCATTCGATTGGGAGAATTCGGAATGCATCTCTACGTACCTCTTCTTTACGCTTCTGTCTTCGACGAGCACGTTCTTCCATTTTGCGTAACAGACGCTCAACGCGCATTGCTTTTGCGCCTTTTAGTTTTGTTGCAGATATTTTCGAATCCGCTGTTTGGGCTCCTCGGTAGTCACCACCTCGATCATCTTTACAAAAGAGCAAATAATGAATGATCGTATACAAGAAAAACGTTACCAGAAACGTCAATCGTTTCCTTTCGTTTTGTTTTTCCAAGCAACGCAGCTTTTTGTCGTTCGATTTCTTCCTGCATGGCTTTGAAATCACTTGGTAATTCTAAACAAATTCATCCGTAACATTACTGCATGATAGAAAGAGTTCAGCATACCGATTGTACGAAATGTACTGACTTCCCATTTACTGTCGAAGCTTTTCACAGAAACAACCTCTTGTGCGACAGGATCAACAAACCTAATATGAAAAAATTGTTTTACTTAATCAAAATTCAAAGAAGAAGCATATATACCATTGTTCTAGCTTTCTCAGTGCAATTGAGCAGCGTTCAGATTCCCAGGCTAATTCTTTGATCGAAGTATTTTCTCTCTCTTGAAGTTCAGCTTCGAAATTTTGGCGAATGTTTTCATCAAGTATGAAATTCTATTTAAAATGAAACAATTATCGGTGATGTTCCTTCTTCAGTTGGAGAATATTTACTTGACGAGGAATTTTTAGATCAGCAGGTAATTGATCATTTATATTTAGTAATCTTCGAAATTTTCCTCGAAGAGCTTCGATTTGTTGTCTCATTTCTTTCTTCAAACCTTCAGCTGAATCTTTCATTTTAGTTTCTTCAGCCTTTTGTTTTTCTTCTTCGATTGAATAGTGCTTATCTTCAGTTATATCCACCGCTTCGACTTCACCCTAAACCAATCAAAGATACTCTTATATTATACCTTCCTTCAAAATATTTACTGTAAATGCTGGCATTTTCGGTACTTCCGAATGCCCATTGACGGTATCGGTATCACTTTTGATAACATAACCAAAAATATTACCATCAGCACCACCAGAGAGAGCAAATCGATCATCATAGGAAATAGCTAAATGAGTGACAATTCCGTATTCACTATCATGTGCACCTCGTGTCCAGTATTCTTCTAGAGATCGAAAGATTTGTTTTCCGCCATATGGATAAACACGTATGAAACCATTTTTCAAACCGACGAATATCAAATTGAGTTTTTCTCTAGAAAGAGTATCACATGGTTCTTCTATAACAGGAGCAGGAAGTGATCAAGAAAACTTACTTGATAAGAACACTCGTCAACGGAATATCTTCACCGTGTGCCGGATCTGTATTTGGTACAGGTAAACTGCCAGTGATAGCATCTTGTCGATCTGGATTGTATTGAAAACGATCATCTTTGTTTCCAAATTGGCAATGGTATAAATATCCAGCATCATAATCATCCTAAAAATGCGAAATCATCGATGACAAAGTAGATGTATCCACTGTCGACTGACCATCGATAACCAGAACGTATCTGGTGATGTATAGACAGCAAATAGGGCAGCACTTGGCTTTTCTGGTATGTATGGTTTCCAATCATCTTCTTGTGGTTGTTCTTCTTCTTCGGGTTCAGCTGCTTTATCAGTTTTTTCTCCTTCTGAAAAAAAAAGAACTTGTTTCTGTTTCAGATAGTGATGAAAGATCAAAGGTGATTTTACCCTTTTCCTTCTTCTCAATACCACGTAAACGTCTTTCTTCTTCCAATTTTCTCTGTCGTTCTTCTTCTTCTTTTCGTTTACGTTCAAGCTCTTCTTCATGCTAGAAAAACAAACACTCAACACTTGTAGTATCTACAAAAATCCATTCTCTTACGCGTAATCGAGATTTAATGCTACGAAAACGAAATATTCGCACGGGTAATTGCGATTCGATCAGGTATGATGTTGCCGTGTCAAATTTCATACTACCCGGCCCTTCAAATTCATAAACAATTCCATTTTTCAAGCAAACGAGAAGACGCGTTTTATCCTAAACATCGTCAAAAATCAAATGACACTTTTCATCTTTCAAATTCCTTACATATAATGCAGGTGTCCATGTCATAAACGTTATTTCTTCTTTAACATTAACAAAACCAATCGGATTCAAACCCTTCGGTGTAAAATTGAAAAAGAACACGGTACCATCGGTACTCTAAACGATTAACAGAAGCTTCATGTGAGCACTTTATCGCTATTCTTTGTCAACGTACTCCAGTAGCAACCCATTGATTTTTCACATCTAAGGTGATGAAAGTAACAGGTTTAGTATGTGGTTTGATCACTTGCATCATTTTTAAGTCATATTCATGTTTCTTTTCATTGCCGGTTGGTTTACTTCCTGCGCGAAGTTTCAAATACCGAACGATACCATTGGAAAAACCAACTAAGATTCCATCAGATTTGTCATTGAACTGAAAACAAGAGTATCACTGAGAAAGTATTCTCTGAAATTCACTTACGACAGTAGGAATCCATTTTAAACTTGTTACGTCAGCAGAAAAGATTCGTTGTGATAGCAAATCTTGTGAAACAATATGATTGATTCGAATTGCTAAATTGAAAGAATCATATGTATCAAGAATGAACGTTCGTTTTTGCAACTTACAATTCCCAGCTGAAGAAGCAAATAGATTGTATGCAGATGAAACATCCAATCCAGTAACAGCGCCCGACATAAACGAAAGAATGATTTCCGGAGCGACACTATTTTTCGAGAATGTTAAATCCAATTTCCAAATATATCCTTTCGCGTCCTAGTCATATAAATAATAAACAATAGTGAATGCGTTGAAATGAAATCATACTTGAGCAAACCAAACACTCATATCATCGGCCACTCCAGGAGTAATTCCCATTAATTTACTATCTGTTCCCACTCGTAATTCATTCAATGGATCCATTTCCATTTTCGATCCTTCATCAGTTGCTTCAGCAGTATCGATTGTTTCGAAATCCCAAACACGGATATATCCATCTTCTCCAACAGTATATACATCACTTTCATTTAAAAGTACTTGTTGAATTGGACCTGCATGACATGGCTTGCCTTTGCTTCGACATACTTGAATTTGAATTAAGCCACCGTCCCAGAGTAGCATATTACCCCATTCTGAACCAGATATCACCTAAAGATTGATTTTATAAATTGAATCTTATTGAAACCAAAGCCTACTTTTCCATCGGGCAATTCACGATACCCTTCAATATCAGAAATTTCTGTTCGACCGAATCGACCAAGTTCACCTTGAAGTTTCAAACCAGTAAATGTACGAGCCATTTTCCAAAATCTAGAGTTCAATGGACACTCCACCAATTGACCTTGAAGTTATGTATCTTACTTGATGTGACCGATGCCACATGTTGTTAAATGACCTTTCAGATCTTTTGAAAATGAAACTTTGAAAACTTCCTGTGAAGAAGCTTTGCTTCGTAATAGAATCTTCTCATCGCGCCAATCCCAAATTGTCAATGTATAATCTGGACTCGAGCCCAACGATGCTAACAAATCACCTTCAGTACTAAACAAAACATATTCGTCTATTGTCTATTATTTAGTGCCCTAACTTACTTGAAATCCAAATAAGCATACGAACGTTGTGTTCCACCTTTCAGAATTCGATAAGGTTTCAATGATGGATATTCGTAAATAACTATATTCGGCAAATGACCTTTTTCGCCAACAGCAAAATACCGTCGACTCGAATGAACCTGAATCGTGTTTTTCCTCAGTGAAGAAGTATATAATATTCAATTCTTAACTTACGATTAACGCACCGATACTATAACCACCAACTGTTCGAATGTATTTATGTTCTCCAGTTGATAAATCAATCAGTTCAAGAATACAGCCGGCAACGAACATAACCGTTTTATTATCTAAGACGTATAAATTGCCACGTTTATTGCAATCGTAACCAAATGATCGGCTAGAAGAATAAGTAAGCAAACGGATTGATAATGGTGACCCTCTACTTACTACATTGATAATGTATTTTGCGGGAAATTTTTTTCGTCCGTTGTTATCGGTTTAGCATGAATTTCTTCAGCATTGTAATAGAAGTTTTCTGGAAGTCTCGGTGGACTCTCAGGTTCAGGTTTTTCCACAGTATCCTTATCTTCATTTTCGTTATCAGTTTTTGTCGGATGAGCTTCGTGTTGACCTTCTTCTCGATCAGTTTGATTATTATCTTCATTTTCTTCTCCTTCATCATTGTCTATCGAAGGAAGATTAACAGTTTCTTTCCCTGCAATCAAAACTTCTTTGTGATGTGCATCGGGTGTATCTATACAAAAATAAACTTCTCCATCGATTCGAAATTCTATCATTATTTCTTACTATGAGTATCCACGGATCCAGCATCCATGGCGGACGCGGGCTGATCCACTAGAAACACTCAATGAACAAGAACAATCAACGAAAAGATCAGTACGTACTTGCCCGAGGTCCATCGATTGTTTTGTCTCTTGGTGACGTTTCTTTCGACATGTTTTAATCTAAGAAACTATCGAAATACTTTGTACCATTTTTGTGGTTAGTTAAAACTGTTGCTACGTAGTACATCTCCAAGCGACGATTGATTATAGATGTCGTGAAGAAATGTTTTCATTGGCTGTTCCTAATTTGGGAAAGAAGAAGAAGAACGACGGCGATGATCGATCGATCGATACCAGAATAAACAACTATCTGACCTCTCTCATCAATCGAGCGAAGTCGTTTTTTTCCTACTATTGTTTTATTGAGAATGTCAAGTACAGTTGATATTAAACCAACGATTCCTGAGACATTGTTGAATGATCTCACTAAACAACAACAACAACAGCAACAGCCGTTGACTGTTCGAGAAAAAATTGTGAATTTATTTCAAGAATTAGAAACGACACGTGATGAACAACGACGGGTTAATACGGAATTAGAAAAAGAACTTCAATCTCGAATCGAAGCTGAAGCAGAAGCGGCGCATTTGCGACGTCAAGTACAACTAGTTGAGGTCAATCTAGACAATACAACAGCTCGGGTTAATCATGTTACAACGCAATTGATCGAAGTTATCAAAGTATCTGAAGCAGCCCGACAGTGAGACAAACTTCTTGTAATTTTGTTCTGCGAAATGAAAAATATTTCGATTTTAGTGTTTGTACTAATCTTGAAAACAAACTAACGGCTGTGAAAGATAAAGAAATCGATTTAGACGACGAATTGAGAAAAGCAAAGGAATGTAGTATTGAAACAGACAAACGTTTTCAAGAGGTAAATCAGTTTCTCTCGAATATATATCCAAAACCAGAAAATCTCTCGTTTTGTAGACATCTAATAAACTAAATGAATTACAAGAACGTTTCGAACACACCGAACGTCGATCATCGAATGCGGAACAGTAAGTTGAATCAAAGAAGAAAATGCTGTTCAACATGATTTCCCTTAGACGAATTACAAATCTTGAACAAGATATTCGACATGCATATGTTGAAATGAAATCATTAATGCAAACTGAAGAAAAAGTATACGAAGATATTTATCGATATAGATAGGTTTACCCGACATGATTTTCATTTAGGCACATGGAACGGAAGAAAAATATCGAAAAACAATCGAAGATATTCAAGCTAGACTTAAATCAGTGAGGATTCTCTCAATATGTTATTATTCATTTTGATCTCCAATGGATTTATTTTTTAGGCTCAACAACGGACTGATGAAGCAGAGACTGATGTTGGTAAATTACAACTTAAAGTTGACAAACTCAAAGGTATTCCTTGATTGTATTTTCAATTCATCGTATTCATATGATTTTGTTTTCCGTAGAAAAACTGGCCGATGAACGAAACAAAAGTCGTCAATTAGAAAAAATGATGGCAGCTTCATCAGCATTATAAACTCGCCCCTCCAAACTGAATGATCGTTTTGTCTGACCCGTTTTTCTTTTGCTGTGCAATATACCTAATCTCATTATTTTCTACTCATGTTATTAGACTTGAAATCTGAGACGCAAACAAAACAATTAGCCAAAACGTTTGGTTTTCTTTCCTGTACAACTCTTTTTTCTTCTTCTACTTCGTTTTTTGCTTGATGTGCTGTGAACAAGTCCTGCAATCTCATTTCATTTTTTCTTGTTATTCTCACTGTTCGCACTAGTTTTGTCGGCGTGTTGACTTACTGATGAATGCATCATATTTCACTACTTTGCCTCATTAGATCTATCCTGTTTTGTGTGATTGTTCATAGCTCTACTACAGAAAGGTAAATAAAGAGAATAACTTCAATGCATATGCGATGCTTTGATCATTCGATTAAGGTTCCAAGAGAGTTTATAGAACATCAAAAAAGAGAGGAAAAACACTTTTCGTGGATTGTCTTGCTGTTGAAGAAATCTGTGAATAGGAATTTTTAACCATTGGAGTGGTCGATGCTGGGATAACGGAACGACGAATTGGCATTGTTATTGTCGCTGCTGCTGATGAACGAAGGTTAGTCGAACTGGAACGGATGCTTAATGACGAGGAACATGACGAGTTATAATTTCGTGTACTTGGACGAAGGGCAGTTTGATCAAATTGAGATGTGGTATTCACACGTTCAGTACAAATATTGATCAAACAATTGACACTATCCAGTAAATTACGAGAACTAGGATACTTCCGTTGTGATAAGATAAAACACGCTTCGATAAATGCGGCAAACGGCAATCCTAAAAATCGAAGGTTAGGTCAACAGTGTCCCTTGCAAGATTATTTAACTGATTACCAGTGAGTGTTGTTCTTGTCATCAATTGCTGCCATTTTTTCAGTAGCTGAACGTACAGGACATCGATGGATGAAGATGTTATGGTTTCGTCGATGATTCCACAAAGACTGTTCAGTAAATCAAAACGAAATGAATCGTATAGGATGCATATTGATCTTACCTAACAAAATTCCGTAATTGTGTGCCGGTCATCAGTTTACAACCAGTAGGAATCACCAGTCGAATGAAAATATCCGCTATTTTATCAATTACGAATAAATGTTCATAATGTGCTTGATTATTTGGCGACAAAATAACTTTCAAACTTTCGATTGACGTAATCGTCGTTATATCCGATCGCGTCGGCATCGAAACCAGTGCTCCAGATGTAACAGAAGATCGCTTAAAATTTAGCGCTGAAAATGTTTCGATGACATTCGTAGTCTTCAGACCACTTTCATCATCATCATCATCATCAGTGTGAATTGAATGGCGTAACTTTTTTGGACGTTTTATTACTTTTCTGGTAGGCTTTCTCGGTTCGGTTGAAAATAATGTGTAAGGCGATGCAGTCTCAGATGGTTCAACGGAAATATGTGTTTCCGGGGGAGATGCAGCGTGGGCTTCTTGTTCTGGTTGATTGGAAATGGTTTCTTTGGGTCGAGTAGGCGCTGGCCGAGAAAAATATGGATTCAATCTCAAATCAAAACGTTTTTTTCGATCATTTTTCAGTTTCTCGTTACGTTCTTCCAGACGGCGTTGAGCAAGTTTTTCCACTCGTTCAGCAATTAATTTATCATTCGCTTGATTTTTTACATGACGAGCACTAAATTGCTCTCAATAAAATATGGCATGAAATTTGGAATTAACTCACATTGTATGTAATTTCTTTTTGGGCAATGCTAATTTCAATGTTTCTAACACTAACGGTTTCTTGATCTCTTCATCAATGACGCTTGGTAGACAAATATATTTACCTATAAATGAATTAAGTCAAAATGAGAATGATTTCGCTACATTACCATCTTCATTTTCTTTATCAAAATCAAGTCGAAGTGAAGGATTTGCATTGATTTCCAAGAGAATGGGTTTCAATTGATTATCCAGAATAATATCAAAACCAATGATCTACAAGTAGACGCTCAAATCTTTTCTCTCGTTTTTCGAATATACGAACAACATTACTTGAAAACAGGATATGCTTGGGAATTTCATTAACGGTAAATAATATTCATATTCCACGCGAAGTTCAGGTGTAACAGCTAAGATTGTTCGATTGATTAATTCTCGTATTAAATTTTTGGTTCGTTCAATTTTATCATTTCCAAAGATTCCACTTAATTGTTTCCAGACAAGACTCAGCTTACGTTTACTTCCGTCCGTTTGTTCGTCATTGGTTGGGTGTTTATAATGAACACTTCGTCTATTCAATGAATAATTCGTTAAATGCATATACGTCTCATGGAGATTATCGCTTGACGGAGCTTTATAATCAACAGTAGCGAAACGAACGAGACCTTCGTCATACAGATAGATCTCTAATGGATAAAGATTTAATATCAGAACGTAAATTCGTAAATCAAACTTAAGACCATCGATTAACAATGGTCGATCGATATACTCTAAAGATATATGCAAAAACTGATTTGAACCTGTGAGAATAGAGAAAATTTACCTTGAACAACATGTGCACGTTTGGTGATTATCATCTGTGACGGATCTCGAATCAAGTAAATGCCCTCACCTTGTGAACCATCTAAATTGAAATGAATCGATGACAAATAATGGAAAACTTGTAGTATTAACCCGACGGTTTAACAATAAAAGTTGTTTTTCGACGATTGTACTTCTCATCTAATTGATGTATGTAGCGCATGTCATCTTTAAATTGCTGATTGTGTTCAGGAAGGAACCATGTTTTCGGATAGAAGTCATATTCATTAGGAAATAACAATCTCATGTTATTCAACAAACGTGTTAAATGAACTTTACGCAGCAAATCAGTGATGCCTAAACGAATCGAAAAGGATGATGGTAATTCGAATTGTTAGCAACACAATCGACCTGGGAATTTGTTTACTCGACCAGTACTGGCAGAGAAGTTTATGTTTCCATCATGAAATGAAGATGAATGCCAGTAAATATCTGGATCGATTGCCGTACCGGAGAAACACTTTAATACAAAATGAAAACGTTTTCGACAAACAACGAACATGTTTTACTTCTTTCCATCTTAGTTCGCGTACACACGAACGTACGACTTCAAGATTTGATCGAGCGTAACTTAATTCGATTGTTATTGAACGTTTGGCGCCGATGTTCTCTTCAGATTTTACTGGAATCTTCACTGGGAGCAACAAGTTTGGTGCACCACTCTGACCTGATGCGTTACTTATCGGTGTTGCCTTTTTCGCACTTGACTTTGATTTTTTTGCTTGCGAGGATTTATTTCTTACTTTGACCAAATCTTTTCGTTCAACTAAAGGTTCACTATTAGTCACTGTTTCTTCGAGATTGTCGTTTTTATCTATATCTATACGATCATTCAAGTCTTGTTGCGGATATTCATCGTTGGAATCCATAGAAGTGTCTCACGAATGAATTTGTCATAAAAGGTGAAATCAATGCGATTAGCCTTAGAGTATAATGGCAATGTGTATTTAAAGTGAACGAGTGAGTAAAGAAGAACAGTACAAAACAAAAAATTTAAAATTCTCATGTGTCGAGTTTGTCAATAGAGACGAGAAGAGTTTGTAATTGGCTGAAAAAAAATATTTCTAAGATATCTGTTTGCGTGATGTTTGCTTAGACAAGTTGAATTAATGGGAAATAAAGATCGACGAAAGTTTTTGTTAGCAAGAATAATTCTCACTTTTAAGTCTTTGAAAAGTCAAAAATCTGTTTGACTGGTGAGATGATTTCGTATGACTTCATATCATCTCCAGGATCAATGTTTCGATCGCATACAACTTGACAGCAATTTCATCGAAATCAGAAACTTCCTTATTTACTTGTTATTGTGTGTGTATTATTCGAATTGAACATTTGTGTCATCGCGAAAAGACTTATTTTTTCAATATAGAACGTAGGAGTGTTGTTCGATAAAAGGAACTATTGTTTGATAGAATAATTTATGCCTAAAAAAAAACTATCCGCCAACTAGCCTTCGGATATGTGTAGTTTCACGTCATCATAAACAGACGTTTAATCGAACAGTGTAAGATTAATTACGACTGATGCATTTTGTCTCTTTCGACAACGTGTTCATTCCGAATAGGATATTTTAGCAAAACTCACTCCTAAAATAAAAAATTTGTTCTTTTTTTGCAAAATGCATTCTCATGATTTAATAATAGAAATCTTTCTGTTCTCCCTGTTGATAAAAAGAACCTACGCATATTTCATACAGTTGTATAGGATTCACATAGTCATACCAGTCCTTTTATTATGTACTTTTATTACATATAACTATTCCAAGGTCGAATTTAATCAAAACGGCTTGCAGCTGATATTTACTCCCATTTCCTTGGAATTTTTCAATTAAAGAGGAGCTCACTTTTGCGTTAAACAGTCAGTATTTTCTTTTCATCGTAGCTTTCGTTTCGCCGTCGTAGTCTATCGACGTCCTTATCCAAAGTGGACTCGTCTTCTCGTCGATTATTGGTTATTGGTTGTGGTGGTGTGTCACAATGTGCGTTACCACTTTTAATCGATTATTTGCTATTAAAAAATCACATACAATCAATTACAATCATCGATGTGCTCGATCAGCGGGCTAGAATACAACAGCATCTCTCCAAATATGCTCAAGTGAAATACGAGCAAGACTTGATCACCCGCAAGAATTATGGTGAAATTCTAAGTACGTATTTGTCATCCGGTGATATTCTTCTCGATCTTGCTTATAATATTGAAACACGGTGTCTGCTGAAATGGTGTCATGATCATCAAGTTCGATTTGTCAACACATCTGTTGAACTATGGGAACCATTTGGTGAAGCATATAAGAATGACCCACGCTTGTTAACATTGTATCACCGACAAATGCAACTCAGAGACATGCAAAATGATATCACATGGAATAGAAACGGACCGACAGCAATTCTGGATCATGGATGTAATCCTGGACTGGTTTCACATTTTGTGAAACGTGCGTTAGTTGACATGGCTCAACATGTACTCAGCAGCAAAGACATCCAAATTGCTACAGATGAGAAACAGCAATTACAAAGCGCTTTAAAAGCAAAAGATTATCCTCAATTAAGTTATTTATTAGGAGTTAAAACAATTCACATATCCGAACGTGATACGCAATTAACAAAAGACCCAAAGAAAGTCAACGAATTCGTCAATACATGGTCGATCGAAGGTTTTGTTGAAGAAGGTGCAGCGCCAGCTGAAATGGGCTGGGGAACACATGAGAAAAGTATTCCAGATGGAACATATTTCCACGATGAAAAAGACGGTCCATGCAATCAAATCTGTTTGGCTACGAACGGTATCAACACATGGGTAAGTTTCTCGTGCTCACTAGTCTTCAGTATTCGAAAGGATTTTCTGTTCTCTTTTCAGGTTCGTTCATGGGTACCAAGTGGAGAAATCATTGGTATGGTTATTCGACATGGTGAAGCATATGGTATTTCAAAATATTTAACCATTTATGATAAAGATGATGAAAACAACAACAATGTTCTATATCGCCCAACTGTTCACTATGCATACTTGCCTACTGATTCGGCTATCAGTTCTTTAATTGAATTTCGCATGCACAACTACCAATTACAACCCAAACTTCGCATCTTGAATGACGACATTACTGAAGGTGCTGATGAAGTCGGTGTCTTTCTATTAGGTGGTCGCTATGTCTCGGCTTGGTGGACAGGAAGTGTGCTCGACATTCATCAAGCAAGAAAATTAGTGCCAGGGCAAAATGCTACCACAGTACAAGTGGCGATTAGTGTACTGGCTGCGATAAAATACTGCCTCGAACATCCGAATGAAGGAATATGCTTGCCCGATGATATCGATTCGGAAGAAATCCTTGATATGTGTATACCGTATTTAGGAACATGGGTTTCGAAAGCATCCAATTGGCCGGAGAAGGACGATAAGATTCGTGATGACTGGCAATTCACTTCGTTTCAAACTATGAATTAACCAGAGACTAACATGTTTTTTTCATTCTCATTCATATACTCTCTATTTATGTATGCTTTCATGGACATGGGATAATAAATTTTTAAAGCGTTAATCAAAAAGTTTTTGTTAATAATCCTTTAAGGAAAGTAGACAATGTTAGTGACGATGGTTGTGAAAGAAATAAAGTCGTATCTTTGGAAAACGTGACGTATGAATCGGAATTTTCCTTTCAGCTATCAAATATATTACAAAAGTAACTTGCACTCGACGTTTGAAATTACATCTACCATTGATAGTAGTCGTCGTTTATTTGAATTCATTCTTACACATGAAAAGCACAAACTAAGCAAACATATCTCTGTCGATGACATGAATACCCTCACGCCAGTTAAACTCATTTCATTTATGAGATACAGTATTTTCTGGAGTTTTCTTCCTATCGTAATTAATTTGATGTGATTCATCAAAAACAAATCATAGACAAAACATACATTATCAGTGCAGTATCATTTTGTCTATCTTAAAACATTCACTCTGCGAAGTTGTTTTTACCCCGCACAATTTTACAAATGTTTGTTCCCACAGGCAGAGAGAGAGAGAAAGCGATTCTATCGGAGCATGTAATCCATATTTTTCTGAGTAGAATCACGAAGAAATTCCTTTTTCTTGATAATCACTCTTTTCCCGATAGTCATGACTCATCTGGCTCGGAAAATTTTAGTAAAACATGTCAGCTGACGAAAGTCGTCTGACAATTGAAATAAAATTCGTAATACATGTTAGTCTTGCAAATAATTACGACTATGCCGAGATCAGCTGATCGAAATGCATATTCAACTTGAATCAATGCACAAACAATTGTCATCCAATAAGATTGTGCGCTACCGTCTTGTTTCACTCACACGATCATATCGTTCATTCTTGCGTCGTTTTTTTTTAATGGGAATATTTCATGAAATACTTTTTCTACCTTTTAGATTATATTATATCCATATACATTGTTGAACTTTTTTTTCTTTCGTCATTCATCGAAACAAGACAAGCGATTCTTTCTACATCAGTACAAAAAGGAAACGCAACTCTTCTTTTTCTACTTATTTATTCAATTCCGTTTTTCTTCTTATCCCGATCGATCTCTAGTATGTTCAATGTCTCAGAATAAACATTCGCATAGTTTATTCTTTCGAATGTCCAACATTGTCTTGAATGGCCCACTTACAAAACAATTCAAGCTCCTCAACTAGACGATCACTCAGATTATTGACGTATGTGACGACAATTTACTCGTTTTTCTTTGCACATAAATAAAATATTTTCCTTCTCAAAATTAGTGCCGAACGCAAATCAACGACAAACGAATCGAATATAGCAGGTAATTTATTTCATATTGATTTTTATCGAAAATGAGGCACTCTCTCTTGTCAGAAGACGTTGAAGACGAACAACAACAACAACAACATCAGCCACAATCATCCTCCTCAATAATATCGACAACAACTCGACAAGCGAAATCCAAAGCACTTGAAGCTCTTTCCATTGGTAATCAAAAACGTCGAATCGAGTCCGAATCCGATTTGAACGAAGATCAAGAAGATAATAAAAAACGCGCACCATCATCATCGACACGGCATGCGTCGAACGTTGTGAGACGTCGAAAACGAAGTGAACCTGTTACAAATCCTCGAACTAGCAAGAGACAACGACAATCATCATCTGACGAAGACGACGACGACGAATATCTTTCAAGTCGATCAAAATCCAAGAGAAATTCTGCACCTGTCTTATCCCATAATCATCGACGAAAAAAGAGCGATTCTGAACAACAAAGTGAAGGTACAGACACGGGGAACTTTTGTGTTAGACGACAAGCAGGTAAGAGAAAGAAAAGAAAAACAGTTGATTTTCAAGCTTATCTTTCGATTTCACCTCTCTTTTTGTTATTTCATCAGGCGGCCGAGAACTTAATACAGTTGTAAGTGATCCTTCAACCAGTCATCATCGACGATCACGTCGCTATACAAGAAAGTCTTATATTGATTATTTGACAACGGGTCAATCTTCCTCTAGGTAAGAAAAACTTCATTCGTTTTTCTCCATTTTTTAATGATTGCAAGAGTTACGTAAATCGATGAATTGCTGCTTCAGTTTGCAGATGTACGACAACAACAACAACAAAAAAAAAACGGCGCCCATTTGCACACGCGTTTTTGCACTCTATGCATAAGGAAAGAAAAGAAAATAGGAAAAAAACCATTATTCATTGCCTTCTGAGTTGCGTATAGAAAGAAAAAGAAAGAAAGAAAGAAGGAGAGGGAAAAACATGACAGCATTCGACGTACGGGTCTGTTGGCGACTGTTAGTTATCAGTTAATGTAGTTCGTCTGATATAAACCATGAAGGACAAAAAGAGGTCCAGTTAACATTGCATCGTTATTTTGAAGTTAGTGACCTTGTGTAAAATAATAACATCGAGTCTTTTCTTTTCTTCTCTTCTCTTTCGTTTGATTTTCTAACGTTGCCGTTTTTTTTCTTTTCTTTTATTTACCGTATATGCCTACTTATAAACAAAACTCTGTTCTAACATCTGATCACCCCATTAACCTTTCTACGATGGTGGACATGCGAGCAGAATGTATTGAGAGTATGGATATATATCCCCTTTCTGTTCTAGTCGTTCATCGGTGCCTGTCACCAATACCGCCGGCACTGATAATCAATCGTGTGATACGCATAACACCGGTGGAACATCATCGAATAATCCAATAAGCTTCTTCAATTCCTCTACGTATCATCAACAAAACTCTTCGTCTCCTCCGCCATCAACATCATCAGCTCAATCTTATTCTGGTCTTGTCCCAACCACATCCTATACTTCTCCACTTGTTGCCAGTGCCCATCGAAATACGAAACAAACCTTGCAAATGTCTACTGAAAGTGATACTGATCCTGATAACAGCCCAACAGCACGTGATATTTTGTCTGATCCGAGTTTTATTCGTGCTGCTACGAGTGGTGCTAGTGGTTCGGCGAGTGCAGCACTTTTTCATACACTATCAGGTCGTGTACAACATTTAATGAGTAGAGTGGGAGGCGGAAGTTCCATAAATGGACGTTTACAACAATACATTCAAGGCATTCAAGTAACAATAAAATTCGTTTTCTTTCGAATTTATAAACTATGGAAAATGTTTTGTTTTTCTAGTCACCAGATCCTGATGTAAAATTGACTACACTGAATGAACTTTGTTCCGTATGTTCAATCATAAGACAAATAAACGGCACAATGTTGACTTTCTGTCTGTTTTTAGCTTTTGGTGATGAGTAATGAAGATACATTGCCTGGATTTCAATTTCGTGCACTTTATCCACCATTACGTGATTGTTTAGCAGACGAAAATGAAGCCAATGCTGAAATTGCTCTAACAGCATGTCGAGCTTTAACCTATCTTATGGAAGCATTACCTCGTTCAGCTATGCAGGTCGTTGAAGCAACACCGTTGTTTTTAAGCAAAGTAAAATTTGAAAAGAGAAGACGAAGATTATCACTTATGTATGTCCCTCTTGGTTCTAGTTGAGAAGCATTACATCAATTGATACTGCCGAACAATCCTTAACAGCTTTAGAAATGATTTCAAAACGAAATGCTAAACAAATTCTTGTTTCTGTACGTAAAGTCAACGTTTTTGTTAATTTAAGCAAACAAATTTCTTTCGAATTCAGGATGGTATTGGTGCTTGTCTTGAATATATCGATTTCTTCTCCATCACGTCTCAACACAAAGCTCTAGCTATCGTTGCTAATTGCTGTACACATATATTAACAAGAAATGACTTCAAATACATTCAAGAACACTTAGTCAATTTATCGAATCGTTTACGGTCGGATGATAAGAAAACAACCGAACATATTTGTTCGATCTTTTCACGTCTAGTTGAAAATCTACATTACGACTCAGCCATACTCTGCGAAATAGCATCCAACGATTTATTAAAAACATTACAAACGATGATTGTTGTGCAGCCATCTTTACTGAATAGTGCGACCTTTGTTGGTATCATTCGTATGCTACATATTTTCTCTGCTTATTGTCCTACACTTGCAATCACATTATTGAAAATGAATATTATGGAAACATTAATATGTCTACTGACCGGTTCAGCAGAAGGAAAGTCGTCGCCCAGAAAATCGATTACTTATAAATCAGCAGCTCTGCCAATGAATGAAACAATGGCAAGTATAGCATCTATTCAACAAGCAAATAATGTCGAACTTCTATCTCGTACACCACAAGAAACCTATGAAATTGTCTCCCTAATTGGAGAAATGTTACCGAGATTGCCCGCTGATGACGTATTGTTTCAAGTTGATCAATTATTTCAAGGTAGAAGAGGTTTCGATGGAAATTCTCAAGGTTGTATTTTATGGCATTGGCAAGATGATCAAGGTTTGTTCCGCTCTTAGAACTTAAATGTGAGATGAAAATCATATATACTTCGCTTTGCGTCTTATTGTAGGTCAATTACGTTCGTATACATTTCAAGATTCACAAACAATCGAACAAGCTTGGCAACAACATGAAGAAGAAGTTCAATTAGTAATTGAAGGTCGCCATTACTTACTTGATTTACAACAATTACAACAAATCAATGAAGAAACTAATCAAGCACGTTTTATTAAACGTGTTATTACACCGAATTCTCCTGATCCCATTCAACCACCTTCACCATCGCCCTCACTCTCGACGGATGAAGTTCCAAATCCTTTGCCGACAACGACAGCATCAACAGATCCCGTCGATCCTCGTCTTGTAGCATTGAAAGAAAATCCCGAACTATATAATACATTCGTTCAATCATTATTCACGATTCTTTACGAAGTTTACAACACATCGGCTGGTCCAGCAGTGAAACATCGATGTTTGCAATCACTACTTCGTATGATATATTACTCCTCATCTGACTTACTTGAAACGATCTTGAGACAACAATCGATCTCGTCGCATATTGCCTCGATGCTCGCATCATCGGATTATAAAATAGTCATTAGTGCATTACAAATATCAGAAATTCTCATGAAAAAGCTACCTGAGATCTTTTCAGTTTACTTCTATCGAGAAGGTGTCGTTCATCAAATCGAGATTCTCATTGGCTTTGGCGTTACATCGTCGTCCAATCTGTCGAGCTCGCGTGCAATCACTACTAATCCAACCACGATAGCAACACATAGCGAACTTGATCTTCCACATACGGATGACAGTCCTCTGGCACCAATCATTCCTGCACTTAGTGAATCTTTCGGTAAGTTTGAAGTCTAACAACTTGTTGTTGTTCGCAATCTACTCGCAAGAAACTCAACCGTTTCGTAAAAACAGAAATACAAATCTGATTTTGTTATTATATCTATCTATTTGTTGTTTTTCTGTTACATTAGATGATCCACAGATGCACTCATACAGTAATGATCCTCCACCAACGCATCGTGGTGCCGCTGTACATCTTCACCCGAAAACACATTCATTTCCATACCGTGGTAGCGGATCTTCTCGTCGTTCTCAAATGGAACCCAATACAACTAAAATTGAAACACGTTCACAACGTGGTGGTCGAGCTCCTCAGCCATCATCCAATTCCCGTATTAAACCATCCACACGTTCAGTATATGAAGAAGTCGCCTCATCACTCTCCATTGATCCATCATCGATCCGCGTCCGCCCATCACGTGGAGGCCCGAGTTCAGGGCTTTTTCGCCCAGCAACTACTGTTGATCCTTCATCATATTTTACACTATCAATGAATAATGTTCTTCGTCCAAGTACGCCTATATATGTGCCTTCAACTTACGGGCATCATTCGCCATATGGATATGCATCAAGTGCACCAGCTGCTGCATCATCATTATTAGCATCGGCGAATATGCCGCGATCGATGTTCCATCAACAATCTACCCAAGTCACATTGTCATCCCGAGACAAAACGAAACTCAAAGAATGGGTTCAAAATCAAGCGAAGATCTTCCGTAACACATACTTCTCTAATAATTCATCAACATCAAACATTGCACTACAAATCATCAATCGTCTAGCTTCTGCTGTCGATATCTTACACGTTGGCAAAGAACATGCAGAAAATTCAAAAGCATTACGTGATATGGCCAATATCATCGCTAAAGGTGATGTGACACCTTTTGAAATGGTACACAGTGGTTTAATAACAAAACTATATCAATATTTAACTGATGATATATCCTTACCAAACGATCGATTAGAACGATTAAAACTATTCTTGCACGTATTTATGAATGTTCCACAAGAAAACGATGATGATAAAGATTTGAGACATTTCATTATCGAACTTCATCGTACACAGATGAACACTTACAACAAAAACAATCAGAATATTTTAAGCTCCCTCATTAGTAAATTACATGGATGTATTAATCAATTAGAACAATTTCCCATACGCGGTAAGTAGAGGGCATGATGTTCTTGTCTGCATTACGGTTTTTCTTGTTTCAGTGAATGATACTGCCGGTCAATCTTCGCATAACTCAGCTCTTCGTTTAATATCAACTCATCAACTTAAATGCAATCTTGTTCGATATCCGCAATGTAAAACACTAAAACAATGGCATACTGGCCCGGTGAAAATTGATCCATTTGCACTTGTATCAGCAATTGAGAAGTATCTTCTTTTACGTGGTGTCACTAACAATACACCGGTAGATTCATTTGTTCGTTTGAAAATTTAAATATGACTTTTTGTTGTTGTGCATTTATAAGGATGATCCATTGGGTAATATGGAAGATGATGACGATGACGATGACGATGATGATGACGACGATGAAAGTGAAGTGTCAAATGAATCGGATGCTGAAGATGTGATCAACGTGCTTGCCAATTCATCGGCTATGCGACTTGAGTTTTTGATCAACGATCACCTCATTCCACACAATATGACTTTGTATCAAGCTATACGAACGTACGGTGCCACAGCACAAAGAACAACGTATGTAAAACTTTCGTTATTTTTTTCTCTTGAAGTAATCTCTTTTATGATTAGTGATGGCGAATCCGAAACAGACGTTGATGAATCCGTATTCTCTTCAGTTTCTATTTGGACACGTGTACATACGATTCATTATCGTCAATCGACGAGTACATCATCGACTGTACCTGCGATCAGTACAGAAATCGGTGCTGCTAGTCATACGACAACGTCAAATCGTTTGCGACAAACAACGGACTCGACAACACAAAGGTCTTCCAAGAAATCAGCCAAAGCACCAAAACGTTCGTCTGCTCCGTCAGTGGTAGATGAATTATGGATCAATGGGCAATGTTCAAAGAGTAAATCATTGTTAATAAAAAATCTAAATGAATCCATCTCTTCCGTCTTAACCATCAACGATCTATCACTAAATGCAATATCGTTATTACATATATTAAATAGTTTAAATCTGTATTGGTACGATCTTTATTTTGATACGAATGCCATGTTAAGTCATCAAAATTCAACGTTAACATTAATATCGAAGAATGAATATTTATCATCGAAACTAACATCAAAAGTCAATCGACAATTACAAGATCCGGTGGTAATCATGATGGGACATATACCATCATGGATAACTGAAATGGGCTACACATGTTCGTTTTTATTTCCATTCGAAACTCGCCAAATGATTTTCTATCCATGCGCTTTTGATCGCGAACGTGCGATGCAAAGACTTTTAGAAAGTTCAGATATGTTAACTCAGCAACATCATAATGATCAAACCGATCGACAATCTGTTGTGCCCAGAATTGAAAGAAAGAAAGTACAATTATCCAGAGGAAATATTCTTGCTGAAATGGAAAAGATTCTTGATAATTGGAATTCAAAGCACTTCTTAGAAGTTCAATACGAAGATGAAGTAAAACTTTTGATTGAAATGATTCCACAAATCATCTTCTTTGATTTCTAAAGGTTGGCTTTGGTCTTGGACCTACACTGGAAGCATATTCGTTGTTATCGAAAGAATTACAAAAGAATGGACTGGAATTATGGCGGACTGATAAATTTTTTGATTCAAATAAAGGTTAGATATTTCCATTTTTGCCGAATTCATCAATTTTCTAAGAAATTAAGTTTTTCTACTTATAGAGAAAGATACTACAATACCTGAATACGTTGATGTTCATCACGGTCTCTATCCAGCACCGCTTGGTCGCAATGCAAAAGCAGGTGTAGTGACTAAGGTGCGTCAAAAATTCAAATTTCTGGGCAAACTCATGGGCAAAGCATTGTTGGACTCGAGAATGGTAAATGATGCCGCTTTTCGTCTTCTTAATCTTCATTTCGTCCTTGTTTGTTTAGATTGACATGCCATTCAGTGTTGTTTTCTACAAATGGATGTTAGGGGAAGAAGAAAGTATGAATCTTGAAGATTTAGTTCATGTTGATACAAACTTGTACGAACAATTAAAAAAATTACAAACCATTGTCCATCACCGTGATAAACTAATGGCACAAAATCAAATGGCAAATCAGCAAACCACCACAAACAAAGCGAATAATAAGAAGCGTTTGAAATGCAAAGATGATTCACAATTGGAAACAACTTCTTATTCGACAGTATTCGATGAAAATGATGAAAGACTACTTCTCGATGGATGTAAGATTGATGATTTATCATTGGTCTTTACACTACCTGGCCATCCTAATATTGAATTGCGAAAAGGCGGAAAAGATTGTTTAGTATCTATTCAAAATCTGGATCAATATGTTAATGTAAGTAGAACAGATGAATCTATGTGGCAACGTAAGATAGCCTTCGTTTTGCAATTTTAGTTGGTTGTTTATTGGACATTGGTAGAAGGTGTTCGACGACAATTCGAATCATTTCGCGATGGATTTAATTCGATATTTTCGATCCAACATTTGAAATGTTTTTATCCTGATGAAGTAAGTTCGTTCTTGTTGACGAAAGAATATTCATTGTGAGTTCGTTTCAATTTAGCTTCATCAAGTCTTCTGTGGTAGCGGTTCAACAGAACTGTGGGATCTTAAAGTTTTACTTGAATCAACACGTTGTGATCATGGATATAATTTGAACAGTCGAGCTGTCAAGTGGCTTTTCGATATCATGATTAACTTTGATATTGATGAACAAAGAGCATTTTTACAGTTTATTACTGGTAGTCCACGATTGCCAGTCGGAGGTAAAGATTCGATTATATTTGATAGTTGTTCGACACGATGTTCTCCTTTCTAGGCTTTCGAATGTTACATCCTCCATTGACAATCGTCAGAAAAACAGCTGAAAACAATAGCGATAATATCGACGCGGACTCGTTCTTACCAAGTGTCATGACCTGTGTTAACTATCTCAAATTGCCGGACTACTCATCGAAAGAAATAATGAAAGTGAAATTAACAACAGCAATCCGAGATGGTCAATATGCATTTCTATTATCTTGAACTGTTTCTTTTCTTTTTCTTTTTCTTTTTCTTTTTCATTTTCATTTTCTTTTTGTTTGTACAGAGAAACAAGCATATATCCTAAGTTCTTCTTCCTTTCTCATCTTTCATTGTCTGCCTGCGCGCTTTAAATAAACCCGAACGAAAAACAACATCTTGTGCTGAATTAACGAAAAACGATGAGTGAACTTAAAAAAAGTGTCTCTTACTTGCTATAGATAGGCAGAATGAAATTAGAAATAGTCCTAAGATGTTCTGGCGGTACAGAAAAAAAAATGCTATTTTGAATTCTTCGTTTAAACAATAATTGGAGATGTTTTATAGTATCATTAAAATGAACTTACAGTGGCCCTAAATCGTATTAAAGGCTCATCCGTGCGATGTATTCCAAAGATCATACTACACCCAACAGATTCAATCACAGTATGTGCATACTTATGGTCCAGGATCTCTATTGATGCAATTTAATTCTTCATAACTTAAAAGAAGACCTCTTCGGTTTTTAATGGTTAAAGTATCGTAAATGAAACCGTCTAAGAAACAAGTAGCGCTCATCCGTTGGATTCGCTGACCCCTTTCCGAAAGTATCTGAAAACTAGTAGATAAACGCCCTCACTTAGATCTCAATCTAATTGGGTTCGAATTGAAGTCACTTTTATGCTCATTCTCTGCTTCATTTGCCCAGAGACGTAAAAAACGAACACTGTTTATAAAAATTTACTCGTCGACTCTCTTCAGACTACTCTGAATAAAAACTCAGTTTATTTTCACTTATCTTATTTCATCTAAGCAATTCAAATAAAACGTCTAGTTGTTCGTCAGCCTGCCTCCAGTCGGCCACTCACCACTAGCCGTTAATGTTCAACTTTCAAAATGAATCAAACCGTTGCCTTCCATTCCCTGTGCTGAGGAATCACCAATTTTGTGCCGTTGTGACTGTCCAAAACAACATTTCTCAGAGGAAGTATTACTTTGAGTAGTTAGCATCAGATAATGTTTGCGTATTATAATAATCGTGATGCTATCAATGTGTTCATGATCTGTATCAATATCCAACAATTCGATCCGATGTTAATCAGCTATTTCGTTTCAGTTCTACATATTACTGCTTCAAACACTATTGCCTAAAAAAACTTCCTTGCAAAAAATTGACCTTTGACTACAAAACAGAACAGGATTTTCTATTGAGAAACTAACAACAGATTACCCTTCGGGTCAACCCTTACTCGACAAGGGTGTGGGCGATACTCACCCAAACTATCTTTGTGTCCGTTAACACTAAGAAAGCCATTCAAGATGTGCTAGATGCTGTAAAGCCCGAAAATCTGCTCAAAGGTGATTTGCGTTCAAGTCTGTTGTTGATTTCGGGGAGCTAAAGTAACACCAATATGTTGGTAGCAGTAGATTAAAAACATTTTCAGGTCATAATATCAGTGTGAAGCTAGCACGAAGGAGCTAGCACGAAGAAACTGTGTGTAAGCTAAAAACTTTTTTCCAGAGTTTGTCCGGTGAATAAAACCTAGTCCATTCGATTCAGAATTTAATTCTGCATCGATTGGTGGTATTTTTATTCACCGGACAAACTTTGGAAAAAAATTATCGGAAACATAAATAGACCTATATGAGGCAAACAAAGATGTGGTTAAACTTTTTTCCAAAGTTTGTCCGGTGAATAAA